ACGGCCCCGCCGCCGTCACTCCGAGACTCCCTCCAATTGGTCACCATGCGGAATCCACGGCGCAGATTGGGCGGAAGGTCGGCACCCAATGGAGCAACCACTCCCAGTTCAACCGCGATCCGGATATCTGGATCGGTGTGTCTGACGTCGTGCTCTGGGAATTGGCCAAATCCGCCATAGCCAGCAAGGACCGGAACCGGCAACGGCTCGAAGTCTGGTCCTGCGGGTGCAGCTCCGGGGAGGAGGTGTATTTCATGCGGATGATGTGGCTGCAGAGATTTCAAAATATCTTCCCCGAACTGAATCTGAAGGTGATCGGGACCGACATCTCGGCCGACGTCATCGCCGCGTGTAAACGGGGCCAGTACGAAAACCACTCCGTCTCCGTCATCCCGAAGGACTGGCAGGAAGTCTTTTTCGACCAGCAAACAACGAGGCCCTACAGCTTACCGATCCCCGCGGCCTTGGAGTCCGTCAACAAGGACCACCAGGCGTTAGGCGGGACCATGAAACGCGAGACGCGCGAACTTGCCGCGGCTTCCGGCGCGGAAGCGTTTCGGGCGGCGCGCCGGGAGAAATTTGAGGGCGCGGGGAGCGCGGCGGGCAATACGACATCCAGGCATCTGCGTGCGGATTCGCCGGTCAGGAGGATGGTGGAATTCGTGCAACAGGTATATGTTTTTGCGGATAGAATTCATGGTCTAAATTAGAGCTATTCGGTTCGTTCTGGCGTAAATTGCACATAATTTTTCGAACTCGCGATTCTTCCTTCGTCTTTCGAGTTGTAGCGCTAAAAACTTCAACACATCACTGATCTGAACCAAAAACTACAACAGGACAACCGCAAGGAGATGCCGGAGGGGCCGTTCGATTTGATTACCTGCCGCTACGCGCTGGTCCTCTACACGAAGGAGAACCTTTGGCACCACCTGACCAAGCTCGTGGACCGGCTGCGCACCGGCGGCTTTCTGGTAATCGGAAAAACGGAGAATCTCCCTGTCAATTTCGCGGACAAGTTTCACCTCGTCCGAGTGCTGCACCCCGGCGGGCAGTTCCAGCTGGGAACATCCAACGCCATGAGCCAGGACCAGATTCCCGGGGTGTACCAGAAGATGAGCGCGAGTCAGAAAACGAAAATCCGGCAAGAGTTGGGCGACCCCACGGCTTTTTACCCAAGCGCGTTGCAGGAAGCTTCCAGGCTGGACGACGTCCGCGAGATGAGCAAGACCTTGTCCTCCGCGACCGGCGCGGCCTTGAACGCCATCAAGAACAAAAAGAAGGTCGTGAATGATCGGACGCTGGAGTATCCGATCGGGCCAGATCATTCGGGAACTGGCAACGACAACGAGGACCGCGGTTTCTTCTCCGGTTCCACGTCCGCGGGATCCTCCGGGGAGTCAGATCGCGGGACCTTTGGGAAACGCGCGCAGTCGTTGGGAACGGCAGAAGACGAGGCGAGGATCGCGAAGCAAAAGCATGAGATGGAAGTGTACAGGAGGAGCGGGACGCCAGTGCCCGGTGGAACGGCAAATAGTAGGCCCGCGACCCCAATGAGAAACTCGATAACGTCCTCTCTGGACGACGACACCAGGACGAGTTCTTCTTTATCCCCGATGAGAAATACTTCTAACGGGATGAACAAAAGAAGTCAATCCGTCGCCGTGAGCTTCGGCTCTGGGGACGTCACGGGCAAGCGGGCGGAGGAGATGCAGACGCTGGCGGCGAAGGTGCGAAAACCCTTGCAAAAACCGGTGTTTTTCGTCCCGAAAGAGGATGCGAACAGCAGCGACCCGCGGTTAAGGTGCGGTACGTACGGAAACTTTTTGCGGCAGTATCGGCAGGAGCAGCCCGATTGGGTGCGGTACCAGAAGGAGGCGGCAGCGCGGCTGGGCAGGCCCCGGATTCCGATGCTGGATAGGTCAAAGGAAATCCTGCTGAAATCCTCGAGACAGAGTTCCCAAGACCTGATGAGGAAAACCATCAACATCTACAAGAGCGCGACAGAGTCCCGACTCGGAGGTGGGACATCAAACGGCAAAAATAAATCCGACGAAGATAGTGCAGCTTCCGGGACGGACGATGCAGACAGAAATAAAGACGACGATGGGAGTGACAGAAACAAAAGCTCGAGCAAGAGCGCCAAGGTCGGCTCTGGCTCCTCCGTGCCCGGCGGGGGAACCTTCGGGCGCAGCACCAGCGGGCGCGGCTCCTGGAGCAGCGACACCCGGTTGCAGGTTGCCACACGAGTTTCGAGCATTGACGACCCAATGGCGAATGGCAAGGCAGGGACGTCGAATGGGGGTGGAGCAGCTTCAGAAAACAGCAAGCAACTACCTGTGAACATAACCAATGCACCGCCGCAACCCCCTCCTCCTGCAAGGTCTATTTCAAATCCACCAACTTCAGCCGCTAAGCCAAAGGCGCCAACCGGGCCACCAACCTCCACCTCGACCTCCAATACACAACAAGGTGGCAACATCGCAGCCTACAAAGCTTCCTTGTCAACGTCGCTAGGTGCTGCCGTGCAGCCCGCGGCGGTGACAAATTACAAAGCTGTTGCGAACAAGATGGAACATCAAAATCAAAATACCCAGCAACCCAGCCTCGTTGAGCGTAGCAAATCGGTTCCGGTCGAACGACCGCCGATGGGCTGGAACAAAGTAGACTACACTGCGGTGAAGCCGCGCATTGACAACAAGCCTCCGAGGTCAATCCGAGATTCCGCCGTCGCGGAGGCGCGCGAGAGAGTTGGTGGCACAGCTAACACCGCAGGAGCGAAGTCGCCACATTCTGCGAATGTCATTTCCAACAGAAATCACAACTCCGAAGCCGCCCGGAATCTCCACAAAGAGCAAATAAAAGCCGAGCTGAACCAGGTGCAGAAGCAGTTGCAGAAAATTGCTTCGTCTTCTACCACTGTAGACGGAATCACGGAGAGAAAACCACCATCGAGCCGAGACCCGAGAAAACTCGGTGTCACAACCTCCGCCGGTCGAGCGCACGTCGAGCCGGCTCCAATAAAGCAGTCGGTCGTTGTTGAAAATAAGAATGCAGAAATTTTGAAACAGCAAATGGAATTGCACCAGCACCAACTGCAACCCGAGAACTTGACCTATGACAATGACCAGCCGACGAAGTATCAGGAGGAGCTCGAGAGGACGCGGATGCTAATCAAAACACCTAGGCAGCAGGGTTCAAACCCGATGGGAGCAGGAGGTGCAGCAGGGCCGTCGACCTCAAACGTGAAGAACCTCTATCAGACCTACGGCATCAGCCACTTGCGTCCGCAGTCGCCGCCGAATGTCGCCAACAAACCGATGAAGGAGGAGGAGTTGGTGGATATCGTGAACAATCTGACCGCCAAGCACCGGCCGGACAGACCGCCCACGCCCTGCCGAGATAAAAAGATGCAGCAACGGAAAAAGCGATCGCCCTATCTGATCGACGCTGGTGCCTCGCCGCTCAAGCCACCCCACGTAGTGAAGACCGCATCCTTAGGAACGCCCACACCCGGGCAAAGCGCTTTGCGCGCCGGCTCCGCCACAACGGGGCCCCCCTCCGGGGGGTTTGGGTCGAGCTCCAGTTCGAGGCTCTACCACGTCGACGTCGCGAGCGATTTAAGGTCTGCGGTGAAAACCGCGGGCGCCGCGTTCCCGCGGGAAAACACGCCCTTGATGAGCCGACGAGCGCCCGGCGTGGAGTACGCACGCGTCCCGTTTACGCCCACAAGAGTGGGCATGGTGAGTCTCGCAGAGCAGCAGACCACGGAGGGTCACTACAACTACCGGGCAGGAGGTGTATTAAACGACCTGCCTACCGGCGCGGCCGTGAACTCAGTGAAAGCGCTACGGCCGCCGAAAGAGAGACCGCTCTCGCCGACGACAAAGTTGCTCATGAAGAATCACGAGGATTTGACCGCGCAATGGAACGAAAAGTTACAGGAAGATCACGTCTCGCTAACGTCTGGGTCCAGGGCCCATGCACGGGAAATACTGTCAAGGTCTGGGTCGAGGGCCTAAAAAACTTCTAGACACGAAAAGACTAGGTAAATCTGTCACAAACAGCATTTTATCTTTCATAACCATAGCCGTAAGTTTCTTTTCTTTGAAATAGTAAAACTACACTAAAAATTTAGGATGTCCATGTAATTTGAACCTCGTCCAAGAATAAAACATATCACCAAGAATCTCATAAAGGTCTCACTAGTTTCAATGCATATGCAGAAGAAATATTCAAACAAGAGTAGCTAGATCTAGTCACGTAGTTTTCCAGTTGAAAAGTCGATGTCAAACACTCACACATTTTTTTGTTCTCACAGTCAGACTCACATAGATTTTTAACTGTTGCAGTTGAGTTTCATCTGTTTCAGGCAGTTTCCGGCCACTGTTTCTTTCTCTGATGTGCCCTTTTCCCAGAAAATTCAGCCTCTTGTGGTGTACCCCACCCAGGCCAGCGACTTCCATAAGTCGCATCCCATCTTTTGTACGTAGCCCGTACGTATCAAATTAGTTCTCTCAGAAAGTTGAAATTGACCACGCAGGCAAATCGCTGGACTGTTGCGTTGCGATATTTTGAGCCATTGCCTCAAGAATTATCCACCCTGAAGTGAAATCAACTGCGCTGCACTGTGGTCGTGGTGCGCAGCGGATGACCCTGCATAGCTCTGCGCAGGTGCTGTTCGTTTATGAGTAGAGCTAACATGCTTCTCCGTATGATATATTTTTGTTTTTCAAATATTCCTAAACCTAATCGCATGCGGATGTGCGGTGACGAGGACCGTCAAAGGCTTTCCACCAGGCAGCGGCAGCGTCGTGAGTTGGCCGCAAACACAAGAACCGGAAAGATGTGATTCTTTTTTCAGGAACGGCAGCGTCGCTTCCAGAATTTGATTCCTTTTTGCAAACCGCAGCTCAGGAGCTGCTCAAGTCGGTTCGTGAACAATCAATAAAGTAGAAACTGATGTAGTTGAACGCTAGCAGATTTATTTTGAAAAAAAAAAATCACAGTGCCAATACTTATCGCCACTTGATTTTTTGACGAGTATAGAAATGAAGCTCAAACTTACTTTTGACGAGTATTAAGTTTAAATAACTTTATTCTTTGGCATCTTTACCATTGCTTCTCACAATTCCTTCCGCGGCCGCCGGAACAAAAGATGTCTGTGGTTGTCGAAATGGGTATGCATGCCCTCTTCGTGACCATTTGGATGTCTCCCGCGATTGTTTTTTTTGTCATGAACAAATCCACTAAGTGATATCGTCCATTTGTTGAATCAGAATCAATCTTCAAGTGAAGATCCTTCCAAGCAGAAGACCACATCTTCCGCAGAGCGACTTCTGATCAGCAGTGTGGTATGTAGTGAGGTCACGAACGTTCTATCCTAGCTGTTTTTTTGCCAGGTCTCATCCAAAACGACCGGCAGTTTTGAAGCGGCCGGAGGTGTTTTTGGACATAAAAGATTTTCAAATATCAAGCGGCCAGGGCTTTAGCGGCAAAATAGCCCGAGCGGATTCTATCGATTCCCGCTTGATGAAACGACGCAGGGGAGCCGGCAAAAGGGGCGCCCTTCTGAGGCGCCCGGCGCGTCTGTTTCCGTCGATTTGGGGCGCCCTAAAAGGGATGCCCAAAAAGCAGCACTCCGAAAAAAGCAGCGAATCCGCATAGTATGGGCCTCATTTTGGCCCACATTCGGGCCTCGCAAAAGACGCCACCAAAATCCGCCATTTCAGAGGCGGACTCAAGGACAGAAGACGCGGCATTTTGACAAAAAAGAACAATAAAAACCAAAGTCCGCCAAAAGCAGAAAGCCAATCCGCATGCTATGTGCCCGATTTGGGGCTCCCAAGCGGCCGACCCTGGCGGGGGCCCTGGCGGGTCCATAGCATGCGGGGAAGGTTTTCCGATTCGAAACCAAAGGGAGGCCAGTTCTGGATCGGGATTTTTAGCGACCGCCGTGCCATCCTGCATGACATTACTCACGGTGGCACGGTGGGCAGAGAATTCGCGTCTTTTTTCGGCGTGAAGACAAAAAAGCCGCCATGACCTCACTACCCCCGCTGAGGCGGCTATTATTGGTACCACATCAAAGAAGATGTCGTCCTGGGTGAGCAGCAACTTTGCCGTCCATGCTACGGAGTTCTCGCCGTTTCACGGCGACCTGCTGCTCATGGGCGCCGCTCAGTACTACGGGATCACCGGGAACGGCAAGGCGCAGGTGTTTCTCTTCCAGAACGGGCAGTGGGTGCCGCAGGTCGAGTTTTTGACCCAGGACGGTGTCTTATGACAGTGCACAACTCCCCATTCCTCTCGTTTGTCGTGCAAAATCCCAAACCCAGTTGCTGCCATGTAGCACTGTTTGCATAACAAATTCTAGAAGCCCAAACAGTACTACAGTTGGCGCATAAATTTGTCATGCACAGGATTCACGTGTCGGTCCTTGTGTTTCTATTGCTGATCATGCCTATACAAATTCAAATAAGGCTGACGCGACGGTGAGGGTGAGTTGTGCACTCGCATATGTCTACGACGTGGCCTGGTCCGAGGAAAACGAGCACGTGTTTGCCAGTTGTCAGGGCGACGGGACTTTGAAGATCTTCGACGTCAAGCAGCCCCGCGGCCCGTTGCTGAGCATCCGGGCCCACGAGCAAGAGGTGTACGCCGTGCACTGGAACTGCCACATACGGAATCTGCTCTGTACGGCTTCCTGGGACAAAAGTAACGCGGTGTTTGACCTCAACACGGGACAGGTTACGACAAGGTATTACTTGATGATTCTTCGACTTCCATTTCGTCCTAGCCTTCTCGTTTTTAGCTTTCCAATTTGAAGCGAGAATGGAAAAATTCTGCTCGAAAACCCGAAAACCAAAAATCCTCACTGCAGGTACCGCTCACACACTTCTGTTGGCTACCACGCGTGTTGGTCCCCTCACCATGGCACGATGTTCGCCTCCGTCGGCGGCGACGGCTGCCTCTTCATCTACGATCTCAAAACCCCAGCCAACACGAGGCCCGCGCAAGCTATCCAAGCGCACCAGTTTGAAGTGCTGTCTGGGGATTGGTCGAAGTACGACCAGAATCAATTTCTAACGGGTAGCATCGACAAAACGATCCGGGTGTGGGATTTGCGGAAAAACAACGCACCACTAGCGACCCTTTTCGGGCACCAGCTCGCGGTTCGCAGAATAAAGACCCACCCGCACAAGCCGCAGCTGGTGGGGTCAGTGAGCTACGATATGAGTGTGAAAATGTGGGATCTGTCGATCATGCAGCTCGTGCAATCCTTCGACCACCACCAGGAATTTGTGATCGGCCTGGACTTCTCACTTTTCGAAGCTGGTTTGATGGTCTCCGGGAGCTGGGACCGGACCATGTGTATATGGAACCACGAGCGCGGGCCGCCGATGCCCTGTCCTTTTCCAAAATTGGCGGGAAATGGACCAGCGGGCTCTGCGGCGGCGGCAGTGGGAAAAGGCAAGGCGTGACATGATTTTGCGCAGGCCGGCAAAGATGACGACCGGTAGGGCCGCAAGGTTTAGGTTACGTTGAAAGTCGTGTTGGTGTTCGTGATAGCGGTGCGAGCATGTTGTGGTGGTGCCGGCGGTGGAATTTCAGCGTGCCCGTACGCCGCGGTACCATTAAGGTGCAATCTCTGATACAGCCTCGAGTTTCATCTCAGCGTGGCGCAATTGCAAGAAGTGGAGTTCTCATCATGCACAGAACTGCGTGGGACGCGTCACGGTCGATTTCGCAACTTTTCCGTCATCTCCAAAATGCTGAAGCAAGCGGAAGGCCGGCAAGAGGAGCAGGTGGATCGAAAAGAAAACCTTGGTCTCGGTGGAGCATGATCTGGATAACAGTGATGAGCTTTGGACTTAATTTCAATCGGGCTTCTAGTTTCCTGCTTCGTCCTTGCACCGCCCGCGGGCGCGGCCTTGGCTACGGCACGACAGGATGGATGTTGCTGTGCGTGCACTGGTAGCAAAACATCATCGAGAAAGACAAGGAAGATGCTAATTACTTACGCTATGCCTTCCATATGAAGGGCTCTCTCTGCTTCGTCACCCCTGTGACGAAGCCTGCTCGCTTATTTGAGAACATGAACACAAGCATGAACATGACTCAGATCATGAACGCAGCTGTTTTACTTTCGAAAGTTTTGGTTCTTGTTAAATGAACGATCAGCAGTGACAGGATTGTTGTTGTCCTTGTCGTTCGTGCACGTTGTCGCGTGCCCGTACGCTCCTGTCACACGAATGCTTGGCCATGTCTGAAGACCCCCGCATTTCCCAGATGTCATCGTGTTCTGCTTCATTACAGTTTGTCTTTGTTTTTCTTGATTGAGAGGTAGGATACCTAGAGTCGAGTACGTTGGATTCTTGTTTTTTGTCTCATCGGCACCCCGCCGTGCTCGTGGCCGTGGACGTTGAAGCATTCTAGAGTTCTTTCCGCCGCTCCCAGCAACCATCCGTTTCCAACGACTTTTGTTGCTCATTTACCCATTGGCAAACTCGATGGTCTAGCCAGCGAAAAAGATGCCGAAAGAACTAGCTGCGTACCACTGTCTCTTATACTGCTAGAACAGGTAGCGCCCACGGACGACTCGGCGGCCGAATTTTGCGAAAGCCACGGCAGAACCGCACTGCGCGACGATCCTTGCGACCACTGCGTCCCTCTCGAAAAAAAGCTCCAGCACGACCAACATGCTGCGTCGCGGAGTGAGACGGTTTAACTGGCACGGGCTCCAGGAGTTTGCGACCCGCGACGCCGATGTCGCTGCTTTTCGGGTGGCGAAAATGGCAGATGCGCACACTTCCGAGGTTGTGTCTACCAGTACGAGTACGCCGGCTGACAAGATCGACTGGGCAAAATACACGTCGTCTATTCAGCACCAGGATCTGGTGCAAAACTTGAAGGCCTACCATGACGAGCAGCTGAAAATGCTGGATGGCTTGTTGGCCGAAGATCACACAACAGCGGTTGCCAAGGACTGCAGACCAAAGAGCTGGGACGTATTCTTGTTTCATGAGCTTTTTATTGTTCTTCTTCTTCTTGTGACAAAAGTATACAGATACAGATTGATAATGGTCAGCTTTCCTGCCGTGCTACAACATAGGCACACCTCATTGTCATTGTGTGTACGCAACATACAAACAACAGCAGGAACACCATCGCGAGTAATGTTATTCTGCACGCTATAGTGACTGCTGTAATTACATAGCCATGACACCGTGGTGTGTAACGTCATTCAGGATTCTATGCTGACGCTTTGATTATAATTATCAGCCAAAATATGTACATAAAGCCCCACACTTAAAAACACACCAGGCCGTCTACGAGGGTGCAGTGGCTGCAGCGCACAAAAGCGTGCAGAAATCCGAGGAGATCGTGGCAAACGGCGCAAAAGCGCTGTATATCAGCTACAACAACCCGCCAATAAACACGGTCTCGACGCAGGAGTGGCTCGATGTCGATCAGTATTGGCAGGCGTTTGTGGAAAAGCATCACTACTACCACAATCACTTGGACTGCGCGACGGAAGACCCAGAGTCGAAAGAATACGACGAGAAAGTCAAATCAGGTATATCATGTGAAGATCTTCTAGGTGAATTATTCGAACATCAAACACAATAAACTGAAACTCGATGATGTAATTCTTGCAAGACAGAAGCGCTCCAGAACACCATAATCATGATTCGCAAGGAGGTGCATGATGTGACGATACAATTAAACTACATAAAGACCGTTTGAAAAACAAAACCGCACACCCCCATACGACCCACCAGATATGATGAAGAATTTCAAGCTTCACGACGAGTCGCACCCGCGCACGAAGCTTCTCTACCAGCGCCCCAGCTACGAGTACTACAGCTATTTCAAAGGCTATGGATGTGTCAGGTTTGAAATCGTCAAAGTTGAAATAACTTGTCATGCATAAAACGGATACCGGTTAGACCTACAGTTTGTTGTCGGTGCATGACAAATTTTCCCGGTCCTGGAAAAGAGTCTGTCATGCGGTTTAGGGCAAAAGAGCTGCCTTCTGTCATGCTAGTTAGCAGTCCAACTTTTGACCCTTGCCAGGACTATAACCTGCCTCACGTGGGTCCTCTGCAATAGAGTCACTCTTTGTGTCGCATTTTATGCATTACAAATTATTTCAACTTTAACGATTTCAAACCTGACGCTTCCATGAAGGCGTCTTCGTGGAGCACATGATCTACTACCTCACCAAGACCGGCGGCGACGCCCGGGTGTTCCCGGAGACTATGCTATCCAGGAAAAATGGCCCATCGCCATCCATTTTTTACATGACAAACACTGGACTTTATGCACCATGTACATGTTGTACATGACAAATTAGATGGGGATCATGGGTCTTTTTTTGTGGATACATGCCCCACAGCTGGTACAACGACATCTACGAGAAGAAGTTCAAATGTTTGGAACTCTTGCAGAAGCGCAGAAGAGCCCTGCAGGAGTACAAGCTATTGCGGGAGTATGGAGAGAAAAAAGTTTGTCACAGTCACTAAGTTGCAGCTTTTGCATTACAAACTTTTTTTGCGTCACAGCTTCTCCTTGTATTGCAGAAACACTAGGGAAATTCCTTATGAAGTGTGGCTGTGATGCATTTTTACGCATGACAGAAAGTTTTGTCTTGCAAAAATGCCCATGAGTGATCGTGACGAACTTTTTTCTTTTGATAGGGAGTTAGATTTGGAATTCTGTCCGCACGATCTGGTGGGCGGAGGCGAGGCGTATTACAGCAAGATGATCGGATATCAAACAAAAAAAGTTCGTCACGATCACTCATGCGCATTTTTGCAATACAAAATTGGCTGTCATGCGTAAAAATGCATGACAGCCAAGCTTCATAGGGGATTTCCCTAGTGTTTCTGCAATACAAGGAAAACTTGTGATGCTAAAAAAATTTGTAATGCAAAACCTGCAAGTTCGTGACTGTGATAAACTTTTTTCTTTCCATATCGGAAAGGAGAATTCGTACGTGGAGATGCAGGTACATGTGAAATAGACGCGGTTCAGTAAGTGAGTAGCTTTAGTTTCGCACTTGGTTTTGGTTGGTGTTGGTCTCGGTTGTACTTATAATCATTAGCTGCACGACTCGATGATCTTTATGTTCGTTGCCCCACGATGCTTTTACGAAACTTTACCGCTGTACGAGCCGCACGCGAGACGGAATGTTCATCGGGCTCTAACATTGTAAAACCCACATCAGGTTGCTCGTCTGATGTCAGACTACATGTTCCTCAGCGAAGGCATTCCTGTGCAATCCGCGGCACAACTGGATGCCGTGACCAAAGCGGGCGGGAAGGGGAAGCTCTACTCGATTGGAGATGATGTCAACGCGTTCTTTTACGTCCGAGGAGATGCTAACCAGATCCAACCGGCGGAGGCTGGAAAGACCTACCTGTTGCAAGCGGGCGAAACCATGCATCCGCTTTATTCGGTAATGGTCACGGAGTTCTGTGAAATGTTGGAGCAGCGGAAATCGGCGCTTGGAGGTATATATAAATACCTGAAGATAATCCTTCTTCTTTAGTACGTACATCGTAGCATGCGGAGTAACTTTACTCTGCATGCTGCGATGGATGCAAATTTTCACCCGTCAGCTCACGGGTTGCAGTAGCATGCTGTATAACCTTATCCAGCACGGCATAAAAGCCGAACAACTAAAGTGTATGCTAATGCTTTCAATTCGGTATGGATATCGTTATCGAAGAGCAAAATCAATGTCTTGACGCACCATGTTGGTGTTTGGGTTTGTGATGCGCTCGCCGCTGGGAAGATTGTCTTACCCGCCAATGTCTTCAGTGTAATAAAGGAGGATCAAAGAAGATAAAGCCATCTATTTTTGCCTTTGTTCACAAAGTTTAAACTCCAAAAAATTTCTTCCCGACGAGGTTCTTGGTTCAACCTGCCCGACGAGCCCGTGGCGGACGCTTTTCTGCGGCGACTCAAGCCGGACGGCCCCATGAGACCGGTCTACACCCAGTACATCGAGGAAATGAAGGCAAAATGGGAGCAGAAGGTGGAGATCTCCCTGGAGGACGCAAAGAAAAAGATCGCGGCAATCGAGACGGCTGCGGCGGAGGACACCGTGGCCTTTTGCAAGGAATACGCCGGCGAGGAAGGGCTAGACTCGGTGTTTTTGGCGGACCCCGCGAAGGAGGCCGAGGTGAAACAGGCGATCAGTGCGATGCCGAAGTAGATGGTGACGGATGTAGTTTTCACATCCAATCAGGGTGCTCCTGCTCCTTCATTACGCTACAGCAACAGCTGACACAACAACGAACTCGAACTCGAGTGGAACACATTGCACGACGAATCGCGGCTAGTTTGTTCTTGCGGTGAGCTGCAATCTTCAGCTTTCGCGTGAATGTCGAACGAAGTATAGAAGAGTCCTCTAAGCGTAAGCACTGCATCGCGCGTCGCTGTGTTGTACTAGGGCGACACTGCGTCTGCGTTGCCTAGTCTTCCAGAAAGCAGCGAGGAGGGCATCTACCTCCTGGGCAAAAACGTTGTTCTCCTGAGTACTTTGGTGAGAGCTTGTTGAGAAGTTGTTGTAGTAACTTCCCCTAAAACATGTCAATTAGACGAGCCTAGCGCTAGCGTTTCGCGTATTTTTTATAGATCCTCATGAGCAGCAAGATGGAGAGTTGTGATGAGGTACTGCTGACTGAGCTAAAGCAAAAACTCTTGCGGCGTTGATGAGTGCAGCTACCCAAGATTCCCATGTACAGAAAGCGGCTTTACTAGTCTTCCCAAAGATAGAGGTCGTGCCGAAGTAGTCTCATTGTCACTCAGATTCGTGTAAGTGTAAGTACAGACAAAGAAGAAGCGAAGTGTCGTAGCAGTAGGCGACTAATAACCTCCCTCATGCTCATCTGGCTTTAAATCATCAAAGTCGGTACCGAAATACTCTGTGAAAAACATCAAAAAATAAACACAAATACTATTAGTATTTGTGTTTAGATGATTAAATCATCATTCACTACATCAAGATGGATAGTGAGAATTTCGCTGCCTTCCTACTTGTCTATGCAGCTCTGACAGTGATAAAGATAGCAATACTTCTGTAGAACTAGTAGCGAATATCAACACGTTTCAAGTTGCATTTTTGTTCTTCACCTTCACTTTCTCTTTCCACGTGCAAAATAGAAACTTCTTGAATTTCTTTTGTACAAATAACCCGCACGACATCGAGTACTAAGTTTCGCACGTTTGAAGAAAAAAACACAGTCCCAATCCAAAAATGACATCCTCCCCGAAAAAAAAGTCTGGTCTCTGCTGTGTCGGTGGCGGCGACGACACCGCCGCGGCCAACGCAGCCCCCGAGGGGTCCAACATTCCCCCACAGCTGATGAGCCAGCGCTCGCAGTCGCACGAAGCCAACCCGTTTGCCGCGAAGTGCTTGAAGGAGTTGCCGGGGACGAAAAAGTACTACTTTTCGCTCCCGGCACTGAACGATCCGCGGATCGCGTCTTTGCCCTACAGTATCCGGATTTTGCTGGAATCGGCCGTGCGCAACTGCGACGGGTTTGAAGTGAAAACTGCCGATGTGGAAAACATTTTGAACTGGAAAACCACAAGTAAGGACCAGCAGGAGGTACCGTTCAAGCCCGCCCGGGTGTTGCTGCAGGATTTTACCGGCGTTCCCGCCGTGGTTGACTTCGCTGCGATGCGGGATGCCATGGCACGGCTTGGTGGCGATCCGGACAAGATTAACCCGCTGGTGCCCGCGGATCTGGTACTTACCATGGGCTATTGCTCAGTTGCTAGGAAGTTTTCAAGTTGGAACTTAGAATTCCTATCTTCGCAAACAATTATCTTAGTCTTACATGCTTCGCACAACTACAGGTGATCGATCACAGCGTCCAAGTGGACGTGTCCCGCGACGCTTCCGCTTTGGAGAAAAACCAAGAAATCGAGTTTATGCGCAACAAGGAGCGGTTTGCGTTCCTGAAGTGGGGCGCGCAGGCGTTTCAAAACATGACCATCGTTCCGCCCGGGTCCGGCATTGTGCACCAAGTCAACCTATGCACTGCAAATGTGTCGTATTAGTAGTTATTGCATTACAAATTTGCTCTGCATGACAAATGGAATTTGTCATGCTGTTTTACCCTAAGAAGAAGATTTGTCATGCATATACGGCAATCAGTAAACCATGATTGCGATACTTTTGCAATGCATACAACCTGGAGTACCTGGCCCGCGTCGTGTTCGAGAATGAGTACTCCACTCTCTACCCGGATTCCCTCGTCGGCACGGATTCGCACACCACCATGATCGACGGGTTGGGTATCGCGGGGTGGGGCGTCGGCGGGATTGAGGCAGAGGCGGTGATGCTGGGACAGGCGATCAGCATGGTCTTGCCCGAGGTGGTCGGGTTCAAACTCACCGGGACTTTGAAGCCGACCGTCGTTGCCACGGATCTGGTCATCACCTGCGTCGCGATGCTGCGGAAGCTCGGCGTGGTGGGGAAATTCGTCGAATTCTTCGGCGACGGGTGCGCAAATTTGACTTTGGCCGATCGCGCCACCATCGCGAACATGGCCCCAGAGTATGGCGCGACGATGGGCTTTTTCCCAGTGGACGAACAGGCGATGATCTACCTGAGGCAAACGGGTCGGTCCGAAGAGAAAATCAAGCTGGTGGAACAGTATCTGCGCGCACAGGGCCTGTTCCGAGAATATGGTGAGGGGAAGGAGGTAGGAATTTAGTACTGATGTTGAGGATTGGACTTGTTCGGTTTGACAATTTACGACCACACTTGGAGTCAACATAGCGCGTCAAGATTGATGCAGCTTGTAAGTAGAGAAGCATTTTTCAACGAGGATCCACGTATTTCAATTTTTGATATAAACAATTTTCCAGGACCCAGTGGAGTACACCCAAATCCTGGAGCTCGATCTGTCCACGGTCGTCCCCTGCGTGTCCGGTCCCAAGCGTCCGCACGACCGTGTTGCCCTGTCCGACATGCCGTCCGACTTCACCAAATGCCTCACCGCGCCAGTCGGGTTCAAGGGATTCGGCTTGGGTGATGCTGTCCTATCAGACACAAGTAGCTTTACCTACAGTGGGAATGGAGAGGAGTTCGAGTTGAGCCACGGTATAAAAATCCTTGCATGTAGTTGGAGATGGACGTTTAACTTGAAGTCGAGCAGTCAGGATGTGTGGACCACTTTATATCTTCATTACATGCCTTGCGATATTACAAGGCCGGACACGATGAATCGTCCAACATTTTATATTCACTACAGGTAGCGTCGTCCTCGCCGCCATTACCTCCTGTACCAACACGTCCAATCCCGGCGTGATGCTTGGCGCGGGCTTGCTCGCGAAGGCCGCGCATTTGAAGGGTTTGCGCGTGAAGCCCTACGTCAAAACCAGCTTGTCGCCGGGTTCCGGGGTCGTTGACCAGTACTTGCGGAAAGCCGACCTCCTCCCGTACTTCGAACAGCTCGGATTTTACACCACCGGGTTCGGGTGCCAGTCCTGCATCGGCAATTCCGGCGACTTGGATGAGGAGGTCGCGGATGCGATCACGAAGAAGGATTTGGTGGTCGGCGCGGTCTTGTCCGGAAACCGAAATTTCGAGGGTCGTGTCCACCCCTTGACCCGCGCCAACTACCTGGCTTCCCCTCCGTTGGTCGTCGCCTACGCACTCGCCGGGAAGCTGCAGATTGACTTCGAGAAGGAGCCGCTCGGGAAGGACAAGGACGGGAACGACTGCTTTCTCGCCGATATCTGGCCGTCGAAGGAATTAGTGGAGGAAACCGAGAAGAAGTGCGTCCAGCCGGAGATGTTATGCAATACAAATCTTCTGTACACGTACAAAATGCATCACAAATTTCATCACCCTCAAAAGAAGCAGCTTGTCATGCTGAACAGGTTTGAAGGAAAATTTTGTCATGCGGAAGCCACATAAAAATTGGTACGTGTGTAGGATGAAATTTCCTGTGGATAAGTGTTTACGGAAGTGTACGCGAAGATGAAGCAGGGAACAGACCGGTGGAACAATTTGGAAGTCGCCACGGGGTCGCAATTCGCCTGGGACGAAGCGTCGACCTACATCCACAACCCGCCGTTTTTCAAGTCAACTTTGGTCGACCCGACCCCGATCGTGAAGCTGGAGAAAGCTTACTGTCTGCTGAACTGCGGAGACTCGATCACGACCGACCACATTTCCCCGGCCGGGAAAATCACGAAGAATTCCCCCGGCGGCCGGTATTTGATCAGCAAGGGCGTGGATCCGAAGGACTTCAACAGCTACGGCTCGAGGCGCGGGAACGACGAAGTGATGGCCCGCGGGACCTTTGCGAACATAAGACTGGTCAATAAGTTGGCAGGTACTAATATGCAATTTTTTTTTGAAAATGAAATATTTGATGAAGACTCTTTGCGAAAATGGAGACAGCACCATCAGATAGATGACGCTTGCCAAGTTGTAGACATGCGAGTTCAGTTACAAGTGGGAGTGAGTGCTCAGTCTTCTACGATAAATCACAAGTTTTATCATTATCACAACTCAGGCAAAGTCGGTCCGCAGACGCTGCACGTTCCGTCCGGCGAGATTCTCGACGTGTACGATGCGGCAGAGAAGTACATGCAGGAGGGATTTGGCACCATCATCATGGCTGGCAACGAGTACGGGTCGGGGTCTTCCCGCGATTGGGCCGCGAAGGGTCCCTTTCTCCAGGGCGTCAAGGCCGTGATCGCGCAGAGCTACGAGCGGATCCACCGAAGTAATCTCGTCGGGATGGGGATTCTGCCGCTGCAGTTCAAGAAGGGCGAGTCGGCGGAAACGCTGGGGTTCACTATGCATTGCAAAAGTATCGCTGTACGAGTAGTAATCGCATTACAAATTGGCTCAGCATGACAAATGGAAATTTGTAATCCTGATTGACCTTAGGAAAAAGATTTGTAATGCCCAACTGCAATTACTACGAGCGCGATACTTTTGCGCAGGATATTCACCGGGAAGGAGCAATTTACCATCGACCTGCCGGCCGCCTTGAAGGACTGCGGAATGGACATCGAGGTGCTCTGCGAAATATGCATTGCAAAAATATCGCACTTGGTAGAAATCGCATGACAAACTTCTTCAAGAAGAAAATTGGGTTTTGTCATGCAGACTTAGGTCAACAAGGTAGATCTGCCATGCATGACTTCGATAAGTGGGATAGTTTTTGCACAGCATACGAAACCACGGGAACCAAGTTCACTGTGGTCAGCCGCTTGGACACCGCACCGGAGCTCAAGTACTTCCAGCACGGCGGGATTTTGAATTACGTCCTCCGGAAAATCCTATAGGGCTGCATCGCAGGTGGAGCGACGGCGGATCATAAAACTCAGTTGCTGACGAGTAGTTCTTGCAGAGATGATGAGCTGCAAGGCGCGGCGGAGAAGGTTTTATTTTCCAGCAAGACCATCAGCTACGAATTTGCTTCCTGCATTGTGGCGGTCAAGCGTTTTCTCCACCGCTGCTTCGAGTTGGATCGTGGTGATACTGTTGCCAGAGCAAGCGAGAACACCTTGCTCAATTTCGTAATTGCGATTTCCTTGTGCTTGATGTGTGATGATTTTTTCAACAAGATAACTGGCTGCGATTGGAAGTTAAACTTGTATGGTAGAGCAATAACGTCTTCTCTACGGTATTGTGTAGCTCATTCTGTAATCAAAGTAGAACTTAAAGAAGTCAGTCTTGTTTGCCTTATCAGAAGCAAGAGATGTAGGCTCTCTCTAAAAATATTTTTTTTCAACATCGAGACGATTTCTACCTCCTCTATTCTACCTCCGTTTCAAAAGATTCCTGCCTTTAGTTTGTTTTTTTTCGTAGAAGTTGAAGTACCTATGTTGAAGAAAGGGGGCACCTTCGAAAAAGGCATGTATAAAGTGAAATCTACTTCGCGACAAGGAAGACAACAATCCGGAACGGCGCGAGTTATCTTCCGTAGTGGTTTAGCAATGTCTTTGCATTCGCCCTGTTGTGCGCGTTCTCATGTAGCTTCACACCGTGAGAAGAACTCTGCAGAAGCAGAGCCGTTGGACCTAATAACGACCAGAAACCTTCTTCTCGCCCCTCAAAGCGATAAAGTGAAGACGTTGAAGCCCGACTTTCGTTGTGGTTGCCGTTTCCTTTCTATGGCAAGTCCTCCTCGACGCCGAGGGCGAGGCCCGCAGACCAAGAGGCGAGCAAGAATTCTCGCTATTATTTAGTAGTAGCGATCCACCCAGAGTCTATTTCTGGCGGGTTGCTGCTACTTGTGTTCGTTGAAGGGCGCAGCTACAGGTTGCGGGACGGTTTCGGCATCTTTCGCGACGCCGGCGGTGGGCCATAGTTGTCTTTACGCAGTGCATGGAGGGACAGAGGAAACTGGCCAACAAGAAGGCCACCGACGCGCAGGCCGCCGCCAAGGCTGCCGCAGTGAAGGAAGGAGCCGGGAAGCAGGGCCGGGCCAGACCTGCGCCCCCCTAAGGGGCGGGGCGAATGGGTGCGCATTGGCCGAATTGCGCGAGCCCCCGCCCCCCGCTGGCTCCGTCCTATCTGCGCGCCCGCCGGCCCTGCGCGGGCTCGCTCCCTCGGCGCACACCGCGGCGAGATGCTACCCCCGCGCAGTTAGCAAAAAGGAACGAGGGGCAGGCCGAGCAGTTTTGGGCGACGGAGGAGACGGCGCCGGGGAGGTTGGCCCAGCAGGGTAGGGGCGCGGAATAGGCCGCGGGAAATACTTGAAGCAAGCGGGCGGAGAAAAGGCATGGCGGGCGCAGCCGCGGGGTTTCGCAGTAAGTGACTGAATGACGCGGGAGACGCCTCCGCCCCAGCGCGTGGGCCCTGCTTGCGGTTTTTTCTCATTCGCGACCCCTTTCATTGGGGCCACCCGGCCCCGCGGTGCGTGGGTTTCACCCGGGGGCCGCCCCCCCGCCCGCCCCCGCTCCGCGCCGCCAACCTGCGGCCGGCGCCGCGCCCGCGCGTCAGGCTCGTGCGCGGATTCGGCAAAAAAATTAACCGGCCGCGGGGTCGCCCCCAGCCAAGCCGACATCAAAGTGGTGACAATGCCCGCCCGGGAAAGGCCAGGCCTGCACTCTCGCCCGGCTCTTCGAGCGCACTGGGCCCCGCGGTGTCCGGGTATATTGAGGGGGCGCGAGCAGCGTCGCGAAGTGCGGGCGGGGGGTGGGGCTTCCTGGCGTGGTGCCGGCCCGCCCTTCGTCGCGCCCGGCCCGCCGGGCCAGCCCCCGCCCCCGCCGTCGATATTGGTGCTTGGGGGGATCGATCATGTTAGGGATGTGCATTGTTATGCCTATTGTGGGTGGTGGCTTCGTTTGGGGGGGCCGGGCTTCGTCTTCCGTGCGGGGGTTGGTTCCTTCGTTCTCCCCGGTGCCCGTGTGTTGCCCGGCGCCCGTGTTTCGGCTTCCCCGAGGGGTTGGTGAGTGTGCGCCCCTCCGGGATGAGGCGCGGCCGGGCGCGGCGCGTGCATAAGTAGCCTTCTTTCTGCGACGCTCGCCCGCCGCCCTCCGTCGGGGGACGAACGGAGGGGGCGAAGGTGGCCCTCGCCCCAATCCGCACCTGCCGGCCGCGTCGGCCCCACTGGGGCCGAAGCAAGGTGAGATGGGTGCTGCCAGCTTGGTCATCGGCAGAATTTGGCCGTCTCGCACTTCTTTGTGTGTGTCATTAATTCAGTGGAGACGATGAGTGTTGGTGTGTGACTGGGAGTGGCGACCGGGAACGAAGTGTCTTTACGTCGCTTGAAATTTTTGAATCAAAAAAAGTAAGTGTTCGGCGGATTGGGTAAGCCGAGAGTAGGGTCTTATGCTTATGGGATTTATTACTTACTACTCCGACACACACCCGCCCGATGGAGCGCGCAGCTTTATCTGCCGCAGAGACGCCTCGGGATTTGCATTTTCTACGGCATCCGAGCAGAAGCACGGCGCACGAAAAGACCCGCAGTTATACTGCTACTTTTTTTGATATGAAGACGTACTATGTCAGTCAGCACAGTCTATGTCGCTCCGCGAGCTGCGTCTCCTCTCTCATGGAAGGGTTGACCAGCTCTACCGTTAAAGTTAACGAGGAATGAGAGGCAAAATTGCAACACCAACACGATAATAGATTTGGCTATGAAGTCATGAAGTAAAAGTACGAGAATACCAGAGTTTTTTCGTAAAGTACGAAATACAAACGCTTCCAGAAATAGATGGCCATGCAGACGAGCTTCGACCACACGCGTATAATTTCGGGAAGCGCGCCAGTCCAGCCCCCCGTGCCAAACTACTTCAACCAAGCCCTGGCGGGTCCAACAACAGCAATAACACCTGTCGTCGGTCTGGGTGGTCCTTCAGGCAGTTCATCGGTGCCGCAGAGAGACGGCCCCCTGATGGAGGTGATGAAGCGAAATGCCGTATTGAGTGTAGATTTAAATTTTTCTACTTTCCAATATAAGCGGTAGGAGCCGAGCGTTTGCGCCACGCCTCAACAGATGAAAATCATTAATAGTACCAAGGGGCTAGAAAGCAACTACATACAATACTACTTCAGTCAGCGACGGACTTGGACCGGACGCAAATAGCTCCAACGAACTACCGTGTCGACCCACCTCCGCCACCGTACCTCTTTTCACGAGCGGGAATAACGCAAATACTGGGCTCACCTCGAGATCCGGACGGGCTACCGCGCGCGCCGTCTGGGTGTATTTTTTGCAGCAAGTGCCTACCGTTGACCCGCGCCGGGGCGTCAGATGATCTGAATACAGAAATACGCTTCCAGTAATACAAGTGCGAGTTTCATGGGGGACGAAATATAAGTGACGACTTTGAGCACATGCATGAACGTGAACACCACAGGGACAGTGGAAAATACTGCAACCTGGGACACGAGCAGGCGCTGCTGTGTAGCACCCTTTCGCTTCCGCTTCGAGCATGCACATAGTTGGGAGTAATTCTGACGCGCTCCTTTTTGTTGAGCTTGAGATGCAGCTCCATCTGCGGCTGCCGCAGCGCTCATGCCAATTCATAAAGTTGTCTAAAGATGAAGCTGTTTCGGTTTCAGTTTCCGACCATTTTTTGATTGGTGAGTACTAGGTAGCCCGACCAGGTGACGCCGCCGGCAGCAAAGCCACAGCCCGATGGAAGGGTCCCGGTGTTTTTTTGTACGCGAACTACAGCCAGGATCGAATAATTGACATCATTGTTGTGAGAGAGAGCGAGGTAGATTTTACAAAACCAAAACGGACATCAGCACTGGCATTGTGCTACTTTTGATATATGCTTTTTTGTTGACCGAGGCCGGCATGATCGGTGGCTGCCAGCCCTGCCGTAGTTCTGCCGAGGAGAGATCGGTTTTTTGGCAAGTGTTGTTTCTTGATGATTTGTGGTCTTCGTTGGATTTCCAATCTGCATTTGAAATACTAGAAATTGAGCACTAGCCACGCCATTGCCGTCAGCGTATTAATGGTGTAGCGTTGGTTTAGAAGGAATCGTGGCCATGTCAGCGATGTGTGCGCAGCACTTTTACCAGCGGACCTAGCGGCCCCGTCAGCCAGCAAAATCTCCATCTCGGTACACGACGGTGCGAAAATAACATGACGCTGCTTCACGTGGATCTACACGCGACCGCTTCCGCGGCTGGCGCTTCGTCCGCGCCAGGCTTCGGAAGTAACCAATCGCGACCAACGAAGCACCATCAGCCAAAAAAACAGACTGCGACGGAGCGCATGAAGGTGTTTCTACAGATCCATCCGGAACCGAGCGATGAGTCCGAGTTTTTGCAGAAAGGCGCTGACGATGAGACGCTCGTCACAGAAGGCGTCGTTTACAGTTTCGACCGCATCTTTGACTACCGCACGCTCCGCCCGAGCGACGGAGGCAGAGAGGTGAGAATGAGAAGTAGATCTTCTTACAGTCGTGCTAGCTCTGTTGAAAAAAACTTTTCGGACTCCAGTGAAAACATCCCAGAGAAACGACCTCCGCAACAAAGCATCATCACTTTCAGGCCGTTTTAGAGGTTGCAATTCGTAAATCTAAATTCAGACGTGTGCTCTTCTGTTGTACCGACCACGACACTTTGTCACACCCAAATAACCAGGTATCCGAGCTCGTTGCAGCTCCGCTCGTGGACAGTGTTGTGCACAAGGGGCTGAACACCTGCCTACTCACCTACGGCGGCCACGGGACTGGGAAATCCACCGCGCTTTTTGGGTCCATCGTTCCGGGGGTCTTTTCCCGACTGTTTGATTCGCTCGACCACAGCCGCTTCGTCTACTCGATCCGCTGCAGCTTCTTCGAGCTGGACCGGGAAGAGATGCGAGATCTGCTTGATATCGATAATGCTAAAGATCAAGATCTTGTACAAAAATGTGATCAACAGTCGCCAAGAAGCAAGAAGTCCTCACCTTCTTTTAATCATGCCGCTGCTTCGTGTAGTTCTTCACCCAAGAAGACCTCCCATCAATCCAGCAGGACTAGCAAGCCATACATCCGGTACCGGCCAAGCGCGGGGCTGGTCGTGGAAAACCTCGCCCGGCACGACATCGACTCGATCGGGGACGTGCAACGAATTCTCGACTACGCGTTCAAATCACGCGCGTTATCAGGGTGGAAAAGAACCGCACACACTTACCTGACCTTCCTCGTCGAACGCTACGCGAGGAGTCATCTCCCCATGAGCTGCAGCGGGTCGCCGGTGAAGGGGGAGGAGGAAGTTGTTGCAGAGTTGCCTGTTCATCCGCCTTCAAAGATTCCGAAACCAGTGAGAAAGTCAAGACGGGAGGAATTTCGCGAGGCTTTTGGCGTGGAAAACAGCTCGTGTAGTGTGGAAACTGTGTCGCCGAAATCGCCCTCTGGGGCTGCAAGCAGTTTATTAGGGGATGGACCAGGCACGTCATTTTTTTCGGACGCCCCCGCGACGGCGTTTGGAGGGGGAAGCTCAAGCTCAACCGCAAATAAACACTCGGCGTCGTGTGGCAATAGCATGCAAGGAAGTGCTGCTGGTGGTCCAGGTCCAGGTCCAGCAACCGCAAAAAAGCAGCCACAGGCGAAGATCAAATCTACAAGCTTAACCACGACCTCAACTTTCTTGTCGAAAGCAGTCGTCAGTCGCTCCTCAAATGTTTCTACCCCAACCTCTCCGCCGCCAATTCTCCAGGTCGCCAGTCTCACTTTCGTCGACCTCGCAGGCCACGACTCGTCCACCTCGTCAAGAAGTTGTGACAACTACGACCACGAAGACATTGCTCTCACCAAACTCTCCGAGTGCATCCAGCAGCTGCCGCAGCACAAGCATCGCGTCCAGCTTGCACAGAGGGAGAAACAGGTAGTGCACAGCAGAACGTCACCGCTAAAAGACTTGCTTCCCTCCTTCGGCGCGCCCCCGCCGCTGCCGGGGAAGAAGTCCAGTCGGTACAACTCTGTTTCCTCTGCGCTTTCCAGTCCGAAGAAAACGAATAGTACGTCTGTCTCCGCGTCGCCGCAAAGTGCGAAGATGAACAAGGACCGCGCGGCCTCTAGCTCCTTCCATCTCGCCAGCCCGACGAGTGCGGGAACGAACAAAAACGACGAAAGCTTTCTCAGTTGCAACAGCCAGGGAAGCAGCCAGTTTTTTCCGACGATGAACAGTATTGCAAATTATAACCCTGCTTGTTCTACATCTACTACTCAGCAATCCCAAAGCGACCTTGACCACTTTCTCCCTGCCTACCGGGAGCACAAACTGCTGATGCTGCTCGCGCACGCGCTTTCCGGGAACTGCAGAACGGTAGTGTTTGCCACGATGAAAGCAAATCTCTCCGCGGCGACCATCGACACCCGTATGCAATACAAATTTCCCGTACATGTACAAGATGCATCACAAATTTCACCAATTTGGAGTGTACTTCTAACGCTTGCCATGCAAAACTAGGATCGAAGCCCAGTTTTTTCATGCAGAGACCGCGTTTGCACGTGTGTGGGTAATTTGCTGTGTATGACCCTCCATTTCACCCACCACTGCCGGCAAAACTGCAACGCCATATCTCCGAACAACTGCTGGGATTCCGGGAGGGAGCAGCTTCTGGACCGGTTGTTCGGGGACATGCGGATTTTGCAGAAGGAACTGCAGAAGGGCGGGAGTGGTGGGAAACGGACCGCGGACCACGTCTTGATTTCGCAGCTTCTCGCGGAGGACGTGCTGGCCTTCGCGGAGCAGAGCGTTAAATCGCCGAGAAAAGTAGAACAACTGAGGAGTGGCATGCTGATGAACACGAAGACGAACTCTGCAAGTGGCACAGCTGAAGAGTCCGCGCCGCACGATGATTCCTCATTGTCCCGCCTGACGACGACAAAAAGTAGATTTGAAATCGAAAGTGTGAAGTTGTTGGAGTCACTCGCGGCGGAATCCGTAGCAAACCAGTTGCCGGAGAATATCGTGCAGGCGACGGGGAAAGTGCCGAAGTGGACAACGACAGGACTGACTCATCCTGAAGCTGATTGTCGTGCAACCGCTGCGGCGGCTAACCTATCAAATTCCTTTGAAGCGCGGAGCGTGAACGCGCACGAGGACCACGAGGGCATCAATCATAAAGCAGATCGGCCGTTTCTCCTGAATCTCCATCCTGATCGGATGCTCGACAGACTGCTGAAGTTCCCGCTCGGAGACAAACGCGTTTCAAAAGTCGGTGCCGGGAAGGACCAAGCAAATTTGACCTTGGTCTACGATCGAGTGTCGGGCGAAGTGGCTGGGGCAACTGTCGCGGCAGCACTGACCAATGAGCAGTCGTCGGAAACGGAAATTTCTGTAAACGGAGATCTTATCGACGCCACAGCACTGGAACTGGAACAAGTGTTCCTTCAAAATGGCGATATCCTCTCGATTGGCACGACGCTCCGCCTGGAGTTCTACTGCCCCAGGGGGAGATGCTTCGTCGATTGCGACTTGTTGGGTTTGGGTCTCGAGGACGATGAAGGAGATGATGAGGAGGTGCAAATCAACATCTCTGATCAAATGGATGCTCAGGACGCAGCGGCACCCGATGAGCTGACACCAGAAGTCATTCATCTTGCCGCGGAACAACCACTGTCCAGTTTGGAAGTCGTCGTCGAAGCTGACGAGGAGGACGCAAGTGCGAGCGCGGATCCAGTTATGCAATACAAATTTCCCGTACGTGTACAAAATGCATCACAAATTTCAGCGAATTGGAGCATAACGCTTGTCATGGTAAAGGAAGCCCAGTTTTGTCATGCAGACACTGCATTTGTACGTGTACGGGAATTTTACTGTGGAAACCAGTTCTTGTGCAAGAGCAGGAACAGCGCAAAATAGAGCAGATCGCGATTCTTGAAGTGGAGCAGGGCGAAGATAAAGATGACCTTGACCCGCCTGCTCGCCCTCCAGATGAAGAGAACAACGCCGATGAACTGTCCCGCGTGAAAGCCGAGCTCGCGGACGTGCAGCGAAAATACGAAAATCTGCAGTCGCGGGTGGACCAGATTCAGTCTGCCTCGTCGAAACCTCCGCAAAGAAGAAGCACAGGTGCAGCTACGAGTCCGGGAACAACCTCAGCTGAGAAGTTCTTCCAGAACTCCCCGTCGAAGCTCAAGCGCCCCGGATTCGCAAGCGGCGGTACTACTAGTGGCGGGTCGAGGACCGTGACAGCAAGTACGAGTGGCGCGACGTCGTGTAGTAACACCTTTAATAACTCGTCGTCAGTTGATACAGGCACCGCTGCTGCGAGCAGCGTGACTGGCGAAAAGAGGAATAGCAACCCTTTTACGCAAGGTGTGTCTGTCGACGTAGAGTCTGGCACTGCGCCAGTTGAAGATGCACAAGAGACCACTGCTACACAAGATCATCCTGCACCCGACCCCCTGATGGCGAGCAAGATTTCCAGTAGTAGCTGCACGCCGCAGGAGGAACAACTGCCGCACCAAAGTCGCCTGTGTCTCGTCGACACAGTCAACACCAAGGAGGAATCTACTTCCCACAACGTCCGCAGTCCTTCGGTCGTGATGTTTGGCGGTCAGCAGCTTTGCTCGTTTGAAGAAGCTGAAGCGAGCATGTCACAATCTCGCTCGTTGCAGGTAGAAGTTGCTGCAAATATTAACGACGAGAACAACAACTATGGAAATAACGACAGCTACCATCAACAAACAGCCGAGATGAACAACGATGCTGTGCTGCTGAACCGCACCAGCAGTGTGGCGCACACCGAGGGACGCTCTTCCCCTGGTAATGACGAATTTCAGAAGACGAGTTCTGTTGGAAAAGACAATCAAAACTGGAACAGCAGCAGCAGCACGAAGAAGAGCCCGGACAGCAATATCGCTTCCAGCGCGGAAAAAAAGAAGCTTTCGATTCTCGGCGAAAATCTACCGCGCTTTTCCCTGCAAAGCGAGCGCGAGCTCTCGCCGATCCGGACCCGGCCGCCGCAGCAGAGCTTCATTTACCGCACGGAGGGGGCTCTGATTCCCGTGGACAACCGCGAGACAACCGCCGGGTCTGGATCTGGCACGGAACAGGAACAGGTGACGGGCAGTTTTGCAGATCGGGTAGTTCCAGGTGTGAAACTAGTCGGAATTACAGCGGACGAATCGTCGAAAAACACGTCGTGTTTTAGCAGCAGCAAGGACACGATGGTGCTGTCGAAATACAACGAGCAACACATTGGAGGTGGTACAGGTACCGGAATAGCAGGCTCAGTGCGCCCCGAGGACGCTTTCGATCGAATCAGTGCCGTCGAAGTAGTGCAGCCGGGCGAGGCTGATCCGCAGGACCGGAGCTCTCCGCGGGAACACAGCACAGCAGGAACATCACTGCAGGAAGGCCGCACTTCTGACCGGCCTAGCGCTCGCCCATTCTGCGATCCTCGGTATTCACCCGATTGCTTGCGAGATCCGGTAGAAGCAGCTGGAAGCAATGGTAGTGATAAACCACCGGCGCCCTGCACCACAGCAGTCCCTGGTGTCGTGACGAAGACGTCAGCACAACTTGCATCTTCGTCAACTTCTACGAGCAAAGTTGTCAAAGAGCCAATTGCGTACACGAAAGCTGCCGTTGTTGAGATTTCTTCCTCGAAAGACTCGTCACAAGCCAGTTCCTCGCGGTCTTCCCGCAACAATCCCTGGCTGGTCCGTTTACCGTCGCCAAGGGCCGTCGTCGTGCAGCTAGGTTGTAATAATACCGCGACATCAGCGACTTCCTCGTCATCAATCCCACACAAAAGCGCCGCTTTGGTCACAACAAGTCTAGTTGATACCGGTAAAAAAAGCCTCGTGCCAAACATAATCACTGGAAATAAATTTTCCTTCGCCCCAACCAAAATCCGGGCGCAGAGTGTTGGCGCGAACATTCGGCCGTTCGGGAATAATGCCAATCTGTCCTCCCCGACGTCGGGTTTTGACCACGCTGCTCCGGTTTTCGTTTCTGCTTCGTCCCGAGACCGTGCGACAAGTGCACAGCCGTCGCCCTACAGCCCAGCAACGGAAATCGCGCAGCTGTCTATGTCGATCGGGTTCGGCCGGCGAAGCAACAGCAACTCCGTGAACACAACGAGCCCGCAGGAGGCAACACTTGCGCCCCTCGTGCCGAAGCTGCTGATTGGTAGTTCTGGCGGGGCTGGAAAAAACAAGAACAACGTGACAACATCAAATAGCGCTGCAATAAATGCGCCGGCGGGATTACATTTAAAGTCCTCTCGCAGTACGTCGCCGGTCTTGATTTCCAGCACCCGAAATAACCGGTTGACTGGTGTGGTCGAAATGATGAATAAACAACAATTGATCCACGAAACCGCGCAGACCGGCACGACGATAATTGCGAAAACCATAGAGTCGAAATCCCGAAATGCGTTGGCGAACAACCAGAAGGTGAAAGCCATGCTCGAGAACACGAAACAGAAAGCGTGGATCACCTGGGAGAGCAACCGGTCGTCGCGAAACAGTTACGAGTTGCGGTCGCCGAGACTGGAGATTCTTTCTTCAACCAGGAGTAATTCCGCGATGGCGCCCACGACACGAGTTAATGTCTCCAGTAAAAAGCGCGCAACCTCCCCATTGGAAACCTCAACTGGGCTACGGATGGGTGGTGGTCCTTCGCAACTACTTGATGTTCGGGGAGGAATAGGAGCTGCGGGAACAGCAGCAGCAGCAGCAGCTACACGTCGACAACAAATCATGACAAGTGGAGCTGCTGGGGTGGGAAATTTGAAAAAATTGGTGGACGAGCAGCCCGCCTCCAGTTTGAACAAAACCACAGCAGCTGTCAGCATAGCGAAAGCCAGCAACCACGTGCGGCGTTCTGTATCTGGTGTGGCGACAGCGACGCTGAGCACGGGTAGAGTCACAACTGTTCGCGTCGCTGCAGGGGGTACAACAGCCGGTGCAGGAGCAGCAGCTGGCGGAGGGAAAACGAAAACTGGAATGAAACAATCTCCCGGGAAGAAGTTTCTGCTCGAAAGTCCGAAGCCGAAGAAGAAATCGTCGACAACAACCGGAACGAATAGAATGACGGAGACACCGTCTTTCGGTTTCGGTGGTGCAGGTAAAAACGGACCAAACGACAGCCCGGCGGGGATGAAGAACAGAAACGCGACGACTTCTCGTAGTTCTCCGGTTTCCAACAAAAAGAACGCCAGCGGGGGCGCCCACCGAAGTCCCAACCGCGTTAGTCTCGGCGATAAGCAGATTGGGATATCGAAACCGCAGTCGCCTGGTGATGTTATGGCGACCGGTAGTAACAACACAGGTTCCGGTTCGACGGCTGCAAAAGCGTTTTCGTCAGCGTCGCGTGCCATGAAGCAGCCACCAGAGAAAATCATCGTCAAGTCTTCCGTTCGGCGAGTGCAAAACCAGAGCGAGCCGCAACCCAGACTGTACAAGGCTAAAAGTCCGATGGATTCGGACGATTTCCCTGCGAAGACGCTGTTCCGGAAAACAGGGCAGGTATCGGTACTCAACACGACCAATAAAACCGATGACACTTGTTCGAAAGGTGGAGGGGCGACACAACAACAAGCTACCTCCGGCTTTGCATTGACTGGTTTGCGGAACACAATTGCATCCTCTTCGCGAGGACGAGCGGTCCAGAATACGAAGCAAATTTCCGTCCCAGCCTGGCAGCCACTAAGCCCCCGCGTTTTGATTTCCCCGCAGAGCGCCCCGCGCGCCATGTCCGCGGGGGCGCAGCGGGATCGGTCTCTGTCAAATGGATCCTCGACGCATCAGGGAGCTGGACAAATAAAGCAATATCCCGTGTTCTCCCTGCAAAATCATTTCAAACCGATTGCGGTGCCGGTTGTTCAGGCGATAGGATCATCTACCGGTACAACAACTAAGGGCGCTGCACCAATCATCACTACCCGGAACCACACATCCGTATCTTCTGTGGTCAATGTGAAAGCAAGTGCGGTCTCTACGAACGTTGAGCCTCCTCAGACGATGGTCAAGCAAGGTCCTGCGCCGGGCGTGCTTGCGAAAACTAGCCGAGCACTAGCGCCAGTGACCGTGGCATCCGCTGCCGTACCACAAGAGCCAAAAATAGTTTTCGAAGTGCATAACGTTCGGACGGAACAAGGAGGAGGTACTGATTTTTCGCGTTGTTTTTTCAGAATGAACGATGTCAGATGTCACGTCCACATCTTCTACCACACTTCATTTTGCATGTTGCTCACATCACCCACGGGTTGTTTTTCTGATCCTAGACTGCCAAGGCCAATCAGAATAGGATTCATCAGGTGCATATTCTGATAAATCGAAATTATACGTTGTGTACGTCGTCACTGTTACATCTTCTAGGTGTCGTCCACCCTGTTTCCGGCCGGCTGTCGGATAGTCAGCGCAAGAGCGTGATCCACCAGCAGGTCGATCCACCAATAGTACAACAACCAAGCAGTGGTCACCAGCAGAAGCTGGCGCCGTCAACATTCCAGCTCCCTGCGTTTGCAAGTCTGGCTGCTGGTTCGAACAACTTCAAAGCTTCCAGCGCTCTTGTGACCCCAAGATCACTCGCGCCGGTTAAAAATCATCACCAACCTCAGCCTTTCCTGCCGCCAAGCCGCACGGAGAGTGTGAACAGCCACACGGTAAATGTCAGAAAAATTTCCGTAGAGTCGGTCGGGAACGGTAGCAATTACGCCAACGCGGCTGTGAGTTCTTCTTACCCAGTAACATCGCATAACTCAACATCGACTGCTGTCGCTGCCCACGCCGAACCCATCGACGCTGCAAGAACGTCTTCCGGCACGACTACAACCCTTGTCGCCCCCACACCAGCATCTCATTCGACGAAACAAATTCGTCTTTTTCGAGTGGACCATTCACATCTCCGAAGCGCAGATAACACGAAAGACAATCTTAAGCTTTCCGGGGTCGCGTACCGGAAAGCGCCGAGCGACGGCTTGGCAGACCAGACAAGCAAGATCGCCAACTGGAACACGATCGTGCGGGGCACGGTGGAAGGAAACTTTTTAAAAGTGTCAGACATGAAGGAAACCCTGTTTCTGCCGCTAACGCTTGCTGGCGTGCAGGTGCTGACACCAGTCGGAAATTTGACCTCGCAACAAAGCACCAGCCACTAGATGTTGAATAGTAAATGGCCTATGTTTTTTTGAGTTTTTTTTCGCTTGATGTTGCAAATGCCTCTTTTAAATGCCGGACCCCGACGAGCCCTACGTATACCCCGTAGATGACGACCTAATCGAAATTCTTAGCTTGCCTGTAGAGCGGAAAATACCCCCTTACTTAAAAGTAAAACGAGTTTAATAATACGCATACTTCCACCCTTTATCTCAGTCGTATACTCCACCCAGCCTTCTACCCCGACTGTGCTTCAAATCGCGAATTTGAAGAAGCGACCAAAAAATTTATGAAGTAAAATGTAAATGCTAAAAAAGAATCCATTTTCCTGCTATGAAGCAGCATGCATGTTGTCCATGTCACGTTGTCCTCCGACCCGCGCGCATGGGAGGTTTGTAGAAAGATTAAGGTCTCACATTTTTGTACATCATAGAGATTTAGTAATGCCGAGAAAAACAATGAAAATGAAAATGAATCAATACTGATTTATCTCGTGGTAAATGCCTGTTGAGACGCGTAACACAGTGGTAGTGTACACAAAAAAAAAAGTGCAAGAGCAAGAAAGACGCGCGAACGTCGACAGTGACACGCCAACAGCACGATGCTTATACCATGATCAGCTGTTCGATCTTCATATGTCAAAGAGTTGTTGTTTGCAACTTGTGAGGAGAGCGATGTTGAGTAGCTTGTGTTGGATTTGGAGATGTAGTTGAGATGTTGGCTCGTCCATTTGAACATCTCATAAAGAAAGCGGCTCACTACAACAAAGACGAACTTTATTCGCAACAAAAATTGCAAGTCGAAAAAAGAACTGAAAAAAGACCACGATTGTACTTATCTCCACTCCGCAACTACTTTGTTTCGAAAACGCGACTGCATCTCGTTTGCAAAATCGAATCAAAGCCGCTCTCTGTAGATAGTACTGTCACTGTCAATCCTATTGATTTTCAAGACAGGACATCGGAATAAAAGTATCAAAACTACTTACATCAAGAAGAAAGAACGCTGAATGAGCACGACCTTGTTCGTGGAGATCCGAGGCGCGCTCATTTTCTGTTAAGGTAGACGATGCAGAAGAGTCGAATAAGTATTATGTATGACCGTTAGTTTTTTTTTGGTCTGTTTTCTTTTTCAATCTGCACGACGAGGGAATCAATTTGCATTTTGTAGCACAAAACTACCCGACCCATTATAGTAGAGTTCTGTTCTAGTAGTTCGAAGCACTACCTAGGTCGTAAAAACAAGTACAAGGCGACCAGACAAGGACAATCGAAGGAGGGTCTGTCTTGTCAGGGAAGTAGAGGTGGTCGTTTTTGATAGTAGTTTATCACTTTCAAGAACTACCAAATGTTGGATCCAATGACCGCGACCACCCCGGAGCATCTCCTATGAAAGCCTCAGAATGGAAATCCTCAAAGTGGAAATAATTTGTAATGCAAGAAAACGACTCCAGTTGAAGCGCCATGTCTAGTCGGCGCATGACAAATTTACCGGGCGCTCAAAGCATGTCTGTCATGCGAGTTAGGGCAAAGGAGCGCCCTTCTCTCGTGCTGATCAGCAGCCCAATTCTGAACCGGTAGAAGCACAATAGTCGGCCTCCATTGCGTCCGCTGCAATACAGTCTTTTTGGTGTCGCATTTCTTGCATCACAAATTATTTCCACTTTAAGAATTTCCTTTCTGAGGCCTTCATATCTCCTCGAGCGCCCCGATCCGGCAGTCCGACGTCGCAGGATCTGCGACTCTATCCTGTGCAAAAGTATCGTACTCGTATAAATGCAGGTCTTGCATTACAAATTTCTTTATCAAGGCAAATCAGCATTACAAATTTTATTTCTCATGCTGGGAAAATTTGTAATGCATTTATACGAGTACGATACTTTTGCAGTTCATAGACTCGGGGCAGAAGGTTGACCCGGCCGCCAAGTTGTCTTCTTCTGTGCAAGAAGCTGCCACGACCGGGATCTATTATCGATAATCTAGAACAAGAAGAAAACCAAAAATTCATTGGTAAGAGAAAAATAAAGATACTCGCGACAGGGACAGTTTTATTTAGGGTTCAGTTGTAGAAGGGGGACAGCTTTACTCTATTCTTCAGCAAGGAAACAAACCCTAGTGCCTTTATTGAGCTTGACCTAGAAGGAGCAACAGGAACAGACTCAAAACACAACTACACCAGAATTTGGCGGAAACCGGCGTGATTCAGCTCTGGAGGAGGTGACGTTTTCGCCGCGCCAGCGTACCCTTCGCTAATACTAAGAGAAAGCCACTTCTAAAGCTATACCTCTTGTCTTGAACAAAACTACATCTCCGCGCCGACAAAAACGCACTACCTGTTTTGTCGCAGTACTTGGTTTTTTCGTGCTCCACTCGTCCTTCTCCTTTCGTCGATCTCCTGTATCGAGGAGGCCGGACGTACAGCCGCAGTTTTGTCAAGACTGACTAGTACAACCCTTTGAATTTTTAAAGTCATCGCCCTCTTTTGTCATTTCAAAACCTTTTTTACGAGGAGCCGACTCGTATACTAAAAATACGACACATCAGAAGTAGGTGGATACTAGGTCTGGCGACCTTGTTGTCCACCTGTTTAGAGTAAAGATTCTACGTCGTAGTATTCTGGTCAAAGCAACCGACACAAACGCAATTATATCGCAAGAATATTAATATGGAACAGGCATAAGGTTGTCCTGGTCCTCCTGTTTTTACAATATATTCGACTTGTTCTAGGTCGACGTTTTTCTACCTAGTTTAAATGAAAGTATACAATTGTTTTGGGAAGAGTATATCAACAGTAGCCGAGCACGAGCACGACTTCCGGCTGTAGCGAAACCGCAGCTAGAAAGGTACAGTATGACAGCAGCGTCTGGAGTTCCAGTCTTGTCCACCCTCTGCTTGGGTGGGCAAGAACCGGGGCTCGGTCGCGTTTGTCAAAGAGTGTTTTCGAAAAATATTATTTAACCATGAGACTACAGAAGTTTTAAATGCGTCTTTTACCCTCAGCAGATCTACCAACGTCGGAAGCTTGTCTTTCATTGTTCTACTTCTACGCTACACTAGCATAAGCATTAGCACCACGCTGTACATCTTCTTCGAACAAGCGGCCAGTTTTCTATTACGCAAACTAGCCGGAGGAGGAGGACCCAGCTGCTGGCGGACGCGATCGGAAGTACAGCCCCGAAGCAGTACAAGAAAGAAACTGGCTCCGCAAGCTGCACACGACATGCAGTGCGCGAAATAACGCTAGCAGTACCGGCTTTCGTCGTGACGTTGGTTCTCAATCTTTGGCAGGTGCTTCGGCTTCCGCGTGTTCATTTCCAAGGACTCATCTGCTTCTCACGACAATTACATCAGCGATCCTTGTGGAAGCCACGACAGCAGCGCGCTACAACTTCGCCTGTCTATCGACTAGCAGTGGCAACATGTTTGCTGCGAGTAGCGCGGAGCAACCAGCTTCCGCCGGCGGGACGGACAAGATGGCTGGTGTAGCAATTCAAGAAAGCGAAACAGGCAATAAAGCAAAGGCGGCACCATCAAAGCCCGTGTATCAGAAAAGCAAGACGCCCAAACCGCCGGTAGAGCGGATGATTCTCACCCGAGCGGAGGTGGGTGACCACATCGTATTTATCGGGGATGTGCACGGCTGCGCCGACGAAGTCGAGGAGCTGCTGCGGCAGGCGCCACCGAATTCCACCTTCGTCTTCGTCGGGGACCTGGTGCATAAAGGTATTAGGAGTACATAATTTTCCTAACAGCTCTTAGTTACGATGCGGCCGCATAAAAATATATACGAATCGAAAATGGATCGATAGGGGTCCAAAGGCACAGGCAGTAGAAACCCAATTTTTATCGCACACATCATCTTCCATATGATTTCCAGGCCCGCGCAGTCCCGCTGCAATCCGCATCGCGCGCGAGAACGGATACTGTGTCCGGGGGAATCATGACGATTCTTTTTTGGCGGCCTACTACCGCTGCGGAAAATACAGTGAAAGCATCCAAAACTACCGCTTTCCCGAGCTGGTTTCGCAGGTTCCGCCCGTCGACGTGGAGTGGCTTCGAGACTGTCCGTTGATGGTAGTACAAGTTTGGTTCTAATGGTTATGCGCCGTTTATTGTACAAAATCAAAAGCCTTTGATTCTTTGATGTTTAGGTGCAAATCGTTTTTGACTACACAACAGATCCTTCTTCCCTGGCTCGGCATGGTTGTTGTGCACGCCGGTATGGTTCCTGGGGTTACCTTGGACCGCCAACGCTTCGACGACTTACTGTGGATGCGAGATGTCGTTCCTGTGCGAGAAAATAAAGAACAAGTGCCTGCAGAACAGCAGGAACAGAACAACGGTCAAAATGTCAGAGCCGGCACACAGGAGCCTACTTCAGGAGACGTGATCAAACCATCTTCGAGCAGCAGCGGTACAGCTTTTCAGTCCCTGGAAAAAACCAGCCCGGAGTCTCTTCCCTGGGCGCACGTCTGGAGTCGCTGCACGACGAACTACACCACGAGGAATATTAACTTGGTATCCGCGAACACTTCGGGGATGCAGAATCTTGCAGACGCGCTGTCGATCCGATTGGCGGACAGCTGCACTGTGAAAAACTATCCGACACGGCCCCGACGTGTCAGTACAACAAGCACCGCGGCAGACAGCGCCAGCTACGCGGGGAGTTTGTCTGGGGTATTAAAATAACATGTTGCGCTTGCGTGCGAAATAAATTAAAAGTTTCGTTCTGATCTTCTCCAATACTTGTAGTGTATGTCGAACAAGCCCAAACGACGCACAAATGTAGATATCAAATCGCAATTCTAATGAGTTGAATCAAATAGCTGCCACGTCAGTAGCGTATAAATTCTACAACACAAAGACGCCGATCGCGGTTGCCAGCAGCAACAAGGCCCGGCAGCACATCGGGCCTCCTTCGTCCTCCCGTATTGTCGATCACAGCGCAGGCCTGTTTGGCCCCTCTACTTCCAGGGGAGTACTTGACCAGCAGCAACAGAATTTCAGCAACTCCAACTCCGTTCTCGCGACCCCGCCGCCGGAGCGCGTACTTTTACAGCAGACGTTCTCCATCGCGGGCTCCTCCGCACCCTCGTGGACGCCAGGACCGGGCTCGACGATTGACGAGGTGGCCGAAACGTCCTACGAATCGGTGGAATCCTTCCGCGACGAGGACGAGGGTGAAAACGGAGGGACCAGCACAACTGACCAGGATTCTGCTCCAAAGCCTCTCCACGTCGTGTTCGGGCACGATGCGGTCCGCGGACTGCAGGAGGAAGAGTTCGCGACGGGCTTAGATACCGGCTGCTGCTACGGTGGCTTTCTTACCGCGTTAGTGGTCAAGGCCGACGACCCCACGGACCGGCACTACATCCAAGTGCAGGCCAGGAAGCAGTACTCCCAGAAGACCGGCACCGCCGCGGAAGACGAGGGAAAGCTGCTGCCAACGTTGGCAAGTGGCAGGGACAAAGTCTTCTACTGGAGCACAGCGCTGGGAACCTGGACTACGCAAGAAGCAGACCCCGATGCTGCGGCAGGCAGTACTACGGGAGGAATGCAGAGGATGAAAGTGGACGAGCCGAACAAATCTGGCGTTCCGCCATTTTCTGCACAGCAAGAAAATGCTGATGTTGCCCAGCGCGTGAAACAGTTTGAGTTGTGAAACTGGACAACAAACAAAGAAGATGGTGTCGGTGCACGGTGCTTCGTCCTCTGCCTGGCTTCAACAAAGCTTTGTGTTTGTTGAGCTAAACGCTTCATCAAGGACTCCTTCTAGCTCACTTCTATCACAACTTTTATGTTGTACCCCCTTGTACCAAGAACCCAAACCTCCTCAAGTAACAAGAAGTACCCAGCGGCACCAGCATCTACCTTCGTGAAATTTTTCATCAGCAATAGCATAGCAGAAATTTTAACATCAACTCAACCTGAAATCAGACCAGTCGTGAGAGGAACAGGTCTCCGCCTCCTTCCCATGTTGACATCAAGCTGCTTTATCCTAAACTGTTTATTGTTTACATTTTTGATGGCCACCCCACCGTAAATGATTTCAGTGGCCACGAGAAACGAGAGAAGTGTTTGCCTTTGCCGACCGTGTGAAGAATAAAAAGTATTTTTAGAAAGAGGCATAGGTGAATGAGAATGAGTGTAGTTGTAGTACGGACGTCGATGAAACCACCGAGAGGAACAAAGAAACTCACTACCCGATAGAAGATGTTGTAGTCAACATACATCGCTGGTGGAACTCGAAGGAGGGGCGTGCCGTGCGGCACGCGCCACTCAACGAGCCCCACCTTGTCTCTGAATGTGTGCTAGAACACCATCGCCATCCGCTCCGAGATGACCAATTAGAGGAACAACCGAAAGCCAAAACGGATGTGGTGAGGCGTCTAACGATAGTAGAGCAAGGAGAACAAAAAAGACTAGGGGACACAGTTGCACTTGCAGTGCAAGTAGAACTACACGGCCGCAGCTGCAGCGAGCTCGTGTGACAAGTGCAACGGAAAGAAACAGATCGTGATCGAGGAGCAGAAAATGACAGCGCTTGTTTTACATCAAAGAAATACAATTTCGATTTGATATTGACAATTTTATTGAACTATTGACGCAAATAGGATAATGCAGCATTTGACGACGCAGTTGACTTGAACGAAAAAAACGCTTTGTGGGGAACGAATTTTGAAATAAAACTCTAAAACCTACTTGCAGCAGAATGCGTGACAAGCGTGTTCGTCTTCGTGGTTCTTGACCTGCATTACTGTTGCTGTTCAAGGAGGACAGTAAAGCGATTTTTACATAGTAGTGGTGGATGCCTATCGCTTTGCGTGATGAAGAAGATGAAGATGTTTTTTTTCATCTCACGATGCAGGTCATCGTCATACTTTGAATTTTTGCTTCACCACAAGAATTCCAGACTCAGTTCCCTCCATTTTTTTCACCCTGTGTCTCCAGTTTTTTCGAATGTTAAAACCGACCAGAAGATGAAGTCGCAAAGCATTTGCATAATGAAACAAAAGATGCAAGAGATACATCTCTAGCTCGTTGGTACTAGTCAAAAATCTCCAAGTGTGGATAAAAAAAAGAGTAATAAATCCATCTTTGCCTCACGACTTATGTTCGGGCGGCCACCACGGCGTTGATAAAAACCAAAGAAAGAACCAACTACAACTGCTGTTGTTTCATGCCAGTCGTGCACGACGAGGGTCACTGCTGTTTTTCCTTTGAATTTGCTACACTATGGGCGGCATGTCCGAGGAGAAAGGAAATCGCCCAGTGACCTACACCGGCGCGCCGCTCCAACCCGTCGACGCCAGTGCCGATGCTGAGGCTATACCGGAAGCAGGCATTGACCAGGATACGCAAACACGAGATGCACAGGAGCCGCAGGACATCACCACGGCCGCGAACGCTACAACTACTTCCGTGAACGCACCGCCCATCTCCGCGGACCAGCTGTCCGCTATGGTTTCCTGCCAACCGGGTGTCAACGGGAACACGATCATCCCGGGGCACAACGGGCTGACTGCGGCCCAGTGCGAGCGGGAAATGGCGGACGCCATGGCGGAGTTGACCGCGGGCCTGGAGGCCCTGGATCAAGCGGACGAGGAGTTTTTGGAGATCTTGCAAAAACTGAAGTCTTTATTGTTGGATCAGGGAAGTTTCCACGATTTGTGCCAAAAGGGGTACGAGCAGCAGGGCAATGCATTGAAAACAGCAGCAGACTTATTGTACGAAAAAAGTGTTTCACTGTAAGGATTTTGCAAGTTTGGCATGACAAGTTCGTTACACATGACAGGGAAAACTTGCCATGCAAGGTTCCTAAGGGAAAACACAGCTAAAAGTCGCCTGTCTTGCATGTGTAGCAAGACAAACACTTCTGAGATGCAGTTTCGGCATTACAAGTTTACAGTGAAACAGTTTTTTCTTGCGATAAGACTTGAAAAAAGCGCTGGACGTGATATCGGCGGACATCGGGTTGGAACCCGTGACGATGGACGAAGCGGACGAGCTGTTTTTGGAAAATTTGGACGTATCCACAGTAAATAAGTTCCCGTACACGTACAAATGCTGTTTCTGCATGACAAAACTTCCCTTCAATCTTAGTCAGCATGACAAGTTTGACACAGCTCCAAGGTAGCAAAATTTGTCGTGCATTTTGTACATGTGCGGGAAATTTGTATTGCATAGGACGCCTTTGAGTACTACACGCTGGCGAAGAAGTTTTTCGAATCGGTCTCCCGGACATTGGACGAGGACAACGAAAACCTGCTGTGCTAGTAGTGAAGCGTCATACGGAGGTACTTCCACCTCGGCAGGAGGTGACGCTGAAGATACAACTGTTGGAACCAACTACGATCTGCGGTAAGTACAGTCGTCCCTTCCGACTGCAGCTGGTGATGGGGTTGGCTCTACAGCTACCGTGCTTTCCTCTGATACTTAGATAGCTACAGGAGGAGGTCTTCAAATGATGCATCGACGACTTCATAGCGAACAAAAAATGAACATGGTTCTTCACATTCAATATATAACGTTGTTCGTAAAAAAAAGCAAAACGGAAGCTCTTGTTGCGGCTTCTAGTTCTTTCATTCAATATATAACGTTGTTCGTAAAAAAAAATAAAACGGAAGGGAAATGCCACTGCGTCTTCCGCAAACCAGAAGAACCACGGCGTCAGAGCCTCAGAAAGGCCTGACGTTTCGAGAATGTTCCCCTGTTGTGACTACTTTATTACTTTTAGAGTCGCACAAGAAGATCGAAATCAGTTCTCCGAACATAAGACTCACTTCTTGCAGAATCAGCAAGCAACAATTGAATTCTAACACATTCTGGAAATGATCGAAGATCCGCAATCTTCTCCGCCGTCGAGTCATAAAGTCTAGTACACGGGCAAAAGTAAACATATTATATCTCGACAACCTTCCTTCCCAGCCTACACATCAGCGGTATTCTTGCAACTAGATTGTGTAGCCAAGCCGTTACGTCTACGAAGATAGAACATCATTTCTATACATAGAAGAAGAGCTTAAATTTTCGATTCAGTACCGCTATCGACACCGAAAAAAAGTCATCAAAAAAAATGTCTGAGCCGAAGAAGGGATCCGCTCTGGCCGACCTCTTCAAGAAGAAGAAGAAGGTCGCCGTGAAGGCCAACAACTTGAACGAGGGGGTTACCGGCGCCGCCCCCACCGTGGACGCGCTGAAGAAGACGGCTTCGGTGGATAACAAGGAGTGGAAAGAGGAGGAAGTCAAGAAGGACACGGATGTCTCGCCCAAGGCCCGCATCGCCACCAACCTCGCCACGGTGAAGGCGGAAGAAGCTGCCGCCAACCAGCAAGCCAAAACCTGGAGCGACAAGCCGGTTATGCAATACAAAAGCATCGTGCTAGTAGTAATTGCAATGCAAATTAGCTCAGCATGACAAATGGAATTTGTCATGCTGCTTTGCCTTGGGATGGAGATTTGTGATGCATGACTGCGATTGCTACGAGTACGGTACTTTTGCACAGGATACCGGTCGATGGGAAGCAACAGCGCGCCGCTGGCGGAGCCTACCAGGTGCCCTTCAACCAGCCAGGGTACTGACGAAATGCTGCTTGTCAACATATTGCTTTTACTTTTTGTTCTTTTCTTGCAGCAACAAATCGCTTGCTTTTTTCTGATAAGATTTCTTGAGTCGACGAGTGCTGGCAACATTTTTATTCTTGAATATACGTTTGCAATTCCAATTATGACGCGCATCGAACCAAAAAATCTTGTTCACAGTCAAGTAACGAAGACGAAGTTCCCGGAGCTTGGGACCCAGAAGAACCAGGTGCAGGGGAAAGCGAAAATTGAAACCAGCAAGAATCGATACGGCAATCTGAACGTGGACGACGACTCGGAAGCGGAAGAGGAGAAGCTGTCCAAACCCGCCCTGGTCGCCAAGGAAAAGGGCGCGAAGATGTACAAGGCCCCGGGCGCCGTTGCGGATGACAACGACAAGGAGCTGGATCCGTCCGAGAAGCGGGCCCTGGACGAGAAGACGAAGAAGAAGCTGGAGAAGGAGCAGGAAAAGCAGCGTCAGAAGGAGGAGCGTGAGGCGGAGAAAAAGGCCGCGGAAGCGAAAAAGGCCGCGGAAAAAGCAGCAGCGGCGAACAAGGCGGTGTGTGATACGTCGAAATTTTCCTACGGAGTCTTCGACGTGAACGAATGCATCGCTAAGTACACCACCAGACAAAAAATCGTCTTGGCGAACTAGATTGATGGTGTTGTTGCGCTGCACTTGTTTTACTTTATCCGCTGCTCGCTCGGATGGATCTTTTCACTTTGACACGACTGCAATCATTTTAAGTTTGTGTTTCACCTGATGGGTTTGTTTATGACTGCACCGGATCGAAGAGCAGTACGAGCCAGGAGCCAGACGGCCTGTTGCAACCCCCCGCAGAACACAACGTTGAAGATAGCCAGCCACGGAAAGTCGACCGACCGCTCACACTTACTGCAACACGTTTGGTCGCTCGCCTTTATAGAAGACCGAAAGTTGTAGAGCTCTTTCACATCAGCCCACCTCGCTCCTGACATATTTTGAGATGTGAAACTCTTCTACCCGCACAGATTTTTTTTACGTTTGTTCTGTCTCTGTATCTGCAAAAAAGGAGGAACTTCGAAGCTGCGCAGCAGCAGGCAGCCGCAGCAACCTACTGCCAAAGCTGCACCCTTACGTGTCATTGCCACTGATGCGCTCGAGAAGATCGATGCCTGTGTTCGCGTTCTTGGATGCAACAAAGCTCCGCTGATGTATTGGGAATTCTGAGCGCAAATTTGGCCCAATCGCAAAAACGAGAGATGCAAACGGAAATGTTGTCGTTGTGTCCGATTATGGTCTTGTAACCGTCATAGTTTCTTCTTCTCTTTTATTTGTAGTTGTACAAAAAAAAATGAAGCTCGCACCGCAAGTAGTTTAAGTTTGGAGTGTAAATGTGTCTCGTTTTTGTAGTTTACAGCAATTACTTAAAAACTTCATAGACGAGCTTAAGGTGGACGAGCATAACTATAAAGTTCTTTCATTTCCAAGAAATAAAATGACGGACACGGAAGATAAAAACATGGAGCTGAATTCTTTGCAAGCAGCGCGGAGCGCGCGACGGAAATGGGAAGAGAAGGCGCACGCGAGTTCGCCGACCGAAGTTCCCGGGACGTGGAACATCGCGGACATTGACTTCATGATGAAATCCATGTTCCGAAGCAAAAATGACTCAAAACCCACTTCCAACGAAGTTGATGGTGACAAAAATAACATCTTCGCCGACGGAATAAATCGACACTCTGATGAAAATGCAGTCGCTACCGCACCTGAAGGTGGCACTGGAACTCCCGAGGAGCAATACTTTTCGCCGGAAGACTTTTCGGTGTCGCACCAGCAAGAGCCAGGTGCAAAAATGCTGTTTTACAATGAAGATATCCCGGAACAAAGAGCAGGAGCTGCATCTTCTGCCTCATCGACCTCGTCTGTAACTACTTCCAAGAAGCATGATCACTACGTCGACCGTAATTTTTCTCCCGATGTGGTAAGCGGCCCGCCCCCTGGTCACAGCCCTTGCACGTCCGATATGGTAGAACGGGCCTCCCCGACGGAGGAGGCGATATTATTCGGAAAGAACGAGCTCATCGGCAGAAGTCCGGATATTGCCATGGTCGGAGCAGAAATTTCGAACAACGACGGATCGGACCGTGAAGTGCAGCCGGTTAATTATACCGCTCGCGGAACATCAAGTGCTTCGTCTGCATCCATATCCTCGTCCACCACGACCTCCAAGGCTGATTGGTCGCACTTTAAGTTTGAAGTTCGCACGAAAGTAAGCCCGACAGGGACAGGGAAACAAGTTAGTACGACAGGCGCCAGTGCTGTTGCACCAGGCGATATTATTAAAAGCCTGGGGATAAAACGAGACGTGGAAAGCCGGTCCCTTTCTGCCGAGAGAACGCGGCGCAAGAAACATCAAGCGATATTGCATCAGCACAACTCACTGTCCTCTTCGTCTGCTGCAGGAGTATATCGCGCTGAAAAAAACTATCACTATCACAAAAAGGCCGCTTTTCGACCCAAAAATACAACTTTTTTATTTTTTACAAAAAAACATCATTGCTTTTTCATTTTTTTTCTCGCCGGCGAGGTAAGACCTCAGTAGTGTTTTGATTGATTTGGAATGATGAATGTCAGAAGGTAACTGGTGGCCGCTTGTGATGATTCATTTACCTAGCTAACAGGAGAGATCTGGCAAGACGCTTGCAGGTTGAGACACTTGCAGGCTGTGAGCACCGACAACCGAATACCACCATCACAATCCCGGACATTTTTGAGGACGGCGAGAGCTCCCGCCCCATTCGTTGCGGCCCAGTCAGCCAGCGCCATGAGGGCGTGGAAGCGTGTCTCCACCATGCTCGTTAACGACGGGTCTGGAGTTGGTGGGTTTGGTGGGTAAAGAGCGAGTTTTCTAGGGCCCGTCTCTCAGACCTGCTCCCAGATGGATCTGGGGGCTCGAAGGCCAGGCCTGACATCCGGAGCCTCCAGGGGCTAGGCCATCAAAGGCCACGACCTTTGGCAGAAATTGGTGATGGCGCAAGCACTAATTTTTTTAGTGCTCACACTTTGAATCTTCCTTGATTTCTCTTCTCCGGGGAGGTCAAAAATTGCGCTTTTTTGTGTGTGATAGTTTTTTTTAGCCACGACGCTATGGCGATTTTGGGTTCCTTTTTGACCTGGGCCATAGCATCGCAATTAGCATTTTTGCAAAAAGCTGCTTTTCATTGTTTTCGCAGCATTCGCTCGTGCTGAAAAAAACTATCACACCACACTTTTGGCCGATTTGTTATAGAAAAAGCGCAAAAAGGTGTGAAGTTGGTTTTTTTGAGTGCCGGAAGTGAGTGTGATAGTTTTTTTCAAACACGACGGCACGGCCCACATAGGACCATCGCCAGAAAAAAAACTATCACAGCCAAAATGGTCGATTTTCCGGGTTTTATAAAACTCTTGAAAAAATTTGCGCGCGCAGTGTTGAAAACCAAAAAAATCCGCGGAGGACTGGCTCTCGGCGGCCAGGTCCGAAAAATGGTGTGATAGTTTTTTTTAAACACGACCTGAGACGGGCGATTGCGCCTCACTTTTTGCCCGCCTCCAGCCCCGGAACGGAAGGCAGCTCACCCGCCACCGCCGGAGCATCAAATCAGCCCAGGTCTGAAAGCTGGGGATCAGGTCCAAAAAGTGGCGCGATAGTGTTTTTCAAACACGGTGGGAGAGTGACGATGGCCGCGCACCTTTTGGCCGCCCGCCTCCAGCCCCGGGCCGGAAGGGGCCGACCCGCGAAGGCCGGGCACCACCAAGGGTGGGTTCGGAAGCTCGCCTGCGGAGCGAGGGCCCGGCCCGGCCTTCCCTTCGGCTCTCCTGTTAGCTATGACAATCATCACAAGCGACCACTAGCTAGCTAACTACATCATTCATTAATCGCAACAACAATATACGAGGCACAAGGATCGAGCCCCAATGCGCCGCAAAAAAAATCAAAAAAAAATCAACTTTTGCCAAAAAGTGGGCTTTTGTGATAGTGATAGTTCATAGTGATAGATGACATCAGCACAACTCACTGTCCTCTTCCTCTACTGCAGGAGTAGCTGCGGAAACTACAAATTCCGGAACTACAACGATGGCAGCGAAGCTGCGTGCGAAGGAGCTCGAAAACATCTACGGCGCACCTTCTGGTGCGGCAAGAAGAGGAGGTCAGACGACAGTTGTGAACAAGAGCACTGTTTCGTCTGGGAGCAAGGTAACTTCTTCGTCTTCTTCTAGACCAGGTAGTCGAGGGCCCCCCGGAACAAGGGTTCCGTCGAAGTCCCCATCGAAAGATTTTGTCGAAAACAACAAGCGCCAAACGGTCGCGGGAGCAGGCGGTCCCCGTCCAGCATCCGCGAGAAAACGAGGCACGAGCAGCCACAATCAAGCTAGTGGCTCCCGAGGCCGGGGACAAAGCACCAGTCGGAAGGAACAACTTCCGGCCGCAATCTCGGCGCGTGGGGCAGCGGCAGCAAGTGAGAACAGTAAGAATCCTACTCAGGAGACGAATCCTGATGGCACCACAGCAAAACGGAGCAACACGCGCGTTGTGCTACGGTCGGCCCGGGAATATTTAAAAGGTTTGTCGGCCAGGTCCAGCCCGGAGAAGATGCCGCCGAATTTTCAGAAGCGCTTGCAGGAGCTGGACCGGGGATCCTCGAAAGCTGCTTCTTCCACGTCGTCAAAAACAACATCGGTTGCGCCGAGTGTCGTGGTAGCCGCGCCGCCGGTAGCTCAGCATGCGGACCACCAGACGGGGTTGCAGCTGCGCGAAGTAAGTGAAGAACAAATTGCAAGTGCTCGGCTGCACGTTGACAAAAACGAAACCGCCCAAACAAAAACATCATCTTCACCTGATGATATGGAAGAGAGTCGACCACCTTTGCCAGAGACCGCTGCCGGGTCATCCTCCTCTTCATCGAGTTCCTCTTTCTACAAGGTGCCTTTGCTACGAACGGAAACGAAAGAGCCAAGTACAGCTTCAAAGAGCAAGGTAGAGATGATGGCACCAGCAGACGAAACCTGTGCCGGTCCTTCACCTGCAGATCATGACCCTATCAAAGAAGGAGAACACAACACGCTGGAGAACTTGTCGACGCCGAGGTTGTTCGACATTCCAGATGGAACGAAAGCCGGTGGAGCACTAGAAGAGAAACCCCCAGCCTCGCCGAGACGAGGCTCAAGCCGTAGCAGTTGTCCACCCGCTCCAACATTGTCGGACGAGAATGACCTGAACAGACCTTCGGATGGTTTGTTGTTTTCAACAAGCAAAAACGCCAGCGAGAAGGAAAAGCTCTTCAACGCCGACCGGTTTTACATTCAAGCCGGGCGGATCATCGACGGCAAGGATACAAAGCCTGCGCGCAGTACTCCTTCACCACCACCGGCGACCGCTGCGCAATTCCCCGCTCCCCCGGGGGCGCCAGTCGCAGGAAGCAAACATGCAGAGATGAACAAACCTCGCAGTTCCTCCTCGGGATCAAGTTCCAGTTCTTCGAGCACGAAGACGAACTTCGAACATTTGATCAAACGACTCCCCGCCTGGCCGTTCCCGATTGTTCCGCCCGTTCCCCCGCCGCCGCCCCCACTAATTTCCCCACAGGCGGCAGATTTGAACGGGTGGGGGTCAAGCTCTTCCAGACCCAGCCGTGGAGGTTTTGGAGTACAACCGCCGCAAAGTGTAACCAATAACATCACGGTGCGGCGGGGATTCGTGAACATGCATTCTGCGGTTGCGTCGCCGGATGGTGGTCCGGGGCAGAGCAGGTTTCGCGACTTTGCGCCGTCTATCAAATGTAAAAATGTCTCGGTCTGGAAGAATGCGCGATTTGTCATGCAGCTTTTCCATGACCCATGGCCATGACCATGAGGTCTGGAATGCCGGAACGAGCATGACAGATTCTGTGCGATCTTTCTCATGCCTATCCTTCATGAGAAACTGCCTCCCGACTTTGTCAAAACTGGGCGACTTTTGGTAATCATGCAACACAGATTTCTGCATGCTTCAGATTTAGCATGACAACCCACAGCCGACACAGCGTGTGTCGTCGAAAACCGGAGTAAGAGGGGCCGTCGGACCGGGAAATCGCTTGCTGGTTAATATGTATGCGTGACAAGCTGGCTGCGTTTTGCATTCGTGGCAGTCCAGGAAAGAGGAAGAACTAGTGAAGCGATCGGATCGACGAGGTGCGTCAGGGGGCGTCACTCATTCATTCACTCATGACAAGTTGCAGCATTCTTCCAGACCCAGACACTTTTACATTTGATACCGTCGATACAGTCGCTGGAAGAGCAGTACTCGCGGCAGCGAACGATGCGCCCTCCTTCGAGCAGTCCAGTAGAGAGTCTCCAAACGAGTGGCCAGCTACTTGGAGCAGGTGGGGCAAAGGCTGCAAGGGCCACGGCAGTAAGTGGCGGAGGAGGTCCGAGTGCTTCTAGCAGAGGCACACCGCAGCCGTCACCCTCACAGCCATACATGCAGCAGCAGCTTTTGCTTCCGCACGAGCGCGGAAGCAAGAGAAGCTCGGTTTACAACTCTGCAAAGCGGCCGCGGTCCTCTCCGACAACAAGCCATCCGAAAAGTGCAGAGGCAACTACCTGGCGCGCAGGGAGCTCCGTCCGGCAGCATCTTGGTGGTTCCAATAAATCGAGCCCGGCTGACAATGATCTCCCCACCGCACCACCGCCAGAAAAAAACAAACCCGGAAACAAGAGCAGCACTTCGTCATCGCCCGCCGACGCGGAAGTAGCGGCTTCTCCGGGCGGCAGTGCGGGCACTGAGGAAACATCCTCGGGCAGCAAGCGCCGTGGTCTACCGCGGCCGGAGGGTGAAAACCAGCCGACCAATACGAGAAGCCGGCAAAATTCCTACGAGAGCGCCCTTACTTTCGGTCGGACAAGTCCGTTCGCACGCAGTCCGGGGAATGAAGATAGCGGTGGAGACCAAGAAGCAACTTCTTTGCTGTTCAAGAAAGTAGAGAGCAAAGAACTGCAACCAGGAAGCGAAGAGGAGGTGCGACGTGTTTTTTTTCATTTTTTTTTCCTCGCGTTATCCTTATCGTTAAGTATCCAGAGACCAGACCGTGGCACGACATCGATCCAGTTTTTTTACTTTCACATTTGTAGCTACGGCTACACGCGACGCTCTTGTTGCAAATTGCATCATGTCTACTTCAGAAATACTAGTAGAGAGATATGCTTTTTGCTACGACGTGGCAGACCTGTGAGCCATGAAGTTACTCTTGAAAAGTTTTCCATGTACATCTCCAAAAAAGTCCTCCCGGCGTCCGCGCGCGTCCCCTGTAACGACACAACGCGATGAAAATCGCCAGCAGCGTCATGATGTCCAAGCTCCGTCATTTCCGCCGCGGGCGAGCCCGTCCAGCGCCGCAGTGCCAATGTCTACTACTTCTCCCAGCACGGATATCCAGGAAAAAAACATTGTAGGGTTAACTTTTTTGGAGGAACAGCATTACAAATCTGTCTGGCAACATGACAGCAAAAACCTGTCATGCGCAGATAGTACATGAAAACGCCCTTTAATGGGCCCTACAATACATGCCAAGCATGACAGACGCAATCATCTTGCATGTTGCGCATCACAAATTTACACTAACAACGTTTTTTTCTTGGATAACGGAACTCGTGGGGACAAACGCGATGCAGCGCGTCACCAGGCGACTGGATATCCTGTGCAAAAGTATCGTACTCGTAGTAATCGCAATCATGCATTACAAATCTTCATCCCAATGCAAAACAGCATGACAAATTCCATTTGTCATGCTGAGCTAATTTGTATCGCAATTACTACCAGTGCGATACTTTTGCAGTTCATACTGGACGAGCTGACGCAACGGCTGGATCTCGTCCGCGTTCAAGAGCGAGATTTGAAGGATAAAGTAGACCGGGTGGCACAAGCGCAACAGGATTTGTCCAAGGTGCGGCAAGACGCGATCGGGTCCGTGGCGAAGGGGAGCGGTATGATAGGAACTTTAATTTTTTGTTGTTGATCGATTAATGGACATGTACCTAAGTACCCAGAAATAAATCCAACGCACTTTTTTGCAAGTGGCACTCAAAAACCGTCCATACGAGTCCACCACGGGCATGCTTACCGTGGTCACGCTAAATCCTATAACACCTCTTCCACGATTTCGATTACAGGTCCGCCCGGAACGAGCTCAGGAGCTTCGGAGAGAAGTAGAGACGACACTCCTGCTCTCAGTGATGCAACTGCAAAAAAGCTGGCAGAGTTCGAAAAGTCAAACCTTGAGTTGGTGAAAAAAGTCGAAGCGTACCATGCGGAGCTGAATGGGATCAAGGCAGCACTTGAAAACGCTGAAAACGAAGAAGAACTGCTGCCATTGTCTTGTTCCGGTTTAGAGGATGCGGACGGCGCTGGTCTGGCTAAGGTAACAAGGGTTTATTTGCTCGTCTTCAGAAAGAAAATGGAAACAGATAATCTTCTGAGACTATCTATACCTAAAACACGCTTGCGGCAGCACTTCTGTATCGGTTGCTGTTGCTTCAGTAGAATTTTTTTGTAGAGCTGCTTGATCGTAGGCGTCCTGGTTTTGTGTGTTGAGTCATGTAGTCCTTTCCGCTCTGGTGCCTGCTGACCCTGCTCTAAGCCTCAAAAAATTGCGAATGCAACAGAAACGCTCCACCACCGCCGCTAGTACAACCAGCAGCGACGACACGGCTCCCGGTATCGCCTCCCTGAAGGAGGAATCTTCGCAACAAAGAGCGGACGCCCTGGCCATCGCCAATGCGGTGGCGGCCAAGAAGGAGCGGCGCGTGCTGGCTTTCGTTGACGAGTTGACGCAGTCCCGGTTAAACTCGCTGGAGGCGGATCTGTTAGCGCGAATCCAGTTTGTCGAGAACGATCTGGGGAATAGGATTGTCCAGCAGAAGGACGAAGTCGCGCAGGTTCAAACGGAAGTCAAAACCCTGACCGAACAAAAGTCCTCCTCTAGTGCGGACGAAGATGGTAACAAATAAATTTGTTTTGAGAAACATGATGCTCATGTTGCTTTTTCTTGCTACATTTTTTTTAAATTTGGCGGAGCTGTGGCTTGACGTTTGTACTCATAGCCGTAGGTACGTTTTCGAATCAACCGTCTTGCCACTTCAAACTACAGGGTCCCACGAACGCCATGCCAGCAACGCCGCAGTGTCCCCCGAAGACGGTGACGCTGTGATGAAATTTAGCTCCCTGGTCGGACCAAAAGCCGCTGGCAAATCCGTTTCCAAGGGTGCAGACCCGTCGGAGGTGTCTCCTTCACGAGAGGAGAGAGCAGAATCAAGGCGAAAAATCCTGGCGAACCAACTCGGTCCGGTCATCGTGGAGCAGAATCTGCCCCACTTGGAAAAAGAGATCGACGACAAGGTGGCGAAACGACTCGAAGAGCACAAGCAGCACTTTTCTTCCGAAATTATGCAGAAAAATAAACGCGGCAACGAAGAACAGACCCATCAATTCGCCGAGAAGTGGAGCGCGGAGCAGAAGCAGGTCGAACGAGCGTTGCAAACGCTCCGGGAGCGGGTAGATACGATTGAGACCTCGACGAGTGCAAGAATACAGGCGACGGAAGAGGAAAATGTCGTTTGGAAAAAGGAATCCAACTTGCTCCACGACCGGATCACGAATTTAAGCGAGAAAATGGACTCCGCGTTGGTACAGGTCAACAAGGCGGTAAAGGATAGTACAACTTCAAGCGATCACAGGGACGACGGCGTGTTGGAGGTCAAATTGATGCAAAAAATCACTTCTAATTACGAGGACAGAATGACGAAGTCCGTGAAGAGCAGCGAGGAGCAGATGATGAAGAAGTGCGAAAAGCAGTTTGCAATGAAGCACGACTTGAAGTCGATGGAGTCGAACCTCGAAAGATCCGTTCTGGCGAAGACGAAAGAGCAGCTGATACCCAAAATCGTGCCAGAAATCGTGAAAAAGGACGAAATTAAGCAGCTGGTCGCGCGTGAGGTGTTGAAGACGCGGAAGGAGACGGCAAGTGAAGCGGAAGAGACTGCGAAACGGTCCATGTCTACCGAGGTGGACAAGCTGCGGAAAAAACTGAACGAAGACTTGTTTTCCAGCAAAAACCTGCAGGACTTTCTGCAGAAGGAAGTCTCTCGCATCGTCCAAGAGGAACTGGCTGAAGTAGAGATCGCGAAAAGAAAAGAGGAGGAGGATACGGAGAGGCAGAGGCAGAGGGCAACTGCAGCACCAGGGGCAACTTCTTCTAAATCTTCACCGAGTCAAACACAAACTGCGAGGACGAACAAGGCTGGAACCACGCCGGAAACAAACCCGAACAAGAATCACTCGTCCCCTACTTCCCGGAGTAGAAGATCCTCGCCACTTATCCAGGAAAAAACACCCATCCACATCCAATTTGTCATGCAAAACATACATAAAGTCCTGTGTTTGTTATGCAAAAAATGGATGTGGATGGGTTTTTTTCTGTGGATGCCACTGCTGAGTCCGCGGTCGGAGCTGCTTTCGCTGCAAAGCAGGCTGGCCCGCGTGCAGGGGATGTTGTTCGAGGCCCGCGGCATGCAGCCGCCCGATTCGCCGCCGTCGGACGAATCGAAGGCAAGTCCGGAGGTGCAGAGGCGCATCGAGAAGGACATGACCATCGACGACTTAATCCTGCAAATGGAACAGGGGACCCTGTTCGCTGGTTCCGCTTCTGCAATCGACCTAGACGATCAGCAGAGTACTACGAAATTTTCACCTCTCCGCGTCGATGGCGAGACGAAAACGAAGTCGCAGTCCAAGAAGCACAGACGAACTTCTTTTTCCGCGCTGGACGACGAAGATGAAAATGGTGAAAACACCGAAGTATTCTTGCCGTCCTTCGAGGATTTAGCGAAGCAAGCGCAGTCCTTTTCCTCAACGACTCGAAGCCGGTCGCCGCAGCTACTTCGCGATCGCGTCGTGTCGTCCTCGAGCCCGCGGTCGATTCGGGCCGCGATCGCGCACTGCGATAAATCAGAGGAGGCCCTGGAGCTGCTAAGGACGACACTGATGAATAGCGAGCGACAGGCCTCGTCGCCGAGCAGGACAGCGCGCGTTGGTGACGAACAAACATCAAGAACATCGCGCGATAGAAGAGCCCCTCCGAGAAAGGCATCCGGAGACCACTCGTCCTCTTCTGCTTCTTCAACGGAGAAAGCAGCCACGAAAACGAAAAACCCCTTTGCTGCAGCATTTGACAACTTCGACATCCTGCAGAGTCTCGAAGATGAAGGCACGGTGGCGGAACAAGACAAAACTCTCGCCGGTGGAAGTGCAGCTTCTTCTACGCGAGCAAACAACTCGTATGAAGAGCGAACGCCCGGCAACGTCCTGCAGGACCTTTACCAGAAACCGCTCAGCCCCTCATCGGGGACAAAAAAAATGCAGCAGGCGAAAGTGGTGGTAAAACCCTCCGAACAAGATGATGAGCAATTTCGTTCGCAAGTGGAGCAGACGTCGTTGAATGCGACCGAGCTCCGCGAGGAACTCGATCAGTTGAAAGCGCAACTCTCTGCCTGGCGGACGCAACAGATGGACGAAGTGCTGAAGTTCCACACCGGGGGAAAGAATGGCGGAAAATCAAAACTGTTGAAAACGCCCGATGTGGATGAAGATGATTCTGATGACTTCTGCTCCAGGGGACCCTCCTCCCTGAACCCAATGGCAAGAGCTGCGGCAGCGAGTAGGGCGGGCGGGACCCAGACGTCCGATGTTGAAAACGTTGACCCCAGGCGGCCGCGGAACAGCGGCGGGGGTACCACGTCGAGTAGAGTAAGCGGAAACAAAAACAACAACTTCTCACCGCCGGATCGGGGGATGATATTTTCGTCCGGGGGAAAAATGTCGTCTGCGAGAAGGGGAAATAGTTCGACGAGCGGGGTGAAAAACAAGTCAGTAAGTAGGGTCGACGCTGCTCTGGGGAAAAATCAAAATGGGACAAAAAAGCAAGGTGCAGCCGCAGCTTACACTACGCCGAGCGAATCGGAGGAACGCGCGGCGAAGAAAAAAACGCGTTTGGAGCGGGCGTTGCGCATGCTGGAGAGTGACGAGATCGACAAACCCAAGAAGCTTTTTCGGAGAACGGGCTTGTTTTAGGCATTTGATCTTGACTTCTTGGAACGAGTCACATCATGGATCGAGTACCTACATACAGAATGGTAAATTGCAAGTTCTTAGTCTTACATGTCCGGATACGGACGAGCATTTTTTACGACGATTATTATCATTGGAGCTTTTTTTTTCTGTTTCGAGTATATTTATTCTTATTGTTTCTGATTCTGTGTACGACAGCTAGTTCTTAAGTCAGTTTGATCATGCGGAGAAACAGTTCAACTACTGTTCTTGAAGTCTCTGCACAGGCTTGCTTTGAAATAGTATTTTGCTTTTGTCTTCTTGTTTCCTTGTTTCTATGGTAAACCTAGTGATTGCAGCCAGCATTGTGGCCGCGATGAAAGTAGTTGTTTATTCTACAGCAACGACACGACTGCGGAGCGGTCACGTCATTGAAATCAATGGATTGCGTTTCAAGTTTTTTTTCAAGAAATTGAAAGGTAGAAAGGAACCATCCAAAAACGCGTGCATGAAGAATCGCTGCATGCCGATGCAACTTTCCTTGCGGATATTGCAGCTGCTGCAATTATCATGTGTGCCGATGCCACCTGATGTTGATTCTAATCTCCCATGTAGTAACGGTCAAAATCGAGGATCCGACTCTGGAGCTGGACAATGACAGTGAAGGTCGGCAGGGTCACACTGAAAGTAGGCCAGGGCGGTATTATTACACTATCCGAACGAAGGTAAACAAGAATGACTAACAGTCCCCCCCCCCTGAGTAATACTAATATACGCACCTACTTCTTATTTGAGAGTCTGTCTTTGACTTAGAACTAGAAGTAGGAGGCTTTAGGTTTACAAACGCAAATTGTTACAGTGTTTACGCAAGTAACCTGTTTGTGCTCGTGCTAGCGGCTCAGAATATAGCGCTACTTTCTTGGAACAGCTGAAGCATCAAGAACATCATCACAAATCATGGCACGGGTATCCACCTCTACGTCCTCCTCCTCCTCCGTAGCGGTCGCTGCGGAAAAGGTGTTCGAAGATGCAACCGACTCCCCTACCGGATCCCTTGTCTACTATCGCTGGACCTCTGCTAGTGCGCCGCGTCCGCCGCCACAGGTCGTGGAAGTAGAGGAAGTTCCGCCGGGAGACAGCACTGTTGCCACACAGCAAAAATCATCACCATACGATACTGCTATCAAACACGTGATGCTTGTCTTCCACGGTCTTCACGCTCACGGCCGTTATGCTACTGTCAAATACTTCGTTGAAGCGACCAGAGCTGCAGTGAAAACGTCCGGGGAAAGTACACAAAGCACAAGTGCCGCCAACACTTCTAGCGTTGAAGACGATTATTGTTTCTACAGCCTCGACCTGCCCGGTCACGGCGACGCGAAAGGGCTGCGGGGCTTCATGCAGTTCCCCGGTTGCGTGCACACCTTGGTCCAGGCTGTGCAACGAGTCCGGAGCTGGCACCCAAACGCGAAAATCCATCTGGCGGGCTCCAGTCTAGGCGGGGCACTGGCGCTCGCGGTTGCAATCTCGTTTGCCGAAATGAAAGAAGAAAATAAAGAACAGGATAGAACTGCCATAGGCTCTGCAGTTGAGCTGGCGTCGCTCCTACTCGTTGCGCCTCTCGTGCAGATCCGGAACCCGCCCGCGGCGCCGGTGATCAAACTCCTGCGCGTGCTCGCTTGGTTCGCGCCCTCCCTAGCGCTGTTGTCGAGCAGCGCCAGCGACCCAGCCCAGCAGTACCGGGACCCGGAGAGGCGGAAGGAGGCGGTGGAGGATGTTTTGCAGTATAACGGCCGCATACGCCTGGCGAGCGCGGAGAGCTGTTTCCTTTTGACGCAATATGTCGAGAAAAACGCAAAACTGCTCCGCCTCCCCGTGCTGAACCTCATCGCGGAGAACGAAACGGTTGTGGATGCAGAGGCAGCACGGGGGCTTTTGCCAAATTTGCTGGTGAACGTGCGGGAAAAGAAGACGCACATGTGTCTAAAGGCGTTGCACGGAATTTTCTGTGAACCCGAGGACGCGTTGATACCGATTCAGGACGTGATACGGGAGTGGCTCACGGCACGAGAAGGTGGAGACGGGGCGAAGTTAAACAAGTAGAGAAGACAGCGGGCAATGTTGACAGTGCGTCTTTGGAATAACAACAACGATCAGAAAACGAACCTCGCCACGACCTCGCCCAATGAATGAGGTCAGAACAGCACTCGCTCTTTTACGATTTTCGTTCGATATGGATTGTTTTCGTGTTTCTCATGTAGTTCCCGAGTTGTATCAGCTGCGTCATATCACCGTGTTTCTCATGTATCCCAGCGTGTTTCTCATGTATCCCACGATTGAGTCATATACCGTGAGGATGTTGTCGCACCACAAGAGATGAAGAGAGTTGGCACTGGCAGCGCGTAAGTGTAGAAGGGAAGCGAAGAGAGATTTGTAGGGAGAGAGATTTGATGTAGAGACTCGTTGACACGTGCTTGTGGTCGAGACTCCTGTCTCGCAACAAAAACGTCTTCTCGTCACACTGTTAGAAAAATCCAACTAGAAGTTGTAGTGCCTAGACCAATCTCAATTTGAAGTTGTGAAAGTACATGTGAAGAAAGACTGTGAGTTTTGTATGTATCAAGGAAGTTCTCACACTCACAGAAAAATGGAGGAAGCAGATTCCCCACCGGGATCCTCTCCTGGCCTTGCCAAGCGGCGGTCACGGAATGTGGCGATCAGCGAAGACCACACCAATGCCAATGTCCCAGTGGTCGTCGACGACAGAAATAGCCCAGCGGGACCTCCTGCACCTGATGATCCGAAAATAGCGAAAATCAAATATACCGAGGAAGACGAAACCCGGTTGCGGAGCCAGTATTTCTGGATGAGCTTGCTGTTCGGTTTAATTTTCGGTGGCACCGCTTGCTCGACCTCGATTCTGACTTCCCTGGTCGGCGACCGGGTCGGCAGTGGCAGCAACGGCGTTTTTTACCTTTCCGCTGCTCTCTCCGCGCTCGTGCTCGGCGTCCCGGCGGTCGAGAGCGTCGGCCCACTGAAGGCCATGGTCATCGGCGGCGCCCTGCAGGCGGTCTACCTCATGCTGCTCTGGTTCGCGGCGCACAATCATGATTTCAAGAAAGAAGATTCGAAGGGAACAACAGCTTCCAATGCCGGCGAAGGTGGCGGTGGCAGCTCGTCTTTCTGGGAAGCGGGAGCCGCCCCGAGTGGTGCTGGCAGCTTTGTCACCAATGACACGTTTTTCACCGTGGCTGCGTGCGTCGCGGGGCTCGGGCTCGGGCCTTTTTGGGCCGGCAAGGGGGTGTTCTACGCAAACACGTGCGAAGCGATCTCCCGATGTCACAGTGCCAGTAGTGAGAGCACGTCAGAAGAAGTTCCACCTCTACAGCAAGATGAAGCGGTCCCACTGCTTGCGTCCTCTCCGAATCGGCCAGCTGCAAATAGCCCGGGGACAAACTCCTCCCCGAATGATTCGCTTCCGGAGGATCCGACGCTGTCCCGCGAGCGCACGAAGGATAAGGATGTGAAGATGACTAAACAGGAACGCCGACTGGAGAAGTTAGACGAGGCCGGCTTGCAACTCGGCGTGCTCTTCGGCGCGCTGTTTCTCGGGTTCGAATTCTTGATCAAAATCGGCGCGGGGGGCGTGCTGTCGCTTCTGGGGGAGGACAAGAAAACCGACGTCTTCGCGGTTTTTGGTACCCTGACAGCCTCTGCGTCTCTGTTGCTGCTGCTCCTCGTCACCGACCCGCCAGAGGCGGGGGTTGTCGTTGCTACAAAAAAAGACGACGGTGCTCCTTACGGGGCATTGAGCATGTTCGCGGCACTTGGCTCGGTCACGCGGCTGTTTTACGACGCACCCTACGTCATGCTGGTGTCCATCATGAACATCACGTTTGGTGGGACCGTCGTGCTGGTTCTGAGCTACATGAACCGGCATATTGTCAAACGAGGTACTATAAATGTTTATCGTTTTTTTGGCATCCATGGCGCCAACTCCAAAAATTCTTGTTTTACGATGTAGATATAGCTTTGGCTTTTGGCGGTGCCCTCCCCTTCGCATGATGCAGATATAAGAAAAAACCTCAACAAAACGACCTAAATGAGGTTTCAACAACGAGGACCAGTATGTTGCCATGTTTGCGTCGGTCCCCGTCCTCGCGGCCGGGTGTTTCACGCTGATTGTTCGTTGCACGCCGCCGGGAAAAAACTACCTGCCCGCCCTCGCCGCCAGCCTGGCCATGGGCGTGATACCGCTGTGCCTGTGGCTCGGCGTGACCAAAACCCCGCCCCCGGAGCCCGCGCCTCTATGCACTGCAAAAGTATCGTACTCGTATAAATGCATTACAAATTCCCTCAGCATGAGAAAGAAAATTTGTCATGCGGATTTACCTTGGGAAGAAAATTTGTAATGCAGGACTTGCATTTATTCGAGTGCGATACTTTTGCACAGGATAACCTCCGATGCAAAGCAACTACACCGCTTTGATCGTCTATGCATCTGTCAGGATTGAAATCGTCAAAATTGAAATGATTTGTCATGCATAAAATGCAAGGCATGAAGTGCCTGTCTTGCCGGGATGGCAAGCGAGGCAGATTGTGGGCCTATTTAGGGTTTGGGATAGAGCTGCTAAAGGAGCATGACAAAAGCAGTCGTCTGTGCCCAAACAGCATGACAAATTGGATTCCGGTGCTCCGGAAATTTGTCATGCGCCGCTTGGAAATTGGTCTTCCAACTCGTATCCATTTTATGCATGGCAAATCATTTCAACTTTGTCGATTTCAAGCCTGACGCTTCCATATCGTCTACATTGCGCAGGGCATCGCGCGGGCCACCTTCGAGACCGCCAACCGGGCCATGTTCCTCGAGGTCTTCAGCGGGACACCGTTCGTTTCCGAAGCCTTTGCCAGTATCCAGGTCACGCATTCCGGCGCCGTGGCGCTGGGCCTGTTTTTCGCGGCGAGCTCTGCGGACGCCCCGCTGGTCGTGCGGGATGTGCTCTGTGTGGGCATCACGGTGCTGTCCATCGTCCTCGTGCCCGCCTACTTCGTCGCGCGGAACCGCGCGCAGCAAGACAAGATCGCGGAAGTGGTCGAGCAACTGCAGGCGGCGGACAAGGGATTGGTAGTGCGGCAGTTTTCGGAACTGCGGGAGCGCAGCACCGCGCAGGCCTTCCTCGTGCGCAGCAGGACGGGTTCAAAAACCGACGAGGACGTGTTGCCGGTCATTGCGGGCAGCCCGCCGTAAAGAATTCAGAAATCGCAGATGTTGTAGTGGTTCGACGACGAGTGCTAAAGATAAATGGATTAACCAGGCTGCAGGAGCTCCTCGAGGTCTGCGGTCAGTCTTCCTGCTTCTGCAGCACTTGCGGTTGATACTTCTCCGGTACCCACCACCTATCGGAGAGTGTCAGTGTCGTGGCCACGGGCGCAAACAGAAAGTGCTAGCAATAGTGACAGCTGCAAACTACATCCTCGAGCCGAGACCGAGTTCCTGACTTCTGCTTTTCTGTAAAGTAATGTACGTTATGTTGTGATTGTTGCTCAATGTTGAGCTGGAGCCGGAGCTGGAGCTGCGGCTGACCCGCCGAGCCGAGGTTCTAGTGCTTGCGCAGCTGCGGAGATGACTGCGGGAGGTTGTATTATTTCGGCTCTACATCACCTCCATCCAGAACCAGAAACATATCAGCCTCCCAGTATTGTACCACCACCCTTTGACATTTATGTTCTGCCCGTCCACAATTCTTTCCGCGTCAAATCAAGCGACAGGAGGAGGTGCAGAAGTGCTTCAAATATTCGAAGAATATTAGCGCGAGCTTCCTGGTGACTGGTGTGCCTGTGACTTGCGCGAAGATGAAAATTTCCAGTTGTGTGTACGTGCAGTAGCCACTAGCACCAGCGTCTCGAGGAGCCTGCTCCGTGTTGTTTCGCCTGCTTGCCTGCAACGTCGAGATAAGTAAGTCTAATATAGTCGTGTCGGATTATTCTCCGTTGAAAATAAGACGCTGAACAACTCGAGAGCTCTTCTTTTGAAATGCTACTCGATGAATGTATCCTAGGGAAGGAGGCAGCCGCGAGGCGGCGTAGAGTCGTTCTGGCGCGGGAGTTATTCCAAAATTTGAAATCTCTCTTTGCACTTCTAGTTTTAACGTCTCGCAGCTTACGTTTCATCGGCAGGATTATATCGGTAATACCACCACGCTTGGCAAGTGCAACCATTGAAAGCAAAACGGAAAGCAGCGATGCCAAAAATATGCAGCACTGCCAGATGAAATGTGGCTAAATTCTCAGGGGGACGACCACCAGTTGTAGTTTCGCCGAATCTCTATCAATTTGTACGACTGCGTAGTAAAACTTTGGCGCCAGCACGTTTGGATATCTGAACGGCCGCAATCTGCAGGCTTGTCCATCACCACAGCCATGGGCCTCTGGTCGTACTCCTGTTCGCGTTCTCCGTACAACAAAGGCGGAGCGACTCACTGTGTATTGGTCCTGGCACTCGAGCGGGATATCTTGTGCGCGTGAGCAGAGACTTTCCAGCGGAGGAACAAGACCGCCCGAAGGGCAAGGCATCAATTGGGTGTCTCTTAGTTCCTGAAAACGTGCCTGCGAGTTGTACAACAACCGAAAGCAAAAAGTGAAACTGTATTGCGTGTCTTCCGTTCTGAGAAGCTCGGAAAGATCTACCATGCGGTTGCGGTTACTCTTGTTGCGAACCCTCATCTTGAGCAATGTGAGTGTGAGTAGACAAAGGCGAGAGCGATTGAGCGGCCGCAAAGTGCGCCTAGTTCTTGTGACGGTGTTGACAACTTTGTTGTCAGGTTGTACCGCTGCACGACGAGCCAGTCAAAGTGTGCAAATCACACCCTGAGTGCCCGCCCGTGAGAACAAGGAGCCCACGACAGAACAAGGATAAGGAAAATGGCGACCGCTCGCACGAGCTCGTCGGAGCTGGCCTCGAGCCTGCCCGCGTACCTCTATCGCGCGCGCGTTCTCCGCGACTACTCGGACGCAGAGGAGGGGGAGCACACGCTGCGGCTCGTGCCGGGAGAGGAGATCTACGTGTGCGAGATCGATGAGGAGTCCGCTTGGTGGGGCGGGTTTCGAACCCACAATCCCGCGTTCTGCGGCTGGTTTCCCAGCCCGTATGTGAAGAAGATCCCGGGCAGCGATGCGCCAACCGTGCCCACGCCCACGGAGGAGAAAAAGGACCTGTTGGTTGTACCTAGCGACGGTAGTTCAGCCGCGGCCACCTCGTCCGGTGCTCCTGCGAGAAAATCTGCGGAAAACAAAAAGAACAGCGTCTCATCGAGAACGTCCGCCTCGCATCCTCCGAAGGCGTCCGCACGAGGAAGTGGCCGGGTCAGCGGGAACAAAAACAGTGAGTCGGTAGCTGCTAGAAGTGGTTCTGGGCGAATTGACAAGCCGAAAAGCAGTCCTTCAGCTGTCCGTGGTGAAGAAGAAGGGGACAAACAACCGCTACCAAGCACGCCTTCTCGACAGGCTGGAAAGAAGAACAACAGAGACAGCATTACAAATACCACGACACCGTCGATAAAAGAAGATAAACCACAGCAGGGGAACTGCTCTACCACCGCGAACACGACATTTCCAGTGCTAGAAGCGGGCACGCCGCCATTGCCCCCAACTGAAGAGCAAGAGGATGTGTATCCGCCGAGTAACCAAAAACCTGGCGCAGGAGCAGCCTTGGGTGGAGGTTTGTGTGCGGACGACGTAGAGAGGAAACAGAAACAAACGCTCAGCAAAGCCTCCGGCGGGATGTCATCGTCGCCGAACTGCTCTACGACGGTAGAAAATAACTCCACATCCTGTAGCGGTAGTACAACCGACGTCTCGGCTGATAAAACCAGTACAGGACCATCAACCACCGCACGGATAGACATAGAACAAGCAGGAGGCGGGTCCTCCTCCTCGCCGCCCGTGCTGGTTGGAAACTCACCATCACCGCAAAAACCGAAGGCCAGCACGCGCATCAGCACGCGCGGGGGCAGCAGCATCTTGATTCCGAAGCTCGACATGAATAAAGCGCGCGCATCTTCGACCCAGAGTGCGGTTATCGAGGAAGAGGACACGCGGCCGAAGAAAAAATTGTCCAGAGACCACGGGAAATTCATTCCAGCAAAGCGCAACTCCGTGTCGTCGACTGACGGAGTTGGAGTGGCTGCTGGTGCACAGAAGACAGCCACGAGCTCAAGCTACAATCCTCCTAGCCGGACTGAAAACCAAGGTTCTTCAGCGAGTTCTTCGTCCGGCGTTTTGAAATCGGCGAGGAGAGTAAATTACGAGCCGTCTAGGTCTACGGCAAGGGATGATAACAAGCCAACTGAAGTAGAAGCAGGGCAAGGAGCCGACGCTCCGCCAACGTCAAGATCGAAGCCGAAGGCCCGGAAGCGGGTGTCGATTTCCTCAGTCTTTCTCGAAGAAGACGAACGCAAAAGGACCGCGAAAGAGAAGGAGCAGGAACAACTACAAGTAAAAGCAGAGGATGCTCCCGATGGGAGCACGACCAGGTCAACCTCGACGTCTTCTTCGTCCAGCAGCAGCTCTAATCCACCTACCGTTCCGCCGCAAAAAGACCACCACCAGAACCTCCAGCAGAGCCAGCCGAACACCGCGCGCGGCGGGCGTCGCATCGAGTCTGCGTTTCAGGATTTTTTCGACCAGAAGGCCGAAAAGCTGAACAACGACCGGAAGACGCGGGAAATGACGGAGCTGAAAGAGGAGGTAGAAAAGTTGAAAAAGGAGCTGAAAGCGAAGGAATCCACGATATCCACACTGCAGTCCGACGCGTCTAACAACAAAAGGCTCTTGCAGCGTCGCCGGGAAAACGTGTTTCGGTACTTCGACCGAAAAATCGAGGAGCGTTTCACCATGGCACAGATTGAGCAGATCGAAAAAGGCGAAGACGTGCCCATCCCCGCGACTTCCCGGAAAAAGGAAGAAGCGACCAACACCGCCGCTGCAAAGCTGGAATTGCAGAAGGTATGAATACGATCGTTTTCCTGTATGAACATGTACATGATGATGTTGAGAGGATTTTTCTGCTAGTTCAGGGTGGCACAATGAACCGGAGTAAAAATGCGACTCAAAATCATGCTGATGCAAACCTCGATGTAGAAGCGTCGACGTTTTCGGGTATATTTATACTTTCTCTCCTCGTCCCCTCTACTAGGAGCACGACCGCACGCTTTCTGAGCTCAGTGCCGCGCGGGCGGATGTGGAAACTTTGAAGCTTGATGTGGAAGACCTGAAACTCCACTTGGATGAGGAGATTCAAGTTCGGAAAAAGCTGGAAATCGACCTGGGCAAGAAGGAACTGCAGCGGAACCAGCTGAACTCCCTGCTGGACGAGAGTTATCGGCTGTGGAAGGAAGACAACCGGGAGCGGGGAAAATGGGGTATAGTTCTTCTAAAGCAGGAACAAGTGGTCTTCACTATGTTATCGTCAACAGCTATTCAATCTCCACCGTCCACCAGAACAACATCTGGTTTGGATTGTTGCAGTAGATAGCAGACGAAGAAGTGGATAGTGGTTCTTCGTAGTAGTTGTCTCCTCTTATCGTTAATGTTGTCCTTGGTTCATATAGTAATAGTTGTCTTTGTTTCCACCGTCACAAAAAAAATCGAAATTCCGCAGTGCAAAAGTACTTCGACCGATACGTAGAGCTGGAGGAAATGATCATTTCTGCCGACACGGAAGAAGGGCAGCGGCGGGTGGTCAATATCCGTCCCTTGCTGATCGAAAAGAGGGAACGACGCTGCCGGGCTCGGGGAGCCGAGAAAGACGGTTTGTCGACTTCTTCGACGCATCAGGTTCAACGACAAAGATCCGGTAGGGCGTCATTAATCTTTTTCGTTCTGCTGCAGCTATGTTGTAGTTCATTTTCATCGAAGATCGCGGATTTTTTTCTGCGTATGGTACGCTAAACGTGAATTGCGTGCACAACACTTCCTGCTTTGAATAGAAAGAGTTTTGCGTTTCTCTTTGATGGAACAACAGAAGCGGAAGAACGTGAATGATATTGCTATTATTTTTTAAACCACCACTCCAACCAGCCGCTATCCCCACGACGACCGGAACGTCGAGCCAGGTCCCGCTTTCCGCACGCGGCGTGGTCGCGGCACCGCCGCCCATGTCGGCGCGAACGAATCCGATGCTGTCCGCCCGCGATCGCGGTACAACCGGCGGCATGTCGGCGCGAGGCAACTTTGCGGCGGAGCGGTGGGGCGGACCCGCCGGGCCGATGTCCAATCGCGGAGGTGGAGGACAGCAACCCTACCAGACCCCAAATCTCCTGTCAGACAGCAGTTTTATCGACCCAGCGGTGGCCGCCGTCAACACGCCGGGGATCATGACCAGCCGGCGCTACCTGGAATCGCCCTACTCGGTTACCAAGAACTCGAAACCGCCGCAGCGCAAGCCGGTGGAGTTTCAGACGCCGACCTGCCGCATCAATGCCTGCAACAATTATGCGGAAAATAACTCGAATTTTGTCGACGAGCGGAGCACACCGCGTCCGGGCGGAGGTGGCCGAAACAGTGCAGTCAAGGAGCGCGTCACGCTCTTTCTGAACCAGTAGAGGAATAAACAGAGGTGTTGGAAAAAAAGGTCTGTTTTTGCATACGCAGCAGACCAAATTGATTCTGTTTCCATTTCGGCCATGAAGCTGAACTGCAACGGGGTATACAATAAACTAGATACGATAAAGAAACTACAGAATTGATACTGAAATCTAACGAGATAGACACGCTGACTCTTCAGGTGGCAAAGAAGTGCACGAGCAGTCTACAAATAAGAATGAAATTGCAAACAAAAACTAGACTGACATCAAGCAGGAGAAGCACACAACTCTTCACGACCTTCAGCAAAAAAGAAATCTTGAACTTCTGTTGCCAGACAAGTGCTACATCAATCTTATACGACAAAATAGCCGTTCCACTTTTTTTTTAGACGAGTTGTGATGCCACAACAATAGCGAACAGGAAAAAACTGTTGTTCCTTTTGTACGTTTACCCCGAGTTTCTTCAATTGACCACTGTGACATAGATTTTTGACGATGGAATGTCGGGTCGGCGGCTGTTTACTCCTGATTATCAGTAATCGACAAAATGTGGACTCTGTGATCGAGGAAAGTCGGAACAAGCCACGGCAATAAACAGACGAAGAACATTTTTCCACGACCGGCGTTGAAATTTTACAAAGATGCTCTCACCACTTTTTTACACACCCACAATACAAAATACTCTTGGTCATCTACGTTTGAAAACATTACTTGCCGCATGACTTATCCGATGTAGCTTACTAATATGCGAAGATGAGGCCGCCCATGTAAAATGAAATTGACTCAATATTTGACCGCCACATGACTTGTTATGGTAATGTTAATGCTTGCACTTGCTCTTCAAATTTACATCCCGTGAGCATGATGTGATGAAAGCGCAAGAAACGAAGACACACTGCACGGGAACAGCAAAACAAAACAAGGATATCAAATTCGAAATGGAAAATATTTCAGGCACATCATGTAGGCTCGTTGATCTGTAGTAAGCCCAATCCGACAGCAAAAAACAGCCCTGAAGTGCCGGCCCCTTGCGTGCTTGCAAGATTAACGCTGCATGCTACCCTGCGGGCTGCACAAGAAAACTCCTCCTCCGTGGTTTCCTCTTGCTGCTTGTCGCCCTGCTTTTTTTATTCCAGAAGAGAGTCAAACAAACTTGAGGGCCGATGATCAAGTTGATTTACATGTTACAATGAAGTACAACAAAGAAAGGGTTGCAGATCAAGCGGGCTCAGAGACTGTCGATCCACGATACGGAAACGGATACTGTGCCAAGAAGATCTTCATGGGAGCTTCTCTAATGACTGGGCGCTCGTCGTCCACGTGGAGGGTATTGCGCAATTATCTCTTGTTCGCTTTACTCATACTCTGTCAGTAGCCGACCGCTGTCTTTAGCTTCTGACGGTGCTGCTCCCGCCCAAGAAACCGACCGAAAAAAAATGGCCGCACAGATGAAAGGTAGACCACCAAAAAGACCAAGAGGCGACTCCGCGGTCATGATCTCTCCGTCTCTTTACTGCAGTTTTAGCACTTGCACTGCGTCTTTCAACTTTTTTTGCTGGAGCTCGTTTTTAGGTCTTCTTGCTTGCACGAACATTGCGAGAGCCGACGTGTGGATCCCACTAACGGAGCAGGACGGGCGGTATTTTGCGCGGACGGAGTTTGGAACAACGACCAGTAGTGTGGAAATACAGGACGAACCGAGAACGTCACCGCAAAATCATAATAAAGCGGACGACCTCCAAGAGCAGCTGCAGAGTAGAGCTGATTCTCCTGTTGCGACGTCCTCATCTCCCCAGGCCCTTCTTGTGTCCCTGAACGCACCGTGGTCCTGGATTCCGGGGGTGGAATGCACCTCCTGCGAGCCAATGCCGCCCGGATTCGCGCGGAAATTCAACGCGACAGCATCCAAAACGTTTCAAGACGCGAAGATTGCGTTCGAGGACACCATGGGTCACGAGTTTGACAGTGCGCTTGGGATGTTAGGACGGGACTTCGCGCAATTTTCTGGCGGGAGAACGGAAAAAAATCACAAAGTGGAACATGAGAGAAGGACCTCAAGCAGTGGTAGCTTCATGGACAACAGACACGTTCTCGATTCTGGCGTTGGTCACGTCGGTGAACTTTCAGCTGCAGGCAATAGAGTTACAGGCAAATCAGCAACCGTTTCGCAGAATGGTGAAAGTGGTGATAACGACGAGGACGATAATACTTTCAGAAGTACCAAAAAATCAGCCCCGTTGTTGCCACCAGTCGTGACCTTCAGTACTACATCTACCCCACCCACAACCCGCGTTTCTTTCACGTTCGGGGTGGTGAAGCAGACCCGTAGATCCGGTATGAAAGCCTCACCAGGTTGGAAATCCTCAAAGTGAAAATAGTTTGTAATGCAAGAAAACGACTCCAATTGAAGCGCCATTTCTAGTTGGCGCATGACAAATTTCCCGGGCACTCAAAGCATGTCTGTCATGCTGGTTAGGACAAAGGGGTGGCCTTCTCTCGTGGTAATCAGCAGCCCAATTCTTAGCCTTGATGCTTTAGCAGGAAATAAATAGTCAGCCTCCATTGCGTCCTCTGCAATACAGTCGCTCTTGCGTCTCAAATTATTTCCACTTCATGCATCACAAATTATTTCCACTTTGAGAATTTCCATTCTGAGGCTTTCATATCCGGGAGTCCCTTTTTCGGAAACGGTTTCTCCGGTATTCTCGGGTTTGCACCCAACACCACGACCAACCTACTGCTCGAGTTAAGAAAGCAGGGGGTGATTTCCAGTCCGATTCTTGCACTCAACTTCGGCGGCGAGGGTCGTGTTGGAAGTAGCGAATTACGAACGCGGACAGCTTCTACGCGAACTTCAGCTCTAGTGCCTGTATTGTCATCAACATTTGTTGACTACAAGAATCCGACTCTTGCCAGCGCAACCGCAACGACCACGAGCAGTCCGCGCAGTCCGCCGGTAATGCAGCTGGGCGGTGTGGATCCGACCAGTTTCGAGGAGATGTACTACTTCCCCGTTGTGCCCTCGAAAGACACGAAAACCTTCGACAACTGGCGGCTTGGGAGTACGGGCACCTTTGCCTGCAACGGCAAAAACTTCACCTCCCCCGCGAGCCGGGACTTTGGGGTGCTGCTTACCACCAGCCTGGATGTGATCGCCGTCCCCGATGACGAGCTGGAGGAGTTTGTGGAAACGCATTTGAAGCAGTTTGTCGTGCGGACGGAGAAAGGTATAGTACTTGATTGACGACACTTATGATTCTCCGAGTTCTACTTACTACCTAGGGATCCGCCGTATACTAACTCAACTCTGGTGCATGTTTGTCCTCTGCTGTAAAGTTGTTGCAAAGAAATCAACCGCACCTATCAGCGCCTCGTACTTCTATAGTATACGCTTATTTTTGACCCGTGCTAACCGTGTTGTAGTCAGTTTTGCAACTACGGTGATTTTGCTGTGGGCTTGCAATGCATTTCATATTCATTTTCATGCGACGCTGCATAGAAACTGCTGCATCCATCGTGTTTATTCCAGGCATCTACCTACTAAAACCCGGGGCCGAACTTGCCGTGGACATCTGTTTCAAGGGAGAAAAAAATGCCGAGAAGTGTTTTCTTCTCCGTACGGAGGACTTGCTGCAGAGCACCGTCCTCGGCGACTACCAGATGCTGCTGCTGCTGCCGCATTCCCTCATGCGCCCGGGCTTTCCGCTGGGGCAGAGCGGCTGGATCTTAGGCACCAGGTTTTTGAAACACCTGTACTCCGTGTTTGAGTACTCCACGCTGATCCGAAACCCCCGGGTCGGCCTGGCCATACCCAGGGTTTGAGTAGTAGAAGCAAGCTCCTTCAGGCCGCTTTGAAAAATAAAAATTTGATGATGGCTACAGAAAAAACAACACGTGCTAAAAATGTAAATGATCCTCAAGAGACTCAGTACTGCAGCTCAAAAGAGATTTACTAAGTACCTACCAAGCGCAAAAGAGGCCTGTTTACAGACGCGATGTTGGACACACGATGTTCGTTTCGCTCGGTAGATTTTCAGGCAAAGAATCTTATCTCAGAATCGCACAAACAATTTAGCTACATCAAAATGATTATAATTTCATATATAATCTTCGAAAGCAAATAGGAGCGGCGCAAATCGTATTCGGTATAACAGAACCGATGTCTATTCGGTGTGTTTCTGTATGGTCTCTGTTTTTTGGATAGGTACGAAAAGAAGCAGCTGTCGGCCCTCCATTTCTCGGTAAGCCAGTTGATTTGTAATCGGTTCTTTGAAAGTTAAGCTCCAACTTGTCAACGTAGAGTGTCGGTTCTCCAGTATTTATCTTTATCGTGTAGAAGCACAGTCAGAAGTCACGTGATTGTCTCTTTTCGGTAAGATCACGTTTACGGTGCCTAGCAGCCAATATCTAGCAGCTGCACAAAGCATAAAAGCCACGAATCACGATCAAATTTATGTACAACACAGTGAGGAGAAGCAATTAGCTGTCGTGGAAGCGCGACCTGAGCCTAGTTGTAACACTGATAACTCTCAGTAGAAAAAAATCTAAATCCTTTCACGGGAAAACCTATCGAGTCTATTTCGGCGACCTGTTTTCGTTTTCTCCTGGAGTATCGGCAAACAGCGAAAACATTTTCCGTCGAACAAAAGTTAACTTTTTTCATTCGCTTTTCAACTTATTGAGGTTGTAGTTGATTCGCTTTTTTGAAAGTCTAAGCTACTGCATTTTGTGAAAGTATCGCAACTTGTCCTACTTCCTCTTCCTCGACGTCCCGAAAAGGAAGTCCACACAGCAAACGAAAAGCAGAACTCAAACCAAAAGTAAGCGTAAGTGGCATCTTCACCTTCTCGCCCTCGTACACGACATCCGGGCCCGGGGGTAGCAACACCTGTGAAGCTGTAGCACGGCGCTGGCACTATCTCCTGTGTCCGACCCGCACCATGAAAACCAGTTTTGTCGTTCTGCTGGCGCAGCCGGTAAGGGGACTGGAGTTCCTGAAGAGTAGCAGCTCGTCCCCGCTGGTGAGTGACATCACGAGCCTCATGGAGGTGAGTCAAACTGCATTTAGCACGCCGAAGGCGCCCGCGAGAACACGCGCCGCCGTCTCGTCCTCGAAAGAGTTTGACCCTAACAGTCAGAAGGGACTGGAGGCGCAATTCAAGTACGGCAAGTTATGCAGACGGGTTCAGGGGTACAGCTACGGCGATCCGGAACGTACGGGCGTCGATATGCGGATGCCCGACCTACTTGTCCACTCGCCGTCCTTCAAAACCGACCGGGCCGCGGAAAAAAATCTCCGGAACCTCGCCACCGCACTGCCGTGGGTTCACGACGACGGTTTCGGGGAACTGCCCCAAGAGTACGAGGAGGAAAGTGACAACAAGCACATCTCTATCAAAATGAAAAATCCCCCCTCCCCATATTGAAAAGCTATGTTTCCGAAAATTCGTGTTGCTGATTTGAGGTCACAAGAAATCACATGTGTCCTGCAAGACGACAAGGGCAGAAGCGTCCGCCCCATTATGGAGGCGATTTGTCATGCTGTCAGGCTTAAAGGAGAGCCGTGTGCCATGCTGAGCAACTAGACCCATACGCCCCTACCTAGCCTGGGGATCTAGCCGCAGCGCCTTCCTGCAATACAAAGCTGATTAGTCTACACAGATCCAGCGTGAGAAGTTTCGTTTTGATATGGGGAGGGGGGACGTTTCCTTGCAATAATCTCCGTCTCGGGCTTCATCGGGCTGAACGCGTTTCGGGGGGCGGAGACGGGCAAGCTGGCGAATATCAACTGCAAACATGTAGTTACTCTGGGTCTGGATGAGTTGTGCAGATGTCTGTCGTGCTGTTGTTGCATGACCCAGGAAAAGGTCGACCATGCAACCCCTAGCATCACAAATTTGCCGGGGGTTTCTCAACAATGCTCCCTATATCACCATGACGAATCCTCTCTTTATTCGTTTAGCAAGGCAATTTTTGCTGCCCACGCATGATTCTCATGTGCATCACAACTAATTGCATCCTATTTCCAGACCCAGACATGAACATGTAATTTGCACTGGATAGAGGAAGAGGACGAACAAATCATGGTGGAGAAGAAGCTCTACGGCCTTGACGGACAGTATGAAAGCGTCAGGATCGAAATCAACAAAATCCAAATGATTTGTCATGCATGAAATCGATACCAGTTGGAGCCTCAGTTTCCAAGTGGCGCGTGACAAATTTCGGGAGCATCAACGTCCAGCCTGTCGCGCTGTTTGAGCAAAGAAGACTGTTCCTTTCATGCTACTCTGGCAGCACACCGCCTTCCCCTAAAGAGGCTTGCAATCGGTCTCATCTGCTTTGTTCCCAGCACAGGCCGCTAGTGCTCTACATTTTACGCATTAATGCAAACTTTTCGGCTTTGATGTCGATTACGATCCTGACATTCCCATACACTGCCACTGATGATAGAGGTTCCAAATCCCGACGATCCTAGTGGACAGACGATGGTGCAGGTACAAGCGACGCAGCTGCAGTACCGGTACTGGAACTACCGGGACTACGCATTCTTCGTTCGGTCAAGGTGCGAGCTTCTCTTCGGCGCCAAGGGAGACGCCTGGACGGCCGAGGGCGACAACTACTCCACTCAGGTCCGGTACACCGAAGACTTCTACTCAGAAACGGCCGTGACGGTGTATTACGTCTCCGAGTGGATGGTGCAGATCAGTGGTTTCTTCGAGCTGATGGTCTCCAGTGCGCGGTACTTTTGCGACGACGACGGAACTCAGGAGGGCTCGTATCTCAAGCTTTTCTTCGAATGGACCTTACCAAACCCGGAGATTCCGGCCGACGATCCGAGAAGGGAGAAGCTGGGGCTGTACCAAAAGCTCAGAGTCGCTTGGTGTAAACCGCGAGCAGACGCCGTAAATGAACGGCAGATGGAACTTGACCCCGACGTCAACAACCTCAGCAGAGCCACGAAAGCTTGTGCCCAGACATTGCACCAAACGAAAACGCCAGCTGATTTCACGGCTAACAAAAGGAGTGAAATGCTTTGCGAGAATGCGCGTCAGAAAATTGCTGACTTGAGCATCGCGGACGTTGACAACGGGGACACCCGGATGGCAAAGCTTGCACAAACGTGGCGGGACCTGCACCTGCACGGGTCGCACTGGAAGTTTTGGCAAAAGCTGTTGGTGATGCCCGTGAGGTTCCTGTACAACTTTGCCGAACAGTACCAGGACACTATTGGAAATGACTGGGACAACACACCCTGGCATGTGTTGGCGTCGGTGCTGAACTGGGCAGATCTGTTGCACCCCTGCGACCCCAACCGCATGGACCCGGACCTGATGGATCCCAACGACTCTCCGCTCCCCGGCTGCTACCCCCGCCTTCACGGCGTGACGGACCCCGATCCCAAGCGCCAGGTGGAGTTGGAGATGGTGGTCACCTGCAAGAAGGGCTCGCTGCTTTCCTACTACCAGGGCCGCAACCTGAACACGGAGCACGTCCAGACCGTGTTGAAGGAGGAGCCCGTCAACCGCCTTGCTGCGTCCGTGCTGTTTCCCCCCACCATTGCCAATCTGGACGAAGCTTTCTCCTTCGGCGAGCAACCGTCTGGAGTGATGACTGACCCAAATGAATCCGCGCTCTCGGCGGTGTCTGCGGCGAGCAGCAACTCTGTGGCTGCGGCCGTGATGGTGACAGACACGGCAAACATTGATTTTTTCCCGGAGTTTGGTGATGATCCACTGTCGCCGATTGGAGCGGTTGTGCCTGGAAAAAGTCCCCCGGCCGCGCCCGCAGTTACGCCGATGTCGCCTGCTTTCGGTGCCATGGGTATGTCGCCCATCTCCCCGCCGGCGCCGGGGGCACCTACACAACCGCAGTTCATTATGGGCGAATATTCTCCCACCTCACCCGTGAACTCTGCGGCGGCGGCGGGCACTGCTATTGATTTACAAGAGACGCAAACAACGGTCACTGACGCGCGCGACGCTCTTCTTGCAGAAGGGCTGCGACCGGCACAGCCTCTGAGCCCAGACGATGACAGCAGTAAACCTTGGAACCTGAGCCGTATTCGCTGGCTGCAAATGAAGCAGGTGGAGTTGTTGACAGCGCATGTATTCAAGGAGCACGGTGAGGACTACGAGCCGCGTGAGCTAGACGAGCACATCAACGAGGCGTTAGCGCAGCTCCCTGACAACCCCATGACCTACTTTTTTGCGCGGCGGAACTCCCTGTTGATTTCGATGGGCACCGATACCGCGGAAGGCAACCGTCGGCTGATGGGATTTAACGTTCCGGGCGTCCCGGACTGCCATGTAAACGCGCACCACTTCACGAATAAGCCAGTGAATGTCCTGCAATCGGAGGCGCGGGGATTTTCGCCCCGCGACGGAATCGCGAGCGTCTCACCTGTTCGCAAAAACCAGGTCCCCAAGTCGGCAAAGGCAGCCTATGGTCACGAGCGGGTTGGTGGTCTGTCGGATTCGGAAAAATTCGTATCCTTCGTGAAAAATGTACCATCTTCAGCTGTCGAGTACTTACAGTGGCTTCGACTGCAGCCAAGATGAAATTTGTAGGCTGTGTATGAATGTGATGTGATCTGCATCACACCTCGATGGAAATTTCCTTCCATATAAAAGAGGCCTAGGCCAAAGCGGGGGCGAACTTAGCACAGATAAAATTATACTTAATGTTGGTGCTGCTGCTGTTTCCAAATAGGTCTGCATCAAATTCCAAATCTGAATCATCTTGGAGGTCGGGAATTGGCTGGAGCACAAGAAGGAAGCGTGATGGTAGAAATTTCAAAAAGCATACGCCAAGCATGACTTGAAAGTTCAGGCCCTAAAAGACCAACAAGCACAATTAGATCGACAGGCACACGATGTGAAAAAAGGCTTGTTCGATGTGTTCGCCGCTGCAGCAGGAAGTCCATCACAGATGTCGCCCGCAGACGGACAACAGCGATTTTCTATGGTCAATGGGATCATGACTATCAAACCAGAGCCACAACATAAGAGGTTCCTTCTAAACAGGAAGCGCAAACAAGGCTTATTTCAGTAGATGTTTGCTTGTATCTGCTGCTGCGCCTATCCCGCATAAAAGGGCTGGAACAAGAAATAGCTCATGATGAAAATGAGCAATTTTTGGGTCAGTTTTGCTTTGCAGCTGTCCCTGTGTTTGTGTTTGTTTGATGTGAACATCTTCAGGGTAATCGTTTTACAACATGCATTGAAGACTACTTGGTAGTTTTCTATCTATGTATGAAAACGAAGAACTTGCTCGAAGAGCAGAGCCAAAGCCATAGATGGGGCCCCCCAGAAGTTGTTTTGGTTTGATAATCGTGGCCGGGTTTACCCCGTCACCCCAAGGTGGCGCAGGAGGGTCGCCAGCTTTTTTTGGCGCATCGCCAGTGTCGCTCGCGTCGGGGTCCTCGCCTCTTTCCGGACAGCGCGCCGCCGCCAGGTCCGGGCCTTTATTTACGCCATCGCCAGGAGCGCAACGTCCTGACGGCGCTGCTCCGTCAACCCCCCTGCGGCTTGGGTCAGGAGAATACTTGATGGGTCAACACGCATCGGTAGAAACGAAGAATTTGCTGCCTGGTCCTCGATCGGCCTCCCCCCATCAGCCACTTGATCAACGATCTTCAGTAAGACGCAGAGGCCGCAGTGCCCCTCGGACTGGCCGCGGCCGCTCGCACTCCCGAGCGAAAGCGGATCCCTCGAATGAACGTCGTCGAGCAAAGTCTGAGAAGATTCGGAGGAGCAGTAGAGGAAAATCTAGTCAGCCGCGCAAAGCCGTGATGGCTCCTCACACGGAGCCTCGCAAGAACAAGCGCGAAGGCAAGATGGGTCAACCCGAAGAACCCATCCGCACCGCGCAAATTCAACAGCCCCAACCTCAACGCGTCATGCCGGCGAGCGGCACTGCGGATGACGTCGATAAAGCAGAGGTAGTAAGGAACCTCTTCGGTTGATACAGAGATTGAGATGCTGAAACATACAAGCGCAAGGGGGGTCGCCGCCTTGTATCTGCGTGGTCCACTGGATGTGCAATGGGTGGAAGATGAGAAGATCTTGACATTGTTCATGGGGGAGGGGGATCAGATTTGAAGCATTAAAAAACAAATGAGCTTTATTTATCTCTTCAATGGGGCTTGATGAACGCCGACAAGAAGGAGTCCATAGATACCTAAGTCATACCATGTAAATATGATCTTCCAGCACTGCATCTTCAAGAGAACTGTATGTATTGTTGCTCCAGGTGTTCATGTTCTACGTGTTTTCCATTATCTTTGAGACTTGACGGGTACCATTCGTTTCTATTTTTTATTTTTATCTCATGATCTATCATAATGCAGATGTTTACGAGCTACAATTGCTGTGGGCAGTTGTCCAATGCAGCGGTGAGCTTTTGCTTTTTTCTGAGTTCGTCTTTTGCTCTGACTTGTACTAAAATGACGCTTTTCATATTTTTAGTCTACTTGCATTTCTATTCATTCTGCACCAAGAATTTCCAACATTTTTTTACAAGGACTGTCTTTGCACAAGAAGGAGAATCTACCTCAGGTATTGCGTTGGTTATCGAATAAGTCGAACATCATGTTCAAGTTGTCGTGAATCATTTCTGTAGTGCTAGTGTCGGCGCCCTTGACAAAGTATCCATGTTGAGCCGTAAGCATTCCGCTTCCGGGGCACCTCAGTATCTGTTGGCATGATCTTTACAAACATGAAACAACAGTAGACGATGACGTATGTACTTGGAACGACCACACTAAAAGTCTCTTTTTACAACATCGGAATGCAATATCAACGTTTCCATGATGTTGAAAAACCGTTCTAATTTTTGTATTCGCTGTGTGGATTTCATTTTTGCTGACCCACATGATGGCGATCTGAGTTGAACTCTCAAAAACAACGTTGAAAATGTGAACCTCTACTTCACATCGAAGTGGGCTGCTCATGCCGATCTGTAAGTAGAAGGCATGGATGTTCGAGCTCGGCAATGTAATGTGGCGTGTCAACAACTATCAACAGCCGTGGTTGTACTATGATCTATCACGAACGTCGAGATAAATGCGGCTTGAGCTCCTCATCGAGTCATCTGGCTCTCTTCCCGTTTTGCTCTTCAGCATGCAGCTTCAGAAAAATCGATGTGGAACGTAATTTTTCGGTCTATTCAACGAGAAAAAAAGAGCTCGGTTTGTAATTATCTATATCTGCTTACCCGTTCTCGATTTCGCTCGTTAATATGTAGTGAGGTCACCGAACGGTTCTAACCGGGGAGTTTTCTTGACATGCATCGCGCAAAATGACCGGCAGTTTTCAAGCGGGCGGAAGTGTTTTTTGACAAAAAAGATTTTCATTTATCAAGCGGCCCTGGCTGACCTGGCACCGAATCGCCAGCGGATTCCATCGATCGCCGCTGGGTAAAACGACGCAGAGGAGCCAGCAAAAGGAGCGCCATTCTGAGGCGCCCACCGCCTTAGTTTCTGGCGGTTTGGGGCGCCCAAAAAGGGGCGCGAAAAAAACGCGCCCAAAATCAGAACAGCGAAACAGCGCGGCACGGCCGCGATTTCGGAGCATTTTGGGCGGCAGCGAAAGCGGCAGAATTTTCGCCGGTTTCAGAGCCTGAGAAGCTTTGCAAAAAGCGCCGGCGCGAAAAATAAAAGCAAAAGCGCGCCAGACGCGCAAAGCCAACCCGCATGCTACGGGCCCGGTTTCCCTTCGCTTTTTGGGCGCCCCCCGTGGAACCCGGATCGGCCCCATAGCATGAGGGCTGGCTTTCGGAAAGGAATGTCGGGAATTTGCAAAAATTTGCGACGTTTATAAAGCGGTCGCCATACCGTGCGGCCTAACGTTACTCACGACGGTATGGCGAACCCAGGAAGAGCACAGCCGCGGCCAAAGCGACGGCCGGCAAGAAAACGCCCACGACCTCACTACCTCCGCCCCGGCAGCTATATTTGGTATCAACGCAGTCGCTGCAAATTGAAACGTGTCGGTGGATGAGTCGTCAATGGCACCACTCCTCTTCTTCATACCTTGGCCTCGGTTTTCCACGTTAATCCAGCTCGTTAATTCATTTACAAGTCAACCTCAAGTCGGTAAAAGCAGTCTTGCAACAAGTCGGTTCTTTCCCACGCACATTTACATTGCATGTCACCCTTCAGAATCGTCGTCGGTCGTCGTGGTATTCAGATACATACTGTTTTAATATGGTGCTTGACGTAGTTGAAAGACTTTCGGCGCACGACTAGATCTAGACCGCATAACCATAACGTCGAGCATGCAAGCATTGCTTCGAATTCGCTTCAACTTGTCAACCGCACAGGAACTCCAACCCATCTTCACGAGCGAGTTTTTTACCTACAGTACCTCAACGCACACTTTTCCTTTATTTTGTGTTTCGTCTTCGTCTCCTGCACTACCATTTGCATTTCTTGCTTATTTCTGAGTTCCTGATGTCCTTTCATTGATCCATTTTGCTCCGACTCCGGCGTGACAAAAACAATTGAATAACGAACGGAGACGATGCGAATCCTCCCGGGGAACAAAGGCATGAACCAGCCACCAGCTGCGCAGCAGCACCACCGTCACGGCGACCTGCCGCTCAAGAAAAGCGGTGCGTTTTGTGTCCTTGTCTCCGTCGGAAATGTTCTCCTGGAAAGGGCCATGGGCCTCAACATGCGCACGCTCCAGCCCCTCCGCGGGGACGATACAACTGGTCGTGGTGATGCGGCCAGCGGCAGATCCTCCGGGAACAACATGATAAAAGCGCATGCTCATGAACAACAAGAAGAAAAGCACGACTTTTCCTTTGACCACTTGGTCACCCAGCGTGGGGATTCCGAGAACGAGGATAACTCGATGGACTTTTACGAAGATCCAGCGGACGCGCCTCTTGTTACTAGTAGTGCCAGTGAACAAGATTTTGGCACTGCAACATCAAGCACTCTGGCGCTGCTTGGAAACGACCACGACGACATTCCCGACGAACCGCTGTCCGCCCTGGAGTTGGAGAAGATTCCGCCCGTGGTGTCTTCCTACACGCAGGTGATTGCCGAGATGCTGAAGGAAGACACCATCAAGCGGAGGAAAAAGCTGCGGCAACATCAAATGGTCGACGTCGAGGGATATCAAGTCGCTGTTGAAGAAGCGCAAGAAGTGAAGAAAGCGGTTGAGACCACCACGTCGACAAGTGGCGCTCTTGTCCTTCCGCAGGATCAGGCAGTCGAGGCCAAACAAGAAGAAGCTCCCATTCTTGAACCAGGCACCGCTCCATCTCCGATCAAGGCGCCGGGCTTCTTGGAACTGAGCAAGGTCCAATTGCAGCAGAAGTCGGTCTGTTGCGGCGACCAGAGCGAAATCACGCCCATCGAAGACGACAAGACGTCCACCAACTGGGATCCACACCAGACGGGCATGGCGGGCGCGGACCTGACGGACAACATGATGGGCTTATCAAATGTAAAAATGTCTGGGTCTGGAAGAATGCAACTTGTCATGCTGATTTTGGATTCTAAAAAAATCTGTATTGCATGAGCAGCAAAGAGAGTCAAAGTTTTGGCACACGGAAAGAGCATTTGTCATGCGGTATAGGCATCAGGAAGCCCTCACAAAATCTGTGATGCTAGGGCATGCATCACAGACATCAGGAGTCATGCAAAATGTGCATGACAAACCTGGCAATCTTCCAGACCCAGACACTTTTACATTTGATAGGGCTACTTTGATTACTACTACAAGGGGTTTCTCCTGAAACCGCTGGAGACGCCGTACGACGAGGAGGGGAAGGAAACCATTCCGCGGATCCTGCACCGCATGTTTCTGTCCGGAACCAGCAAAGGGCGAAACGTGACCGAGGACGGAGTGTACGCCCAGATGGCCGAGCCCATGAAGCGCGCATTTCGCAGCTGGCCCGACATAAACCCGGACTACAAAGCCGTTTTTTACAACATGGAGCAGGCCGAGGAGTTCATCAACGAGCACTACTTGCCGCGGGTCTACACCGCCTTCAAGGCCATCAAGCCGAACGCCTACAAGGGGGACCTGTTTCGCCTGCTGGTGCTATACAAGGTGGGCGGGTGGTACGTGGACTTGAAGATCGAGTACAACAAGAAGGGGCAGAAGCTGGAAAAGGTGGAGCAGCAGATCGCGGACTACCAGGCGGAGAAATACAAGAACACCAAGAAGAAGATCACGCCCTTAAACCTCGGCTTCATCGGGGCCTGCCAGTCCAACACCGGGGCCTGGATGCAGGATGGCATCATGAACGCCGTGCTGGCCGCGAAACCGGGGAACCCCTTCCTGGGCGACGCCATTTACCGCATCATCACCGACGTGGAGCGCCTATGCATTGCAAATAAAGTCTCGTACTCGTATAAATGCATTACAAGTTATTTCCTCAGCATGAGAAATAGAATTTGTAATGCTGATTTACCTCTAAGAAAATTTGTAATACATGATTGCAATTATACGACTACGATACTTTTGCACAGGACAGCGCCACGACAAGGGCGACGGCATCTTTTCCATGACGGGCCCGGTGGGGCTGTTTCGCATCCTGCAGCACGACCCGGGCCAGGGCTGCCTCGACATCCACGGAGAGCGCGGCGACGTGGCCATGATATGCCATGCAAATATCGATCTGGGTCTGGAAGGAGGCAACTTGTGATGCTCCCTTTGGATCCTACATGAAATCTGTATTGCATGAACAGCAAATAAAGGGGTCCAGTGTTTGCTACGCGGAGAGGGCATTTCTCATGCGATATGAGCATCAGAAAACCCTCGCAGAATCTGTGATGCGAGGGCATGCATCATAGACATCATGGGTCATGGAAAATATGCATGACAAACGTGGCTCTTCTACTCCAGACCCAGACATATTTGCAATGCACACATGATCCGGTGGTACGACGAAAAGTGGTTTACCACCGCGACGAAAATGGATATGCTGTGCAAAAGTATCGTACTCGTACTAATTGCAAATATACATGACAAATCTCCTTCCTAAGGTAAAAACAGCATTAGAGATTCCACTTTTCTTCTTGCCAAATAAATCTGTGATGCAATTTATACTAGTGCGATGCTTTTGCAATGCATAATGGACGACACCACCCGATTCTGCGAAAAATCCGACGCGAACCTGAAGCCGGGCGCAGGGTGGGACGCTGTACGGAAAGGAAAAGGAGTGATAGCTTTACTGTTTATTTGTTTCAACTAATAAAAAAATAGGAAGTATGAAGTTCAAGTTCTGTACATGCGCCACAAATGATCCGGACTGCCTAGTAGTGTATTTCTGTGCAAGAAGTAGTCCTTGCTGTAAGACGAGGCACAGTTGCGCAACTCAATCTCAAGCAGCTCATGTACTATCCGAATTACGTTGATGAATTACTATGATCGTCATCGTCCAAAGTAGAAGTAACATTTGTAGAGCGGGAAGTACAAGTAGAACGAACAAGTGCTATTGCTATGTGACTTGCACTTGTCGAAATATCAAGCATCACTTTTTTTTCCCTCCCATACGGGCTCGGTGGGAACAAGTACGACGTGATGTGGCGGAACGACGACGTTTTTCGGGACGACCGCGCGCCGGACAGCAGCACTCCCAGCGCCAAGAAAACTGCGATGGCGCGGAGCTGCTTTCACAAGCTGAAGGACCAGAAGCGGTTGTTCTACGTGATCAAAACCAACGGAGCCTGCACCTACCGGTGGGACGGCGGCGGCGCCACGGGCGGCCTCCCGGTGCCACCGATTATGGAAAAAATGCGAAGGGGAGGTGTAGCTTCAACTAGAGCTGCAGGGAATACTAACTCCGATTTTTTTCTTTTTACTTGGGGCTACACGTGATTCAGGGCCCAATTCAATTGCAACTCCTTTCATCATTGGCAACTTGCATCATGAAATCTTGCTCTATGATCCACCAGTTCGCAAGACTGGTATACAAGTGGCACTTTAAGAAAGAACGACATCGCTCCAGATTAACAAGTTAGTACAAAGACAAACCGAATAAAAAAGGAACTACCAGATGATGAAGCAGCTGCAGCTGCAGCTACACCAACACCTTTTCAACGGCATACCAAAGCCGCCAGCTGCGCCCGGGACCGCGGGCACGACGACGGGTGGCCATCCGGGTGGAGTGGGATCAACGAAGCAACCAACTGCGGGTGCGGGCGGGGATGAGTAACCTCTTGTAAGAAGGAGGAGAGGCCGACCTGTAAGTTTGAAATTGAAACTGCCGTGAACATTTTTTTCTTGAACAATAAGATTTCTGTATTCTTTTCATCTTATAATCTTTTTCTTTATCAAAAGCATTGAAAAAATGACGTATCGGGTAGTAGTTGTACATCTTCTTCTCGCATTCACATCGCATCATAACACCAGTAGAGTTATTTTTTACCAAATTGAAATTTCATTTTTGCCACCAGCAGTGCTATCTTCATTATTATTTTTCATATAGTCGTGACAAATTGAAATTCAAATTGTGGCTCATTGTTTTTGTGACGAAGCGTTTCTTTATGAAGATCATAAAAAGCTGCAACAGCTTCGGTGACGAGCGATCGTTGTGTACTCGCAACATGAGGTCGTTGCACACTTTCATGCTGCTTCGAACCAGTCAAGAAGCGGCGCCTGAAGACGTCTCGGCAGCATATGGTCCGTAGGTGGATCATATTCGTCACGATGTTGAAGCAGTGGTGCACCAGCAAACTTGTCATTTTATTCTAAAAATTCTTACCTACATACAATTACACCGTGTTTTCCTACCTGTGGGACAGATGTTGGCACATCATGCAAGCAATGGCTTTCTCTTGGCTGACGTCGCACGCTTTGTTCTTCTTCACGGAAGTCTTGGTCTACATCTCTTCGTTATTTCCAAAGGTATTGGATTCATCGACCGACCTTATTTACAGACCGCTCATAATTCCCGGACGAGTGTCTGTTGTTACTAGATCGATTCGTCTATCATCATTCGAAAGACGCACAGTCGCAATCGACGCAGACGGCAAAAAATAAATACATGGCGCCGCCTGCTCCGTGTCGCTTCCGCCAGTCTACTTCGTTGGGCGTTGCACAGTGGCTCCTTTTCCTTCTGGTGTACTACTGCACACACAGTCTAAGATGCGGCGTGCTACATGTTCTTGCGTCAAGTACTGGAGAGCAGCAGATCCTCCAAATAAATCGAAGGCCCGCCGAAAAATCCTTGCCTTCCCCTGCTTCATCCAGTTCCACCCCGCCCGCCCTCCCCCCTTACCTGTCCTGGATTCCGGATGTGGAGAGTAGCAAGGAGCGTTTTCTCTCCTCGCTCGGGCGCGGCCCCGGGAGCGACATTTTGCTGTCCGACCCGTTGGTGCACCAATTGCGGGCAGAAAGCCGAATCGTCGTGTGCGTTACAACCATTCCGTCCCGGTTTGACCGCGTCCACCCCGTGCTGCGCAGTTTTTTCGCGCAGAGCGTTGTGCCGGACGTGGTCTATCTGGTGGTGCCGAAGCGGTTCCATCTGATGTCGTTGAGAGGTGGAGGTGGAAGTAAGAGACAAAGTGGAAGAAGTGTTGAGGGTGGTGGACCACAGCAAATTAAAATTCCAAGCGAGGCGGACCACGCACGACCAGCTGCCCCGGTTCACGACGATTTGCCCGCCAGTCTGCTGGCCCTGCAAGAAGAGTTCGGGCGGGAGAAATTTCAAATTCTCCGTCCGGAGCACGATTTTGTGGGGCCGCTAATGAACCTGTGGCCGGTTTTGCCAGGGGAGCGGGATCCCAAAACTTTCCTCGTCACCGCGAACGACGACCACCTGCAGCCGAGAAATTTCATCCGGGACCTCTGGGTCAACGCAATTGCCAACCCGGGCCGCGCGATCTGCTACCACGGCTGGATATCCGTTTTCGATAGTAGTAGGGAGGTAGAACAACAACACGACCTCCGCGACGGAATTGATAGAACGTCAAAAATGGACGAGGTGGACGCGCACCTCCCGATGTCATCAACATCAGTAACATCAGCATCTCCATCTTCCTCGCCATCGCGCAGCGATCAAGATGACGACACCGACACAGCGGCACAGAACGAGCAGGCAGAAGCTACCACCGCGCAGTCACTTTCGTACAACATGACACCGAGCGAGATAGACCAGGTGACGTCCTTTATTCACCACGCCGCGCCGCTGAACCGCACGGCCGGACTGCATTGGCTGACGAGAAGCACGAAGACCCCGACGTACGTCCAACAAGAGTACGCGCCGAACATCCTGGACGATACCTCGGCCTCCTACTACGCCACGGCCCCGGTGGGCGCGAATTACCTCGGCTGCATTTGGCAACGGGGCTTTTTCGATGACAACCTCTACCGGCTCGTGGATAGAGAAAAAACCTTCTCCGGCTGTCTCTTCGTGGACGACGTGTGGCGCGCGGCGTTGATGGCAATGCGGAAGATCCGGTTTCTGTTCCTGAACCGCCTTCCGACCGGCTCAACGCCAACAGAACTGAACCAGGCGGAACGCGCGGTCGTTGATGGGCTGCACGTATGCATTGCAAAAGTATCGCACTAGTGTAAATCGCATTACCAATTTACTCAACTACATAACAAATGGAATTTATCACGCTGAGTTACCTAAGAAACGAGATTTGTCATGCAAGACTGGCATTTATACGAGAACGAGTGCGATACTTTTGCAATGGTGCATAGCATGGCGTAGCGCTAGCCAACGTGCAGGCGCTGGGAAAGGAGAAGGGAAAATTCTCCAGCGCAAACATGCGCGCGACGTGTCACAAGCAGCTCGTGCGCGAGTGGGGTTCCGGGCTGTGGCAGAAGAAAGCCCGGAGAGTGCTGGTCACCGGAAGTGAAGTGGTAGCCGCTGCAAGTCATTTCGGCTTCGGGGAAGAAGAAGATGAGGGGAAGAGCACTGGTGCCAGTGGTCACGACCATGTACCAGCCTCAGCAGATGATCAAGAGGCACAGCGAGGCCCTCATGCCGCTCCTGCGCTGTCGCGAATCCAGCTGCTGCAGGAAACGGCTAGTGATGCGGAAGCCCGAAGCGAAAAAATGAAAAACTTTGCGACTCCAGTCCTGGACTTGAGGGCGGGGAGTTCCTGCGGGGCACCGCCGCGAATGGGCATGTTAGAGAAGCACCGCACAAGAACACCATCGCTGAATAGCGAAAACAAAGCCGTGGCGTGGCAGCTAATTGACAACTTCGATCGCATCTACCTTCTGCAGAACATCAATTCTGGGTTCCCGGTGGACGCTAGCACGAGAAAAAGACTGCACGGAACATCAGGAGCGACACCGCACGACCACGAGCATAAAAACTGCAAATGCTCGTGGGAAGACGCAGCATCCTGGGAGGGCGATGAAGACACGGAAATTTGTGTTGACACTTCCACGGTCAACGTGTTATTTGCGGATAGTATGCATTCAAATGAGTTGGAGATCATGAGCACGAAGTTGACGGTGAACAAGACCGCTGCTTTGATCGAAGATGGAGGCGATCGGACAGAAGAAAAGAAGAACGTTGGACTTGACAAAACGAAAACAAGTAGGGAGGATGAACAAACAAACTTGATTTGCTTTACTGTGGCTTCTTTTCGCTCGTGGTACGAAAGCGGAGCAGATCTTCGGCGAAAGGGAACTAGTACACGACCTTTGTCCGCTAAGGAGTGGAGGAAAACTACTTTAACCAACTTGATTGCCCGTGTCCCAGGGTTCTTCCACTTCCGCAATAGGACTACGCCGGCGAACACTAAAGTGGCAATATTTGAATTTGAAAGCGATGCGAAAGGAGATTTATCTGTTGTCAAGACTCTTGATTGAAGTTGCGTACGATTGCACGAGGGTGTCAATCATGTGTTCGCTCGCCAATACATCATCATGATCATTGCGATATTGAAGTTGTTTGTTGTCGCTGGAAAATTGTTTTCGTCAGTTCGATGGGAAGCTGCAGAGGACCTTTCGTCGACAGATGACAATTACAATTTTTTGTTCCAAATAGAATCAAATCAATGAAAAAAGTTCACCACATCATCGTGGTTTGACGTCCACAGGACTACCTTTTGTAGCCTTCACGCATAGATGTACTTTTTGTATCGCTCAGTGTTTATTTTCGCGTGCTAAACTGTTCGCGAATCACGTTTTTTTGATACAACGTTGACGCTTGCAGAAAGTTTATTCGCAAACGTTTTTAATTCCTGCTTCGCAATATCTTTTTAGCTTTGCGGAAGCGGATACTTTTTAGAAATTAAATTTTGGATGCGAAGTCCGAGCAACAAAATCAAAAAGAAAACAGAACACGCTCAACTTCGATGATATCTTCAGCGTCCGCTTCGTCTTCGGGTGCCCAACCTGAAGCTTCTGATGTGTTGGGTAAAGAGACAGGAGGAACAGCAGGCGCATCGTTGAAGCGACCTCGAGCGGAGATAGACGATGGAGAACAGAACGAGGATGTTAGACTAGAAGAGGCAGATCTGCGAAACAACAGCAGCGGAAACCCAACCCCTAAGGATGGTGACGGCGAAGATGTTGAAATATCCATATCTGCCTGCATATTTGCAAAATGTAGCGAAAGGCAACCCGCTACCGGGCCTGCCATGTTTATTTTTCACTCCCGCGCCCGACGTTTTCGCGTCAGCGAGTTGCTGGGGAGGAGAGCGGAAGCCGGAGGCTCATTCTCTGGCACCGCTGGCGCAGTTAGTTAATAGCGAATACATCCTAGCGCTACCCCTTTGGCGAAGGGTCAGCCGAACGGATACGCGGCTGCACCAGAGCCGCGCGAATCCAAGCGCGCTGATTGTTTGCAATTCTGCAACTGGGCCAAACGCAGCGGCTGTAGCGCGCCGCAACTGGCTCCAGCCTCTCAATAGTGGCGGTCGGCAACTCTTTTTAGCGACCGGCGCGGCGCGCCTTCTTGCAGTTTAGGGATGCGGAAAAGCAGGCCGCCAGCATTCGCCAAAGCCGGGGGCCATTCGTGAAAAGCCTCCAGGTGGCCTCCCGGCCAGCGCGCACGCACCCAAAAAGCGCAGCAAATCCGAGGAAAGCACCTCCACCGAGCCCTAGCCCACCGCGCAACATGCCTAGTAGCAGCATTTCGCTGAGCATGCCCCGCTGCTCCAGAAACTCTTGGCCGTACTTCAGCCAGGTCGCAAAGCATTCGCCCACGGTTCCGGTGCGATCGGGAAATATTGTCAGGCATCTTGGGTTCGCATAAAGATGTCGCATCAAGACCAATACCCCAAACAAATACCCCTTGATGGAGGTATTCGTTGGGGGTATTCGTCATCGTTGTGCACCGAGCTGAGTCCAAAAATCCCGGGGGGTATTGATGGGGGTATTCGTACGGGGTATTGGTTTGGGGTATCGCGTTGGGGTATTGCTTTGGGGTATGCGTTTTCGCATTGGGTGAGCTTGGCGAAGGTGAAACGCGAGCGGGAAATTTCCATCATTGCAAAATTCCAATTTGTGTTTCACCCAAACCCGAGCGGGGAATTTCCATCATTGCAAATTGTAGCTTGCCTCTCACCCAAACCCGAGCGGGGAATTTCCATCATTGCAAATTGTAGCTTGCCTCTCACCCAAACTCGAGCGGGGTATTTCCATCATTGCAAAATGGCGAGCGTCAATACTTTCAACTCCCCACACCGTCTGACTTCCAAACCCGAGGACTTGGCGGATGGCTGGTCGCCTCGCCAACTCCTACGCGCGCGGAGACATATCCAGACGAAGCCTGGGCGCAGCCTCTCGCCCAGGCTTCGTTCGGGTGTAGAAGGTGCGCAACACAGGGACGCCGCACGGCAGGCGGCTCCACACAAAAGTCAGAGCGCTGCTCCTGGCCTCGCCTGCAGCCCCACTCCCCTCTCCCTTTGGCTTCCCGGAAGGCCTCGGTCTTCGGCACTTTCATTTGGCCAGTGCGGAAAACCGAGCTGGGAATTTCCATCATTGCAAAATGCAGAAAATGGCTTACAACGACACCTTCTGATGCCCTTTCCCGCACTTTCAGTGGAGCGGCAAAAGGAAGCACGAGATGGAAGGCTGGCAGACCGCCGGCCAGCTGCCAAAAGCTGCTGCTGCGAGTCCTCTACATTTTGCAAATATGCGCACAAATATGGAAATTTTCAAGGACTAAAGGATGGTGACGGCGAAGATGTTGAAAAAGAAAATCCCACTGATATGAGAGTGAGAAAATATTCATTTCAAAAATATTCACAGAGCCGAAAAAAAATTTGTTTTGCGCAATTATTGAACGCCTAGGAAAAAGACTCCGCGACATGCGCGCGCGAGAGCTTCGCTGAGGCGCTTCATGTGGAAATCCTGGCCCAGAAAGCGCACGAAAAGCGTTTGGCGACTTACAGGGCCGAGAGATATCAAGGCCTACGCCTCAAGTGTGCTCCTTCGTTCACCTCTAAAGAAAATGATGTGGCGCGCGCTCTTGCGGATTCCTTGCTAGGTGGCTGGGCGCCCTCGCTTTGCGGAGACCCCGCGACTTTTTTTGCAGAATCTGGAAAGGTCCTCTTCGCTCAGACGCAAGCGCTACTCCTGTAAAGGCCAAGGTTGAACTGAAATGCGCCACAGCGCCGGCAATGGCTGTTTTGCACCAAGTCGGACACCTCTCGCCCGCTTTGTTTCTGGATATTCATTTTCGAATCACGACGAGACTGCGTTTCCGTTTTTATTAGCGGAAGCTACTCTCACTTGATTTATCCTATATTCATCTGCGCAATTTCCGACAGCGAAAAATGTCAAAAAAGTGCGCACTTTCTGGGAAAAAGAGGCGTTTTTTGGGGAGGTGAATATTTTTGCGCATCCCACTGCTATGCTCCTTTCAGACCAGCCCAAAAAGTAAAAATATTCATACCTCCTCTGAGGACGTCAAAAAAGTGCTTCTTTTCTGCTTCCAACCTTTGCGGCTTTTGGCAGCACACAAAGTCGCCGAGCTTTTCTATAGGCTTGGCCAACAGAAGTATCCTGGTAAAGGCCAGGCGACCCCGTCTCTTGCAGGGGTTTGCGCCTCGGCAAAGTGCGGCCGTCTAGAGCAACTGCTCTAATGGCCGCCACCTACCAGGATGTGCTCGAGCCCAGTCGGGATCGAGCAACGCCTGCAGGGGCAAGGCAGCGCACCGTGGCAGCTTCTTCAAGGCTTTGAGACCGCGATCTGCCGCCTGAATGCTAGGCAAGCTGCCACTTGTGGAAGATGGCTGCGCATGTCGCCGGCACGCAGGCCGTCCCCTATTTGTTTGAAGGATCTGACTCACAAGATTGACAGCAGCGGAAACCCAACCCCTAAGGATGGTGACGGCGAAGATGTTGAAAAAGAAAATCCCACTGAAGATGCTCCTGACAAGAATACTTCAAAAAAGAAAATTTAAGAGCAGGACGATAATTCAGGTTTTTGGGTGTGTGTCCACAGCGAACCAGCTAGCCAAAAAAACGGGCGAGAACCCGCACCATACGCGACCAACATGCCGCGAGTCGTGCCTCCTCGCAAAGTCGCGATAGACCGACGCACAGCTCACAGCGAGGGAGGGGGGGCGCCCCTTCACCGCTTGAAGGGGCGCAAGGGGCTCCCGGTAGAGTAAGTCGCGTCGCAGTATCGTTGGCCCAAATGTGGCGAGCGTCACAGCCGGCAACTTTGATCGCGCGGCCTGCAGGTCTCGGCTCAGGACCAGGAGTCTCCTTTCACCCTTTGCCGCGCAAAGGGTGAAAAGGGACTGTGGATAGCAAGTCACGACGCAGTACCTTGAGCCAAAAGTGCTCAAGGTCTGCGTCCGCGACTTCGATCGAGTGGTCCACAAGTCTCAACTCCGGGCTTTTTTTCCCCTTTGCCTCGCGAAGGGTGAAAAGGGACTCAGGATAGGAAGTCACGACGCAGTACCTTGAGCCAAAAGCGCTCAAGGTCCACGTGTGTGACATTGGTCGATTGGCACACAAGTCTCAATTAGGAGCCTCCTTGCTTTCTTTTCCCCGCGAAGGGTGAAAAGAGACTCCAGGTAGCAAGTAGCGGCGAAGTACCTTGAGCCAATTGTGCTACGCTGCGCGACCCGCATCGTTGTGCGCGTGATCCACAAGTCTCAATTAAGTACTTTCGCAAGAAATCGTCTGCCTTCTCCAGCATTCCGTGGTGAGTAAAGTTCCACAGCTAGTATTTTGAATCAGGTGAACTAGATCTGTAGAACGTTAAACACCATGGCGCGCTGCGCCTGGCGCTTTTGCAGCGCCATCACTTGCAATAAAATCCTCGCGGTTCTTGGCGTGGGCGCCGATCGCGATGATTTTCTGGTGTTGTTGCACCTTCCATTTTTGCGGAAATGAAAACCACGATCCGGCCGACCTGTTTTATTTCCGCGTGCGGCTGGCCGCACGCGGAAATAAAACCGGATGACTTTTATTTCCGCGGAGCCGTTTGTTCTAGAATCTAGAACAAACGGGTCCGCGGAAATAAGATCCGACCATTTTCATTTCCGCGTGCGGCCAGCCGCACGCGGAAATAAAACAGGTCGGCCGGATCGTCGGTTTTATTTCCGCAAAAATGGAAGCTGCGGACTCGCGGCAAAATCATCGCGATCTAGTTCGCAGGTTTGTCGCGAGGAACCGAAACGCGCAATGCGACTCATTCTCGTAGGCAAGGCGCAGCAAAATGCCGGTGATCTCTTGGCAGCGAGTGGCGCAGGGGCGTTCGTTGTTGAGTTAGGTGTGTTGTCGTACTTATGTTGCAGACGCATGAAATTGAAATGGTGGGGGTATCAGGGGACTCTGCTGGAAGCCAAAGAGCGCAGTATAACTTTATTCCCCACGGTGTGCGCGTCGCTTGTCTCTCTAGTTTTGCAGCTATGCCTTCTGCCGCACTTGCGCTCCAAGCGCGTGGCGCTCATCTGCGGATATTCTAGGTTGCTGACTTGGTCGTCATATTTGCGAGCTATTTTCTTGGGGATTGCCTAGCATTTTCGGCATCCCAGTCGCGATGGAATCACAGCAAAGCCGCGGCTTTCGGGCGGCAAGCTGTTGCGGTTTGAGGGCGCCCCGCCCCTACGGCCTGGGCGCCCAGTTATCTTGATGCTGGTCGAACTGTTTTAGGGCGGGGCCCGGGCGTGGCATCTATTTTGTTCATCACGGCGACCCCTAAGGATGGTGACGGCGAAGCTGTTGAAAAAGAAAATCCCACTGAAGATGCTCCTGACAAGAATAGTCCGAGCACACCAGTGGAAGAAGGAAGACCAAATGAAAACACCGACAGTGCGGACGACAAGAAAAAAAACAGTAAACCAAAGAAGAAAATAAAGCAGGAGCAGCATCAAGGACTACGACTACCACCCGCAGCCCCGCCTACTTTCCTCCCGTTGCCAAAGCTTGAGCACGACCCCACGGACGAGATGTATGGCAACCTGCCAAAGTTTCATCCCGGGGAGAACATCATAATCGGGATTGACGAGGCGGGCCGGGGTCCAGTACTGGGCCCCATGATCTACGGTTTGGCGTACGCACCGGAAAAAGCGGATCTAAAAGCTTTGATCGCCACGGAACTGGACGACTCCAAAAAACTGTCAGTGTTGCAGCGCACCAGCATGTTTGGGAAAGTGCAGGAAAATAACAATTGCAAAAGTGTCTGGGTCTGGAGGAGTCGGGGCTTGTCATGCACATTTTGCATGACCTGTGAAGTCCAAGTTTGTGACTGTGATGCTGGTGCTAGCATCGCAGATTTTTTGAGAGCTTCTTGATGCTCATTACGCATGAGAAGTGCCCTCTTCGCGTGCCAAGAGCTGACTCCTCTTGCTGCAGCTCATGCAACACAGACATTTTTAGGATCCGCAGACAGTTGCATTACTTTCCAGACCCAGACATATTTGCAATCCATATAAAATGTCGGCTGGATCGCACACGTGTCGTCCGCGGAAAAACTCAGCCGGGATATGACAGGTATAAGTCGTACCATTTGGTTTTATTTTCCAGCAGCCCTGCATCATGTTTTGGTTTTGCTACATCTGATGTTGACAACTTGTACTTTATTTGTCAGCAGAAAAATAACAACCCAGCACACTGACTTCAACTTCTATCAGGCTCCACCAAGGTGAGTTTGAATCTGATCGCCCAGACGGCCACCGTGAACGCGATCAAGTTGGTTCTTGAGAAGCAGGTCGGGAGTAAGGTATCAGCCCTTTACGTGGACACGGTCGGCGATCCGGACCGGTACGCCAACCAGCTGAAGGCAATTTTTCCGCAAATCCCGACCATCATCGTGGCGAAAAAGGCCGACAGTCTGTACAAAATAGTTTCCGCCGCGTCGGTGGTGGCAAAGGTGTGTCGGGATCACATGCTGGAAGAGTTTGCGTTTCCGGAAGAAAGCGAGAAGCGAGAACGCAAAGCCGAGATCGTCACGCGCGAATTCGTATGCATGAAAATGGGAAAAGTATTGTATTCATGTAGCCTCTAGGTCTAGTCCCCTGCGTGTGCATGTCTATCATGATTTTTTTTATTTTGCCAGGCCTTATTGAATAAAGTTAAAGGAGTTTACAGCTGCTACAGCCGCAAGTCAGGTAATTTCCTGGAAGGTTGATAGATAGGTCCTTCTTCGTGAGGATGCAGTACCAAGAACGACGAAAATAGGAAGCACTTTCTCATTTTCTGAGGATAACTCGGCTGTGGCTACCCGGGCGATAAACAAACCATCAAGTGGATGGGGAAAAACGTCCAGCATGTTTTTGGCTTTCCAAAGTTGGTAAGGTTTTCATGGGAAACCACCGATAAGCTGATGGAAAAGAACTGCGCGAAGGTCGAGTTTTACGAGGAGCTGGAAACCGAGTTGGCGAATAAGCAGCCACCACCACTCACCGCTTTCTTCGCGAAATCGAATCAGCCGGCGAGGAAAAAATGCTTTCTGCAACGGGGACTCGGTGTCGTCACGGACTTCTGATAGTGCACTGAATGAATCGCGCGAACAAACAATCGAAAATCAAATGAGACTCTTCACGCAAAAATCGAAAACAATGCAAACACTCAAGACCCCTCTACGTCTTGTTTGCACTTGCTTTCCGTTCCGAAGGGAGAAAACAAACAAAAAGCTTCGAGGACGCCATGTGTATGGCTTGTTCTTTTTTTCGATGTTTTTTAGATTTGAATTCTTTGCCAGTGAAGGCGTGTTTGTAGTCCTTGTTCAGGCTGAGGCCCCACCATCAGCGACAGCATACAAAAAAAAAAATAATGTGTGTTTCTTTCGCGTATCAGTTTTGCGCTATCCGTCGTTGTTGGCAGCAGCATGATTTCGTTTTTGCCATTCGGCACTCTCTCCCTCTCCTCTTGCAGATCCTGAACATGTTTTATCACAAGCTTTGTAAAATGGCTTTTTGTTTCTTCGCAGCAACGTCAACCTGAATGATGAATAACAATAAGTAATATCATCCATGAATGAATAGCAAACCGCCACTTGTTGTTTGGCGTGGAAAGATAAAGAACACCAAGAGGTGTCTCGTCGGTCGCATAGGGAGCCGCAAACGCTATCGAGAAAGGTATCTGTGCCGTGTAAGTGCGGACCTTCGGAGAAACTGCGAGAGAACAAGTGCAACAAGCAAGTGTAAAAAATCTAAGTTTCGTGATACAGTTGTAAACAAACGGGCATCTCTCAACATGAAGTATCAGCGGGGCCGCGTGAATGACGTGCAATTGTGGACGAGTTTGCGGTCCTCCTCGTCCGGATTGTTATGCACTAAAACAAGCACTGTGGTTTCCGTCATCGCGTTGCTCTTATCTTGTTTCCCAGCACCAGCTCCTGCCACGGCTGCGTCTCAGACCTTGCTGCAGTCTATATTCGCGCAGCAGCAGCAGCAGCTTGGTAACACAGGTGCCGTCGTGCGGAGCCACCGCCACAGCGCGCCGGCGTCAGCGAGAGAGTCCAGGGTGAACCTTAAAGTGAAGTTTGCTTCCCCGGACGAGTCGCAAAAGGAAGTGACCATTACGCCTCAAATGTACCTCTTTCAGTCCCGCCGTACTATTTCGGGCCCGGATTTTTCGCTACCACTCCAGTTTTCCTTGCAGCACCCGACCAGATTGGTGCTGTTCAATTTTCGATGGCCTGCGCACGACTATGCGGTGTTTCATGCCGGAAAAACGGTCATTGCAGCCTTCGCCGGGATATCCTGTGCAAAAGTAAAGTACTCGTAGAAATCCAAGCCTTGCATTACAAATCTTGTTCCCAGGGCAAATCTGCATTTACAAATTTTATTTCTCATGCTGAGGAAATTTTAATTTGTAAATGCATTTATACGAGAAGTGCGATACTTTTGCAGTTCATACGGGATGCGGTTTGCCGTGCCACCGGGGAGCAGCTTCCGACCGCCATCTGCGGCACTAAACCCCCAGATTTTTTATGCTGCAGGAATTTTTCGATGGTTGCGTATCTTCCACCGTTCCGAGCTTGATGGCTGCTTTTTCTGAGCGATTTAGAAAGATAGGTATTGGAAGTAAAGGCACGAAAAAAAACCGCCATGTATTGGCCTTCGCAGGTATTTTCATGGATGGGACTCCCGCTTTTTTTATTAATTTAGAATACTGCAACTTGTTGCTTCTTAATTTCGTTGTCGTGTTCTGTTCAATAGCGCACATCAAGAGGAACGGTGATGGTCAGGGAAGAAAATGATTTGCCAACACCATATTGCCGATTTCGAGGACTATGTAACGTTGGCGTCGAAAGCTTGCGAAAGTCAAGAAGAGGCCCAGATCAACATGGACTTGCTGCAGAACAAATTCGGTATAGAAGTACTGCAGCTTTAATGCCTTTAACTTGGTGCTGACTTGGTTTTTGTGCAAATTGCAATTATCGAAAAAGTGAACATGTTGTTGGGTTTGCGTTTTTTTCGTACGATAAGCGCGTCATGCTTCCGCATCATAGAGACGGTGTCCGATAATAGACAGGAATGCTGTACTTCTAGCAGTCGTTGAAAATTAGAATATCTTCAGGTGTGATGCACTTTGCGAAGTACAACCTCGGCGGGAATCCGCTTTTGGGCGGGGTTGGCGCCCATCATGGTAGCATTCTGATGGACTTCCCCGTTGTCGACTTCCCCAGCAACAGAATGAAAGTGTTTATCCGGAGAAAAATGATTCGAATTCATTGTCATCGAGAGGCCAGCGTCCTACGGGTCGGTCTACTTCTTCTAGAAATGCAATGACTGTGTCCGTGTCCCCGAGGCAGAAAAGAAGATAGTGCATGAACAACTTTTATTGCTGTAGTTTGGTCTTGGCGTAGTTTTTCCTTCGACTCATTTCTCCCTTCGCATACCTCTGCGCATGGAAGTCGCCCGGGGCGGCTCGAATGTGTACAGCAACCCGGTGCCGGGCACGGATGCCGCTCACGGGCAGATGTACAGTTACGCGCGACTCGGGTACCTGCTGCCCGACAAAACTCCAAAGGATTTTTACGACCTGGCGAACGTGGTGATTCACAAGCACCAGGACATCGCTTCCGGGTACGACCTGCTCTCGTCCAACTGCTTGCATTTCGCGTCCTCCTTTGCCGCGATAGCGGTGAGCTCGCAGACCCTGAATCTCCAGGTGCTGCCCCAGGACGCGGATCGCGAGATCATGAAGGACGCAAATTGCTTGGCGCGGGCGGGGAATGCTATCCGACAGGGCCTCGTGCAGGCTGGCTTGGAGTACGTGGTGGGCGGCGCCCCCCTGCAACAGGGCAATATGCCCTTCGATGACCTCAGCAAGACCCAGCTGAAGCAAAACGTGTGGAAGCAAAAGAAAAACAAGAGAAGGGGGATCTGTTGCGGATAAGGGGTCGTCTTCAAACAAGTAGAACAGCAGAGTTTGTTATTTCCGAACACCAGAATTCCCTTTCGCTTCGTCTAGCTCTAGCTCGTTTCCCTTTCCTTTGTTTTGCTTGTCTTCTAGAGCAGAGACACAATAGCCGTGTTGTACACGCTTGTTTTTTATTTCACATCTGAGCACAAATGAACATTGAGATGAGCAGCCAGCATCTCTTTAGAAGTCGGAAGCGACCCGTTTCATCCGTGTATAGAAGTTTCTGCCATCTGCATCTGCTGTCGCACGGTCCGTGGCTCCGAGGGTTCTCCTCGCAGTGGCCTTTTGCCATGCACTGACACTTTCTGCTAGCTGTATTTTCGCGGTTTCGTACTCTGTATGTACGACCTTCTGCAAAACGCAAACCAAGCAATCGATTTTTGTTTCATCATGAAAACTGTTGTCTGCAAAACGGAAAAGAAATCAAGATAAGCACCATCCTCAACACAAGAGAAACACACTGGCACATGGTACTCTCTGAGTTTTTTCCTTCCCTTGTAGGGAGTGTGTTTGTACATGACGCCCCCACGCTGCGCCTGTTCCTGTGAATCCATCGAATCAGCTGAAGACCAAGATCACGATCACACCTGTTTCCTCGATAGCAGAGATCTAAATATTCTAAATTCAAATCGTGAAGATGATCGTTCGCCAGCACCACTATGAATCAACGATCTTTATGTCTGCCTTCAAATGCCATTGAACCTCCAACAAAAAGAAGAACGATCATTAAAGAGAGTATGGCTCTTCCTCTTGTCACATGAAATCTTCTATTTCTCTTTGGTGTTGGAGTTGTTCTAGAATGAAGGCCAATACAACAAAGCCATCATAATATTAAATTTGAATCGCAGGGAAACAATCTAGGCCGTCCGAAGTATATTTATTCTTTTCTTTTCGTATCATGAAGAAAAGGAGCCCGTCCATTTTCAGAGTGTATCACCACCTTAAGCATGTACGCATTTCGTTGGCAGTGGTTCAGGACAGTCAGTTTATGTATCTATGATTATGGCATCTTCATGTGGCTGGATCTAATTGCTGGAAAAGATGATCTAGGCGGCGACAATCATTTTTAGGCGGGCCTCTGTACTTGGCCATCGCCATCGCCCGCCCGGTTGCGCTTCGACGACCAGAAGAATCCTTTCGTCATGCCTGGTCGCAGTTCCCCATCGCAGAAGTCTCCGCCAGCACTTTCGGCGGGGAAACGACCTACAACGGTCGCGTCATCGAGGCGCGGGACGACATCAGGCCTGACAAAGGTCGTCGTCGAGCCACGGCTGATGAAAAGCGATGGCACTATAGAAGTGGATGACCTCTACCACACTCTCGAGCAGCAATGGGTGCAGCGGAGACCGCTCCACGTCCAGAAGCGCTGGCGCAATCAGAAGTTTTTTCCAGAAGAGGAGAAGACCAAGGACGCAGTTGCGGACGACAGGCACACGAAGCGGCGAAAAAATGTGGAAGACAACAGGAGCGGCCATATTACGGGGGGTCATGGACGAGCAGGTGCTCCTGCTGCTTCCACCGGCTCTGCAGCATCCTCATCTTCATCCTCCGCTGGAGAAATGAACGGCATGATCTCCTCACTGGTAGCTCCTGACGGACCAACAGCGCCAGCTCGTCCACTATTTGCGATCGAAGACGGAGCGGCACAGACGCCTGGAATTTACTGTGGTGCAGAAGGGGGCACAACCGTCGTGGAAGGTAGCTCAATGTTCGGTGCCGGGGGCGGTGCGACGACGCCGGGCATGGTGGGAGCTTTTGATGGACAAGAAGATCAGCCGCACGACCAGTACTACGCCCTCGGATCTGCAACTACTGTTGTCGGTGGCTTCACTGTTTTTGGGCAATACACAGACGGTAGTGCCACGGCGGAAATTTTCGGCCACGCGCCCGGATCCAGAACCGCGGCCGCATACGACCAGCAACTGGAAGGGCTACATGAGAATTTGGCTGTCACCCCGGCGCCGATCTTTGACTTTCCAGACGACGAGGTGGGGGCGGAAAGGAAAGAAGAAGAACCTCCCGGGAAAATACACGACCACCCATCTTCCGTTGAAGATGTTTTCGCGTTGAAGACGAAGAAAGATCTTCGTAGGGACGACGTTGACGCGTACTTCCAAGTACTCGAGGACGACGAAGATGATGCTGACCCCTTTGCGCACACTAATTTTTTCACCGACTCCGAAGGCGAGGAAGATCAAAAACTTTTGGACAAGCGAGCAAACGACCCGAAAATAAACAGCAAGGCTCTAGTACTTGATGTCCCGAGAATTAGAACGTCTGTTGACGGCATCACAACTAGCACAACTACACCAACAGGAGCTACGACAATCAGCACGAAAAGTACAACCCGGCTGCCCAGCTCGACGAGGCGCGTGATTGCAAAGGAGACGCGGATTATCCAGGAGAAATTGGCGCAGAATGTGGAGAACTGCCTTTATTTTAACCTCCCGACAGTGCAGGACCGAAAAATGCAGTTTCTGTTACAACTCGAGGAACAGAAATACAACCAGCACATGTCGAATTCCTTCCGAAAGCTGCTCGCTAAAGCGGAAAAAAATGAGTGGATCAACCAAAGCAAGTACATCCCCTTAGAATTAAACCTCGACCAGCAGCGGAAACTGTCAACCCGGCTGACGCGCGCGGGCGTGCCCGCGCACTTGCACCACGAAATTTCGCAGTACGTGCGGTCCGGCGGAAATTTGGAAGGGGAAAGTGTGGAAAGCACGGTCGTTCCCGTCACCTACATGGTTCTGAACAAACACGGATACCGCAATTGGTCGCTGCAGCAGTGCTGCGCAAAACTCGGCCACGGGAAGTCCGCGCGCCGGGGAAAAAAGCGTGCTGGTTTTGCCGCGATCGGGGAATTTTCAACATCGAACAATAATTACCGCTACAACAATCAGAATCAAAAAATGAAGGATCATGAAGCCGGCTTTACTTCTGTCGCGGGAAAGCAGAGGACGATCCGCAAACTGCACGCGGAGCTGGGTCTGGAAATGCCCATTGCGGACGCGGATCGGAAAGCGGAAATCCGAGAATTGATCTGGAATCTGGTGCGCTGCATCCCGGAAATCGTAGGCAGCACGAAGGCTGCAGCTTGTTCATCTCCGGGCGGGACCATAGGAGCGGCTGGCACTACTGCAGCGCACGGTGTCGCTGCGCATGAAGATGCCGGAGAGGATGACTTTGATATGCTTTTTGAGCAGGCGAGCCCTCCTGATGGCGAGAAGAATAGCACGCCAAAGGGACGAAGAACTTCTTCTGGAGGTAAGATTGGAAAGAAGGCTGATCTACTTTTGGAGGACGAAGATGCGGCAACAGCGGCGAGGTCTACTTTTCCAGGAATGGGCACCTCGTCCGCAACGTCGAAAGCTAAAACGAGCAGCAAGGCCTTAGTCTCCACGTCAACCAACACTACTTCCACACTAACGATTTCCAATCAACAACATCCGCCACTACCCCAGTCCGACCAGGAAGCCATTGTCGACCTGGCGTTTTTGCTCGTGAACATTTTCCGGGAGCTCCGTCCCGGGCCCTGGCACATCAAGGGCGCCCTGCGGATTCCCGCCTGCGTGCTCGCGGCGAGCCAGCTGCGATTCGGGCGGACGTTTTTGTCCCGTGCGAAGATGATGCAGTACGCGCAGCTCGGTTACAGCACGTTCAGCTCGCAGTGGCAGGCGGTGAAGCAGATGCTGTTTACGGTGTCCGCCCCGCTGGCCTGGCAGCAAATGGTGTACAAAAAGAAGACGAAAAAGACCTACGACTGCTTTCCCTCCGTCGCGATGTTCTCGATAAAGCACTTCGGCCGACTGCTCCAGTTCCACCGCCGGGTCGCGCGGTCCCACAACCTTCCTCTAGACGTCATTCCCTGGCGTGAACGGTCGGGGAAGAAAGACCCCTTCAACAACAACCCGCGCGTCGCTGTGCTCAAAGACGGCACCGCGGTGGAGATGCCGAAGAAAAAACGCGGCGCGGTGCAGCCCGCGGTGTTGCCGGTGGGGCAGGTGTGCGTGAAGACGATCGCGGCGGCGTTGTTGGACGTGGCGGACAAAAACCAAGACGCGCAGAGGCAGTTCTACGTCGAGGAGTTGATTCGGGAACAGAAGGTCCAAGCGGAGAAGCGGAAACATGCGCAAATCCAGGCTTTCTGGCAGAAGGCAGTGGGGGAATACGGGATAGTGGACGTGTCGGAAGATGAATCTTCATCGTGTAGTTCTTCATCATCTACTTCCAACAGTGAAGATGAACTAGAGTCAGAAAAGGACGAAATGGACGATGAATATGAAACTGCGAAACGTAGAAAAAAGGACTACGCAAGCAAAAGAGGACATAAAAAGAATAACTACAACACGGGTCGTCAAAGCGCTACAGCCTCGTCCACATCTCCTGGGTGGAAGAAGCAGAAGAAGTTGAGTGGTAACCAAAACGATCAGAAAAAGAAAGACGCGAAGCGTGCAGAGAAGAAACAGCTTGACCTCGGTCTCGATCTCGTGATGCACACAAGCGACGAGGATATCATGGGTGACAGCGAAAGCGAAGAGGGTAAGCCGGCTCCGCCAAAAATGCCGGTAGAAGCTGCGAAGCGGAACAAGCGACGGAGTGAGAACACCGGTTGGGGTTCGAAAACGTTGCGGGAGGATTCTGACAAGCGGAAGAATGATGATGCTCTCGGAGAACAAGATGTTGTTGATGGAGAAGTTTTTCAGCATGCGACAAGTTTATTCGCAGTCAAGGTTGATAATTTGCTACACCGACTGAAAGAACGGAGAAAAAAAGAGTGCGGGATGTTTTTGACAAGGTTCAATAAAAATCGAGGACAGGAGCAGGTGGAGAAGCCGCAAATAGAAGGTAGCAGCATCCAGACGGCAACTAAACAACCGCTCTCGACGTCGTCTTCATCTGTACGAGTGCGTACCGGATCTCCCTCGATTTCACATCACAAGAGCAACAGCGTTCTGCCTTCTACTGCCAGCCACCGAGAGCCAGGTTTTCTATCGATGATCCAGCAGTCATCATCGTCGGGACCACGGGGACCACTGCAGGACTATGACCAAGCGCCGGACGAGATGAATGCCGGCAATTTACTTCATCGCGAAGTCCCGCAATCAACCTCCAGGTCCAGCTTCGGAGTAGCAAGGCAGTTTGAAATAAACGACCTGCAGCGACAGAACAAGCCTGTGGCAGACCCTTTGCTCGAGTCCTTCGGCTGTCCCCCCTTCCTGCGACGAAATTTCGAACGACAAGCGAACGTCGAAACAAATACAACGTTTGTTCCAACTACTTCTGCGGCACGCGGTTCATCGTCATCATCATCAAAAGCCCCTACTTGTTTTTCTGAAAGGGGAACGTTGCCAGTCATGGAAGTAGGCGAAGGAAGAAATAGACAACATCTTATTTCTTCTAAGATGCCATCCCTAGTGGACATGGATTCCGACTCTGACTTTGCGGCCTGTGAGGGAAAGAAACTGGATGCGCAAGCACCTCTTTCATCTTCACGTGTAGGATCTAGCTCTTCCTCCAGTTCATCAAGGCCACCAGCGCCACCCTTCCCCACCGTGCAGCTCTCGTCAAAGACACGAACGGAAGAGCAAGTGGCTCTGTGGCGGGCGAGGAATCTGAACCTTCTGACGCCGGACATGGAGATGGCCATGGTGATGGATGCTGTGTATTGCCGGTTGCGCCGAAGTGTGTCGTCGTTCTTCGACCCGTTTCATGGTGCGGTTTCTGTAACGAAGCAGAAAATCGTCCCGCAGGAGGTAGATCGCAGTGCTGGTGGTCCAAGCGACAGTGCAGATTGCCAACCAAGCAACAGTGCAGCTGCTGGGGGCGCAAGAACATTGAACAAGGAACCCTTCTTGAACAACAAGATGGTGGCAAAAAGCGCGAGCACCACGACGCGTTTATTTTCTGACGCTGAACAAAAGCGGCCACAGATGACCCTATCTTCTTCGACGTCCGTCACAAACGCTAAAGCAACCCTCTTCTTGGAGAACGACAACGACAAAGAACTCCTCCGGAATGTGATCAACGAAATGAAGACAGGGGAGGAACTTCTTGCCTCCGCCACGCGGAAAACGAAGCGGAGGCGTGGACCAAATCGGAAGTGCGACGACGGTGGAGTGGAAACGGAGAGCGGGGATGAGGAAGGGAGAACTAGTACTAGTGTCGGTGATGTCGGGAAAAATAAACGCGAAAATAAACTCCGTCCACTTCCTCGTTCGAGCAAGAGCTTTCTGAAAAACAAGGCGAACAAAGTTGGTACCTCCAGTTCATGTTCATCATCCGCAGCCTCCGCAAAAGCCGTGCTGAAGCCACGAAAGTCTTTGCCTACCAGCTCTGCAAAAGGAAGACCTAAAGCCAAGCACGACTCTTCCGGCTTTTCATCGAGCAAAGATGGAAATAAGGGGAGGAAGACCACAACAAGTACAAAAGGAATTAAACTGCCGCTGGCCACTGCGGGCAACGCAAAACCAAAAAGTGCCACTGCTGCTTCTACTGTCACCAAGAAGGACAAAGCAGTCAAAAAGACGACATCCAAGAAGGCAGTACCGAAAGCAAAGCACAAAGCGAGAAAATCCTTGGCCAAAAGCAAGAAGAAATAGCAGAATGGCCATTCGTGCTCGACAAAGATCCGAGTTTTGCTTCGATTTCCTCCATTTGTGGCTTCTGAGATGAGGAGAAACTTTTTTCTTCTACAATAGGCGACAAAGTAGTAGTTTTCCTTTCTATTCACAACCGAGTAAAAACCGTAATGAACAACGACCAAACTGTATCTGTAAAAAGTTAGTAGACGGCGCAAAGATAGCCGAAGCGACAGTGTCTTCGTGTAAACAGATCTATGAATATCGAATTGGGATTGGCTGTGAGTGAGGCCTTGGCCAAGTGCCCAGTTTTTTTCGTGTTTTCTCCTGACGACAGAAGTTCGGTCACATCGCAAAGCGAAAGCGAAACAGGATGATCTCTACTACCTCGTCGATCATACAAGATCTTTTGGAGCTGGAGATGACCAGAAAAAGGATCATGGAGAGCAGATCAAGAAAACTTTCTACGGTCACGATCAATGAGCAAGGGAGTTCCCAAAAAATGTTCAAGAATCGATCTGAAGATCCAACTGAAAGTACTGCATTCCTCTGGATTTAGACTCCATGTTGTTGACATTCCAAGGCTAAGGTGACAACGTTCCTCTTCCTTCCATAATTACAGCGACCGTAGCTACGCTCCACCCACATCAACCACAACCTTGGATAATATCTACCGAGCTGCCATGTACTGTTGTCACAGTGCGGCACTTTCCCATCTTGTAGACGAGCCTGCCCCATAACGAGTCGACCACCTACGCTCAACTTTTCTGTTTTGATGTGTTTGTGTAGTTTATCGCTAGACCAAGATCTGCTCCCCAAGTAGCACATCGAGAACAAGTCTACTTCTTCTATGGAATTGATGAAAATGACGAACGCCACAAGTAAAGTTCGGCTGAACAAGACGGGCGCACCGCTCCAGGGGCCGCCCCAGAAGACCACGCCGCTCCACCTCAACCTCCTCGACAACGACAAAAGCAACGTGCGGCTCGCGCCGGACATCGAAAAGCAGCACGTGCACGCGGTCTACGACACGATCGCCGACCACTGGAGCCACACCCGGTATCGGGCCTGGCCAAGAGTGGCGGAGTTTCTCGAACGACTGGATAAATACGCGTGTGTAGCGGATCTGGGGATGGGGAACGGAAAAAACGTGATAGCGGGGCTTCGTGACTGTCAAAAGAACGTGGGCTTCTTCCTGGGCACGGACATCTCCGGACCGCTAGTTGTCGGGGCGGCGGCGAAAATCGAGAGCCTGGATTTTAAAGGTGAGCGGAGGAAAGCGAAAGAAGAAGAACGAGCAAAGGTGGATAACCTGCGAAGTAGTTGTAAAGAAGCTGCACAGGAACAACAAGCACAGGCAGCAGTACAAGGTTGTAGCTCAGAGGACGAGGACCACGTCGACTCGCCGCAACTCCTCGACTCCACAGCTGACTTTGCGGTCGCGGACTGTGTGAGCCTACCCGTTCGCGACGGTGTCTTCGACGCGAGTATCTGCATCGCCGTTCTGCACCACCTGTCCACGGTAGATCGCCGCGTGGCCGTTCTCCGCGAGAGCCTCCGCGTCGTGAAGCCCGGGGGGTTTTTCCTGGTCTACGCCTGGGCCCAGGAGCAGGAGGAGACCGGGTGCTCCCGGCACGTTTTCGAAACGCAGGATGTGCTGGTCAAGTGGCATCACAAAATCCCGGGGCTGAAGAAGGAAGATGTGGACCGGGAACAGGTGTTGGAAAAAATGCTCGAAAAAAACAGCCAGGCGGCGACGGGAGTTCTGGACAAGGAGAAGGGTGCAATCATCTACCAGCGGTACTGCCACGTGTACCGCGAAGGGGAACTGGAGGCGCTTTTCCGGGACCACCTCAGCGACATTAGCATTGTTGAAGAAGTGTACTTAGACACCGGAAATTGGTGTGTGCGCGCGAAAAGGATATGAATATGACTTCTGATGATGCTACGTACTGACTACGTACGTAGCGACAGTGTTACGCAAAGGCTATATCGAAAATGATACTCACGTCCCTGCTCGTCGGGCAGGTTCTTTTTTTCATCGCGGCGCAGTGTTCCAGCTCCAGGAAGGAAGGTCGATCTAAAAGAATTAAATTTAGATCTTGCTCCTGGAGCTCCTCGTCGTGATCCGAATTCGTAGTCATAGTCATACCTCCAGCTCCAAAGTCGTTCACAAGATTGTGACATCGCGGAAAAAGGCGTGGACATCGTGATCCTGCTCGTATTGTAGTCCTTCTGCAAGTTCACTTCTTAGTCGTGCCTTTCGCATTAAATAGAAAAAATATACGTTGCTTGTGTGCAATGGTGACCACCTACAGTACAATATTAAGAGCAGTTGGCGCTGATTTTCATGCCCAGACTCAGTACGACATCAGCAAGAGAGACCACTATATGGATAAAAAATACGCCGCACAATATCAATATCAGTATTACGCTATACGACGTTCGATCACTTAGCATCCGCGTAATTGGCCGAGACCGCTGGCTTCCGAAGGCGTGGTCTGAAGATCTCGTTTACATTATAGTTTTTGCCTTTTGCTTTTAGATAGGAGTTTCATATTTCTGCCACCTTCTGGATCTACTTTATGTGAATGAAAGTCGAAGAAGATGGCCCGCGGCAAAAACTGTCATGGCAAAAACAGAACTTCCCCCACCCCGGAACCAAGCGCCAGCGCCGACGGTGATCGTCCGTCGGAGAATTCCCCTGGTTCTATCCGGCTGACAAAAAACACATCGGACGCTGCTGCTTCTACTGATGAATTTTTGTCCGCTTTTCAGGCGGTCGCGGACACGTTGGTTGAGGCTTGGACTCCCGGCGATCAGGCGATCATCGACGGATTGGTCTCCCGTACGGATCTGAACTCGCAGCGCGTGACGGTCAGCGGGGTTGACAAGGAGAAGGAGCGCGTCTGCGTGTCTGTGCCAAGCTCGGGGGAGGTGGTGAAGGTGAAGCCGGACAAGCTGACGCGACTCGTCCCTGTAGAAAACGCGGAGGGGAGGACACAGCGCGTACCTTTGACAGAGTGCTTCAACAGCACCGATACAGCGGGCAGTGCTGGTGGGAGTGGTTCAGCCAAAGAGAAATCGCGAAGCGGCGGAGCAAATAGAGCATCCAAGAAAGATATAGCCGATGAGGTAGAGAATATCGCCGCTCCGAAAATTGATGCAGCAGCGCAAAACTCGAACTTCCCGAGCGAGAGCCTGTCTTTTGATGCGGTTCCTTCTAGCGATGATGGAGCTACCAGCCCCCGAGGACAGCAGGCGAATCACAGCAACTCCGCTCCCCTATCCCTGAAGCCCTTCAATCCCCCGAGGATGTTTCGCCCACAAGATTCCGCCATTTCCTGGGCGTTTTCCGCGAGTGTGCCGGGCGAGGTTAGGCGTGCGGTCTCCATCGACGACAAGAATTGGAAGTACATGGCGGCGCCGCTGCAGTGGAACTACCTCTGCATGCACATCGCGTACTACCACCACAGCGAACAGTCCACGCATTTTATGATCCAGGACAACGATGGTGGCGAGGGCTTGTTACTGTCCCTCTGCAGCCTGCCCGTGCGGGAGTGCCCGGTCGGGCTCGGTTTGGAGCCCGAACACTTCAAAGACTTCCACGCACCAGAATTGTGGTCGGCCGATGCGTCTAGGGGAAAGAAAGGGAAGAAAAAATGCGGAAACCCGCTAGGAGGCTCGTCCACCTGTAGCTCTGCGACCGGCGGTGGAGGTGAGGCAAAATCGGAAAAAACGTGCGAAAACCTGCTAGAAGAAGATGAGGAGAGAGGCGTCGTGCCGCTCGGGCAGCCGCCACTCTTCTGCGTCAAATACGCCCACACGGTGCGGGGAAAGGTCGACATTGAGAGACTAAACGCAGAAATGAATTTGTGGGTAAACGAAGTAGCGCTGGAAGGTAAGTAAAAATTAAGTTCTTTCTACAAGAAGAAAGTCAAGTTTTTTGCTGCCGTATTCTGTTTGTGTTTCTACAACAATGCGTGACCAAACGCCCGTGTGCCCTCCAGATTGCATTCCGCAGTTTAGTTTTCTTGCGAGACTTCATGCTGTGCAATTGACGAACAGGAACAAAAAACGACAGGTAATTCCACTGCCTCACCAGAAGACACCTTCGGCGAGAAGTTCAAAAAGGTGAAGCACCTGAAGTCCTGCGTTCGAAGCGCCGCCGCGGTCCGGTACGGCTGTGAGGTGCTGAAGCAGAACCAGCGGCTGCTGGTACAGAAGGAGCGCGCTGCGGAGACCGAGTTTTTTCAAAAATCGGTCTTGTTCCCCGCTCCACTGAAGGCCATGAAGGACGCGCACGCAGCGCAAGCGATAGTCCAGGAAAAGTGCACCAATTGCGGGAAACTGGGCGAGAACATGATGAAGTATCTATGTTGTATACGTTTTTCTTTCTTGATGTCTACTTTTACTTCTTGTCTCTGTTTTTTGACCTGGTGACCAACTACCACTACGGATGTCACAGGTGTTCGAGTTGTAGAATGAAGAAACATTTATTTCTCCACCCTACCTCAACAACGACAGGTGCCCCGACACCGAGGTGAACAGGTTTTGCAACGAGCGCTGTCGCACCGCGGAGAAGAACAAAAAGAGCAAGAAGTCGCACGGAGATAATGACCCTAATAGGCCGAGCGTACTGTTCGACGCGGTGGAGAATTCGCTCCAGCGAAAACAGATGGCCATGTTCGGCATGATGGTGGGGCCCGGAAGTGGCGCCAGTGCCTGCACCATTAACAACAAAACGGGGCAAGTTGTGTCGGGCGGTCCTCAGGGTGGCAAGAACGCCGAGAAGTCTTCTTCGCTCAACGTGTACGGTGACAAGGAATTCATCGTGAAAGTGCAGCCCCCGGTGGACGACCCCGATAACTCCCCGTGGATGTGTTACGACAAGCAGCGGTCGGTCCACTGTCTGCTGGATGCGCAGGGCATGACGAAAGAGACCCGGCGGAACATTGCCGGGCGGAACAGCCTCGCGTGGAAATTGGTGAAGAAGAAGGGGCAGGCGTCGAGGTTTCCCGACGGTGCGGTCGGGTACAAGGCGTTCTTGAAGGCGCGGTGGGAAGGCAGGATGGTGCGCGTTTTTTTGGATGACGTGGCCCCGTGGCAGACTTGGTGAGACGAACTGGCGGATCGATCTATGATTCGATGTCGGACAAATTCCGTAAATAAAAATAGATACCTCTGCTGGAATGTGATATTGATTCGTGTGGGAACGAACAGACGTCGCGAATTGTCGATGTACTCAGTCAAACTCATCACCTCAGTCACCAGAAAGGCTCGTCCATGGGTTATACATTCTTTCGAGCCTTTCCGTGCTCGGCATGGCATAGTGCAGTACGAGCTGTTCTTGTACTAGCGAATTCATTGACATTTTTGTTCGTTGTATGACAAATCTGCACAGAGACCAACGACCGGTGCAAATTGCCACTTTATGGCCGATTTACTTGCTTAGTCAGCGCGTCAGAGAATAGAACTTTTTTTCCACGCCCTTGTCCAGGTTTGTGTGGGCTTGCGAAAGTACTGTTAAGATTGAGCCTCCATTCAAGAGAGAGAGAGAGACAAGCAAAGAGAAATCCCCTGCATCGTTGGTTTCTTGTTTGTTCTATCGCTAGTTCGAGTATCAACCTTCCACCACAAACGCAGACAGAAAAAGAAATGAGATCGAGGGGAAGAGCGCCAACTTGAACATTTTCCGTCGGCTACTTCGCGTACGCTTACCTCATCGCAGTTGTGAAGTGAATTGTCGTAGTGTGTTGTACTGTCCTCGTGATAGTGCCTCGTCTTTCACCTCTTCGAACCATAGGAAAGTACTTAGTTCATTTTTGTCATTGCTGCTTCTCGTCTTGCAGCTAGAATTGCTCTAATTCAGCCTAAGGCTTTGAAAAACATACCGATCGACTATGGCGGCCGCAAGTAGCAGCAGCAGCGAACCTACGAGCAGCAACGGCGCTGCAGCAATGGACGCTATCGCGAACGGAACTAGTCGAGACTCTGCTCGTCGCGAGCCCACCGTCCCGGATTTGCTGGTCAGCTACAAAGGAAAGTACCAAGATTGGATCGAACAAGTCAAAGAGATTTCCTACAAGAATATGGAGAGAGCCTGCGAAACTAGAGTTTTGGATGCGCAGGTACATACGTAAGTGCGGTACTCGGTTGATGGCGGATGACATTGACTCATGATAGCAAAACTGTTGGTTCTCATAATGTGGCTCGATCTAGATGATCAGTGCCCGATCACCGGAGCGAAGCACTGACCATCAGTACTGATGAAGCAGGATTATTCAATACCAGGTGAAGCAGGTACTCCTGGTGAGATTAGGCAGGTACTCCTGGTCAGATTAGGTACTGATGAAGCAGGTACTCCTGGTGAGATTACATATCGTTCTGCAAAAATATCCTACACAACGACTGCAATGGCAATGCGCCACAGTTGATTTTCGGAAAACAAACTCAAAACTAAACAGATCAACCTCTGGCAGTTTTTCGCTACTCGGCAAGTCGCCCGCACACAAAAAAAATCCCTACCTGCTGACGTGCGTCGGGTCATCCGTGGCTTTCTTGGGCAACCGGGTGCGAGTGAGAGCGCTGGCGCCAGGGGAGCCGAAATCGCTACAGAGACAGCGCGAGCAACCGACCGGTTGCGTGCCATCCAATACTATGAGGGGCTCATCATGGACGCGGCGAAAACGGGGGCGGAGGAGTTTGAGATCACCCGGGCAGTGTGGGAAGCAGCCCCAGTGAGCCGGGGCGGAACGCCGGTTGACCCACTTCTTGTGGGTTGTTACCTGGCGGACCAACTCGGTTACAGGGTGACTTTGGGGCGCCGCTACGGCGAACGCGTCTCCTGTAAGCTGGTCGAAAATTTGGAGTTCGACGATGAAGATGGGCCACGGCTTGGCGAAGCGCTGCCTCTTTTTGTAGTTTGGCCGGCCGGTCACGAAGTGGGCCTCGACGCGTGTACACCATCCGACATCCGCAACATTGAAAGAATCAAGCAGGGAAAAACGTTGGTCGCTACCGGTGGAGAGATGTTGTCTGCTACCCTCCCTGAAAATCCAGCTGCTTCGCAACGGAAAGACACCCTGTCAGAACTCGAGAAGTGCTTCGTAGCAGCGGTAGACACGGCTTGCTCCAGTGCCCGAACGGCAGTGTATGAGCTTGCGCGACAAGCTTTCTCGCAAGGTCTGTCCGAATTCGTTGTGGACGAGCAGGTGTGGGCCGATGTTGCTGCCAAGTCTCAGCTTGCTGGCGAAAAATCGCCACCACTCTTCCGGCAAGACGTGGAGGCGCTTGTTGCAGGAGACACCGAAAAAAAATGTGCCGTAGCGGATTTGCTGCCTAGTGTGGCGCGACGACTAGCATTTCAGACCGATGGTCTTTGTGTCACGCCAACTCTGCCCGCTGACTTCAACCCGGATGACGATATCGACCAATTTTTGAAATTTTCTGGAAAGCTCAATCCAAGGCTGCCACTCCGTCTTCGACCGAAATTCGGACAAGATGCCACAGACGAACTGAGCGCGACACGCGAAAATGTTTAGCTACAGTTGGCGCAGGTTTGGCCGCAAGAGGACAACCACGCACGGAAGATTCTGACGCCGTGATGGCAGCGAGTAATTGTGAATAGAAACGACTGCATGTGCAGCAGCTACGGTGTCTCCTGATAATTCTTGACTGCTATTGCCGCGATCGAGATGGAAGAACTCATTGGATGAAATGCTTGCATCCAGTTTCCGATACGGTGCGGGTGTTCGTCGATTGTAAAAATGCGTGTGCAAAACAGTGACAGTTACGAAGTGAATGTCGCTTCACGAAGACTCAAGCTCATCACGTCAGAACATAGAGGCTCGCTTCTTTGTGTCCATCTACAATCTCTCTATGCCTGCGGTAAAATAGTGCAGCCGTTGTGAGAAGTTCAAATTTGTTGACAATCGCATTCGCTGCACGGCAGATTGGCACTACTAGCGACCACGAGCATGTATGTTACGCAAGACAAGTTGCAGCTCTAATAGTACTTGTTCTACCACCGATCCACTTGCTTGCGTTTCGCGTCAGAGTATCTTCTATTCGGGGTTTCAGTCGTGGTGCGCGTCCTTTCGAAACCAGCTCTACAAATTGAGCCTCCTTTCAGGCAAAAAAGAGAAAGGCGCAGAGCTGCCTATGATCGTCTACTTCTGAGTACTAGGCTTTTTAAGAAATTTGTAGGTACTCCTCGTTGTTTAAGTGCTTCGAAGTCTTTCAATCTTCCAGCGCAAGCAGAAAAAGGGATGAGTCCGTGACACTAGAACGACTTTGATGAACACTTTTGGTCTTCGCTTTTCAACGACTTGATCTGAGGGTAGACATATCTCTTTGATCTGCATCTGTGTGTTGCGCGAGCACTGGCTCCAAATTAATATACGACGACATTGCTCGACGTCTTGTCATTTTCCCCATTACTTCTGCTGGAACTTTTACTTTTACTTTTCAGAAACAGAGGACCACCCATTAATATGGCGGCCGCAAGCACCAGTAGTAGTAGCGCGCCTACACGCAGCAACGCCGCCGAAATGGAGGACATTGCGAACGGAACTAGGCAAGATGGTGCTCCTCGCGAACCCACCGTGCCAGATTTGCTGATCAGTTACAAGGGGAAATACCAGGATTGGATCGACAAAGTCAAGGAGGTCTCCTACAGAAATATGGAGATCAGCTGCGCTACTAGAGTTCTGGATGCGCAGGTAAGTGCGTAACAAGTATGGCAATTAGATGCTGAGTCCATGATAGCGCTAAATGCTTGTTGCGCTGGTCTGATCCAGGTGCTGATGATCAGTGCCGGCCGTTGGTTCTGAAATAACGGAGCCGCTCTCCACTTGTTTCGCAGTGGCGACGGTGAGGTCGTGAGCAGTAGTCTTTTTTTCTACATGAAAAACCACACTCGTCGCATGGTCAGTCCATTGCCGGAGTATTAAAATGAAAACTAAGAAAACAATATAACAGATCAATCTCTGGCAGTTTTTTGCCACTCGGCCAGTTGCGCGCGAGCGAAAGAAGTCCCTACCAGGTGACGTGCGTCGGGTTATCCGTGCCTTTCTTGGGCAAGCAGGTCCGAGTGAGACCACTGGCGCACTGGGAGCCGAAGTCGCGACGGAGACAGCTCGAGCAACTGACCGGTTGCGTGCTATCCAGTACTATGAAGGGCTCATCCTTGCCGCAGCGCGGAGGGGCGCAGAAGAGTTCATCATCACAGAGGAAATCGCTGAGGCGGCGCCCGTAGACAAGGAAGGCGATTCGATCGATCCCCAGATCGTCGCGTGTTATTTGGATCGAAAAGGTTACAAAGCTCTAGACGCAGAAGGCAACGAGATATCGACGGAGAAGATAAGTCGCTTTCGAAATGTTGACATGCCCCTGCCGTACACTGTTTCATGGGAAGCAGGTTTCTATTGCGGACCCTGGGCTTGCACGGAGGACCAACTGGACTACATTGACGCCGTTCGCGAAGGAAAACCGATAGTCGGTTGGAGACACGCCGATGCCTCGAGCAAGGATTGGAAGCAGTCTGCTGAAATAGAAAGTTTGTCATCGTTTGAAAAATGTTTCATAAAGGCAATAGAAACGGCGGCCGCAAAAGCGCATAAAGCCATCTGCGATCTCGCTTTGAAGACTTTTTCGGAAGGTAAAGGAGAGTGTGTTGTTGATGAGGAAGTCTGGGAAACGGTGTCGTCCGAATGTCTCCTTTCCGAACAGAGACGCCCGCCACTCTTTAAACGCGACGTCAAGCGTTTTGCGCTTACCAACAAGGACAAATTTGCCGACCTTGTTCCGAGCGTAGCGGAGCGACTAAGCAGCAAGACGCCAGGCCTGCTGGCTTTGTTTCAGGAACAGGAACGGGACCCTAATCTAGAAGAGGCAGCTTGGATCCGTTTACGTCAGCGCGGAGAAGTTGAGCCGCGTCTTCCAATTCGCCTCCGACCGCGCTTGGACTCTTCGTCAGCATTGCGCGACGCAACTTTGCACGGGGGCATGCGGAACCGTATCTAGAACTAGAAGTAGAAAAATGTTGCCAAGTAGCGTAGGGGTACAGCAGAGGTGAGGCAGGTTCATCTCTGTCTCTGATGTGAGCGGTGGCATCGCATGAAAGAAAAAGGACGATGACGACATCAAAGACGATATAACAACCGCGAATAGACGTAAATGCGGCACGAATTATGCCGGCTCCTACTAATAACATGCCAGCTATTAATATTCTCACGATGGACCGGGGGGCTGAGATTCTCTCTTCATCGACTGATCCGCCTGCAAACGATTCAAAGAAACGACCGTGTACAGACGCACATGGAGGACGCATGTGTTCCAGCTGAGCAGTTATCTTCTTTTAAATGTTCTTGACTTCGTTTGCGGGGGATGGAGTAGCATTTCATCTGGACAAGTGTTCTAAGTACAGCGTAAAGCCAACGGATAAGGTCACGCTCGATCGCTTCGGGAAAATGATGCAGTCAACAGTATGTGATTGTAGCATATCAACAATCATTTACATCAGGACCCGCCTCTAGCTCCTGTAGTCGTCATTCAGCACAATATAAAGATAAACGTGGCTCTCCATCTTCATAGTCACACTCACAGCTGACAACTAGGTGAAAAAATGCATCATGATATACAATTACGAAGCTTCCATCCCCGTCTGCGCTTTAAAATTTCGCGAATTGAAAGTGATCTCCACAGAGTTGTGAACGTCATCACGTCATGTGCGCTTCCACGCTCGTTTGTTTCATGATTCAGTTCTCGCTTGCGCTTGTCCTGGATGTTTTTACAGGTCTAGTTCCTTTTCTCAGACTAAACCTTGGAGCTCCTTCCGGCAGACAACTGCATTAGCACCAGGCACCAGCTCTTTCTTCTAACAACCACATGGGACCTCGTTTGGAGTCACCACAGGAACAAGACGCTCTCCCCCTAGAAGCCGGCGTTCTCCGCTAGGACGTGTAGTGCGATTGTTTGTGAAATAACCCTCGCACCCTATCCCCTCTTCTGCGTCGTCGTGTTCCAATATTACGGATACCTCCAGCACAATTATGGAGGGCGCCACGAGCAGGACGATGATTTCGCGCAACCTGACTTCCACCTACATGAAGTACCGGGCGGACCACAAACAGAAGAAGAACCGGTTCGCCGGAAGTTTCCTGACGGAAAATTCCTCCGCAAGACTACTGTCCAACCAGGTGCAGAGCGGCGGATCGTCGTCTTCCTCCTCGTACCGGGGGGACATTGAGCTGGACGTGCTCCCACCCCAGTGGATGGACATCGTCGGCGAAACCCAGGACAACATCATAAAAATCAAGGACAAACTGACCAAATTGCAGCAGGCCCAACAGAAGCGGTTACGACAGGTAAGAGTGGATTTTTCTCTAGTAGCGAAAAAACCCTCGTCTGTGAAGATGAAACCAAAAATGTGATAAAGACATGTGGGACGACAGGTGTTGAAAAACGCACTCGAAAACAGGTTTTCGCACCCGATAGCGACGTGCCAGACAAGGACATCGAGGTGATATCAACGCAGATAAGTAGTCTGTTCAAAACATGCGAGGAATTGATCCGGCGAATTCAAACGCAAGGGGCAGACATGGGTACTTAAGTGAAACGCAGACGGATCGCTTTTGTATGTGAAATTGGCCATTGCTAGCTGTGTACGTATGCAGTATCTACTAAGATAGACCCAAAGCAGGTCATGGACCGCAGTTCGAATGTCTGCAGCTCTTGACAGCAGCGCTCTACGGAAGAGGATTCTGCTCCACTACAACTTCATCAACACAACTACACCACATCAGGTATGACGAACAAGGAGTACGTTCTTCGACAGAACGCACAGCGGAACCTGGCGACGCAGCTCCAGCAGCTGTCACAGGAATTTCGCTTGTTCCAGAAATCCTACGTCGCAGGCTTGAAGGGCCGCGGGAACGACATGATATGGGATGACATAGGGTATGAAACTTAGTCTTACACTCTTCTAAGTAGACGCTCGACGCAACATTGAGTGTTTCTCACGGTGTAGATGTCCTTCCATGTGTCATTGCGTCCGTAGTGACGGTTATCAACTTTGGGAGAGATAATAACTACGAAACTAAACAAAAACGATCAGTGAGCCCGCCGCTGGTGGCAGTTCGCGGTCGCAGCTTTCCGACGCCCAACTGCTGCAATTGGAAGAAGTCGAGTTTAACGTCGCCCATCGAAACGAGGAAATCAAGAAGATCGCGCAATCCATCCAGGAGCTGCACACGTTGTTCAAGGAACTCGCCGTGCTGGTGATCTATAAATTGCAATAAAAGTATCGTACTAGTACGTACGAATCGCATGATGATAAACTCCGTCATCTTGCAAATTGGAATTTCTAATGCTGTTTTAGCTCAGGAAGGTGACGGCGGTTTGTCATGCATAATTGCGATTACAACTACCCTACGAGTGCGGTACTTTTGCAATGCATATGATCGATCAGGGAACGATGCTCGACAGAATCGACTACAACGTGGAGCAGGTGGTCAACCAGTCCCGGGAAGCCAACGTGCAATTGGTCAAGGCGGAAAAGGCGCACAAGTCCGCCCGGGCGACCAAGTGCATCATCTTCTTCGTCGTGGCCATTTGCATCGAGGTTTTATTGTTGATGGTCAAGTGGGGCTGAGAAAAGTGGTGGTGGTGCGGGGATGAAAACGTGGCTTGGAACAATTTTCAAATAAACCACGTCCACCTACTTCTTGCCGTGCGACCTCTATCAAGCAGAAGAAAATGTTGAAAAAAGAGTCGAAGACGTTGACACAGAATCTATACCTCAGGGTGCCTCGCACAGGCTCCGCCTGCCGCCTTCGTTTTCCAGAATACCACCAAGCGTGATGTCACGCTCACATGACAAAAAATCATCCCCGTAACTGTATTCAACATCAACGACGAAGGAAGACAAGGATGTTCGATTTTGACGATTGTGGTATCAACTTCAACGGAAGGAGCTTTTGTTTCGCAGAAACAAAGTTTCAATATTCAATCCCTAGATCCGCTGCCGAAAGTGAAAGATAGATGAATGCCAAATAACATCAGAACAAGATCCGTCAGCGCCAGCGCCAGCAGAATGTAGCTCGTGTTTTGTTGCGCCAAGATGAAGCTACGACATCACCACGACCGGGCGACGTTTCGTCGTGAATACTAGCTAGAACAATTTTGAGCTTTTCCTTCATCACCTTGCGTCTGCAGCTGCGTGGCTTTGTCAATACGAAGCTCTAGTAGTATCCACATGTTTTACAATAGCATCATGATGTTATGATTTTACTACAACTGAAAATTGGCACGCCTACTCTTTTCGATTTCCTAGCAAAGACGCAGTGCCGACTATGGAAGCGGAATGTTAGAAGAAGTTGTCAACGTAGTAGATCGTGTTTTCTTTCTACCGCCTGAAGTGATCTTCGAGCCATTTCTTGGCTGCCGCACGCCATTCATCGAATCATTTCCACTCGGTCACAGGACTTATTGATTCCTCGGCTTCTACCTAACCATGGCGATTTCTCGTCCGGAAGGTGACGCTGCGCAGATGAAGATGCAGGTCGACGCAAATCTTAAGGGGGGAGATTCTACTACTACAACAACCTTGGGTAACAAAACTCCGGCTGGCACACCAGCGCAACCGCAAGATCAAAAGGCGACCCGCGTTATTCCTCCGACGGAATTTGCCGACCCGAAGTCGAACAGCAAGGCGCTGAAAAGTGGAGGTAAAAGTACTATGCCGGTGTCGTCTACAACTTCACGAGCGGCGTCGAAAAGTCCAACGACGAGCGGTACAACTGGTACCGTTGTGACAACTACTTCGACGAATGCCGCAGGAGCAGCGATGCCACCAGGAAGCAAGACACAAAACCTCCCGGTGGATCAGGAAGAGGAAAAAAATGGTTTGGAGCAGATGCAAGCCCTTACCCCCTCGCCCAGCAGCAGCTCGTGGCGGCAGCACCAGCCCATCAAGGCCGCTGGGATGTCCCTTGTGCAAGGCGATCATGCAGCTACACCTGCTTCTTGCATCACGCCAGGAGTTGCTTCTACTTCACCGGTCGTTTTCGGTCCCCAAGGCCCCCCTACTTCTCCGATGACCGGTGATATGAACTACCGAAAGGAGAACCAGGAGCTTATGAAGCGCATGAACATCAATGCGAGCAGTTTCGGGTTATTTTCCGCGACAACCCGGAAGGCGCAGGTCGAAGAGCACTGGCTCCGATACCTCTCGGTCGACGACAAAAACCTGCTGTGTTTTCAGGTGGACGACCACGTGACGAGGCTGGCGCAGTGCGTGAAACACAACGAGAACGAGATGTGCGATCTGTTGAACCTGCCGAAAAATCTCTCGCCGGTCTACAACCCGAAGCGGTTTGGCGCTCTAAACGGGGAGCGCATTGCGAAAATCCTGGTAAGTTTCTGGTCGGAGGAGGGCGAGCTGGAGCGAAAGCCACTGTTGGGCGTGTTTTTCCGCTACGTGGACAAGATCGTCCGGTTGCACAAGATTGTGGGCAGCAGCACATCAACTGGTGGTTCTTCACTAGGTCAGAAAGCTACTTCTACAACGGAAGCAGCAGCTCCACCGGTCAAGAAGACTGCGTGGGGGGTGAACAACGGTGCGACTGTGACTGTGGAAAAGAAAAAGCAGGCCAAGATTGTTTTGGACGGGTCCTGGTTAGGCCGGTTAACCTACGAGTTCTTGGCAAAAGGGTAAGTTAGTACGTGCAACTGATTCTCTTGTTTACTAGATTTGACGCTGTATTCATCGCGCGTTCTTTCCGTAGCAAGAGCAGCAGCAGCAGCAGCAGCAGTGGCACGCCTGCATGATCAAATTATTTTGCACGAAAAAAAAAAGCACAAAGAACTCTCCAATACTTTTCAGATATGGTGACCTTTTTGAAGTCGCTACCCGGTTCGCTGACCCCCTGGAGCACGAACTAACCAAGCAGATGTTGAATCCGGACCGCACCACATGGACAATGTACCCATACGCGGCAGATCGCAACAACCGCATCCAGTACGACGAGCATCTCCGGCCGATCACATTTCCGGACATTTTTCTGGACGAGACAACCAAGCTCAAGACCGCCCTGGAGCGGGCGGATGACGCGAAACAGGAGGCAAGGCTCAACTTCGCGGGCGGAGAGCCAGATAGTTCCTCCAGTTGCTCGGGTGATGAGCAGGAGAACAAAACAGGGACAGCAAAGTCGTCAAGTAAAAAATCCGCAAAAAAGCAGAAAACCACGTCCACCCCCGACTTGGCTGATGCGAACGTGGTCAACAGCGGTGAAGAAAATAATAAACTCAAAGAGCAAACAACTGCTTCGGGCGAAGACAAAAAGAAAAGCGGCATTCTCCAGCGCCTGCCTGCCTGGTTGCGCGGATCGGCTGCTAAGGAAGCCGCAGTGCTAGAACAAAGTGGGACGGCGATGGAAAATGTCCAGGATGTCGACATGGTGTCCTCGCAAAACGGGCCTGCCACGTCGCAAATGTTGAATCTCCCCGACGTGAAGGAGCTCCAAGCCAACGCACTAAAGATGTTTTCTGTCGAGAAATTGTGGCAGCAAGACAGCAATGGCACTGCAACCTCGACGCACAACAGCGACGAGCCACAGACGGCAGGTGGACACCAATCCGAGAAACACAATAAAGCAGATAATGACAAGATCCCGGCGACAAGTGCGGACTACCCAGCTCTGACACCCTCAGTTAAAAACTCTAGTACGGTCAGCAAATCAACAACAGCGGCTGTAGAAGAAGGCCCGACGACCGTGTTTGTGACCAGTTACGGATTTGCGTATGCCCCGCCACTGAAGTTGTACGGCAAGCTGGGGTACATTTCCAAGTTTATCTCCGAACGGGAGGGCCACGTGGAAAAGGAATCCAGTTGGTTTTTGGACAAGCTTTTCGAGGTGAAGAAGTCCAAGGCGATGTACTGGCTCCACATCGGCACCGCCAGCTACCGCTGGATGACGCCGGCCTTCGATCTGCGCGCCGAGCAGAGCGGGTCGGGACACCTGGACCAGACGAACCCTACCCGGCACAAGCCCTTTTCGACCGACCTGCCGCTTTCCGTCGCGGATTTGCGTTTTTTCATCGAGGCCGCGGGCTACGAGTTTCTGGAAGACAATTTGCAGGTTTCGGTGCTGGGACAGAACACGCGGGCCATCGTGCAGAACGAAAACTCGACCTGGTGCTTTCTGGCCAAGCGGAAAGATGTGGTGGAGTGAATGCACGATGTTGGGATGGTTGGGCTTGCGTCGCTTCGGGTGATGGATTCTCTGACCCTAATTATGGAGAAACTTCTTCGTAATCGTACGGAATGAACTTCGTCTACGGAAGATGAAGGAGAATCAAACACGAAAAAGCATATGTATCATTTAGCAGGCGAAGATACGGATGCGATGGAGGTGTGACGTCGCACGAGCGGCGTTTACAACTATGTATGAATGGAACTTACTTACTACGTAGTGTTGAAAAACAAAAATGGATGAAAAAAATATTTTTCTTTGTGGAATTTTAAAGGCAAGGATCTTTGTTGGAGCAGGTTGCCGTTCTGGCGTACTTAGCTTGTACGTCTTTAATATCCTGACGAACAACGACAACGACTCCTCACTTTGACTTTAGGCGACAGAACATCTTCTTTGAATGATTTTTTACCGAAAAAAAAAAATACTGCAAAACATCACATGGATGTAGCAACAGCAGCTTCGAGGCGCTGCCGTAAACCGCGAGGAAAGCAGGCTTTCTCTGTCCTCTGGCCAGTGGCTTTTTGTTTTTCCATCCGCCGGCGAGAAAGGCAGGGCACTTGTAAAATTCCAATGATGTTCCCCTATTAAGTACATCTCCCTAGTTGCAGCTTCTGACGTCGTTGCTTACTGCTTCGAGGATCTCGATCGAAACGACGTCAGGTACTAGAACAACGGCCTTACGCGCTTGTGTTGATCGAGAATTTTTTCGCTGATAAGTACCCACATCCTTCTTGATGTGACACTTTATTCAATTATGACTCACAATTATAGCATTTCTTTCCCGAAGGCGACGACCAGCAATTCAATGAAGATCTCGTGTTATACAATGACTATGTCGAGCCCGAGCTGCTAGAGCAGAAAAGAACAACAAGGGTGGATCTCGTTTCTATTTATTCCTTGCCTGGTTTCAAGATCAACATCGTATAGATAGTCGCGTGAAGATCGTTGTAGTGTTCCTAGGCCTAGACGTCGCGAAGAACGTGCAGCTCTAGTTTATCTTTATAGTTTTTAGTTTGACGAGAAGATTCGGGTTGGATCAGTTCTTTCGTAGTCCTAAGAGCAACCCTGTTGGACCACTTTTTTGTGGCTTGGACTTCTCCTGAATAACGTCGATCCAACGAGACTTGAATAGCCGCGCGTATTTTGTTTTTGCCTCCGAAGATTTTTCACCATGAAGTGCAGACGATAATTAACGCTAATCTTACAGTGAGGCCGCGGATACAAAAAAAAGTCAATACATAATATAATTTTTTCAATGCTACTCGCGATCGTGTAGACGTATACGTAGAAGATTGTGGCCTCTTTATTTTGGTTTTGGACCACGTTTGTCGTGACACGTAAGAAGAAAACTTGTAGAATTATGAGGACTTCTCCCTTGGCATTTTTTATCGGCTGAAAGCTGAAAATGCTTCGAAAGTTGTAACTTCTTGTCGTTGTTGTCCCAAGAACATAGAAACACAAAAATACACTTTTAGAATACCCACGAACTTTCTCTAGAGCTCGGAAGTGACGACCCTCTAAATCATGATTTTTTAGCAAATTCATCAATTTTGTCTGATTTTGCAATCCAAAGTAGAAAGAACAACGAAAGGCGGGAAAACAAGTTGTAGTTGATTGGAACTAGACTACTGTCACACATCTAGTATTGGGACAACTTTTCCAAGGACTTTCATCACTGTACTTGGGTTGGATATTGAGGACTTCAGAAGGGTCAGGATTGATAGCCCGTCGAGCAAGCCACGAGTAGGCTCTTTCCCGAAAACCTATTGCCTGTTAGAGGACGATAACAAGGCCAACTGGAAACAAATTTATGAATAGTATATCAGGTCGCCGCTGAAATACAACAAGCCTGCAAATTCTGAATACGTAAAAAAACAACACCATCATCATCAACATCCCCTCGGGCAGAATCAACATCCTCCTCAAGCGGGTAAGGAAAAAGGACCTCATCTCCCGTCCATCAGTCAACGGTTTACCGCGTAGTTTCATCGGCAGCAAATCAGATTTGTTTGAATCATCAGGAGTTGTACTGGTAGAGTAACTGCAGAGTGGCAGTGGGTTAAGGAGGACAACAAGAACTTCACCTACGTAGAATTTTGTATCGGCGGCTCCGGAGTAGAAGAAGTCCTTGGCTTTCGAGAAAAGCAACCAGCAACAGCACGAAGCGGACCTGGTCTTCTCCAGACGACGTACCTACAGAAACTTCGTCAAGTGCCTTGGATTCAGTTGAGCAACTATGCGCCACGGGGGCGAACCAAATATCCACAGAAAAAAACCCATCCACATCCAATTTGTCATGCGAAACACGTATCAAGTCATGTTTTTGTCATGCAAAAAATAGAAGTGGATGTGTTTTTCTCTGCGGATACCAAATGAGCAACAGCGATTGATTCCAAACAACAGACACTGTACGGTGCAAAATTACACCGCCCCTGGACCGCCGGTAAAATTGCCGAACAACAGGATTCCTCGTCTTTATTTTTTTCCTTGAAATTTTTGGAACTGAAGCAAAAGCAAGTGCGTCCACCTGGTGCGGTACTACCTTTTTAGCTTGCAGCCAAAGTTTGTGTATACGTATTCCCTTGTGGTTTGAATTTACATTCTCGACTGCAGCTCTTTTTCTCCGTACAACTACAGGCACAGCACGTGAATCCGAACGGGCAGTACCTCCAAGGGCAGCATAATCCGTTGGCCCAACCCGAGGTCGCGCTCGCAGCGAGCCAGTTTCCGTTTGACCATCCGTACCGGCAGGCGATGCAAATTGCCGCCACCACCGGAAATCCCGACGTTCAGATGGCCATTCAGCAACAATACAACGAGGCAGCCGCACGCAACGGGCAACAACAGCAGCACCAGCAGTCTGCTACTAGCGGGCAGCAGCAGCACTTAGCCGCGCAGCAGATGGCGGCCCAACAGGCAGCGTTACAGCAGCAACATCAACAAGCCGTGGCTGTGGCCGCAGCCCAGCAGCAACACGCAGCCGCCGCGGCAGCGGCTCAACAAGCAGCCCAACACCAGGCCGCCGCGCAGCAGCAAGCCGCTGCAATGGCCGCACGACAGCAGCAACACCAAGCAGCTGCGGCACAACAGCAACAGCACGCGAGCCAAAGTCAACAGCAGCAACAGCAGCAGGGGAACGCGCAGCAGCAGCAGCAGAGGCGTGTGCGCGTTGAAAACAATGGGAATTACAACCATGACAGCAGTAGTGCGGGCGGTGGCTCCTCCGAGAAATGGGCTGTGCCGCCACGGTACAAGCTGGTCAAAGTTATCGGGAGTGGGAGTTATGGTACGATTTTGTTTATTTTATTGCGTGACAAAGGTTTCTTTCTCTGATAATTGTCGAGTGTTGTAGCTACTTACCATCACTTCAACATGTCCTTGCTCGTATGCTAGGCCCCCAGCACGACGCCTTGCGTATATATAATTTCCAGGTAAAGTGTGCCACGCCCTGGACCAAGAGACGGGGCGGTCTGTGGCGATCAAGAAAATCAAGCGCATCTTTGAAGATTTGATCGACTGCAAGCGGCTCCTGCGAGAAATCGCGATTCTCGGCTTCCTGGATGACCCGAGGGTGGTGAAGCTGATCGACGTTTGCGTCCCGGAGGATCCCATGAATTTTACCGAACTGTACCTCGTATTGGAGTTGTGCGACTCGGATTTGAAGAAGCTTTTCAAGCTCCCCGAGTTCCTCTCCGAGAACCATGTGGTCACGTTGTTGTTTAACACGCTCTGCGGTTTGAAATACATCCACTCCGCTGGCATTTACCACCGCGACCTGAAGCCCGCAAACTGCCTCGTCAACCGGGACTGCTCGGTGAAGGTCTGCGATTTTGGACTCAGCCGCCCAGTGGTGGACCCGGAAAACGACATGTTGTCAAACATCGACAGCAATGGGTAAGTGGAATACTGCTTCATGCCAGTCTTTTCGGGAAAGACTTGCTTCGTTGCGTAGCACGCTTTTTTCTATAATTTTGTGGTGCATGAAGATGCTGCTTTCCAAGCCAGAAATGTAACTGATGCTTCGGCTAACCATGCCAGAAATCCATCCTGTGGTGCAACATGGCTGAATTGTAAACTCCCTCGCTTCATCAGGTATCCCTCAAGCATGGAAGACAACGGATCGTCCACAGAAAAACAGCGACGTCTCACTGGGCACGTGGTCACTAGATGGTACGTTTTAGTGCTGCTTCTACGTGTTTTGTGATCATTTGGAGCAATGATATAGAAAAGTTTTTGCCATCGCTGCCGGAACAATATTAAAGTGCGGCACGAGACCCCATCGCGTTTGTTCTGCGTCACTTGGGCTAAGACATCTCATCTAAAGTCCTTCCCATGGTGCGCAATGCAAATTAAGAACTACTACTCGCTCCGCAGGTACCGTGCGCCGGAGTTGATTCTCCTCCAAGAAAACTACACGGAACAGATAGACGTTTGGTCACTGGGTTGCATTTTTGCAGAACTACTGGGCATGATACAACAGAATTACCCCCACCCGAAAGAACGCAGCCCACTGTTTCAGGTATGATTTTCATGCTGAAACAATAAAAAAAGTGCAGGACACGTCGCCGCATTTATAATTCATTGAATTTCATCTTGCAGCTCCCGGCATAATTGCCTTTTTTTTGATGCAGTAGCATATTGTGTATCTCACATCTTGAAAACAAGCACAATGCAGAACGTCGACGTTTGAGTAACCAAAAAAAAAACAGGGCAACACGTGCTACCCGCTATCCCCCCACAAGGAGCACGACAAGGAATACCAGTACTATTACAATAGGCAATCGCGGGACCAGCTGAACGTCATTTTCAACATTCTCGGCACTCCAAGCCAGGACACAATCGAGAAACTAGACAAAATTGACGCGAAGAGGTATAATTGTGCTACAATTCAACTGCAACAGCACGGGAAATTCTCTCTTCTTGCACTTTTCTTCAAATTGTACAACACAAGCGCAACACTATTGAAGGACCACAGTCTATGGGAGATGTGGTCATTTGCATTCAAGAGTTTCACTTTGAAAAAAAAGGTACGTCCGCTGTTTCCGTGAGCGCAGGCGCCTAAACTGGGAAGAGCTTCCGCGGTTCCAAGGCTCTAGTCCAGAAGCACTAGACTTGCTTGACAAGATGCTGGTACAATACTTGATGATCCGTAGTTTTTTCATGGTGTGTTTTCGTGATCGTCAACGTAAACGTTATCGTGATGTGTCTGGTGGGGAGGTAGCATGAGCAAAATGGTATACAATATCGTCTGTATTCCCACCCTGGTAGAGAGTTCTGTCTGTCATGTGTTGAACAAACGGAAATAAACAATATCAAAATCAATCCCGTTCAGATGCTTGACGCGGCCGAGCGCATCGACGTGGATTCCGCACTGCAGCACCCTTTGTTTAAGAACCTCTACAGTCCGGGCAAAGTCCGTGTGGCCGAGCGCAAGATCGTTCTGGAATTTGAGAACATCCCGAACTTAGGCGAAATGCAGCTCCGCTGCTACTTCTTGCTGGAAATCCAGAAGTTTCACCCAGAGATGCTCATTCCGGAAGCGATTCTGCAGCACCGACCAACACAATGCAGCTACAGTACCTAGTAGAGCTTTAGTGCGGGTAGTAAGTAGTTTTCTTGCTGTGATGATCTTCAGAAGTATTCATCAACTACAGTAGAGTATTAGAACAGAACTGGACTTGTACTGATATTGTTGACTCTTTGGCAAATAGAAAAACTATCACGGAAAATTTATCAAATGTACTCATATACTAGTTTAAACATCAAAACCAAAAACTACGACCGTACAGTATGCGTTTTCATTTGATTCTGAATCTCAATATCATGAAAAAGAGTGTCAGTGTCGCCAGAAAGCCATCACTTGAGCGGGTCATCGGACGCCGGATCGGGCCCTTTTTTTGAAGTCCGACTATAGTCGTCCGGACTTTGGGCGTGCCGTTTTCACTCTTATGTGTGCACTTCTTCTAATACTTTGCGAATGTTCATCAAATTTAGTCTTTTTGGAAATGTAACAAGCGGCATGTGGTCTAGATATTTTTTTTCTACTTTCTACGACCAAAACGACGACGACAACGAGTTCTACGGAATACACGGGCGGACGAGGCGACACGAACAAAGAACCCCCCCCACACACAGTCGAAACACTCTATTTGAATGCGATGTCAATCGTTAATATCCTGGGTTGTCTAGTATTCAGTATATCCAACTACCTTCTACACTTTGAACTTATTATCTTTCTTCTTCTTCATCAACTAACTTCATCTTCTATTTCTGGTATCACCTCCGATGGGCGCCATATTTATTTCGAAGATGGCGACCTGCTTCCAGCATAGCACTTACTAAAATGTATCTTGCTGAGAAAAAATAAAATCATAATCATCGACGTGAGGACTCCTATTTCATCCTTCTCACGAGTCACTTAGCGTTTTAAGTACTTTCACCGTCACACAAGAAAAAGACAATCTTAGTGGTGAACAAAAGCAAAAATCGAGAAATCACGACTTCGTCTGCTATTTGCAATGCAGACCCCCGAAAAAAGTAGTGTCTCTCTGCTGGTGGGCGAGAGCGAAAGGTCAGCCGTCTTGTCCTTTCAACTTTTTCTTTTTCTGCTTGAGCAGGAGAAGGACTGATAAAATCCAGATATGTAGGTTCAACATATTTCGTCAACACGAAATAGAAGTTGAAGTACAACAACGACCAGAATAGCACCAACAGCATGATATTAATCGCTTAATTTTCAATAATGTCGGCCTTTACGACACAAATTTTCTCGCCAATGCCACCGCGACTTGCTTAAATTTTTACGCTCTTTTCCAATATGAATATCCAAAAGTCCATGGCCAACATACGCTCAGCGCTATCAGCACTTGCGTTTGTCAATAGCCCCAGAAATTCAAATTGATACAACTACGTAGCATGTCCACCTGTATTGAATACACAGCTATTACCTCTTCCTTCTCGAGGACGCGATAGATGAAGCCGTCACTGTGATTTCAATATGAAGATGAAAATTGCCTTTCACCATGTTTCGAAACAAATGCGGGGCCGCAAAGAATCCGAGTATGGGGCCCAGGCCGCGCCGTAAATATGAGTGGACCACATCACTGCAAGAATTTCAACTTGACTACACACACGGAATTTGTGCGCGTGGTCTCCCTGGAAAGGCGTCTACTCAACAACATCCTCTCTTCCTCTCCTGCTGCAGCGATCGCGATGAAGCTGTGATCACACCCCGGTATTCAAAAAACAAGAGAAAATCACGAGACAGGTTCTTCATTGATTGCCGTGGTGTGAAACGCGAAAGCTGAGGGGGCAGGGGATGTCGCCATGCGCTGACCTCCCGTAGTTGTTTCCCTGAGATAAACTTCGGGTGCTGCAGGGCGCTTCGCTACTAAGCATCCTGAAACTAAAAGCAAGCCCAAGCTCTGATTGACATGGACAAGACGACGCTGACCTTCATTCGCTTCCGCCCGCCCAAGAAACAAGGACTACATATTAAACCGATGAGCGTACAAGACAACGACTGGATGCCCCGTATAGAGTTTAGATGAAGCCGCGAACAACCCAGACTTCATCTCATCGACGACCTGAAGTTCATTCTGAGGACAATCACATCAGATCATGTGATAGATGAAAGTTTAAGTGAATGTGTAAAAAACGTACCATGGTAGTAATACTATTCGTTTGCTACCGAAACAACGATGAAATGGTAGAGAATTTGGCACTGAATCATCTCCAGCTGTATGAGGCAGAGGCTGATGCGATAGTCATGTCGTGTGTTTGGGTCTACTTTGTATGTGTTCTGGGGGTAGATATCTTGATAAAATGGTGAAGCTGTCCGTTCAGATTCATATGCCGGCAGATCCAGATTGACACTAAGGTGCTCCAAAATCAAGATATAACGAGGAACATCAAGGAGAAAAAGTGATGTCAGTCGGTAGTGTAATTGTGGTTTGATATGTGTCTAGAAAGTACATCTTTTTTTCGAGATCGCCTCGCTCTTCATCCTATCAAAATTCCATCGATTTGGATGTTGTGCATGTTGGTTGTAGTTTTTTCCGTGTGAGATCGTGAAGATCACGCGTGTGAAGGCTCTTGTGGTCGTAAGTTCATCCACGTGGCAGAGAACAAAGTGATCGTGATCCAGGTGGAGATAAAGAATTGAACCAAGAGTAGTGCCGGATCTGAGCTCTTGAAGAAGATTCTGTTGTGGCATGAAATCAAATATGAAACCGAAGGTGATCCCAATCCCTGCATGACCAGCGCCGACGCAATATTGAAGAAGCTTGCTACGAAGGCGATGATAAGGAGATGAAACAGATGACATAGCCGCGGTGCCGTGCGTTAAGTAATTGCGTTTTGGGTCGTGCTTTACGAGGCCCATTTTATTTTTTTCATCGCTAGTTTTTGATGAATGGTACGGGTATGTTGATGATTTTGGTTCCTTGCCCAAGGTAGCAGTAGCGCTAAACAAAGTGAAGATTGATCTACAGTATGGTAAAAATGATCTTCTCTCACTCTCTCTTCCCGAAGAGTCAGCAGTTGTCGCAAATCGCCCGCACGGTTGCTAGTACTATCAGGGGCAGGGTAAAAACAATAAACTTGACCTGTACACACAAAAATAGCCCCCCGCAGCTATACAACATCACATAAAGTAGCCTCTGCTACCATTACAGCCACGCTTTGCTTTTCCCTAGTCCCCTCCGCCGGCATGCCTTTGGTAGTGCGGGAAGAGCAAAATGGTAGACGCGTATACGGTGGCTCTCGCGCGCGAAGTTCCAGACCGCTGCGCGATCGAAATAGTGCAAACATCGAGACTTACAACGGCGACGACGGAAGTAGAGTCAAACAAGCGCAACTCGTCTGCCACACCAAAATCTCAGCCCGTGGTCTTCACCCAGCTCACCTATGCGGAACTGGAGGAATTGAGCAGGAAGATCGAAGTGGAACTTATTCGAAATTATTGTGGCGAACTTTATTCCCAAACCGGAACCACTACCACAGCCTATGAAGAAACCACCACGACGAGTTGCAAACTGGACAAAGGTGGCCTATCAGGGCGGGTCGTCGCCTGTCTGTGGCCGCGACGGCGCTGCGCAGCTTGGTACGCGATCTATGTCGCCTGCTCCCGACTCGAATGCGCGCTCCTCTTTCTGGATCCCAGCAACGCCGACTGGAGCCGGCGGGCTTTGCAAACTGTGCGGCCGGACATCCTTGTTGCGGACTCCAAGGATTCGGTCGTGCGGCTGTTGTCGGAAAGGAGTGGGTTGATGGCAAATAAAGGGGCTCCTAGTGCTGGGTTTGCTCCTACTAGTAACGACCAGGAGCTGCACCACATCAATCACGATTCCGCAGGACCTTACAACCTGACAGTGAATACGCTGGCTTTGGCAGCAGGGACTACAGTGCTACTGGTACGAAAAGACGATGCAGATGTTTCTGAAGCAGGTAGACCGAATGTTGCCCAGCCTGAAAAAATCTTTGGTCAGGCTGCTGCGTCTCGAATCAACGTCGCGGCGGCCGAGACGGAGGCGCCAGGCTTTATCCTGGAGCGGGTCCGCGTCGGAGGAATTTTGCGGGAATTATCGAGGGATCTGACCTCCTCGTCCACCTCCCCGACCAGGGAACTACAAGGCATCAAGAACGTGTCTCCCTCAACCAGTGCCTCTGCAGCAGCAGCACCACATGAAGAGGAGCTACAATCAGACCATACGAGAATTACCACCACCGTCGGGGATGAGCAGCAGCGTCGTGCGGAAGCGAATGCTCGGGACGGGGTCGTGTGCCTGTGTGCCACGGGCGGGACCACCGGCCAGTCCAAATTGAAAGTGGCGCGCTGCACTCGGAGGATGGTCCAGGCCGAGCTCAGCTGCTACCCCCGGCTTTTCGAAAAATGTAACTTCGACGTCGAGATGAAACAGGAAGGAGCTGCGCCCCGCGTTCTCCAGCCGTCGGCCTTCGCCTGGGGTGCCGCTGTTTTCGGACAGATTGACCTGACACTTTCCCTGCGCGGTACGCTCGTCGTGCTGGACGCCGAAGAGCTAGCCCAGCCAAATTTCCTCGAAAGCCATGACATTCACATCGCGGGGCTCACCCCGAGCACGTGGAAACGGATCCTGGTTCCAGACTGCCTCCGTGTGGCAATCTCTTGGGGCGAGGCCTGTCACGAAGAAGTTTCGAGGAGACAGAAGAAGTTTGGGATGAAGATTTTGCAGAAAAAATCTCCTGTTGATGTTCTTGAGAACAACGCGCGCTACCCGGACCCACCTCTAAACACGACTCACTCGACGGTACCAGCATCGGAAGGCGGACAACTACAGCTGCCCCGCCCTCCACCCCCGCCACTCATTTTCCTGGATTTACTCCTGGCTACGGAATACTGGTTGTCTTTCTACCGTACGAAAATCTCCGAACCGTTCCAGTGCATTGCCGACCGTACTGAGCTGGAATGGAGGGTCTCCGCAGATGAAACCGCTACGCTTGCCGTCTCCGGAAGCGCGGTCTTTGCTGGCTACGTCGATCAGGACGACGACATCAGGCCACACGTCGAAAACAGCAATTTTTTTGGCACCGGCGACAGGATTCGCTTGGCTATTAACGAGGAAGATGTGCAAGAATCGACAATAAACAAAAACCATCGAGCGTTTTTCTACCTCGGTCGTGATGTAACCGACACTGGAAATACTAACGGCGTAAAAGTCAGCGGCGTCTGGGTGAATTTTGAGCAGGCCATGCGGGCGGTGCGCGATTTGACAAGAGACACTTGCATCTTCGACTCCAAGGCCCTGTGTGTGGTTCCGTTTCGCGAGAAAGACATTTTGCGAATTCGGCAACTGACGCGCGGCGTGCCTCTGATTTTCCTGGAAGAGATCCCGCGACATTCGATCACGTCAAAAGTTGCGCTGCCAGCCTTACGGAGCATTGTCTCGCAGAAAGGACGTGTGGAGGAAGAGAGCAAGAGCTCCGGCGCAAAGGGCACCAGCTCCAGCGCCTCCTGGCGACAAAAATCTTGCACCGCGAGCAAGTTCCATTTTTTCCAGGCAATCGCGCAGCTGTTAGACCTACCGCGGCCAGACCTTTTGCAGGAAGATCTGAGCTTCGCCGACCATGGTGGGACCTCCGCTCTGGCAGTGCAGTTTATCGCGTCTACTTCGCACGAACTCCATGGAATTCTGGGCGTTTTCGATCTCTTGAATGAGAGAAATTCCTTGGCGGACTTGTGGGAGAAGGTGCAGGCGGCTGCCGCTGCAGAGTTTTCAGGAAACACGACTGTGTTGACGACGACGAACAGTGGACGTAGACGAGGAGAATCTAAAGAAGCAGCATCTACTTTGGAAGATCATAATGAGGCAAAAGTAGCACCGCCTTCCTCCCGTGCGTCAAGAGTGGGTGCGTTGTTTCCGCCGACCGCAGCGCAAGACGCATTTCTAAAGCTAGAACTGACGGAAGCTTCGGAACAATGCGTGCTATTGCAGACGCTTGCGCGTGTGAGCAACTGCGTTGCCACCGTTTCTGAATGGCGTGACGTCATTCTTGAGTTAGTTCAGCAGCATGATGCGTTTCAGGTCCGCCCGGTGTGGGTGCGCGATCGGGTAGTTCTTTGGCAAAACATTCTTGGACCTGCGAATCATCATGCGGAAACTGGAAATACAGAGATTTGCGTGGTCCGACAGGAGTCCGCGTCGATGCCAATCTCGCACGGCACTACAGCGACGGGGAATAACTGCTCGGCGAGCAGATCGGCGCTCCATAAGGTAATGGAGCAAGACTCAAAGCGCAAGTTCTTTCAAGCTGAGGATGGAAGCACGTGCATTCTGTGGCGATTCTCCTTGATTGTCGATGCTGCAGGGGGTAATAACGAAGATGATCGAGGAGACGAGGACACTACGCAAAGCCCCCACGACCGCTCCCGCCGAAGCCGAGAGGTCGCATCCTCGTCCAAGAGAAATGAAGACGATCCCATTGTCACTCACATACTTATCTCAGCGTCGCACGCCGTTTGTGACCAGTGGGGAATGACGAAGCTTCTGGAAGAACTCGCGCAAGGAATTATGAGCCGTTCCTCGTGTGGGCAATCAAATTCGCATTCAAAACCTGTTTCCAGCACTGGTACGAACAACTTCCAGCAGTTTTGTGTCCGAGAAGCCTCCGCGCGTTCCCGCAAGAACTCCTTTGCCTCCACACGTTTCTGGCAAATGCATTTTTCTGGGACGACAAGTCCTTGGAGGAGCCATCGAAAGGGAAGCGCGTCGGGTTCTTGCACTTCGAGATTGGACAATCGAACGCCGCTGCAGTCTGGGAGACTGGAGCAGTCTGATAGTGCTGCAGGTTGGATATCTAGAAAAGAAAAGGCTATACCAACGTCAGGGGCGACAGCAGAGGCTCCTCCTGGAAGCGGTTTATCTTATCATCCCCTGATTGACAGTACAGAGCTATACCACAGTAGGATCACAACGACAGTCTGGACGAGCTTTAATCGCACTGACTCTGGCCTCCTCGGATGTTGTTCATGCCTAAAAAGGCTAAAGCGACCTCAAACTGCCTACCATCTGCTTTGCCAGTTGCTGGTTGGACCGTCGCGCTCGCTGCTGCACCTGTACGCCATGTCGAACGACATCGGCATGGGCCTACGTGCTGCTCCCCTGTGGTTTCCTTTTTCTGCGGAGACGAACTTGGAAAATTTTTCCGAGGACATAGACAAGGGGATTGTAAACGGCATGGAACATAGCTGCTACAGTCTTGTCGAAGTCCGCGCTTTTGCCGGCCTGGCAGCCGGCGAGCCCCTTTTTTCCGGCGTGGTGGTGTGTCACAACGCGGGAGCTGCAGCGGCAACGGATCCTACTGGTTCCTCGTCCTTGATGTCCATAAAAGGTTCAACGACAACCTTGCAGCCAATCATGGAAAGCGAAGTGCCGAGCTACGATGTGGCGTTTGAATTTTCTGCGGATCAGAAGTTTCGGATTCGTGCGAAAGACCCTGGTCTCGCCGTGGCCCTACATCAGCGGTTATTCTGCTTGTTGGACGGTTTTGGTACGAGCGCGGCGCTTGCTGGGGATGAAAGCCAAACTGTAGAAACGATCGGGGAGTTGCTGACGCGCAGCGCAATATGGGGAAGGATGTTTCAGAGTCGTCCCGAAACTGGTGTAGGGGTTTTGCGCCTGCCCTCTGACGGTTGCGATGAGGTGGGTGACGTTAATGGAGGGTCTTGCAGCCTCCACGCACGACGTGTGCTTGATGTCGTTCCGACTGAAATTATAGGCGAAGCGGAAGATCATGCAGCAGCTGCGACTAGCCGCAACGACGAGCGCGACGAGATGCTTCTATCGGCCTTTTTCCAGGCGTGTGCATTCAGTGCGGGGCATCAGTTCGATTCGGCATCCTCATTGGGAATCGGTGTGCTTTATTATCCAAGTTCTGAAGAAAGTAAAAGTTGTGAAGAAGGCGATGGTGCCCCCCATGATGATCCGCGAGCGCGCCGATCAGCATCAAGACCGTCAACAAAGCAAATGTCTGTCATCTGCTATGCGGAAAAAGCCTCACGACTGGTGCCACTTTTGCAAACGCAAACCTCGATGAAACACGGAAGAAGTATGGCGAAGGATTTTCTCAGGCTAGTTCACAATGCTCAACAAGCCAACAAACTTCAAGTCGAATTCCAGTGTTGGCACGAAGCTGCGTGTGGAACCTCGGATGTGCCGCCGTCCTGGGCTTGCGTTTACGTCCCTTCTTGGGTGAAAGAAAGCGACGTATTGATTCATCATCCCTATGGTCTCGACGACGAGCCGGAGCCCAGGCGTTCTCGGCAGCTATATAATGACAAGCAAGATAATGGAAATGGAAATGGTGGCAGAAGTTCTCGTGACGTAGACCACTCCACCAGTGTATTACCTATCCTCGGGGCAGAAGAGTGCATTCTTCTTTTCGGAGAGACTGGTCGTCTCTCCTACTCCGGCAAAGTCTATTCGCGGCAGCGAATGGAGGATCTGGCCGACTGCATCCGGAAGCTTGTGCTGTCAACACGCGAGGTGGAAGGACAACAAATGGAAATGCTGCAAGATCGAACAATACAATTGGGCCTTTCATCTTCCAAGGCAGGGGAGGACAACTCGGGCTCGTCCTCGCTGTTGTGCGATGAATATCAAGCGGGACCACGAGCCACTGTAGCATGCGAAAGCGAAGCGAGAGCAACAAACGCTGAGCGAAGGGGAAGGACCACGATCAGAACAGGCCACGACGAAAATCCCAACATAGTGGATGCATCAGACTCAGTAACTGCTCCAGACCGCATCCCTGAGGGCTTGGAAGTGATTCACTTGGTTCTGCAGCAAGCACTGCGCACCCCGCACAAGACTGCTCTTTTCATCCGCCACGGTCGCATGGCTGTGAGCTACGCGGAACTCGCTTGGCTACTCACGGCGAAGGAAAAAGAAGCAGGTGGACAGGAAGTATTAACCGCGGAAGGAGCTTCAGCATCTCCACATCAGCTGCGCGAAAATTATGTTTCTCCGATACCTCCTCCAAAGGTTCCGAAGAAACGCCGCCGCCTTGTGCAGAAATTTCAACGCCTCTGCGTTCTAGCACAAGGTGGACCTGGACCTGCGGTCAAGCCCAGCCGCGCACTCCGGAAGTTGAAGCGGAGGATTGAGAAAGAAAACGCAAACCTTCCCTGCGTCGGGGGCGGCGAGCACGACGTCGAGGACGGCGGCGGGGATGGCGAAAAAGACGAAGACTACAGTGCTCGCGACATCGAGATTTTGTGCATTCTTCGTGCCTTGTTCTTTTTCGGCTACTACATCCCGATCCCATCGAAGAAGGACACTCCGGAGCACCGGATCAGGGCCGTCAGCTGGGTAAAGAATTATCCCTTCCATGAGCCCGGAATCGTCTTTCACACGTCGGGCACGACCGGGCGCCCCAAGCCGGTCATGGTCACGAACCGGAATATCCTTTCGCACTTGCTGTATCTACAGAAGAAATTCCCGCTGCAAGCAAACGACACCGTCCTGGCTTGCATCAACTGGCAGTGGGTTGCCTCGTTTCCCGAGATCTTCAACCCACTCATTTCCGGCGCAAGTCTTTTCGTGTCCGATTTCGCAAACGCTGCGGCGGTACTGGTGGCACCGCTTGAAAAGAGCAACAGCTGCACAAGACCACCTCTCGCAGGAGGAGGAGCACCAAGTACTTCAACGCCTTCGCCTACAACTTGCAGAAAAGAAAAATCCCAAGCTGTTCATCCTATAGCTGCCATCTCAGCTTGCCAGTTCGTTCCAAGTGTTTTAAATGCCATGTCGGACGTGTTGGATTTGTCCAAGATTCCCACCCTCCGTCGCGTCATTCTGACGGGCGAACCGTTCCCGGCCAAGTACTTGCCTCTGGCGAACAGTATTCAGTACGTCCTGAATCACTACGGACAGACGGAGGCTGCGGACACCACGACGCTGCTGCAGATTCCGCCCGGGGAAGAGGAAAGGAAAAAAATAAAACGACACGGCGTCGTGCCGCTCGGGCAGCCAACCCCGTATCGGCGCTGCCAACTGCAGCGAGACGGGGGTTGGCTGGCCCCCGGGGAGCTCGAGACGCAAGGACCGGGGCTGGGATACTACATCCAGGACGAGCGTAGAAGTAATTCGGAGGAACATCATGAGGGAGAAGATGGCTGCAGTTTTCGGGATGCTCTTGGAGGATTTGACCCATATCAAGCAAATCCAGAGGCGTGGTGGAAAATGTTTTGCGAAGCATCGAACCGTCCCGCTGGTGAAAATGTTGCTTTTAATACGAGCAAAGATGTTATTGCATCGTCACCCTCGTCTCCTTCGTCAGGGGAACATCTTCCAGGCACCGATGGGGCTACTTCGCATTCGATTCGTCTAGAACTCGCCAGTGCACAAAAAGCACTCGTCTACAGAACGAAGGGACGAAGCACCGAAATACAACGACAGCTGAACAACCTTCAGTATCGTAGTGCAAGCGACTGGCTTTGGGGGCTAACGCTGTCAGTGATGGGTACACTAGCCGGTGGGATGAACGACCAGGCACAGCAGGGCGAAGGCGAACAAGGAGGGTGGAGCAAAAATAGCACGACTTTTCCCTGGATTATTCCTTCGGAAGTTCTGCGTGAACTTCAAGCACCACGACATGACAGCGGCAGCCTCTCGAGGAAACTCGTTGCAGTCGGTCGCTTTCTTCACTTCTTCGAGCAAGCACTCCCTTGCTTTCGCGTTCGTGAACGCGCAAATTACTCATTCTTGCGTGCACGCGAATCCGCAAGCGGGCCGAATAAACTTCAACCTGTCGCACGCCGTCCTTCGAGTAAAAAAATACCGTTTGAGCCAAGTATTTCCGGTCCGGGCCGAAATTTCCGTACTGGGGACGTTGCCCGACGGGCTGTGGGGACAACTACTCCCGACCTGCTCGGCGCTGGTAGGAAAGACTCACAGGTGAAATTGCAAGGGATGCGCGTCAACCTGCAGGAGATCGAAGCGGTTTGCCGGGAAGCGGCCCGAGAAGCGGTGTGCCTCGTGACAGCGGAAAAGAAGCTTGTTGCGTTCTTCGAAGCGACCAATAGAGATGTTGACATAAGCGCCCTCCGCGGGGCATGTGCGCGGAAACTTCCAAAAGCCTTGGTTCCAAGCAAATTCGTTTCGGTCCGGCAGTGGCCGCGGCTAGCGACGGGAAAGATCCACAAGAGACGACTGCTGGGGATAATGATGACAGAACAGCCTGATTCTACCAGCGGCGCTGGCGATCACGTCGGCCCCTCGATCGGCAGTAAACACGAGGACGAAGTAGCCGATGATCAACGTAAACAGTTACGGTCTACCTCCCGACAGAACATCGCTAAACGCCGTGATCATGTACTGCAGCAGGCTGCTTTGTTGAATTCGTCGTCGGCGCCCCTAGGTCAACATACTTCTGATCTCGCTGATCAAGCCTACCCCGCGGTCGAAAAATACAGGGAGACATTGACCGGCTTTTTACTCTTGACATCAATCTGGCTCTGCGTCGGCCCCATTCGGTTTCTGATGCTGCCCTACGTCTACTACGCGGCAAGCCTAGTCCGGAAATACTCGCTCAGCAACCCCTGGCTCTTTGTGTTGATCCATGAAGTTTTTCTGGCGCGAGTTGCACGCAACGGAACGCTCAAGTTGCTCGAAATGCTAATTGTGGACGAAGTTCCTCCTGAGGCACCACTGGACGTCGATGCAGAGGGTCGTCGCGCTCCTGCAATTGCAGCTTCACGCGCTAGTACAACACCCACCCCGCAAGTAGACGAGCCGCCTGCATGGAGGAAGGCAGCGGAGGTTGTTTTTGGCTCCGCGGAGTGGATTGCAAAGTACCTTCTCGTGATGTTCTGCGCCCTGCGCTGGCTCGACTTGAATGCATTGCTCTTTCTCTGGTTCGTTGCTTTCTCACACGATGTGCTACTTCCGCTGGTTTTGTACCCGGTCTCCGAGCGGCCGAATACCGAGTTCGCGGTTGTGTTTTACGTTTTTCTCCGCCCGCTGGGTTTCGCTTTTATGTTCTTCATGGGCTTCTCGCAAGTTTTCAAAGACGACTCGTACCAGCTCGGTTACTACTTTTTTGAGCAGCACGGTCGGGACTTGCTGTGGTCAGAGTTCGCGGCACCGGTTGGGAGGTCCATTTGGTATTGGACCCGCAAAGGCGCTACGGATTTGTTACTGAACAAACTTTTAGCAACGAGGCTGTTGCTCCCGACAGAGCGAGAGCGCCGTCGCTCTTTTGTCTTGACCAGCGCCCCATCCGCCTTGTTCAGCAGGCTCTTTTCATCAACATCTACTGCAAGAACTACGTCAGACAGAATTTCTTCCCAGCTCCGAGGAATTTTCGATGCCGCGGCCGATATTTCGGGTACCATTTTTCCTCCTTCCGCACCTCAGCCGCCCCTCTGGTTCCGTCGAACAGCCTCGGTCCCGCAGTACGAAGGCAAGGCGTATGGAACTGATGTCAGGGTTGAAATTGACAAAGTTGAAAAATTTGTGATGCGTAAAACCGATACCAGTCGGAAGCCCAATTTCTAAGCTGTGCATGACAAATTTTGACGTCATCGAAATCTAGTTTTTCATGCCGTTTAGCGAAAGGCGGCATCCTTTGTCATACTACTTTAGCAGCTCTATTCCAAACCCGAGACAGGCTCACAATCGGCCTCACTTGCAATCCCTGCAAGACAGTCACTTCGTGCCTTGCATTTTATGCATCACAGATTCTTTCAACTTTGTCGATTTCAATCCTGACACACCCATAGGGCGGCAAAGCTGTCGATGGCATACTACAGCAAGATGGGGGACGATCTGTTGAAGGCGCAAATAGAAATGAGTACTTCTGCATCTTCAGAGGCCACAGATGTTGCTAGGGACGAACAGCCTTTGACGGCACAAGAACGGCTGATCAACATGATCGCGACGAGAATAATTGAACCTGCTAGTACAGCACCTGCACCGTCTGGAATGAATACTAGCGCGGCCAATAGTGCCAGTGCCTTGTACAGAAGTTCGATCCACTTGCACCGACGCAGTTCATTGCAGGCTAGTTTGGACAGTTTGCGGCTGATGCTCTTCGCGAGTCGCTTGAATGCCGCTGGATTTTCGATAGCGGTGAGCACGCTGCTACAATGCGCTACGTTGGACGACGTGTACGCGAGCATCCGGGTCGAAAATCCAGAAACAGTGGAAAAGCAGCTGGTACAGGAGGGGCTTGTCAACGACGGCGCGGAAAAGACGACTGCAGGCCGCGAAGCAGGACAGCCAGAAGGAGATGCTGAAGATATGAACAATACGGGACACGAAGTTCATTTTGCGCCAAGAAATAAAACTGGAGATGCGAAGATGAAAAAACAGATATCATCACTGGTGACAGTACAAAGAGATTCAGAATCCGCCGCCCCATCTTCTGCAGCTCCTTCGCGGCCGACAAGCCCGCCGTGTAGTTCTTCGCAGAGACCGGCAATGAACGAGCAAAACCCTTTGGAACAAACTCCTGTCGCTCGACGAGAGCCCCCCTCGTCGTGCTCCACTTCGAGCAATAGGGTTGCATCATCTTCCACAGGCTTCCCCTACCCGCCGCGCGCGAAGTGTGTCGACACTCAAAGTGGGAAAAGAGTTCTCGATGAGGACAGGGCGAGACGCTCCGCGATGACCGGGGAGCTTGTTTCCGACCCGGATTACCCGGGTGATCTGCTTTTCGAGCACCGTCGTCTTTACCGGACCGCGGAGAGTGAATCCTTTCATCGGATCGATGTCACTTTTACGCTGCTGCGAGAAGATGCGTGGGACATCGAGGCCGTGCATTGTGCTGTCTTGCATCTGATCAAGCGTCACGTAGGTACAACAATTTGATGTTCTCGGAAATTCTGCTTCTAAGTAGCCGTGCGCGTGCTCTTCACCTTTTAATTCTGATTCGATTTGTTCTAGATCATCCTGCTGACCAGATGATCACTCTGCACCTACAACGAGCTTCTACTTCATCAGGTTTGCGTCTCAGTTTCTACGATCCGGGTGACTTTCTGAACTACATGCAGAGCGCAGCCTCCCATGCGATGCAGATGAACTCCACTTGGTTGTCGCGACTGCTTTACATCGGTTGGCCACGTTGCTGCGTTGCGGCTGCAGGACACCAGCATGAACAGTTCGGCGGGGGAGCGACAGCACTTCTAGCGGACCTCGACGCGCAATTTTCCCGATACTTTCAGATCATTGATTTTCGTGCGTCTCAGGAAAGACAGCGGAGTATTCAAAGCGAGAGAACTTCATCCGACGCGCCGGTTGCAGCTTCTGCTGTTGCGAATAAAGGCGCCATTCGTAGTGCTCCTACAGCCGACGTTCCTGGTGCGGAAGAAACGGAATCTGCCGGTGACCCGGACTACCGAGATTTGCCAAGCTACTTGAGGGACAGCTACCACGACGTATTGCCGCAAGTTCGTGCTGTCCTGTCGACACGACGTCAACGCCTTTCCGCTACAGCGGACCAGCGGCGGCACGTGCTCAAGCTACATTTCACTCACGGTGTTGCAGATGGCGGAAGTGGAAACCCGTTGCTCAAAGACTTTGTGCACTTCTACGACTCGTTTTCTAGTACAATAAGACCACCAGCACGAACAACATCAAATACGAAAACAAGAAGTGTGTTTTCTTCGTCAGGCTCTAGCTCCGAAGATCAAATAAACACTAGTGCTTCAACATTTCTCGGATCGAGCAGTCGCAGGATGGAGTCGGTAACGACGGACAAAAATAATCCCACTGGGCTGACGGCACTCGTCCTTGATCCGCGGATCCGAGCCAAACGCTTTTTTGACAAGCTCCAGCAGCAGCTCGTGCATGGAATTGGAAAGCCGACCGAAAAAAACGAGAATCCGGAAACAGTGACATCTTCACCGCATGGGCAGGACGCCACGGCGGCCGACCGGCGCGGCCCCATTCAGGTGCTGGAGGACAAGAATGATCCCACGAATGGTCAAGGGCCAGATCGTGCCGACCGCTCTGAAGAAGATGGAGGGCCCGTCCGTGCTCGTAAAAGTGTACTTCCCCACAGTACTCTTACTACAACCACCAGTTCCGAGTCTCTGTCCACCCTGAAGACCAACGCGATGCTCGAGTGCGATCAGCGGCTCTACGAATCCCTCGTGAACCGCTCCCGTACCGCCGGACCGGACCTGATGCCGTTTTGGGAATCAGTCAAAAGACGAGAAGACTACGAGTACTTTCTCGAGTTTTCCCCGGTGTCCTTTCTCCCCTACCTCGCCAGGAAGCACGGCGTGACGCTGGACAACGTGATCCTCGGGCTCTTCGGCGTCACATCCTACCGGTTTTTGCTTCTCTCCCCGACGTTCTACCCCTATTTCACCCGCTTTCCCTGCAACGACAAACATTCCACCTTCAGCATGCAGGTTATGGCGCTCTCAACTGTTACATTCTCAGCTGTTGCGTGAATTTGTGACGCAAGAATGGCAACAGTCAATGGGAAAGCTTGCCGCTTTCGCATCACAGATTTGGCACAGATTTAGACGCTGCTTAGCCTCTCGGAGATTTGTCATGCGAAGCAGCTTTATCACGTGGCGGCTTAACCTTAAGGTAGTCTCGCATGACAAATTCACGCAACAGTTGAGAGTGTGACGCTTGAGAACTCCATGCAGGTCGTCGCGCCTCTCCGGGACCAGCTGGACACGGTGAATCTCGTCGCGAATTTGGTGTCCTACCGCACCATATGGATTGCAAAAATGTCTGGGTCTGGAAGAATGGAAGGTCTGTCATGCTCTGTTAGCATGACTCCAAAGGCTGTCATGCTCGTTACCCAAAAGCCCCACTTTTCTGTCATGCCGAAACGCGGTTTGTCATGCAGAAAACGCAATATCTAGCAAGTCAGAAACTTGTCATGCTGAGCCGTCACTTATGGCGTCCTCAGGATTCGCCAACCAGCATCGCAAGTTTCCAGACCCAGACATATTTGCACTTCATACACCATCCGAGCGAACTTCCTCGCGAGTGCGACGGTTCAAGACTGCTTCAAGATCCTGTGCGAAAAAGTGAAGAACCGGGAGTGGGAGGTCCAGAATTGCTTTGAACGAACGGTGTTTCTCAACCTGCGCTCCTCCGTGGGGATATCCTGTGCAAAAGTAGTATCGTACCAGTATAAATTCTTCGCATTACAAATTAGCTCAGCATGACAAATGGAATTTGTAATGCTGTTTCGGCTTCGGAAGGAGATTTGTCATGCATGTCTGCAATTATTAGTTCTTACGAGCGCGAAGCTTTTGCATTTCATAGGGGAAGGTGTCCGACCACGTTTCTCAAGAGTTCCAGTACCCGCGCGTCCGGGAGCAACCCCGACGGGGCTCCATGCACCCCTCGGAATACCCGATACGATTGATGGTAGACCAGCTTTCTGACAACCACGATTACGTCGCTTGGATTCGGTCGTGGGAGCACCTGCATCCAGGGTCCTGCAACGGGGAACTCTTTCACGATTTGCTGGAGGACACGCTCTGGTGTTTGATCGACAGCAAACCCGAGGAGCACTGTGTCCGTTTTGGCTTGTCCGAATGGCAAAAACAGCACGGGATCGTGGGGACCAGGGAAAGAAAATACAACTACCGTGCGTTTCCTTACCGAGGGACCGGGGACCGGATCGCAAGGCTGTGCGGGTATAGTGCAGGGGAAGAGGAAGAAAAAACGTAAGAAACAAACACAAGAAAAAGATAAAGTGTTTTTCTTTTCTTGCATATAGATCGGGTCAGCGAGCGATCGAGTTCCATAATTTTGCTTGGTTTAATTTATTAATTTCATATGACATGAAGTTCTTAGAGAAGAAGTTCCATGCATGAAAGCAGTTGTACTTGTTGATCGTCCTCTGCGGATCATGGAACGAACTCGATCCCTTTTCTTGAAATTCAATTTTCAAATTGTACAACACCAGATGCACCTCTTTATTTGCTGGTGCTTCACTCTGTACCAGACCCAGAGGACATCAGTGTACCAGTTTTTAATACAACTTCCAGTACTATTGAACAGCTTTTCCTGAAAAAAAAAAGTGTCTGCGCAGCATGAGTCTTGGCACTCGAGTAAGATGTTACGCCTGGACTCAGGAACCACTGTCTCAGCGACGGATCAGAACTTTTAAACTTGTCGATCATCTAAGCTGACCTTGTTGGCTCCACATCACCTCCAAAGATCCGGTCGATCCAATAGTGATAGTAAAGTCGTGGTCCACCCATCGACTTTTTGCATGCAATTTACCGACGGGCAACCTGTACTAGGTTATTTTGGGTCCTTAGAGTTAGAAGTAGATGATGTCTCCAGCACTTCCACCACTTTTTGCTTCTCTTGTGTTGGCCACGACATGCATGATTTTATTGTTACCGCCCAGCCACGAAACAAAATTTAGTATAGTACAAGTCATTTTCTTTTATCTCCTGAAATAAGACTTTTTCGACTGTCTATTGAACAAACACTTCTAGTACTAGAATACAGCGTGCTATATTTCATCAATTCGCCGTCATTATCACTCCGAGCAACCAGCCCCGTAGTTGTATCTTCCCCCCGGAAGATCTAGATCCTTCTATACTTCTTTTAGACAAATAGGCTTAAAATGGCGACGCGAAATTTTGAAGAAGATCACGACATGGTCGCGGATGAAGACGACGACCGCGATCTCAATTTCAGCCTGATGGCTCAGCCTCACCCAGAATTGTCACGAAAGCCCCCCAGCGACGAGGATTTTTTCCCCCAAACCGTGACTTGGGAAGAGGAAATCGAGGGGAGAATAACAGAGTTTGCGGTCACCGTGATGCACAAAAAACTTCTCGTAGTTATCACCCAGTGTGGGAAAATCGGGAGCTGGATCCAAGCGACAGTCGACGAAGAGCCCTGCATAACCGACCCGGCCTTCATTCCAGACACGACCTACGAGACCACGGTAATTTTACATGAGTCTTTCATTTGTTTTCTTCATGCTCATCTTGTTTTTGTGACCAGAATCTCTTCCATCCCCAAGAAAAATATGACACTTCGTGCACCATTGGGTTCTTCTGAAGGTGATCAAAAGTCTGAGTAAGAATTCTTGCGCTGGTGCAGCAGTAAGAACCTATGAATATTTATTTCTCTACTATATGCAGGTTTTGTTCGGAGCTCGAAACGAGAAGACGGAATACCAGCGGGTATACGCCAGACGGTTGATGGAACTTTTGTATAAAACACAGTCCGATTACCAGAGTTTGTTGCTCGGAATCGCCATGAAGACCGCCAGTCCGGTCACGTTTAAGGCATGTATGAAGAGCATTGAAAGCCGGTTCTGTCCGGATACTGATCCAAGTTAGTACTATGTGAAAAAGTAGAAACTTTTTTTTCATCCCCGTGGTCTGGTCCCTCCCTTGGTGCCAGACGCGAGGACGGCGACAACAGCAACATCGCAATTCCATACAAATTTTTACACGTGGGATTATACTCACCACGGAACTTATGGCCGTCGCGGCCTCCCAGACTACTGCTAGCTTGCTCCGTTGCATCATTTTATGTGTTCTGCCAATGCCATAGAAACACGATTGCACCCGTAGCATCCAGCGTTCTCAATTAATTTGAATTCGCACCTCAATTCGTTTTCGTCGCCCTTTTGAAAATTATGTGACGAGAGGTTCGCTTTCGTCCCTTATCGTCTTTGCTCGTCAAAAATATATGTCCTGTTGTCCTCCTCGTTTGAAAGATAAAGATTTAGCACGGCTTGTATATGGCAATTCGTTTTGCTGACTTGTAGCTTTAGCAAGATTTTTGATGGTCGCGAACTGTTTCTAGAAATCTTACGTGAAGTAGAAGTATGTTGCACTCGCGCCGCCGTGTTGGCACAACGGCGCGGCAACTTCTTCATAATTGAGGGACCATAGAAACATAGACGAGCTGACTCAAAGGCTTGTAGATTTTGCAGCGTCCGTAGATATGTAGTGCATAGAAGTCCTCGAGGATGGAGCCCGGGAGACTTTCATGCGCTCCGTCCCTGGTCCACATGCGGGCGGTTGCTTGGAAGGATGAAGCAAACAACCGGCCCAAAGAAAACGCAAAGTGACTACATTCCATGGGCCCTAGCTTCCGCCGGGGCTACTGACCCAACGCGGCATCAAAAAGCCTCAGTGGCCTAACGAAGACGGGGGGGCAAGTCGGCTGCGCCGAGTGCCGGGAGCCGGGTCATTTGCGAACGCACCCTGCCAGAGGCATCGCCGTGGCCACGGAGGTAGAAGCAAGCGCACAAGGAAGCGCAAAACTCAAGAAACGTGGCAGCAGGCGGAGAAGTAGGCGTAGGAGTAGGGGAAGAAGTAGGCGCATTCATAGGCGTAGAAGTAGGCATATAAATAGGCATAGAAGTAGGCGTGGAAGTAGACGCAGAAGTAGGCGCAGCAGTAGGCGTAGAAGTAGGCGTAGAAGTAGGCGCAGAGGAAGGCGTAGCGGTGGGCGTGGGAGTAGGTGTAGAAGTAGGCGTGGAAATAGGAGTAGCCGTAGCGGTCGGCGTTCAGGTTGTTGGGGTAGCAGTCGACATAGTCGAAACGGCATCGCGGGGGGCGAGGGGTACAAGAGCAAAGGCCCTACCAAGTCGCGTAGCCGTAGTGGCGCTGCTAGGGGCGTGCGTGCGAGGGAGCAAGGCCCACCCGTTTTCCTTGCACATGTTCGGCGGGATGGCGCCGAAGTGACACTGTTGGACGGAGCGCAGGGGCGGCGGCCGCGCGCTTTCGAAGCTAACAACCGTGCCCCGAATCTTGCCCGCCCGCGCGGTTGCTGACTAGCGCCGAGGTGGCGCGCCACCAAGCAAAACCAGGGAGCGGGGGCGGCGCAATGGTTGGCCGGGGCGGGGGAAAAGTCGGCCTGCCAGGGCGCTACCTCCCGGCTTGCTTATTTACGAAAGTGCTGCGCCCCACCATTTTTTTCATCCTAGCCGAGACCCTGACCCGGGGCCGCCTCGCCCTCGCTGCTAGCTTGGCTCGGGCGCTTGGGGCACAGCCACTGACTGGCGCGCTAGCGCTAGCCCCCCCCCAGAGCACGGCGCTTGCCCCCTCGCCCGGCCCCGTGGCCCCCCCGGTCGGTGGCCTGACCCGCCCTTCTTCCACCCACGCGGGGGAGGGCGACGGCCGTCTTCTTCCAAAAGACTGGCTGCAGGAGTGCGCCGCCGCTGTCACCTTGGCGGGCGGCGGACAGCAGCGGGCCTCGACCTAGTCGCCGCAAGGTAGCGACAGCATGCCCCCGATACGTACCTACGGCCGCGATTTATTTTGGCAGCTACTTGCGCCTGCGTGCCTGTTTATTGCGTGTGGGCGCTTCCTCCACCGCTTTGGCGCAAAGAAGAAAATGGCTGGCGCGGGGGAAAAAAAAAGGGCCCGTGGACGTTCCCGCGCAGGCGCTAGGGTAGCGGGGCGTAAGGGGCGCAGGCCGGCGGGAACGGATGCGCCGCGAGAGCAACAAGGGGCGGCCCGGGGCCTGCCGGGGCCGCAGTCACACCCACGACAGGGAACCAGCCTGGGGGCGGCGGGGGTTGTTCGCTAGCTCTCCGAAGGCAGGGCGGGGTGGCTAGGTCTTTGCCGGCAGGGCGCTAGGGGTTGGCATTGGAAGGCGGGCCCCATATGTGCTACCAGGACCAGGAGCAAGAGGTCCGACCAGGGGCAAGAAGTTCTATCAGGCGCAAGACTTGCATGTGCCTGCCGAGGCGAGATATAATGTACTGCGATGGAAAAGGGGTGCTAGCACTACAAGGAGCAAGAAGTCCTACCAGGGGCGAGGCGTATGCGCAGGGGCAAGATGTACTGCGAGGGGCGAGATGTACTGCGAGGGGCAAGATGTACTGCGAGGGGCGAGATGTACTGCGAGGGGCAAGATGTACTGCGAGGGGCGAGATGTACTGCAAGGGGCAAGATGTATTGCGAGGGGCAAGATGTACTGCGAGGGGCAAGATGTACTGCGGGGGGCAAGATGTACTGCGAGGGACAAGATGCACCGCGAGAGGCAAGACCTAACGCAGAGGGTAAGTGAGAAACACTGCCAGGGCTAAGGGGCAGGCGCCAGCACGCAGGGGCAAGAGGTTCCACCAGGAGCAGGGCGCACCGCACGGAGGGCGAGGAGCACTTTCATATTGAAGGGGGCAAGCGGTTCTCTTCTGAGCGAGGGGGCAGGGGCGTCACTGCGTCTAGGGCTCGGGGTATTTTTGTAGCGCCTAGGGGTTTCTTTGTCGTTCATCGTGCCGAACCCCTACAGCTCAAGCCGTAGAATTTGTCGCAAATATTTACACAGTAGCACGCATGTTAGAAAAAAAAGGGCGCGAATATCTGAAAAGCCCTAGAGCCCGAGCCCCAGAAAGGTCCCAGCTTTTGTCGTAATAGCATGCAGGTTCAGCACTTCCAAAGTGTCGCGCTTTTTGTGGTTTTTGATCGTTCCCTACGGCTCGACCTCCATCATTTGGGCCGACTGCCGTGCGTATTCGCAAATAGGAAAGGAGACCACTTTGAAAAGCCCTAGGGGTTTGCCCCAGGTTTGCTCCAGGTTGAGCCGCAATTTCTAATGCTGTTTAAGGGTCTCAGAGCTTTCCTCTACAGCCTTTGAGCCAAGTTCGTATTAGTCTATAGTCTATATAACTATAACAGGTCGACGAGAACTGCTTTTTATTGACACAAATTCGACGAACCAGCTGCACTTCTCCACGATCTTCATGGACGAAGCTTTTCAAGATGAGATTGCCGCTTTCCAGACGCGTCTGGAGGCGATGTCGATGGATGTGGAGTACCGCCTCGCCGTCCTCGGCGGCGATCCGAAGGCCCGCGAGCTGGCCTACAAGCGGATGCACGAGGAGGACCCGGAGGCGCGGCGCGAGGGTCGGCGGCAGCTCGCCGCCATCCGGCAGGATCTGCTCTCCGGGACCGCCCAGCAGGACGAAAAAGTTGAACAGCTGCTTTACGTGCGCGGTGATCTGCGCACGTTTCGCCGCTTCTACGATCAGCAGTACCACATTCAGCAGGACGCCTTGTCCATCGGGTCCCACCTGGCCAAGGTGAAGAAGCTGGAGCGCGTATCCTGAGTAAAACGTCCCCACCCCAGAGCGGTCATGCAAATGCGCAATGGCAGGAACAGTCGTAATGCGCAGCGCCATGAGAGAATTTCCAATCGTGTTTTGGAATTGGTAATGCTGTAAACAGGATTTGAAAATGGCTCTCTCATGCGGCAGCTTCCCTTGCCAACCTGCACTACGCGGCAGACAGAAACTTGTCATGTACAGCTCCCAAAACTTGGAGATTTGTGTTGCTAGATTCCCAACTTGACTTCGGGTTGGGGACGTTTTTCCTTAGGATGCCGCGAGGCGGAGATCATCCATGCGGTCCATGAAGACCAACGAGACCGCCGCGGGTTCGAAGAGCTGCTGGCGCAAAAGCTCGGCCGCGACGACCCCTACGCCGGGGAGGGGCGGGCAAGAGGAGCTGCTGGGCGGGACGAAATAAAGCTTCACCAGGATGAACAGGACGACCGGTACTACGGGCATTACTACGCCCACCGGTCCGACGGGGTGTTGCTCCGGGAGGGTCATTTAGACGAGCATCTGGAGTTGGACGCGAATGGACAGCCGGTCGTCGGTCGGGAGTACGATCTGGAATCGCTGGCGGAATCCTTGACAGCGAAAGACGGGGGCGACGCGGCGGTGCGGTACCCGAATCACCCGGCGACCAGGTACGATATCTGGAACCCGCGGCCGGGTGGGCGTCTGATGAATAAAAGTGGAACATCAACATCACGGGCGAGAAGCGGCAGTGACGCTGCTGCGAGAGGACAGCGCGACCAAAGCAAGTCGCGGAGCCAGAGCAGAGAGGCGCGAAGCGGCAGTAGACCTGGCAGCTCTTCCTCTGCAACGAGACCTGGGGCAGCCGCAGCGTCCTCCTCGTCTCCGTCCTCCAGTAAGAAGACTCCTCCACCGTACCTCGCCAGTTACCTCGCCGGGGCGAAGAACATTGCGGAGTACGGGCTGCGTGGGTGGAAGCAATCGACGGCCGACGCTAACGTGTTGAACGACGCCAATTTGTCGAGTGCGGAGAAAATCGAGAAGCTTTTCGGCTTGCGACTGAACTTCAAGGACTTTCCCCGGGTGAGAGTGACAAAAGTCCTACCTGACACCCGCGCGATGAAAGCCCAGGTGGTCGAGGGGGATCTCCTCCTCGCCGTGTGCAATTCGAGGATAACCAGCATCGTGGTGTGGCCGCCCGAAGGTGGTGCGGGAGATAACTCGTCTTCATCCGCGCCGGCGGACTACGGGGAAAAGCAGATCATCCGCCGCATCAAGAAGGGCGACGTCGCGGTTTCCTTTGTTCTGCTCCGACAGAAATACGAGTTCCGGTACTTGCAGCTCCGCGCGGACGCCCCGGATTTCGAGATGACGGTGGAGAAGGGGAAAGTGAGACAGGTAAAGCCCGGCGGGTACGCGGACCGACGCGGGCTGCAAGTGGGCGACACGGTCATTCTCGCGAATGACACCCTGGCGGAAAAAGACATGGACAAAATTGACGCAATGTGCAAGAAGGACGGGCGCCCGCGGCCGGCGTTTTTGTTGTTCCGCAGAAGCAGTGGGGACTTTGGGGAAAAGGCACTGCAACGGGAAGTGGATGTCTTTCGCTTCATCCCGGGATTGACAAACAAGGACAGCTCTGGGACCTTTCCGCGGAAACCAGCAAGCGGAAATGTTGAGCAAAGCACGAGAACGGGCAGCGGTGCTGGTGCAACATCTAGAAGCAGCTCCACTAAACCTGGGATCGCGACAAGTTCGAGCGCTGCTGGAGGTCGAGATTCGTCCTCTGGTAATAATAAGTCGGGAACAACAGGAGGCGCAAGTACTATGGCGGCAAGTACCAAATCAACCTCTTCCTCAAGCTCGCCTCCCTTCCTGCTCAGCTACTTGGCGGGCGTGAGTTGGTCCAAAATCAGCGAATACGGTATGACGGGGTGGCAGCAAAGCACCCCACCGGATCCGGAGGTTTTGAACGACAACAGCCTTTCGAGCAACGAGAAGCTGGAAAAGTTGTTCGGAATGAAACTCGACGAAAATTTCAAAGACTTTCCCAAAGTTCGAGTCTCCAAAGTCACGGACCCGAGCAGCCGGGCGGGAAAAGCGAAGGTCGTGGAGGGGGACCTTCTGGTGGCGGTGTGTAACTCCAGAATCACCTCCGTTGTCTCTGCGGGGGCAAACAAAGCAGACCCGATTTCCGCGATAATCGATCGGGTGAGACAGAGCAGTAAAGTCGGCTTTTTGTTCGTCCGTGCGAAGTACGCAGGTCGGTACCTACAGCTGAAAGCCGACGTTGCGGCGCTCGACATGACGGTTCAGGGTGGAAAAGTGCGGGAAATCGTTCCCAATGGCTGGGCGGCACGGCGGGGGCTGCAAGTTGGCGATTCGATTCAGCTGGCGAATGATGTTTTGGCGGAGAAGGATGTGTCGAAAATCGATACAGTGTGTGCCTCGGACGGGAAGCCCAGACCGGTGTTTTTGCTGTTTCGCCGCAGCTCCGGCGACTTCCCCGAAGAAGCGAGGGCCAGGGAGGTGGATGTGTCGAGGCCACTGGCGTAGTGGTAGTGAACATAGCATTTTAATTAGCAATCTTCTTGTTCTTCAGCTATCACGGAGGTTCGATGAAAATTAATAGTGAACGAATGCAGTTGCGAAGTAAAGTAGCCGGACTGTGGTCATTCCGCCTGTGGCGCCTGCGCCGTCGTGATCTGAACTATTTTCTACTTCCATGTCGGAGTCTGAATTCATCTCTACGTTCTCTGTCAAACCGACATGCCCAGCTACTTTTCCCGAATCTGAAAAAAACTTGGATCACTGGTTATTCTGTCTGTGGCAGTAGATGAAAAGTCAAGAAGCTCCCCCGTTGGTTGTGTTGTCGCAAGAAATGAAAGCGACAAGAAGAACCAACACCAGATCAAAAGAACAGCAGAATCGTGCATTGCGGATCCGTTCTTGGAAAAGAAAGCGACACGAAGATCTGGCAACATTGAAGATCAAAAAGATCATGGGTTCTTGAAACTACTGTTCGTGATCACAAACGAATTCGATCTGATGTCGTGCTGATGTGCCTCCAATTCTCTAATTATCAGGTCTCACAGGTGGATATGCGATTCGATTCACCAATTGTAACTGCATGAGTGAGTAGAGATGCAAGAAACTACATCAGTCGTACCTGCTCCATATTGACAAGGGCTCACTCACCTGCTGATTCTAGTCCTTTAAGTAGGCCTTTATTTTTCACTTGGAACCTCTTCAACGTACTATCTGTCGTTTATTGACTAGTGATCGTCACGGAACGCGACATTGAACAAAATGGAAGAGGCAAAACAGGCCCTGGCGACCGCGGAGTCCCGCAAAGAGCGTCTCACCATCGTAAAAGAGGTTGCAACGAACGCGAGGTGCACGCTGGAGCAGAAACTCACCTTCATTTTCGGCGTCTTTTTGAACAACGAGATCAAGAACGACAAGGAATTTCCAGTCAGCGAATTCGAGGCGGCTCTGCAAGCTTTGTTCTCCGCAGAAACGACGGAGCAGGCACAGGACGCCGTGCTGGAAACCTACTTGCTCGCGCACTTAGATCTGCTGCACTACTTCCTGGGCTTCCTGTGCAATGAGTTTAAAAACAAGGTATAGTACATTATACAAGATGTTATTTTTTTCTCGGTCTTGGCGCAGGCGCTTTATGTGTTGCGTAAAAGCGACGGACTTGTTTTGTTCGTATTTGAACCAATGACTAACGCAAGAACGCCAACGTGGACCACGTGACCTCTATCGCCGTATCCTCTCTGCTTTTTACGATAACATTTGCAATACAAATCGACCACAGGCAAGCTTCGACCACGCTTTGTATTTTGAGCTGCTTCGAAAGATTGGCGTTTGGCTGATGGGGGAGGGTTTGCTAGAGCAGACCGCAGTCGAGGGCGAGGAGGATTTGCCGTTATTCTTTCCCGAGCTCTCGAAGAAGAATTTTAATATCCTGAGTAAAAACGTACCCACACCATAGTTGTCATGCAAATCGGCATGCTTCAAATGTTTCTCATGCGGAGCCCCATGAGAAGCATTTTCTAATGGTGTTTTGAAATTTGTCATGCTCCAATCAGCATGAGAGACTAGATCTGTAATGCTGTTGAACTAGCTCAAACAGTACTACGCTACGCGTCCAAATTTGTCATGCGAAACAGCCAAAGCTTGTGGATTTGTCTAGCCGATTCCCCATCTTGACTATGGGGTGGGTACGTTTTTACATAGGATATTTAAACTGAAAAAGCAATTCACGAAAACTTGGATGGAACTTCTGAAAGCGTTTCATCCGGAAAGGAAATGCGCAAAAATCCAGGACGTGTCGCAAGTGGAAGCGAAAACAGAAAAAGCGTTGAACAGCAAACAGAAAAAGCAGTTAATCACCGCCCGGACGGACCGACTGAAGAAAAAACTTTTACTCCACCTCACCCACATCTTCAAGTACTTAGAATCCCCCCTGATCCTGGCCGACTTCTACCTGCGAGAGTTCGACCGCGGCAGTTTAGAGGTGCAGATCTGCGCCCTGTCCGGATTGTTGTATTTGGTGACCGAGACGCAATTGGAATTCCAGGAGGATTACTATGACCGATTGTACTTATTACTCCGGCCGGAAGTGTTCGCGGTGGAGTATCGCGTGCGGTTCCAGCGGATCCTCGCCGCGTCCTTGATCCAGTCCAGCTCCCTGCCCGGCCAGTCCGCCGCCTGCTTCGCCAAGAAGCTGCTGAAGATCTGCGTGCAGGACCCCTTGGTGGACATCCCCAGCATCAGTTGGTGCGTCGGCCTGGCGTACAACATTGTGCGGAAAAACGAAGCCACCTGTAAGAAGTTACTCCACCGGGAAGTGGTGGAACCAGGAGGCGGAGTTGTGCAGCCGGTAACGACCCCGAGGACGCCTTCTACATCATCGTCTACTGCAGCAGGACCTTCGCAAGATCAAGAAAAGATAGCAAGAACTTCGACGAGAATAAGGAATAGTGCCAACGAGCAGGAAGTGCAACAAGATCAAGGAACTCAGCAAGGAGCCTTATCGTCAAGTTCTGATATTGCGCTCGGTCTCGTCGACCAGCACAGCAAGGCAACAGGAGCTGCTTCCACATCAGCATCATCCAACATGATGAATGTTGGCACAACTACGACAAGCGGTGAAGAGGACAATAACGCATCGATGTCAAAATCTGCTAGAGCTCCACATCTTCAAACCAAGCAATTAACAGCCGACCCGTTTCTGCTGACCCACACACTCGCGCAGGCACGAAGCGTGCTCGCGCAGACGTCGCTGTGGGAGTTGGACGTGTTGGCCAAGCACCAGCACCCCCTGGTGAGCCGCCTGATTCCCTTCTTCAAGAATCACGCGATGTTCAAGAAGATCGCGCAGGGGGTGGACGTCAACGAGTTTCTGGATTTGACCACCGACGACTTGTTGGAAAAGGAGCTGAAGCACAAGCGAAAAAACTACGACGACGTCGAGGAACTGCCGGGATTCGCCTTCTTCCCCAGGTGTAAAAAACCGAAACTGGAGGCGAGCTACAGAAGGGACCTGGAAGACGGACTTCTACGGGTGGTCGCAACTGGGAGTACTAGCAGCAGAAAATTATAAGCTGCATGCTGTGGGGGCGGGCATATGTGATACAGTTGATACAACGGATGTTGTTCTACTTGTTCTCGACCTCTCCAATGCGGAAATATCATGCCTTGTGCAGTGCTTTGTTTTCTCTTGGTCTGGTTGATGTAGCAGGACAACAAGAAGCGAATGCGAGCTAGGAGAAAAAAATGTACTTACATTACAACGACCACATCCGCAGACGTCTGTCGTTGTTGGTGGAGGCGTGTTGCATATGATTCGTCACTTGTGTTCCTTATCATCTGCAGCTCCTGCAGCTCAGAAATGAACAACAGCAACACAGACAACCAGATGCAGATATTGAACCAGAAGAGTAGCTCAAAAATACACAATATCAACACAAAAGAAGTGAAGAAGATCATCTTTTCCACATCATCAGGATCTGCAAAGGATTTCTTTAATTATCATTTTTTTGTTTTGTTTCCGGATCGTCAATCTGTTGAGAGAAAATGGTCTTGCTCAGTCATGCTCATTAAGATCACGAGCCAAATATTCTTGTCATTCTAGAAATTGAAAGAGGATCTTCAGAAGTGAAAGTGCTCGCTTCAGCATCCATACTGAGCGATTACCTCGTGATTGTATTTCGCATGGATGTTTTGTGTATGTTGAACAAAAGTTGTATGCTGGACAAGGTGGCTTCTCATCATCCTACATATATCGGGAAGTGGCGCATTATTTCGGCCCGCCCATGATGTGCTCATTTTGTTATGTACAAGTTTATTTCTTCCTGTCTTTAAATATTCATGCAGGTTAAAGAACATGGGTTAACGTAAAGCGTCAGTCTAATTTTCGACGATAGGGCGGATATGTGGGCGCAGTTGCGCCGGTGGTCGATAAAAAAAGTAGTATTATTCGTACCCTCGCAATTACTCGCATGTGGTACCAGCTACTTACTAGCGACTAGTACTGGCTGAAAATAATCACGGTAAAAAGGCCAGCACAAACATCATATAAGAGATGAATACATCTTCGGTTTAACGTAAGCATTTTGTCTGCCCATCACGACGTCGTGAGAAGTGTTAATAGTAGCACCATGGCGAGCTCCTTCCTCCCCGGCAATCCGCTTCTGAGCGTCGTATGAAGGGTGCACAACTCTCCGTCTCCTGTCCGCCCCCTCATTCGCAGTAATAAAGCAAAGCTGGGTGCTAGGGTTACCTTCCTTGTAGCACTGCCTCTGCCTCTTATCATGTTGACAACAAGCTGCACCAGTACTAACAGGATTGTAGCCTCGTCCCCAAGGATTTGTCATGCTGACGCTCCATAATTTCCACCCTTGTTTGTCTTCTCGCTGCTCATGTCCCTCTACTGACGGACAGGGGGGGCGAGCAGTTGTGCACTCTCATATAATGCCGCCGGCGGTTCGCAGAACGGCAGCAAGTCATCTTGGTCGCGGCGTCGGGCGCAGCGGCAGCAGGTAGAGTATTGGCTGCACCATGAGCCCGAAAGGCTCGGGTCCCGACGATGCATTGGTCCGGGGGAGGTGGTCACCTTGCTGCACGAGATGGCTCGGGGCAACAACAGCGCTTTTGGACTGGTCAAGTTGAGCAAACTGAATCTGGACCAAGACCTGGTAGCCACGGTTCTAGTCCACATTCTCCCGCCCGTGGTTGATGCTGGTGTAGCTGCGGGTGGGGGAACAAGATCTACCTCCGGCACTTTAACAAGAAGTCCTTGCAACATCACGGAGGGGGAACAAGATACCGCCGAACAAGCTGCTGATCCTGGCAAGCAAGTAGACTCGGAGTCGTTCCGAGTTGACATGTGTCTGAACAAGCTGCGTCGCCGGGTGTCTCGTTGGCCGGTCTGCGTGAAGACGCTGCTTGCGGTCGCCGTGTTCGAGCGGCGCGACGCGGTTGCGGCGAGCTTGCTGCGCGCCGGCGCGGAGCCGATTCTGTTCCATCCGGCCCGGCTGGATCTGCCCTCGTGGCGCAACGCGCACACCGGGAGTCGCTTCCACGAACTTGACCGGGCAAATCAATTCAACTCTGCCGGCGCGCATCTGCATCCGGGCGAAGCAAGAGAAGTGGCGGAAGCGGAGATGCAGAAACTGAAGACTGAGATCGACAAACTTCCTGCGGCGTTCGCGGTCTGGGCGCTGGTCCAGCTGCTGCGGCTGACAGGGGCGAAACAAGTCCCGGACGACGCGGCGGCGCTCGCGCAAAACTGGCGCGCACACTGCGCGCAGGCCCGACAGACCAAGGTGCCCGGCATGACGATGATCGTGTGCCCGTATCGGTTATGTACTTGGCAACAGTTGTAGCTGCAGTGTACTAGTGTAAAAAATCGCAAGATATCAAGAAGAAAATTAAAATGGACGAACTTGATGTCATCATGAATAGGAAACCGGACTGGTCATGCATGACTGCGATTTTTTCGTACATGATGCACGACACAACTTTTTGCAGTGGATACTGGTCCAGCTGCCGTGCGCGTTTTTCCGAATTGGAGTTCTGGGACACACTTCTAGAGCCGGGAAACAAGATGACCGGCTGTCTGCGATGTCCGATGTGTCGTCGCGACGTCGCGATTGCCCAAGAGCAGGCGATTGGTACGAGTTGTATGCGCGGATCAGCCGGAGAATTACAACCGTCTTCGACCGTGCGCAACATCATTCCGCCCTTATCCGAACAGGAGTTTTTGAAGGGCATGAGCCTGGGCGAAAAGTGGGTGAAGTGGTACCTCGGGCAGCAGGCGCTGGCGGAACGGCAGGCCAAGGCGCTCGCCGGAGGAGATGAAGCTGTGGATGCGCAAGAACGAGCAGCAGCAAAGAAAGGGCTGACCAATGTCGATGTCCAGCGAAAGATTGTGAATTGCAGGAACGCCAAGGATCAGAGCATTATAGCGACCTCCAGTGCAGCTCAAGACCAAGAGCAAAAACCTGTAGTAGCGTCTTCTCTGTCAGAACCTCGAAGATCATTTCTCCCGCTCACGACCGGGTTAGCGCAGCTGTGGGACAGTGGGTGCCAGTTGTTCGCGAGGCGGCAGGCCTCCTGGTGCACCCGGCAACAGGCGTCGGACATTCTGCGGCGGAATTTCCAGGAATTCGTGGCGAGGCCCTACCTCGCACAGAGCAAGGACGAGTTCGAAACCAAACTGCCCCCGACCCTGGAGCAACTGCGCATCGCGCAGGCCAGCCAGACCGGGCGCCAGCGGCGCAAGCAGAACGGGAAATTCCTGCAGCAGGCCTGCGAATCGCTGACCTCCACCCGCTTTACCGCCCTGCCGCTGCGGGAGGTGAAAAAGCTGTACTTGGGGAATACCCAGCTGCAGCGGCAGGCGGAGCTCCGGAAAGCCTGCGAGACCGGCGATATCTTGAGATTGAAGGCGCTGCTGGAAGCCGGCTGCGACTTGAGAACACCAACTTTGGACGAGTACGTCGGGCACGACGCACTCTTCTTGGCGTGCTACCATGGCCACTTTGGCTTCGTGCAGTTTTTGACGGATATCTGCGGTTTTGGGAAAGACACCGAAGATTTGGAAAGGATCGCGCGTTCTTTCCTGATGCTGGTGGCGGAGTACGCGCGAGATTTGGATGAATGCGTAAATACTTCTAAAACAACACCGGCTTGTTCTGCTGTGAATCGCGACAATAAAACTACATCACGGACAGCTGCACCCCCAGCAGCGGCCTACAAGATTTTGCTACACCTGGCGCCGATGTACACTGGCCTACTTGACGCTGCTGCGGCCACGCGGACCAACATGAACAGCAATTCAGCTCCTGGCGGAACCGGAACAGCACCGACGGGCATGCCATTCCTTCTCCGGGCCTTCGCGAATTTGCAGTTGAATACAGCTTCTGACGCTCCGCATCCGGCTCCCTTGCGTCTCGAGCCGATAAATGATGCGAAAGAACAGCAGAATTTGATGTCGTCCACCGCTGCAAGTTCCAGTACTGCCCGTAGTTCTTTTCCGCCGATCTTCACGAATGTTGAAACAAGCGACCTCAACGCTGCAGTTTTGGATTTGAGCGAAAAAACGTTTGTGGCTTCATCTTCCCCGGCACTCGTTGCGGGAACATCTGCTGTAGTTCCAGAAGGGGGTGCGAGAATGACCATTCCCTTGCTGTCGACAAACTCGCAGCAAGCCGGTGCGTTTTTGGGAATCGCGCCCGCTGCCTCGTCGGACGCAAAGCCGTGTTCGTTGCTGCGGCCGTGTAAAAATCCACTTAGTTGCTCTACACCGGAAATAAACGCAAAGCCAACGCAGCGAGCCGGAGATGAAACGTGCATCCTGCTGCTGAAGAACTTTCCGGTTCTGCAGCAACACGACGACCATTTTGCGGATGTGTGTGAAGATCATGTTGATGTGCGAGAAAAAACAAAATCGTCGTCTGTGGTGGCGGGTGCTGCAGAGGTCGTGCAGGCTGGTTGTACAAGCGGGAAAGTGATGTTGAACCAAGACCAAGAGGACGGTGCTCGTGTGGACGACCAGAGCAGGATGAACCAGCAGCCATCCGCCCTGACCCTGGCTTTGCACAGCGAAAGTTTCGGGGACGCCTATGTAATGGACAATTGGTACACGAATAGCTTCTTGAAGTTGCTCACCTTTCTCTTCTCGCAACTCCCCTTTCCGCCCGAAGATTTGGACCACGCGGCGGCTGCTCTTGCGGGCGACCAATCGTCCGCAGAGGCACCTAACCCTGGAAAAAACAGCGGCCGTGCAGCCGAGACCGATATAATGGAAAGTAAGAGCGTGAGCGGGGGCGAACGAGATAGAAATCGTTCCCGGGAAGTTGAAGTTCTTGTTGAAGCTGATGAACAAGCGACATCGTCCTCATCTGCGGCTAACGCTGCACGGCAAAAAGGTGTTGATGTAGATGTTCCTGAAGAAGAAATCAACGACATGTCGCTCACGGGAGACCGGTTTATGCCAAGTCGCAGGCTGCGAGTGCGAGAAGTGGTCCAACAACAACATGGAGATGAACGAAAAAAAGATCTCGTGCCATGTGAAAAAGCACAAAAGACCACATCCCCAACAGTACGCCGCTGCTCCAGAGTAGGCAAACAAGCCAAAGCCGAGAAAATAAGTGGAAGCCCGAGCAACTGTAGTGCCCTGCGCTGTAGTTCTCCGCCTGTGAGTCCACGACCCCGCGAGCTGTTCGCCAAGCCGGTCGTGTTATCAAATGCAAAAATATCTGGGTCTGGAAGAATCTAACTTGTCATGCGAAATCTGAATCATTCAAAAATCTGTGTTGCATGATTGCCAAAAGCTGGCCACTTTTGACATAATCGCGAGGCAGTTTCTCATGCAGGATAGGCATGATAGAACTCTCACAGAATCTGTCATGCTATGTCCTACATACGAGACCTCATGGGTCATGGAAAACCTGCATGACAAGTCTGCATTCTTCCAGACCCAGACACTTTTACACTTGATACGTGTGTAACCGCCGCAAGTTTTTCAGCGACTCGGAATACTGGGTCGGGGAGGCGCTGCGGCGGGTCTGTCTTTGCGGCATTCCGGACTTACTGGACTGCGTGTTCTACCCCCACATGCGGTTTCTGTACTACGACAAAGTGTCCAGCAGCGTGCCGGCGCACGTCGACCTGTCGAGGACGGATCAGAACGGGCAGACCAGCACGCACACGTTCATTTTGTATCTAAACAGCTGCGGTGGAGATCGAGATCAGGAAGAGCAGCGAGGTGAGCAAACGTCGAGTACTTCTTCTGCAGCGTCTTCTGCAAGAACTCTGAGTCATCTACTTCGTGACAGCCAAGAAGAGGCCCAAGATTCGACGTCGAGCAAAGAACAACTCAAAGCCTTAACATCCTCAACCCCACCCCCCGCCGCGCCCGCTGAGCAATTTTCCACCCCTGCGTACCCGACTATCCACAGTAAATTTCCCGTACACGTACAAATGCAGTCTCTGCATGACAAAACTTGCCGTCAATCCTAGTTCAGCATGACAAGTTGGACTCTGCAAGGTAGCGAAATTTGTCATGCATTTTGTACATGTACAGGAAATTTACATTGCATACCGACCAAGACTTCGCAACTGACTCAATTGGTGGACAATATATGCATTGCAAAAGTATCGCACTAGTATAAATTGCATTACAAATTTTATCAGGAAGGAAATGAAAAATGGAATTTGTAATGCTAAGCCAGGTAAGAAGGTAGGTTTGTCATGCAAGATTGCAATTAGTACGAGTACAATACTTTTGCACAGGATGCAACACGACTGTTCCAAATTCTCCAAACGGTGGAGAGACCGTGCTTTTGGACCAGTTACCCGGCCCGAAGAACCAGTACCGAATTCACGTGCAGCACAAAGTGCGGCCCCGGCCGGGCCGGCTGTTTCTCTTTCCTCACGCCTGTCCGCACCAGGGAAACCCGGTGTGGAAGCCCACGAAGCTGCTGCTCCGCGGAGAGGTCAAGTTGATTTTTCGCGAAAGAACCTCGAAACCGGACGAACAAGGAAATAAAACTTGTCCAGAACCTGCACCTTGTCCCCGTGCGTCGTGTGGTGCAGCTCCTTCCGTAGATGAACTGCAAGAAGCAGGCTTTACTGCTTCTCCAGATGAGAAGACTTCTCTTGAAGACGAAGTCGAGGAAGGGCTTGAGCTGGGGGCCAGCGCTGTAACGCCGATCGGAAATTGTTCTAAAAACGAGACAAACATCAACCACGTCGACCGCCCGGAGGTGGATCCGGCAATACGGGACGAGTTGTGCCAGAGACAGCGTATTGTGATCGTCACGGAGGCTGTGGATGTTTATTCTGCCATGGCCACGAAAAATATCGCTGCTCTTGGAGGCTCGTGAAAAGAAATCTCGTTCTTGGGCAACGCAAGTATCACAAACAAGCAATAAATGCTCTACCCATTCTAGTACAGTTCTTGCCGAGCACCAGAAGCAAAGAAGTCGCACTATGAAATCGCTTGACACGCCGGCGTACTTTTACAACAGCAGGTACGCCCATTCTCCTTCACAGTTGTTCCCAGTCTGTAAGAACGACACGTCAGATCGACAGGATGGTCATGATCCCAATTGCAATTACGCAAACTGAGAACGATCGAATCAACCAACTTCAGTTCTTTTTTTTTTTCATTTTTCTGTGATTTTTTTTGACTGTGTTGAATGGATGGCGAAGGTAGAAGATCCTCTACAGTGAAAGTGATAGACTCATTTTGAACAAATAAAAAAGTCACGTCAGACGAGTGCTGATTGTTGTGACCAGCGACAAGCAAAAAATAAAATGTCCCAGCACGAGTGTTGAAGATTAGAGCTCTCTGCTTTACGTAACGCTATCTCAACTACGAAAGGTAAAGAGTGCTCTCCTCCTATACTAGAAAGTTTCTGTCAGGTGTTTTCGACGAAATAAGTTGTCCGAGCGTGATATTATCGCTCGCAGAGAAAATCCAGAATGTCGTCTGCTCCACCTCCAACAAACGGTAGCATCCAGGACTGGATCAAGCGATGGGGCTTGAATGCGGACAGCGAGGCTATTCTTCGTGCCTTAGATCCCAAGCAACAGAGTCGCGTGATGTCAAGTTTTAGTCCCAGCAACCCGCACGTGACGGACTACAACAAGGTTTTTCAGAAATTTACCCAGCCCCGCCTCTTCGTCGAGAGCGATTTATTTTATCCAGGAAAAAACACCCATACCCATCCGATTTGTGATGCAAAACATGCATGAAATTCTGTGCTTGTCTTCATGCACAAAATGGATTGGGATAGGGTTTTTTTCCTGGATATCTTTTTGGAGCGGCACATGCTGGATGAGAGGTCCAAAGCTCTGCTCAAAACCCTGCCTCCGCCTCTTCTCGCCCACGTGATTGCGCACTTCCAACCGGGAGGCCACCGCGACCCCGATCGCCTTCTGGCGAACTTCGTTGCGGGGCTGAAAAAGCGAAAAATTATGCCCGGTAGTACCAGCGTGCTTCCGCCACCCGGAGCAGCTGCTAGTACACCCGCGACGTCGTCCCGCTACGATCTTCTGGACCATGCTGCTCCCGCCCCCCGTCGATCCTCCTTCTCTGCCGCGTCTTCGGCCGCGCGAAATCATGCTGTTGATGAACAAATAAACTCAGACCACTCGTCGGAGGCTGAGATCTCGGACTTCGTGCACAGAAACCAGCTTAGACCGGAGTGCGAAAGTGCGCTCCGGCGGCTGCCGGCAGACGCGCGGCGAAACATCATGGAGAACTTCAAACCGCGCCGGGAGACACGCGACCCCTCGTCTTTGTTCATGGCTTTTGTGCGGCAGCGCGCGTCCTTCCTCGACGTCGACGATAATGATCTTGCTCCGGCGGTTAAACCGGCAAACGACCACGAGCAAATCGAGAGGGACATCCACGACTTCGTGCAGAAACACAGTCTGCGCCTTATCAAATGTAAAAATGTCTGGGTCTGGAAGATTGCCAGGTTTGTCATGCACATTTTGCATGACTCCTGATGTCTGTGATGCATGCCCTAGCGTCACATATTTTGTGAGGGCTTCCTGATGCCTATACCGCATGACACATGCTCTTTCCGTGTAGCAAGACTTGCACTCGCTTTGCTGCTCATGCAATACAGACTTTTTTAGTATCCAAAATCAGCATGGCAAGTTGCATTCTTCCAGACCCAGACATTTTTACATTTGATACGCCTGGGCATCAAGCATATCTTGTCCAACACGGACGCCAAAAGCCGCACGTCCTGCTGCCGGGACTTCCGCGCGCCCCCGGCCAACGTAAACGAGTGCTTCCTCGCCTTCCTAAGGGGACGGCTTATGTCCATTGTGCGGGACGGAAAAATGAACAAGGCCTACGACAGTGCGCTGGAAGTGGTGGGGGTAATTGACAGAGAAAAGGAAGCGCTAGCCATGGAGGAAGCGCGGATGAAGAATGTTGTCCGGGAAAAAGAACATGACGGCTCAGCAGCAGACGGAACAAGGTCTTCCCGGAAGCGATCTCGCTTGGACGACGAGGAAGATGATATTATGTCCCGCCAAAGGACCACGCAGGGCGGAGGTCTGTTGCCCCTCGAGCTTCCAAAGCGCAAGCGACCACGCACGACTGACGAGAAGCTGCAGCAAGAAGATCGTGAAGATCCCCTGAATGATCATACTAGTAACTACGGCAGCGGCTGGGGCGAGAATCCCAATTTGGCCGGCGTTCTTGTTGATCAAGATGATCTATCCTGCGCACAAGTATCGTGCTCGTAGTAATTGCAGTCATGCATTACAATTTTTTTTCTTAAGGTAAATCCGCATTACAGATTTTATTTCTCATGCTGAGTGAATTTGTCATGCATTTATACGAGTGCGATACTTTTGCAATGCATATGATCCCATGCAGACGTCGGTAATCGGGTCAAATCCTTTTTCGAATGATATCGGTTCCAGTTTGTCGTGTTCCGCAGAAGGCGAAGATGAACCACCGCTCCCGAGCCCATTTGAGGTGGACGATGTTCGTCTTCACGGAGAACGAGACAAGGAAAAAAAAAAGAACGTCGGGATGAATAAAAGTAGGAAGACCATTGTCTACAAACCCTTCGACGGTGTTTACTCGGTACAAGGGTTCCTGCAGTTCTTCAAACTAAAACTGAGCGATGACGAGCTTGCCCAGCTCATATCTTTGAAGCAGACCGACCCCGCGGCGGTCGACGGCTTGCTAAGGGAGTTTGAAGCCAACGAAGAGGATTCGATCGGGACAACGAAGGAAAAGTATTATTGATAAATGTAATTTTATTTCCAGGAGCTGCTGTTGCGGTGCGGGACGAGGTGCCGCAAATTATATCATGATGAAAGAAGTAGATGATTGATGAAGAAGAATAATGCCAACATCATCTGCGACAACTAAAAATGTAGAAGTACTAATACTGGGTGACTAAACTAAAACAAACAAACAAATCACAGCTTTCTCAGCTACCTCCGCGAGGAGTCCGTGGAAGAGATCCAAGCACAGTATCGAGATTTCCTGCAAACCTGGAACCTGTTTGGTGAGGAGGCTGCCGCTATGCTGTGAAAAAGTATCGTACTTGTACTTATTGCAAATACGCATGACAAATCTTCCTCCTAGGGTAAAACAGCATTACAAATTCCATTTTTCTTCTTGCCAAAAGTTGTAATGCAATTTATACTAGTGCGCTACTTTTGCAATGCATAGCCGCCATCCTCCAACTGGTGCCCAAGGTGCGGAACCTGCGTCAGGACCTCGTGGACAGTTTTGACGGCAACGCGCCGGGGGAAGAGGCGGACTTTGAACACAGCTCCGCATTGGACGAAACGGAAATGACGCGGAAATTCCTGGTGTTCGCACTCCATTTCATGGAGAGCAAGGGCTACGACCCCTGGCAGATTCGGGAAAAAATGCGACAGCTGTTTGCGTTCGATGAGGATGACCTGGAGATGAGTGCTGGTGACCACCCGGGAGCAGGACATCAACCCGCAGACGAAGGTTCTCAGCTGCATGGATCGGTCGAGGACGTCCTCGGCTTGGATCTTGTTCCAGAAAATTCTGATTTCCAAAATATTAAACGCGATCAACAAGAACTACAGGACGAAGAAGCGATGTTTGAGGAGATTGACGCCTTATCAAGTGCAAAAATGTCTGGGTCTGGAAGAATATATATAAACTTGTGATGCGCATTTCAGAACACAGAAAAATCTCTCATGCATAGGCAGCAAAAGTTGCCTACTTTCTGTCACCAAAATCAGGGATTTGCCATGCGGATTCGGCATTGCGAACGCTTCGCGAAACCTGTGATGCTAGAGCTTCCATACCAGACCTTCTGTGTCATGCAAAAACAGCATGACTCTTCCAGACCCAGACACTTTTGCATTTGATACGCCTTCTGCAAGACCAATCACGTGAGTTTCGCCGTCGCGGATTGTCTGCGGGCGTTCGACCCCCGGTTTCGCGCAGATGTGCTGGCGGAGTTTGAGCCCTGGTACGAGAAAGATCTGCACTACGACAAGGACAACAACATTCTGGAGAACGCCATGGATCACCGGTTTCTCAAGTTTGTCCGGAACATGGCGAAGCGGCAGGGCAACAAGGAAGAGCTGCTTGCGAAGATCCCCGCGGACAAGGTATCCTCAGAAAAAAACGGATCCACATCCGATTTGTCATGCAAACCACGTATCAAGTGATGTGTTTGTCATGCAAAAAATTGATGTGGATGGGTTTTTTTCTGTGGATACAAGGAGATTGCGAACTTGATCACCAAAAAACGCTGGGTCTGCCCCTTTTCCAGGCGACCAAACAAATCGGAGGTGGTGGCGTTTCTGGAAAAGCACGGGCTGGAGAAGACGACAGCGGGGGAAAAGTTTTTGAAGAAAACCCACCCGGGTGCCGCGCCTTTGTTCTCCACGAACCTGCTGCAGTTCGTCTTGTATCCTCGACGCAAAACTTGTTGTAAGTATCGTAGACTCATACTAAAACTTGCAATCTTTATCTTCTTGTATGACAAGAATGACATCAAGTCCCTCTCCGTGGTCTCCGGACCTGACTCTGCATTTGCATTACAAATTGGACTTCTACTATTCATGCCAAAATGATTTGTATTGCAAGTTGTACTCTACCAGTACGATATAAGTCATTTTTTGGAAAGTGCATATCTTGCAAGACTTCGAACTGAGCCTCCACGTGAATGTGAAAAGCGCCGTGGAAGTATCACAAGAAAAAGTGTTAACGTTAACGGAATTTATGATGCAGAAATGCATTACAAGACGTGTCACAATTTGTCATGCATAGCATGCATGTTGGGCTGCATTTGTGATGCATGACTGCAATTTGTGAAAACCGTTGACACTTTTTCCTGTGATAGGAAGAGGAGGCGCTCGCGGAGGCGGAATTTGAAGAGTACATCGCCGATCTTGAACTGGTATCCTGTGCAAAAGTATCGTACTCGTAGTAATCGCAGTCATGCATTACAAATTTCGTCTCCAAGGCAAATCAGCATGACAGATTTTATTTGTAATGCTGAGCGAATTTGTATTGCAATAACTACTAGTAGTGCGATACTTTTGGAATTCATAACTGGTTCCGAGCGGGAAAGAGGTGCGGTTCTGGTTCAAAGAGTTTGGGTTAGACGCCTTTTTGAAGGATCCGCGTTTTGGGGACAGGTTACTCACGAAATTCCGGGCCGAATTGCTGGGCCCGATTCAACGCGCCGTTCTGGACGAGTACCGGCCGCGCGTGAAACCCGACCAGCCAATTGTGCAGTTCAAGAGATTCATGGAAAGCAGGAGAGCAGTTTTGTCCTCCACCATTTCATCCACTAGCAGTTCCGCCAAGGGAAAGGGGAAACCAGCGTCTCTAGCCACGACGACCTCGAGCAAGGGAGGTGGTAGCAAGGGCGGCGGTAAAAAAGTGTCCTTATTTTCTTCCTCGTCCTCCACAGCTCCATACTCACTGTTCTCCTCCTCGTCCGCCGGTAAAGCTACTGCTGAATCGGGAGCACCAGGGAAGAAAGACGGGAAGAAGGGGAGTGGGAAGAAAGGTGGAAAAGAGAGCTCTTCTAGTACTACCGGAAAGGGTAGTCAGAAACGGGCCGCAAAGGTGGACAAGGAGGGTCAGGGTGGAACAAGCAGGTATGAATTGGAAGAAAAGAGCGAGGCTGGTGGAAACGCAGCCAAACGAATTATGCCTTGCACGGGCGTTGGCATACAGAAGGGTGAATTTGCAGTGAATTTGTATTGCATGACAGACTTGCATTTACTAATAAAAGAGAGGGGCGCTGCGTATGGAGACGAGCCCAAGCAGCCCACGCAGCGTGAAGGGCTGCTCGTCGCCAAGTGGCACCTGCAGCACCGAAAGAAGTGGTCTTGCGGGGGCCCGCCGGACTGTGTAGTGCATATGTAACCATCAAAGATGGTGAATCGTGGGGCTCTTGTTCATCTGCGCGTCTGCCTCAGAAGTTCCTCTCCGGAATGGTCGGGAGGGAGGGCGACGCCTGAACACAGGGGCACTAGTTCAACACGTACGCTCTCACGAGTTGTGGTTGTGGCTTGGAATTGGATATCTGGGAGTAGCCTCGGGTGGAACTGGAAGGGAAGGCACGACTCGGCTACGGGCACTAGCTTGCTTGGCCTGGTGTGGTGCTCGGCTTACAACTCCCCAGGCGTGTTTTTGCCCCCGGAGCAAGTCTTTTTCGACGTGGCTCTCAGGTCAAGAATTCTCTTGGTGAATTTTGAGGTTTTTTGTTTTTGCGACACTTTTTTGAAGCCCCCAAACCCGGAGTTTCTCATGCGCTAGCGCATTTTGAACAGGAGCCGGAGGCCAAAATTCACCGGCGCCCTTTTCAAAATTCACTCCAAAATTCACCTGGCGCCCCTTTTCGACCGTGATAAGCAAACTTCGGCGCAGAAAAGTGCTCAAAAAAGTGCGCAGGTAGGCCCTGAGAAGTCGGGCCGAGGGGAAAAGGCAAGCGCGCTCTGTTGCCCTCAGCCCTTCCATATTCTGCCGAAAAGGCCTGGAGAGCCCACGCGCCTGCCGGATAGACGCGTCAAAGCTCTTGGCCTGGTCCTTTTACCCTTGTTTTCGCGCCTTCGTCTTGCCTAAACTGTATGTGCCTCGTGGCTCTTGTTTTTGGCGTCTTTGCCGCGGCTGCTGCAGTGCTTGCCCTTCTGCAATCACAGGAAGACGAAAAGAGAAAGACATGGCCAAAGAACGACGCCCAGGCCATGTCCAGCTGTCCGCCGCATAACCTGCGAGTTCTGCGGTGTGCAGACCGCTCTTCCCAGAAGGGCGAGAGGGACAATGTCCCGGCAGTCTCCTCTGCTATTTGTCATGCAAATTCACTAGAGATTCACCACGTCTCATGCTAACGCGTGTTAAAGCTCTAGCAAACGAAGGAAGCACTGAGTCAGGATTTTTTTACATCATGTGGAACAAGCAGGTATGAGTTGGAAGAAAGGAGTGAGGCTGGAAACGCAGCCAAACGAAGGAAGCACTGAGTGGGGATTTTTTTACATCATGTAGTTGTAGGACGAGGACAACGATGCTGAAGATGAATATGGGAAGAAGTTCGTTGTAGTGGGGCCACGAGCTACATGTTGTATCTATTCTTCACAACAAGACCATGGCAATACAAACACAGAGAGCCGACAATAATGCGGCAATGCGCTCTGTTCAACATCATTGAGAGAAGTGAAAAACAAGCCACAGAATACAAGAACTGAGCTCGAGTGCGAAATGAGGAACAAGTGGCGCAGCTGTTTTCTCATTGATAGGTTTCTGTTGAAATAAGACCACGCCCCTTCATCTTGCCATTCATCAGGAACGACATGACGCTTGTTTGAGTATTTCGGTATCACGGGAACAAGACCTGAGACTGTAGAACCGCCTCCGCCACCACAACCTGAATCCAGGAGAAATAAATATGTTGAGAACTACTTCATGACTCTTGTATTCAACATTGAAACTACAAAATGGTACGATGCTGTTCCAATTACGTTCCAAGTGCGAGGACCAATGTTACGATCCTTTCAGCAGCGAGGAGGAGTCCAATTTTTGACAGCTGTAAAGGAAGTGCCACATGATTTCTAGATGCGATTAGGTACTATTAGTATCACTATCAAGTTGTAGAGGAGCGATGCATGGAAGATCTGATGAAGTACACTGAAATATAAATAACTGTAGCCGCGAGTGCGACAAGCACAATAATCATGCTCATCATGGACCAGTCTTTTGGTTTTCATCTTGAGTGTTAGTACTCTGCTACTATGCCTCATCATTGAAGAACAATAAATGTGTTGATATACCGCCTGTGCGACCTAAAGAAGATGAAAATGAACGAAATAAGTTGTTTGCGAATGGGTAATATGTATTGTTCCAAGAGGAACAAAAAAACTTGTACAGTATTACTGTAGTTCGTGGTCCTGACGATCGATTATTGTTTCTTGGCACTACAACAACCAGCGACACTGGCGACTATCTTTTACTTCAAGAACTGTAGAAGTACCTAGGAATGTGAAAAAAAGAAAATCCCGAAACGAAGTGAGTAAACTACATCAACACCATTCATACGGACTACAGAATGAATAAGGATATTACAAATCTCACAAGATGATGACCGTCATGCTGCGGTGGGCGCAACTGATCCTGCGAGTGGACCACCGCCGAACTTTCCCTATGCATTGCAAAAGTATCGTACTAGTATAAAATGCATTTACAAATTTTCCCAAGAAAAAAATTCAATTTGTCATGCTAGTTCAGGTAGAAAGTTGGATTTGTTATGCATATCTGCAATTAGTACGTCGAACGAGTACGATACTTTTGCACAGGATATCCCCCTCCGCAAACCAACTGCCATACTAGCCGTTCGGAGAATTTAGAAGAAAAAATAGCGCCCCTAGTAATCTCGCACATCATCTCCAGTAATTGATGGGGCTTCCAGAAGTAGAATACAGAAGGTAATGTCAAAGTAAGAACAAGCTACACCGACTCGCTCCACCTTGATGTTTTATAGTTCTTGCTCTATGTTGAAGAAGAAGCGTTACTTCAAATAACTAACGTCTCCTAGGGTTGTAAATGAACCGCCTACCACCTATAATTTAACACTTGTGGCTTTTTTTAGGTTGCTAGAGAAATTTTCCTACATCAACTGTAAGACCGAAACGACGAGATGAAGTTCACCTTCTACAACTACACACTGATTGATCCTTTCTGTATTACATGTTGTTTTAGCGCGTTTCACTTTTCTGATCCTGAACATAGGCTGACACAGATTACCGCTTTCAATCATCAAGGTTCTTCATCATCTTCTCTCATCGTTCGGATCTAACTTTTTCTTGATTTGTAGAAATATGGAATTTATTCAATTCAGCTCGAGGTTGGCGATGTCGAAAGCAATCAAAATAGACGAAGATGAAGTTGTATTTATTACAACTGTTGAAGCAGTACTAGAGGCGCGCTCAGATCTTCGGTGAACTTGAACTAGTCGTAGTCTGATGGTAACGGTATAATTCCGTGTCCATCGGCGCTTCTTAGAAGACCCGACTTGTCGCCTACTCCTAACGCGATCGCGAACCGGTGCCAGGGTGAACTCTGAGGATGACTCTGGTCCTGAAGAAGATCGACGATGTGCCGGCCGCGACGGCGCGCTGGATTGAGAACTTGCGCTTCATCAACCACGCGGTTCTCTGCTACCTGGCTCACCGCCTCTGCAAGGAGTCGCCCGCCTGCAAACAGGCTTGGCACGAGTATTTTTATTTCGATAAGAACCTATTGCTATTCATGTGCTGTCATCAAAAAAACTATGCTTTGATATTGATTTCAAGGGCAACTGCATTGCTTTGGATTATCGTCGATATGTATGAAACTTTCTTTCATCGTCTCAGGTGGGCGATCAACTATGCGAAAGGCAGCATTGGCGTGCCCACCCCGGAGGAAAAGCCGGAACGCTACGGTTACGTGGAGTTGCGGCACTTTTGCAGTTATCAAATGCAAAAATGTCTGGGTCTGGAAAGTTGCAAGATTTGTCATGCATCTCGCGATCCACACTCATGGTCTGTAATGCAGACAGAAGCATCACACATTTTTTCAGACCTTCCTCATGCCTCTTCCGCATGAGAAATTCCCCTTTTCTTGCCTAGCGAGGATTGGGTAACTGTTGGAGTTCATGCAACACAGACTTTCACGTGATCCAGTTTTCGCATGACAGGCTTCATTCTTCCAGACCCAGACATATTTGCAATGCATAGCAGTCTGGTGGCGCACCGGATGATCCACCCGTTGAAGCCGATTGCCTTACTTACGGAGTTCTCAAATGTTACATTCTCAACTGTTACATGATTTGTCATGCAAAACTACCATTATCATCTACACGATCAAGCTGTTCTGCATGACAAATTCTGGAAGGGCCAAACAGGCTGACAATCTGTGCCAAATCTGTCATGCAAGACGCGCAATTTCCCCCCTTTCGCTTTCACTCTTCCCATTCTTGCATCACAAATCCATGTAACAGTTGAGAGTGTAACGTTTGAGAATACCATATTACTCGGCCGGCACGTGTACCAGCTGCCGTACCTGCCCGAGCGCATCGCGGTGCACAAGATGTGCGAGTGGGGCATCCTCGCCTTCGCAAACCCACCGCGGGCCGTGCCGCGACGGAATAATACTAAATCTAAATCGGCACTGCAGCTCGCCGACAAAAGCTGCAAGGAAGCTGGTGCAGTAGTTTCCGAAGGAGGACGAGAGGACCACGGCACCAGCGCAGCTGCAGCAACAGCTAAGGACCACTACACTGCCGACAGTACTATCACCACTGCGGCGAAAAGCGCTGTAAAGGCTGCCAAGAGTGGAGGTCGTAGTACAACTTCGCCCGCACCATCAAAGAAGCGGGCAAGCACCGGACGGCCGAGTGGTGGCGCAAAGCCTACAACTACTTCCATCGGGGTAGCAAGTGGTGCGAGAACTGCAGGAGCTTCAGTTCTTAAGAAGACCACAAATAAACCGGGGGCGAAGAAGATCATTCTAAGGAGTAGAAAAGCAGGAACAAGCACTAAAGCGAACAAACCTGCTGCTGCGCAGGCATCTGGAATACAAACGGGAATAAGTCAAGTACAGACGACAACGTCAACAACGATAAAAAAGACTGCCGGTGATCATGATCAAGAAGAAAGATTGCAGCAGGATGATAAAGTAGTCAACTACGTCCGAGGCGAAAAAACAGAAAATAAAGGACCTCGACAGGAGCCGAAGAAGAAGAAGTCGAGCAATGCGCGAGGACAAAGCAGGAAAATAAAACAGGAGAAAAAAGAAAAAGTGGACAAGCAACGCTTGACAGAGCAACTATCGCTGTTGCGAACGGAACTTCAGGCGTCGCGCAACCGCACGGTCGGCGGCACGGCGCAGGCGGTTCCCGTTACAACTGCGACAGGGGCAGCCAAAAGTAGTGCCAGCAAGCAAAAGAGGAATAAAACTGCGCAACAGGCTAAATCTTCAAGAAAGAATGTTAAAACTCAGCAGGCTACAACTACTTCCGTAGATCAAGATCTAGATGTTACCGGAAATCGAAATAAAATCTCCACACGGAAGATGTTGAAAACTGGAGTGGACGACGCTGATGTTCTTGTCGATGAAAAGAAGAAGAGGAAGACTGTGCTAATGAACAAGCGCGGCGCCATCGTCGGCGAAGCGAATAACGAAGGCAAGGTGGTCCGTTACGACGAGGGAAAGGAGCCCGCCGAAAAAAAAGCGTCCAGCTCGACTAGGCCCGCACCAAAGGACAACACCATGGACAACGCAAACACGCCCGGGGGCGGAGAAGGACGTGCTACGTCTTTCAATACTGCAACGAAGAAAGCGAAAGGAACGCCCAACGCCTTGAAGAGCGCCTCCCAGGTTGATGCTGCTCCGCGGGAAAAGATGAGCGCAGCTGCGCCCTCAGCTGCTGCGATTGGTTCCTCCGCAGGCAGGAGTAGTGCGACGGGTGGAATAAAAAATGTATCCTCAGAGCTGCAAAGGCAGCCGCGTTTCAACATCTCCGACGCTACTAAGGCTGCGCTTCTGTCAGCGATGCATGAGAAGCGACGGAGGCGGGAGCAGGAAAAACTAGATGTCGTGGACGTGTCTGCGACAGCACCTGGGAAAATGACGAAAAGCAGGACGACACAGATGAAGTCGACCACTTCAGCCAAAGTGGCTGCTGAAGAACCTTACCGCTCCACCGGGTCGTCCAACCCTATGGTGCCGTCCGCACACCAGCTGCCAGGCGGCACGACCGCGCCGGCCGAGAACGCGAACAGGCGGCCGGGCTCAGCTCCAACAGCTCCGGGGATGGTACATGATGCTAAAGCCGCCGAACTCGCCTCCAGTGCGACGACAATGGCTCAGGGTACTAGCACAGCCAGAACGAAAAACGTAGGTGCACCAGCAGACACGTCGTCCACGAGCAGGCCCTCGACCGTGGCTATCTACCTACCGAAGAATTTCGTGCCGCTCAAAGTTCCGCACCGATATTTTTCCGAAGCCTACGAATCCAGCCTGATTAGCACCTGCACTGGGATGAATAGCAACATCAAGTCGGGGGCTGCGTCGTCGTCGTCCAGTACTCGCGCCGCGCAGGATCGCGATCGTCAAAAAGACCCTGGCGGTGGTGCCAGGAGACCGGCCTCACTAAAACGCGGACGGGACGAGGGGCAGAGACGTGCAAGTGAAGGCGGAGCGAATAAAGCGATTCTCCCGTCGAAGCAACGGCTCCCTAGGGAAGGCATTGATTACCCGAAGCCACCTGAGAGGGAGCCGGTCATGCCCGAACGCAAAGCACCGTACAACTACTCGACTCATCCTTGTTTTTATTACATCCAGCTTCTTATTGATTCTTCGTATGCGATCTTTTGCAGCTGCGATATTGTTGGGTCATTTCCCGAACAGATGCGCACGGCACGCGCTTCACTCTTCCTGCACTGACTTTGCTTGAAAGACGACCACGCCATTTATTTCTGTTTTCTTTACTACTATGAATAAGGAAGGACGACTGCATGATGATCTTCAAGAAAAACTTACCACAGTTTTATTACCACCGGCTTCGCGGCCTTCGGCGGTCCCCATGGCGTCGTTGCTGTGACAATACCGGGGGAGGCGGTAGATGAGAAGGGCAAGAAAGTGCTGCGCAAAGGCGTCCCCTTGAATCAGCGCGGGTGCTACGAGTGCCGACCTGAAGATTTCGTGCAGATAAAAGGTATTTTGATTTGTATACTACAGCACGACGAAGTTCTAGTTTCACTGCCACGACCGAATTGGAAATTGTTCCGTGATGAAATTTCTTTCGTCATCGGATATGCTTGGATATTCCGCTAGCGTTACGTCAAATGCAAATGCCATCACCATGGCTTTGGCTGCAGATCATCGTTATAACTAATACAAAAACTACACAAAAAACAGGTCAATGGTTAAATCGGTGGTACAATATTCCGAACAACCCGGCGGCAACGATCATCGAGCAGCGCATCGCTGCCCAACAGCGCGCGAAAGCGTTGGCGGACCCGAACAAGTCCAAAAGCACAATGTCGATGTCAACAAAAGCGGCCATCAGCACCACGCCCGCACCGGCCACGGGGAACAGTACTGCGAATGCCGGTTTCAGTTCGGGAGGCAATCGAGTGCTCTCTGCCAAACCCTCGACTGTCGGAGGTGGAGGTCCGAGCAATATTACCGGTGGGGCTCCAAACAAAAAAATTGTGCTCTCCAGTACTACGTCGGGAGCTGGTGCTGGAACTACGTCATCTGCGCAACAGAACAGAACCTTGCCAGCTGGAACGACTGCTACTGCGAGCAATAAAGCAGACCCCATCAATGTAGGTCCTGCCATCACTGCAACTACTTCCCAAGTCGGAGGTGCGAAGAAAAAAGGGACCGACCCGGTGAAGATGGGCTACCTGCAGCAGAAACTCCAGGAACAAAAGCAGAAGATGAAGGAGCGCGCTGCCGCCGCCGCGGCTGCAGCGGCCGCCGAAACGACCAACGGGGCGGCGGGGCCTCCGACTGCCGCAGCTCCTGGGGGACAAGGTCAAGGACAGCCTCAAACATTACCCCCAACGCCCGGGATCGTGAGCAGTGCCTCCTCCGCTTCCTCGAGCGGCGGCGCTCCACTTGCGGGTGGTCACCAACAACAAGGACATCTTCCAGCCCCGCCACCAGGAATTGCGAGTGCGGTTCCGAGCGGGAGCGGCGCGGCGTCTACTTCCGGGGGCAGTGCCAATGTGAAGGATTTGGACCAGGAGCCGACCCCCCAGCAGCCTTCGCCGTCGGAGGGCAGCACCGGAGGGGGTGACCTTGCGGCGGTGTCGCTGCCGGGCGTGTTGGGTGGTGCTACTGGTGACCCGGGAGCAGGTGGGCAGCTCACGACATCCTCCTCCGGACCGGGCCGCCTGGAGTTTCTCCGGTCCAAGCTCGTGCACGCGCGAAAGAAGAAGGCTGCCGAGCAGGCGGCCGCGCAGGCGGCACTGAGCGCGCAGAGCTCCCCTGCCGTGGAGTCGTCCGACGGGGGCGGTGCTGCACCGGGGAGCTCGGAGGAAAATAATAGCTTTCCACGCACTTCTGGCGACGTTCTTGTAGACCAACCGGAGGACAAGAATTCCTCCAGCAACCACCAAACCTCTTCTTCCTCGTCGTCTTCAAATAAGAACGAATCGCCGGGCGGGACAAGCTCCTCGCTGGAGGACGGCGCGTTCTTGCAGGCGAATGGAGACAAGAGCACCAGTAGAGTTCAACTGGGAGTAGATCATCAATCCCATAACGGCGTGCTGGCAGTGCCGCCCGGGGCCGCAGGCGGTGAAGAAGTCCGGTCTACTACTTCCATTGCTCCGAACGGGGGAGGTGCACCAGTAGCGGGATCAAGATTGGCACCAGGTCTGCAGCAAGCTGCTTCCGGCGCCGCTTCTGGGGACGCGGGAATCCTCGGAACTGCAGCGCATGCGGCGAAAGCGGCAACGTCGAAAAAGACGATACTGCTGAACAAGCGCTCTGCAGCCGAGCAGGCGAACACCGCTGGCGATGCGGACCACGACGATGGGCTGGCTGGCCCGGCATTGAAGAAGAAGAAAACGCTGGTTTTGCGACGAAAGAAGGGCACCACGGAGCAAGGTGTACCTGTCTCGGAAATCCCGGCCAAGAAACAGAAAAGCAAGGACGGGAAGTCCGCTGGTACGACTACAGGTGGAGCAGCTGCACAAGCCGGTGCGGCTACTGGAGCACCAGCTGCGAAGCAGGACAAGGAAGTGGTCAACAGTAAACTTAACACAAAAGATCTTCGCGAGCCCGAGCATGAACGGCAGGGACCTTCGCCGACCTTGATGTCTTCAACTGTGCTGGATCATACCTTATCTACTCCCCCCGGCGGATTGGTTGATGTGACTCTACTCCAACATCCCATAACCTCCACGACCAGCACGAGAACTCCGGCGGTGTTAACTCTGGAAGCTGCAGCAGCTGGTGTCAAAAAAGACAGTAAGCAAATGGAGCAAAAGCAGGATCAGCGGCCTGGAGCGGTGGACTCTTCGAGTACACACCAACAACATGCTGAGACTTGTGCTAAACCGGTGGCACTAGTGCCGGAGACACCTCCCTCAAGCGCGTCGGGAAGGCAACATGCGCAGGCGAGTTTGGCTGCATCAGCTAGGGAAGTAGTAAGCGACGGGCCCTCCGTACTTTCTCTACCCGCAGTGCGAGATTCTCGCGAAGTCAACGGGAGAACTACCACGAGAAATTCTCGTAAAAACGAAATCAAGCCCTCATCTGTAGTCGAGCCGGCGCGAGACACGTCTTCATCTTCCGCACCACCGGCGTCCGCTTCTGCTGTGTCAGTTGTACGTCTAAATTCAGACTCAACGCAATCGGCAGCCGCCTCCGGACAACATAAAAAAACCAAAGAGGATGGGGAACTACAAGCTGTCAAGACAACTACAGCGTTCAACTCAACAAGTTCGGCGGCACCGGCGTCGGCCAGTAGAACGACTTCCCGCCCCGAACAAGTGGCACACCCACATCAATCTCAGACGCAGCTGCAGCCTAGTTCATCTTCTCACCATCCTAGTTCCTCGTCTAGTTCCACCACCTCGAGCATCGGCGTGCCAACTGGTACGATGGACGTCGAGCAGGGATCTTCTGGGGCCAGCAGCTCATCCGCTGGGGGTGGAACCACGATAGGCATGAGGAGGCAGGATCACCTTAGGCAGAAACTGCAGGAGTTGAAGCAGAAGCGCGGTGGCATTCTGAGTGAGCAGAAACATAATAATTGTGGAGCTCCTGCCAAAGGAGTTGTTGTAAATGGAGGAACTAATGGAGCAGCACAGTCACCTGCAGGCGGGCCCAAAGTACCACTACCTTCAGGTGGTCCTGCCGACGTTATTCCTGCTGCCGGCGAAGAGATATTGAGATCAACGACCTCGACCACGGAAGGCGCCGCGGCTGTGAGGCAAACATCTTCATCGAGCCTCGGCGGCAAAACGAAGAAAGCGAACAAAGTGGCCTCCGCTCTTCAGAAAGAAGACGCATCGGCAGCAGCGCTTGCACTTGCAGCAGACCAGAGTACTACTCAACACACAGAACAAGAATCTGCACGAGGCCGGCCACGAGGCAGCGCAGAAAAAGACATCCTCGTCGATACGAAAATGCTGCGCCGGCCTTCTTCAGCCTCATCCTTGTCGTCGTCCTCACCTGGAGGTGGATCAGGTGGAAAAGGAAACAAGAAGGCGGCCAGAAGGGAGGCAGCAGCTGCACTAGCGCCGTCGACTTCAAGTGACGACTCCTCGTCCTCAGTCTCTTCGGATAACAACAGCTCAAGCGAAGAAAAGAAAAGAAAGCGGAAGGTGAACACGCACAAGAGTCGAAAAAAGGCTGAGGATGTTGACCAGAAATCTCTTCTACGTGGTGGTGGTCCAGAGAACAATTATACCAAAAGCGGCACTACTAGCGCCAACACGTCGACAATGCTACACAGAGAAGGAGAGGCAAGAATAGGGGATCATGTGGACCTGGAAAATAAAGATCGTGTAGTACAACTATCGAGTCCCATGAACAACTCGTCTCGAGGACCACCTCATGAAACAACATCCGTTCTTTCGGAACAGCCACGCCTCCGCTCGCGCAACGACAGCATGCGCAGCGTTGCGACTCTCCAAAGCGAGGGCGGCGTGAGCAGCTGTAGCAGCAGCGTCGGTCCGCGTGTTGACAAGAACGACGAGGACGGTTCAGCCATGTATAATCGGCAAGGGACGATGTTGGACGCTAATCGCGACGAATATGACGATGACGAAGATGAACGGTCTGCGGAGTTCGCGGGTAGAAGTTCGGAGCAGTACTACACTCCTGCTGGACCGGGGGTCGTGGACGATCACGAACATGGAGCTGCGGGGGGCCATTATTACTACCCTCACCACAGTTCTAATTACGACGACGAGGACGGCGGGCCAGGACTGTACTATACCACATCTTCCAAGAACAGTGCTCAGGGGTCGTACAAAGGTAGCGGTAAAAAAGGGGCAGGGAAAGGAAATAAAACCGGAACAAATAGTAAGCATAACAAGAACCAGAACCACTACAGTTCCTCGGAAGATTATCCAAGAAAAAAACTGTGTTACTGTAACTTTCTTTGGCTAACAGCATCACAAGTTTGCCCTACATGACAGAGAAAACCTGTCATGCATAGCTTGTAAGGGAAAACACACATGAAAAGAGGACTTCAAGGCTGTCTGGCATGACAGGTGTAACTCTGTTGCATGTTCTGCATTACAGAGTTACACTTACACAGTTTTTTTCTTGCATAAAGATCAGGACGAATACTTGACGGACCGAATGGCAGAGTATGCCGAGTTATGAATTGCAAATATGTGTGGGTCTGGAAGGTGGTAACTTGTCATGGTAAATCTGAGTCATACAATTACAAAAATATGTGTTGCATGAGTGCCAAAAGCTGTCCACTGTCGACCAAGTTGGGAGGGAGTTTCTCATGCAGGATAGGCATGGCAGAGACCTCGCAGAGTCTGTCATGCTAAGTCCCGCATTCCAGACCTCGCGGGTCATGGAAAATCTGCATGACAAGTTTACACTCTTCCAGACCCAGACACTTTTGCACTTGATATGAGTATGATTTTGATTTTGGCGGTCCAGCCTACAACGCGGCAGGGGGAAACAAGTACAAAGGTGGCGGGGGCGGGCACAAGAATTCTTACAAGGGCGGCGCCGCAAAAATGAACACGCACAAAGGTATAATACGTTATATGAGCTTTTGTCGACTAAAGACGCTAAGATGTTGGCTTTCTCTTTATTTTGCTAAGGTGGAGACGAGTTTTGAGGAGATATTGATTCGATAATATGTGGTAGTTTAATTACATGAAACATGAGCTTGAGCAAAGATTGTCGACGTGTTTTTATTTTACCCGAAGCTGTACTTGCTGCATTTTGCATGTACAATAGGATCATCGAGGTCTTCTACACACTCACACGAAAAAAGGTACTAAGCACAAGAGTGCGCCGCCCAGTAGCGGCTCTTCAGGCGGTTGGTCTCACTTTTCTACGTCCTCGGACAAGGGCACATCGTCTGGTGGTTACGCAACACAGCACGGAGGTGGAGGGGGGTACTCGCATTTTTCTAGCAACAAACATTGGGGCGGCGGAAAGAGCAAAACCAAAAGCAAATACAGCTGATGTTTGGAGTACCAACATGGTTGGCGCACTAGCAGTACACAACTTCTCAGGCCGTTCTCGTTGACGCCAGCAGTACCTTTTGAAGAGCTCGCTCCGAGGTCCCCTGCACACGTAGATGAAGCTTCCTTTGGTGTTGAGCTGCTTCTTAGGTTGTGTCCTACTTAGCCAAGCAAATACCGCACTTGGGTTGATGATGAGCACGGAGATGTTCTGAACACCACCACCAGAAAATAACGACCTCTGATGTTGATGATCTTCACGCGTGCGGGAACATCTCTGGATGTTAAAAAACGTATGGCCGACTTCTGAAAAATCTGTAAGAACACGAAAAGAAAAAGCGACAATCATTGAAGACTAAAAAGAAACGACAGAGCGCGGCCTGAGTTTGCTGCTACTCGAGAGCAAAGAGGCCGCCCAATATTAAAAGTCTTCAAATATTAAAAAGTGCGAAGGTTGCTGGTGCTCGACGCACCGGGAAACAGTCAGTCGCCTTGATTAGGCGTCGACGTGGTTGTACTCTTGTTGAGCTGTTCAAATTCATGGTGAGTTTTTTTCGTGAAGCAAATTAATCTGGTGCGCGTTGGTTAAAGGCGGAGGCGGACAAATGAACTTGAGCAACGAAGAGGCTCTTGCACGCTGCGATGTTGTGACCGACGTGATACCACCACCATGAGAGAAAGACAGAGAGAGGATGCTGGAGCTGGAGAAACGTGATGATCTTCACACTTTTTCTCCTATTGTAGTTTTGTATTCTCGTAGTCCAACAGTGCAAGCGCTAAGCATTAATTATCTCAGTCGGCTTTGTTGAGTGGTTTCGTATACAACTTCGCTCTCGCAACAATAACGCACAAGCTGCAAAACACGATCACACGAAGATGCCACGAGGAAATAGCAGCAAGTCGTCTGGAGCCTCCACGAAGGCTGCAGGCTCGCCCTCTTCCGGCTCTGTGTCGAACAAGGCCGCTGCCGGACCGTCGTATGGGTCCCGGAAACCGGCCACCCCGCAGAACACATCTGCTCCTCCGCCGCAGCCGGCGGCTCCAGCCGCTCCGGCCCCGGTGCAGGCACAGCCGGTACAGATACTCCTGATGCTGTAGTTGCTCAGATGGTAATAGATAAGAAGGAATGTTGCAGCTATATTTTCCGAATGAAAGTGTGGTGTGTGGTAGAGAGAAGTTTCTAAGACCACAGGTTCTACTCTTGACGAGCACAATCCCGTGCTCTCTACTCTCCAGCACTATCACGTGCCATCGTCGATATCATCTGCGTACTGTTGAGTGATCTAGATCATCTGACCTGAAACTGAACTCACCTCAGCCCGTCGCCGCAGCCCCTCCCCCAGCACCGCAGATGCCGGCTGCTGCGCCCGCGCCCGCGGCCTCTAGTGGCGGAGGCATGATGAGTGGCCTCATGGGAAGCATGGCCAGTGGCATGGCAATATGAAAATTGAACGAGGATGAAGTCGTTTGCATGCTAAATGGAAGGCCTGTGTGCATTGCTTTGCAACTCGTAGGACGTGACGCGTCGATCATACCTTTGGCAGATGATTCTTCTCTTGATACTGATAAAGGCGAATCAATTTTGTTCTTGTATTGTCGAAATCGACATCAGGAGCAAGCAAAGGATCATGCCGATGTTGTTGCCTAGTGCATTATATTCAAAAAGTAGAAACTTCATCAACTGGTCCTCTTCATAACAAACCGGGGTCGGGATGTCCGTCGCCAATCGTGCGGTGGATTCCATGCTCGGACCGCGGCAAACCGAAGTGGTGCACAAACACGGTAATTTGCAATTGACAAACTCTGCTTTCAATTTAACATTACATGTTTGACAAGAATTTCAGAATGGGGCACGTCGGTACAACATCTTCATCCAAATGACATACATACAACAGAGGACGCCCCGGCTCCGGCCGCAGCGGCACCACCTGCCTCGTCTGCAACGGTGAGTAAGTGTGTGGATGAAGCGAAGTGGCTCGAGCAGTGCATTAGCGACAAGGGAATCTCGGAATGCAACAAGTACCAGGACCTCCTGTCCAATTGTAGAATGGGTGCGTAGAAGGGAGGACAGGGATAGCACTGGAAAAGCCTTTCTTTTCTCCCACCTTGGGTGTAGGTTGAATGAGTGAGAACTTTTGGTATGACAATATCTTCCTTGTAAATACAACGCGCTTGTTTCTTATGCGATTCTGCTGTGGGACCATGAAGGATGGATTGACCTCCTATAAATTGGCGTGGTCATCTACTCGCTGCAATCTTCCAAAAACAAAAGACGACAGTACTTAAGGATTGAAAACTTTGGACATCTTCTTTCTACATTTGGTGATGTCTTCTGTTTCAGGGGTAATTTTTTCTTTCACTGCTCTACTGCTCGATAGGTGGGACTCTCTTTCGTCTCTTCACAAAATATTTTCCGCCACCAAGTTTATTTCTTCCCGCAAAATTAAAAAGCGGTAGGACGCGTAACTGACCTCTACCTACCTACCAGCTATTTTGCGCCCGCAGTCACGACACCTTTAACTCTGGTGCACCCGCACCGCATCTATACGTAGAATTCGACATAGAAACAAATAGCATTTTTTCAAATGTATTGGGTGGAACTTGTTATTATATGAAACTCGTTGTCGACGCAGACGCACTGAAAAATTTTGAATTTGATAAAACTGAACTACAACTTTTGAATTCCTTATAAGCAAAACTACAGAAAACGTTGTCTCAGAAAGGGTTTCTACGATCGATGAATACAAGAAAAAAAGATTGTAAATCTGAACTTCTTTCACAGTTATCTTAAAAATGAGCAAGGCTGTGGTCTTTGATATTAATATCGATTCAGAGAGAAAATCAAGCGAAGCAACACACATCAGACCACCAAAAACTGTTGCAGCTACAGCAATACAATGTTGATAAACAAGCCACAGTGTGGCTTAATCCTGGGGTATGTTGTGGATGAGTATAATCTTATGAATGTCGCACAGGAAAATGAAAAAGTATCTCTGAGCTTTCGCGATTGCAGCCGGTGGTGTGTTCCAGAAGCAGGCTTATTTTCAAGAAACGATGACACGAATGACCCGTTGGTCGTTGCACCAATTCGTCTCCTATGTAGCTTTCGCTCTGAAATTGGTCGTATGTAAGAAGCGTTCTTCTATTCTTCACACCGTGATCGTAAAGAAAAGGAAAACATTGAGGTTGACAAAGGATGCGCAGCAGTCATGGATGGCGATGGCTGCTCATTGTGATTTCAAATTGCGTGCAGCAGCAGCGTGCGGTATTGATAGAAAGTAGCGTAGTGGTTTCCTGCTTCTTCTAGATCGAGATCGTGAAAAAATCGTAAAGCTCGTTTTCATCTTATCGTGAATAGCGGCGCTGTCGTGCATGTTGTGCATTTCTAAGCGCCGGACGACTTTTTTGACATTCACAGCTGCTGCAGAAGAAACTCAGTCCATCAGATTCTTTGGTTATCTAGCAGCGACCGCCACGGAATCCTCACCTACGCATATTATTTTCTTTTTTGTCGTTTTCTCTCCTTCCGTCGTTGCCGTTGTTCTACTAGAGGGGGCTACATGTTCAAAGAAGGCTCTTGGTTTTTTTTTTTTGATTTGAATTTATTCTTGACTTCCTATATTAATGCCAGAAGTAGAGCAGGAGCAAGAGCCCAATCTAATACTTGACTTTTTGCGAAATGCACAACAACTACACGGAGATGTTTCCGTTCATGATTATGTTTGCGAAACAAGCTATGACAATCAGAAGGATATCAGCCGCAGCGGTTCTTATCCGCGTCATCCTATTCGCCGCTACTGTGCCCGACCTAGCAGTAGATGCCGTTAGTCTGACCGCAAATGAAGAGTACAGGCGTGATTATTTGCGACTGCAAGGACCACAGCGGGCGTCGACACCGACTTCATCCGATTCCGATGTTGAGCTCCGCCAGCATTACACCGCTACCGCTGTTCCCGACACCTGCGACGGATGTGCGGACGATCTCTGTCGAAGGATGCGAAAGTGCGACAGGCGCCTGGCTGCCCACGGACTTTGTTCCCTATCGCAGGCCGCGATCTGCAGCCTGGCCACCGCGGGTGTGGCAGTCCTGGGAGTCGGGGCTTGGAATATGTTCAAACCAGTGCCGCCGTGTCGGACTTATTTGTACATTCCCGGCGGACTACTTGAAGAGTCGGCGGCAAGCGCAAGCAGGAACTCACTCGAAGTCCCAGCAACATCTTCTACTTCACGAGGTGCAACCACAGGCGGCCCTGACGGCGTTCATCAGCCCGTTTCTCGTGGTGGACGGCTACTCCTGCAAGTAGAGGAAGCAAACCGGCGGTTGGCTGATAGGGAGGAGGTTCCTGATGCGAAACAACGTCGGCCACGCTTTCTGGCTGCGGCAATGACAGAACATTCGGGCGCATCGCCGAAGGACACCCTCACGGAGATTCCCGGGTACAGGCTTTTCAAGCACCTTTTGGACGCGGGGGAAAGTAGTGACAGCACTGTCACGAAGAAATTCAATTACCCGGATATCTTTCAGAGCGACGTGTGCTCGGATCTGATCATTCCACAAAACGCGGCCGAATATCAAGACGATGTGGCCATGCCCGCCTACGTGAAGTGCGATCCCAGGAATTTGGACGAGTGCCTCATACGAAGCGGAAAATTTTCTTGTGGTCTTGTGTAGAAAATGTTCTTGGAATTGCATGGCTGAGTGTGATAATGATGAAACCTGATGAACATGAAGCAGAACTGATGGCGATGCCAGTGATGAAGATGTAAGGACTGGATCTGATTGGGTGTCTGTCTAGATCTAGAAGGTAAGTAAACTACGAGCAGTGCATCGGAACATCACGTCGTGACACACAGATTGATATTGAATTTTCGCGTGCATATCCGTCCCACATCGAATATCGAGCGCACGGGTACCTGCCCCTGGAACTCTACACAAAATTGGCGGGCGACCTAACAGCGAACCCGGAAAAATATTTTCCAGGCAGCGTGATCTTCCGAGCGCCCGGAGTTGAATTGCAAACTTTCCTCGAGCAAGGCCTGAAATCGTCCTTCGTCAGCAGCTCCTCGCCTGCTTCGCTGATGCAAGAACAGCTCGCAGCAGGAGCAGCACTCGACGGCCCTACCGATTCGATTTCTGACATCGAGGTGCAATCCCCCCGACAGGCGCGGTCGCTGCTGGCCACGGGACGGGCCAACTATCTCCCGGCATTCACTGAAAAAATCTACCCGATGCTGGAAGCGCGGCTGATCAAAGCTCTGGCCCCTCTGGGATTTAAGGACGTCATGCTTGCCCGCGAAGCACTTTTTGGCCAGAAAGACGAACAAGGCGGGTTAATATTTCCACCAGGAAATGGTGGAGGACTGGCGAACCCGCTGAAAGCCACGAAAAGCGACCAGGTGGAGTTTCTGGTGGCAAAGGCGAAGCGAGAGCCGGCTTTTTTGCGGAAGTTCAAAAATCCAACCGCCTTTCAGGTTTCCGAGGCCGCGGCCGTGGACCAGGCGTCCGTGGTGACCGACTTGCATGAATTTTTCTCGAACCTATTGGAGATCTGCGAGCACCTCACCTTCGACACGCAGCAGACCATCGGATTTGCGTACGACGAACCTATTCTCATGTTTGCCAACGCAATGGGGGAAGATCTGCCGGATGCCACCACGGACCCGCGGCTGTACCCCCCGCACGCGGCGAACTGGAAGGTGAGCGGCACGGACGCGGACCCGGAGTACTTACTCTATTCTCCCGTCGAGATGGCAATCTTGAAGGACCGGCGCGAGCTCAACGCGGAAGCCCTGTCGCCCACATGTTCCCCTTTCGGCAAGATCCGGACACACGCCGGGTACAACGACGAGTGCGGTCAGGACATGGTCCATATCGAGCGGCAGCCGCCTGCCTTTTTGGGAATGGCAGACAAGGAACAAGTAGTGCTCCCGCCGCGAGGTGGACCGCCCCAGCAGGCCCAGGAAATAAGAACCGCAGACAACAAGAATAATTCATCTACCTCGAGCGGAGCAACTGCATCTTCTTCAGCTTCGGCAGGAGCTGGAGCTACAGGCTCTTCGGGGATAAAAAACGTAGGTCAGTGGTGGTTTTCGTTCCAGGCCAGGCTCGAAGCAGCCGCGACAGAGCGGGCACAGAACTTGGTCGCGCAGCTCGTCAAGGCCAGTCCCTCGCCAGTGCTTTCGGATGGCAGCCTGGTTGCGCCGTGCGGGGACGTGGAGCGCCAGCCCCCGCCGCCCGAGGATGACAACTCCAGACGGCTTCTGGCGATCATGGAGCAGGGGAAAGATGAAATGAAAAAGGATATGCTGAGTGCTGGTGAAGAGCCGGACGGTGGGAATCGGGACCGGACGGGGTCCTCACCGCAGCGCATTTGTGTCTCGCGCCGAGAAGACGACGAGGTTGATGACGCGATCACGTCTTCCGAAAGCGGGTTCCTAGCACCGATGAGAAAGCTATACAGCCACGGCACCGCGCATAGTTCCGGAGGTATAGAAAACTGCGCTCTTTGCCCCTTTTGTAAGTAACTTCTTGGCCACGCGAAACGGCGCCCCCTGCTGGTCTTTTTGTTTTTGGTTTAGAACTTGAAAAAATGTGGTCCTCTCTTCAACTTTAAGTCCAAATTCTATGAAAAAATCTGATACTACACCGACCTCCAGGGCACTCGCACGCATCTGGGCACCACTCTAGCACCTACGCAATGTCTCACACGACGGGCACGCACACGCACATCTCGGTGTCAGCCTATCACGCGAGCATCCACAGCCGGATGGGACACAATAACGTCCGATCCGTAGTACCGTCCGTGGCGGCGGCGAATCTGTTGCATCACGTTTCTATCGACCTGAACAATGCGGAAGAACAAGCAACGGACCCGGCGACGGCAAGTTTTAGCAAGTGTTTTCGCATCGAGGTCGTGCCCGAGGTAGAAGGTAGCAGGAGGCTGCAGGGCCTGGGGTGGCTCCTGGGTGGCGGGGGAGACCAGCAGGAACCGAAAAAGAAAATATCCTTCTGAAAAATGTCGACGCAAAAACGCAGATCGTCCATCAAGCTCCCTAGAAAGAAGATAAAATGGCGCGTCAAAAGATAAGTACTGATACTCGAAGTGATTGCATGCACTGTGTAGCTGCAACATCGTCCAATATTTTTGAAAAGTCCCAATATTTTTCGGTGCAAGGCGGCGAAGTGAGTCTCCTGCATCTACTGCTGCTCCGCTCCTATATCATATGTGTGCAAAGCAGAACCAGAAGCTCCGCTTCACGTCACGACAGAGGTTGAACTTTGTGATAATCCAGCTTCGACTCATATCAGCGGTATGATATTGTTTGAAAGCATGCGTCAATTTCCTCGAAAGAGAGATTTAGATTGATCTCGGTGCAGCTGTCGACATTTCTCAACCAGAACCTACCGCGGAGGAGCTGGTGCCGTGGAACGAGTTGTATGGGAACGTCTCCAAGGATCTTACCACGCTGCTGCGAAAGTAAGTATGTATCAGACTTGAATTCATCGTGCATGGAAAATCAAAATCTTGATTTTTTCAAATCAAAAGTCTCACTCTGAATTTTTCTCCGGCTTGTTATTTCCGGTTGCTGTCATGTGCTGCCACAGAGACAGAAAAAGCGAATAAAAAAGTGAACCGGCGGAAAAATCTTCGAAACTACAGATACAAATCCGCTGCTATTTACGAAGACACCCTGAAAAAACGGATTTTGGACCGAACTACGGACTTCGTCAGTACCGTGCTCACGCCGTTGTTTACGACTACAGTGTATAAACGCATGCTATTTTTGAACCCATCAAAGAACCATTCTCAGCTGCGCTGTGGTTCTTGTACGTTGTGATAAATACGCACTTTTTTATTCCTTCGTACATGAAATAAGCAGACAGTGTCTGCTTATTTCATGTCTGCCAGACACTAGTGTCTGCCAGACACTAGCACACTTGTGCTCCAAGGACGACGAGAACGTCAGCGCTACGATTTGATGAAACACCTTCCTGCTAACACAACGCACAGCATCTTCGAGAACCTTTTCAACCCTTCGACGTGGGTGGTTGACGCTTTCTTATCCGGCAGAAATTTTCTCGAGAATTCGAACCCTCTGCGCGATATTTTATTTGGCCGCACGTTTGTCTTTCTGGACGGAGGAAAGGTCTTTGAGGAATTTCGCCGCACCGACCTGTTCCAGGGATTTCGCTACCCAATGACGGAACCGCCTCCAGAAAGTAGCAGCACCGCGGACAGTGGCGAAGGGGAAAAAGTCTTGGAGGTAAAGATACATTTACATAAGCAAGAACTGCAGTGTAATACTGTCATCTGGGACATGAGTTCCTCATGACGTTCTTTCGGTTCCTTTTCTATATCGTGAACTAAAATTTAGGAATAGTGGACAAGAATTTGACGAATTTTACTACTTACAATAGGACTATGAGACTATGATTGGACTTTTTCAAGAACAACAAAACAGTTCCGCATTCCGCCGCTGATGGGTCGTCGCTTGGTCTTGAAAAAGACCCAACGACTGGTACCAAGCGCGACCATATGGATTGCAAAAATGTCTGGGTCTGGAAGAATGCATGAGTTTGTCATGCAGATTTTGCATGACCCATGAGGTCTGTGATGCATGCCCTAGCATCAGAGATTGTGCGAGGGCTTTCTGATGCTCATACCGCATGAGAAATGCCCTCTCCGCGTAGCACAAATTACACCTCTTTTGCTGTTCATGCAATACAGATTCTATGTAGAGGCCAAACGCAGCATCACAAGTTGCATTCTTCCAGACCCAGACATTTTTACATTTGATAGACCACGATGGGAATAGAAGCGGGAGTAGAGCCGGGTAGCGGTAGCGGAGGAGGGGAAAACGAAAAGCCTGATAAAATAAACTACGGGACGCTCCTCGCCGTTACGGAGTTTACGGTGCAGGCGGTGCAGTACCATCACACCCACGACCTTAACGGTATGGGGTTCTCAAGCGTTACATTCTCAACTGTTACATGATTTGTCATGCAAAATGACCATGACCCGCCAGACGATCAAGCTGCTTCGCATGACAAATTCTCGGAGGGCTAAATAGCACTGCAGTCCGCACCAAACCTGTAATGCAAGACGCGCAAGATTCTCCATCTTGCCTGTGCTAGTCTTGCATTACAAATTCATGTAACAGTTGAGAATGTAACGTTTGAGAACGCCATACACGGCAAGGGCCCGCTGGACGCGTCCTCCTTCGATCGCCCAGTGTACTTACGTCCGGCCGCGTCTGGCCCCGTCATGATGAAACCTTTTCCAGAGTTTGGAGAGCTCAGTGCCTAGTGGTAGAAGATGAAGATCTTCACCGCACATTTACAGAAGTTAGTATGGACAAACTTAGTGTCCTGTATGTGCAAAAGAAGCTGCTGCTGCATCGTGTTGCATTTTGTGCTCGGTGGAACAAGAATGAATCACCTTCGTTTCTAATAAAAGATATTTCCAGGGAATACGAGCTAAACTACGACGTAAAGCGAAAGAACGCAGAGAAATTCACGGATTCGCACAACCCCCTATGCCATGAGCATGAAGGGTTGTTTCGACAAACTATGTATACGATACTGCTTCATACTTTTGCATGATGGAGTCACCAGGTAAATTAATAGGATCATGATTATCTACATCTTTGACCGAAAAAAACATGTTCGTCCAAACTAACTGGCCGACAAAGACCCTCTGGTCCTGTGAACTCCTGACATTGGCCTCCTAGAAAACAAAAATCCTTTTCCAGCCCGCAAGCTATATTTATGTCGGAGCGGAGGTGGGAGATGAACTCCGGGCTCCAGCGCGCATTGGTTGGCGCAGAGTACTGCGCAAATTGAAGATTGCGATGTTGTTCGTTCGTGTATTTTGTGGCATGCACGATAGCAAAGGAAAGAGAACGTAGCTGCAGACGAAAACAAAGATCACAATCCACGTCCAGTTCATCACTGCGATGTACTTATTTATTATATGACGGTCTACTAGCTACTACCAGTTTTTTGCGTCGCAGCTAGCCGCCGACAAATACGATTTAAACCTTAGAGGCGTAGTACCCATAGTGAACAAGACGAGAAGCTTTGCAGCAGCAAGAGGATCAAGAACATATATTTCTAGTTGTCGTTTTCTACAACTTCCTTGTGTAGTGTCGCAGCAAGTCCAAGTTGTTATCGAGTGCGTAGCCCTAGTAGATCTAGCGATATAGAAGCCTACCATACTGTCTTAGTGGTGCGAAAACAAAATGGGTTGACGTCAGTATCGTTTCACATTCAACATCTAGTTGATTATTGATGATGTTGTTAGTCCCTGTAGTTATAACGCGCCAGATCTGCTATTAGCCTGATAGAGCAGCGGAGCCTTTAGGTTCGTCTTTTGTCTATTGTCACGAAGTACAGCCACTACCTCGGCAAGGCAACTAAGTAAGCAGCTTGATCAAGATCTAGAGGTGGTAGCAAGAAAAAGCATTGGTGAAAAACGATTGGCCACGACGAGCTGCATGATTTAATATTGTTGATGAGGATAGTGATAGGATCAGGACGACGAGAAAATATAAATCAGAAACAAACCACCTTCCTGCAATACGAATACCACAGCGGGGGCGTGCTTCAAAAAGAAGAACATCTAGAAGTTCACTCAAAAAATCTAGGCAGATATCTAGGAAGTCAGCCGATTCTTGAAAAAGTCGTGTAGGTTCGAAAATAAATCGCACCTTCAGTAACAGTCAAACACATCCAAGCGAAACCCCACCACCCACCCAAAACATCAAGATGGCGAAGGGTCGCAAGGGCGCTAGCAAGGACAAGAAGACCAAGACGGAGGGGGAATCCTCGCCGAAGGAGGGTGGCGGTGTCATCGATGGGGTGCTCACCATGAAGGTGTCCAAGCAGCACACGTACCCGATAGAAATCATCTACCATACTACACCTCGTACAAAAAAGCACCACAAATAATTTTTCCAAGAAGATCATGAGAAATCAGATGACTTGTCATGCTGAGCTAATATGATTGACTTAGGCTTTTTGTATCGGGCCTATGTCGATCATTTGTATGCTAGGCGTTGGGTTACCCGTTCGGCAGAGCCGATTCGCAACGAACGAACGATGGGGAATTGGAAACGGTATAGTAAGTTGTATCTGATGTCGGTCCGACATCGATTCAGCACTTACAGTAAATTACATCAAAACGTACTACGGTGGCTGATTATTTCCTCTGGATACGACGACCCCGTTCTACATCCGGTCCGCCTTGTCCTTTCTGAAGGGACAGGGGGAGGACAAACCGCCGGTGCCGAAGCTGCGCATCTCCGGGCTGGGCAACGCCATCTCCTGCGCCATCGCGTGCGCGGCCCGCATCGAGGAGGCGAAGATGGGGAGCATCGAGAAGTGCAACACGACCTACTACAAAATCCCCGGGGGCAAGTTCGTGCCGCAGATCACCGTGGACATTTTGAAGGCGCCGTATTAGAGGAAAAAATGTTGACGCTGAAACTACGGAAGAACCTGTGATGCAGGAGAAACGCACGCACAAGCAAGTTCATGAAATTTGTCTAGCATGGCATGCACAAAAGGAAATTGTTTTGTGATGCATGGCTGCAATCACAGTGAAAGCCGTATAATGTGAACACTTTTTCATCCTGATACGCCTAACTCCGAAAGCATCGAGGTGAAGGAGCTCATGCCGAAGCCGGCCAAGGAGTAAGGTGTGGATTTGCTGCATTTGGTGAAGTCAGAAAATACTGGGAACAACAGATTGTTGCGACCACATGATTTCTCAAAACGTAACCATATGATAATTCACTCTACTCAACACTGTCGTCGCTATTGTACATTTGCAATTGTGCACTACGGTGATAGATTCTACGTCAATTTGGAGTAAAAAACTACAACTACATTGCAATACTTTTTCAACATGATGCGTCGAGTTTTAATATGCGGATCTTCTACACCCCTGTTCACTGTTACGACAGCTTCGAAGAAAAATATAGGAAATCAAATTTAGTCGAGGCTAAAGAAAACCAAGCTATCTTGTTTGTCGATGCCTTGCCAGAGCTCCTGGAAAACTTGTTGCTACCGCCGCTATGACATCCGAAGAGCCCCCTAGGTCGTGCTGAACAAACACAGTAGATAGCTGCTCCTGGTGCTCCCGCAGAAGCTGATGCGTCAACTATGTACCACTGGCCTCTGTTGCCAGGAGCGAGGGCTCGCTACTGAAGAAGTCGAGTAGAAATCGAAGCGCTTTACGTTCCACGACGTAGTTGCAGCTTCTACTTGTGATTTGGATGCGAGGAACTGGAACTAATTTGCTAAATAGAAGATTAGGCACATCATCTCAGGAACAAGATCTGCGTTTGTTCGAGGAAATTATCAAATCTCTAAATAACACTTCGAAAAAATCCACCTATGTTTTTTTTGAAGTGCGAGATGAGGTTTTTCTTCTTGATGGTGTCGCTTTTCAAGACCATTACTCAGCGCAGTCATTGAGTGATACTGCTGATTCCTCTGCATCCTGCGGCAACTTCTTTCAGGCAGCAGCTCTCCCCTCTACAAGAACCCTACAACGCCGACAAGAACAAATATCCTGCAATGAAATAAAAAACACAAAAAACAGAAACTGCATCAACCTCTACGAGGTTGCCACGACCTCAACCCGAGGACCCGTGGACAGCTCTATAGAATCTATAGAAAACTGTGTTTGCTGCTCTACAGAAAACTGTGTTTCCAGCTGTGCGCCCTTTGATGCCCTTTGTTCAGCCATACATGCCCTCGGAAAGCTGGGCATTTAGTTTCCCGTGATCTGTTTAGCTTTTCTCCGGGATTCTGGCTCTTTGTACGTCTCAGTTTCCAATGAGCAAAGGTCAGCCAAGCCTCGGTGTATTAATACAGAACACCCAGAGAGACCAGCCGGAGATCAAGATGAGGGCGAGAGTTGTTCTTCTGTTCTGCTGGTGCTACTATTTTACAAGGCATCATGCATCTGAAGAATCGACGTGTCATGAGCGCCAACGAGGCAAGTACCCGTAGCTCTTCTTTTTTTGTCTTTAATTCCTACTACTAGTACTAACTACGTAGTACTAGTACTTATTTTTTCACGTCGGCAGCCTACGTACTTATTTCACGTCGGCAGCCTTATTTTCAGTGCATGTCCAGACTTCTGTGTTCTTCGGTTGGTCTAAATGAACCACAGTTGCAGCATGATTATGCGGTAACCAAGAACGTGACCGAGACAGTTCTTCCAGTTAAACGATGGGGCGGAACAAGACGGTGGGAAGAAGTCTCAGAAGTCGCTGCGATGTGAGAACTTCGCTCTGCTCGTCGACGGTCCCGCTCGGAGCCGTTCTTGCTTCGAGGTGTCATCTGCTGACATGTTTGGTGGAAGTCGTGCTGCAAGCTACGACGTTCTTCACATTTTGTTGGATTGTTCCACCACAAGGAATAGTTACGACTCCGGGCGGCAGCTCGTACCCGTTCGTAGCGTTTTGCTTGGCGGAAGTTGTTGCGAAGAGTGGGCCACAGACTCATCTTCTGGGAGAGCTACAACCGAACGGGGACTCGGCTGACGGCAGTGACACTGCGTCTAAGCGGACGCATACAGATCCCCCTCGATCCGTGCCAGATACAGAGTTTTTGTTCGAGGGCGGGACACCTGCGACGCACACTTCTTCGGCACCGAGCACGAAAAAACTGCGACGCGATGACCGACGAACGACCTCCGCTTTTGGGGCGGGAAGCGATGCTGTTCATATTTAGTGAGGTCACCGAACGGCTCTAACCAGGGAGTTTTTTTGACAGCCAGACAGCAAAACGGCCGGCAGTTTTCAAGCGGCCGGAAGCGTTTTTTGACATAAAAGATTTTCAATTATCAAGCGGGCGGGGCTTTGCCATCAAACACGCCCGGTTGAAAACTATCGACTCGCACTTCATAAAACGACGCAGGGGAGCAGCCGGCAAAAGTGGCGCCCTTCTGAGGCGCCCACCGCCTTAGTTTCTGGCGATTTGGGGCGCCCAAAAGGGCGCCCGAAAGAAACGCGCCCAAAATCAGAACAGCGAAACAGCATGGCGCGGCAGCGATTTCGGAACATTTTGGAAGGCCGCGAAAGCGGCCGCCTGGCCTTTTCGCCGGTTTCAGAGCCTGGGAAGCTTTGCAAAAAGCGCCGGCGAGAAAAATAAAAACGCAAAAAAGAAAAAGCGCGCCAGACGCGCAAAGCCAATCCGCATGCTATGGGCCCGGTTTTCCTTCGGTTTTTGGGCGCCCCCCGTGGCGCCCGGATCGGCCCCATAGCATGGGGCCTGGCTTTCGGAAAGGAAATTCGGAAATTCGCCAGAATTTGCGACGTTTATCAAGCGGCCGCCATACCGCCCGGCCTAACGTTACGCGCGGCGGTATGGCGATCCCAGAAAAAGCAAAGCCACGGCCAAGGCGATGGCCGGCAAGAAAACGCCCACGACCTCACTACCTCCGCCCCGGCGGCTATATTTGGTAATGTGGCCGCAAACTCAAACACGGAGGAGACGAGAAAGAGCGCGACCGCGTCTCGCGTCGACGTCGACCTTGGTTAGGATGGTTCTGATACCGCTTCCGCGCCAAGCGTCGCCTATCAAAATCACCTCGCGGTGGAGCCTGAAATTGAAGCTGCTCTTCCTGTCGAAGCGAGTTTGAAGATGCTCAGGCGGACAGGCGGAGAGCATGAGGAGGCTGCTGCTGCAGCGCACGACAAGAAGGCAGGAAACCAGAAACGAGCAGGAGAAGGGCAAGAAAAAGCCATCGAGATGATGACAATGAGCTCAGCAACGAAAGAACAAAAAGCATCCGCACCAGATGACGCCTCAGCTGTAGCAGCTCAGGGCGCGAATAAAAACAACACTCACAACGACCTGGATACGACTTCGCTGGTCCCGCCTTCGAGCGAAGTGCTCACCTCGACGCCATCGGCAGTGCTGAGCAGTAGTAGTACTACGACTTCCACGCAGGCTTGGACGATGTTGCGCCGCCAGCAAAGAGAGGAATCTCGTCCTGACGGTGCAGGAGGAGAAGTAGCAGAGCACCAGCAAGATTCTGAATTGGAGGTTGGGGCTCGAGCCCCTTCTGCTCCTGCTTCGCAGAGGATGACAACTTCTCAACAGCGCGCCGAGGAACGTCGATCCGAGGTACAAGTGCCATCTTCGTCACCTCCTCCCGAAGTTGTAGAAGCGCTTCTGTTCTTGGACAACGAAAGTAGCAAAAGTTATACATACGCAACAGAGCAGGAGGACGTCGACGTACTACAAGGGGAGGGCGAGGAGTCGGAGAAAGCACTTCCAGGAGACGATGAGCGGGCAAAGAAGAATCACACGACTACAACTTCTTCTGCTGCTATCACAAGAAAAAGTGTATAGCGTTATGATCTACGGTTTTGTTCACCTTCACTGATTGCAGTCATGCATCGCAAATTTAGGCTCCTACGCATGCTGTGAATGACAAATTCAGGCACGTTTTCTCATGCATAGCTGTGACAGCTGCCACAGCAAATTCATCCTCTACTGTTCTCCTCCAGGTGGCTAAAGCATCTTCACTGGCCGCGAAGCCCGACGAGCTCAACCAACAGACACAGGAACGCGATACTCTTGAAATTACAGACGGCGCGTCGATATGGATTGCAAAAGTATAGTACTTCTCATTGACCTCGTAGTACTTCTTGCATTTATGCATTACAGATTGATTTTTTCCTTCTGGATCTCGGAAAATGTAGTGCAATGCTATTTCTACAAGTTAGTACGACACGGACACTTGTGCAATGCATAGTCGACGAATCAAACAAGCACTTCGACGAGTGCTGGTTTGTTTGACGGCGCGGCTGATGAGATCATCAAGCACGACATCGAGGAGCCGCACTCGCAGTCGTCCGAGAGTGATGAAGATGAAGAGCCGCTGCAAGAACATAGTGCAGACGTGGGGCAGTCTGACGGTGTTCATGGTGATCCTGCTTCATCGGAGGAATCATCCGACGATGATGATTTCGAAGGGCTTTTTACAGCTGATCTTTATGCTGGAGACGAGCTACACGACCCGGAAGGAATATGCCCAGAAAAAAAAACATCCGCCCCATCCATTTTTGCGAACACATTCACAGGCTTAACAACAAGAAGGGCTTCATGTTTACTTATTTGATGCATGAAGAGATGAAAAATAATTGCAGGTAGTTGTATTTTGGATGCTGGGGGTGTGGTTTTTTTCTGGGAATAAGGGGCACCCGTTCATCCTGCTTCGCAGAGGAAACTAGAAGGACGGCGTGCGTCCAATCCGATTTCTCTGTATCAACATTGATCTCGACGCCACTACAAGACTCGCCATGCACATGGCACGAACGCGACCCTATCTGGTGGCGCAACCACCACACTCACCAGCGCCGTTGCGGCGCGAAAAGTCGTAAGAGGAACGCGAGCAGGATCTCGTGGCCAAAGGGTCATGTGCATGGGCCGGCGGCGCAGTCCGGAATATGACCTCGATGGAGGAGTATCCTCTGCAAAAGTATCGCACTCGTATTGCAATCATGCATTACATGAAGGTAAATTCGCATTACAAATTTTATTTTTCATGCTGAGGAAATTTGTCATGCATTTATACGAATGCGATACTTTTGCAGTTCATAGGGAGTAACTCCGGGTGGGTATGACAACCCAAACTATAATGGCGTGTCAAGCGACGATACTTTCGACGATGGCTGGTGTATGTGCGACAAAACGGACTTCGTTAGATGCGGAAGCGGAACGGATCTGGAGAAGCTAACCCTAACGAAAACTTCCGAACCGATAACGCAGGTCTGCGCAGACGAATGCAATAACCGAGGGGCCTCGTGCAATAGCTACGTGTTCGATCCCCTGGAATCGGAGTACAAAAGTGGTTCTACCAAAGTGGTCTGCTTCTTTTCCGCCGGTAAGCCGACCAACGAATATCGGCGGCGAATGTTTAAGATTGATGGCACCTCCGTTACGGGCAACTTTCGTGGCGGAGCGTACTGCGCCATGACGTCACTTACGTTTGGGACCACCTGGAAAGACGGGTGCTGCGACGACAAAAACGCACCGGGTCGTCGGCGCATCGGAGACAAGTTCTGCTTCAGGAAGGAGATTTGTGCGTACTTCTGGAGTACGACGCCCACGGGGTACGGCATCAATTGCGAGGACGCTGCCCACGGGGGCAAGTATGCGTCGAATGCGATCTCGCAGCAGCACAACGACGACGAAGCCTGCGGCAGTGCAGGCTGCGACGCGGCAAAATGTTGCACGGCACTCGACAGCTGCGCCGCGATATCGTGCACTCCGAACGAAGACTGGGCGGACAGGGATGACAAAGCCACCCGGTATTGCGGCACGGACAGCAACGGAAACGTGAAAGACTGCAACAAACCCAAGTGTTGCGACGGAAAGTGCAAGGTCTCCCTTTGTAACCCCCTCTCCGCAAACACGCTGAAGAGCGGGTCTTCGGAGGTTCGCTGCCACGGCAGACTGTGCGAGTTTGCCGATTGCTGCGTGGCGCGCGCGACCTGTAGTTACCAGTTTTGCGAGAACCAGAGTCGCTTGCGCGGAGAGCCATTTCCGAATAAATGCGCACTATAAAATGCAAATGTGTGGGGCTGCAGGTCTGGTGCTGGAAACTTCACTTTGCGTGATGCTGGTTCGTTCTTGAAGAATCACGAGAAATCCACGATTGACGGCTGAGCATGAATATAATCTTACTTTGGAGCTCTTTTTAGGTGTTGTCCGTGTAAGTAGTCCTAATCGGTATAATTCTGCTTCTGCATGATTATTTCTGCATGACAGAGCAAGGATGCTTTCGGGTAAAAATGCACGGTGACTGCAGTAGACATATTTATGTATGAGTCATGCTAGCCGAAGCCGAGCACGAGAATTGCAAGCGTTGCGCTTGCATTCTTTCAGACCAGCCAGACACACATACGACATTCGCAATGCATACGCGGGCTCAGTCTGCAATTCGGACGACCTCTACACGTGCTGCGACCACACTTGCAAAAGCAAAGAGGCCACTTGCAACGCTGCGAAGTACCTAACGAAGGGAAACCCAGAAGGCATAAGATGCAGTGCCGGGGCTGACAATTGCAGCAACGACGGGACGGATTGTTGTACCCGGAGAGCGCAATGCAAGACGGACCCAAACTTCTGCAGTACGGTCAGCACAGCCGCGGTGGCAGAGGGAGGCTATGTCTCGATTGCCGCGCAGCAAAATACCTATTGCCCAGGACAAGCCTGCGACAAGACCGGGGCGGATGCGACGACGTGTTGCAAGGTGAAGCAGTGCGTCTGCGCTTCCGATCCGGAGCGGGCCGCGACGGGCGCCGAATGTCCCGTGGACGGAAACAATTTCTGCCTCACATGTCCAGACGGCTTCAGCAAGAACGTGTTGGGCCAGAACACGCAGACCTGCGAGGCAAAGGTGTGCCGATGCACGCACGGTGCGCGCGTAGAGGGAAATATAAATAACGGCACGCAAGTCTGCAACAACGCAGGCGATCACATTTGCGTAGCAACCGGATGCGACGAGGGTTACGAGTTCCAGCCCGAAAGCAATACTTGTGCGGAGAAGGAGAAGGAGCAGGAGGTGCTTGTGAATGAGACCGTGACCCAAAACGCGACCCCAGTGGCGACTGCAAAAAAAACCGAGGACGACGAGGGCGTGGCCGCTGCGGAGAGTGTCAGCTACATCTCACTGCCCAAGCTCATCGTCGTTGGTGTCGGTCTCGGGGTGCTCGGTATGCAGTCTTGCAAACACGTCTGGGTCTGGGAAGGGTCGTGCAACTTGTCACGCGACGCCACAAAAAAATCTGTGCTGCATGATCAAAGAAGGAACCGCACAAGTTGTTGCCCACTTCTTGTCCAAAAAGAGGCTGAGCCGGATTTCTCATGCGGGATAGGCAACATCAAGGAGGTCTTGCAAATAAATCTGTGAGCAAGATGTTGCTTCTGTGTCGTGCATATCAGACCATGCGCATGGTCCGCGAGTAGATGCATGTTGACTAGTCTTGTTGTTGTTGCGCCCTTCCTAACCGACACCCAGATATTATTTGCACTTGATAGTCGGCTACTTTGCTGGCAATCGGATGGGGTTATTTGGTGGGGGAGAAGCAGCGCCACCTCCTTAGGTGGTGTTCAAAAGTCTACCCCCTTGAGATCCCGCGCGTAAGGACTTTTTCAAGAATCTGAGTCGACCTAGTTCAGTTTGTGATTCTGAACAACGCATGTCTTCTTGCTTCTACAGGCGGCGCTCTTGTCTTCGATGTGCAGACATTGCAGCCCGACCCCTAGCGTTTCGACGCGGTGGGGTGCCTGATGGCTCCTTCTGTTGTTGTCTATCAGAGGGAAGTGTGCGGTCAGGGTGACGTGCAAGTGTACTCACATCTCACAGATGAAATTAATAATCGTCAACAGAGAGCCAGAGCCAGCCGCGAGTTTCATTTTTTTTATACTGAAGGTAAAAAGCAGAACGAAGATAAAGAGTCTCGGTTTCAAAAACGTGATAGCTCTTGCCTGTAAGTAGTCAATGTCAAACACACACGGGAACATTTTCGTAAAAAAGACTATGCATAAAGTCGTGTATGTATAGCCAAATCTTTTGAAGAATGGACGATCCGGCCAGTCGCTACGCTGCGGCGCTTTTGCGCCAGGACAACAAGCAACTCCGTCAGTCGGGCAGTGTTTTCTCGAAAGCATCCTGGGCTGACGAACGGAGATCATGCGCAGCAGGACATAGCATTGCTGCCGGTCCTTCGAGCGCGAATGCGGCCGAGATCGAAAGGAGTCAGATCGACGTACTAACAGGGACTGATGGTAGCAGCAAAAGAAAACATCAAACGGAGACCACTACCCCTTCAACTGCCACGTCGGCGATGAGTGATTGCAAAGAACGGGCCGTCAGCGGAGCCGCAGGGGAAATAAAAATCGTGGCGAAAACAAGGAGGTCAGCACCAGCATTCTCTCACCCTGTGGTCTCCTCTTCTTCTTTCAACACTAGCATGGCCGCCGTGGACCACGTTGACGCCCACGCTCGAGAAGACCTTGACATAAATCCAGCTTGTTCATCTTCGGAGCACCAACAAGCGAGGAAAACGGAAGTGCTCGCAGTCCGTTATGAAAGCCTCACGTTGGAAATCCTCAAAGTGGAAATAATTTGTATATGCAAAAAAACGACTCCAGTCGAAGCGCCATTTCTAGTCGGCGCATGACAAATTTTCCGGGCACTCAAAGGATGTCTGTCATGCTAGGTAGGCAAAGGGGTGCCCTTCTCTCGTGCTAATCAGCAGCCCAATTCTGAACCCCTAGCAGGACAAGAGTCGGCCTCCATTCTGTCCTCTGCAATGCAGTCTTTTTTGCCTTGCATTTCATGCATCACAAATTATTTCCACTTTGAGGATTTCCAGTCTGAGGCTTTCATATCCGTGTGCAGCAAATGGAGAAGCGAATCCGGTATCACACAGCACCAAAAAATATTTAACGTTAACGGAATTTGGGATGCAGTAGCAGTAATGCGTCAGAAATGATGTTGATGATAAGTAATGCCCTAAATAAATTGTATTGCACAGCACAGCATGCATGATATTAGCGAAACTTTTCATGCAAATGCATGACTGCAATGGCTCACAACTACCGTTAACGTGATACACTTTTTTGTTTGATATTCGCTACCTGGAGTCCACACTGAAGTCCTTCCAGGACAAGCTCTGCGAAGTTTCTGCTCTGACCTCGATCTTGCAGCTGCACCCGGATGAAGGTGATTCTAGCCTGGGTCGTGCTGGACCGCAAGAACTACCGAAGCAGCGGGCCGAGAATCTTTCTGATTCTGCGCATGTTCGTGTTGTCCACAACCATGGCGCCGCTTCGGATCAATCCACCACGCGGGTTAACCCCGCGATGAAGAACCCCAAGAACATCAACCTTGCTGCCTGTTGTAAAGAAGAAGAAGATCCTATCCAAGAAACACTTCCTGGGGCCGGCGATGATGTAACACCGAGCGCCTCCTGCGGGGACGGAGGAGAGTTCGGAGCACCACGAGGACCATCGCAGGTTTTTGTTCCAAATGTTGGAGATCATGAAGGGTCTACAACTTGCTCCGAGGTGCCAAAGTTTCGGTTACGACAGCAGGTGTACGCCCTCGAAAAGATGAAATGGAAATGTGACGGCACGCAGCAGTCGTTGCATAGCAAATATCCAAGCAAAAAGTACATAGATACGTATCTCGCGCGCAATTTTTGTTCTACTTGCGGAACAGAGATAGAGATTCCTCGCACTCGCAGGCAAATCTTCTAGAACAAGTAACGTCTTGCTTAGGTGGCACTTACAGACACTGTTTCTTGTGCATTTCTTGCTTGCCACGTCTACTAATCCATCGTAATCGCTTTAGAGCAAGTCTGGTGCTCGTGGTTTGTCTTTCAAGCCTTTTTAGTTGGGCTTCAGCATAAGACAGACGAACCACTAGGTAAGCTCAAAATTTGCAATGATTTTTGAGATTCTTCGCTCGTTGCCTTAACCTCTTGCAGATGACGTACGCAATAAAAAGCAGGACATCTTCACTTTTTTGCTTCGATAGCGCACTTTCGGCATTCAAAGTCCTGCCCGGCACGATGGGCAGCGTCGTGTGTGCAATCGTGGATGGTGATCACGATCTGCTGAAGATTCGATGGCATTCCGTCGCGAAATCCGACGGCAAGACCCCACGGATCGGCCTGGTTCGTGCGTCCCAAATTTCTGCGCGCCACCCACTGGAAGTGAGACGAGCAGGAGAACAGGACAAGAACCATGATTCACCCGTGTCAAGAAATAAGAAGTTGCTTATTTCATCTCCCTCGACGTTGAGCGGTGTCGCGTGGCGAGGTGGACCTTTTTACCCGTCATCAAATGCTGCAGGAAAAAGCACGAGCAACGTGGCGGCTTTATTCGACGAGCAGCATTCTGGGAGTGTAGCTTCGTCTCCGAGGACCGGAACGATGGCTATGCCGAGCAACGCGCAAAATTGGAAACGAACGCGACCAAGAAGCGCATTCGGATTTTTCATGCGAGGGGCGAATCGATGAATAGTGGTAGAAGTCCTCCTGCCAGAAATAAGTTGCGGCTTCTATAGTCATTGACTCAGGATAAAAAGTATACGTTGTAGAAAAATCTTCTCTTAAAGTAGTTCATAAACTACTACACCAGAGCAAGCGCGAGACAGCTGACGCCTGCCTCATGGTATGAATGTATGATTGCAGCGTTTCCGAAGATAAACAAAATCTGGCCATCCCTTACGATCGCACGTTGTCAGGGTCGCAAGGTTTTGCACCTGTATCATGGGACGCCCCGAGAGGCAGTGCGCTCCTGCATTATGGTGCGCCTCAGCAACCAAGACTGTGTTCGAGGTTCTACAAAGTCATGTGCCGATCAAGATCGCCGCAAATTCTTTATCGACAGAACTCCATTTTAACATCAATCGTAATGGAATCACAAAAATCGTGTTTTGGCTAAAAAACAAAAACCACTTTACTGAATATCTTCAAATCTAATACGTCTATTCCAGCACGACCATCTCTACCTGCGTATTGATATCCATTTCGCATTCAGCGCCACTCCTAGTTGTAGGTTGCAGATTGATGCCCCCTCGGTCTTCATAATTGTTATCTGTCCCCGTCTCTAATGATCATATCCATGTGATTCTCTTATTTCATCTCAAACGTAAGTATATGACCCTCAACATTATCTGATGGAATTTTATTTTTATTAAAAGAAGTTTGTTTTATATCTGGTGTGGGTAGCAACAGTATAGCTTGTAGAAAATCATGATGATGACCTCTCTTGTCGGGGTCTCCTTCGTTCACCGGAAAGAAATGTCCTCGTGTCGCGTCGAAGCAAGGTTTATGTCGTTCACAACACCGCGAAGAAAAGAAAAAATGGAGCCGAAAGAACCAGCGTGTCGCGACTGTGTTGACCGTTTCTTCTGTTAACAGACCGGCCCAGGAGTGGCAGCAGCTTGATTGGTGCGTGGTCGAGTACAAGCTTGTTCAGCGTCTGGATTCACTACAGACCTTGCCAGTCGTCCAGCGGCAGATGGCAAACCTCGCAACGAAACTGGCGGCTGTGGTCGCCGTGTTGGCGGTTTTGTTGTATTTTGGCAAGGTATGGATCGTGTACATGATCGTGGAACCGCTGCTCGACCTAGCATCCGACACGGGACTCGTGCCTTTCGATGTGGCAGAGACCATAAGCCCGAGCAGAGAGCGAAATCCCTTCGCCGGGGAGGAGGAGCGCCCGGAAGAGATGCGAAGGTAAAAATAAAAAAGTACACTATCTGCAAAGAACATTTGAGGGGAACTACATGAAAAAGAAGAGAAACATGAGCCGATTGCGGTTCGCACTTCAAAAGAAATAGTACAGAGTTCTTGCTACAACAGGAACAGCACAGGCACACACACGCGATATTCATCTTGTGCATGAAGATACCACTACTCATCCGTACAGGTATTCGAGCATCCTCCGGACGGCAATCGACTACACCACCGCCCGGGATTTTCCGAGAGCCCAGCAGTACCTGGAGCTCTGTAGCGACCGCCGTAAGGTGCCCGAGAATCTCCGCGAGATCGTGGCGCGGAGCCAGTACGCCAATGCCATTGTGCCGAAAACGAACAGTGAGGGTGGAACAACCGATCAGGAAGAGCAGGACGTGATGGGAGAGACCATGTACACCTTCAAACACCCTAGGCCGATCATTCCAAACGAAAAGGATCAGCAGGAACAAGATGGGGAAAACCCGGACGGCAGTGGGCAAAACAACATTGGCAACAAAAGTTCTGTCTACGATCCGTACTGCGTAAACAAAATCGGCGAGTTCCTGCTGACTGGAATGGTGTTCGAGAAAAATTTTACCTCGGCCATTCACCACTTCGTGGAGGCAGCGAACGTGGGGAATGAAGACGCACAGTACAACCTCGGGGTGCTCTTCGCGAACATTCTGGAGGAAGACCCGCACTACGACATACTCCAGAAAATTGTATATATTTAAAGATGATAGTTATTCATACTATTTTCCTGCTGCTTTGATGTTGCCCTCGTGTTCTTTATTTTTATTTCCCCGCCTAACTACAGGCAGAGGCTGAGGCAGACCTGTGCTACAGGTCTGCGGCTTGCGAGAGAAACTACTAAACCAGGTGGCCGCGTACACGAACAAGACGGCGTTCTTTATTTTCTACGATGTGCTCTGCGACAACACGTCGTCAACCGCTGCTGTCGCTGCTCCACCTTTTGCACGGTAGTACAACAGAGCAAATTCTGTATCGAGATCGAAAATCAAGGCCAAATAGGGGTTTTACTGGTGAATAAAAAAAAGCAAAACTCTTTATAACAGGTTCACGGCCGTGCGACCAACCTTCCGAAGTCAAGTAAGGACGCTATGAGCATTCTTTACCTCTATGCAGCCTCGACTGCCGGACACGCGGGCGCGTTGATGGCCATGGGCTATCGCCACTCAGAGGGGTTCGACGTGCCAAAGATATGTACGGATAATATTGATTCCCTATTTAATATTTTCTTTAGCTTCCAAATAATGCCACTTTCCAAGTTAGCACGACTTAAATTCATATGGGTTGTAAGGGACGAGAGAGTCAGACTCAGTCTCAGATTATGTTGAAATAAATCTTCCTCTTTCATTCTTTACCGTATCTATGATGATAAGTCAGCAAAAATTATCATCTACTCACCAGGTTCCACCGCTGCGCTGAATTACATCGAGGTTGCGAAGGGGATCACGGAGATTTACTCCAGTGGCATGCCCCAGGCCGTCGAGCTGATCCGGCTGAACCTGGACCACAAACAGAACAAAAAGATGATGTCGGAGGGGGAAATCAACCTATTCACCCAGATCGCCTCCTCTGGGGACACCGCCGTGGCGGCGGCTATCGGGAAACGGTACCTCCTGGGCATTGACGGGTTCCGCCAGAACTATGCCAAGGCACTGGAGTACCTGAAACTCGCCGCCAATGCCAACCACGGGGGCTCCTTCGGCCTCCTCGGGTACATGTACGCCTTGGGGCTGGGGGTGGAGAAAAATCTCGACACCGCGCACGAGTACTTCGTCTCCGCCTCAATCGAGGGCGACGCGCTCGGGCAGAACGGGCTCGGGTACTTCTAAGTTGGATCCTGTTGTACTCAGCACAACTTCTACGTACCTCGTGAAGATTCGGAAAGTTTTTTTCTGCGTCAGCAGCTTGTGTCGTGTGGTCCAAGGTTGTTCCACCTCGAAATTCTTAGCAGCTGAGTTTCGGGAGATGAACGCCTTCATATTTCAACATCAACGCCACTGCTTCTACTTCTAAACCAGGTACATTTATTTCCACGGTACGGACAAGCAGGAGCGAAATGTGAAGCTTGCCTACCAGCACTTCAACGAGAGTTCCTACGCAGGGTCCGCCGACGGCATGTTCAATCTTGCCTCCGTGTTTCTCACGGGGGTCGGTGTCGAGCAGAGCTTCCAAAAAGCCGTGCTGTGGTACACCCAGGCCTTAGACCGAGGCCACACGCCCGCGGCCTATTCACTCGCCATCATGCACCTGAATGTACTTTGTTTATGTTAGTTTTGATGTTTTTCATTTTCATTACGAATATGTGTGTGCGCTGCGGTCGCGGATGGACATAGCAAGGAAATAAAGGATGTTGAACAAAGTAGTGGCTCTTGACAACGTCAGCGAGCGTCAGCACCTAAAATTCTTGAAAATGCGTCTGTACTAATTCGGAAATTTGGAGGTGCATCTCATTCTCCCTTCTGCTCGCTTTCACCGAAGATCAATGTCTACTCATCCTCCTTTCAACAAAATCAAATCAGGGTGTTGGCACCGTTCGTGACTGCAGTATCGCCGTGAATTTGTTGAAGCGTGTGTGCGAGCGCGGGAGCTGGGTGAGCAGTCGACTACAGGAGGCGTACGCGCTGCAGCAGCTTGGTCAGACGACCGATACCACCAGTAGCTCCAGCTCTTTCACCTCTGCAGCAACGGGCTCGGCCGCCAGCCAGTACACGAACGCCGACATGTCCGCGTTTTTGTTCCTGCAGCTCGCCTATCAAATATAAAAATGTCTGGGTCTGGAAGAATGCGCGATTTGTGATGCAGCTTTTTCATGACCCATGAGGTCTGGAATGCAGGACCTAGCATGACAGATTCTGCGCGATCTCTCTCATGCCTATCCTGCATGAGAAACTGCCTCCCGACTTGGTCAAAATTGGATGACTTTTGGTAATCATGCAGCACAGATTTTTGCATGCTTCAGATTTAGCATGACAAGTTGCATTCTTCCAGACGGACCCAGACACTTTTGCAATCCATATCGCCGAGGCGGGCCACGAGGTGGCGCAGATGAATTTAGCGCACCTCATGGACACGGGCAAGTCCTCGCTGGTGATGGCGTCCCCCCTGTTTTCGCGGTTCTATGCGCAGCGGCACTATATCATAAGGAAAAATGCCCCCTCCCCATATCGAAAAGGTACGTCTCAGAAAATTTGTAATGCTGATTTGTGACCACAAATCGTCTCTGTCTTGCAAGAACGCAACTCCACAGGCTCCGCCGCATTCTGCAAGCGGTTTGTGATGCTGTTGGCCCGACAGACTAGACGTTTGCTATGCTCAGCGCCTAGCCCAAAACCTCTCCACTCAGGCTTCGTAAAGGCCTGCAGTCCTCTCCAGCAACACAAATCTGATTTGTGTACGCAAATCCAGCATCAGAAACTTCGTTTTGATATGGGGAGGGGGGATTTTTCCTCACAATACACTACGAACTGTCTGCAGACCAGGGGAGCGCAAGCAGCGAGCTCCGCTTGGGCGACTTTGCCTACTACGGCTGGGCACGGAGCGACAGCCCCTTAGAAGAGCTCACAAACAGCATGATTGCACCGCCTAATAGTAAAAGTGGCGAATCTTCTACTACTCCTGGAGCGTCCTCTGACGCGGCAGCCGGAGGGAGTGCAACATCCTCAAATAGCGATGGCAACTCGGGGGCTCAAGCGCGGCCATCTTCGGGGGCCGCAACGAGTGAGCACGACGAGGAGCAACTTGGCATTTACAACCCGCAAAGTGCTGAGCAAGTGGAGGACGTGCTAAACAGTGACATGCTGTCGGCAGAAGAGGTGGAGATTATGAAGTCTATGGGCGTCAAGACGGCGGAGGAAATGCGGTCCCGGGCCAAGAAGAAGTCCCCCCGCTCGAAATGGAACGAGGAAGACCTGCTCGCCGAGTCCGAGGCGCGTGAGATCCTCGAGCGCATCGACGAGTCGTCCAACGGTGCGGACGCCGATGGCGATCAGAATCTGCTGGATCAACTGAAGAAATCCTCCATGACGCTGGAGCGCATCGCGCAACTCCACGCACACCCGCCCGACATGGAGGCCGCGATCTCGCACTACTGGAAGGTATCCAACATGCAGGTCACCGGGGAATGGATGCAGCACTTCGTCGCCCGAGCAAGCTTCAACCTTGGTATACTTATTTGCTATCATAATTTCAACATCGAGAAGCTTGCTTTTTTTCAAATATGAATTTTAATGCAGCTCCTGTGCGTGACCGTGAGCTCGTCGTTGCCCTGTCTCAGGCTCTTCGTCTTCCTCCAGGTTCGCTTCAATGATCTCTGTCCGGAAGCAGGCTTTTTGTTAGCCTGAAGATCTCCGGACCGAACTCCACCAAATCTGAATTTATCATCTTCATCCCAGGTTTCATGTACCAATTTGGACTGGGCATTCCGCAGGACCTGGCTTTGGCAAAACGGCTCTACCAGCGATCGATCGAGCTGGACCCGGGGACGGTGACCGCGCCTGTGACCATCGTGCTGCAGGCGCTGGCTGCGCACAAGTGGCTTCTGGAGATGCTATCAAATGCAAAAGTGTCTGGGTCTGGAAGAGTGCCAGACTTGTCATGCAGGTTTTCCATGACCCATGAGGTCTGGTATGTAAGACATAGCATGACAGATGATTCTGTGAGAGTTCTATCATGCCTATTCTGCATGAGAAACCACCTGTCGATTGGCTCAAAAGTGGACAGCTTTTTGCAATCATGCAACACAGATTTTTACATGATTCAGATTTAGCATGACAAGTTGCTTTGTTCCAGACCCAGACACTTTTGCATTTGATAGATGCCACCGCTGGACGAAATCCAGCGAAAAATGCTCCGGGACCCCAGAACACACGTATTCTTGTTGCTCAAGATGAATTTTTTATGTTGTAGTATAGAGAGATGAGGATGACCACCTTCGTCCGGACAGCAGATCATGGTGACTGACGTCGCGTGGCTCGCTGGCTTTGATAGCCTTCGCAAGGCGCTCACTGACTTGTGCTGTTACCCTGTAGTTGCAACGCCGACGGATTTTTTTCGTCTTTTTACGGAAATAAATTGCAATCGTCGAGTAAAGCTGCTGCAATTGCAAGAGCTATACGACAATGGCAAGATAAAGATTTTCAACACCTCTAGTTGTCTCAGCGCATCTTCTCTAGCCTATAATATAATTCACAACCCCAACTACTACCAAACAACAGGTGCTCGTCCTGGTGTTCGCCTTTTTGCTATTGCTGCTGCTCGTGCGTCCGCGCCTACAGCGCAGCTGGGAGAGGAAACAGGAAGAGAAAATAGCGCAGGAAAAGGCCGCAAAAGAAGCCGAGGAAAAAAGACAGGAGGCGCTCGACAAAAAGCAGGAGGAGATCCACCGAAAAATGCTGAAGAACCCGAGTCTGCAGTCCTTTATGCAGGAACAGGAGCGACTGCATGAGATCGCCAACGAACTGGGCCACGACGTCACGGAGTGGACCAATTTCGGGGGGCACCTCAGCGGCGGCAGCATCGAAGATATGATGGACAAACGCACGCCGGAAGCGATCGAGGCCTTCAAAAACGAGTTCAATTCCAATTTTAAGTTGATGTCAACATCTAGTTCGAGTTCCTCTACTAACGCGGCCGGCCCGTCGTCAGCACTCGCTCCGGGCATCAAGGCACAGGAAGTAAGTAACGGAACATCACCAGCTGGTGCACAGCACCAGAGCTCATCGACCACGACTGGAAGGCCGAATGGCGCCCCGCTTGTCTCCTCCTCGGTCTCGAGCAGCGGTGGCGGCGCCAGTGGCAGCGGGAGCGCCAGTGCCAGCAACGCGTCTGGGTCGAACCCACCATCCAAGGACCAACAGACGAGCAGCGACGCCAAAATGGCGGACCACCTTCTGGATAGCATGCAACGGGAAAGTGGGGCCACAGGTTCGTCCCCCGGTGCAGCTGCTTCCCAAGGCGGCTACACGCTTGGCGGCTCCTCGGATGGCATGGCCGAAAGTAAACTGCTGCAGCAAATAGACCCGGGGATACAAGCTGCAAACAAAAAAGACGGGGAAGAGAAAACATAGTAGAGCCAGTCAGAGAGTCAAGTACTACGCCCGGGAGAAGAACCTTCTGCTGGTGTTTAATCATATTTCGCCACCTGATAGTGATAATTAAATTCGATTACATTTCAAAAGACAACGACGAGTTGGAGTTTTTAGTATTCTTTTCGACGTATTAAACATCAATCAAGCGACCGCACCAACACCATCACCACGCATAAGGAATGTGTGGGTGGCCAGTTGGAGTGGTAGCGTGTCAACGTGGTCATGGTTCATGTTCAAACATTTTTTTCAGAATGTACAACTGTACCGAAAATGTCCTGATCCTCGACCCCTGTCGGTTTGATGGAGGAATCGGACACCCCCTGTGTTGTCGCTGATTTTTTCATAAACCCCAAATGCGCGAGAACTAGATGTATGTACGTGTACCAGCACCAGCAGCTTACAAATACAAATGTAACATTCAGATTATTTATCAGGATTCTTAACGCTGGTTCCTCTGCCACCACCTCGCAAGAATAACCCTTCAGACGACATTATTCTAGCAACGACACCCTCCGCGCTTGCTCTTGTGCGGCCGCACCAATCCGCACCAAGGACTATTCTACACTTTCCCCTTACCCTTGCCACCCCGGCATGATGGTACTCGCCGGTGCTCACAGAAACAGCCGTGCGAGCCGTAAGCCTAGCGACTCGTGGACGACAACGACCCTACTGATTGTCAACATACTTGCACAGCTATGGGACATGGCTTGTCACAAAATGAACATGGTGGAGCTTATTGGTGATGATTCAGGAAATAACACAGCGCTCCTTGATGTGTTGTCCCCTATTTGATTTATTGCGGACTTCGAAGAAACTGAAACTCGACAGCTTGATGTTGTACAAGTTACTTGATGTCCTCCAAGAATGAATCTTTATCAAAATCTGATGTGGCTGTATCGGCTGGTGCCCGTCTCGTTTTTACAGACGCGAGGTGCAAACTATGCAATCCTCGGAGCACGCAGTGAGTCTGTACTATGGCAATAGATGATGTGCTGCCGTGTTTCTTGTTCTCCTACTTCTGTGCCTGAAGTTCACGATTTTCTTCAAGAAATAGGTTTTTCTTCCAGTCATTTTGGTGCAGGTTCGAATCGAAGATCCGGGAAATCTACATCATGCGGCTTTTTTGGCACTATATTGCCATATTCTTGACGTTGATATTTCTCTCTCACTTTAGCTTAGTGACTTCGATAAAGTAAGTTAAAAAGCAAGGAAAAGAATTCATCAAATCTTAGTGCACGGCAATCGATCTATTTTCAATTTCACACAGAGGGACGAGGGCTGAGTGGGCAATAGAACACCTATCTTAGCTCGCAAGATGGACGCGTTTCAGCAGCAGCTTCTAAAGTTGGCAGAGGAAAATGAAAAAGGGAAAAATAACAAGGAGCAAGCTGCCACTAGTACTGCTACAACGGCCTCCTCTTCGAAAACCAGCACAAGCGTAGTAGCTCCTGCTGCTGCCAGCAAGCAGGACCAGGAACACGCTGAAGCTACTGCCTCGAAAGACGCGGCGGCTAAGGCCCTGGGGCTGCCAACAGCATCGCAAATGCAACAGGAAGCGGAGCTGGAAGGTTTGTGCAAAACGTTGCTCACGCAACTCAAGAAGGACGGATTGCCAGCGACAGAGCAGATCGGGCAAAACTCTACTTCTGGCTCTGGACAGTAAAAAAATGGACGTCGACGTCGACGTGTGATTATAGGCAGATCCAGATATTACTAGAATACCAAAGAAAGCTGTTGGAGTATTATCCAAGAAATTCAACGAACAGTACTAGACGACAGGGCGCAATCAATCAATCGTCGAAAAGAAAAGAGTCCAAAGTCTGGCGGTGGCGGAGCGCACGGAATACAAAACTGCAAGCCGTCTTGGAGAAGGACCGTTTCGTTGTGCCGAGTTTCTATCCAGGAAAAAACAACCATCCCCATTCATTTTATGCATGACAAACACAGGACTTCATGCATGTTTTGCATGACAAATTGGGTGGGGATGGTTGTTTTTTGTGGATAGTTTCTGTTGGTCTTGGTTCCACTCAAAAGTCGAGTTCGTCAGGTTCGTGTTCCAAAAATCTGCAAATTGGTATCGTGCTGTGTGGGGGCATCAGATCAAGAACCATGGACCCGGATGCAAATGCTCGAACTAGTGCACTACTCGCAGTCTTTTACTTTACTACTCGCATAAACTACACTAAGTCCTCAGCCTCACATGCATAAGATCGGAGTTCGTCGTTTTTTATTTCAATATGCGAGATCACAACATCTGTGTTGTCCTAGTCCTCGTTGTCTCGCTCATTGCATAAGAACACTGCATCGAGTCCTGCCCTTGTAGAAGTTTGTTGCGCAGGCACGGTATTCTTGTTGTTCAACCACATTTTTACTACCAAACCCAAAGGCCACACACACCAGCAAAAATGCCCCCAGGTGGTGGTCTACCCCAGACACACTCTGTTCCCATCCGGGTGGAGTTCCGGAATCTGGGGGGCGATGTCCTAGTGACGACAGACGAGTTCCCCTTCCCCCTGGAACGAGATGGACAAAAGCGTTGTCACCGAGGAGATAGGCAAATAGGTCCGCAGCTGCAACACGACCACGACCAGTCGGACCTGCGTCCTCTCGACGAGCTTGCTGACAGCACTACTAGTAAAGAAGCGTATTCTCTTGCGTGGTTGCGTCAGTTGTTCGCCACGCAGGTGGACCGGCATGCCCTGTATGTGGATCTCGTGAGGCACCTCGTGAATGAATTCAGTGATGTAGAAAACCTAGATCCGCCACTTTTCTCCAAGCGGCCGGGCCCTGGAGGTCCGGGTGGTGCGCAAGGAAGCAGCTCGCATTGGATCCGCGGAATAGGTGGCCCTGAAGATGGAAGCAAGGCAAGAAATATCGAAAAGAGCAGTGTTGTTAAAGCACCGCAGGAGCGATCTTCGTCGTCCGCTGCGCATTGTCGCCAATCTGATCCACCGTCCGTTGTGGTGGATCTCGATGAACCTCATCCCAGCGGGGATGGAAAACGCGACGAGGACCGTGGAGCGAAACAGCGGCGCGAAGTAGACGCGATCGACCACGCTCACGCAAACAGGTTCGCCCGGACTCTGGATGGAGCAGAGCAAATGCCTCTGTGGTTGACCGCCTTGCGATACGAAGGTAGAATCAATTGTGGAACTTCTTCTACGGACTCGCCGCCTTCGCAATGTGAAGGAGCTGAAGGGGCTGCAACGCGGCCACCTCCAGGCGTTTCAATTTGTTCCCCACTACTTCCCGAGCCCACGATCCGCGCTCTGTATTCCTCGAGTACAAATGTGGGAAACTATTTTGTGGATTTCGCCAGCGGGCCCCTGCGCCTCCTGCTCGCGGCGCCCAGGACGTCGGGCGGGCGCAACGTGCTTATCTATGACAGTGCACAACTCCCCCTCGTTCTCATTCCTCATGTAAAGTACCAAATCCACGCTTTCCCTCCTGTCACTATTATGCATGACAAGTTCTGGTAGCCCAAATAGCACTACACTCCACTGCAAATTTGTCATGCAAAACCGGCACTCTGGCTGATGCTTGTATTGCCGTTCATGCTATACAAATGAGGGGGAGGGGGAGTTGATGCGCACTGTCATACTATCCTCCAGCACGTCACAAACCAAACGAGCCATCCACACATCTCTGAGCGGCCGGTATGCATTGCAAAAGTATCCTACTCCTCGTATGAATGCATTACAGATTTCCTCAGCAACATGAGAAATGAAATTTGTCATGCGGTGGAATACCTTAAGAAAAAGATTTGTAATGCATTACTGCAATCACTACGAGTGCTCGTAATCGTATAGATACTTTTGCAGTTCATAACCGGTGGACGACGACAACGGCGCTCTGCTCTTCCGCCCGGCGCAACTGTGGTACACTGTGGACGACGAGGAGATCGAGATCTTTGATGGTACAGCAGCGGTGGAACACGCGCTCTTGGGCGTTAGCGCCGCCGTGGCCACGACGTCCAGGAGTAATCTTCAAAGCTCGGAACAAGAACATCAAGTTCCTCTTGCTCACCAAGACGAAAGAACTAGTACCAACGAACCAACAGAAATCACAGCCACGGTGTGCAGGAGGAAGAGGGTCGTGCAGCCTCCTTTAAACAAAAAGTTTATTCTTCACCTATCCTACACGGACGAGCGGAATCCGCACGTGCGTATTCGCCGCGCGTTTGTCTTCACCCAGGACCAGCGGGAGGAGCTTGCGCGCTTGGTCTTCACGCTCCGTTGTCTGCAGTCTTGGCTGTCTGAGTTGTTTCCCTCAGTGGAAGAACACCAACGACGGGAAAAGGCCCCTGCTCCAGCCTTGCCACCTGTGGAAAACGCGGTGGCCGTGGCTTGTTGTACGGAAGAAAATGCAAAGAAAGACGGATCGGTTGTATTCGTAGACAGCAGGAGGGGGCCTTCCTTATCCTCAGCCCAGGGGTACAAGACCTACACCAGCAAGGGAACAACATCTTCAGGCGACTGCCAACAAAATCCACCCATGCCGGCGGCCAATAGAGAAGGTACAGGGGGTACAGAATGGCCAACATCACGCCAATCCGATCGAGTTCGCGAAGATTTCTGTCGCTTTCTGTTCGCCCCTGAAATAGAGGCCGCTATGATGCAGCTCTGCACAGCATCAGCGTCACCGTCAGTCAGTTTTGGTACTACAACTGTGCCACCAAAAGCGTCGCCTTCAGGAGCTGCACAACTACACTCATTTCACCAGCAGCACTCGACTTATGCCCGCCTTGTAAGGAAGCTTCTGGGAAAAAGGCTTTTTCGTACCAGAGAAGATGAAGAAAAACTATCTGGAGCAGCTCCTCCTGCTGCAGCTGATTCTTCATCCGGGAGCACAAGACAAGGACACGAGCTCGACGGCCGGCGAGAAAATGACTTGGAGGTTCCGTTCGGCGCACTTTTGCGCGAGTTCCAGATAGTGGAGTGTCTGCGGAGCGCTCTGCCACTCCTGAAATTCATCGACAACTACCACGGTTGCGGAGAGCTGGTCGACGAGGAAGGCAAATCAAGGCCATCGCCCCCGTCAACGTTTTCCACCGTCGCGAGAAGGGAACTTGGCTGGGATAATCATTCTGATCCTGATCCTGAAGAGGCCTTCGAACAAAATAGGGAGCAAGAGTCCCCAGCACTGTCCGCGAGTACAACCGAATCGCTTACGGAGGAGGAGCAAGCCCAAGCCCAAAATGTGGGAGCGATGTCCCGCCCTAGTGAAGAGGAGCTTGCTCGTGAAAACGAGGATGCAGGTGGCGGTGCGCATAATCCGGAGGTAGGCACAGCAAGCCTAGAAATATCAAAGGCTTCTGACATCGAAATAAACCGGAGTAGTGTTGAAACTGCCACGACCGTCATTTGCATTCATGTCGTGGCACCGAGACGTGTCTGGCTAGACCTGGAACGCGATCAAAGGTTCCAGCAGTGGGGAAAGCCGAGCGGTGGACAAGCGTCACGTGGTGATCAACCGGACCAGATAACCGGTCAACAAGCTGCGACGGAGCAAGCCGGATCAGGAGCCCCACCCGATCTGATCGCCCACGCACTGCGGCGCTTGTTGCAAAAGGTCGACCCCACGAACGAGGTACTTTTGCCACCGCAAATTGATTTTGAATCGGAAGACATTGACTTTTGATGGATTTTTAGTCGGATGGATGGACGATGTCCAGCAATTCGTCATGAGTTCTTGATCTACTAGTACTACTTCGTCAGTTCACACGTTTTTGCGCAAGGAAACGCGAAGGGAAGTCGCAGCTGAGCGATCGAAGAAAATCTTTTGGTATCTTTTCTTATGTTCTTTCAGTTTGTTCCGCCTTCGACGTACTTGTGAGAGATATATTTCTCGCTGTGAGTACTCACTGACGTAACTCTTTTGATTCTGAAATAGTAACCCAATACATGCAAGAGTAGAGGAGTCCGACGAGTGGTAAAAGTTTTCTGTGTTGGACGGGGTGCGACGAGCAGGGCGAGCATGACTATTGGTGAGATGGCAGGGGCAGAACAAGCGCTATCATTCTCATTTTGTTTGCCGTGACAGATGACATGAGTGCTCTTCCTCTCCTCGGTTGGATCGATCGATCTCGGTTCTCGTTGTTTCTTTGCTGTCTGCGAGCGAGAATCAAATCGCTCTTTATCTCAAATCCATCCACGATGACGATCTGTATCTAACTTCATGTATTATTGCGTGCCATCGCCAAGTTTCGCTTTTAGTAGATGAGATGCTGAGTTTGATTCTTATTTCACCGCCATGAGCTAGCCCATAATTGTGTTCTAGTTCATTAGTCGACCGTCCGTCGACACCGCAAACACGACAGCCTGGAGTGGTTCCCCCGTGCTTTAGTTTGGTCGACGTCTCGTCCCGGAACAAAATCAAGCCGTCATTTCAACCTCGTCAAGTCCTTCGTCAAATCACGCAAGGCAAGAATTATACCTGCGACTGCGTCGGCAGCACACTGACACTGTCGCTCCTCCTGTTGGCCCTTCGGCAGTTGTAGTGAAAGCAGCTATGGCTGCCGCGTAGAGGACGCACCTGCAGAGCGGTAGCCAGCGCAAAATGCAGCTACGCGGCCAAGAACAAGATCATGAGCCGGTATAAGTATTTCTATCCGTATTTTATTTGTGTGTGTGTGTGTGTGTGTGAAGATTCCGTTTCCGTTTAATATTTCATAATCGTTATCCGTTTTTTTGTCAACAAGGTTGCTGATTTTCGCGAAGAGGCACTGCCGTGTTGTTCTTCATTTTCCTTGATCATGTAGATGTTGTGGGTTGAAAGAGAAATAATTGAAATAAATCCTAAAGGACCACGACGGCCCCGTGGTGCTGAAAATTGGGACGAAGCCCAGTGCCCCGTCCTCTCCGAGAAAACGACGCCCAAGTGTAAGTGGCGGCGAAGCGGTGAAAAACAGTTTGCTTTCGTGCTGTTTCTCCCCTTCCGCTTCCTCAACAAGAACCTGGAGCGGAGCCCTAGCGAATGCGAACATAACAGCCGGGGGTGCGGCGGGGACAAGCAGAATAAATGCCGGTAGCAGCGCGGAGCGCTACTCGAAAAGGTGCACGGTGGCTGTGGTGGAGGAGGAGCTCCCCATGCCACGCAGTACTATTTCGCTGCAGAGAATGACGCATCGAGCCGGTCGTCGCGGAAGTGTCCCAGCATCGACACCCTCCCCCTTGGCGAAAAGGCCCGCGCGCAACGCTTCCTGCACGAACTTGATCCGTCGGACCAGTGGACACTACGACGCACCGGTGGGGATAGAAAATACTGCGGCGAGCTCTGCGACAGCAGGTATGCATGATTTATCATATGTTTTGTAACTATGTTTATGTTACTACTTCCATCAGAACCAGAAGGGGCCCAATGGAAAGAGCGCTGGGATGAAAAAGTTTAATGTTCTTGTGTTACAACACGGATTTTTCTTTCGGATGTTTATCGTGCTCGTGCCCCCGTTATCTAGATAAATGTAGTAGGTCGTCTAGAAATAAAATGATGTGAAAGGTCGCTACGAACAATTCCGGTGTCGTCCAGAGGATCGGTTGAGAATCAAGATCTTCGAAGTGGAGGAAACCGACGACGAATATCCAGGAAAAAACACCCATCCACATCCAATTTGTCATGCAAAACATGCATAAAATCCACTATTTGTCATGCAAAAAATGGATGGGGATGGGTGTTTTTTCCTGGATAACGAAGCACGAGCAGGGTCTTCGTCTTCAACCGGCAGCAAAACGTCGAAAAACAGTTTGTTCTCGTGCTCTTTTTCCCCTTCCTCAAGAGCCCGGAGAGGAGCCCTAGCGAAGGCGAGCAGGAGCAGGACAGCTGGCGCGGCGGGGACGACAAGCAAGAACGCCGGTAGCAGCGGCGCGGGGTGGTACTTGGAAAGATGCGCGGTGGCCGTTGTGGCGGACGAGCTCCCGCCCGAGCCCGTGACGCATACTATATCGCTGCGGAAAATGCCAAATCAGACCGGTTGTGGAGGAGGTAGCTTTTTGTTGTTGCTTGTCTGTCGTGCTCGGGAGTGTTTTTGTAGTACACGAAGAAGATCATCATTCTGTAGGAGGTGCAGCAGATTCTAGAATTTATATACGCTGAGGCCGTATTCGTGATACGTATGTTTCTTTATGTAGTAGACTCTACTAAGTAGTAGAGATGAAATGGTGAATGTATATTAAAACAGTTTTTCCAGCACCAGCATCGGTACCCAATCCCCCCCTTGGCGAAAAGACCCGCGAGCAACTACGCTTCCTGCACGAGCTTGATCCGCAACAACACCAAAAACCAATCCTACGTGTCGAAGACTCTGCTGCAAGCAAGCGGACTTGTTGTCTTCGTCCGGTGGTTCTGGCCACTACTACTTCTTTTGCTAGCTGGTCACTTGTGCGACTGCCTCGACCCGCACCAGGTAATGGAGGGTTACTATGTGGATGACAAGGGGCAATCCACTCCTGAGCAGGAGGACAATGAGCAGCCGGACGACGATGCTACCATTTCCACAAGCAGCGCAGTGCCGGAGGCTTTCTTGAGCGGGTATGGGTACTCCACCGGGGTCCACAAGCTCAAGCGCACGCGCCAGGTTGCCACGGGGAATAACCGGGGACCGAGCACAAGTCAGCAACACGGCCCCGGCCGGCGACAGGGCCAGCCTGCGGCGCGAGCGAAGGAACAAAAGCTCGGAATGTGGTATAAAGCCAAAATGGCGAAGTGGATGCTGGTCTCTGTTCCAAAATTTTTTCGGAGACTGTTTGCGGCCGTCAAGGATCCCCCACCTGCGGCTGCGACATCACGAGACACGATTGCGGAAGTTTTTTCCCGCGCAAACGGGGGTGCGGAGGACAAGGGCCTGGGGATGCTGGTGGATTTCTCCCATAATCCAGCATTATGAGAGCGCACAACTTCCCCCTCGTCCCCATACATTAGCATTCGTTTGTCATGCGAAATGCCACAGAAGGAAGTATGTGTATGCATGTTGATGCTGAGAGATAGATTGATGGAAAGGTGTGCAGGACAACTTGTTGCGAAGAGCCCAAACAGCACGTGTACGCGCTATCGTCCATGTTATCAATTGTCTTCGTCATTTAACAATTGCTGGCCCTGCTGTGTGCTGCCCCCCCTTTTTATTCTGCAGGTACTGGTGACGCTGCAAAAGAGAGTGAGGGGCGAGACGAGTTGTGTACTCTCATACCCACTGAAGTACAGCTTCGAGAGCCAGGACATGCGGAAGACCTTCGACTCGCACCGGGTTTAGATAATCTATCCGCCCGGGGTGACCACCATGCACTCGACGCTCATCAACGGCACATTCGCAAGTGTGCTGAACGTGCAAAGCCTCCGGTCGACGTCCGGCATCAAAGGCGTCATCGCGACCGTCAGGACAACCAAAGGGCTTACTGTGAACCTCCCGGGTAAATATCTACACGAAATCCCACACGTCGGCTACCAAAGTGAAAAGCCCTCCCATCCCATACTCAAACAGTAGACGGCAAGTTGTGATGCGGGATTTTTTGTGTTTGTGATTGTGTAAGTTAATAAATATAAATTCTGTCTACTGCATGCCACCACACAGGGGAGGCAGAGCGTCGGAGGTCTTGGTAGCACCGAGCAGCCTCGCGAGTGATGCGTTCATCAACAACATGGCATGGAAGTACGTAGGACTGTCATTGCCATGCCCAGAATGATATCCTGTGCAAAAGTATCGCATTCGTATAGATGCAAGTCTTGCATTACAAATCCTTTTCTTGCGCGTAAATCCCCATTACAAATTCTATTTCTCATGCTGAGGGAACAATGTGTAATGCATTTATACGAGTGCGATACTTCTGCAATTCATAAATGACATGCACATGACCGATGACCAGTATAGTGGACGGAAAGTAGAACGCCGCATCGCCTTCGCGCAAGACACAGCTGATTTGTTGCCAAAATAAATTCGCAAACGCGTGTTGCGTTTCCTGTTTGAGTATTACGGGCGAGGATCTTTATTCCTCGTGATACAGGAGAGATATTTACTCCGCTACAAGCCTTCCCCTGCAGACCGAAACGCGACAAGACCAGACGACTGACGTGCTTCCCGGGGGCGGTATTTCGCGCAAGAACCGTCAGGGAGATGAAGAGTAAAAGAATATGGCGTTCTCAAGCGTCACGTTTTCAACTGGTACATGATACGCCATGCAAACCGACCGTCAGAATCGACACCGTCAAGAAGCTGCTTCGCATGGCAAATTCTCGGAGGGCCAAACGCGCCGAGACTCGTCTGCGCCGAACCTGTAATGCAAGCGGCGCACTCTTCCCCCTTTCACTTTTGCCAGTCTTGCATCACAAATTCATGCACCAGCTGAGAATGTTGTAACTTTTGAGAATGCCATAAAGGGTCCGAATTGGTTTCGCTACTTACAGCCCGGTGGTTTTCGGGGAGGCGGGCGGCGATGAGTTATACGAGCGGGACGGCATGGGAGTGGAGCTTGAAACGACTCGAAAAGGCATCGAAGCGGCGCAAATCTACGTGTTTTCCGGGCAGTCTGCCAAGGCCATTCGGGTCTTCTCACCGAGATCCATGAAGAACGGCGAGCCGATACAGGAACCGTCCGGCACCATGCTACTGCGGCCGCAAAAGGAAGAAAATCCGAAGCGGCTTGCACTCACTCCACTTCCAGCAACAGCAGCGGCGGGCGCCGGGGGCGTCATCGACGCGTATTATGTCGCACTTAACGCGTTCCTGACGGGATCTTCGAACAGCGCGAGCCTGGCTCTGCGAGTTCGCGACGAGGCGCTTTTGTACGCCGACGCCTTACACCGGTACTCGTGGCCAGTCGCGCGCGACGAAGATTTTAGGCGGAAAACGCTGGTCCTGCACCCTTTTCAGCGCACTGCAGTCCTGTTTCCCATGTCACAGCAGATGGCGCCCCTGTCTTTCGAGATGGATGCAATCGCGAACAGTTTTGATCTATGAGATGTCATTCCTCCCTTGCCGACTTCCCCATGTGAAAAAGCATGAGCAGCAACGCAAGGAGCTGCAAAAATGTGGCCGACAAATCTGCACCCGTATTCTAGTTGAAAGTGAAGTTGATCTAGTTCCAGAATTTGAATTTGTCCTGTGGGGACGCTCCCGAAAAGCAGTAGCGTGGCTTTCGCTGGTCGTGACTTCTTTGTTTGCATTGCATTTGCGACGAGGAGAAACGATGGGTAGGGGTGGCTGTGGAATCTCATATGACGCGAGACAAATGTTGAAAATGGACCTCAGCGACGATTCGGCCTTGAGTTACTCGCTGGCTGTATTAAATGCAAAGTTGTCGGGGTGTGGAAGATTGTATAGACTTGTCATGCGCGGGGTTCATTAGCGTGTTAATATGATGCAGCGCCCCGCCTGATATCTCTATCTCACCACGGCTTGTCATCATGTCGCGGCTTTATTTTCTTTTTCATGCACGTTCCGCGAGACGTAGCGCAAAGGCAAACTCGTCATCCTTGGAGGTGCTTCCTGTTCCCCCTGTAGACAGGTTAATAGTATACTACAGCCTTCCAGTCCCAGACACATCTGCATTCGATACGCAAGCATGACCCGGGGGTCACCCGGGTACACAGATGCGGGCCTGGACATAGCGACCATTATAAACGCAACGACGCGATTGGCTGATGGCGTTCTCTCCACATCTACGGGCGGGCTCAGCGGACGCGGAGGCACGCTCGCAGCGTTTCTGCAAAGCATGCCGAGAAGCGGGCTGCAGGCTGGGTTTCCTGTGACCGCTACGATGATGCATCACCTGGGAAGTACGTACGCGAAAAATTTCGGCCATGTCGTCGCCGAGTCCGGCACGCGCGTGGCAGCTGGCAGCTCGAGAAGTCCATGGTCGTTCACGGAGCTTGTCGCTGTCCAAAATGTGTCGGGTGGCTACGGGGCTTCTCGTGGTGAAATCCCTGCATCCTTTTTGGAAGTGCGGCGATTTGGTCTAGCTGCTGACATTGGCCTGGTCGTGGTTCTGACAGCACTGGCTCTTTTTTCTTTTTGCTGTGCTTGTGGCTCCTTGTTTCGTGCTTTTGACCACCATGTTGAGCGTGTTCTGGACCGAAGAAGACGCGAAGAAAGAGTCAATAAGTTCGTAGCGAGACAAGCCGCATTGAAAGCCACGACGAAAGACCGGGACTGGCGAAACCATGAAGGACCATTAGCAGGACCGCATGCCATGATATTGGAGTTTCTGGAGGGTACTACTACTACCAGTACGACTACTCTAGGTGAGTCCGGTGTGACGATTTATGGAAGGAGCGTATGAGATTGCACCTTGTCTTTCATTCTCAAATCAAACTTGAGTAGCTTGATTTCGTGCACGTGCACCGCTTATGCATGACAAATTTGCGAATTCTCCACTTTTTGTACGGTATCTTACTACTTCTACTTTTAAAGAGCTATAGACTCGCAGCAACTTGACCAAAAAGGAGAGACCAAAGGATTGAGAATCTAAATCCCGATAAGATTCTGACCAAAACTTGGCCAAAATCTAACGAAAGGGAGGCCAAGCCCAAAAGTGGCGACCTTTGCAAAGTTGCTCAATCACGAAGCTACGGGTATTTTACTTATATAAATATCCTATAGCACTTCTGATTTCTGATGGATTTTACCAGGATCGATAGACATCCAGCATCGTCACCATGGGTTCTTGATCTACTTACTTCCGTCACACGTTCTCGCAACGAAAAGTAAGCGAAAGGAGGTGGCAGCTGTACGATCAAAGAAGATCATTTCCATTTGGGCTTTTTTCTCATGTTCTTTCAGTTTGTTCCGCCTTGTTCGTAGTTTCAGTTCGAGAAAATATAATTTATTGTTTTGCGACGTATTCTTGAGTCTTCTGATTGTGAAGATTGGTTCGACTCGTCTTTATTTAGAGCGGGGTAACAAAATAAAAAAAGAGGGCCGCGGGGAACCTCTTGTCCACCCGGCCGGGTGGACAAGAGGTTCCCCCCTTTCGCTGCCGGAGCGGCCGGCCGGCACCCGGCGAGCGGCGGACGACGACGAGGGAAGAGATCCGACATGGCGACGCGGGGGGGGGGACCTCTGCGAGCCGGCCGCTCCGGCAGCGAAAGGGGGGAACCTCTTGTCCACCCGGCCGGGTGGACAAGAGATTCCCCGCGGCCCTCTTTTTTTATTTTGTTACCCCGCTCTTAGCCAATACATTGCAGCAACAGCTACGCACCATCTATCTTCTATTTCGGGCAGTGCAACACCTTCTACCTCCTCATTTTTTTTCATATATGTTCTACTATTCAGCTTTAGGCTTTCCAATTAAGTCTACCTGATGGATGCAGACCCAGACAATACTATGTAAAGCCAAGTCACACAGCAACATTTTGTTTTTTTTTTTTAATCACAAATACGACAGTGCTGGTGGCGCTTGAGTGACCACAAAGATCGATGCTGCCTGTGGACGAAGATTTCGCCGCGTCACAGCGGCCTTTTGTCCTCGTGCAAGGGCAAGCGGCAATCGACGACCTGCGGAGCAAGTTGCGGACAAGAGCGCTGGAGCGAATGCAAACAGTCGCGGAAATCAAAAAGCTAGGAACTACGCCAGAACCACCAGGAGGGCACGAGGAGGAATCAGACGACTTGCAGCTGCTCCGACGCGACACTATCAAGCTGGAGGAAGTCAGCGCTGAGATCCTGCATATTACCGCGACCTTTCTGCGGAAGGTAAACCCTGCGGACGCGTCGATATGGAATTTGCGATTCCACACGTTCACGGACCTGACAGACCATTTGGTAATTCGTGGCGCGTGGGGGTGGACGAGGGGCCAAAAGCGAAGAGAGGAACCTACATGGAGGGACCACAGCGACAAGACCGGCGACCTGTCGTCCGCACGTGTGCTTGTGGTTGAAAAGCTCTGCCAAGCCGTCCAGCGCGAACTGTTGGTCAGCCGGGAGCTGCTCGGCTCTGCCAAGAACTTCCAGTCCTGGCAATACCGCAAAACGCTGCTGGCCTACTTGGGAGAACACCTGCTAGCTGTTGTTGTACGGGAAAAGTTCAACAGGTTAACTATGCAGGAAACGATGGACCAGGACCAGCAGGAGTTCTCCCTTCGGGAGTTGGCGGAGCGAATCGAGGATTTGTGGGCCGCAGTTGTCTCTACGGAACTAGACTATGTCCACCTCGTCATGAACGACATTGCCTTTGACCCGCGGTGCTACAACGCCTTCGAGTACCAGCGGCAGCTTCTTCTCGGGAAGCACACCATGCAGCTTTTGCCGCCTGGAAGAGCAGAAGCAGAACCTGTTGAGGGTGATGAATTAGAACACGAACGACCGATCGGCGCAGTCGTCGACAAGTGGGATCATTTACTGGCCGAGAAGCTGCACGGGCGCGCCGGCGCCACGAATCTTCAGGATGATCTCACTTGCGCTGATGAGAACAACGCCGACCAACAAGATGAAATAAAGGATGAAGGTCTTGAGAAGACGCCCCTCAGAAAAAGTCGCAGCTTGGAGTATATGGAATTGATGCTTTTTGTTGCGCGTGTCGGGCGCGCTCTAGTTCGGGACGAAGGAAGTAGAAGACTAAAGAACAGCAGGAAAAATAACGCTGAAGATGACAGAAGAATTTCTTTCACGGAAAAGGTGATCGAGACTGAGGTTTTGAAGCTCGAGAGAGACCTCACACACGATTTTCCAAAAACCATCAATTCGCAAAATCTAAACCATGCTGGGCAAAAACAAAAAGAGGAAAGACAGTTTTCAAGAATATCATTTTCTCGCGACCACAACATGGGAATGTTCCACGCGGCTATCGCGCCCCCGTCTTCCGATAATTTCGACCTGTATGGATATTCGAACGGTTTCGTGTCACCACTCAAGATCTCGTTCTTCGAAAAATTGAGGGATGAGCTGCTGGTGGTGGACCTCCAACAAGCTCAGCAAGACGAGGCGAAGCCGAACAGAAGCCCTGACCAGTTGAAGGAAGGGGAACTGCACGACGTGGTCGACAAGATGCAAGAAACGCTGGAACAGAACCTATTGAAAATGGACTTTGGAAAGTTTTACGATCTCACGGTAGCGTGTGTAGTGGAACAGGTGAACAAAGAACGCAGCTTTGAAATGCGGGGTAGACTGTTGCGGCTGCTGGAGCACTATGACAGCTGCGTCGGGGGAGTGAGGGTAACATCTGGTGGTGGTCCCCGGAGCGCGCCACCTTAGTCGTACCCTTATAGTGTTTTGACAAGGACGAGCCACCAGGCTACAGTGTCGTAGCAGATGCAAAATAAGCAGCACCGTGACAGCGATCCCGATCCGTGGAGCAAATTCTGGGCGTGTTGACCCGTCATGTTCCTCTTTTCGATCAAATACTTGTCCACCTCCGGCGCATCAACAAGATGAACTTCTTCACTTTCGCAGCACTGCTCGATTTTCATTTTTTCGACGAAGGCCGCGTCGTGGCAGGTTAAAATACAAAATGAAAGATTTGATGAGCCACATGTTGGCACGACGAGTTTTATAGTATAGAAGGCTTTGGAGTTCTTGTACGCAAGTACCGCTACGACAATGAAAAACTAAAACGCCGGCTCAGGTCGTTCATATGATGCTCTCGTGTAGGTACAACTACAATTTCGATCTCCACCACAAGATCTTTATTTGCTGTGCATTTACGCTGTAGATCTTCGATCTCTTTGTTCCCGTTTTTCGGCGATCATTTTTCCCAAAATAAACAGTGTGCCGATCTCTCTTTTTCCTATCTGCTCACGATGAAGATCAAGGCGACACACTGCTACTGCAATGTGGGTATTTACCAGGAGCTCGCTGTAGCTGCACTAGAAATTCGCTCATTTCTTTTTTCGATCGATTTTCTGGTCCTGGACCCGTCCACATGCTCATTTGATGTGTTGCTCGTATTTAGCACCAGGAGGATGAAGATTTGAAGTGTCGGCATGATTTTCTTCCAAAAGTTCTTGTTTGTAGTGCTATTCATTGTTTCGCGTAGAATTGTTTCTTTCATTTTCCCTGTCATTGAGTACAATCATCCAGGATGTCATTAGCGGAAGGAAATTTGAGTAGAAGCAACAACCTCGGCGGGGGCGAGTCGCTAAGAAGACCGCCTGTATCTCGAACTGCCGACGGAGAGGAGAAACAGAAAGCCGATTTTGAAGAGCAAAAATTGCATCAGAGTCACACGACAACTGCGGCAACATCTTCGACTGGCGCTGCTTGGTATGAGCAATCGGCGTACCAACTCGTCGGCTGCGATGTCATAAATGGGCAGAAGAAAGCCGCAGTGTCCTTGCTATTGCAGGAAGAGCGCTATGACGGTGGAGGTGGAGTAGATCAGCCACCTGCAGCTATCTTTGAAGAAACTAGTGGCCGACCTGTGCTCGGGCTACCGGAAAGGCTGTTGCAAGTGGTAGGAACAAACGCGCACCCTTCGTCCTCCAGCGACCTAAAATTGTGGAAAAACGGTGTGCGAAGAATCGTAAAGAGCAGCGCTGGTGTTGGCGCAAGTTCTTTCCCACACAACAACTCTCCTTCAGTATTCAACAACTACGGAATTTTTAATATCGGGGCCAATACCTCAAACTCCTCCCCAACCGCCGCCCTGAACGAGAGCGTTTCGACCACGTATTCCCTGCTAGGAACCGGCAACGCGGTGAGTCCAGCTTCGTCTGCAGGTGGTGGAGCAGGTGCAGGAGTCTGTGACACCTTCTACTGCGCCCTGCAGTTGCAGCGGGAGGAGGAGACAGCTGAATTCGTCTGCCTCGCTCAAGTCGTCCCAGCCGGGCTGGAGTTTCAGTATTGGGACTCCCAGTTCGGAACGCAAACGGCCGAGGCCTGTAGAGATCAACTGCTTGCATTTATTGCGCAAGAACAGACTACATCCACCAGCAGCTCGTCCCATCCCGCAACTACGGTCCAGCTGCCGCTTCCGAAGAGGCTACGCGACCAACTGCGCTCGCATCTGGGTTCATCTCCATCTCCTTGTAGAAGGAGAAGGTCGACGCTAGAACATCATGGAGGCTCAACCTCGGATTGGTCTGTGACGAAAATAGTGCGTTTGCACGAGGACGTGCTGCCAACGGTAAAGACGCTTTTGGTAGACTACGACACGGGACACCTGACGGAGCACACCGCTCGCCGCGCGCTGGCCAATCCCTGGTTGTTGCACGAATTTGCACGCCAGGAGTGGGCGGGCGCAGTGCTCAGGACGCCGACCAGGTCGTCCGCCGACGCCGGGGCGCATGGCTCCCGCTCCGCACAATTCCTCCCCGTGCTTACGATTGGCTACGGACGACGGCTGCGAGCGAGCCAAGTCCTCAGCGACACGGTCGGAACAACAGGGTCCGAAACTACCGCTACCGGTACCGCCTCGATCGTCGAGCATCAACAGCGAACTTTAGAAGTACCCTCCTGGGGCGTGATTTCAAGCGAGACCGAGATCCGCCTGCAGCTCGCGCCACAACCGGATCTGCGAATCCTGCGAGCTACCTTGGACCTCTACTCAGACGACAAGCCACTCAGCGAAGAAGACGACGGAGGAAAAAGTGACGAGCTTGATGTTGTGAGTAAGAGAACAAATAAACCAGCGGACCAAAACAGTCCGCAGTGGTCACAGGGAGGAGTACTAGACGCGCCGAAGTTACACAGCAGCGAACCCCCTATGGAGCAGAGGGACGATGCGCAAAGTACTAGACAGGGTCTGTTGCAGGAGAAAAGTGCATCTCCAGGACCAGTCGTTTCGCGGTCTGCGGCATCCTCCCTCAGTATCGCTGAATGTGTGTGGACTGCAGACTACTACTCATCCAACACCAACTCACCAAATGATGCCCGCGAAGTTATTGACGATGTTTTTTTAAGGACTACGCCGCACGCAGCAGCGCCTCCAGACAGTGAAATCGACGCAACGCCGGGAATCATGACAGAGAACTCTAGAAAGAGAAGGACCAACAAATACGTCATCTTTCCAAAAGTAGTCCCCGAAAATCATGATGGTGCTACGTCGTTCCCTGCTTCCAGCCAGTTGCGAATTCTTGTTTACGGTCTAGATCCCAGCTTGTTTCTTGCAGAACCGACAAGAACAGCATCCGACCTGCTCTTTCAGCATGATCAATCAGTTAGAAACATCCCTTTCGAGCACCTTTTCACGCAGTCGCCGCAATCTCTGGCGGACATAATTCTTGCGGAAAAAGACGTGCACCTGCCACTTCCCGCTACCGGTCGGGTTAGCTCCCACTTCTTAGACCCCGTGAGTCAGAGCCTGCGCGGAGTAGGGCTTTTTTTGCGGAAAAAGCTCGCGTTTGAACGATCAAGTCAAAGTCAAAGTAGATGCGGGCCCTCGTCCCCTGTGGGGAGCACCGGTCCAGCAACTACGAGATCGCCAACTGCGGATCGTCAACAGCTTCATCCCAGAGTAGATGTTAACATTATCACCTTACGGGTCACGTGTGGCTGGCAAAACGATCTGGAAGATTTTGTCACCCAGCTAACGGAGGATTTGGGTTTCCCGGTTTCCTGTTTGAGCGTGTTTCTGGTCCGGCGGCGGTTGCGATCCACTGCATCTGCAGATGATGAAAACGAGGCGCATGACAAGGCCAGCGACCACAGGATAATGTTGCCGCTACCGCTCGCTATGCAACTTGAATTGCAGCGTCGAGGAGATTTGCTCAATCGGAGAACAAATAGCGATTCAGACGACAAAGCTACGTGTACTCGTCGTCCTGATTCATCACTGGGAGGAAGCAAGCCTGTGAACTCTTTACAACCTTTGGAAAAGAAGATGAATGCTGCGTCTACCACGAACCTCCCTAGTACAGAAGAACCTACGGCTACCACGACATCGACATCCAGCACCATCGCGCCACTTACCAAAACCGTCCTCAGCCAGTTAAGCATGAGCAAGCAACAGGCGCAGACGAGTCACGTCATTCTGTCCGGGCCGACCGGCTCTGGCAAGACCATGGTGGTGCGGAATGCTCGTATGACACCCTCAGAAACAGAATGGAAATCCTCAAAGTGGAAATAATTTGCGATGCATGAAATGCGACACCAAAAAGACTGTATTCCAGAGAACGCAATGGAGGCTGACTATTGTGCTCCTACGGGTTCTGGATTGGGCTGCTAATTAGCATGAGAGAAGGCGGCACTCCTTTGCCTAACTAGCATGACAGACGCGTTTTGAGTGCCCGGGAAATTTGCCATGCGCCGACTATAAATGGTGCTCCAACTGGAGTCGTTTTTTTGCATTACAAATTATTTCCACTTTGAGGATTTCCAACCTGAGGCTTTCATAGCTCGGCACATGAGTGTCGTGTCCATTCCGGACATCGTGAAATCAGGCGTCGGGGAGAGTGCGCGCGCGGTCCGGCAGCAGTTTGTGAATTTGGTGCGGGTAGCAGAGCATATTAACGCCAGAAGTGGTAGTGCTGTGTCGTCGTCATCAAGCACCTCGTTTACTGCTCGAGCTCGTTCGGTACAAATACCCAGCTCTTCTCCTATGCTTGTCTTTGAAGACGCGGACCGGCTTTTGGGTGGCGGCGACAAAGACTTGTGGGCGCGCGACGTGATTCCGGAGATTGCGCGGTGCTTGGAAACGTTCCCTGCCCTGCCTGTTTTGTTCACCTGCCGGGATTTTTTCTTGGTCCCCGAATGCATCCGAAACAAGTGCCGGCACGTGGAGGCGTTGGGCAGAAAAGCAAGTGCTGACGGTGGAATCGGAATAAAAAAAACGATCCTCGATTTGGGCGTTTACGGAATGAAGGACCACGAGGACAATGTCGACGCGAAGAAAGCCCTTCTCCGCGAGAAAGAGTTGCGTAAAGAGGAATGGAAACAAGCCGTGAAGAAAGACAGTGAAAATAACAAGCGGGGTCCTGCTGGTGGAGAAGGTCCTGATATTCGTATCGACAAGAAGAATTATCCAGAGCAAGTGTTGAGACCAAAAGCAAGAAGGGAAACGGAGGCACTCCTTCGTGATGTGTACCGGACGGTTCAAAAAGAGATGGACAACACAGAAATTGACCGCTGGACCCGCGTGAGTCAAAGATTATTCGCGGCATAGTATGTACAGCGTTTTCTGCCGCGAGCGCGATTGAACCATCAACATAGAAGTACTACACAGACGATATTTGATCCTCACATTCATTTTTCGTGACATCGACGAGCTGTAACATCACACGACCTGCTGTAAGCGACATTTTATGATTGGCAACGCCACGAGCGCATCCGCTACAAGGCTAATGCCTTTGCGACATGATGAAGATAACGCCCTAAAAATCTCCTCTTCTTGAACACAGAGACAGATGGCTGATTTTAATCTCGTTCACTCCGGCCACGGGATTCAAGTGTGTTCGTGTGGGTTTGCTTTTCCGTTGATTTATGTGTGTTCGAGCGAAACAATTTTTATGAAGCGGAGGCTCCGCTGGAACTTCTTCATGCAGGAGCCGAAAGAAGTAGAAGTACGACTACTGAGAGCAGAGCGAGACTCAGTGAAGCGATAAGTTCCTTAAGCCTTATCTTCAGGTTTGTCCTTTCGCTGCTCCTGGAAGAGAAAGAGTGATGAGCGGCACTCAACAAAAAACAGGCAGTAGAGAGGTGCCAATTAGCAAGAGACCTGAAAGACAATCTTACTCTGCGCAATGAACACATCATTTTTCCAGACCAGGGAGCTCCTCCAGCACAAAAATCTGTCAATGTTGCATCTCGTCTCGCCTTCCGGGTTGCAGAATTTTTTAAATTTATCCAATTGATACCTTTCATATCTCACTCGTTCGTAGAAGGAAAAAAAACAATTTCAAAATAGTGATTCCAGTCACCGAGCTCCTGCCATGGTGGATCGAAATTACCACCTGTTTCTTGCTCGCGTGTGCGAGCAGAGCGAGCGCTATGAGGACATGCTGGAGCACGTGAATTCGCTGGTGACGATGGGCACCGACCTGACGCTGGAGGAGCGAAACCTCTTCTCGATTGCCTACAAGCACGTGGTCGGCGGTCGACGGACCGCCTGGCGGGCAATCCAGGGCATCGCGCAGCGCGAAATAGGGGACGACAAAGAAGAGTTTCGGCAGATAATAGCCAGCTACCGACAAAGCATAGAAAAAGAACTCAGAGACTTTTGCTACCAGGTACACCTATTCATGTTTGTAGTCTATACCTTCGCACGTTTGCTTTGCTTTTTGGTTTCTGTAATCGGAGTGGGGTTTTCATGATCGCATCGGCATCACAGTATCGTGCACGTGCACGTCCGTGTAGCTTATTTCTGCAAGACGTTCTCCCGATCTTCTGTGTCTGTGCTTCATCCTCATCGTTCTCGTTATAGTATTTTTTTACGTTTTTTCCGCTAGGTACTCAAGCACATTGAAGATGATCTCATGCCCATCGCCGCAGACAACGAGTCAAAAGTCTTCTGGCTGAAAATGAGAGGTATTGTTTGATTGCTTGTTCTACATGAAATCGAAAAAAACATACCCATACGATAAAAACAAGATACTTAGACTTATTAAAGCAAACTGAGTCAACATCTTGTGGTGTTTCAAAAGTTAAGGTCCACCAACTTCTAAATCCAGGTGACTACTGCCGGTACCTAGCAGAATCACTCGATGATAACGACGCGCATCACAAGGCAGCAGAAGATGCCCACGATATCCGAAGCAATCATGACGAGTGTCTGGCAGCTTTTCTGGTCGCATTTAGACCAAGTCCAAGAGCAATGCAAGACTTGCTTGCTCTAGCGAAGACGCAGGGTAGTTGCCAATAAATGTTTGCATGCTAGTACTCCACTTTTTTGCAATCTTCTACTGTGCCTGCGTGTGCCACATGTATACCTATACACCAAATACACGACAAATATGGCTTAGTCTTAGTCTAGCTATGAAGGCCCAGAAGCTGAGACCGCAGACACTTTCATTTTTCCCGTTGGATACGTGAGGCGTACAAACAGGCTTCAAGTCTCGCGTTGAACCATCTACCGGCAATACATCCAATTCGACTAGGCCTGGCTTTGAACTACTCGGTACTATTTTGCATAAAAGCAAGTACGAGAAAGTTGCTACGTACATCAAGGTTACCTCTCTCACCAGGAATGTTAACCAACGATATCTTCATGATCTCCCGCCCCTGGAGGGAAGGGAAGTCGTGATAAGGGCCTGGCGCCCAGATGCGCTACCTACCTGAGGCAGACGCATCAAGTCTCGCAAACTAAGCGGCAGCACGCCGCTGCTCCTGGTGAGTAATGTAGGGCGGCGCCCGCAATCCAGCGCGCGCCCCCTCGCCCCTGGTGGGTGTTCTCTTCTTGAGGACGAGCCCAGCTCTGGAAGCTGGTGCGCCCTGTACTATGCTCCTGGCGAGTGAGACGGCGGAGGGCCGTCCGCGTGCTTAACCTGAGCGGCACAGCGCCACACCGCGCCCGACCAGTCCGAGGCGGGCACTTTAGTGTGTTGCCGCGTCGTGTGCAAGGAGGCCCGGCATGGCGTGCCCTCCCGGCGGCCTTGTGCCGTATTGGTGGAGGCGCACCGTCGTACGCCCTACTGCCTCACGTAGTGCGCAGCACGCAGCCGGCGGCACTTGCCGAAGACTGGCGAAAACGGTGGGGCCTGCGCTATTCTGGAAAGCCTGGGCTGGCACCCTTACCCCCCTGGCGGGGCCGGAAAACCGTTCCCGGGAGGCGGCGCAAGAGGCGGCGGAGGCTCCGCCTGCGTGAGCCCCAACCGCCACAGCTTGCGCCCTACATTCTGCCCGTCCGGCAATAGCCGGATGTCCGTGGAGCCGCTCTGGAAGCGCACCTCCCTACGCACGTAGCGTAATTATTCTGTGTTAGTGCGCCCGGTGTGCACCCTCTGAATAATGCTGCTATAAGGAGCCAGTGCTCGAAGCAGGGCAGCACAGCGCGCCCATTTCCCTTCATGCACGTTGCTCCCCTTCAGCTTCCACGACTTGAGGCCGTGTGTCGCGTTGAAGGGTTTTCGCACGTCCTGCTCCCACAGCCGTGCTGTCAGACGGATCATCGCAAGTATAGCCTGGTCAAAGAGCGAGCGCCGCATCTGTTTGAAACAAGAGCGGAGCATATACATACATACATATCTTCATGATCCATTTTTTCTATGTGTTCTGCACTTCTACAACGGGAAAAAAAAAGCGGATACAAATGCTTTCCAAAATAACAATAAATCCAGGTCTTTTACTACGAGATTCTGAACAGTGCGGAGCGAGCCTGCTTGCTAGCCAAAGCTGCGTTTGACGACGCCATTCCGAAAATGGAAAACCTTGACGACGATAACTACAAAGGTACTAATACGCAATTTTCACCTCCGTACATAATTTTACAGGTCCTGATCCTGTGAATGCACTGCCACCAGGTACCTTTGCATGATTGCAAGCCTACGGGCCAACATGGATCAACATGGGCAGAAACTAGTACCGTAGTCAACATGCATTCGCACTCCACATCACAGACTCGGCGACCATTATGCAACTCCTGCGCGATAACCTGACTTTGTGGACGTCAGACGTGCACCCCGTATGACAGTGCAGAACTCCCCCTCCCCCTCATTTATATGTTGGCATGAACAGCAATACAAACACCAGCACGAATGGAGCCTGTGCATGAAAAATTTATGTGCCCAATGTAGGACTTCTATTTGGGGTCCCGGAATTAGTCATGCAAACAGTGCCACAAGTCAGCGACTGGATTTGGGATTTTGCATGACAAATGAGCGGGAGGGGGAGTTGTGCACTGTCATACCCCGTGAATGAGGACCAGTTGAACGTCGAAGATGTGGAGGCGTAAAGTCAAAGATACAAAAAATTATAGGGGCATGAAAATAGTACTTCTCATGTCCGTCTACTTCGTACTAAAGTAGTTTTTTCTTGAAAACTGAATTCGAATCGCTTGTTCTACCAAAGAACTAGCTAGTACATCACAATCCAACACTTTCATTTTGCAACGAACATTTATTTTCACACAACATCTAAAGATGAAAAAATTGTATTTGATTGACGCAACTACGCCGGGCCGCGAGTTGCTACTGCAACAAGTGTCTCCTGTCAGATGTGTCGATGTTTCGGAGCGACACCACTACGAGCGTGACAAGAAAAAGAAGAAGAAAAGGACACTGGCGGTTTTATTTTGAAAGAATTTGATGCTTCACTCCTGTGATAGATTTCATCACCTTTGAGTGATGATTGCGATTTCGTAGCTCCCGTTTTAGCAGCGTCGCTGCGCTTGTTCTGCCTTCCTTGCTCTATCTTTGGAGCAACGTATCTCACAGAAGGCGCCCCAGGTGTAGTTCTGTTTCTCCTAGTCACAAACTTCTAAATGAAAAAGCCTGTCTCTGTCACCGTGGTCGCGAAATAAAAAAAACTGCAGCAGGAAGCGTAGCTGCAGCAGCTTCGTGTCCTGGAAACCTGCAGGACCGAAGAAAATGGAACCCGGGTAGCTGCGTCCATGAACAAGCGCTCGTAGCAGACTGCGTGTAGCAGCAGCAAATCCGCCATGCGGACGGGGTCCGCTCCCACGGTTCATCTTCCAGCTGGAGCGATGCGTTCACCACGTAGTTGCCACCACGGATTGCTGCTGACTGTGTTCTTTTTTTTCCTCGGTTACAGCGCAAGTTCCACTGCGGTCGCCCTTGCTTCCGGCAAACAGGAGAAAACTACATCTTCGAGCACCAAGGCTACCGGGAGTAAAAACTTCTTGTCTCCAAGAAGATGTCGTGTTCTTGCACTTTCCCAAGTACAAGCAGCTGATACCACTGGTGCACAGCAAGAACAACATGGACGTCAAACACCGCCCGTTTCCGAGCCGCCGCGCAAAGCGGCCTTCACGCCGGTGAAGAGTCCGGAGGAAGTGAAACATGCACAGCAACAGGTGCTGAACGGCGGATCATCGGCAGCATCGCTTGCGACCGCCGGGCCAGGGAGTTTCGAACGGGACTGCGTCCGGAAGCCGACGATTAGCGGGTGCGATTGCAAGGAGATGATATCCAAGCAAATGAAAAGATCGTCCTTCCTCCAGTAGCTCAGAGTCAAGGGCATCAGGCACGTTGATGAGACTGAAAGAAGGAAAACGAGTCGCTATCATCAGCATTGTGATTTTTGATTTTGATCCGCACACGCACTAGCACAATGACAATGTACGATGTTTTCTTTTTTCGCTCCATACCAAATTGCGGCATGCAACACGCAGCGGGATGAGTGCTTGCACACCGTGGACTACTACATCAACGGTGCTACCGGATCTGGCAGCTCAAGCAGCGCGACCTCTCCCACCGCTGTGAAGCAAGCCTTGTTTCGAGCCAAGTTTGACCACCCACTGACAAACACGTTGCTGCTGCAAATGTTTGAAAAACGCGCGGCCAAAGCCTCGAGTAAACAAGGTCGTGTCAACTACACAAGAAGAACCAACTCTAACTCATCTTTCCAGACCAATGCGCAGAAGAAGTCTAGGCACTTCTACACTGGGAGAAGCACCACATCAACATCATCTGCTACCGTGGCAAGAATTCACGGGACTCCCGACAATGAATCGACGCCGAACAACTTCGCGTCGCGCGTCTTCCACGAGGACGTGGACTTTTCGAAGGTGAAGACGCGCGGCAAGTGTAGCGAAGCGGAGATGAACGGCCTTGACCGGTGTCTGGCGATGTTTTGGCAGTGCGACCGTCTCGAGGGACAAATGTCGGCGAGCGCCGACGCGCAAGCGGAAAACCTGCAGTTCATTTACGATCACCCGGGCACTCCGGCGTGGTAAGCCTTGAAAGTAGCCGAACTTGCGCGACGTTCCTGCTTGTTGGTGTTTGCGAAAATCTGCGCCAGCAGCGTATCTATAAATATGATCGGTTCATTAACCGCGATAGCGTGAGCCGAGCCCGAATTTCAAAACTTGTCACATGTGCTACCGTTTCGGTTTCTCTTTTCCTCGGAGTCTGAGTATGTTTCCTTCCGATGGTGAAAAGCTCCACCTGGAGTAACGCGAGAAGTTGCTTGTCCTCGCCGCAGTCGTCACACAGAGCAGCGAAGCTCGTTGATGAACAGCATCAGCCTCTGTGCAAGAACCTCGTTGTTCGAAATCAATACGTATGATTTGCGAACCACGCAAGAGGTGAGTTCGTGGCGTTGATGAAAAAGTTGACGATCACGCAAGAACTGAGTAGTCGATGATATGATCGTCCGGCATGATATTCATGATATGAATCTGCCGATAGATGAACATGAAGCTTCCCGAACAAAAATCGAAGCCTTTAACTAGAGCTGTCGTGGAGGTTGACGAGTTGTCACTTGGACTCTAATATCGTTAAGAAAAAGGGACCTGTTGCGAGAAGATGTCAAGCTGCGGCGCAAGCTGCAAATTTTTAATGCTGCAAGAACATTCTGGATTCGATTTCAGAAAATGCTGCGCATTTGAGGACACTGCAGCGCGCAGTGCTTTAGGTGAGAGTTTCGGAAAAAAAATTTGGCCGAGTCTGAAGTCGCGCACTGATAAGTAATTTTTCTATAATCACGGCAGCTCTCCGGAGCATTGAAGAGTTTGGATTGATTGTCTAGTCAAAGCAGAATAAAAAAGACCTCAAGAGGACAAGATGGCGGCTCCTGTGCTGGCAGCGACCCATTCTGTTGTCGCGCTGGATTTCAGCGATGGGTCCACCAAGTCGCAGAAAAAATTTCTTTTCGAGGCCGGCACGAGTGGCGACGAGGTGGAGGCCGTTGTCTCTACGAAAGGTCGCAAGGAGACCCGCCCCCGCTTTGAAACGCGCATCGAAGCGGTTCTCGGCTCCGGCAAAACGAAGAACAAGCTTTCCCTCGAACTGGTGGAGACCGACTGGAGCAAGGTGCGCGTGGAGAAGAAAAAGCGCAAGAAAATGAAGGCCATGAAGAAAGCCGCGATGAAAAAAATGAAGGCCATGAAGAAGCGCGGAGGTCGTGGTCGCGGGGGGTTTGGATTCGGCGGCGGTTTTTTCATCGGCTTCGGAGGTATGTATGATTACGATTCCGACTGTTATGACGACGATTCCGATTTCAGCGACGACAATGACTTTCTCCGCCCGGCTGCAGGGGGTGGTCGCCGCGCGGGGAACAACGCGCCACCGCCCGAAATGGTGCTATTGAACCGCGACAACCGCCGGATGGCGCAGTTCACCTACGGGAGCATCCAGGCGATTTCCGTTGGAACAAAGGCGACCAGCGCAGGAGCGACGGGTAAGGCGGGGAGCAAAAACGTGGCGGGCAAGAAGCAGCCGAAAGCAAAAGCAGGAGCTGCGTCATCCTCGTCTTCCAGTTCATCTGCTGCGGCGCAGCAGCAATCTGGACCTGATGACCTCGAAGAAAGCGGGACGAACGCTACTTCCGACACTGTCTGGGTAACCCTGCGGGTTTCGAAGCCGGGCGAGTGTTTGCAGACCCCGAAGCAGAACGAGGTGAAGCAGGAGTTGGTGAGGATGAAAAAGGCCTTTATCCCGACCGAGGGAACAAACAAAAGCCTGTCCTTCAAAGTCGGATTTGCCACCGAGCGGGCGGCTACGAACTTCGTAAACGCGTTGGAAAACAGTCGGACCAATACCAAAGAGGAGGCGGCGGAAAAGCGCGAGGAGCTGAAGGCGAAAAAAGAGGCGGGGTTGGACACCCGGAAGCGCGGTCCGCTGGTTCCGGTTATGACCCCCGAGCAGGTCATCGCGCAGAACTTGCTGCGGGCTGACTCCTACGCAGCCAAGTCCATCCGCCGGTGGAACCTGTTCGGACCCTACGCGCGCAACAGCACGGAGGAGCAGTGGAAGCGTTACTACGACCAGCGCTGCTTGGATGAGTCGACGAAAGCGTCGGAGAAGGGAGGAAACTACGGAAGTGAGTGCAAGGAGGACGATTACGACGGGGAGCTCGACGCCGACCGGTTTCAGAAAAAGATTCGTCTCGGCCTCGGCCGAGCGCTCGTGTCCTCGGGAAAGGTATTTCAACATTTTAGCCTACAGTAGATGAGGGCCTCGTCTTCCTCTCGGACTGGGTCTACACGACCGACGTCAAGGTAATTTTTTAAGTTTGTAGCTCTAAAAAAAATAGTAAAACTACGTGACATACTAGATCATTTTTTCTAGGTGTATCCGCGTACAAACAACCCAGGTCCGCAAAGAGGACGCGGCCTTGTTGGCATCAGGGCTGTTTTTGCGCGAGTTCCACATTAGCGAGGACGGTTCGGAAGACCCGCGCGAGGTGGTTGTTTGTTCGCGCATCTACGCCGCAACCGCGAACCCGGCCGCGGTTGACCTCGGCTTCGAGCACTACCACCGGAACCGGATCTGGATCGACGACGAAAAGTTCATGTTCTGTTCGGCGCTCCTGTATTCGCCGGCCGCAAACAATCCGCTACACGTTTCATCTCTACTGATGAAATCCAGCCTGATCTCGGAGACCGACTACTCGGCTTCTGGTATCCACAACCAGAAAAAGACGGAGAAAATCAAGCTCTGCGACTACCCGCAGGCTTGGGGAAATAAACCGCCAAACCCCTCTTTGGGAACTGGGAAGAACAGCACTGGTATGGTTGAAGTAGTAGACGTGGTCTTTCAATTCTCGGCAAGATTCTCATTGTTTTTCTTTGTTCCAGAAACTTTGTGATGCAAGAACTCAACTACTTCAGATGAAATGCCGACGGAAAATGTAGAAGTAAAATATAAAATAAGGTATTCTGGCGGAACTTCTTGGTCACGACTACCCCTTATCGACCCGGAAGTTATCGACGGGAAGTGCGTGAAATTCGAAAGGGACCACAGCGAGCCCTAGGAAAAAATTCAATTGGTCTTGGTCATGCGAATTTCAATTTGCATGCACACCAAATAAAGCTGCATAAACAAGATCACTCCAGAGCACTTGGAGTGAGCTGCGTTTTGGTATCGACAAAAAGAAAGAAGGAAGTCTTCGCACCGTATGTGAATGCCTTTGTAGCGCGTTGCGCTTCTGTAGAGCGTACAGCGTAGCACTTCCGCAGGAAATGAATAAAGTACCTTTTTTTGCAGCTAGCAGCAGTCGTCCCCAAAGGCACTCACGCGCTACTTCCGCGGTATAAAGATGCTTTTCCGCGCTGTTTCGTGCCATCGGGATGAATCTGAAGCCCGCGACCCGCATGTATGACGCGTTGTGGGCCTGGCGAGACAGCAAAAACAACTTGAAGGGCCCCGAGTCGCTGACGGACGACGAAGGCAACGGGATTCACGCCGACTTGGAAGCTGCGATCGCAAAGAAAAACACCTTGAAAGTTGGAGTTGCTGCAGCTGCTAAGTCCTCCTCCGCCGCGGGGGCAGCTCCAGCTGCCGCTTCATCTTCAAGTAGTGCTGCTTCTGCGTCTTCGGGAAAGCAGGCCACGGGGGCTGGCGCGGCAGCTGAAGGCAAGCCGGCAGGAGATGAGCCGGACAGCGATAGCGAAGAAGAAGCGCTGGGCAGTTCAGAGGAGGATGTCGCAGACGGCAGCGGGGATGAGGAACAGGACTCTCTCGACTCTAAACCAAAAGATGCAGAAGACGAAGACGCAGGGGAAGAACGCGGAATCTCAGCAGGGAAAAAGTCATCAAGCAGCAGCGCCCTTCTGAAGAGTAAGAAGAACCCGCCTGTCACTCCCGCGAGCGAGGTGCTGAAGGCTGCCCGGCCCGCTCGCGTCGCCGCGGGTATGTTTCCGCAGGACTTGTTCTCTCCGCCCTCTGAGGCGAAACGCCAGCGCCTGGAGTGAGTAGACGATGGACCTGTCAAACAGAGGTGGGCGAATCAGACTTAGAAATGAAAGCTAAACAAAGATACAACACGAAAACTCGTCCACTTCAGAAATTGTTCCTGTGCAGAAAGTGCAGCAGTTTTAGTGCCTGCCTGTTATGTTTTTACTCTTTGACCTTCAAGATCGTTGGAATTGTTTTTCGTCACAGACACCAGAACTGCAGGCCTTCCTGCAGCGAGCAGAACTTCATTGCCTTCTTACTGTGTACTGCAAAGACACGGAGATGAAGAGCTTTTGCAGGTGTCGACGCCTCCGTGTAAAATTTCCAAATTAAATGAAACGAGTGAGCTCTTTTTACCTTGAAAAAGAAGATGAAAATGAACCTTGGATACTACTCAAGGTTCAAAAAGAAGGCTATGAGCCGTTACCGTTTGGAGCGCATTTACAAGGATCAGCTCCCACACGACACTGTTTGGATCTGGATCAATGTCACTGATACACAAGTAGAGAAAATCACCAAAATAGTCGGTCATGAATCGGCCGCGGTGCAAACCAATGAGATCTCCGACTTCTGTGTATCGATTCCAAATCGACTTTTACACGGTAGAAAAATATGATCCCGCTCGGTTTTCAAAGGTCGTCGGAAATCTAGGTGTGAAGGAACGAAAATGATTGAATGATGACGACGTGATCTGCAGTACAGTAGTGTCCATGTCCAAAAAATCTAAAAAATTTTCGGTTGATGCTTGTTGTTCCGAATGGTGTGCAATAATGCAGCCATAGATACGAACTCGAACACGTTTGCGACGCTTTTGTTTTTTGATGCTCCTGTTTATTGATCTCGCTCTATTATACAGTCACAGTGAATGTTGTGAAGTATAGTTGATAATCTCTTTGCCCGCCTGGTCTCGGGAAAGTGTACAATTCGGTACAGTTTTGATTTCTAGTTGTAGGAGCTCCAGCTGTTTATTCGGCGCAACAGTGAGCGTTTGTTTTGGCCCTCTTTATTTTTTAGAAACCACACTTATATATTTTCTTTGTTTGATCAATCATTTCACAGCAGTTAAGTTTCTGTTCGTTAGTCAAAAAGAAAAAATCAAAAAGATCGAGAACGAGCACCAAAAGAATGTCGCGGCCAAGAACAGGAAATGAGGACGTGGAGCAAGGAGCTCAAATCCACCTGCTCTCGGATGAAGTAGAGGCTCCTCCTGGGGAGCAAGATGAGAGAGTTCCTACTTGCTTTCGAAGACATCTCTGGCTCTGGATCACGCTTTTGGCAGTTGGGGTACTTGCCGGGATTGCCATACCTGTAGGTTGTATTTTCCTAGGACGCCGGGACGAGCAAACTACAACACCGGGGAACCCTTCTCCTACCCCTGGGACGGGCCCTCCTGCAGGCCCTCCTGTAGAAGGTCCGGTCCAGATATTCGCCATGCGGCACGCGGAGAGCTGCAAGAACGCCAACATCCCCCAGTGGGGCGGGGCAAGAGACCCTCCCCTGACGAACGACAGCCAGGGCCACGGTCGCCAAATGGCGTTCGAAGGCGGGCGAAAGTTTGCGGCGACGTATCCTGAGTTGATGAAAAAGAGGCAGAGCTTTGTGTTTCTCGTCAGTCCCATGAGAAGAACCCTGGAAACCGCGAGTGAATTCATCAAAGGCTTAGTTTCCGACGTGTCCGGTACTAACGGGTACGGGGTATCCCCAGTAAATTTCCTGTATATGTACAAATGCGGTTTCTGCATGAAAAGCTTCCTTTTAATTCGATTCGGCATGACAAGTGGCATGCTCCAAGTTGGTCAAATTTGTGATGCATTTTGTACATGTGCAGGAAATTTGTATTGCATACGGGGTTAAAGAAGACTACATGGGAGCGAGCAAGATTTACCTCGCCCCCGAGCTTCGAGAAACCGCAAAAGGTCAGACACAGCCGCCCTACTCAAGCATACCCTCTGACCTCGGAACCAGTGTTACAGATTGGGCAAAACCAGACCAGGACGCGAATGTGTTCAGTGGGGAGACTTTTTTCTTGGGCAACGATAATACAGCTGATGAAGAACAAAAGAAGAATTACTCGTGGCTGCAAAAACGACCCTCGGACCAGCAAATTTGGCCAGATGAAAGAGGCGGTAGATACTTCGGCGAAGAGATTGGGAAAAACCAAAACCGCAGCTTCGAGAATCTTCTCACCAGCTTAAAAACCGACGCGCGGTTCGAAAAAAAAATTGTTTTCCTGGTGTCCCACAGCAACACTATGTTCAATGCGTTTGAACACATTTTGCGCTGGGACAAGAAAGAGATGACAAGGCGGGCCGCAGACCCTGCTCTGAACTGGTACAGGACAAATGCCATTTGGAAGCAATCTGTGCCACTCGAAGTCGACATGACCACGGTGAAGAACGGCCAGAAAGCCACGGCCACATTCTCTTTCGCTCCGGACCGGTACAGATGATTGGCACGGAGAAGAAACTGAGAATGTTCTTGGACTGCGGACGCATATTATTGAGTGCCGCCCTTACCCTTTATCGACGCAGGGCTTCTAGGTCCAGCTCCGTTTTCTCATGTAGATGTATGAGTATGATGATATTTTTTACCTCGCCTACAGGGCATTCAAGAGGAGTACTACACCACACCAGTTGCAAATAGCGTTACCAGTTGCGGCGAAATTCAGTGCTACATTCTTCAAAACGAATTCAAATTTGTGATGCGAAACACAGGCAACTTCTGAAAAAATGTTGCAATGTGATCGTGAAAGAGGAACTGCAGCACTTGAAGAAAATTTTTTGAAGCGACATCTTGAACAAACAGCTGCAGGGCCGCATTATAATAGTAGGCTTTGATGTGGAACTTCTTTCATAAGGTTTAGGCCGACGCTCAAGGCCCCAAGTGTAACGCTACAGCGCGAGTAGAAAGAAGCGACAAGCAGCAAAAGCTTTCTCTTTTACGTGTGGAGTGTCTTCAGCCAGTCTGCAGCCAGTCTGCTAAAACGTCAAACATTCCGACAAGCGCTGGCGCGCGCTGTCTTCCTGCTCGACTACAAGGCGCTGCTGCTGTTTGTGTCGCGCATCACAACAAAGCCCATGGCGCCTGCGTTTACAACATTCCTTGCAGAGGCCTGGGTCTGTGCTGCTCTCTGCATCTGAAAGGCATTTTTTCGCCTGTGGTAAATACCCTGCCCTGGACGAGAAATCGGATTTTCTTTGTCTCTTTTTTGCTTCATGTTGGCATTTAAGTGAGTGCTGCCTGGAGCTTGGTTAGAGAGACAGGGCGCGGACGACGTCCACTATGACTACCTGTTCCTGTTTTCACTAACCAAGCAGAAAGCACCTGCAGACAATAGTTTCAAATTTGGCCTAGCAGCAATTTAAATCAGCCTTGCCCCACGACGCAGTCGTGGGGAGTGGTTCTTACTAACTAAAGCAACTTTGTTTCTCTGCTCGCTCGCCCGCCTAGGTGAGTCTACCTCCTAATGGGAAACGTATAGATCCGATTACGTTTACGATCGCATAAATGTATAACTCAGCGCTATTGATATGGTGGAGACTACTACATGTTTTCTTTTTGAAAGCTCGTCATCTAAGGTTTTTGAAATGAAGTCGTCATCTATAGGTTTTCAAAATGAAGAAATGAGTGCCGACATATGTTGAGGCAGTGAACATTTTTGTGGCAAACCAAATTCCAATTCGTCCAATCATGGGATTGGGAAAAAATTCTTTCGCTCCGGACCGGTACAGATGATTGCACGGAGAAGACACTGATGAAAATGTTGGACCACTGCGGACGCATATTATTAAGTGCCGCTCTTTATCGACGCAGGGCTTCTAGGTCCAGAACCGGAACTGCGCTTTCTCATGTAGATGTTGTATGATAATATTTTTTACAACCCCGCCTGCAGGGCATTCAAGAGGAAAACTAGTACTACACAACACCAGTTGCAATACATAGCGTTACTACACAACAACTCTGTTTCTCTGGTCGCTCATGCGCCTACGTGATTCTACCTAGCAGACGGGGAATGGGAAACGTATAGATGCGATTACGGCAACATAAATGTAGTAAGTGCTATTGATATGGTCGTGTTGCCTCAAGGTTTTTGAAGGTTTTGGAAATGAAGTTATCATCTAAAGGTTTCTGAAATGAAGAGATGAATGTTGAAAGATGTTGAGACACCGAATAGATATTGTGGCAATCCAAATTCGTCCCATCATGGGAAAAAATTGTTCGCCACTTATTTTTACAATGCCCCCCCAAAAAAAAAAAAGAAGTCGCTGCTTCAAGGGAGGTGGCGTGGGCAAAGTCGCATTGCGCGTGCGCCGTGCTGCCTGGACGTTTGGGTTTATTGTTCTCGATTCATAAAAATTTCTGAATGCGTTCTTTGAAGATGTTTTGTCCCTGAAAGAGTGCATCCAGCTAGGCATGTAGTTGAGAGCGAAAAATACGAAAAATACGAATAGTCCACCTGTTTGGTGTTGAATCAAACAAGTCGCTGACAACATTCAGAAGCGCGACGCGATCTGCAAGGGAAAGAGAGAGGCAATGCCACCACAGGAGCAGGATTGGATGCAGATGATCCGGCTCTATGTACAGTTAGATCAGAGAAGTTCTTCAACATGTAGCAACAAGACACGACTACTTACCTCGACCTCCGACCGTATACATTCTATTACAACTAGAACTACTCCGTAGGTCCTCTAGGTGAGTCGGACGATTCTCATCAATCTATTACACCTGTTGAAAATGGCAGGCGGTCACCTCATGGCTTCCGTCTTGAAAACGGCGGTTTTCCCGTGCCTCTCTTCCTGGCCTCTGGCCGCGTTTTTCCAAGTGCTTCCGGTTTCCGGAAATTTGCGAGGAAAATCTGAGATGTCGGAAATTCCCCCCCCCCCTCGACGACGACCACGAATCTGCACTCTCCGCCTACGGTTTCTCACCCCGACGCCGCTAACACGGCCGCACTGTACGACCTTCTCATGAACGAGAAGGACTACGACGCGACGCAGCAAAAGAAGGTTTTGCTCGATGCTGGGTACCCGGAGCCGCAGGTGATGAAATTGATGTTGAGGCGTTTTGTTTTAACTGCTCTGCTGCTTCCTCGACGTGACCGTGAGGCATTTTTTTGATAAGCATAAACAGGATGTGTTGGTGTTGCTGCAGTGTAGTCATTCATTTTTTGTACACGTTTATGTCTCAGGTGAAGCTGATGATGGTCATGTTGACTGATCCGGCGAGTGGTAGTACGTATGAAGAACGGGCGAAGAACATCCCACCAAAAAAATCGATCATACTCATACAGGGCCGCAAAAAGCCCAAAAATCGCTATTTTTTCAATTTTTTATTTTCAAAAATTTTTCGCTGTGTCCGGCAGACCCGGGCAGCCGCTTCTGTTTTGGTGCTCTTATGACGTAAATATTGCGCGGCCTATCTTCTTTGGCTGCTTGGAGTAGTTTCGCTACTTCAGCAACTAAGAGGCGGCAGCAGGCCGAGTAGCTATGAGGAGGCGGATGCTACTCCAATAGGGCCGTCAGACAAACCACAAAGAAGATTGCGCAACTACTGGAGACCAATACCATTGCGCGGCCCTGTCCCATTGATTTCGTTGGCGTTATGGCCATGGGCCTGCATTTCTGGGCACATGCCGAGGAGCCCGATACCCCGCCTTGGCCTTACTTACCACCAGCTCCTCGTCGGGATTTTAACTGCTTTGCCCCCCCCCAGACCGGCAACGCCGTCCAATCTGGAGAGACTGCTCGCGCACTTTCTGGCCCCAGATGTGCTAAGGCAAAGTGGGCACATGATTGGCCTCGAAAAGACGGCCATTGCATGCGGATCAAAAAAATCGATCATATCACTTTCGGGCGCCGGAGACCTCTTCCGGGCCGCCCCATCAGCGGAGTCGATTTGCTGAACTTCCACAGCTGAATTTGGCAAGATTTTCGCACTTTTTCGAAGTTCGAAAAAATGCCGATTTTCGATATGATCGATCGGCCTCAAAAAATGGCCGTTAGCTCGGTCCCAAAAAAATAGATCATACATTTTTGCGAGTATGATTAATGCCATTTTTTCACTTTTTTCAAATTTTCTAAAAGAAAATGGCAGCTTTTGGCATATGATCAATTTTTTTGGGCCGCTGCTATGGTGAAAAATTTGCAAATTTACAGTTTTTGAAAAAACGCCAATCGCGGTGCTACGGCGCAGGTCAGCAAATATGATCGATTCCGGACTCAGCCCGTGCTAAAAAAAATTGATCATACCGCAAAAGCTGTCAGTTTTTGCCGATTTTGCCACGTTTTGTTGGCCGTTTTTCCACGTTCTCCGCACTGAAAATTGCTGTTTGAGATGGCCTTTTTTGGTCCCGTCCCTGGTCGATCGCTCTGGCGGCGATCCTGTGGAGGCGTGCCAGAGGATGCCACCGGAGGTCTGCCCAAGAACCCCAGAACGCCTCAAAATAGAAGGCCCAGCCCTTAGGCTTTTGCGCGGCCCCCAGCACAACCCATGCATGTTTGTCGCAGCACCGTCTCAGCGGGGCTAGAGCTGGCATCCTGAAGGCCATTCCTTTCCTCCTGGGCCGAGCATGTGCCAGGCTGCGTGGATCCTTTGCCTCCATCCATGTGACAGGCTTGGGAGCGGGAGTTATGAGAGACAAGCGCCCGACGGCGGGGCCGGTAGGTGTGGAGGGGCTTGGACCGGTAAGAGGGGGCCGGCAAGAGGCCGAAGAGCAGAGCCAGGACAATTGTCGCGGGCGACATATCCGCGCCAGTCGCCTCCTCGTAGCTAGTTGAACTACTACAGGCAGCCAGTCCAGAGCTCAGCAACGTTGCCGCCCAAGCAGAATGCTCCAGGCCTTACCTCCAAGCCATGCAAATTTTCCGCCGAAAAAGAAAAATCGCTGCCGAAATACAGGATTTTTGTTAAAAAAGCGCAGGTTTTTTTCAAAAAAGTAGCATTTTTTGTGTCTTGAATTCGGCCAAATATGAGTATGATCGATTTTTTTAGTGCGATAGCTCGCGGCAGCCCACAAGCGCGGTCTTTTTGCGGATTTTGTCGCATTGGACCAGGACAAAAGCGGGGAGTTGACCGCGAACGAGTGTCCGGCTTTAGCCGCCCGCACCGGGGGAGGAGGACAGAAGGTCGACATTACAGCTGCCGCTACCTTTATTTGGGCGCCGAAGCGAGGACGAGGCGCAGCGTCTCTGGAAATTTTCACAACCGGCCAGACCACCGTCGAGACGCAGGAGGCAGATTTGGCCGGCAAGCTGACGGGACAGGCTTCTCTGCTGGAGGTGCCGCTGGATCTCTTCAACCGAAAGGTGACGGGTCAGTGGGCAACGAGACCTGGCGCCATTTCCAGCTTGTGGAATTTTTGTTCCATGGATGGTGGCGACGCGTTATTCACGCAGCTGGAAACGCGTCACGGCGAGGCAGTCGACCATCTGTTTGACTTGGCTCACGTGGTAAACGGGTTGAATCGCCTGGTCGACGAGACTCAGAAAAAATACAGCAACGAGGTTGCCGACAAATTTGCTGTCCGGACCATGACCCAGATTGCGACGCAGCTCAAATCCGCCATGGACACGCTCCTTGCCGCCGAGAAGAATTTAAAACTACTTGCGCAGTGAGCCCATTCTCGCGTCGATGCCCAGAGGCGAATAGCGCGTGGGCTCAGCCACGAGCGTAAGACAGGCTCTTGGAGCACTGCAGCGAAGGCAGCAAGGCCAAAACACGGTAAAACGAAGAAAAGTCAGACAGTTCAACAAGATAGAAGCTGCCCCCACCCATTTTCTTTTTCGATCACGAACAAGACTAATTTTCGTCCCTTATCACAGAGCAGCGGAACCTTTCAACTTTTGGAAAAGCAATAGTAGAAACTCGCAAATAAACAGAAATAAGAAACAGAAGCTCAGCAGTTTATTTTATCTTTGTTCTGACCGGCTCTTAGTTGTCCTTGTCTTTCAAATTCAAACTTTTTAAACTAATAACGAACAAGATTTATTCTTCCTCTCTTTTTTTTTTAGGCCTGAGTCAAAGATGCTTAGCCAGTTAGTCTTTTTTGTTGAAGTACTGTTAAACGCGTGTTGAGATGAGAGATCGACTTTCAAACGGTTCCATGTGACCAATCTCAACAAACAAATGAAGAAATGAATGCTGAAACATGTTGAGAAAACGAATACTGCGGCAAACCAAATTCGTCCATGTCATGGGAAAACTTTTGTTCGCCATCTCAATTTGTTTGTTTGTTTGATCTTCGACTGCGTGTGTGTCGTCGCGAGGGTTGTTTTTTGAAGGAGCTGCGAGCGACATGGGAAGAGGTCACGAACGAGGTGGAGCTGTGGGGTAATTGTACGAAACTGTCACAATTCATCGAGTACTAGCTCGGTCGCTTTTTTATGCCGCGCATCGGCATCGTACTGGTGCTAGTGATCTCAGCGCGACCGGACGGTCGAAATCTCAAGAGCGAAAATAATGTATCTCTCAAGGAAAGCAACTGCAACTTCTTGATACCGCACTGCGTCTGCGTCTACTGAGCGGACCAGTTTATTCTTTAGCTGCGGGACCAAAAATGTCAACATAGATAGAAATGAGTACTATCATCTAACATCTGCGACTGCGTATGTAGGTCTTCACAACCTCTCGAAGTAGATTAGTTCCCCTCGCAAGAAATAACCGACCACCATGGCCGCGCACCACAACGTGAGCGTGGAATCGTACGAGTCCGCACTGAAGATGGACCGGCGGGGCTTGGAGCACACCGCGGTGAGCCAGATGCTGGACGGTTTCAACGAGACGAAACCCGAGCCCAACGTGTTCGCCACGAAGGATATCCAGGAAAAACTAGCATCCCCATCCATTTTATGCATGACAAACACAGGATTTCATACATGTTTTGCATGGCAAATTGGATGGGGATGGTTGTTTTTAGGTGGACAAAGGAGCGGTCCTACCTGTCCCTCCTCTCCGAACTGAACCGGAGCGGGCGCAGCCGGATGCTGGGCAAGTCGCGGCGGCGGCCGCCGGGGGTGTCCTGTTGGTCCCGCGACAAGGAACCCAGGCTGAAACCGTCGCGGGAGGACTTTTGGGACGTGCCCCCGTACGTGGGCGCCGGCGTCAACTGTGCGTCCAGCCACCACCGCAACCCCTCCTCCATCCCCCCCATCGGGGCGGTCGAGACCGTCGCCCGCCGGACCAAGGAGACCACCGACCGCATGCCCCCGCCCGGGACGTACTCGCTGCCGGACCTGTGGAGCGAGCCCACGGCGTATTACAGTGAAAAATGCCCCCACCCCGGAATTTGCAGAAGTTTGTCATGTTGCAAAGTTTCCAATTGAAAGCAAAAGCTTTTTGTCTTGCATAAAAGAATTGCGAGCGTTTCTGATGCAGAATCTGGCTGCGCAAGGTGCCTTGTGCATAACAGATCCGGCTGCTGATGGGCTACTTCGCAACGCAAATTTCTTGACCTGTGTACTCAGCATGGAAAATTTGTGCTGCTGAGATATGCAAGACGGGGAATGTTTCTGTTGGATTTGGAAAGGTTTGCAATACAAATACTGCCAAGCTGGGCCATTTTTCATTTTAATACGGCGCCCCGGTACTTGAGCCGGTTCGACCAGCAGACCCAGGCCATGCACCAGGTGGCGCTCAAGGGCATCGAGAAGTCCGAGTGCCACACCATCTACGGCGACGCCTTCCGCTTGCCGCTGTCCAACGAGGAGCGCAGTGCATTGGCAAGGATAAGGAAAAAACTCAAAGTCAAGACCGGGCACGAGGTACTTCTCACTACGTAGACGTTTAGCTTGTTCAAAATTATTAATTCTTGCGGATGTTGAACTTCTACCTCGTCCTTGTCGTCGTCTTCACACAACACGTGAGCCTCGTCTACATCTTCGAAATAGAAGCCCATCTTCTCTTTTGCATGTTGCTATGTTGACAGCCACTCGATGTCGATTCGTTGACGTTTTCAATTTCAAATACAGGTCATTTCCGGCGCGTCCCCGCAGAAGCACCGGAACGCGATCGTGCTGGAGGGTGTGAACCAAGCGTTCGGGGACGGGCGCGACAACCTGCTGATTCACGCCTTAATGCGCGAGGAGAACGAGCGAAAACAGAAGGAATCGGCGCCGATCATGTTTCAGCCGCCACCCGCGGATATCCTGTGTAAAAGTATCGTACTCGTATTGTAATCATGCATTACAATTACTTACAAATCTTTTTCTTAAGGTAAATCAGCATTACAGATTTCATTTCTCATGTTGAGGAAATTTGTAATGCATTTATACGAGTGCGATTATACTTTTGCAGTGCATAGCGGAGAGCGAAATCGAAAACGACCCGGAGTTCGAAAAAATGTTCGCGGAAAAAACGCAGCCCGATCCGGTCGCCGTCACCATCAGCATCGACAAGGATGCGGCGATCCGGGATTTGATGTGAGGACATTAAGGGAACTTCTACGGGCACAGCTCGTTGTTTTTATCGGGTGTGGTTGTCGTCCTTTCTGTCCAGGTCTGTTGCAAATGTGGGCTTGGGAGGTGGACGGCGGCGCACAACTTGATGTTCTAGGCTGCAACATCTGATCTTCTGTACCCGATACTTACTTACTAGATAAAAGTGATCGAGCCGGTTTCTTGATCCCGAATGATTTGGTCAACCATTTCGCGCAGAAAGCGAGGCTGTTTATTTGACAACGATTTTACTTTCACGGAGCCCTTCTATGGTCGCCCGATCGTCGTGTTTCGCTTTCTGCTGCTGTTTCGAACAAACGACAAATGTACCCATACAGAGGAAAAGTCCGAAATCATACTTTATTCTCACGACTGAGCTTCGTAAACGTGTTACCTATTGGAGAAGTGTTGCAGTCCGACGACTCCTCTGTGACGTATTCGAAGCTGTGTCTGTGAGTGTGGTCAGTAATAATCATCAACGATTTGTTTTCGATTTAAGCCACTGTAGGTTTCTCGGTAAAACATCGAGCGGCCAAAGTAAGAGTGAAGCCAAAAGCTATCAATTTCGTTGGTTCTTTCGTGTCGTGATTCACATGCTGCGCATGGTCAAAGAATTCGTCGCTATTAACTTGTGTGCGAGCGATAATCGTCGAAAAGCGCCGTCGAGTGACCTGTTCGCTGCCTCAGCCTCCGGGCGCAAGAACTACATGGGAATAAGCCACACGGCCTGGGCATCTGGCCGACGCTGCCTTTATTCTTGTGAACCCTACCTACTATCGAAGATAGACAAGATATAGTAAAACTGAAAGTCCCGCGAACAAGACGAAGATTTCGTCCTCATCGTCTAGACTATAGTATAGACAAGATGTTGCACAGCGCCAACAATCTGAGTTCGCGCAAGCGCCCCCGCGTGTGGGCGATGGACGTGGATGAGTTGGTGCCGGCGAGTCCCGCCTACGCCAAGTGGATCTACACGGAGTGCAAAAAGTTCGCGAAGACCAACCAGCACGAACTGGATCTGCTACGCAAGCGCATCGACTTGGAACACATCTTCGACGAGCCACTGCCCGAGGGAAGCAAAGTCTTTGCGGAGAACAAACGGATCGGGGCGCATGTGATGGTGAATAGCAAGGAGCAACAAGCTGCAAGTCGTGGCGTCCTCGCGAAGCGAAAAACTACAAGCAACTCCTCTCCGACGACCAAGGATCTTAACCCAAACCGCAAGCTGCATTCGCGTTCCCTAGTGTCAAGCTCTAGCAGTTCATCCTCTTCGTCCGCCGGCAGCGGCACCACTTTCACTGGAGCAGCAGGAGTCAGGGCGCATATGATCACTCCGGACAGTGTGACAACCAGTCGTCCCGGTTGTCCCGTGGATCTGCAGAGCTTCCACGAATACCTCGAGCGCGTCGAAAAAAAGCGGACTAGTGTTACAACCGGAGAAGAAGCCATCAATACGACCACGAGTGGGGCAAAGCGACAGAAACGGTTCACCCTGTTCTCTACGAGCCCCATGGCGCGTACACCCAGGGATGGGAATAAAGGTAGTTGGGCGAGTACAAATACGACGTGTACGAGAAATCATAAAAAAGTCACTTAGAAGCATCATCGTCTACTTTGAACAACCACTCGCGCCAGCTGCCTTTGCGGCATGCTACTTCTTTTTTTTGTACGCATTAAATTATCTCTCCCTTCAAATAAAAACTGTCGCAGGTACTGATGTCCATGTGGCGAAAAACTTCCTCGACGACGACGAGGACGATGAACAAAAGGCGACCACGCTGCAACCCCCCACGGAACCCACCGCACCAAAGTGCGGCGCCGGCGGGAACAAGAGAAAAACGACCTTCGGTGGATTTTTGCGCTCTACAATCACCCGCGCGTTTCCACTGCCCCCCGGCCGCAGGGCTGAGGCTAAGCGTGAAACATCGCCGTCGAAAGGAAATTGCGCAAGTGACAAGTCTGGGAAAGTTTTATCGGCGACACGACCAGACACAACACAGCAGGAAGAGGCGAAGAATGAAGATCCAGACTCAGTTTCACCCGCAGATTCCTCGGACGATGAGGTACTAAAGTTCCACACACCGGAGCCGTCTGAGAACAAAACCTCGTCGTGGAAAAGCAGTCGCAGGGCCGCTCGTGACTCCGCGACGACGACCGTGGAGGTAAAAACGAAGAAAATGAAGCTGGAAAAAGTTAAAGCACAAGCTGCAGATAATACAACAATTACAATAGAAACAGGGGTGGATAAAGCAGCAGCAGGTTCCTCGACTACCAGCTGTTTTTCGACTACGAACACTGGACCAGCTTCTTCATCCGCCGCTATCGACGTGCAGCAGAGCTCTACGCAGTTCACGCTCGACCCTTCGTCATCTTCTAGTGGTGGCGCCAAGCAAACTGCAGTAGAAACTCCGGATGTAGAAATGATCGAAACAATTGAAAGTCATGCCCTGGCAGCTACACAAGAAAGCGACTGGCAGAATACCACCGGAATGAAACAAAACGCCGAGACGCTCCCACTGGCTGATAAGAAAACACAACATCAAGCAGACCACCCGACCACTCCAGCCAGAACTGAAGAAGAGCAGCAGCACGACAAGAAAGATGATGCTGAAAAATCAGAACCCATTGACACCTTCCCCCCGCGGTACAGCGTGACGGGCAAGATTCTGGACGAAGACAGTTCCGCTACCTCCCTCCAAGACCGGTTTTGCTCGATGGCGAAGCAGAAGCGCAAAATGAAAGTGTGGGGCGATTTGCTGGAGCTGCACAAGCTCTGCGAGAAAAAGGCGAATATGACCCGCTCAGGTGTTACAATCTGGTCAAACGTGACAATAGAGTCTGGAAATCTGTGATGCAAGAGGTGCATTATCTACCAAACTCTCATAGGATTGCGCATGACAAGTTCCGGAGTCCCAAACCGCACTACAGTCCGGAGAAATTTGTATTGCAGAAAGTGAAATGCTGTCCCAGTCTGTGATGCTCGTCATGCAATACAAAATCCAGACTCTATTGTAACAGTTGAGATTGTAATGTCTGAGCAGGTCATAGCGAACCAGGGCGTCTTCTTAATTCACGCGAAGGAAAACGTCGACGGCATGCTCTCGTGCCAGAACGGTGGCGCGCCGCTTCCGGTACCGCGCAACGCTGAGGAGGCCATGTTCCTGCAAAATTTGGGTACGACCCCGAGCGAAACCATCTTCAATCTTCAGTACTCCACTCTGCGCCACTATCTCTGCGGGGTGCAAGGTACGATTTGAATTTCTGTTCTCGCGATGTTTCAACAACATCGACATCATGATGCCCTGACTAGAAATTGTAATTGAATCCTTATTTCACATTAACAAGTTGAGCTACAAATACAATAAAAGTTCATCCGACCGGAATGACAGGTTTCCCGGAAGAGAACGTCACTGTGTCTACCGAACGGGATGAGCGGCAGGGCAAGGAGCGGTACATCGAGTGGCACCTGACCAAACCGGGCCAGGACGAGGTGAAGGAAAACATCCGCAAGGAGACCATCCGCAAGAACGGGGGGGAGGAGAAGAGTCTCGCGAAACGCCTTGCGGTGACGGAAAAGTTTCGGGCTTCGTCCGAGGACGAGAAGAACAAAACCATCTTTGCAGTGGACGATTGGCAGCGGCACCTGCGTTATGCATTGCAAATATGTCTGGGTCTGGAAGATAGTAAGACTTCTCATGCTAGTTTGGCATGACTCTGAACTCTGTATTGCGTGGCATGACTCTGAACTCTGAATCTCCTCTTGTCTGTCATGCAAAAACGATGTTTCTCATGCGGAATACGCAACACAGAGCCACGAGGAAACTTGTCATGCTTGGCGGTGCATTACAGTGTGCTTCCTGTTCACTGACATGCATCACAAGTTTCCAGACCCAGACATATTTCCACTTGATGCGCGCGAGAAAGTCGGTCGCGTGCAGCTGCGCGTCTGGTTTCAGGGGATCCTATCCTGTGCAAAAACATCGTACTACCTAGTATAAATTGCATTACAAATTTTCTCAGCATGAAAAATTGAATTTTTCATGCTGTTTCAACTTGGAAAGGAAATTTGTCATGCATACATGCAAGTAGTACGAGTGCGATACTTTTGCACAGGATAGATCCAACCCAGACACAAACTGAAGCAGTGCCCCACGGACGTGTTTGAGTATACTTTTTTTGATCATGGAGACGTGTTCCTATCATGCCAATACTTACATGTCAATCCCCAGCATGGCTTTTGCTTGGATAAAATGGTTGCTGGTTGCAACTATGGGGGCATAAAACTACACCCGGATAGATACATACTATCCGCCGGTGACAGAGAGATACTACGGCTCTTGCAAATTCTGCGCTTCCAAATAGAAATCGATGCTGTCCGCCAATGAAAAAGCCTCAAAACAAAAAATCCCAGGTACATTCTGTCCTTCCTGAGTCCGGGGCCCGATGTGATTATGAACCCGCTGTATTTGTACACGATCTGCGCCGACCATCGCGATGAAGTCTACTACCAGGTCTCTGCGCACATCCTGTCCACTCTGGTCAACCAGGCGCGCCAGGGGGAAACCACATCCACCATCGACTTTCGCCTGATCGAAGACAACCGCCTGCTCGCGGCTGCGGAAGGCGCGCGCGTCGAGGTCGTTGCGAACTATTGTGCCGGGAATTCGAGGGACTGGAAACCCATGGTGCTCAAACTGGGATGGATCAAGGCGCAAAAGGATGTGGAATACATGGTATTTTTGGATTTGTCTTGATCTTGTTTTCCATTTTCGTCGGGTGCTAATGTGTGCTATAAGAGCCGTTTTTTAGGAACGAGTTGTACTAAGTACCGAATTACTTCTTGACTGGAGTAAATATGATTGAATTTGGAGGTCTCAGTGGTCTGAGTCAAGAATATAGAAGATCTTCAATTTCTACAACCATCCACATGTTCCCACCTTTCCCATTTCACTACAGGCCGTCTCCATTATGGCAATTTTGAAGAGTAAGAAGATGGGTTTTGAGTGCAAGTTGGTCCAGGGCACGCCGCAACGGCCGCAGTGTAAAGTCGAGGTGAATTGGGACCCAGAGAATCGCGGCCTCGTCAACCGGGCCGCCGAAGCGCCGGCGGTCGAGAATTTGATACAACGCGTGGAGGAACCAAGAATTGCCGGAATGGAGCCGCAAGTTTGAAGGGGACGAGTCACTACCAGCTACTTGCTTGTTCACGACGAGACAAAACATTGTACGAGTGTTGAGAGCCAAAAAAGATTTTTTATGTGAAATGCATTTTGCGGTCACTGACAGCCAGTTGGAATTAAATTATTGAGTACCAAGATCACTAACTAAATGTAGCAAACATTTTGTAACGTCTACTACTCTATGTCTATCTCTAGCCCCTCCCCCTTGAAGTTGCAGGAGCAGTACATTATCATTAGTGAACTTTCTGAACTTGTAGACACGGCTGCCCGAGGACAACAGAGCGAGATTCTGTCCTCGACCTCGTCGTCGTGGCATAGATATTAAGTATACACGAACTCCATCAAACCCTTTTGTAATCAAATCGAATTAATGAACTTCTTTGCCTTTCTCTTTTTGTAGTCTTCAACCATATTTACCTATTGTCCACAGAGACAGAATGAAAGATATTGTGATAAAAAAAACAAACAAATCAAGAAGCTTTTCAATAGTTTGGTACCACCCTGGTGACATCAATAATTTGTACAGAACTTCTTCTACCTAGAACTTTTATTTTTGATCTACCCTATGCCTATGCCTATCGCTATCCCGCGTGGGTGTGCTGACCAACGCAACGATTTTTCTAGCAACGTCAGTAACTTCTAACAAGGTCAAGAAAAACAGCACCTGGTCTACCATTCGAGTAGATTGATTGTGAACTTCCATTTGCCAAATGTAAAATTGATGATCAAGATGAACTTTCTTTAGCCTCTCTTACTCTACTTGTCCGTCGAAGATGTCGTTAGGTTTCTGTATGATGTTGGGCGAACGCATTAGTGGTTGATGTTGAACTTCTCTGATTTGAACTTTATATTTGTAGCGAGGCGGTCACGGAAGATTCATGCAGATCCTCAATCGGGACCGAAGCCGATGTGAGACCGCGGACAGACCTTCATGCGCAAATCGAGCATGGCCGCTGGATGAAACGGCTTATGCCAGCAGCGTGTTCCTGCTCGCTCTGGATTTGTTTCAAATTCAAATGCGAGAAAAGTCGTGAGTCCTCTACCTCCGTCGTTCAATCATTCATTGAAAGAGGCTTCAAGTGGTGCAATCGAGAGATTATTTTCGTCTTCAATCTGGAAGAGCGGTTCGATTCGTACGGTCAACAGGTCGCTGTCGGTTTACACCTCTGTAGTCGTTGTTGAGTCGCCTTCCATCGGTTCGCTTTCGGTTTTGTAGTTTCGTGCGACGCAAGGGCACGCCAAGTAAGGCATGCGGCGAAAAATCCTGATCGTTTGATATCGCTTTCGCTTCTAGTTCTAGTACTACGTACATCACAACTCGTTCGACATAATTTATCGACGTGCTAATGCTTGGTATCTATAAGCACAGAGCACTGCACAACTCGTTGTAGTAGCTAAGTACGTTCATCGTCTGATGTTGATGTAGAATATCAAATCTTGTCTGATGTGACAAGAATTTGAATTTGCTACGACAAAAACGCTAAGCGAAAAACGATGACACCGCAAAAATGACCTTCAAGTTCTTACGAAGGACAAGGAGTGCCTACCACCATATAGCGAAAATCGAAATCCACTAATGGTTGACGCGACGACCGCCGAAAATGAGGGCGAAATCACCGTCCCGCCAACTGTTCCCGTCCGGTTCTATCGTCTGGTGGCACCGAAAGGTACGCCCGTGGTGAACGATGCTAGCGTCCAGCCGTATCTCGAATACGACGACACCCGGTTGTTTCTGCCGATCCGGCCACAAGGGGCGACAAGTGCGAAGGATGTTGTAGAGGGGAATGCGATAAGTCCGGAGTTGGAAACAGTTGTGGACAAAGAGGACACGACCTTGGGGACTACAGCAGCGGGGAAAGTAGCTAGTACCGGGGGCGACGCCAAGCAAGAGGATGAGGAGTTTGAGCGGCACATCCAAGTTCCCAGCGAGTTCGAGGAGGACGAAGGCGTCGAGGAGAATGCGACAAAGCCCGATCCGGACGACCTCGTCGCGGAAAGCAGCGACTTGGGGATTGGGGGCACCACTGGAACTGGTACGGGAGATCCGACTTCTAGCAGCACATATCCACGTGCAAAAGTATCACGCTGGTACTAATCGCAATCACGCATGACAAGAGCGGTGCTAATCGCAATCATGCATGACAAGTTTTGCTTTTCTTCCTCGGAAAATTTGTCATGCGATTAAACTAGTACGGGATGCTTTTGCAATGCATAGTGCCGCAACCGCAACCATTTCCACAGACGAGGACGAGGCAGAGCAGGAAGAACAGCTCGAACAATCCGTCACGAAAAATGCGCACGCGAAAGCGCGTCTGAAGAAGCACCAACTGGCGCTCCAGGAAAAAGCGGCGGAGGAGGCTGCGACGCAGAAGGCGGTGGCGAAGCAGAAAGGGCAACCACCGAAACTGTTCCTCGCGTACCCCGGTCGTGCGCAGCAGGGGGGCACCGAACAAGAACCGGAGGAGGATAACTTCCAAAAGTGCAGCAGCAACCACTTTCCGAAATTGTGGGCCAACAACGCCCTGACGCAGCACGCGACGCGGACAGGCGTGAACCCACTGGTTTACGCACAGATCCGGCAACAGCGAGTGCCGGACGCGGAGAAGAAGGAAGCGACCCTTGCTTCACGCCAGCGACCGGAACTTGGTGCGTGCGTGGCGGACGGGGAGAGAAATGAGGAAAAAAGGAGCGAAATTGCGGCTGAAGAAAAAGGAAAGCTGGACAGTCTCACGGACGAGGAAGAAGCGGCTCTCCGCAAGCGTTGGGAGAAGCTCAACCCGACCGCGACCGAACTTTTCTGCGCCAGGCCCGACCGCCAGATCGCCAAAGGGGCCTGTCCTGGCGCTGAGGATGACGGTGAATCTGCCGCATCTGCCGCGAAAGAGAAGTTCTTTGATTTTTTCAACCGGAAAACCCGCACGGCGGTTTCCGCAGGGAAAGACGGCCCCTTCTGCAGGTGGGACGAAACGCAGCCCGCGCGGGACATCGGCTACTGCAAAGTTGCAGTCGAAAAACATTTGTCCATGCTCCAAGAGTTGCAGAAACAGCTATCCTGTGCAAAAGTATCGCACTCGTAGTAATCGCAGCCACGCATGACAAACACAAACCCAACACTCTGCCTGTTATAGCATTACAAATTGCATTTTTGTTCATGAGGGAATTTCTGATGCAATTCATACTAGTGCGATACTTTTGCAATGCATAGCAGCGAGCAAAATGCGAAATCCTCGATGCCGAGTCGGAATGTGCGGACGAACCAGCTTGTCACTGGGATGAGGAAAACCAAGAATGCGGCGCGACCATGGAACTGCAAAGGCGCAAGTGCGAAGCGCACGGAAAGCCAACTCATCTTCCAAGTGTGTCAGCGGTAGGAACAGAAAACAAAATCGGTGAAACTAATGCATCAAGCACAGAAGACGGTGTTGAAGGCGAACAAGAAGAAAGCGCCGACCTGGAAACTGCTTGTCTGAAGGACCAAAATTGTGGCTTCGTCAAAGGCGAGGGGTCTGAGAACCCCGACCGGTGCGTTTTGAAAAGGTTCGCGCCTTTTGAACGGCCTTACCCGTGTCGGGAACACCATACTGCGGAGGCGTGCGGAAAAGAGCCTCAGTGCTTCTGGGAAAACTTGTGGAAGGAAGAGCCTGAAGGTATTGCTATTCAAGTTCAAGTAGTGAAACCCTGATGAAGATTCGCGGTCAGTAAACCTAAAGAAAATCGTATCTATTCGCACCTTATTTTTCATCACGGAAAACAAATCATTCCCTTCCCATCAGTTCCACCGCTTCGCTTCCCGCCCTCCTTCCGGTCGGGGCTGGAGGAGCTGGGGTTAATCGACGCTGAGTCCGATTTGAACAATCCGCCGAAGATGGTGCATTTCGGGAAGTGCGACGTGGAACACTTTTCCCCCTCCGTCGTTGTACCACCCCCGGCGCCCCCTCCGGCAGGGGACGGAACAGGATCTACCGAAGGATCTTCTTATAAAAACGCCGACAAAGGAGCCGAGGCTGCTGTATCGACTGACGCGACTGCAGCGGCGGGCGGGGCGGAACAGACGACAACCACGGATGTTGCTGGCGCGAAAACTGCAACAGAAACGACAGGAGGGGGTGACACAACTTCGACTTCCAAGACTGTTGCCAGCGGAGAGATAAACTCTGCGACGACCATGCTCGAAATCGCTCGCACGCGGAATAAAGAGCGAGGGCGTGTTCGCACCTCCTTTCAGCTGCAGCAACATGAAGGGCTGTTTCTCTTCACCAGAAACAAAGCAGAGCAGAACATCTTCACGGGTTGTTGTCAAGAAGAGGGCGATAAACGACCACAAAATTGTCTCCCAAAGACAACCAGTACCAGCTTTGTCGAAGCCTCTGTGAACCCGTATCCCGAAACGGATCCCTTCGATACCGAGGACGGCCTCGACGCCCGCCGTGAGGAGGAGGAGGACGCCGAAATGGATGCGCAGGACGACCACGAAACGAACGCGGACGAGGAGTTCACCGACGAGGAACTAGACCGCGCGGCACAACAAGCAAAAGAAGACGCAGCAAAGCAGGCCGAAAACCTGAAGAAATCGGGTACATCTTCGAAGGAGAAGTCTCTGCTGGCGAAATTGTTCGGATTCGGTGGAGGTGGCTCGTCGGGGGATGACGTTGGAGGGAATGACGAAATTGATGAAGCCGCAAGTACTTCTAGAAACGCTGTCAAGAAAAAGGCAGTGCTGCGGCCGATGAAGAAGTTTGACTCCTATTGGGTGGTGGAGTCGAGGATGCGAAATCAAGATTTGATGGCCCAATTACCGGAGGCACAACTGCAAGGGGCCGCCGGAACGCAGATTGGCGCCGCTGCGGGCGACACGGATGGAAATAGTGGGGTGACTGCGACGATTGAGAACGGTAATGGTGGAAACGCTGCTGGAGCAGCAGTTGCAGGCAATGCAGTAGGTAGCTCAGGCACAGCCTCAGCATCATCGGTAGAAAGCTCAAGTCTTCTGGAATTGATGAAAGACCGACCCGGCGGGGACGAGAACTATGGATCGTCATCGTCCTTCCTTAATGGGGATAAAGATAGCAACAAGGTAGATGAAACGTCAAAAACAATATTAACAGAACATTCCGAAACCGAAAAATCAGCTGCGCATAACCACCCATCCGTTCTCGACACGACCGAAAAGCCCCTGCCGCTACGCGCGCAGCCCAGTTTGTTCAAGCGGTCGGATGTTGCGAAGCAAAAACTGTTGCGCAACCTCACTGCTCATAACGCGTATTTCACGCAGGGAGACAGCCCGTACCCGGACACTGTCCGGCTGCTCCCGCGGAAGCGAGCCGGGAAAGAGGAGCTGGACCTCACGGAGGAGCCAACCAGCCTTTCTCTGGTCGGACAAACCCTCGGCCGGCAACCGGGCTATGTACACGGTGTGTGCCGGTCGACAACGATGCTGAACGCACAGACGCGGGGCGAAACGGAACTTCCGAAGTCGATTGAGGAAGCGGAGAGTAGGTGCAACAGCATCCGGACCGAGCCCGCCTGTGCGAACGAGTGCGAGTGGGTTTTGCCGGCCGGCGGAGGGAAGAACGGGAAGGGAGTAGCAACCGGAGGTGGCGAAGATGTGGCTACAGCTCTCGGCGTTGCGGCAGCAGCGGGAAAAATGGAAGTTGCAAACGAAGCAAAGCCGAATAATCCTGCTTCGGGCGTCGACAAGGAGGGGCAGGGGGGCACTGGTCAAGCCGCAGATGCTGAAGGAGCGACCACCACTTCTACAGAAAACGGTGATCATCACCCTCCGTCAGCAGGGCCAGCTGCCACACTGCCCGCAAAGAATCTTCCACCTGCACCTCCCCAGGGCGTGTGCAAGTTCCAACCCGACGTGGCCCGTGAGGGCTGTGAAACCGCGACCCGGGAGAAGGACTGCGATCCGGAAAAGTGCGGCTGGGTCCCGCGGGAGGTGCAACCCGGCGACTGCCACAGTGTGTTCGGAGACAAGGATGAGCAGCAGTGTGTACAGTTTCACAACGAGGAGGACTGCAATTTGGACGTGAATTGCCTGTGGAAAGCCCGACTGTTGGAGGAGAGATTTGGGGTGTGCAAGCTGAGAGCGACCGAAGAGCAGTGCAAGGACCTGGACTTCGAGCCCTGCGAGCACTCGCCGTTTTGCTCTTGGGAGAAACGGGAAGGTGACGACATGCGGACCTGCCATGTCAGCAAGCAGATGGACGCGACGTGTTTCAAGTTCGAAAACGAATTTGCCTGCAACAACGCGACCACGACCGGGAAAAACGCGCATCTGAAGGTCTGCGAGTACGACAAGGGGCAGCGGCGCCCGGACCCGGGCAATTGCAAATGGAAGATCGACTTGGTCCGGAAAGAGTGCAACAAGCTGCAGGAGTCCGAGGAAAAGTGCGTTGGAAACAAACATTGCCGATGGACAATTCCCCACGGCGGTTGCACGTACATGCGCAATTCGAGAGACCGGGAGTTGTGCGAGCGCACACCGGAGACGGTGAAGCATGGAATTGTGGACTTGCCGGACCACACGCTTCCACACACCACCGGGCTGGACCGGTTGAGTTGCCGGGGAACCGACCACGATCGAGTCACCGGGCAGCCGACCTGTGCGTGGTTTGATCCGGTCCGGCAAGCCCAGAAAACGTCGTGCAAGATCAACCGCGACACGATTGGGTCCTTGACAAACCCAGCGGAACTGAAGGAGGCGGAGGAGATGTGTGCGGGGAAGAAAACGGACGCCGAATGTAGCCGCGTGCCCGCCTGCGAGGTGGTCGACGAGCGGAAGCACGTGTGCCGGTACGAGCGGGACGCAATCAGCGACGAGTGCTATGATCTAAACTGGAAAACGGAACAGGAATTGAAGACGATGCTGCCCCCAGAGCGTGGCGAAGAAGAAGATGCTGACATTAATCAAACTGCTAATGTCGAAAACCAAGCCGAAGCGGAAGGTAAGAAAGCAGCAACAATTGCGGAGGCCTGCACGGCAAACAAGAACTGCGCTTTCGATCCGGCGAGGAAGCTGTGTCACTCGAAATACGAGGCGGCGCGAACCAAGTGTGCCGCTGCGTTTGACTTGCCACTTACATCAGTACCTCGTCCCGCCGAGGAAAGTGACAAAGCGACAGCAGAGACCGCGGGTGAGACGGATCCTGCAACCCAAAATCCTAAAACTGGAACTGACGGTGCGGCAGTTGTCCAGCACGAGGACGACCACGCTGCCGCCAATCAGGAGGATGAGTCCGGCCTAGCACGGTGCGAGCGGGCGGGCACCAGTTGTACCTTCGTTCCCGATGTGGGAAACACGGACGGCGACGGCAAGGCCAGCATGCAGCTTTTGCTGAAAACCGCACAGGAGTGCGACGCACAGCGGCAGAAAATCAACGCGCTGCTGCTGCCAAACGCGCCCGTCGCGAACCTGGACGAGCTGGACTTGCAAACGAAAACCACCTCCAGCCTGGCCGGCTCTTGCATCCGAGAAAACATGTTTGCGCACAAAGCCTACGTGAATCCGGTGGTCGGCCAGCACGTTCTGCCGTTCTACCCGAACCTGTCCGGGTGGGTGCCGGCGGAGGAGGACGGAGAGGAAAATAAGGCGGGCGCTGGAAGTCGTGCCGGCGGCGGGGATAAAACTGAACTACAGCAGCTCCCTTCGGGAAGTGGGGATGTCGAGAACAGCTCCAACGCTAGCCAACAGCAGACTGGCGATGAGCTACATTTTGAAGAGGACGACATAGATGCGACCCCCAACACCTCGCCCACGGATCCCTTGGGCCTAGACACGACAACGCTTGAGAAATCCGAGGAAACGAAGCATCCCGAGCAGACCTCCCACACGACCGAGCCGCAAATTATCCACCAAGAGATAAACCACCCAAAACTTGGCACGTGCCACACCACCACCGCGCGCGTGCACGCGGACGGGACGGAGGTTCTGCGGCACTTGCGGAGAAATTTTCGCGAGTTTGACGGGGGCTACACGGACCTTGCCTACAACCAGGCCTGGCGGCGGCGGAACAGCATGATATATGCATTGCAAAAGTAACGTACTAGTATAAATTGCATTACAAATTTTCGCAAGAAGAAAAGTGGAATTTGTAATGCTGATTTACCTTTGGAGGAAGATTTGTCATGCGTCTTTGCTCTCTAAGTCAGCTCGGGAGTCGCGTCTGAATGTTCTACAAGTTTGAGAAATGCACCTCGTTGGCCGTTTGAAAAGCACATCACTGCAAGACTTTGCCGGCTGCTGAAAAGTACAGCAGTCCAGTGCAGTAGAGTTCTAAATCTGAAACAGAAACAGGAGAGAAAAAAAAAAAAAAAAATAATAATAAAAAGAGAAGCCGGCGAGAAGATTCGCGCGACTTGGTGCGTTCGTCCCAAAGCCTCGCCATCGCTCTCAGAGCCTTCAAAACCTGTCCAGCTAGTGGATCCATTAAGCGGCCGACGAAATTGATACAACTAAGATCAGCACAGGAGCACTCAGGCAGATCACGAGGCAGGGCGGGGAATCAAAAGAAAAATCACAAGAAAAATCACAAGAAAAAAGAAAATCAAAAGAAAAATCAAAAGAAAAATCACAAGAAAATCAAAAGAAAAATCAAAAGAAAAGTCAAAAAGTAAAGAAATCGACGGCGTGAATTTCGGTGCTTGGACTCCAAACCTCGAGTTAGGTGCCAGGCCCCCGGCCCTTCGGCTTCGCGGCTGAGGGGCTGGGTTTCGTTGTGATTGAAGTTCCTGCCGGTGCGCAGCAATGTGAATCCGATTTGCTTGCTGCTGCTATGTATGCTTTGTATGTTTCCTGCCGCCTTGTAGTCGTTATTCAGCACTTTGTCTTTGCCGCTCTTCGTTCGTTTTGTCCAAGGAGCTAGATCGCAAATTCGTGCGCTCCTTCGCCTTTGAAAAATTAGATCTTCCCTGTGCCCGGTGTTGTCCCACGTATATGTAGGTCTCTACCCTTTTACAGTCTTGTGGCCTTCGCACTTAGTCTTGCTTGATCCACGTCTTGTAGCGCTAGGCGTTCCGCGGACCCCGCATCCTCGCAGGGGCTTCTCTTTTTTTTTCCGCCTAGCCAGCGGATTGTTGCTTGGGGGGTGCTATTAGCTTTGCAAAAACAAGTACGCTAGTTTTTTACAACCGTCTTAACAGCCGCAGGCTTGCATCTGCGGCTATCGCCACTCTGCAAACGCCCGGTGTAATTTTCAAAAAACAAGATCTGCCTCGCTGCTACCGGGGTTAGGACGTGCCTCATTCAGGGCGGGCGGTAGCTAAATGCGGACCTGTGTGGGCTTAAGTTTTCTGAAGCGTGCACACAGTCAGTAGCGTAACGCACTAGCTTAATCATTTTTGACCGTTTTACGAACTTCGTGAAAAGACCGGGGNTGTTTATGCTAGCAAAGGGCTAGTGCGCTGTGGACCCCCAGGATCAGGTAGACGAGGTCCCAGACCGAAGTGGTAGGCGCTTAGGGTGAACTATGTATGTAGCGCTTAGGGCCCTTCCGTACGGCCAATTTGTATGCCCGCAACGGGGTTCGCCTAAGTCGGTCATTTATATGCAAGGCGTTGGGTTACCCGGTCGGCAGAGCCGATCCACAACGAACGAACGAACGTCTTTGCAATCAATACGAGTGCGATACTTTTGCACAGGATAGAATCCCCGTGTTGGCGAAGGATTACCACGTGCTGGAGGTTTTCAAGGGAGTTCTCGACGGGCTCGACGAACTGCACAAAACCAAGTGGACGAAGAACGAATTGGCGCATTTTTTCGGCGGGAAGAAGTTTGTTCCCAAGAATAAACCCATGATCGGGATGCAGCACCGAGACTTAAGGCCGCGCAACCTCGTCTGGAAGGACAGCAAGCCGAAGTTTTTTGCCGCCGACGGGAGCGCCGAGGCGGCCGCGCCCTTGGTCGGTGGGAAGAGCGGGCTGCAAAGCGTGAAGCTGTTCGGCTTCGAAAACTCAAAGTTGCTCGGCACACGGGTCGATTTCGTGCGCGACGCCTACGCGAACTTCGTTGCGCCGCCGAAGAGTCGCGAGGAAGAGGGGAAAAAACGGAGCGGCGGAATGGGTGGAGGCATTGCTGGTGGAACAAAGGAAACTGGCGAAGATTCCTCCTTCTTCACAGAAACGGGACGGCAGAGCAGTCGAGCAACAAGGCCGGAGAAAGAAAAAGACATGGCGTCGAAGCTTCTTCCCGCTGCAGTAACAGCTTTTGACGAGGAGAAACCCGCTGCAACCATCGTGGACACAGCAGGAGCTGCGGATAAAGTTGCTGTAGCCGCGGAACAAGGCGCACAAACAGCAGGAGGTACAGGAGCAGCGACAAGTTCAACGAATCGAACTGGAGAAGGTGAAGAAGAAGCCGACGGTGCTGCAACGGACGAACAGAACACGAGAATAGCTGCAACTGATACAACTAAAACCGCGGATGAAGATCCTGCTGCTGCTGCTGCTCCTCCTCCAAAAGTATTGGCACCAAAACTGCTCCACGCGGTGCATTTGGAAGGCTCCGACCACGAGGCTCCGGTCGGGCCTGGTGTGCTCTTCCCCGCCGGCCCGGAAACCTACCACGACGGGGTCAGCAGCGCGCAGGAAGACTACCACATGCTGGGACACACGATGATGCGCTACGCCTGTCTGTTCACAGACACAGACTACAAATTTTCGAACAGCCTTACCTTCGGCAACGCCGTGCGTTTGGCGTCCGGTTTACCGGATCCAGCTGTGGAAAGGAAAAACCCCGGGGCGGCAAAAAGGTTGCAAGACTATGTGGGAAGTTTCTTTGTCGAGAAGGGTCGAGAGCGGGTAACGTCGCCTGCGTTTGGTGCTACAGGTGGTAGAGCCAGTGCGAGTAAGCGGACCGAGTTTTTGCCGGCTGCGGGAAAGAACAGCAACGCTGGTAAAAACGTCAAGAGTTCGCCTAATAGCGGAAGCGGTAAGATGAAATCACCGAGCAGCTCCTCTTCATCGATGCTGTCGAAGAAGGCAAAGACAGAAAGCGGGAACAAGGAAAAGAACAACAAAAAAAGCAGCAGCAGTGGTACTTCACATGCAGTCGAGCATGCACATGGACACAAGAACAAACCTCAAGCGGATCGGAAGTACCCCCACCGTCGGCCTTCAAAGTTTTCCATTCCTGGCACCTCTCACCATCGCCATGTGGGCACGAATCGATTTTTGACAAACAAAACTGGTTTGCGCAAGAAGAGGCGGATAGGACAAATTCTGGGGCAACCGTTTATTTCCGCCAGCAAGCCGGGGATAGCTGCAGATGAACACAGAGCTCGTACTACGAAGCATGCAAACCCGCACCACGCGAAGAAGAAGAAGCCTGCTTCTCACAAGTCGTCCGCACTGGAATGGCCTACTGCTACTGGGAGAACGAAAAATGGGGTACAGAAAGCTACAAAGTCGGATTTTTCCAGCACTGCTGGTTCCTTTCTGGAGGTCCTATCACAAGAACCCACGAGCAGTAGAGCAGCAAGTGGAGGCTCCACTACGTCATTCGCTCTAGGGAGTTACGCAGGGGCTCTTGGTTCTGCAACATCCCAGCTGCCATCCGTTACGGGTTCGATCCCTACACTACCGAGCGGCCTGCCGACTTCGTTACCCGGCGGAATACCACAGATGCCGGGGATGCCCGGAGTGCCGGGGATGCCCGGAATGCCGGCGATGCCGCAGTTACCGAGCGGAATGCCGCAGTTGCCGACTGGAATGCAACAGCTCCCAGGAGTCCCCGGCGCCGGCGCCGCGCCGGCGGATTTCACAAACTGGCTCGCCTCCGGTTTGGGCGTGAACGCCGACCCAGGTGCGTTTTTTTCGGAGTTGAAAGGGTACATGCCAGGAAAACCGAACGTTTCGCTCTCAAACAAATTCAAACGGAAACCGCCCGCACCCCCGGGCGACGAGACGCACCACTGGGACCCCTTGTTTCCGAAACAGGAGCAGCCGGACGTTGTTCCCTCCAATACGATGCAGCACCAGCGGCTCCCGGAGATCGGGGGGCATGCGGACGTCTACCTGTGTCCACGGGAACCCTTTGATAGTTATTCGACGCGCGTTCCCGTGCTCACCGGGCTGACAAATTTGATCGCTTCCTTGCGTCGTACCTCGCACCCCAGCGCGAACAAGGCCCGGTTCTCGGTGCCGCCTCCGCCGAAGCGCATTCGAGCCTGCGTGACCGATTTGATGAACCGCACGAAGCAGGCACTGACGCTCCTCGCGAAGCTCGACTCGATGGAGCTGCAACAGATCCAAAACCCAGCCAAGGCAGCGGTAACTGAGAGTACAACTACGCAATTCCTAAAAGTCTACAATCGGGAGCACATCCTGCAGCAAGCTCTTACTCCCCCGCCCTCTTGTCGATTCGACTTACGAGCGCTGGGACCAAGCCCGATCAGTATGAAGGCGGGCCAACAGGCGTTTTGGCCCAGATACTTGGACTACATGACCTGGTTTGCAAGTGGGGAGCAAGGAAATCCAGTTCCGGACACGGACGTTCATTGGGCCCTGCCATTGCCGGAAGAACAACTACCCGTGGTTGACCCAACAGTGGCAGACTTGGCCACACAGGTTGCTGCGTAAAAAAGAAGGCATAGTTTGAGTAGACATAGTTGGCTTTGTCTTCTACCGAGTACAGAACAATAAGCACGGTTTTTTTGCACTTCGTTGTTGGGGCGAGAACATTGCAAGCCTGGACACGTTTCGCTTTTTCGGACGTGTGTCCACATGATGAGAGCATGATCCAGTACTCAGGTTGTTTCAAAAACATACAAGCACAATGTTCAGGCTCTTGCCTGGGACGCACTCGCACAAATGTGCGTCGGTATCTAAAGTGAAAGAACGCACCTTCGCCCGCCCACATGTGGCAATCAATCTTCACGGTTCGGAATGGCTGTAGTGACTGTTGTTGAAAGCGAACAGTTCACAGGTGCACATGGGGAAAAAAGAAGAACGCAGCATCTTTAGGGGGAAGAGGAAATCACACACAAACTTCTTGGTCGTCGAGCGTACTGCAAACGAGAGTTGTTGAGTATAATGTGAAACACCGGATATGAGATGAGCGAGTTCTTGTGCTTGTCAAGTGGAAAAACGCACTCAAAAAGTATGGCTATGAGCGCAAATAGAGTCCATGTTGACTGGGGAAAGAAGCACTCATGCCGTTTCAGACCACATACATGGCCATCGGAGTAGAATGATGGAGGGTCAACATTATTGAAGGACACATCAAGCGCTCTAGTATGGTCGTCCTCAAGTAATTATCAAGCTTCGGAAGTACCCTAATATTCTGCTGCGAATACATAGAACATCTGTTGGGCCGGTCGTGCGAGCAACCCACCGAAACAACCTGAAACACAATCAACATGCGGAGTCTGTTCTCGTCAAAGCGGCGCGCGGGTACCGACCTACCGACGCGGCTGGCTGTGGAGGAAGACCGTTTCGGGCGTCGTGGTTCTTCGTCTAGCGCGTATATTTTTGCATGTATTGAATCTACTACGCATAAAGATAAACTCATCAGCAATCTACTTCATCGTCCTAGTGCCTCTTCGTCTTGTTCATTTCCATAAATACAAACAAGATTTAGTGTATGAGCAGGCGTAGTTGTTGAAATGGCTGTAATGCGCCCGGCGCAAGTCCAGTTGCTCCTTTGAAGACCATCCATGCGGTTTTTAGTAGATCAGTTGTATCTATGCACCGCACATGCACCTGGTGTTTCTGTCCGGGGCGCTTACAGAGCCACTTGCTGGGTCCTCGTGTGGCATGGGTTCTGAACCTTTTCCAGCCTCCGCCCGCTGTGCTTTCGTCGACGTCGTCGGCTCCACTTCTAGAGAAAAACAAACAATATTTTCATCGAGTAGACGACAGCACTACTTGTACTTCTAAAAAAAGGTATGGCGCCTTCGCCGCGGATGACCTGGACCGGCCGATGCCCCCTGCTGCCAACAGCTACGCAGCCTCGGGCGCGGCCGGTAAAACGGGCAGCGGGTATTTTTTGGCTCTAAGGTCGTGTCTACTCAGATACTCGTAGCAGAGCAGAGCTGGTGGGTCCATGAAACAGGCCAGCGGGGCGTCGATGCTATGCCTTGTTTAGTCCTTGCTTGGAATAGAAGTTCAAGTCGAGAAATAGTTGCACGACTGTATTTTGAGGTTCATTTCACTTCGTCCGACGAGGTTCTAAAACCACATGACCGCTCCGACAAAAAACTACATATTAAACTCCACACAGTGTTCGCAATGCTCTCATTTCGATGCACGCACAGCGGGTGGGCGAGCGCGAGTCCAGCGGAGGCAGCCGCGGCTCATCAAAGGAAGAGCCTTTGCACAATCGCAAGTCGCAAATACCCAACATCATGGATTCCGTGTACAGTGGCAGTAGAACAGGCGCCGGAGGTACCTTGTTGGTTTCCCACTTGAGTATTTGGTTATTTTTGCCTCTCAGCACTGGCAGTGTGAGTGTGGTTCTGGTTATCGTTATTTGAACAGAAACAAATAAAGTTAAAGGCTGTGCAGGAGAGAGAATAGTCAGTACTACATCACCACGGACCAAGATGATCGAGCACCTCTTTCTTACAGGCGTCTCCGCCCCGTCTGGCAGCCGGTATGCGAGCCGCGGCACCCGCGCCGGGCAACCAGGGCTCCCGCCAACCGGTGCGACGTCCGGCCTGGCCGCCGCCGGGGGAAGCAGACGTGGCACCCCGCCCGAGCACGATGTTGGAGTTGTGGACCCAGGAAGTGGCTCCAGCTCTGCGTACAACGTGCGATCTGCGTATTACGACCGCGACATTGCCGCTAGGATGCGGCACGTGGATCCCAATGTACTGAATCTCCTCTCGGACAAGAGCTCGTCGGCCAACACAAGAAGGCTCCGCGAGCACGAAGAGAAAATCAGCTCCGCGTCCAGCAGCCGCAGAGGCAGTAGGACGATCGATCCGCGAGATCAACAGTTGCTGCAACGGCAACAGGCCGAGGACGCGCACGAGCGACAGCTGCGGGAAATCTACGAGCGGCAGCAGGAGCGCGACCAGATCCACCGGCAGCGCATTGCGGCGTCGATTCGCGACAGCAATCCGTACGAAGTGGAATTACCGTCGTCTTCCACAAAAATCGTCAAGCCGCACTTGTTATCGTCCGGCGATCCCCACACGGACAGCACGCGCTCAACCACCAGCAGCTCGACACGCGGGGGTGGCGGTGACCACATTACCGCGTCCGCGAGCAGCAGTGCGGCGAGCCGCTTTCGGGAGTCGCAGTTGAGGCAGCCGACGAACTACCGAGCTGGTGGTGCCGAGCAAATGGAACAACAGTACAACACTAGCTCTAGCGCATCTTCATCAATAGCAACAAGACCTGGGATGATGCGCTCCTCACTCGGCGGGGCACATCCCGGGGTTGGCCAGCACCGAGAAGCGGAACATCGCATGGCTGCGAGTAGCGGCTACGATAGCAATAATTCTGGCAGCGGGGAAATCGCAGCGTCGAGTAGCAGCAGCAGATCGCCGTTTACGAATTGGAGCAGGACCATGATTGGATTGCGAAATTTGGGCAACACGTGTTTCTTAAATTCCTCCATCCAGTGCCTGCTTAGCATACCGCAGCTGCAGGTGAGCACTACTTCTTTTGGTATGTTTCTACGTTTAGATGTCGTGATGGCAGCTCTTTTGAACCTGCACCTGCACGAGTTCGCGTCTTGTTCTAGACGTGTAAAGATAAAAGTCAACTCAATGAAACTACGATCCAGGCCTATTTTCGCGAGCGCTTCACCGACGGAGATTTGAACGACCGCACCGCCCTATCGAATGCAAATATGTCTGGGTCTGGAAGAATGTGAGATCTGTCATGCAGTTTTTGCCTGACCCAGATCGTCTGGCATGCAAGCTCTAGCATGATCGCAGATTTTGAGCAGGTACCCCAATGCCTGATCCGCATGACAAACCCCGTCTTTCGGATTCGGTAACAAGAACTGGGGTCTTTTGCTAGCCATGCACGACAGATTTTCTCATGATGTAGACTTCGCATCACAAATTCGAACTCTTTCAGACCCAGACATATTTGCAATGCATACGCCCCCCTAAAAGGCCGCCTCGCCCGGGAGTTTCACGCCCTTTTGTCGGACGTGCACCAGAGCCGCGCCGGTGCGGTGCTCTCCCCTATCAAATGTAAAAATGTCTGGGTCTGGAAGAATGCAACCCGTCATGCTAAATCTGAAGCATGCAAAAATCTGTGTTGCATGATTGCCAAAAGTCGTCCAGTTTTGACCAAGTCGGGAGGCAGCTTCTCATGCAGGATAGGCATGAGAAAGACCGCGCAGAATCTGTCGTGCTAGGTCCTGCATTCCAGACCTCATGGGTCATGAAAAAGCTGCATGACAAATCGCGCACTCTTCCAGACCCAGACGTTTTTACATTTGATATCCCCCGCCGGCCTGCGGAACCTGTTGATCCGTCACGCGCCGCAGTTTTCCGGGTACCAGCAGCAGGACTCGCACGAGGCCCTGCGGTTTCTGCTGGACGGGTTGCACGAGGATCTGAACCGGGTCCGGGCGAAGCCGAAATACCAGGAGATGAAGGACATCAAGGGCGAATCCGTGGACGACGCAGCTTTGCGATGGTGGAACTACAGCATGAGCCACGGTAACAGTCCGATGACGGACATTTTTGGCGGGCAGCTGATGTCGGAGACCAGGTGCGGGACCTGCGGCCACAAATCCTGGACCTTCGACGTGTTTCTGGACTTAAGTTTGCCGATCCCGCACGTGCGCACGGATCAGGTGGACTTGCTGGACTGTTTTCGGAGTTTCACGGCGGTGGAGACACTGGACGCCGACTACAAGTGCGAAAACTGCAAAAACAGGAAAAACATGAGCAAAAGGCTCACAATGTACTTATAAAAATTCATTCGTTGGTTTCTTTTTATTTTTGAAGCAGGAAGGCGAATGATTTTTGCGGTATTGGTCTTAGATTCCAGAATGGGTCGTCGTAAGTGCAAGTGCAAGTCGGGAGCCATCATCTCGCCTCGTTTTGCATGCGTAGACTTTCTCTACTAGCAACATCTTTGTTCCCAGATACAAGCCTCCGCGCGTGATGGTTGTGCACATGAAGCGGTTCTCCCACAGCCGGTTTTCGCGGGAAAAACTGAACACGCTCGTTCGGTTCCCGACCAAGCAGATGGACATTACCGAGTTCTGCGAGGCGGCCACCGCAACCCGCGGCCAGTACGTGTACGACCTGGCGGCCGTCTCGCAACACAGCGGATCGATATGCAATACAAATAATTTCCCATACATGTACAAGATGCATCACAAACTTCACCAATTTGGAGCGTACAACTTGTCATGCTGAACTAGGATCGAAGCCAAGTTTTGTCATGCAGAGACCGTATTCGTACGTGACGTGTAAGGGAAATTTACTGTGGATAATCGATGGGCGGAGGGCACTACACCGCCGCGTGTCGCATCAACGGCACCGACTGGGCCAGCATCTCCGATTCCTCGGCGCAGCTGATGAGCGAACGAAGCGTGGAAGGCGACCGGTCCGCCTATGTGCTGTTCTACGTCAGGAGAAAGTGAAGTGCTGGCTGTTAGGAGCTGCCGCTGTGTCGTGTAGTTGTCCCGCTGTCAATAATTCCCGGTCTTGCAGCAGGTTTGTAGTTTCTGCTGCGCCGATTCGTAACGGCATTTTTTGCCGGACGCGGCCGCGACCGACAGGGATAAAGCGCAGTTCTTGAGAAGCGACGACGAGGACACCTTGTTCATCTATCAGGTGATGCGCATCCTCATGACGGGTGACATTCTCGTCCTTGCGGATCTACGCGCAGCGACGTCGTTTACGCTTCTGGGCTTACTCCTGCGAAGCACGCAGGCATCATGGTTCTTGGGTTCAGCGCTAGCCGGAACGGAACGCCATTCCGTTTTGGATGTTTAAACCACTCCCAGTACAATAGAAGTCAACTTTCCCTCTCGCCTTCCTTCCGCATCAGCGGCTCGTCCCTCCAGTGGAATTTTTTACAACTAGTCCATCCACATATGTTTTTTATTCGCGCAACGACGACGCACCGCCCGTTGTAAATGAAATCACCATTCGCACGCAACCATCCACCGAGAAACATTTTCATGAAACATGCACGCGTATTGAACCGGTTCTGTCGTGAAGTTTCACCAAAGCAGAGGAATCGTAGTGAACAACTTGAATCCCGGCGCCAAAAGCCGACTCTTTTTGCTCGCCGGGCGCGCACGGCAGAACAAGCGTGCCCTTGGGTCCGGGTGGTCTCTAAGCTGGAGTGAAATACAAGCAAAGGTCGGTGGTGCTCGGTGTCAAGTAATCCTCACTGTATCTGTAAAGGTAATCGACAGCGCTCATGATGCATGAAACAAGAGCTGAAGAAATGATACCTGCCCGTGTTAATGATGCCTTCATCGAGTCAAAGACCAACAAATCAGAAGTGCCCGCGCAAGAAGGTGGTCGGGTCTGAGTTGTCGGTTGTAGTTCTCAGTGTTGATGTCATCTCGGTTCAGCGGACTTTTCCTGCTGCAGCTTCATCTCTATCTAGAAGGTACTAAATGATCGAAATTGTTGACTTCGTCGCTGAGGAGGCACCGGCTGGGCATGTGGAGTACAAGATTTCCCTGCAGAAAGGCTCTTTTGCCTGGACTGTCCGGCGGCGGTACGCCGACTTTGCCGAGGTCTGGATTAACCTCAAACTGGAAGACGAGGTGCCGGCCGCGGAGAGCAGTGCTAGCAGCAGCGAACAAGCAGATCTTACGTCGTCGAGGGGGAGGAGTGGACAAAAGCAGACGAAGAATAAAGGCACAACAAGTGAGCCAGAAGATGGTGTTCCACCCTCCACGCAGTCCAGCACAGCGACGAGCGATAAAGAGCCGGTGCGGTTTCCGGGTCGAGAACCGTTTTGGCAGAAGTGGCTGGGGACGCAGAACATGCGGACGCGGTTCTTCGATGAGCGACTCCTGGACCTAAAGAGGTGTTGCGAGTTTTTGCTGAAAAAGTTCCCGAGGGACCACAGCGTGCAACTTCTGTTTCACCTAGGGAACTTCCCACGCCCCGCGGCGCCGGAAGCCGTGCGCGTGCGGCCGACGAAGGTTCGAGGGCAAGTGGCTATCAAGGTAAAGCTTTTGTAGGCTTGTTGTTTTGTTGAAAAAGCTTGCTTATGGTGTACGAAACAATCTGAATCAATAGCGACCACGTGGCGTCACCATCTTCACGGATGTTGATGAGATGGTTCGAGTTACACTGAGCCTGAAGATTTAGTAGGCGTTTCCGAACTTCAAGACTAGATTCGCAGATTTTGAACACAGGTTGAACTCGAAGAGCCCTCGAGCTCGTCGTCCTCTCCCTCCAAAACTCATTCCACGACCGGGGGCCGGCCCGACACGGTGATAATAGAAGCATACCCCTCAACCGGAACGGGAACCGCAGGTGGAGGCAGCTCCTCTAGTTCGAGCAAAGTCGTAGTGCAGATCGATTTGACGAGCACTAAAGTTGTTGGCGCAGCTGGGGATACTACAGGTGGTGCTGGGGAACTACAAAACGAAAAGACCGAGGACCTCCCGGCGAGCAGTACAACATCCCTTTCAGCACTTTCCCCTGACGATGAATCTTTCACACAGAGTGACCCGACACTAGCCAGTGAGTTTCCTTCCTCGTCTTCGTCATCCTCCTCCACGACCGCGCGAGTGGTTTACGCCGCGTTATCGGACTTGCACACCGACGTTTTCTACACCGTGTCCGTGCAAACTGAAGTGCGAATTTTGCGCCTGCGATCACCGATCGTCGCGGTCAGTGCCTTCGCACCAGCCACACTGGGAGATTTCACTGCCTTACCCGACGGAGGTGCGAAGAGCGAGAGCAAAGAAGACGACGAAGCCGATACTCCGCTTGGCACGACGAATGCGTCTGAACTCGGGAATGAGCTGTCTGAAAACATGAGGCGCGTCGCGGAGAACATTCGCTCGTTGGAAACAGAGCTTGAGAAAGATGAACACCGTAGTCCGGAAAACACGAAAAGCACCGCGGCAAACGAAAAAGATACGGTAACATCATCATCATCAGATGGCGCGACAATGCACCAAGAACCTTCTTCGAATTATGCAGGTGAAGAACTCGTCCCACCAGACCACGAAACCGAATCGCAGGCGGATAGCATCGCCACTTCCGAACAAAATGCTTCCGACCTAGTGCACGACCTGCTGGGGGCAAGCACGTCAAACTACCCCACGCCCGACAGTGACACTGTGTCACAGTCGCAAAGCGTGGGAGCTTTAGGCGCGGAGCTGCACAACTCGGAAACAACGACAGGACATCAAAACGAAAACGCGCAGAGCAGTAAATCCTCGCGGCAAAAGGCCTCCGCCTCGCGCAGAGCGAGCCGCGCAGTCCGTCGCTCGGAGATGGAGCGGCTGCGGCACCGGGGCAGTGTCGCCCTGGATTACGTGCAGAACGTGGAAGTGAAGAAAAATCAGGCCATCGAGAAGAACCCTTTTCGCTTTACCGCGGACGGGCAAATCATCCAAGTGGAGGGCACGAACAGCACCGGGAGCACGCCCGCCGTCGCGCAGAATGATATTCATCCTAACAGCTTGCTGACGGGTGGTGCTGGTGGAGGGGAGCAGTTTGCTGTTGATCACCTATCCTCGCTCAGTAACGAGCCAAGTAGAACAGGGGCTTCCTCAAGTGTCGCAGGAAGTGCCACGCCCGGGACAGCAACGTCTAGTGTAGTTTCGAGAGGAGGGGCTGCATTCAACCCATCTTCCGCACTGGACCACAATAATACCGGAGCAGCCCCAAAAGAACCCTCCTCCTATTCCGCCAAGTCTACACCCGTGACGCTAACCGGAGGAGCACCGCTCGTACCACAATTCAACGACCAAACCCAGCCACAGTCCTCCGATACGGACCAGAGTAGGCGGAGCACGAAAGAGAACCTGGATCAAACGCGGAGACAGGAAAGCATGCGCAAGATCCAAGACGACTTGGCACAGATTTCCGCGTGGATATGCGATAACACGACCGAGACAGAGGACGAAGAATCCTTTTTCGACCGGGAAGAGATACCTTTTGTCGACGCGATGCTGCGGAGTTCGGATACTTTGATTGACTTGTTGAAGAGGCTGAAGCCAGGAAAAATCTCCTCGAACGCGCACAGACTGGATAGGAAGAAGATGGCGGAGGTACGTACGGTGTTGCGTGTTGGTGTTCCAGCTCAGCTCGTTGCTTCGATGAAAATCAAAATCTTGGTTCATGATTTCCACAAATTTCGACGCAGCGTATGTATGATGCTCCCTCTTGCGCAGGAGTTGTTGATCTCTAGAATGATGATGATCACGTTTTCACTGTTATTTCTATTTGTCATCCGCATCACATCACAAAAATTTTCAGGTCGACTTGAGCTTTGAAGGACATGCGCGGATAAAGCATCAGGTTTTGGAAAACATCTCCATGTTTCTCCATCTTTGCGCGGACGAATTTCAGATCAAGGAGGAGTCGCTTTTCACGCCCTTTGACGTGCTGGAGACCCGCGCCAAACTGCAACGCAACGAAATCGACCTGGCGCTCGAGGCCCGCTTGCGCGCAATTCTCCGGTGCTTCATCAATCTGTCGCGCCAGACGGACGGGGTGCTGGTGCCGCTCACCAGAGAGTATCCTAAGGAGTGAGGTCGTAAGTACTGTTGTTGCAGTTGCGGGGATGAATAATTCCGATATCGTGTTTCGTGTTCTTGGGTTTGACAGTTACTCGTGGCCGCGACTCGTCAAGCCCATGGATGTCGTCCATCGCGCGTTCCACTCGAGGGCAGCCTGTGGGCATCCGACGAAGGCACGAGGACTAGTCGCTCTTGTTCTTGAAGCGCATCATGCAAAAGTGGCCTAGTAGTACTGCGCCTGTAATGATCTTCCTTCGGACTCGGAGTGCTGCACCATACTGCTCTCAAGCATGATCCTCCACGCGCACTTCGACATTGCACGGAAAATAAGAAATCACAGAAACAAAAAAAAGAAAAAAAACAAACACGATCAGGCAGCTTATGCGCGCATTTTGATTTTCTTTCACCGGCACTTAATACCGGATTGACTTCCATCTGTCATTGTCTACCGTGTTCCAACGTCCAGAAAGAAATAGAAAGCCTACCTAGAGACATCATTCGCTTCAGAATCGCGAGGTGCAGTATCAGGGACTCTATCAAAGAGATCCGTGTTGTATAGTTAGCTGCCATAGTCGACTTTGTCGGCTGGCTAGCTTTTTTGTTATTTCACGCACAGAAAGCATTTTGATTTTCATTCTTACATCAATTGCAATTTGAGCGTATACACGCACGAAGTGGTACTTTGTATGCTGACGAGGTACCTGGGAACCGCATCTTCCCGTGCGAGGTGAGACGCAAATTTAGGCCTTTGCCCCCCCTTTTGGGACCTCCGCTAGCGCGTTTTTCGAAACTTAATAAAATAAATAATGTGTAGGTGAAGTGAGTAGATGTTGTGAATGAAGCTGCGCGGCTGCAGCAGGAAATGCAGCTGCAGCAAGAAACGTAGCACAAATGAATAGTCATTTTCTATAGTGATTCACGAGCAAACTACGATGATATTGAGGTGACTTTCCTGTAACTTCGGTCTCTCTCCGGAAGCCGCATTATGATTGACAAGAGCTGCTAATCGGTACAAGAAAAATCTGGATCCTTGTGAAATTTGTTTTTCTGGAAAATCAATCCGATTGTGGTTGCAAAGCCAAAGTTTCAAGGTGCAAGATTTCCAATACCATGACGGAGCTAGCGAATGTTTTTTGTCTATCGCGAACAGCAGCAGCAAAATCAGCAACAATTTTCCAACTACAACACCACTTGTATGTACAATTTTAGCCTAGTTCCACTTTGTATAATAACAATAATCAACTAAAAACGAAGACGCATCGCAACCGTTTAAAAATACGGCCACCGACCTGGAAAGTTCGGTTGTACCGCGACATTTTTTTGGCACGACTTTTTTTTCGGGCCGGAAAGGAACTCCACGACCCGTTTGAAATTTAATCAAAAAGCACGTCGAAACGAAGTAAACATACACAAATCTCAACAAACGCATAGCGTAGAGACAGTACATAGTCCAACAAGACAGAGCGAGTGATTTTTCTTGAAATAGCGAAGAAGTAGTCACCACATAAACGAAAATGCCGAAGTTGTCCCAGGAAATCTGCAAAGAGTTGGTGGAAAATGCCAACAAGATCGCGGCCCCGGGCAAGGGAATTCTGGCGGCAGACGAGTCAACCGGGACCATTGGAAAGCGCTTCGACTCCGTTGGCGTGGAAAACAGCGAAGCCAACCGGAGCTTCTACCGAGGATTGCTTTTCACCACGAAAGGTAGCGAATTTCAATCTTTCGTGCGTCTTTTTTTTAGTAATGCAACACCATCTTGCGACATGATTGGTTGCAGGCAATCTCATTCTGTTGATCTTCGTGATATGCAAGCACAACAACATTCTAGGTGTCGGCGAGTACATTTCCGGTGCGATTCTGTACGAAGAGACTCTGTACCAGAAGGATCCGAGCGGCGTTCCGATGACCGAGCTTTTGGCGGCTGAGGGCATCTTGCCAGGTAAAACCGTAAAGGATAAGAATGATCCTCACCACGAAGATGAAGATGTAATCACAATGATAACTCGTATTGCATGCAGCTGTAAAGGAGGTAAACATGTTTTTCTTCCGTTCCTCAAGGAAGCGGAGGACCTGTGCAGCCTGCCTTTGAGCTTTAGTTGCCTCTCCGCATCACTATATCTACACACGTTCTCCTTATCCAGGTATCAAGGTCGACAAGGGCTTGGTGGATTTGATGGGGACCGATGGTGAGAAGAGCACCCAGGGCCTCGACGGCCTTTCCAAGCGGTGCGCGGACTACTACAAGGCGGGTGCGCGCTTCGCCAAGTGGCGCGCAGTCCTCACGATTGACCAGGCCACTGGTAAGGTTGTTTGCTGTAAGTGTAGTACCTGCTTCATCGCATCGAAATTTATTTCGACTTGTTCTCCTCTTGTTGCAGCATGGTCATCACGAAGATCCTTGCACGAACACCATGCAAACACACCAGCAGGGGAATATTTGCATTGTCACGAATATTAACAATCAGGCAAGCCGTCCAACCTGAGCATACAAGAGACCGCGCACACTTTGGCCCGGTACGCCTCTATCTGCCAGGAAAACAAAATTGTCCCCATCGTCGAGCCGGAAATTATGCAGGACGGGTCCCACAGCATCGAGGTTGCCGCTGAGACCACAGAGAAGGTATAGTGGTGACTGCTGTATGTTTTGTTCTTCAGGCTTGTATCACGAAGGTGGCTAAGCAGGGCGCTTCAAAAAAAAGGAAGCTCGAATGCATTTTTTTTGCGATCATGGTTTGTGAACGATAAAAACACTTGCAACATCATCATGAAAAAAAAGGTCCTTGCCGCCACCTTCAAGGCCCTCGCAGACCACAAGATTCTCCTCGAGGGCTGCCTTCTGAAGCCGAACATGGTCACCCCGGGCTCTGAAAACCCGAACTGGAACACGGAAGAAATCGCCTACATGACCGTCCGTACCCTGCAGCGCACGGTATTTGATTTTGGTTTTGCAAGGTTTGCATCACAATCTGCATGGCATTCACAAGCACAAGTTTGTTCAGCATGTCAAATGGCTGAAACAAACCAGCTGCCATGCATGTGTACTAGTAATACAAACGCATTCTCGTTCTTGCATCCTCCGCAATACAAGCTCCATGCGATACCACTACAACAGGTGCCCCCGGCGCTGGTCGGCGTGATGTTCCTGTCCGGTGGACAATCGGAGGAGGACGCTTCCCTGAACCTGAACGCGATGAATGCGTTGAAGATGAAAAAGCCCTGGGCCCTGTCCTTCTCCTACGGGCGCGCGTTGCAGGCGACCGTGCTGAAAACCTGGGCGGGCAACCCGGCCAACAAGGAGGCCGCGCAGGCGGCGTTGATGGTCCGGGCGAAGGCCAACAGCGAGGCCCAGTTGGGCAAGTACGCGGGATCTAAGGACGGCGCGGGCAAGGAATCCCTCTTCGTCAAGGGGTACGTGTACTAAGCAGATGATTGAAACGCCGACGATCAGCAGGTCTGTGAACTTTATTCAGAGTTATCCGTACCTTCTAAGGTGTGTAGTACATTGCTGTAAGTAGGGGAGGCAGGACTTACACCAAGCAGCGCAAGAGAATCCTGAAACATGATTGCGCATCATGAACATGATCATTGAACATGTCACCAGAGGATTACAAGCAAGAGTCTAAAGAAAGAATTTTTCAAAAGGCATAAGAAAATGGGAAGAAGAACAATCAAGATATCCAAGCGCAACATACTAAAAAGCAACATTAATATAAGGAGAAGCAACAACACACGCATCATGCCTCACTTATGGCAACAAGCCCATATCATTCGTATTTACAACGAAAAGAACAATTTAAGCTGCTGGTCTTCCTGCTATAAGTGTACACTACGAGGCTAGTACCGGCTGTGCCAACTATTTTCAAATGTATGCGTAGGAGACAGAATATAGAACCATCTGCTTACCTATACAAGTCTTCGCATTCAACCTAACTCACAAGAAGTCCAAATAAAGATTTGATTTTCCACCTATTCAGTAGAGTAACTAAGCGGCCTCGAAGATGCTGCTTCCCATTGATTACCGCTTTCGTCGCAAATGTGGAACAACACGCGACTCGTCCCGAAGCGTTGAAAGAAAGACAATTCTACTTCGCGATGAAAGAAAGACAATTCAACTTTCCCCACCACGAGTCCTTTTCCTTTTCGAAGTAGACCGACGGCAACTTACTAAAGGAGATAAGTTGTCACGCGGTCGTCCTCCCCCAACATCTGGTAAGTCGAAGCACTTCCCACTGTCATAGAGAAGATGTATATACCAGCCATCTATTGTCGCCGCCAGTGTCAGTGCCAGGGACTGACAGGAAAGGACGAGACACCTGGCGGCTCTATAAGAAAGAGGTGAAGGTGAAAGGTGTTCTTCAACATCATGCGCAACCAACTTGTCGTGAACGGTTGTCAACTCGAAAAAGTTCACGATTGATCAAGTCGATCTCGAACCGATAGTGACCAAGAATTGCAGATGATCCGGTGATACGATGAATAAATGTCTTTCTGTGTTGTCACTGTCAGCACCATTTTCAAAAATGAAAACAAAAAATAAGGACAAAATGGCGCAAAACGCTTGCAATGCAGTTCGGAGACGCGCAAATTGCCAAGTGCCTGTGGTCACATAGCATAGCGATCGTCTGCATAGTACAGATAGGTTTTTCATCAACATCACCGAGAACGACTTGCATGCAAGTAATTTGGTTTCACGGGTACTTTCCATCGACATGGTTACTACAGTCACGGACTCACAATTTTTTGTTTCGCTTTTCTAGTGAAGGAGGTGTTTTTGTTTCCAATCTCACACCAACTAGACCTCCGATCTCGAATGAGCCATTACTTGATTTGTCGCTGCACTGAGCTTTGTTTGTTTCACTACACATTCACATCCATAGTAGGGTAGGAAGGATCTCCAGTTGGTCGCTCCATTACCATTGTTCATGGGCGTAATTATACAAGGCTGCAGCAATATATGATAAGTAGTCGAAAAAGAACAATCTCCCCGCATCAACGCCTGCGCCGCAGCGGCTGATTTTGCTTTATTCTGCAGTAAGCTGTCTCGTCCGAGCCACCACACGACCTCGAACCATGACGATTCCGCTCCGCATAAGCGTGCCGGTGTCCATTTCGGTCGCTTTTATCGGCGCGATTCTTGCCTTTCTGGGCGTGCCGAACGAGCAGGTGGTACCGGCGAACTACCCCAATGTGATGTTCGTGGCGCACACGGAGGACGGGCCGGGCGAGGTGGTCCCCTACCGCTTCGACGGCGTCGCGCTGCCACCGGTGAGCACCGACCACATGCCGGGGCTGTACCAGCATATGATGTGGTTCTGGCACGACCGGGTGGAAAAGTTCAAGGGGTTCTCCGAGGCGGGCCAGCTCCGGGTGTGGGAGTGCATCATGTTTTGCCGCCCGCTGAACGACACTATCAAATGCAAATATGATGTATGGGTCTGGAAGAATGCAAGTTTGTCATGCTTGTCTGGCATGACTCAGTAGAAATGTGTAATGCACGAGCAAGGGCCTCTTGCCTATCATGCAAAAACGCAGCTTGTCATGCGGAAAACGAAAGAACACAAAAACAATAGCATCTGAAAAATTTGTCATGCTTGGCTGCGTATTGCAGTCCGCCCACCAAACACACTTTAGCACGACAAGTTTCCAGACCCAGATCGATATTTGCACTTGATAGACACGGGGAGGAGCCAGCTCTACCTGATCCACGCACCGCCGGACCCGGACAACAAGAAGGCGCTGCACCAGTGGTGGATCACGGAAATGTATTGCAAGGAAAAATCCCCCTCCCCATATTGAAAAGGTATGTTTCCGAAAATTTGTGTTGCTAATTTGTGCTCACAAATCACATTTGTCTTGCAAGAACACAAGCGCCGAAGCTCCCGTCCCATTATGGAAGCGATTTGGCATGCTGTTGGGCCTAGGGGGCAGCCGTTTGCAATGCTGAGCAACTAGACCAAACGCCCCGACCTAGACTTGTTACTGGCCGCAATGCCTTCCTGCAATACAGAGCGCATTTGTGTACGCAGATCCAGCATCACGAATCCTGTCTCGATATGGGGAGGAGATTTTTCCTTACGATAAAATGACCCCGCGGAACCCGGAAACCCCCATCCTCTACGCGCGCACCAAGGGCCGGAAGGACTATCCTAGGTAAAAACGTCCCCACCCCAGAGTCAAGATGGGGATTTTGCAAGACAAACCTAAGGAGTTTTGGAAGTGACGCATGACAAGTTGCAGTCCGTAAGGTAGTGAAAGTTAGCAAGGACAGCCGCATTACAAATCGCTCTGCTTATCCTCTTTACAGCATTACAAATTCCACCCAAACACGATCGAACAAACTTGTCATGGGGATGCGCATCACAAATGTTCCTGTCATGGCAAATCTGCATGACAGCCCTCGGGTGGCGACGTTTTTACACAGGATAAGGACCTGGCCATCGCCACGGCGCCCTGGGTGGAGCCGGACCAGACGCGAACGAAGCCGAAGCCGGTCCCGATCGTTCTGTACTCGCTCTGGGACGTGTTGTGGCCGGGCATCTACGAGCCGAACCCGGTCAAGTGGGCTGCGTGGGTGCTCTTTGTCATCGCCGTCCCGCTGTGGTTCTACAAACTCTGCAAGGATGACGACTTTGATACGGACTGAAGTGAGGGCGCAGCTGCTGTGTGAGGTAGTATTTTTGCAACACAGGTGGGAGCAAAGTCGAAGCGCACCAGTCTGGTGTCGATGTATTACGGAAAAAGAAACGTGAAGAAGTAATATTCTAGGCGACACATGGCGATTGCGTTTGCATGAACGAAAGAAGAGGATACGAGCGCATTTTTGCGCAGTAGAGTTGGGAAGATTACTATCGTTCATTGGTGTATTAAAAACAAAACTAATGAAAGCGCACAAAAAACTCATGTATATTTTGTTAGAAGAGCCTCAGCTAGCCGGTTCGCAATAAAGGCAACTTCTCAGGTGGCATAAATGTGTTCATCCACCTTTTTTCCGCGAAGAATTTTCGAACAAAATATAGTATTTCTTGTCGTACCGAAAGTAAGAGCAAATCTATCCCTGGGGTGTTTCATCCTTCGTGATTTCATTTTCTTGCGTGCACAACCTCAACCCTACCACCTGGAAAAATACTCATCTTCGAGAGTGTCTGTTTGCAAAAATCATGAAGTGTGGTGCAACAGCTACAATATTTGGGTTACGTGTATGTAGATGTAGATGCGTACGAGATACCAGCCATCATTCATGTCTACCATTTTGTCTTCCCGGCGTACGTTCGCAAGTGCCCTTCCTCGGTTGTCCAATCAAGTCTCGCCTCCACCGCCTGCCACGAACACGAAACTCACCTCGAACATACCCTCCGGCATCCGCGAGAAGATCGGTCGGACCTTGCATGAGACTCACGATCATCCGTTATTTCTCGTGCGCAAAATCGTCGAGCGGCACTTCGTCGAAAATATTAACAAAGATTTCGCACTTGTCTCCGCCCCGCTTAACCCGGTGGTAACTGTGGCGGAGAATTTTGACAATTTGCTCATCCCCAAGGGGCACAGCAGCCGCCTCCCGAATGACACGTATTACGAGGACTACGACCAGGGAAAATGCCTCCGCACGCACACGACGACGCACGAGCCGGAGAATTACTGGCGCGGGAAATTCCTGCTCACCGGAGACGTCTACCGGCGGGACGAGATTGACCGCACGCACTTTCCGGTCTTCCACCAAATGGAAGGAGTGAAGCTGTTCGAAAAAAGGGCCGGCGAGGTAGATCATTTGTTCTTGGAAAGAATCCAGTCTGACCTCCGCCACACATGCGAGAGTACCATGCGGCACTTGTTTGGACATCAAGGGAGAAGACGTGATCACTCTTCCATGGAGTTCTTACGTTGGAGCGACGATTACTTTCCCTTTACCAGTCCGAGTTTCGAATTGGAAGTGAAGCTTTCAAAGCCCTCCTCCCGCGGAGAAATAAGCACCGACAGGAGCTCCACCCAGTCTGCCGATGATCCCTGGCTCGAAGTGCTCGGCTGCGGGATATTACGCCCCGAGGTGCTCGCAAAGGGCCACGTCGACGTGAAAAGATTCTCCGGGTGGGCCTTTGGTTTCGGTCTGGAGCGCCTTGCGATGCTGCTGTTTCATATGGGAGTGTCAGGATCGAAATCAGCAAAATCGAAATAGTTTGTCATGCATAAAATGCAACACAAAAAGTGACTCTATTGCAGAGGACCCACGGGAGGCAGATTATAGTCCTGGTAAGGGTCAAAAGTTGGACTGCTAACTAGCATGACAGAAGGCAGCTCTTTTGCCCTAAACCGCATGACAGACTCGCTTCCAGGACCGGGAAAATTTGCCATGCACCGACTACAAACTGTAGGTCTAACTGGTATCCGTTTTATGCATGACAAACTATTTCAACTTTGACGATTTCACACCTGACACATCCATATTCCAGATTCCAGACATCCGGTTGTTTTGGTCCCACGACGAGCGCTTTCTTGAACAGTTTCACACACTGAGTAAGGATCTGGAAGCTGGCGGCGAGAAGTGGCGAGAAGTTGAATTCAAGCCCTTTTCCAAATACCCAGCCATTGCAAAAGACCTCAGCTTTTGGCTACCAGCACTTGAAGCAGCTGGAGAGAAGAATCTGGGAGGAGTATTGCGCAGCTCCGAAAAAGCAGAAGGTGAAGGACGGGATAACGGGAGTACTAACTACATGTCTCGCAGCGATGTCAAACCGGCGGTGCAACAAGACCTTTACACGTTTCCGGAGAATGATTTCTTCGAGACCATTCGCGAGGAGGCCGATCTGGCGCTCCCGCTGGCCGGGGATGACAATGAGCAACACACGCGCAGCGATATTTACTATCCGCCTGAAACAACATCACGTTCACGACTAAGTGAACGTCGAAACCTAGTTGAGTCGGTCCGCCTAATTTCCGACTTCACGCATCCAAAAACCAACAGACGCTCGAAAACGTATCGCATTGTGTACCAAGACATGAGCCGAACACTGACTCACGAAGAGGTCAACGAGATTCAAAATCGAATCGTGGCACGCGTCACAGATTGTCTGGGTGTGTGCATCAGATGAAAAATGGGTTCTGAGTGCAGCGGTCTGCCAACAGGTGGGGTCGCTCTTTCTCTAAGCGCTAGCTCGTGCTGTTCAGTGTAGTTGTATTCATTTCGTGGATCTGGTGTTGCAGAATGGTCAGACCATGATCGGTGTTTTTTCTGCTCCCGACCTCTTGATCATAATTCTCGTACACGGCATGGTGACTTTCGTTCTCCGGTGTGGAAAAATAGTTTTGCAGCCTTCGGCCTTTTCAGATCTCTATTCTACGAACAGTTCCTTACTCATGTAATTGCAAAAATATAGTCTGTCACACTGTTCATTTTCGCATCCTGGTTATCGGTTTTTTCTCTTCAATTTCGTCGTGCCCTAGAAGTTGATGATCTCGATTGGCCGCATCTTCTGTCGTGTATGACTGTGGTTTTCTGTGGTTTTGTTTTGTTCTGTTTGATCGAAACTACCTAGCTAACCTGGAGTTGGACAGCATGGTCTTGTGTAGTGACCTTGATGTACTAGTGCCCATACGCTACGGATTAAAGCGATCGAGTCTTCGAATCAGTACGACACATGCAGAAGTCTGTCTAGGTAGAGGTATTTCACTGAAACTACTAAAATCACCATGCTGACTTTGAAGCGACAAGACACACACTTTCAGTTTCACCCTGTACCACTTTCTTCAAAAAGCAAGATGGCGGACCTTATTCCCACCGCGGCAGCATGGAAGCCGTATCCCCGAACGCGAATACGAAAGCCTCAGGTTGGACGGCGACGCAGTCGCAGACCACGCTGGCTCGAAAAGATAAGAGCAGTGTGGCCGCAAAAACCGCTCGGTGGACCTGCAGAACACATCGTTCGGCTCATTCCCCGCCTAGCCCTACTATTCACGGCGCTCCTCGCCATTCTGACAACCCTTACCTTCGCACAGCAGCCCGGCAACTACAACATGTGGAGTTGCCCGCACTGCTATGATATCAAATGCAAATATGTTTGGGTCTGGAAGATTCTGACACTTGTCATGCACGTTTTGCATGAGCCCTGATGTCTGTGATGCATGCCCTAGCATCACAGATTTTTTGAGAGCTTCTCGATGCCTATTCCGCATGACAAATGCCCTCTCCGCGTAGCAAAAATTGCATTCCTGCTCTTGGTACTCATGCAATACAGATTCTTCTGGAATCCAAATGCAGCAGCACAAGTTGCGTTCTTCCAGACCCAGACATTTTTACATTTGATATATGAGGGTGGCATGGCTGCCGAGGTGTCCGATTTGTCCTGCGAGGCGTTTCAGCAGCCGGACGGCCTGGATTGGGGCGGGGTGAAACGAGGCATGTACCAACTCGTCGAGGACGTGGTGCACAGCCGGCAGGGATCCAACGCGATCGATTTTCTGATGCCGTATTTAGAGATGGAGTTCACACCATTGTCGCGATGCTACTTGGGGATGATGTGTTTGAATTTCCTCAAAGTCTACCTCCACCCGCCCGAAGACCGGCTGGCGTACTTCCAGACGACAAAAATGGGCGGCGCGAGTTTCAAGAAGTTGGTGCCTTTGTCCTACTGGGACGTGCTGAATTCGGGATGGCCACTGTTCAGTTTACTGGATATTCTTGGACAGGTATGAACTGCAAAAGTATCGCACTAGTAGTAACCAGCCATGCTCCGGCTGCCGCCGGAGCGCAAGGCTGTTGGGCCGGGGCAAGACTGTTTGCCGATCGGACCACAACCCCACGGGCCTATGTACAACGAAACATACTGCATTCGTGCCGCCGGTTTGCGCCGCGCCAACCCGCAGGACCACTTGCGCGCTTCCCGCGCCTGCGGGCGCTCGGCGCAGGGAGCAGCTGCAAAGAACACCGGGGGCGAACAGAAGGCGCGCGGCGGGAGAGGATAGCGCGAGAGGGTGGCGCGAGAGGGTAGCGCGAGAGGGTGGCGCGAGAGGGTGCGCGAGAGGGTGGCGCGAGAGGGTGGCGCGAGGGGGGCGCGAGAGGGTGCGCGAGAGGGTGGCGCGAGAGGGTGGCGCGAGAGGGTGCGCGAGAGGGTGCGCGAGAGGGTGGCGCGAGAGGGTGGTGGGGACGGGCACCGAACAAAACAAGTCCGCGAATGGCCTGCAGTGCCAAATATGGGTAGTGCCATGCGGATTCGCGCCCGCCACTTTGTGTCTTTACCCTCTCGCAGACCTCTCGCAGACCCTCTCTTTTACCTCTTTTGGGGGTCCCCGCTAATAGTCCGGCTATACTCGCGGGTAGAGGTCGACAGAGGTGGCCGAGAGGTGGCCAAGAGGGTCCGCGAAAGGTCGCCCCTTATTCGCGCCACCTCTCTCGACCTCTGTCGACCTCTCGCGCCCCCTCTTTTTGACCTCTCTGCACCCTCTGAGGCACTTAGGCGCCGCCTTAAGGTGGGGCCTTCGGCGGGCTATACTCGCGCACCCTCTCGCCGACCCTCTCGAAAGGGGTCCGCGCCACCTCTCCACCTCTGTCGACCTCTTTTTTACCTCTTTTGACCTCTTTTTGACCTCTCGGCCACCTCTTGTTTACCCTCTGTCTACCTCTTTTTTCGCATGAATATAATGTATAGTAATTGCAATACAAATTAGCTCAGCATGACAAATTGAATTTGTCATGCTGTTTTGCCTTGGGATAAAGATTTGTAATGCATGATTGCGATTACTGCGAGTGCGATACTTTTGCACAGGATAATAAGTCTCCAGGTACGAAGTGGACGTCATGAAGTACCCGGCGCCGTATGACACTGCACCACAACCCTCCCCCTCATTTGTCATGCAAAATTCCCAATTTACGCCTTGGCCCGTGTTGGCACTGGTTGCATGACAAGTTTCTTTCAGCAGCCCGAACAGCTATACACTCCTGTCCAAATAATTTGTCATGCAAAACCTGTATTCTTGCTGAGGACACTTGTGCTCGTATTTTTGCTGTTCATGCAATACAAATGCGGGCGAGGCGGAGTTGTGCACTTTCATACGCCGACTGGTGTTGGCATCAGCGGCTTGAGCATGGACATGACGCCGGCGTTCGTAGATTCTCCGTTTGTGGAAATAGTAGGGGAGGCAGCAGGGGCAGGAACAGCAGGAGTCCAGCGCAGCAGTGTTCTTGCGAATGCTGTTTCATCACCACCTGTATCAGGTGCTGCAGCGCAGCCCCAATCGACTACACCGCCTGTAGTTCCGAGCGAAGACCGCGCCCTCGATCGTTCGTTCCACGAACTGTCGAAGACGGCGCAGTATGCATCGTAAAAGCATCGCACGCGTCCCCGCCATGGTCGAAATTGGAATTGCATTACAACCTTGCTCAGCATTACAAATGGCATCTGTCATGTTAGTTTAGCTTTAGGAAACACAATTGTCCTGCACAGCCGCAATTACGTACGAGTGCGAAGATACTTGTGCAATGCATACGCAGGCTGGGTTTTTCGGCTCGCTGCTCTACCTCGCAGAGCAAGAGGACGCGAAGTGCCACGGTGGGATCGCCAGTGCGTATTTCACCCTTGCGGAGCAACTTATCGAGACCGCGGTGGCGGAGTTTCAGAGGAACAACCAGCACAGCATGGAGCTATGCATTTCAAAAGTATCGTACTACGTAGAAATAGCATTACAAACTTTCTCAAGAACAAAAATGCAATTTGTCATGCGAGGTCAGGTATCAAGATATGATATATCTGTCGTGCATAAGTCCGATCAGTACGAATACGATACTTTTGCAATGCATTCGAGCAGGCCAGGAACGAGACGAAAAACTTCATTCTTTTCGGGGAGGCGCAGGTCCACAATTGCAGGACCAACATGACGGTCTACCACCATCTCCGGTCTGACTGGGCGTACTGGCAAGTCCTGTCGCGGATCGAGCGCCGGCGGGTGCTACCCATGCTTTTCTTCAATCTGAAGTCTGCCTCCTACATTCCGCCACCAAACAAAGCCGTGCAGACGGGGAGGAAGTATAATCGGGCGAAAGAGGAGACGAGTGTCAGTGCTGTGCCAGCAGTATCGTCCGCTGCGCCGCAGGTTGTAGAGGGACATCAAACAGTTGACGAAAGAGCAGGAGGTGGATCTGTTTTTACCAGCCGATGTTTTCAGTTGGATCACCACACAAGAACCGTCGGTGATCTTGTCCACGTCGCCGTCTCTGCGGACATCCAGCAGATCGACGGCATCATCGTCGCTTTGAATTCCATGGTCCGCCACGCGGAAAATCCGGCCATATCCTGTGTAAAAACATCCTCACCCCAGAGTTGTCATGCAGATCTGCAAACGCAAGAGGATTTGTGCGCATCCCCATGAGAGGCATTTCCCAGTGTGTTTTGGAACGTGTAATGCTCCAAACAGGATAAGAGAGTGGATTTATTTTGCGGCTTCCCTTGCTAAACCGCACTACACTACAGCCTGCAATTTGTCATGTGTGACTCCCAAAACTTCAAGGTTTGTGTTGCGAAGTCCCCATCTCGACTCTGGTGTGGGGACGTTTTTACTCAGGATAGTCCAACACCTGCATTCATGTCTTCTTGCTGGAACACGAGCGGAAATTTCTCGTGGACGGGCTGCAGTGTGCTTTTGGGGCGGAAAGGTTTCACGAAGTAGGGACGAAATCTACTGCGGCGCGTGGTCCTCCAGATGAAGTAGCGCAAGAAGTACTAGACCAACATCCGAGTGCAAGTGGAAGTAGTGCGGGCATGTTCTCCTCGCTGTTCTCAACGTCGCCACAAGCGGAATCAAATGAAGACCTCCCGGAAGGAGCAACAACATCTAAATCTGCGGAATACGCGAAACTTGGAAAATTCGTCCTCTACGACTCAGTCAAGGTAGGAAATCCTCAAAGAGAGCAGTCTCCCGAAACGATCACGACAAGCGCAGGCATTGTCGCTCAAGTGGACGAAGATGATGACGGAGAGGAGGACGGTTCAGCACAAGAACCGAGTGCGGACAATCCCGAGACTGTGACGAATCAACTGCAGTACGCGGCACAGCACCAAAGGGACGACGAGAACAACATGAGGCCCCCTAATGACCCAACTGCAACATCAAAAATCTCCCCCACACGACTTCTACACCAGCACCCGGACGTGACTCGCAGCCCAGCGCCCATTCTTCTTCATCGACTCGACGAGCAAATGGTCGGGAAAAATTTGATTCCGGACTCCGAGCTGGCGCAGAAGAAACGGTTCCAGGTCGGGGGCGACATTGACGTGTCGAAAGGGTTTCAACGGGACACGGGGAATCTTCAAGCGTTGCACAACTACGTGAGATTCTATTTGCATAAGTTGCTACCAAAGCAGATAGCAAAAGTCATTTACCTCGACGTGGACGTGCTGGTCAAAAAGGATTTGCGGTCGTTGTGGACCGACTTCTCCCCAGTGCTGGAAAAATCGCAAGCGACGGTCTGTTATGAATCGCAAAAGCATAAGCATCGCACTAGTTTGAATTGCATTACAAATTTTCTGAGCATGAGAAACAAAGAATTTGTAATGTGGATTTACCTGGCTTAAGAAATCAACTACGAGTGCGATACTTTTGCAGTTCATATCTGTGCCGCCATCCGGCCGTCCTCGCCGCTGTTCAACTATCTCCCCGGGATCATGTACCCCTTTATGCCGGAATGGATTCCCATGAACAATCCGGCCTTCAACGCCGGCGTTTTGCTCATCGACCTTGCCCGGTGGCGCAACCGCCCGGAGATCCAGCAGAAGCTGGACCACTGGCTGCAGTCCCGCGACAACTCCGGGCCGGAGACGCTCTGGCGGCACGGATCGCAGCCCCTGATGCTGCTCCTTTTCCACGACGAGGCCTGCAAACTGCCCTACAAGTGGAACGTCGACGGGCTGGGGCACCGGTTGAACTACCCCAAACCGGTGCTGGAGGAGGGAGGCTTGTTCCACTGGACCGGCCCATTGAAGCCGTGGAAGGAGGACGGCGTGAACAGGTTATTGTGGGAACCCTACACGGTGAATTACTGCCCGAAATACAGTTTTCGGGTGCACACAACCACCTGTAGGCCAGACTCGTGGTATTGCTGATCGGGAAAGCAAAAGTAGCTGTGAATTACTGTATTGGAGCCATTATTGCACCTGCAGACTTCTGGTGACCACGGGCATTGCTTCATAGCTCTTGTGGCTACACTACGTGTCGTGCCATTCAGCACACATGTAACGCAAAGACGCAGCATAAGTTGCAGCACCCTTCACGCACAGGAGAACGGTCCTAACTATCTCGATCTCGATTAAGTATGATCCATCACTCAAGAAACAGAGCGGCGCTCAGAACTGGTGATCTTCTCGTTCGGCAATTATCTCACGATGCGGAGTGCTCGTTTTCCTTCGGACAGCCTGTGGTTGTAGTATGTCTTCCTGCTAGTTTTGGCAGCTTAAGTCCGACTCCGAACGAGTCGTGTGCTCACAGAAAAAAAAAATCATGCGGCACGCACGGAGTTTATATCTACATGTACATTCGAACAGCGAAAAAGGGGAAGAACACGCAAGGACTTGGACTAGCTATATTCATTTTTAACCTGGCATATTTCGTCATATAGAAACTGGGTACTGGTGCTAGTACTGTTTATGTCACCTAAACTAGATTCTTGAACTGCGTTGTGTAAAGCTTACTTAGATTTTATTTATCGGTACGTGCTCGTGGTCTGTAGATTGTATGATCTGTACGTCGTTGTCACGAGCGTTTCTCGTCATCTCCGCAAGCGTTATTCCGAAGTGAAATCGATTCTCTGAAAATCAAAACAAAAAGATGTCGAATTTACACAGTGGGTATATGTTCGAAGATCTTGTTGCGGACCCTGATGAGCGGCGCAAGGCTGATGAATTCAAATGCGCGGTGTGCTACAGTCTCTGGGACAATCCTGTGCAGACTCCGGATTGCAGTCACATCTTTTGCAAGACGTGCGTGGAAGATCAGCTCGCATGTCCGACCTGCCGCATGCCCTTCGGGGGCGACAAAAGACCTACACCGCTGCAGCAATCGAATCCGTTTGTTCTCCGGCAGGTTAACGCGGTGCAGGTATAGAAAATAGTGACGCTGAGCCGCTTTTCATTTCAGTATTATAGGCGAAGAGCTTATTTCGAATTTCCATTGCAACGTCAACTTCTTCCAGGTGATTTGTCCCAATTCGAGAAGGCAACCAGATTCAGGGGACGCTGAAGGCAGTGCAGGGGGCGGGGCCGGAGAGCCGCTTTCGAAGAGGGCCAAAATCGCAAAACCATTCGCAGTCTCTGGTTCTTCTTCAAGGGCTCTCTGTGATGAATCCGATGTGACTTTATCCTGCGTTCCCTGTGGAGGTGCAGGTGGCGATTCGGTTTCATCTTTGTCAAACCCCTATCGCCCAGACACATGCTCAGCGGCTTGTCTGTGGTCTGGATCTTACGGAGACTTGCTGGCCAAGCACTTGGGAGAGTGCGCGTATCAAGAGATCGACTGCCCGCGAGGCTGTGGCGAGCGGATGCAACGCAAAGACAGAAGTGCGCATGAGTCTGTCTGTGCAAAGTTGTTTGCCGAGTGTTCGATTTGTGGGGACAAGATGCGGCCTAAGGAACTGGAGCAGCATCGGCGATCGAAAGCGGAGCTTCATGTCCAAATTTTGGAAAGAAAGTTTCAGGACGCGAATCCCGTACTTCTGGAGTTGCGGAAAATCTCGCAGAAGCAGGAGGCGATCGACGAGTGTATGAATGATACCCATAACATTATGGATAAATCGCTGCAGGGGTTCAAGACCCACATTCTTGCAGGCCTCAATTCCGGAATGAGTAACCTCGTTAGGGATTTCAACAAGGCAATCACTGGCATTGCCAACGCAAAGTTCGCATGGGTTATTGATGTGGCGAAGTTGTTTCGGAAGGCAAAAAGTTCGTCGGACTTCATCTCCTCCCCGTCGTTTTCTGTCTCCGAATTCGCGTGGCATGTGGAGGTGTACCCCATCAACACAAGTGGATACAACGCCGGTCACGTCGGTGTCTACCTTGTTTCGGATGAAAGAAACAAGTGTGTGCGGGCCCAAGCAACCATAGCTCTGGCTACCGGCCAAGCAGAGCTGCACTTCCAGGGTCTACTGGTCAGCAAGCAACAGCTAGATGGAGTATACAATACAACCACGCGGACGGGGATCGCTGGCGGCGTCGGCAAGCGCTTCGGCAAGGGGAACTTCATCACGGCGGAGCGACTCAAGGTGCACCCCTTCGTCACCCTCGAAATCGAAATGGCGAAAAATATTACGACCATCCTCTGCTAGCTGCGAATACCGATCGCGGGATCATGTACGTAGTTCATCAATTGAATATACAAAAGTAGACAACGCACAGAAATTTCGGTCCGCGAATAATTCCATCTCGCGGAGACGATCATCTGATAATTCTTCCGAAAGGCGACCGATTAGACTTCTGGGCAGTCAGCGCTGCAGGCTTAATTATGTCAACACAAGCATCAAACAGCATCAGCTCCCGCACGACTTTATTTTCCGCGCCATTCTTTCATGGAAGATCGGCGTTCAGCTCCCCTCGGGCTGGAGGAGGGAGTAGCACGCAGCAGTCCGCCAAAGGGCACACTGCCAACATCATCATCATTTCACGCATGGCGTTTGTCGCAGTGTCTTGAGAGATACAACTTGAGTGGTGGAAATAATTTCAATTTCCTTCATCTTTGAGGACCATAATTTGAGGCGAGTTCGTCTTATTTGTATTTCCCATAGTACAAGCTGCGAGTATAATCGGTCATGCGAATTTCTGTTCATTTGGTTCGTGGAGCGTGCAGCTGCAGCTCTACGACCCGCGTCACACGTTATTTTTTGTGATGGTCGCTGCAACTACAATGTTTGATAGCATATGACATCATCGAAAGAGGTTGTAAGTGTAACTGCGTCGCGCGATACACCCATAGACATAGTACCAGAGAGCGGCGAGTGTCTTTCATTTTTTGGTTGGGGGCGTGCAGTGGTTGTGTGTTGTGTTGACCTGTAGCTTTGGTTGTCTAGATCTTCTTTTTCCGTGTTTCTTCGTGCTACAGATGATGCGGAACAGTAGTACTAGCCAGCTTGTGCACGAGCGACGCGGACGTGTTGTCGCGTGTGGTCGTTTGAGTGCATATATGTTTTGCATTCTTTTGCCATTCCCGCCTGTACATGTACCATATTTTTGGAAAATCAAATGATCGCAAATTTTTGGAAGCCAAGTCAGTGCCGCTAGAAGCAACAACATCGGGAGCGGCTCGCGGGACGATGTCGATGCCCTAGTGCCTCTGCGCTCTTTCCCTTCCAGCGCGTTGCCCGTTTCGACCGCCACGACTAGCATAAGCGCTCTCAGCACCCACCTTGCGTCAGTGCAGAAATCGCACCCGTGCAGCTACTGATTTTTTCAAACTTCTGCAATGGATGCTTCCGTTCGGTGAGACGAGGTTCAATTGCGACACGTCACCGTTGCCTGACAGAAAGAACAAAGGGGGCGATAAGTAAACAACTGCTGCACAACCTCCGTCGCCGACCGACAACAGAGCGAGAGCGCACCACCACCACACAATCGAGACCCAGCACGTGCAGTTCGTCCATAATGGCCTCTGCATTCTCACCCCCGCCGCCCGCGGCGCCTCAGAACAACCACACCTCAGCCCGCAACTCCACGTCTTCCCGGAAAAGTCTCGTCGTGGGGGACCGGGTGCATGCGAAGTGGACCCAAAACGGCTCCTACTATGAAATGCAATAAGCGTCGCACTCGTACAGGAGATGGCATTTGCAATCATGCATGACAAGTGAAATACGAAATTGTCTTTATTCCCGAGCTGTACACGCATTTTAAATTCTACGTTTCCTCTTCTTGCGCAAATTTGTGGTGTGATTTGTACTAAGTACGAAACTTTTGCAATGCATACCTACTACCCAGCGGTGATTCGGGAGCTGAAAGGCGGGGAAGTCGTGGTGGATTGGGACGATGGGGACACGGTAGACCGCGTTATCGCGCTTTCCGACGTTTCCAAGATCGAGGACGCACGACCCTATCCCAGGCACCAAATAGAGGACGCGGCCTTTGTCCAAGACCTACCAAACAAAGGTTTATTGCCCTTCTTGTCCTAGTTTTTCCGTCACTCGTGTGGCATTGAAGATCAAGATGTCCTACTTGCAGCATTGAGACTAACAGCGCCTCCATGATTCTCGAATGTTGCTTGTTTGCGAGGTGTGTAACAAGCGCCAACTCTAACTATTTCACCGCCGACTTCAAATCGAACCATATACAACAAGGTCGCTGTCTCTTCACCCGCTACGCGCTCCGCTCGGGGGAAGTCATTTTTTGCGAGGCGGCGACGCTGGTCGCGATCGAAAGCAGGCACCAAGGTTTGTGGGACGCCTTGAAGTCCTTACACGAGGAAGAACAGTTTGAGCTCGGCACCTGGACCTTCGCCTACGCAGCATTGCTCAGCCTGCTAGAGCTCGGCTCATCGGACTTGCAGGTAAGGCAGAAGGGAAATAACTTGTGGGCGAGGGCGAGAGCGTGGACGTGATGCGTAATGCTAATGCTGCTGCAAGAACCGCAACACCGTCTGTCAGCATGCTAGTTCTACTGCAATTCATGTATAAATATCCATCGTGATCGGTTCGGCATCGGCATGTGCTGCTTGTTGGACTCATACACAAATGCTATGCAGGTCGTCCAAGACAAATTCGTTCCGGATGAGGAGAAAGAGGTCGTGGGCGCGGACGTGCACCGGATTTTCAACAAGCTCGGGTTTCCCCAGAATTTTGTCGCGGTCAAGAGCGTGATGCCTGCCGACACGTCGGCCGTGTTTCCCTCCGGCAAGAAGTTCACCAAAACGCTCTTGCAAACGCTGATCAACGTATGCATTGCAAAAGTACCGTACTAGTATAAATCGCATGACAAATTAGCTGAGCATGAGAAACGCAATTTGTCATGCCGATTTGCCTTGGGATGGAGATTTGTAATGCATGACTCCGATTACTACGAATACGATACTTTTGCACAGGATACAACGCCTGGCGGTACAACAGTTTCGGGCACCACACGGAGGACGGACTCGTTCTGTACAACCGGATCAGCATGTGTGCGCACTCCTGCGACCCGTCCTGCTGTTGGACGTATGGGGATGACGACTCCTTCGTGCTGCGGGCCCGGGTGGCCTTGGAAGCGGGCTCCGAACTCACCATCAGCTATCTTCAGGTATACAGGGCGGAGCCAGCGCTGCGCATCGCAGCGCTCGCATCGAAACTTGATTTTGATGATGCTTCTAGCCTTACGAATCCATGACTTCTTCCTAGTAGAAAAAGCCCCACAACTACTTCCTCTCTTCAGGACGAAGACCTATTGAAGAGCACAGACGTCCGGCGCGAAAAGCTCGAGAACTGGAAGTTCACCTGCGGTTGCACGCGGTGCAACCTGAAAGTGGACGTTAGCCGCGGCTACCGGTGCCTGCGGTGCCGCGCGGGGGCGCACTACTACAAGGAGAACTACAACCCGTCCGAGACGGAGCAGATTCGCAAGCAGTACACGAAGAACGAGGAGGAAATGCGGTTCCAAGCCACGTCGTCCAGCAGTAGTCCGAAGTGCAAGAACGTAAATTTACAGGAGAAGGAGAAGGACCACAAGCTGTTCACGTGGAATGTTCCGCGGGTGAAAACGGCCGTCGGGGAGAGCACCAACTTCACCGGGTTTGGCCGGCAGAGCCAGCAGCTGCTCTACCAGGACGTGTGCTCTGAGTCGACGCGGTCCGCGTCCTCCTCGTCCTCCTCCTCGTCGGCCAGCAGCAGCTTATGAGAGTGCACAGCTCCCCCTCCCCGTCCCCCTTATTTGTGATGCAAAATCCCATATCCAAGCGCTGCCTTGTCGCACCGTTTCCACCATGACAGATTCTGGAAGCCTACAAAGTACTACACTAGCTACGCGCATGAACTTGTCATGCGCAGGCTCCATGTGCACTGGTGTTTCTATTGCAGCTCATGCAACACAAATGAGGGGGAGGGGTAGTACTTGTGCACCTTCATACAGCTCCGCGCTCCTCCACGGCCGAATCGTGGGGTCGGACCCGGCTATCAAATGCAAAAATATCTGGGTCTGGAAGGTTGGAGCTTGTGATGCGAGCTTTGGACTCAAAAAAAATCTGTATTGCATGATCAGCAGGAGGAGTCTAGTTTGTGCTACGCGGGGAGGGCCTTGGTCATGCGGAATAGGCACCAGGAAGCCCTCTAAAAATCTGTGATGCTAGGTCATACATTACAGACATCCTGGGTCATGCAAAATATGCATGACAAACCCGGCAACACTCCAGACCCAGGCATTTTTGCATTTGATACCGGCCGGCAAACGGCAAAACCCGAGCGCCGCGTCCCCCACCGCGCGCAGCAAGAGCGGCCAGAAATCGCCCGTGAAAATCAGCCGCACGGACAAATCACCGGGAGGAACAAGTGGGTCCTCCAATCGCCGGAGCAGTGGCGTGAGGGAGAAGGACGCTTCAAATGGAAGGAAAAGCGCGTCGCCAGGTAGAGGAGGTGGTCTACTTCGCGAGGCAGAGACCAACGATATGAACGACGAGCCAAAAAGCTTGTCTCCGGCTTCCAAGAAGGCCAAGATACGGCCGAGCGAGCGGCTGACCGCCTGCGACGTCTGCGGGGAACCCTGCACGGACTTTGCGGCCGAGCAGTGCTTGTCTCTGGAGCCGGAATATATGGAGTTCTCAAATGTTACGTTCTCAACTGTTACACGAATTTGTCAAAAAACAGCAATAGGGAAAGGGGCAAGCTTGCGAGTCGTGCATCACAAATTTGGCCCAGAGTTAGATGCTGTTTAGCCCTCCGATAATTTGTCATTCGAAGCAGCTCGATCGTCTGGCGGCTCATGGTCATTTTGCATGACAAAAAATCATGTTGTAACAGTTGAGAATGTAACGTTTGAGAACGCCATAAAATACGTACAAAGGATTGAGCAACTGGACAAAACAAACATCCAGGACATGGAACTGGTATTTTTATCTTGTTGATGATGAAAGATTTTCTTTATCGTCCTGGTCATACTCGTGCTTGTTGTTTCCCTCTTTGCAACAAATATGGATATCCACTTCCAGCAAACTAACGCCACGACGTGGTCTCGTCACTATAATATTACAAATACTCTTAATGATTAAAGGTATACAATGCCACCCTGGATTTCTTTCACGAGAATCATTGGTGCGTCTTCCAGTGCGAACAACTGTTAGGCGAGTACTACACCGAGACCAGAAAGGACCTCGGTGCCTCCATGCTCCACCAGCGCAATCGCATCTCCTATCACGAGCGCACGTTTGGGCGTCCCTCGTTCATCTGGGCGGGCGATCTCGAAGCCCTCGCCGACAACCTCCAGTCGATGGCGCAGCCCGAGACCGGGGGCACTAAAAGTGGCGGCAGCTCCCCGTCTGCCGGCGGAGCCAGCTCTCCGAGCCGCGGGTCGAGCGCGAATCCGCTGAAAAGTGGCAATAGTAGTTCTCAAAGCTCGCCGGCGGACAAGGGGAAAAACAACCGCGAGCGACTTTCCCGACTGTCCGAGTGCCTCACTCTGTACCGGAAAGCGCAGTCGCAGTTTGCCATACTGTGCGGCCCGAGCCACCCCTACTCGCTCGCAACGCAAAACAAGTGGCATTCCGTGCAACATAGGATAAACGCACTAGCAGCGCAGCACGCGGCGAAAAAAGCAGATGGGGTGCCGGGATAAAAAATGGAAGGCAAAATAAAGTTGGAGACGGAAGAACGCATGTGGACCGACTCCAGAGCAGTCCGCCTGGTCACGAGCCAGAGAGTATCAGATCATATCAAACAAAACAAATACCGGAGAACTTTCTTTCACCCGATCATGCTTTGTCTGGGTATATTTCGCGCACCGCATATATGACCGTGACCCAGCAACAGCATGAGCAGGTAGAACTGCTCACTTTTTTTATGCGCAACAAAAGTGTACAAAATAAAAATTTGGACATAGCAGGAGTTTTGTAGCGCCGCCAGCGCTTCGATGCTGTTTTTGCGACGAGCACACGGCTTGCTTCTCATGCGCGAGATCGGGCAATGTGCACGTGCTGACTGTGATAACCGTTGGTCCTGACTTCTTGTTTTTGAAGCAGAGCCTTTGCTCTTGGAAAATCAGTCATCAAAAGACACTGGCTTTCTAAGTTGCGGCTCTTTATAATTTCGCTCGATGATAATAGACAGTGCGCACATATTTTCTATACCGATACCGAATTTAGATTTTACATTTTGTATACGACACTCGCACGATTGCGACGTCATACAATAAGTACCCCCCAAATACGGCGGGCGTTTGGAAATTCCTTGTTGTGTTCGGTGCGATGCGTCGGAAGTGGGATGTTGATAAACTGTGTGCATTTGTGCTGCCGATTGCGAATGCGATCTTTCATTTGACCTTTATTCTTTGGATACAGATACTGGCGGATCGTCACGACAATGGTATGTTGGATGATCGTGGTCTGTTTCATACTTTACAACTTCTTAGGTTCTTTCATGATACGAAGATCCACCCAGGTCCTGCGACTGCTGGAGTTTTGTAGTTCCTTTTAACTGTTTATTTTCCCCAAGATGAGTTCTTACTCTCCTGTATTTCCACTTGATGTGCACGACGCGCGTGGCGAGGGCACCTGTGTGAAACAACAGTTGCTCTTCTCTTGTCCCGTCGATAACGATATTATGTGGTGCCTGCTCCTGGACCCGCGCATGTGCGAAGAAGTTCATAGAAGAAGGAATTGTTCCCCTCATCACCAGGAATCGGACTGTCTGTGGCTTGTTTGTTTGTTTTCCAATCACTTGTACACGTTTTTCAATAACGGCTCTCGCTTTATTTTCGGGAGATGTCATCGCATTCACAGCGAATCTCCGCCTCCGATAAGAACGGCGGTGATCCCAAAATCAAAAAGAAGGACGTCCATACATTTTTTAGATCTGATGAACACAAAGACAAATTGATCTCCCGAATACAAAAAAAGTGGTTACTACAGCAGAAAAAGGTATGCGAAGGGTCAATCATATCAATGTCTGTTTGTAGAATTCTAGCTGTTTAACTCTCGTAGTTTATTCCGTATCAGTATCTTCGGCACAACCACAAAAGTTTTTAAGTCCGCACGTTACCGACACTGAAGAGGAGAAGAAGTACAGCGAAACTAAAACTATGGAAGGAGCCGAAGAAGACTTCTCCGCACCCCCTCCCGCCGCCGAGGATTCGCCCGAGGAGAACGCCGTCGATCAGATGGCACGACCGCGCTCCAACAGTCAGATGAATAAGCGGCCGCAGGACGGCGGCGGCGCAACCGACAAAGCGTCGGTCCTCAAGGCCAGGCGCATATCTGACGACGCAAGACACGCTGGCTTGGCATTGCCCAGCACAGCAGCGGCTGCAGTAGACTTGTCTACTTCGTCCAAGAAGGTACAACTTGGAGGCACAACCACAGCTAATGCTACTACAACAAATCCTACGGCGGGAATGATAAACAAGCCCGAGTTGTCTTCATCCCCTCCTGCACAACAACTGGATTCTACTTTATTGAACGCCGGAGGAGGTGCAGCCGCGGCTGAAATGGTTTCAAAGCTGTTGGCGACTGCGCTTGGCGGCAATAACGCAAGTAGCAGTGCACTTCTTCCGGCTAGTACGCCGGGAAGTTCTACTTCCGACGATGTAACCAAGACGCTGAAGTCCCTGGGTTCCCTGCTTACCACACTGGGGGAGACCACGGAGCTGGCCACCAAAACCGCCGAGAAGCAGTCGGTGTTCGGGAAAATTGCAAAATCCCTGGTGAAGATCTACAACACCGCCGCAAGTTACGACTATGACAACCCGTGGTCGGCGCCCAAGCAGGGCCAGGGCAGCGGCAGCGGGTTCTTCATCACTGGAAACCGGATCGTGACCAACGCCCATGTGGTTTCTAACACGACGTTCATCCAGCTGCGGAAAGCCGGCACGAGCCGCAAGTACCCGGCAAAATTACGAAGAATCCTGCACTATGCTCTGCAAAAGTATCGTACTAGTAGTAATTGCATTACAAATTGGCTCAGCATGAAAAATGGAATTTGTCATGCTGTTTAACCGTGGGATGGAGATTTGTAATGCATGACTGCGATTACTACGAGTGCGATACTTTTGCACAGGATATGCACTCGGTGGACCTGGCGATTTTGGAACTGGACGCGGACGCGATTTTGTCCGGAACTACACGGCCCTCGAAGCGGTCCAAGAAGAATAAACTCGCAGTAGCAGAACCAGCAGCGAGCGGCAACGAGGGTAGTACGACAGGAGGAAATCCTGATGCTGCTGCAGTTGCGGCCTTGAATAATAGCAACAATGCGAGCAGTAGCGAGCAGCAAGACCCAGAAACGGCAAAGAAAGTGATGGACGAACAGCGGGAGAAAGTGCTGCAAAGCTTCTTCAAAGACACCATCACACTGAAGTTCGGGGAAACCCCACGGGTGGGGGACGAAGTCTTCGCGTACGGCTTTCCCTGGGGCGGAGAAGAAATGAGCTTGACGAAAGGTAACCTTTGTTTCCTGATAGCTGAGCTAGCGCTTTGCAGTGAAAACTTCTCTTCACCTTGCAATTAAATGAGAACATGATAGTACTTTTTTTTGATGCACAAGAGGCACCATGGCAAATGAAATGAAAACAAATCTCAAGGATAGAACCAAGACCAACGAGACGAAGTAGCCGGTACAGAAATTAAAAACCCCAGCAAATTATCTGCCTTTCGAATTTCAGGTGTCGTTTCCCGGGTCGAGATGAACGAAACTGCTCACGGCGGCGGGTCTGAGGTTCTCAGCTGCGACATGGATACGGCGATTGTCGGGGGCAACTCGGGCGGTCCGGTGATTGGCGATAATGAGGAGGTTATGAACTGCAAAAGCATCGCACTAGTATAAATTGCAATACAAATTAGCATTAGCTCAGCATTACAAATTAAATTTGTAATGCGGATTTACCTTAACAACCTAGATTTGTAATGCATAACTGCAATTAGTACGAGTGCGATACTTTTCCAGTGCATAGAAGTCGTGGGCGTGGTGTTCCAGGGCTACGACAACAAGCCGGGGGGGTACATGATTGCGGTCGACGTGCTCAAGCGCGTCATCGCGTTGGACGACGAAGATCGAAATTTGGTTATGGCGTTCTCAAACGGAAACGTTACATTCTCAACTGTTACATGAATTTGTAATGCAAGACTAGCACAGGTGAGAGCAGAGGGAGAACCTTGCGCGTCTTGCATTACAGGTTTGATCCGGATTACAGTGCTATTTAGCCTTTCGAGAATTTGTCATGCGAAGCAGCTTGATCGTCTGGCGGGTCATGGTCATTCTGCATGACAAATCATGTAACAGTTGAGAGTGTAACGTTTGAGAACCCCATATTGGTGACGCCGGACGTCGGGATTAACGTGCAGAGGCTGGAAAACAAATCCTTCCGCCGCGCACTCGGTTTGGAGTGCCTGGATCACGAATCGAAAGCCGAGGAAGCAAGTGCGAAGGGTGAGGCCGTGGTCGGAGCGGGTGTTGTAGCGGAACAAAACGTAATATCCGAGGTCACGACGAAAGCGGGGATCCTGGTGACGGTGACGAAGCACCACGAAATCTCTCCGAAATCGCTCGAGGGCGGCGTGATGGTATCAAAGATCGGGGAGTATTCGCCCCTCTTCGGCGTCTTGGAGCCGAAGGATGTTCTGCTGCAGGTGGGGGCCTACCCGGTGGGAGAGAACGGGACCATCGAGCTCAGAAAAGGCGAGCGCACCCGCTGGACCCACGCGTGCTACACGGGGAAAACCCTGGGCGAGTCGGTGTACTTCAAGTGGTTTCGGGATGGTATGAAGATTTAATTTTAATTTTCTCAGTGCACGACGTTCAACTTGATTTAGTGCAGCTGCATTCAGTCATGATACAACAGCTTAGCCGTCGTAGTTTGTAGATCCGCGTCCACCTACTTCCGGCCTCAATCACCTGCAGCTTTCCCTGCTGCTTCAGAGATCTTGAACGCTCCGTGGAGATGCACCATATGCAAAAGCAGATGATAAGCATAACCTACGTAATCTCGACACACAGGCGCCATTCACTCCGCGACGGTGGCTTTGACCCAGCGTCCCGCCGATTTGCGGTACGCGGTAGAGTATGCATTGCAAAAGTATCGTACTATTTATAAATTGCATGACAAATTTGGCAAGAAGGAAAGTGGAATTTGTAATGCTGTTTTGCCTTAGGAAAAATATTTGCCATGCATATTTGCAAAGAGTACGAGTGCGATACTTTTGCACAGGATATAGAGCACCTGTACGACGTGCGACCGAGATTTGTGCTGCGCGGGGGCGTTGTGTTCCAACCCTTCACGCGGAACCTGGCGCTCAAGGGCGCGTGGGCGCGGGCCCGGATCAAGAAGTTAATGGTGGATTACCGCACAGAGGAAAACCCACAGTATGTGCTCTGCACCAAAGTCCTCCAAGCCGACCTAACCGCTGGGTACGCCCACCGAAACTTGATCGTCGAGCGGATCAACGGGCTGACCATACACACGCTGGAGGATGTTATCAGGGCGTTTGACCACTTTCCCACGGGAGAGCAGGAGGTGAAAGGAAAGGCTGGCACCGCTCCGGAAGAGCACCCGCCAAAATCCGATGCAGTCGTCTCCTCCGGGGTCGCCGAGAGTGCCAACGAAAAAGAAGACGACACACACAACGACCAAGAAGCCCTGACCCCCCGGCAGGCGCTCAAGGCGGCTTTGGAGTTCAAAGCGCCGGGAGTGGAGACGGAAAAACAATCTTCCGAAACATCCAAAGACCAGAATCCGCATGTCGTCAATGCGGTTGCGGGTGCAGATACTGACAAAAAACCTACTTCAACAACAGGTCAAGAGAAAGAGGCGAAAGACGAAAAGCCGACGACTGTCACCACAGTGACTCAAAGCCAGACCGAAGAGAAGAAGGAAAAAACTTACACGATCGAGATGGAGGGCGGAGTTCTCTTGGTGTTGATCTCAAGTGACTTGATGACAGAAACAAAGAAGATCGCGGCGACCTACCACGTTCCCCTGCTGGAACACTTGTAGAAGGAGCGCAGACGGCGATGGATCGATGATATTAAAGAACCTCCCACTCGTTGGGCGCCGGAGAGATTGTAATTTTAACCACAGATGACGACACGACACCAATACTCGCAGAAAAGAATGCCTGTACCACGACAAAAATGATCTTGACCAATGATATATTGAAATTTTTATCTGGAATGACTGCTGGTTTTTAACTATTCTTCGCCGTGTACTGGACTCGTTCCAGCGGTTTGACACGGCAACGCGAAGGCGAATGTTATATTAAAGTGCGCCTACGTACTGAATACAGTTGTACAAGCAGTATGAAGATGATACACAGTGAGTTCTCCCTGTTGAAGTTCTTGTTTGTCAAAAAGAATAACCTACGTTGGTGACGTCGCGTTGAAACCTTCATTTACATATGTACTTTGAGGAGCGATGAGCCCTGTGATTTCACAGTTTCCGTATGAGAGAAAAAAGATTTTGAACGTACTTTTTGCTCGTCCGACGCGACGAGCAATATGAGTTGCAAGAGTGGCAGAGGAGCGTCCGGACGTTTCTTGTCGAGTTCGATCGTAGATTTTCCGCTCGTTTGTATGGTGGTGGAGTGACATAGACAATCATTGTTGCACAAACCACAAGACGAATACCACTGGAACATGTGCCTGTGACCAACTCGTAGCTTCGTTCGCAACATTCGCGGCGGTGCAAGACCACACACACACACACACACACATATACCCACGACACGCGGATGATTTTAATTATTTTTCTTCGAACCAATTTTTAGGGGGGGAAAGGAAAAAGCGATAGGAAGCAAAAATAAAAGGAAGACAAACAATATCCTCTGCGTCGTGAGCAACCCGCATCTTCCTGCAAGATGTCGGAGACAATGGTACTTATTTGTTTCTATTTCTTGATGAAGCTGATGGCTTCGTGATGGTTGATAATCCAAGAAAGTGTATGCATGTTTTTGGTTTCTTCTGGTATTGCACAGCACCGAAGAGAAAAAAAATCGACAAAAAAAAACAGCTCACTTGCGACATGGAGGAGGGCTCCGAGATGAGACAAGACGCCATCTCACAAGGTGCCCTGGCCGTCCAAAAGTTCGAGACCGAAAAGGACATAGCAAAACACGTACATTTTTGTCCTTTTCATCTTCTGCTGTGTCCTCTTTGCCATTTCTGCCGTTCATATTTGTCTCTCTCCTTCTGACAACTACTGCGGCAGCAGTAGGTGCATCCACAACAGCTACAGCAGCTAGCAAAATCATGATATAATGCCAAATCACAGATAAAAAATTTCTTCGACGCCAAGTATGTTCCCGGGTGGCACTGCATCGTAGGGAAGTCCTTCAACTGCGCAGCAACGTTTGAGGCAAAAACATACGCGTTTTTCCAGATCGGGCCCATGATGGTACTATAAACCTTTGCCTTTGGTACCAACATGCAGGTTCTTTGCATTCGTATGTCTGGTAGGTCAAGCAAGAGATGTGTTGAGCACTACACAACCCGGCCCTTCTTACGCTGTTGACTCACTACTACAAAAAACCTAACAGATACTCCTCTTCAAGTCCTAACGTGCGGGCTGCTACGCTGCTACTTCCCCCCTAGCGGAGCCGCACCAGTACAAGTTCGGGAAAAAAAATGAATATCAATGTACGGAACCAAATTACACTACACTACCCTCACCCCTGATCACCTCGTGCCTCGACCTGACCGCGACGGCGATAGCACGACCTGGCGATACCTCATGCTCTGACACACTTGACGCTTACTACCTTAAAACTTAATAGATTATACTTACAAGAACTCGTTCGGAGGAAGGATTTGGAAAATCACTTTAACTCACACTTACTTTTAGAGAGCTTGCTGACAACGATGTTGAACAAATGGAAATATATCTAGAACACTGGGTACGCGAAGAGCTCCTCGCGCAGAAGATAACACTTGCTTGCAACGGTTACGTCCACTGTTAATGCTTTTGAAAGAATGGATCAGTCGCACGCGTGCTTTGTGCGTGGTGCTTGACTTCTGGGCGCGAAAGTCAAGTCTACCCGGGCGTTCTTTGTCCTCGAGGAAGCGCGCAACTTACATCACTAAGCGGTCTGTGATAGTCCGAGATAGCATGCAGGTCGTGGTCAGTTTTGTTGTTTTTTCCTCCCACTCGAAGTGTAACGAAGTCTAAGGCTCGAGCTCGTCCTTTTCCGACCTTGCGTAGTTTTTTTTTTGTGGTGATATCTGTTGACGAGCTCCTTCAACGCGGTGAGCTCGTCATTTTTTTGTTTCTCTTTTCTTGAGAGAAAGCCTCCAGAGTGACAGTGAGCGTTTTTATTGAGGTCGTATCTTTTTTTCCTTTTCTTGTTTCTGATACCTACGACGGGATTTCTTTACTCTATTACTATTTGCGGCTTTTTCGCTTTAAAACGCACGTCAATAACCCGCACTTCGGACAGGACGAAGTGAGAAAAAAAATTTCTTCGTAGACTATTCATTTCAACAGGAAGCGAGGACCGTAGAAGCGATAAAGTAAATCTCACAGCACACAGCCATAGCCATGTCGTGCCTCGGCGGGCACAAGCAGGGCGAGCTGATGTACATGACCCAGTACGACCTCGCCCGCATTCCTGAACTGGCCGAAATCGTGTTCATCCCCTCTATTGCCATGTCGGGCGGCAAGCCGCAGCTCCGCACCGACCCCGATCTTATGGACTCACGGCTGCACGCATACTTTCCCGACCGCTCTGCCTACCGCACCGGTCTCGAGAGGGCAAACGAAATCCTGCGGGAGAACTGGGGAGCGGACGGGTATGTTAATGTACTTACACTGTTTTGAAAAGTTTTTGTTTTTCACGACCGTGACGACGAGTTGAGTTGGGCCGCCAGGTCCTTCGGTTTATCCATAGTACTCAAATGGAAAAAAAAGGTACTGGCACCGGCTGTCACCAAAAGGCACGGAGTTGATGCGAGATTGCTGCAGGTCAATGAGCAAGTATCGGAAAGAAAAAGACCACTATACTACGACCTATTTTTGTCACCAGCGTCGACACAGTCAGATTTATCTTGCAGAGAGCGAGACAATGTGAATGCTCTTCTTCTTTTTTTTTTTCATCTTCATCAAGCGAGTCTTCTATCGGAGTCATTTTGGATCATGTTAGAGTGGCTTTTTCCTTTCATAGAAGGAGGGGAAATATGAAATGCAAAAGCATCGTACTAGTGTAAGTCGCATGACAAAGCTCCTCTTTCATCTCAGCATGAGAAATAAGATTTGTGATGCGGATTTAACTTGAGAAAGAGATTTGTAATACATGACTGCGATTACTACGAGTACGATATTTTTGCACCGGATAGGAAAGACCGAGCTCCAATTTTGGCTGGACTACAATCAGGACATGTGCAGGTAAGTGCCACGATTAAAATTAAAACTTCGTTTAATTTGCAATGCGTGTTGTCGCATCAGGAATTTGCACTGTCATGCACAATGCCAATGGTGCTTCACAATAATCTATCATCCTGTAGATTCGACGTGTTCGCCTGCAGTGTGGAGCCAGCGTTTCGCCTCTGCGTGGTCGTGCCCATGGAATTTAACCCGAAGTCGACCCCGGATGCGCTTGCCGCCGGGGAGGGAAGAGGGGTCTACAAAACGCTCCTGGAGGAACTCCCATACAGAACGGACAAAGACGTGCGAGAGACGGTAAAATAAAGCGGATAGATTTATTTTGTCTGCATAAAAATTTCCATTTGCTCCTCGTCCAACACAGCATGCTAATCCAATCGTGGTCAACATGCTCATGCAAGAACGCGTTTCTTGCTTGTTTCGCTATTCTACTACCCGTAGTTGTTCTTGATCTATTACTTACTTATACTGAGCACTCAACCTCATCAGGCCACCGTGGAGCTGAAAGATCAGGAAGTCGAGCTCGTGTTGCGCCCGGATTTCGCGGTGCGCGGGTATGACTGCGGCGACGGGTGGCTGGAGGTGCCGGGCGATCTGCGCAACCTGTACCTTCCCCTTTCTGAACTGCAGGAAATGAAGGATTTGTCGGGGTTGGCGGAGCCGGGCCAGAAGTCGATGTAGTGCTATGATTGCGGCTGCACATCAAAGGACCACTAATGAAATCAAATTGGCTTTCTTATGTTGTTGTGATGACTATTTCACTCCAGCTTCAAGTTCAACTTGACTGTAACTGTTGGTGCTGCAAAAGCATTAGCATCGAAAAGCTACAGAGGTGAAGATGACAGAAAAAAAGTTGCAAAAACATCGTTCCACCTAATTATGAAGTATAGATTTTTTCCAAAATAGCGCGTAATAACTAAGACATCCATGCTTTTGGATGGTGTTTAAGCACCACCGGAGTTGTGGAAGCGATATGGGCACCAGTGTCGCGTTTTAAGATAGAGCACAGTGACAGAAAACAAGTAGCGTTTGCGCGAGGCATGAAGAACATGAATTGTGACATGAAGCACGTGGTTAGAATAAGTAATCACGGGTCGGAAAGATTGAGAACTTGAAGTATTTAAACATTGAATGCGCATAGAAATGAGATTAATGCTGCCACTGTATACCATCATGCATAAGAGAATGAACACGTGAAGTCGATAACTCCGAAAAAGAACTCAGTGTAGACACACGAGCCGCCGCCACGTACCGAGTGCTGTATTCATCACGAAGAATGTCGTGATATGTAGTGAGGTCATGTGCAATCGCCCGCATCTGGCCCACCTTTTGATGAGGAGAGGCTCGTAGTGCCGTTACAGATCATCCAGTTCCTAAACGCACAGATCAGGACAGGAAAAAAAACGAAGTGACAATTGTAAAGTTCTTGTGGGTCCGATCTTCTAGTGGTAGCACCGATCCTGATTTTGTTTTTTTTTTCGGTGGTTTTTGCATGATCATGCACGAAATGTGTTGCCGCGGTTGGGGATAGTGCAAAAAGACTGCTTTGTGACTTCGAGTTCATGTTTCCTGCAGTGCAGCCTAACACATCAGACAATCAACGCCAAGTGAACTTCAGAGTGCCACAACTTTCATATTCATATATAGTACATGCAAAATCAGACTCAGATGAAAACCATGGAGGCATTTCCTGGTGGAACCAACTTTTCCGTAGGGGAGACCGTCCGTGTCCGAGTGTCCGAGCAAGAACAGCGACGAGCGACAATTTCCTTTCTAGATGACGACACCGTGGATTTGTTGCTCGATGCGTCTCTGTCCCCAGAGCAGCAGCAGTACAGCCTAAGGCAAAGCACGACACAACAAGAGGACGATAAAACGTTACATTCTACTCCCACAAGAGTAAATATCGATGGCGACGGTCCGAGCGACGAACTGTGTAATATTCCTGTTTCCAAGCTCACCCCACTTCTCGGGTTCGAGCGCGAACTGCTGGAGATGCGGGATCCAAAGATTCGACGGATCGAACAGAGTTGTGAAGATGAACCAGAAGACCAAAACTATTTAAACAAACGATGGGATCTTGCGTTCTTTCGCAAGCTGGTCATCGGCGCGGCCATGGGCGGAGGAGGTGGTGCGACGTCATCCTCGAGCAGTCGAGAAAGTTGGTCAACGCAACACGTCCTTGCCGCCGCCTCGCGCATCAAGGAGGACGGGAACCTTTTGTTCAAGAGACAGGACTACACCGCCGCATTCGAGCACTACACGATTGGCATCGACGGCATGAAGGTACTGCAGGTTTCGCCTGTAGAAGACCAGTCTTCCAATTTTATTCCGTCGTGCATCCTCGTTCAGGACCCGACGGATCCCGGGAGCCTGTGCCTCGCCAGCAGAAGCGCCGCGAGGAGTAATAAAGGCGAGAAAAATAAAGGCATAATCGTGGTCGATCGGACGACCACCGGGGCGCTGTACCTGAACCGCGGCAGGTGTTTGGAGAAACTCGGAAAATTTTTGGAAGCCGCACAGGATTTCACCGTGGTCATCGGCCTCTACAGTGATTTGGTCCTCAGCAGCACAACATCTTCACAGGGATCCTGTGCTGCCGGAACAAATAGTAGCGAAGACCCCCCGCCGGCGGCGTCGAATGTTCTTGATTTCGAAGTAACCGTCTCGCCGTCCGACGCGCGAGAGAAAGTGTCCAAAGCCTACTTCTTACGCGCGAAGACGAAGCTGGCCCGGAAGAAGTTCGACCACGCGCAGCGCGACGTGCAGAGCGGCAAGGAACTGTTGCTGATGGACGGGAGACCTGATCTTGAGTTTCGCAAGCTCGAACGGGAAATCGTGATCGCGCGAAAATCCTTCGTCCAGGGTAACAAGAGCATCGCCAGGGAAATTGCGAAATGGGCGGACAGTGCCTTGGACGACTTGAACGCGAACGGAGGAGGGGCTTCGGGTTCGTCGGAGGATGTAATCGCATAGTGAAAAATAAACACAAGAGAGCATGCTTTCTTTGAGCATTCATGATATTGCTCGCCGTCGCCCGTGTGGTCTTGCAAATGCGCTATGCGAGAGACATTTAGATCGGCGACAGCGTCCTCGTCATGCTGGTTGTAAAAGATAAAGATACCAGCGCTGCTATACCAGCTCTGCTATGCGTGGAAGATTCGACGTTCGCCAATTCATGTGTCACCTCTTCTACGCGCAAGCGGCAATAAGTGAATCCACACGACGTATCTGCGAAAGTAGTGCAAGCAGGGACTCGACACCGGTATGATGATGTTCCTCCTCGACTCTGGTGTGAGTGTGGTGTTTTCGTGTTTGCCACCAGCAAATAATCCGCCATAATCAAGAATATGTTCTTTGTCGTCTCTTCGTTGCTGTTCTGTTGATTTCACTACAGCTGATCGCAGTAGATGATCTCCAGTATTGTGCTAATTGTAATTTCATCGTAAGAAGTGCCACTTGCTTCTGCTTTACGACAGCGAAACCAGACATCATGCTCTTTTTGTAGCCATTGTGCGCCTTAAAAAGCCAGAGTAGTTCTTCGAAAGTAAGCCTTGTCTCACTCTCATTAATAGTTTTCACCTCTGTAAAAATACCTATTGCTATTTATTCTTGGTTTCAGTGCTGGCTGCTCGCTCTCCACAAGAATTGCCTGCTCAGCTACAAGACCAAGAGGCGCCATCACTTGACTGTACAAAATACCCACATTCATCAAGCATGCTGCTTTCCTACTGGACGATTCCCTACGTGGCGATTCCCGATGCCCGATTGGTGTACCTGTACAATTTTGGGTTTGTCGCCATTTTCAGCTGGTTGTGTTTCGACGTCTTTGTCGGCCAGTCGTATTTGGAGTCTGACCGCCTCCAGGGGGTCGCGCGCCTGCGCTTGCGAAATGGCCCGACTGCTAGTGGAGGTAGTGGCCACGATTCTGGAGGAGATGAAAAGCGACTGGAGCTACAGAAGACCCTCTCGTCTAGCGGCGGGTTTTCGTCGAACAACAGTACCAATGATTTTGTCACCGCTTCAACATCAACATCCGCCGGAAGTCTTCTTGTTGCACCATGCGGACGATTGTTTGAAAGCGCTATACTTGATGGCGAGCAGCAGGAACACGCCACGACCAGCGATGTAGTTGAACATCAAAACACAGCGACATCAAGACTTTGCACGCATTGGGACGCCGACGCGACGGGGCGGTCTGCTTCGAGCGAGTTGTTCGTTGTAACAAGGATTAAGGACGTTGTGGAAAAGTGTGAGTATTCTATTCCAGGTGCTGGGCGGGGTCGCACGAATCATCTTCCTCCAAGTAGTGGTGGACCAATTTCCAGTTCGCCTACAGACTCGTCATCATCAACATCACAGGACGGGGATTCGAACTCTGCTGATGGAGGTGGACGTGGTAACAGTATTCATAGGAGCGCTGTTTCATCAGCCCCCGCCGGTTATTTCAAGCCACCAGACGAGTCTTTTCATTATCAAGAAGTCGACGACGCGGAGTGTCCTGTTCCTTGGACGCGTTTGTCTCGGAAGGACTATGAATTGCAAAAATGTCTGGGTCTGGAAGATTTCAATTTGTCATCGTAAATCTGAAGCATGCGAAAATCTGCGTTGCATGAGTCCCAAAAGCTGCACACTTTTGACCAGGTTGGAGGGGAGTTTCTCATGCAGGATAGGCACGGCAGAGACCTCGCAGAGTCTGTCATGCTAAGTCCCGCATTCCAGACCTCATGGGCCATGAAAAATCTGCATGACAAGTCTACACTTTTCCAGACCCAGACATTTTTACATTTAATAAGGACCGTTATGTGGCCAATCTTCCGGACTTCCGCGTGGCCGTGACTGCGCATGCCGAGGCGGTGGAATTTTGCTCGGAGTATCGGAAGAACCGGAAAAGGTGTCCGTTCCTGTACTCCACCACGGACCCGGCCGTACGAGGTGAGTTTCTCGGGTTCGACGGCGTTGTAAAACAGCCATTTCCAACTGTCGCGGTCCACCTCGCGGAAGATCCTCATATAGGAGAAGCGGGCCGCGAGCGATCTGATGCAGGACGAGCTGACGAGAGAAATAAAAAGAAAAATTCGAAAAAACACAAACCGAAGACGTCCCTCGACGTTTCCCTCGGGCAGTTACTTTCCGCCGCTGGCATCGACTCGCTCGACGAAAAGCAGCCTGACGACACGGTGGTGCGTGAAAAGGGCTCGGTGCTGGTGCTGACCCTACATTTTGCACCGGACGAAGAGCAACTGTCCTTTTGGAGTTCAGCAATCGACAGCAATCGAAACCGAAGCGTCCCCGCGAAATACACCGCCACTGTCGATCGCATTCCCTTTTCTGAATACAAGTTGAGGGAGGTGCAGCCAATTGCAATTTCTAAAATGATTAGTGGGAAGATGAACACAGATTCATCGAGAATATTCACCACGCCCAGCGAGAGCGACGGGAACATCATGGGTGGAGCGTCTTCACCGGTGCCAGAGATCAGTCACGGCCCAGAAGATGACCATCCAGGCGCAGATCCCGAGCGTCGTCCTCCGCATCTTCTGCCGAACAAACATTCCCATTTCCGACGCGTGCGCACCCTTCATGGTATTCAGATCAAAGTCGTGCTTGCCGGGTCCGCGCGTCGGTTTTCCTGGGCCGCGGTGGTGTCACAGGCGGTGCTGAAGTTTGGCTTGTTGGGCTTGCTGTCGCAGGGGCTGGATTTGCTGTGGCAGTACGTGTATCCTGTGCAAAAGTATCGTATGTAGTGAGGTCACCGAACGGTTCTAACCAGGGAGTTTTTTTGCCATATACCCTGAAAAACGACCGGCAGTTTTCAAGCGGCCGGAAGCGTTTTTGGACATAAAAAATTTGCACTTATCAAGCGGCCGGGGCTTTGTTGTCAAACAAGCCCGAGCCAATTCTATCGATTCGCACTGGATAAAACGACGCAGGGGAGCCGGCAAAAGGGGCGCCCTTCTGAGGCGCCCGCCGCCTTGGTTTCTGGCGATTTGGGGCGCCCAAAAAGGGGCGCGCAAAAAACGCGCCCAAAATCAGAACAGCGAAACAGCATGGCACGGCCGCGATTTCGGAGCATTTTGGGCGGCCGCGAAAGCGGCCGCCTTTTCGTCGGTTTTAGAGCCTGGGGAGCTTTGCAAAAAGCGCCGACGTGAAAAATAAAAACGCGAAAAATAAAAAGCGCCCCAGACGCGCAAAGCCAATCCGCATGCTATGGGCCCGGTTTTGCTTCGCTTTTTGGGCGCCCCCCCCTGGCAACCGGATCGGTCCCATAGCATCGGGGCTGGCTTTCGGAAAGGAATTTTGGAAATGGGCCAAAATTTGTGACGTTTCCTAAGTGGCCGCCATACCGTGCGGCATAACGTTACTTGGAGGGGAGGAGGGCAGTATTTTCGATGTGGAGAACTTTTTTGGAATTTTTCGCCGAGCCTTTCAAACACAATGGTCCGTGGTATTCCAGGTGGGAAAGAGTTTATCCCCCACCCGATATTGCTTGGTGGTGATGGCGATCGTTGTTGTCGTTCTGGTGATGTGGGTCGGAGACCGGGTTGCAAATTTTCCTTGATTTTTCGCAGGTCATGGGGTGGGGCATGAAATGTAAATCAGGGCGGAGGGTAGAGCCATGAGAATAAGTCGGACGTGGTTTTTTTTTCTTTGCCGTTTTCCGGTTTCTAAAGGAAAAACACAAAAAAAGGGAAAAAAAACTTTCAAAAAACTTTTCAAAAACTTCGAATCACGAGCGGACTCCAACTTTTTCTGAAACATTGCGAAAGTTTTTGAAAAGTTTTCGGAAAGTTTTTGAAAAGTTTTTTGCGATTTTTTATGTTAAAAATCGATTTCCATTTTTTTTGGGGTCGCCTGATTTCGTTCCAAAGAATGGGCACCATACCATGCGGATTTGTGTTCCGAGTCGCATTCTTTTTCTTCTGGATATCGTTTCCCATTTTGCAAAGTTTCCAAAATGAAAAGAAAAGTGTCGCCCGCTATAATTTTTGGTAGGGTGGTCAAGAGGATGGGAGGATCTCCGTCGGTAGCTTTGGAGATGGCTCGGCGAAAAATTCCGAAAAAGTTTGGCGCCTCGGTATTAATCCAAGCCCTCCACTCCAACGTTACTCGCGGCGGTATGGCGAGCCCAGAAAAAGCAAAGCCGCGGCCAAGGCGGCGGTCGGCAAAAAAACGTCCACGACCTCACTACCCCCGCCCCGGCGGCTATATTTGGCACTCGTACTAGTTGCAATCAAGCACTACAAGTCTCTTTCTCAAGGTGAATTAGCATTACAAATTCAATTTGTAAAGCTGGGCTAATTTGTAATGCAATTTATACTAGTGCGATGCTTTTGCATTGCATAACGTGTTTCCCTTGGTGGTCGGTGTCGACTACTCGCGGCAGGTCTACTCGCAAGTCAAGAACCAGTGCTAGGAATTATGCGCCGGGAGCTCCAACTCATAGTACTCCGCGCAATTGTTGAGGGTGATGCCTCATTTTCGTGTAGCAGACAGTATGTTTGCCAATTTTTGAAAAGTACATAATATGTAGTGAGGTCACCGAACGGTTCTAGCCGGGGAGTTTTCTTGACATGCATCGCGCAAAACGACCGGCAGTTTTCAAGCGGGCGAAAGTGTTTTTGAGCATAAAAAATTTTCAATTATCAAGCGGCTTTGGCTGTGTCGGCACCGAATCGCCAGCGGATTCTATCGATCGCCGCTGGGTAAAACGACGCAGACAAGCCAGCAAAAGGGGCGCCCTTCTGAGGCGCCCACCGCCTTAGTTTCTGGCGGTTTGGGGCGCCCAAAAAGGGGCGCGAAAAAAACGCGCCCAAAATCAGAACAGCGAAACAGCACGGCACGGCCGCGATTTCGGAGCATTTTGGGCGGCCGCGAAAGCGGCCGAGTTTTCGCCTGTTTCAGAGCCTGGGAAGCTTTGCAAAAAGCGCCGGCGCGAAAAATAAAAACGCAAAAAAGCAAAAGCGCGCCAGACGCGCAAAGCCAGCCCGCATGCTACGGGCCCGATTTCCCTTCGCTTTTTGGGCGCCCCCCGTGGCACCCGGATCGGCCCCATAGCATGGGGGCTGGCTTTCGGAAGGGAATATCGGGAATTTGCCAAAATTTGCGACGTTTATGAAGCGGCCACCATACCGTGCGGCCTAACGTTACTCGCGACGGCATGGCGAACCCAGGAAAAGCACAGCCGCGGCCAAAGCGACGGCCGGCAAGAAAACGCCCACGACCTCACTACCTCCGCCCCGGCGGCTATATTTGGTAAACTAATCCAAGGGGATGCGATGAGCATTTCGTGTGACTTTTTTATTGATGCAGCATAGTCTGCGTCGTGTAGGTACGATGGCAATCTCTTAATCAAACAAAGAGTTCGAAGACCACATGAATGCTCGCGCATGTTGATGTGAATAGAAAGTATCATTTTTCTAGCTCGCTGCAGCGCCGCGTGAATTATCTGTGCTTCGGACGAACATGAAGTGTGAAGCCGCTTTTTGAAGCAGTACTTTGTTTAGTGCAGCGTGAGTGAGCGAGCGAGCTCTGATGTGTTCTAGTTCTGCAATGAATGTGATGGCGCAGGCGCAGCGTCTTGCTGGATTTATTGACCTACCTTTTTAACTCCTTGCATATGCATTGCCACCCTTGCTATTTTTTACCGAAAATGAAATCAAACTTGATCCAATACACCACCAGGTTTCGCCTTTGCAGCGGGTTTTTTGCGGCAATAAATTTATTTGAGTTTAACAGGTGGTGCTTTTTGCAACATTTTTTGCTTTTCGGACCTTTTTTGGTTTCTCCACCACACGCGCGACCGTATTGGTTTTTTCAAACATAATGTTGTCCCGCCTCGCCTTCAGTACGCCTCTAGTCTCTTTTCCACGACGACGGGTGCAGTCCACCAATTTTCCCCACAAGAAATCGAAGGGACCCTCCCGAGCGATGTTTCTCCAGACGAGAAGTTACATCCGGGCTCTTTTCTTTCTTGTGATTGGCAGCGGAAGTCGGAACAGTGGGCTGTGGAACAAGTTGCTTCCGGTTGATATTAGCTGCATCCTACCTGTCACAGCAGCTAGCATGAACCGGTCGTGGATGACGACGGCGTGGTTGCCCGCAAGAACCTCTGCAGAATTGGCTAGCCAAACTACAGCTGCGAGAAACGCTTCTAAATTATCCGCGACCGGCTCAGCGGCCTCTACCTCTGCTTGTTCTACAGGAGTAGTAGAGTCCGTAGTACCCGCAACTACATCCTTTTCCAGCGCAAGCGAAGACCGACAAAGAAAAGTCAACTTCATCGGGAAGGATGAACAACAAGAACAACTGGCACCACCAGCCTTTCAAGAATACGACCACCAGAAAAATCAACATCAGAAAACCAGCGCTGCAACCCCATCACCATCAGCATCCCGGGCCTCCTCGTCGTCGTCCTCGTCTCGTGCGGCCAATTATTCTGCGGCTTCGAGCGACGGCACCGCTCCGTACGAATTTACCCTTTTGAAGCACCAGGCCGCGGATGCGGTGAGTCGATTACGTCTTCAACGGGCGTTGGCGTACAGAAGGGTGAATTTCCAGTGAATTTGTATTGCGTGACTTGCATTTACTTAAAAGAGAAGTGCGCTACGTATGGACACGAGCCCAAGCATCCCACATAGCCTGAAGGGCTGCTCGCCGCGTGGTGGCGCTTGCAGCACCAAAAGAGGTGGTCTTGCGGGGGCTCGCCGGGCTGTGTAGTGCGTATTTAGCGACCAGAGAAGGTGGGTCGGGGGGCTCTTATGCTTCTGCGCGTCTGCCTCAGAAGTTCCTCTCCGGAATTGTCGAAAGGCAAAGGAAGGGCGACGCCTGAACACAGGGGCACCCACTAGCTCAACACGTACGCTCTCACGGGCTTTGGCTGTGGCGTGGAGTTGGACATCTGGGAGTAGCCTCGGGTGGAAGGCACGACTCGGCCGCGGGCACTAGCTTCCTTCGCCTGCTGTGCCCTGCTTACAACTCCCCAGGTGTGTCTTTGTCTCCGGAGTGAGACATTTTCGAGGTGGCTCCCAGGTCAAGATTTCTCTTGGTGAATTTTGAAGCTTTTTGCTTTTGCGACACTTTTTTGAAGCCCCAAAACCCGGAGTTTCCCACGCGCTAGCGAATTTCGAACAGGAGCCGGAGGACAAAATTCACCGGCGCCCTTTTCAAAATTCACCCCAAAATTCACCGAGCGCCACTTTTCGACCGTGATAAGCAAAGTCTAGCGCAAAAAAGTGCTCAAAAAAGCGCGCGGGTAGGCCCTGGGAAGTGGGGCCGAGGGGAAAAGACAAGCGCCCTCTGCTGCACTCGGCCCGTCTATATTCTGCCGAAAAGGCCTGGAGAGTTCACGCGCCTGCCGGGTAGAGGCGTCAAAGCTCTCGGCCTGGTCCTCTCGCCCTTGCTTTCTCACCTTCTTGCCTAATTTGCATGCGCTTGCTCGCAGCCTTTCTTTTTGGCGTCTTTGCCGCGGCTGCTACAGTGCTCTTATGCAAGCACAGGGAGGCGCATAGACATGGCCAAAGACCAGCACCCAGGCCATGTCTAGAAGAAGTTGCCCGCCGCATAAGCCTTGACTTCTGCGGTGTGCAGAACCCACTTCCCAGAAGGGCAAGAGGGATAATGCCCCGGCGGACTCATCTGCAATCTGTCATGCAAAATTCACTACAAATTCACCACTTCTCATGCTAACGGGTGTTAAAGCTGTAACCTTTTGAAGCACCAGGCCTCAGGCAGACAGGCCCGGGCGAATTCCCGCCCTAATTGAAGCCTAAAAATTTGCTAAATTGCGGCGGCGCCGGGGCCCCGGGCAAGTCCCCCGGGCCCGGCGCCACCTGGGCCCGGCGCAGTCCCTTGGCCGGCCCCTTCTAGAGTTTCGGGGCTTGAATGTTGGGGCCGCTTTTCCCGTACCCCGTCGGACGCCGGGCGGGTCGCCCCTTCGGGGCGAAGCTTCGCGCCTTGGGCTGCCGGCTTCGTTTTTCGGGCTCCCCCTGGGGCCTTTCGGTTTTGGGCCATGGAGGGCGCAGGAGTCCGCTAAATTTTCCGCTAATTGCCCGCTAACCCGGCCCCCAAATCGCCCCAAAAATGCCCAGAACCCTCTTGCTAATTGGGGGGGCTAATAGTCCGCTAAATTTTTGGCCCCTTCTGATTTTGGGTCTGCTAACCCGTCCGCTAACCGTGCGCTAACCTAGCGCTAACAGTCAGCTAATCTGTTGCTAATTGCGCAGGGTATCGGAATCCCAATGCGATTTCCCTGTGCTCCAAACGCACAGGGAAAATCCCATTGGATTTTTGGCCTTGAGCAAAATGGGGGGGTCCATTTAGCAGCAAATTAAAGCCCCGGTTAGCAGACATATTAGCAGACCCTGAAAAAAATTAGAACCCAATTAGGGGCCCAATTAGCAGAGGGATTCTGGGACCTGGCTGTGCCATTTAGCAGACTCCCGGGGGAGGTTCTGGGGGCACTCGGGGGGCAAATTAGCAGACAAAATTAGCAGACAAATTAGCGGTGGTGGGCCCGGCCATTTATTGTTGTGTGGTGTTGGCCTGGTGTGTGGGTTCTCAATGCTGGGTGGAGGAGGTGGGCTCCCGGGTTTGTTTTCCTTCTTCGCCTGTGCCTCGTCAATCGCGGCGGCCTTCCTTCGGGCGCCGCCCGCCTAGCTCCGTCTGCTCCCGTTTTCGTTTTGGGAATATTTTCCGGTCTGGGATGGTTTTCAAATTAGCAACTTTTTAGGGCCCGATTAAAGTTGTTAGGTCGCCCGGCCTCGTCTGACTGACAGGCCGCGGATGCGGTGAATCGAGCAGCCCGCGACTCATATTGTACGAAAAAGGAAAGAAGGCAGGGGCGCCGGCAGAAGTCAACACGCGGGAGCGCCCGGGCCAGGCTTTACAGCGCCGGCTATGTAATCCCGGGGAAAAGTAAAGCAGAAAGGGCCAGGGGGGGCTGGGGTGGGGTATCGGGATTGCAGGACGCGCGGGGCCCCATGGTGTGGCCTCCGTGAAAAGCCGGGCGCACCTTCTGCGGGCTTGCCACGTTGGCTTGCCTGCGCAAATTTTCTTCGATTTTGTTGCAGAAGAGAAAAACCCGCAGCGCCCAATCGCCGAACCGGCTGCGCAATTTGTGCAAAATATTTCCCAGCGGGGCCCGATACCGTTGGCGCCCTTTGGGGTTTTTTGGTATCAAGTTCGCCCAGTCCCTTTTCGCGATTGCGTGCGGCCGTCTGTGGGGGCGCGCCCCATTTCCGCTGAGGCCCACGCGTTCAATTGTGGCCCGGCGAGCTGCCGCCCCAATAGAAAGGCCGCAAAGTTTCGGCACGCCGCGTCTGTTTCGCGCGGGATCCTGTGATAGAGAAAATCACAGAGCGCCGCTTCGGGCGGCTCTGTGACCACGAAAATTTTTCATCGGACAGGCCGCGCGATTACCAAAAAGCATCCGGCCGCCTGTGGCGGTGTTCTGGCTTTAGCCAGCGCCCTTGCTGGCTTTAGCCAGCACCCTCGCTGGCTTTAGCCAGAGGCCGGGGGGGTTGAATTTTGTCGATTCTCCCTTCATAGGCACCGCTCCGTACGAATTTACCCTTTTGAAGCACCAGGCCGCGGATGCGGTGAATCGATTATGTCTTCAACGGGCGTTGGCGTACAGAAGGGTGAATTTGCAGTGAATTTGTATTGCGTGACCTGCATTTACTTAAAAGAGAAGTGCGCTACGTATGGACACATAGCCTGAAGGGCTGCTCGCCGCGTGGTGGCGCTTGCAGCACCAAAAGAGGTGGTCTTGCGGGGGCTCGCCGGGCTGTGTAGTGCGTATTTAGCGACCAGAGAAGGTGGGTCGGGGGGCTCTTATGCTTCTGCGCGTCTGCCTCAGAAGTTCCTCTCCGGAATTGTCGAAAGGCAAAGGAACGCCTGAACACAGGGGCACCCACTAGCTCAACACGTACGCTCTCACGGGCTTTGGCTGTGGCGTGGAGTTGGACATCTGGGAGTAGCCTCGGGTGGAAGGCACGACTCGGCCGCGGGCACTAGCTTCCTTCGCCTGCTGTGCCCTGCTTACAACTCCCCAGGTGTGTCTTTGTCTCCGGAGTGAGACATTTTCGAGGTGGCTCCCAGGTCAAGATTTCTCTTGGTGAATTTTGAAGCTTTTTGCTTTTGCGACACTTTTTTGAAGCCCCAAAACCCGGAGTTTCCCACGCGCTAGCGAATTTCGAACAGGAGCCGGAGGACAAAATTCACCGGCGCCCTTTTCAAAATTCTCCCCAAAATTCACCGAGCGCCACTTTTCGACCGTGATAAGCAAAGTCTAGCGCAAAAAAGTGCTCAAAAAATCGCGCGGGTAGGCCCTGGGAAGTGGGGCCGAGGGGAAAAGACAAGCGCCCTCTGCTGCACTCGGCCCGTCTATATTCTGCCGAAAAGGCCTGGGGAGTTCACGCGCCTGCCGGGTAGAGGCGTCAAAGCTCTCGGCCTGGTCCTTTCACTCGTTTTTTTGCGCCTTCTTCCCTAATTGCATGTGCTTCGCAGCCTTTCTTTTTGGCGTCTTTGCCGCGGCTGCTACAGTGCTCTTATGCAAGCACAGGGAGGCGCATAGACATGGCCAAAGACCAGCACCCAGGCCATGTCTAGAAGTTGCCCGCCGCATAAGCAAGCCTTGACTTCTGCGGTGTGCAGAATCCATTTCCAAGAAGGGCAAGAGGGACAATGTCCCGGCGGACTCATCTGCACTTTGTCATGCAAAATTCACTACAAATTCACCACTTCTCATGCTAACGGGTGTTAAAGCTCTAATTAATCGAGCCCGCACGTACGAATTTACCCTTTTGAGGCACCAGGCCGCGGATGCGGTGAATCGAGCAGCCTTTCTTCGTCGTCATGGACCAAGTCTTCAAGCAAAAGAGCACCAATCCTCGATCCCGTCGCGTCGTGCTGGGACGTCGAGCAGACGAGATGAAAGTACTTCTAGAAATTCCAATTCTCTACTAACTGGCAGTAGAATTATCCGAATCCCCGGAAATCCAAACGCTCAGCCTGAGCTAGTTGCCGGCAATACTCACGGAACAACCGCCACAGGACGAGATACTGCCCTCGACGCGGCCCCGCGGAGACGCGCCTCGAACTTGACGCGGCGGGCCGAGAATGAACTTCTCGCTGCGCCGGCGCAGGATCGCGTCGCGCTAAGACAAAGTGCGGCCTCGTTCGCACACACGTTCGTCCAGCCGAAGCAGGTTTACAACTCTGCAAGTGGCCCACCACCTGCAGCTTCGCGCCCTTCTACCGCGAAGATTTCTGCAAAGTTACTCACTTCCAGTGCGGACAAGAAAGATGCCCCACGGGTGCGGAGGTCGACCTGTGGGGGCGACATGGTGTTCCGATCGTCCGGGCAACGACCGAGGTGGACGGTGTCTTTGTCTTGCCTGCCGCAAAGCTTGCTGCGACTCCGTTCACTTTTCAATTTCAGCGCAACACCGAACGGTCAAGCGGGACGGGAGGACCATGACGGCGGTGTCGGTGTGACATTGCGGCAGACGGAGTGTCACTGCCCCTGCAAGCCATACACGATGCTTGCCAATTGTATTGATCCCCCGATCGCCAGTGTCTCGCCCGCGTTGGTCCGGCATCGGGTTTGAAGTAGATAATGTCTGTTTGATTGTTTTCTACCGCAAAGAGTTTTGGTTTTGGATACAAGAACACATGCACTTTTGATATTGATCTACTAGAGGGAGGCAGGAAGACGTTGGTTTCTCCGACTCTGTAGCCTACAAATTATATCTCTTTGTGCGCGAGGAAAGATTGTGCGAACAGAAAACTTCCGGTCCTGACTTCGACTTCCTTCAGATGCAGATACGGCATCACTGTTCCGCGGAAACGTCGAAACACGGATGAATTTATTTATTAACTTCCTGTCATGTCTACGACTGACAGCAACGCTTCGGCTTCGAAGTTGACTCGAATTTTGGCTGCTGCATCATACATTGCTGGGGAAAGACCCTCATCGCATGGAGGTGGAAGAAAATTGCTTTCATACGGTGTGCAGACGAAGACATTATGTCGGACGCCGATTTCTAATTCTAGTCAAGAACATTGTGTCATGTGATTGTTCCACCTTTGCTAGGTCTAGTACTTTTTTAGCTGTCTTACAAATTCTTCTCCAAGCAAGAAACGCGTGCCTTAAGTGTTGTGTTGTCGCTTCAACGTCAGAGATCATTCATTCGCACAGGAAATCAATGGCTTCTCGATCCCAGCGAATCGTGCGTGATCCGTTTCTTTCTACGCGATGATCATGTTCTTGTTTTGTAGAGATCATTAGGTGAAGTGCCAGTAGTCCGAAAAGTTCAACGGATAAAAGAGGGCCTCACCGTCTGATAAGATCACGGCTTTTACCGGAGGAGGAGTTCTCAGGCGGCAAAGACATTTGTTCGTCCGTATACATAGATACAAACTAACACGAGCAGTCAAAAACAACACGAACCGGGACGAACTTCGTTCCTTTGTTGGTTTGTGTTTGTGAAAGTGCAGAATAGCTCCATATAGCTTCATCGCTCTGTTGTCACCATGGTGAAAAAGAAAATGGTTTCTGCAGGCGGCTCCAAGGCCCCAGTCATGAAAAAAGAGACGAAGGCTCAGGAGAACACGGATGGTGCGAAGCCTCAGGAGGAAAGCACGGGGGGTAAGAAAGCCGCTGGTACTAAGGCGAAGGCGAAATCGAAACAGAGCAAGCCAAAGCCTGCGATGGACACTATTAACTTGTACGTGATTTATCGCAAGTGGCTTGAGGATTCTGAACCGGGAGAACCCTATTTGGATGAGGACACGGGAACGGACCGTATAGAGATCTTGTGCGCCTTCAAAAATTTGGACACCGCACGTGCGCACGCTTTCCGCCTTGGGTTGCAGAAAAACCCGGACGTGTTTAACATGCTGCCGAAGTTGCATCTTGCAGAGACGGAGCAGAAGCCGGGACGGAACTTTGGGAAGACGTTGAAGAACGAGCTAAAGGACGACAACGGGTGTGAAATCGACGGGCTTGACTTCAAAGCCGTTCTTGATGGGACCACCGGGCTGGACGAACAGAACTACGACCGCGAAGAGTCACTACTTTACTATGAGCTGCACGATTACTTCGATCCACACGACCCGGACATCCCGACGGTAAAGGGTTCGAAGCTGCCTTCTGCCGTTGAGCACCTCTGCATCCAGAAAGTGAAATTTTCTCCAGACCAACACCACGTGCCGCCCGAGCAGGAAAGGGACGAGGACGCGGAGTACGTCTATGTGGTTTGGGAGCAATGCAGGGGTGGTGATGGTGAGAGCTGTAGTAATTCTTTCCCCTTGGGCCTTCGCGTGTACGGAGACAAAAAAGCAGCCGCAGCGTCCGTCTGGAAGGGTTCCACGGTCTGGGATTTGCAGAAGGGAAAAAAAACGTTTGGAATCCACAAGCAAACCGGTCACGACCGCAGACACAAAGGTGTCCCGTTCAATGAAATGGACAATACCGAGAACCCGCCCGACTCTGGTGTTTTGTTGAGCACCGACTTCTACGATGACGGCGACGGGGAATACAGCGTAAACATCGAAAAAGTTCAACTCTTATAGCTGACCTCCCACTTCTGCTGGGAAGATAACGGTAGTGATACAGAAATCAATGCGGATTCAGCTGCAAAGAAATGCAGGCGCATTCCCCCTGTTATATATACAGCTCTTTGCTCCGCCGGAGTTTATTGAATGATGTCTAGTCAAAGGGAAAGGCTTTGGTATTCGTAGTATCGAGATTGAAGTGGATCACTACTTAAGTGGTGAAGCAGCCAATCGCTGCGAGGTACAAAGTGTTCTTGTTCATATTGAACGCTCATAGATCAAATTCGCCAAAAGATGCCGATCAGGTTCATTAAAACAAATCGCATTGAGAGCAGATCTGAATGAATCGCCACAAAAGTAGCTCGCTGCTTTTGCGTGCATCTTTTTTCCTTTATATTGTCGAATCATGATCTTCGAGCCTACAAGCAAGCAGCCTTGAAAGTAATCGGTAACCACAGGAGATCGAGATCTTAATATTGATGTTGATCGGTATTTTAGAAAAATAAGCGTCATGAATCGGAAAACCCGGTTGGTGGACTTCCGTGACCTCCGGAGATCAAGATCTTACTAGTGATCGGTTTTAAATCGAGGTCAACATGAGTCGCTAAACCCTGTTGGCGGTGAATGGATCAAAGTCACTCTCGATTTTTTTGGTCTTCGCAAATGCAAACGAGCACGCATGTCGCACTCATAGGTTTGATTTTCAGCAGGTTTTTTATTCCTTCGGGACACTTCGCCTAGGAGAATTTTCTAACGAACCTGAATAATTCTTTCAAAGTCCGCAAGACCATCATCAAGACGTGCTGGATGAGCAATATATAAATAAGAAAACTCAAAAAGCAAAGGAACTGAGAGTGTGCCAACTCCGCCAGTCCCAGCTCGGAAAAAGTTTTCCGCTGACAATATAAAAAAAAAATAGTCTCCTAAAGTATCCGAGCTGCATCAGTTAAAAAGCTACCCTGTCGTTCTTTTAGAACACTAAAGGTCTTCACTTTATTTCCCTTTCATATTTATTGGTAGCTACAGCTAGTATTAACCCGCACGCGCAGCCCACATTTAAGCTGTCTCGCCCGAAGAAAGCAAAGCTCAACTAAAATTTTTGTATTTCAGTCAGTCACTGCCATACGTATAATTTCAACTTTATTTTTTTACACTTTGCTTCTTTCTATACGCAAAAGCTAAGGGCCACGGTGGAGCGCGAGCGCCGCTAAGTAAAAACAAGACTATTGTACCTCTCGCAGGACTCACTCGCGCACAGCAACAAGATGCTGGGCTTTGTTCGATTGGTCTTCGTCTTCAGCTGCGCGGGCGGCACGGTAACTCCGTCCAATCTGCGGATGTTGGTGCAAGGGCTCTCGATCACGTCAGGCAAGCCGTCCAATGACTCGTTGACGAAAAGTAGCGGCGGCACTGGTGAGTCTGGTTCTCTAGCGCACCATCAAAAGATCACCTTTCGGTATACCGCGCCGTACAAGGGCAACGCTGGAAACACGCATTATGATTATCTGCAGCGGCAGATCGAGTGCCGTGGAGATGGTTGTATCCCACAGAACTAGTTGCAAATTACACCCATGCGACCGGGCAAACTGCATGATCGAAAACTGGTTAGATTGCTTCTGTCGCGGTGCTATTAAACCAAATGAAAGTATGTACATATACAACTTCTGGTGTACTAAAGTTTTTGCATGACACACAGTATACGCGGATCTGGTGGCATGGGTGTGAAGATCATTTTCCCCTGGACACGCACCGTCGAGGATTCCCATTCCGACTTCTGCACTACGGACGACGACACAGACAGGTTTCTTCTGTTCACCGACGCAAGCGTTCGGAGAAGTAGCACCAGCACCCGCCCACGCAACATTGGAGCAACTTCATCTACTACGCCTACTTTTGCGCAATTGGGGATCGTCGCTTACAACACGCGCGGCCTGGCGGAAGCCCGGAAAATCACGGAAGAGAAAGCCGCCTCCGAAGTGATCGACTCGCTTTACGACCGCGTTCCGGACATACTTGCCGCGGGGTTGGGGCAAATCCGCTTCAAAGAGGCACAGAAGCTTTTGAGGACACCAGCACGTCGGGGGGTGGGAAAGGAACCATCGACGGAAGACGAGAGAGCGTTTTTGTTTTATTCGGACTCCTGGAAAGATAATGCGCTGACCGCCGTCGCCGAGGGCGAGGCATTGCTGCAGGGACTCAATCTGGTACACAACGAGCTGCAACGGATGAAAGCTGAGAGCTCGGAAGTCGAAGGTCGTGCGCCGGCCAGCGAGCGCGCGAAATTGCTCGCATCGACGGATTCCCTCGACTTAGTCCTGGCGCTGGAATGGATTTTTCACGGAGAGCTGCCCGCTCTTGCGGATGTCGTGGACGGCGGAGGACCTGGGGCAGGCCTTGCGCGGCACATGCAAAATACCGTGGCCCAGCCTATGGCGGACTTGTTTTCCCGCGTTGGGCTTACGGCTGCTTTTCGGACCACGTTGGCAAAACTAGCAGCAGGGGACCACACGAAATTTTCTGTGCCGCATGTGGAGATCCTCCAGGTGCGGAGTTCGTCCCGCGTGATTCGCAAGAAACAGGCGGGTCATGCAGCTTTTGGAACCACTTCCAGTTCGGACGAACCTGTGTCCGATGAGGAAGTAGTTCCTAGCGAGGCCACAACGTCGCTCAAGGCCTACACGTTCGGAAACGCCTTGGCGGACCAGCTTGCATCGGGCTTCACATTGATGAACCAAATTGGCGCAGCGCCAGTGGACCTACTGTCAAAGCAGTTCTGTGAGAACCCCGGCGGGTGGCTGAAGAGCACGAGGTGGACAAGCCCCTCGTCTTCCGCGGCCCCTGCAGAACAGGCAAGCGCGAGCAGAAAGCCAAGTACCGCGGCAGGGGCGGCAGGTGCCGCTCCTGTTCCGCCGAAAGATGAATTCGCCAACAAAAAGGCCGACGCCCCGCAGCTGTATGTCAGCTGCAAAGCGATGTTTCAGGATCTGAAGACGCGCCTGAGTAGCGTCCTGACACCGGCGCGCGACGCAGTCGCAGGGATTCAACCACGTGGTCCGTCGCAGACCTCTGAGCTGGAGCAAGAATTGTTAACGCGGTTTGCGAAGTTTGCGCACCTGTATCAGAGGCACAAATATGCAGCTTCAGCGAGGACGTCCTCGCCCCAGGTTGCTCCTAGCTCTGGCGATGTAGTTCTTGCGGCAGCAAAAGCCGACGCATCGCCCTCTGCATTCCATACCGGAACCAGAGGCCGGCCGGCGTCTGCGAGGCGGGGGCGGAAAAGATCGTCGTCCAGTTCCCGTCGTCGTCCAAAGTCCACCTCGCGCTCTCCTTCTCAGAAAATAAGTAGCAGAAGCGCTAGCAGAAGCTCCTCACGCACACAGCAGGATCAGAGTGCGGGCAGCGACGGAGCAACAGAAGATGGTAGTGAGAAAAGTCACGACGTGGTCAACGACAAAAAGCAAAAAGAACCCTGGATGACTCCTCTGGATTGGTTCCGAAGCCAGGCTCAAGTCGCTCTGCAGCACTGTGGCAGTCCGCGCGGTCTTGAATTCGCTTCCAAAAAGCTGACGGATTATCTGAACGTTGCGACAGCAACAGGGGTGGAGGCGCACGAGCAGGAGAGAAGTGTTGGCGCCGGAGGTCGACGTGTCTCCCCCGCCAATGTAGAAGAAGCGCCTGCGTCCGCATTTGATTTTTCAGCCTATCAGGAAGGCTGCGCCAAGTCTTTTCGCGAGCACTTTGGCAATGTTAACAAGTCGTCGGCCCCCTCCCCCTCCGCGGGCATCCACGCCTTGGGCCAATCTTGGCTTCCGCCAGAAGGGGGGGAGCTCTTGGGTCGGCTTTGGGCCCGAATTGCGGTGGTACGCCGGGTGCGCAGCTCGTTGGCCCAGTCACAATCTGTGTTGCGCGCCTTCCTCGCGTCAATTAGTCCCAGCGACGCAAAAGAGGCCGGCGCAGGCCCGTCCAGCCCGGCGCCCGCCGTTGCTGCAGCCGGAAAGCAAAAGAAGAAGAAGAAGAAGCAAGCTGGACCGGCAGACGAGTTGTCGTACCTGGGTGTCGTGCTCGGGACGGTGACGGCAGCTCAATTCGTTTTCAACGAAATGTCGACCTGGGCACCGACGTTTATAGAAAAAGATTTGAACATCCGTACCGCGATCGACGACACTTGGGCGAAAGGGCCTCGACCCCAACTCGGGGGGCGCAAACAGAGCCAAACTCGGGCGGGTACAGGAGCTCAAACGTCGCAAGATGCTTCGTATATTTGGTATGCGCGAATGATGAAGCAACCTATGCAGGTTCTAGGCAACCTTCTCACGACGTTCACAGCGCCACTGCATGCCAACAATGCGGGTATTCGTTTGGCCACGCGGGGAAACTACCGCGCAACCGCCGAACGCGTTTTGGACGAGCTCACCAAAGCTGCAATACCGCTGGCGACGGACCTGCTCGACTCGTTGTTGACAAGTCTCGAAAACTGGGTCGCAACGGTGATTCTGCCATTGAGTACGGAGACATCGCAGGGTATGGGAAAAAATAAATGCACGCATGCTTGCAACTCTGCTCGCGACGCATTGAAGAGCGAAGCGGCTTTCTTTTCGAAGAACCTTGCTAACGAACCTATCGCCGGCTCGATTGATTGGCGCAAAAACGGATTCGAACGAAGGCTGTTGGAGATGCACGTAGTTGCTGCGGCGGTGGAAAAAGAAAAGCAAACTTTGCTTCTCAAAAATCTCCACAAAATCCCAAAGGTGTTCTTGAAACATCAGGGAAGCACTGCCTCGATCTGCCGGGGGAGCGATGTTTTTCGGGCAACTGCCTCCTACGTCAAGAATTTGCAACAGGCGCGCGACGTATACATCCCCGCGCACGAGTTGGTTCTCAGCATTGACTTACAATACGCCGGGATCGACTTCCGTGGTACAACTCCTGAAGCAAAACGACGCTCCACTTCCCCGGCCTTCCTCGCGCCACCGCCTCTGCTTTCGCTCGCCGATCTTCCTGTCAGTCTAATGCAGCAACTCTCGCTCGAGCCAACTACCTTCGCAGCCAACGTGGAGGCCAGATTGTCCGCCGCAGCGTGCACCAGAGGAGGAGCAGGGCAAGACTCCTCTTGTCAGGACGAAGAAGTAGAGGACGCCGTCCTGTACCGGGGTCGTTTCGGCCTCGGGCGGTTGCGCATGAGAGATGCTGAGGGGAAGCGAGAACAGTACTTAGATGTGGTGGAAAAGAGAACACAACCAAGGCCGGACTGGCCGGAGGAAAGGCGTCTCGACCGTCTGTGGTTAGCGTCGCCTTGGGCACGAAGTAATTGGACTAGAAGGCAACACGAGATGAATCCTATGCCGGGCGTAGCAGCAGGAACGGGTCCGTCCGCACCGGCCACGATTGACATGATAGGCGGTGCGGCATCCACAATAGAGCAGATTTTTCGTCGATCGTCCGGACCGTCTGTGGCCTCAGTTGTCGCTGAGAGCTTGGGGCTGGAGTTGCCGATCCGGTTATCAGGGCTGGTGGAGGACCAGGACCTCCAAGATGCCCCTTCAAAGGGCGAGAGGGCTGTGAAGATGGTGATGCGTAACGCTGAAGGGTTGAGTGACACCATCGCACAGAAACTGCAATACGAGGAGAACACGAACACTGCTATTCTGACAGACCTACGTCGCACGAGGCTGGCAGACCAATGTCGCACGGCGGAGTTATTCGACTGGCTTTTCTTGAAAATCCAAAGAAGTGACGGCGATCGGGCCAACATTTGCATTATTGAGTTGGGCCAAAGAGGGATCGTCCAGACTCTGGAACACCGCGACGAGGAGGCGAGAATGATCAGAAAAGATCAAGAACGTGGCTGCGACAAGTTATGGCTGGGTATATACTACTTCTTCTTTCAAGACGATAATAGCCGTCTCCTTTTGTTGGAGAACGCTTCTCGCATCAGAAAGCTGATGCCACAGTCCCTCCCCTATGGCAGCAGGAAGAAAGCGGAAGACTTTGGCGGTGGCGGCTCGACGCTTTCATTTTCTGACGGAGGCGCGCTTGCAGTGAGGCCAAACACAGACTTCGAGGAAATTTTTCCATTTGAGGCGCCCCCGGGCGGAGCGTTTGTGGAGTACCATCCGACCTTGCAATTGCCGGTTGCCTACACCACAGTGGCGGACTTTCAGAGCGGCCCCATGGAGAATAAAGCACCAGAGGGAACTACCCGGACGACAGTGGCAATCTTGTTCTATGACGAGGGGGCGGCAAAGTTTGCCGTCCTACCGATCTCTTCGAGTTCTGCGGGTGCCGCGCAAGAAGAATTGCTACATCCACACCTCGCCGAAACGATGCCTCGAGCGCCATTGCAGAGCTACGATGCAGGTTTGCGGTGGGCCCTCCAACCACGGCAACTCCAGGAGGTGCAACTGGTGTCGCCAAAGTACCTACATGGCACCAGCGTGCGCGGGATAGTGGACTCTCCCGACGCCGATCTCTTTCGGCTTCCCTTCGCGCAAACAAAACGGAAAGCAGCAGGCGCATTGCCAATTATGGACGAGGCACGATGTGTTAGCAGGGAGGACTTTTTCCGCGTGCCAGCTTTTCTCCCGGGGGAGCGGGACCCGTTCTCGTCCAGAGAAACAACATAAAAAAAGACCGCGGCTTTCTCTTTTCTCGTTGCCCGGCTCGCTGTGCAAGAATGCCGGCGGGAAGCTCTACAAACATAGGCAGTAAAACGAAAGTCATAACTTGTACAAAGAAAGAAAAGATAAAAAGTTTTTGTCATTTCTGTTTTGGCATAGTACTACTGAATATAGTATTCCTATTTTTCGCTTGAAATATAGACATGTACTACTCAATTACGTACATGTTTTAAACAACTACTTCTTCCTATTCGCTTGAAATTGAAAACTCGTGCTCGCAACGGGCCACCTTGTATGTCGATCTTCCCGATCGAAGCGTGGATTTTGACTAATGGAAGTACAGTGCAGTAACAGGAAGGTGATTTGCACGATGTACGCGTCACAGGGTGTGTGCTGGCTCCCGGGCGCAAGCACCGAGATCGAAGGACCGTGGTGGTGGTGATGTCCTCTGATATAATCAGTCAGTCCGACCACGCTTGTACTTGTAGCGAAGGACAATCACATTGATGACGTTGTCGTCAGTAAGACAGGACGACGGGAGTTTTTATCTGGCGTAAATACAAGTCTGACAAGACGCTTGCCCCCGATCGGAAGGAGAAGGTCCGGGATCCATTGTTCTTGAGCTCTTCAGTTCTTCTCCCGAAACAGAATACAGATGGTACCTGTAATATCGCGCTCTTGCTCGCCCGGACGGCCCTGTGTCGCTCGGTATGTTTATGTTTTTCCATGATGCACGACAGGCTTTCTAATTCTATTACCGTGATCGTGCCTGGACACGACCGGACAACACACTTGCTGGGAAAACGAAAGCACGCAGCAACTTTCCTTTCGGTCTGTATTTCTACTTTGGCGGTCGATGACGCTACAAGAGAACTTTGCCTTTAGACCGCCTTGTGCTGTTGTTGTTGAGTAAAAAGTTAAAGTAGATCTTGAAACACAAAACTGTATCTCAGCGACTTAAGATCCGCATAAGAGCCCTTTAATTCGCATAGTTAGTCGACAATATTCGCAAAAGATGAAGAGCACAACATCAAGTAGCACTACAGACGGCAGCACCGCAGCACGGGCGTTGATGAAGTCAAATTCTCTCGCAAACTGGTCTGACGCGCGGAAACAGTACCCAGCCGCCCTCACCATCAGCACAATGGACGAGGCCAGGAAACTCGAACTTTCCAAGCTGGACCACTTCGTGTCCACAGAATTCGCGGGCCCGCTGACGAAGGAAAAGCTCTCGAAGGTCGTCCAATGGAAGCTGAAAAAGGGCACTTTTCGCCCGGGGCTGTTGCAAAAAGCGGAGAGCAACACGAAGGAGAAGTTGGACACAGCTTGGTTAGACGCCACTGTCGCGATCGCGAAGACGCTCGTTGAAGATGTTAAAGGAGGTGGAAATAACAGTACATCGATCGAACTGGATAAAGCTGGCGTGGAGGGGGTGAAGCAGCTGGACAAGCACTTATTCGGCGTCGGCCCGGCAACCGCGTCGGCCGTCGTAGCGGCTGTGCTGCCGGAGTGTTGCGCCTTCATGTCAGACGAAGCCCTGTTGGGTAGTGGTGTTTTTCCGGAGTCGGTGGGCAAGAACGATCTGAAATACACCCTGAAAATCTACGCAGAATTCAACAAACGCTGTGTTGAAAAGGCAAAAGAACTGAATTTTGCAGCAACTTCTACAAGAACTACTGGTGCGGCAAACAAAGATGCGAATCTCTTCATCTGGACTGCCGATTCAGTTCAGCGCGCGCTGTACGCGAAATTCCGCTGTGCAGACCATGCATCAGCTGGGGGTGGAACAATCGGAACTACGAAAAGTCCGGACAAGAAAAACAGCGCAGCGAGGAAGCCAGAAGATACGGAGCTGTTAGAAGTTCTCAGGCACGGTAAAAGTGACGGCCTCGGAGGGACGGACAGTGACACGGTCGTAAAAGTCATCGCGAAGCGCATGGGGGTTCCGGAGAGCGCATTACTTGAAAAGTGCGGGGCCGGAGACGAGGTAGGGAAGGCGAAGAGGAAAAATACCGATCAATCAAAAGCAAAGTCTTCAAAATCATCTGCTAGCCCAATGAAAAAGAAACGAAAAAAAGGAGACTGACTGAAGATTTGCAACCAAGACACGGGTGAAAAGTGACGCATACGGCTTTCGGCATTTCTATTTGCGGATGTCAGGGCCCTCGTGTGTTCTAGGCGCCCGTATTTTCCTCGTGCCAACCCAGCCTAGCTTATGCTGATCAGTTTCATTCTCGTTGGTCCCGAGTCGCAATTTGGCTTACCCAAGTTTGATCAATAAGTACGGTGTTGTTGAAGTGGAAAGAAAAAAGATCAAAAAGATCACGACTATGTAGCGCTGATGTGGCGAAACCACTATCGGGTACCGAAGTAGAAAAGGCGGTAGAGGCTGCTGCTGTAGTCACAGTTGCGACAGAACGCCTTTTCTTTGCAACAGAGACTACAGGCGAAGAAAGCTCATCGAGGCTCCAGGCACCAGCGTGATCGAGCAACCAGGTGAAGATCTCTGGGAGTTCACCAGTACTCGTAATTTGATTGTAAATTTCTTTGCCGAATTAGTGTATAAAATTTGTTCAGTACGAAGGACAAAGATGATCTGGCACCCCGATCGAAGACGCACGCGCTTGTCTGATTGAAGGGGAGCCAAAGAACGTCAAACTCAAGTAGACAACTGCAGAAGTGGAAGTCTTCTTGTCTAGATTGTGCATTTTCGTGGTCGTTTTGCTATACGGGTTTCATTACCACAGCGACAACAAGAACTCCGTCTCCGACTACAAGCAGGATATACTGAATTTATTCGACCTCTGTAGTTAGTGCTTGTGCTAGAGCTAGATTTTGATTTACTCACAAAATAAAACATCAGCAGCAAGCGCGCTTTCGCTTTCACCACGTGAAGACAGAAAAAAAGATGCAAGCGTCCCACTTCGGCCAGATGCAGGGTCTGCTCGACCCGGGGTACGTGCAGCAGGCGGAACAGGGCTTTAACAGTCTGTCCAAGAAAATCATGGTGCTCCTCACCCAGCGGAAACTTCCGAAGGAGCCCTGGACCGACCTCGAGATCGAGAGCTTTCTCCGGCAAATTTCCCTCATGGACGCCAACAACGCGAACGGGAACGTTGGGGTAGGGGAGCGAGAGGGTCGCGTGTTTTCCCGACTCGTCCAGGAGCGGCACTTTGGCTTGACGCACGGCGTCGGCCGGTCCGGCGATTTGGTGGCGCAACAGCCCAAAGCCGCCGGAAGCAGCTTACTGGCGAGTTTGTGCAAGTATTTGGCGCTCGACGCGGTGCGACTCGCCGGCTTTAAAAACTGCAAAAACGCGCTCGTCGTGCCCCTCGCCACGGGCATGACCATGACGTTGTGCTTTCTCGCACTGCAGCAACGCGACACCACGAAGGACAGAAAATTCGTGATCTGGTCCCGGATATTAACTGCAAAAATGTCTGGGTCTGGAAGGATGCAAACTTGTGATGCGCATGTCCGAACACAGAAAAACCTCTCATGCATAGGTAGCAAAAATTGCCCACTTTCTGTCACCAAAATCAGGGATTTGTCATGCGGATTCGGCATTGCGAACGCTTCTCGAAACCTGTGATGCTAGAGCTTCCATTCCAGACCTTCTGGTTCTGCGTCATGCAAAAACAGCATGACTCTTCCAGACCCAGACATATTTGCATTTGATACCTGATTGACCAGAAGAGCTGCTTCAAGGCGATCAACACCAGCGGGCTGACGCCGATCGTCGTGGAGCTGATCAAAACGCCGAGCTATCACAAGAAAAAGTGTTAACCTTAACGGTTTGTTTCACAGATTGCAGTCATGCATCACAAATGTCAATGTAGCCCAAGATGCATGCTATGCATTACACATTTCGGCATGTTTTGTGATGCATTGTTGCATCACAAATTCCGTTAACGTTGAAACTTTTTGCTGTGATACTCGCGGGGATGGTCTCATGACCGACGTGGCCGGGATTGAACAAGCGATAGAGGATTTTGGCGCGGACAACATCCTCTGCGTTTTCTGTACGGCCTCCACCTTCGCCCCCCGCGTGCCCGACAAAATTGAGGAGGTCGCGAAAATCTTATCCACAGAAAAAAACCCATCCACATCCCTTTTTTGTATGACAACAACATGATTTTCATTTTATACGTGTTTTGCATGACAAATTGGATGTGGATAGGTTTTTTTCTGTGGATAAATCTGCCAGAAGCACGACGTGGCGTTTCTGATCAACAACGCATACGGGCTCCAGTGCTCGCGGACGATGCAGGCCATCGAGCAGGCGTCTAGGACCGGCAGGGTCGATGTAGTGGTGCAGAGCACAGACAAGAATTTTATGGTGCCGGTCGGCGGCGCCATCGTGTGCGCGCCACAGGAAAGGCCGCCGGTCATGAAGAGTGGTGGTGGTGGTGGTGGACCGCAAGTAGTAGAAGATGTCAGTAAAAACGCTGGGGCGGGTGCAGCTTCAGCTAACAGCACGACTAGCAACCCACCTTCAACAGCAAACAAACTCTCCTTGCTCGACCAAATTGCGCAGTGCTATCCCGGACGCGCCTCGGGGGCACAAATGGTCGATTTATTGATCACGTTTCTTGCCATGGGCTCCGACGGGCTGCAGAATTTGTGGAAAACCCGGAAGACCGACTTTGAGTGGTTCAAAGAGGAACTGCAGAAGACGTGCGACCAGTTCAAGCTGCGAATTTTGCACACGCCAGAAAACAAAATCTCCATCTGCGTCGATTTGTCAGGTCTAGTCACTGCAACCGACGTCCCGGGAGGAGATGGCGCGATAGTCGCAGAAGCAGAGAAGAAGCGCAAGCAGGTCCTGAATTCCATCGGCGCGAAGTTGTTCAACCACCGAGTGAGCGGCCCGCGCGTCGTCGCCTGCCCGGTCGGCGCAAAAACCATCGACGGTGTCCAGTTCAAAAATTACGGGGCGCACTCCGATACGTATCCCTACCCCTACCTCGCGACTGCCGTGGCGATCGGGGCGACCAGGGCGGAGTTGACGTGTTTCCTCCAGAGACTAGAAAAAACGTTGAAGGAGACCGTGACGAGTAGTTGTGTGCAACCTGGAAGTGACAAAACTACTAGCAAACAAGAAGACAAAATTTAGAGCTTTCGGCCAAGAAGACGTCGCCGTCGGTCGAGGTCTAGCATAAGCGACTGCTACAACAAAGAGCATGCCACGACAAGAAATGAAAAATAGCGACGCCTCATGATCTATCGCCATAAATATCAATCTTCATGAGCACCACGGTGACAATTTTTGGGCGATATGACGCTACTTACTGCTACTGGAATCTCCAGACGCGGGAAAACGTCGCACCTTCACCCATTTTGTATGGTGCGCCCTAGTTGATGTGTTCGTCGCCTATTCTGATTTAGATTTCGTTTCTTGTAGCATAGCAATTTGAAAAACCACTCGTTGTGTCGTCCAATGAATAACAAAAACAAGCATTTTATAAATAAATTAGGTGCTGCGCGTTACTTCGGATTGATTTGTTGCGAGGTACTACGAGGTGCTGTCAGCTGTCGCGTAGCGTGCTTGTCCTTGTCTGGAGGAAGTCTCTTAAGGCTCCTCTTGTCGGATGCTTTTTCTTTCAACGTTACTGGTTTTTCCTCTATTTGTTGCACCATCCAAGGTTATAGGAGTTTGCGAACAGCATCGCTTTCAATGCGTCGATGATTTTCTGCTGTTTCATCAATTTCGGCGTTGTGGTACGACATGTCTTCAAAGTGCAGACATGAACATGGTAAAAACCAAGAGGAAAACTCGTATACACATCTTGAAATCAAGGGGAGACAGATTTAGAGGCTCGGAAGTCATAGTACAGTGTACTTCTATTTGGACTGAATTCAGAACTAGTGTCGAAAATAAACCTAATGAACGAACAAGAAAAGTAGTGCCGCACATTGTTACAACAGAGGTACGGTGAGGATGACGAGTAGATTGACAGACTGGCATCAATTTTTGATAATTGCGGCAGAGCAAATGCAAAAATGAGAGACGACAGTATTTTGTTGACCGGACGAGGAGATTCTACCAGGGGCGCGATGTTGTGCGAAATCGGGGATACGGGTCAGCAGAGCTCTACCCCGGGAAACACGACCCCCAGTACAACGTAGCACAACTTGACAAAAAGCGACGGACGAGTAGTTGAAGAGTAAGAGAGCAGCAGGGTATGCTGGTGCCCCCGCCGGCTAAGCTTTGCCTTTGCTATAATTCTTGACTAAGCTTTGCCTTTGCTATGAGCGGGACGTCTCTACATCCCCAAGGAAAAGCTTCTGTAGCTGAATCGACGAAGTACAACCCCCGGCCGGCACTTCTATCTCACTGGTGATCGTGGGTGGATTACTTTTGAATACTCTCGTAGTTCCACCCAAAAAACAAACTCTACCGATAGTATCAGCAAGAAGTGTAGTGGTCCATTTAGCAGCTCCTCGCTGTTGTAGTTCGAGCTTGAGAAGTCGAAAGAGAGAGGGTTCTCCGGAAGAAATCTTCAAAACGCAACATCTTCGCAGACCAACAGCTGCGGGATCAGTGAACAAACCCAGTGGTCACGACGAGCAGCCATGTCGGCGTTTGTGAACGCGCACCAGGAGCCCAGTCCGCTGGACGCCAGCGTGCTGGGGCTGAGCATACTAGGCGGGTCCGCGACCAGCATGGGCACGACAAATTTTCGCATTCTCAGCGTGGGGGAGCCGAAACCCATCTTCAAGAAGGACGAGGAGGATGTCGTGCATGAGGACCAGGAAACCAAGGAGATTCAGTACCTGGAAGACAAGATCATCGAGGTCCCGAAGGAGACCATCGTCGAAAAAATCATCGAGATCCCGGAGATCCAGACCCTGGAACGGGTGATCGAGGAGGTGATCGAGGTTCCGGTCGTCCATATCCTGTGCAAAAGTATCGTACTCGTAGTAATGCTAATGGCACGCATGCATTACAAATCTAACTTTCTACCTTCTCCAGCGTGACAAATTGCATTTTTGTTTCTGGGAAAATTTGCGATGCGATTTATACTAGCGCGATGACGATACTTTTGCACTGCATAGTCCAGTACGAAGAACAAATCATCGAGAAGGAGGTGGAGAAGGTGGTCGAGGTGGAGAAGATAGTGGAAGTGCCGCAAGTCCACCGTCGCATCATCTCCCGTCCGGTGGAGAAAGAAATCGAGGAAATTGTGGAGATATGCACTGCAAAAGCATCGTGCTCGTACTAATTGCAATCATGCATGACAGATCTACCTTTGTAAGTACATGCACGCTAATCGGCATCACAAATTGAAATTCAATTCTTCACGCTGAAGAAATTTGTGATGCGAATGCTACTAGTGCGATACAATACAACTTTTGCAGTGCATAGGAGATCCCGAAGATTGTCTACGAGGAGGAAGTCGAGCGGGTGCCCATGGTCCGGACCGTGGTGGTACCGAAGTACGTGGAGGTGCCGAACATCAAGGAAAACATCATCGAGAAACTATCATTTGTAAAAACGTCCCCACCCCAGAGTTGTCATGCAAATCAGCACGCCAAAAGAGTTGCTCATGCGGAGCCCCATGATGAGAAGCATTTTCTAGTTGTGTTTTGGGATTTGTCATGCTCCAGTCAGCACGATGCGCTCGCTCTGTGATGTTGCTGAACTACCTCAAACAGCACCGCTACACTACGAGTGCAAATTTGTCATGCAAAACAGCCAAAACTTGTGGATTTGTCTAGCCGATTCCCCATCTCGACTATAATGGGGTGGGGACGTTTCTACATAGGATAGAAACTCGTCGAAATCGAGGAGGAGGAGATCTATGCAGTGCAAGAAAAGTATCGTACTCGTATAAATGCATTACAAATTTCCGCAGCAGGAGGAAAAATAAAATTTGTAATGCTGACTCACCTTAAGAAAAAGATTTGCTATGCATGATTGCAATTACTACTTTTACGAAACTTTTGCACAGCATAAGATCATCGAAGTACCGAAAATCGAGTATGAAGAAGAAATCGTGGAGAGAAAAGTGCTTATGGGAAGGAAAGTTCTTGTGTAACAGCGCTAGCGGTTGGATTGATGTCGTGCTGTAGTTTAATGCGCGTGATGTAAGTACTACTTAGCCCGATCTTTGAAAGTTATGCATTTTCCACGACGTGCAACCACTATGCATTTTGAACGATATTAAAAATCAGCATGACAGTAGACCGCCGCGGCTCTTTGGTAGTATCATAGCTTTCCCTTTCCATACGAACCGGGAAAATCCATTTTGAAACCAAATACGTGGACAAGCCATTGGTGCAGAAGAGACAAAGACAGGTAAGTACTTAAATACCTACCTGCGTACCACGGCCTGGTTTTTGTTCAGACTGGTACATCATGCATGTTGATGGCAAAGAACTTTTTAACGCCGAGGGAGTTGCGCTTGTCCCCTGTTGTACGCAACAGGAACAGCAGCAGCGTCTCCCAATTTGGAATTTAATAGCATGATGAGAAAAACACTATAACAGATTCCCGTCGAGAGGATTGTGGAGAAAATTGTGGAAAAGCCGGTGATTACCGGCGTTCGCGGTTCTCGCGGGCGCCACTGGCGGGGGAGCGTAGGAAGGATCGGGCTGGCCACGATGTGGCAGTGTGGTTCTTCACGCCGTCCAGGGCACATGTCCGGCGTCATCTCGGCCTTTGGCTGAGGGCGCTTTCGGCAACACGCAACGGTAAACAGCGCAGCCCTTGCTGCGGCCTGCCGCTCTGCGTGCCGCGGGTGTCTCATGATTCTGCTCTCCGATGTGAGCTGCGACGCAGCAGAGGAGCAGCAGTGGTGGGCCACTCGCCTGTCAGCGGTGAAACCGCGAGAGAGGGGGCACTGCGTTTCACGCTGACAGAAATCAGAAACACACGACGCTACTGGCTTCCTAGGGCATTGCCCGCAAGGCCCTTGGCAATTGCCATGGGCCGGGCCCAGTCTAATACTGGCGTTAGCCGGTATAAGATCGCACTACAGTGATCATAAGCCGGAGCGAACTACACAACACCTCACCAACTAGAAGCGGCAAGCAACAAACGGCCACACCACAGGGCACCCCCGCGCCCAAAATTTCGCCCCTGCCGTTCGCAGGGCCGCCCCGGCATTTAGTCACATCTGGGGAACGCGTCCGGCGGCCCATGTCGTGTCCCACGGCTTGGCCCACCTCTACGTCCGGGACGTGGCTCTGTGGGGTTCGAGAGCCTGGCTTGCGTGGCTTGCTCCCTGTAGCTTGCTGTGCCGGCCGGGTTTTCTGTTTGCTGCCAGTGTGACCGTCGCAGGGCGTCGTGCGATTCGGTCTGAGGCGCGCTCTGTCTCAACAACACTTGCGCTTCTGTTCAGTTGCGCGCGCCTTCGTCCTATGGGTGAATTGCGCAGTGAAGGCGAAATTATATAGCAAGTGAGTTGCGCTTGTGCTGTGTCGTACGCAACAGCAGCAGTCGTGTAGTCTCCCACAACTTTGGAATTTAGCATCTGAAAAATATTATCAGATTCCCGTCGAGAGGATTGTGGAGAAAATTGTGGAAAAGCCGGTGATTACCGTCCACGAAGAGATTGTCGAGCGACCGGTCGAGACCACGGAAATTCGCCCCGTGTACGTGGAAAAAGTGCACGAGCGGATCCAGCACCAGCCGTTGATTGTGTACGAGGAGGAGATCATCGAGGTACAGATGTGACTGTAAGAAGATGAACTAGTAGTAGTACGTGAGCTGGTTTATTATTCTTGTCTGTCATGCAAAATACGCTACACACCATTCCATTCCCATTAATTGCTCCGTGTCGTGTTTTTTCGCATGACAAACGGACCGAACAAAAACAACTGCAGGTTCCCAAAGTGGAATACCAAGAGGAGATCATCGAACGGGAGTTACGAGGATGAGGAAATAAATCCGGAGCAGCACGTTTCATCATCATCTGTATCTGTATCTGTATCACTGGCTCTGACCTCTGCATCTTCTGCATATTGTAAAACTCACAGCACTGAGAAACAAAAAGGAAAATATAGTATAACTAATCATGATCTTTTGCTAGCCAAGCATAAGACTAACCATCTAGCACTAGCAATCACAATACACCATGCACTTCACGTGCAAAAATCGCACTCTCCTACTTCCTTCTCCTCCTGCATGAGAAATTCCGCAGCTGTCCACGGTGCAGAAGTATGTCGAGGTGCCGCAGATACAGGAGCGGTATGCAAGAAAGAAACTGTGTAAGTGTAACTTTCTTGAAGAAACAATAGCATGACAAGTTTCCCCTGCACGACATAGAAAACCTGTCATGCGTAGCTAGTACGTGGAAACATGTTGTACGAAAAGAGCCTCTGACGCATGTCCAGCATGACAGGCGCAAGTGTCTTGCGTCGTCTGCTACACAAATTTACACTTCTCACACAGTTTTTTTCTTGGATAAGCGCATCAAGCACGTCACTGTCGACGTTGTGGAAGAAGAGATCGTCGAAGTGCCGAAGGTATATCTGTGCATTGCAAAAAATTTGTCATGCAAGATTGGAAGGACAACAAGATCTGTGATGCGTGAATGAGAATGACTAGGAAAACCAACCCCCAAAATAAAGGTGGAAGTTGTTGAGCGATTGCTCCAACGGGAGGTGGAACAGGAGATCGAGATTCCGAAGTTAGGAGAATGCACAACTGCTCCCCCTCCCTCTCATTTGTATGGCATGAGCATCAATACAAACACCGACGCAGGTGGAGCCTGTGCATGACAAGTTCAGTTCTGTGTATAGTCGTGTAGTACTGGCTGTTGTGCTACTTCCAGAATATGTCATGCAAACAATGCCACAATAAGCAGGAGCAATCGGATTTGGGATTTTGCATGGCAAGTGAGAGGGAGGGGGAACAATTATGCACTCGGATAGAGGTACGTGGAAGTGGAAAAAAAGCACGTGGTCCACCACAAGCACGTGGTGGAACAGCGTCAGAAGACCGTGGAAGTCGTGAAGGAGCGGGTAATCGAGAAGATCATCGAGAAGAAGAAACCGCTGATCCAGGAGAAAATCATCCACGTTCCGAAGTACGTCGAGGTGCCGAGAAAAGTCGTCGTTGAGAAACTGGTCGAGGTGCCCGTTGTGACCGAAGTGGAAAAAATTGTGGAAGTGCCGAAGGTAATATCTGTTCCTGCTATGTCGTTCGATTTTTCAGTTACTGGCCTTGATGGCGGCAACAGCGATCATGGTGATGTAGTACATGCAGTAGAAAGCAAAGTACTTAAAAAATGTCGCAAGAACGTCGTATCTATGACAGTGGCCTGCCGGGCGGCATCTTCACAAGTGCCACCTCCTGCATTCCATTTCTCGCATCAGAACTTGAAAATAGAGATGTGAGGAGCAAAATGAAAAAATCTATCACCAGATCACCACTGAGGAGATTATCGAGGAGTACGAAGTGGAGCGGAAAGTGACCAAGTATGTGGAGGTCGAGCAAGTGGAAAAGATCAAGAAGCTATGCAAGGGCACAAGTCGTGGTTGGTCCCCCATCATGATCATCTCCTCGTTTGAAGGTGGAAAAGAGCAGTTGGGCATGAGAAGCAAAAACTGAAACACCAGCAGAATTTACTGTTGGATTTGGAGCCGTTGCATGAAAAATGTAGAGGCAGGGTTGCTTGTCTTCGTGCAAGGTATTCATGATGACTACATAAAGAAACATAAAGGCGAGAAGTGGTCCTTGCAGTTGCTGTTACAATCGAACAAGGTCGAGATGATCGACGAGTTGTGCACTCTCATAAAAGTACGTGCACGTGGACGAGGTGCAGGAACTCGAGCAGATCGTGGAGGTGCCCGGCCCGGCCCAGTTTGTCGACAAGGTGGTAGAGCGGAAGGTGGTGAAGAGGGTGCCGAAGTACGTGGAGGTGCCGCAGACGCAGAAGGTGGTAAGATATGTGGACATTCCGGAAGATCGGATTATCGAGAACACCATCGAGGTGCCGCGAATCCAATTTGAGGAAGAGTTGGTGGAAGTCCCGGTCGAGAAGGTTGTGGAAATCATCAAGGAGGTCCCACAGATCGAGAAACGACAGAAGTACGTCGACGTGCCCACGGAGCGGATTGTGGAGCAGATCGTCGAAGTGCCCAAATTTGTCGACAAGGTCGTCGAGATCCCAACCGTGAAAAAAATCCAAAAGTTTGTCACGGTGCCGAAAATCGAGAAAGTCCCAAGGTATTTCAATTTGTTAAGTAGAATGTACGTGTGTACTAGCTTTTTTACGTCTGTAGTGTTGCTAATTCTTGAACGTGGTCTCTCTTCTACATCACGCAAAGGTCGTGTGGCGCTACACGTGTCTAGAGATGCACGACTGTGGATCATGTCCTGCGTTCACTACATCTAGAGATAGACGGACGCAGAAGTAAAACGTGTCTCTCCCATTATGCATACCGCATCCTCCCACCGCCACCATACACAAGTAGCAACAAAACAACAACAAAACAGATACGTCGACAAGTATGTAGCGGTGAGCCAGGAGCAAATCATCGAAGTCCCGAAAATCGAGTACGTCGACAAAATCGTCGAGGTGCCGAACATCCGCAAGGTCCAGAGGATCGTCGAGGTACAGCTATTTGTATTTTCAGGCTCGAATCAGGGCATGGAAACAGCACCTAAGTATTCAAAAATTTGTGTTGCAGGTACCGCATCACACCCATACGATGTGCTGACTTGTCATGCATGCATCGAAGACGCATGATCACGATCCACACGATCAGGTACCGGAGATCAAGTACGTCGACAAGGTGGTTGACGTGCCGAAGATTATCTGCATCGAGAAAGTGATCGAGATTACCAGGGACAGCCACGAGCAGGTTTACGAGGAGCCCGCAACCGTTGTGGTGAATGAAGGCAAAGAGGAACGATTTTTGCCTGTGGAGAGGGAACAGGTATAATATTGACGTGGTACAACTCGGTATAGTAAGCATCAAATACAAATTATACTGGTAGTGGGGAGTTAACATCATCTTCTCTGTAGTGGAAGAGGAAGAAATTGGACGTAAGGAACAATGCCATGTTGGTGATGTTAGAACTGTCGACCTAAAGGAAAAAAATTCAAAATTAAGGTCCACGAAAGCGGTGATGCGTTTGACCCGATGACGCAGAGTGTGGTTCATGCCTGGGACGAAACGACCTCGATATGATAGATTCAAAGCACCATCAGCCTATATTGAAATCAAGACCAACTTGTTAAACCTACATAATTACTCGTCGTGATACTCTTTTTGGTTCTTTTCACGACGTGTCTAAAAGGTGTCCAAGTTGATGAAGTTGATTTCTGTACTGGCTGAGACTCGCAGCTTTGCAGCACATCGATACTGAATCCCGGCGCAGTACCAGCAAGTCCAGCTCCCGCGGTTGCCGCGTGACGACTACAACTTTGCGACGCACCAGTCCTACCAACAGGCCCTGAGTCAAAGCAGGCTGGGACTGTGTACTTGGTTGTGTGTTTTATTCATACGTTTTTGGCTTGAGCAAGATAGTACAACAGGCGAGTCGCAATATTGATCATGTCTACTGTGCTTGAATGAGCAGCAGCACTACAGCATTTGCATGCGTCTTCAATTCTAAGCCAAGGAGCTTAATTTTGAGAGGATTACGAAGTTCAGAAATCTATACCTACAGCAACTTCCTTCGACCCGCTCCTGACATCCGGAATCCAGGCTGCCAGCATGGCTTTATCCTCCCTGAAAAATCGATGCCAATCCCGTTGAAGATATCTCTCGGTCTATTTGTTAGTTGTGGTGGTCCCCTGGCTTGTTCTTCCACACATGTACCAGCAGACAGCCACGGCATTCATAATTTTCACCACTTGATTGAGTGACCGTGCGCCTTTACCATTCTGTTTCTTACAGGGCAACGCGAGCGCCAGGAAGGCAAACGCAAAAGTGAAAAGGAGGTCACTTGACGTTCGCGCTAAGTGAAATTGGTCATGAACGATGGGACGTCGAGCACGTTGTAGAGAAATAGAGCCGGATTGACAAAATTTTCTCCCAGCATCAAGAGCGGGAAACCTGCACGTGAAGCCGTTGAGCATCGGCATTAACCTCGGCTTCGGAGCCCCGGCGGCGGAAGGCGCGTGAATGAATCTACCGATTGAAATGATGAACAAGGCACGATCATAAATCGACCAGATTTCCAGTAAACGAAAAAAAAAACGGATAAGCGGAGCATGATGAAATCATACTTCCTAGAGACGAGCGACCTACTTCTAAAAGTAAAAGTAGAAACCAAAACTGAGACTATCTATCAGAATCAAGACACACTTAATACCTTAAATCGTTCAGACAACATCCTTAGCGAATACAATCACTAGCAATAACTTTTTCCGGAACCTACTATCGTATCTTATCTTTGGACTTTTCCATGACTTGAAATTGCTTTTACGTCGCAGCTGCACGACTAATAATCGAGCCAAAAACTATTTTCTTTGCAACCCAGCAGTGACGCCATCTTCGATTGACAGCTTGCCTGAAATAACATAACTCTTGTACGCGAAAATCTTGTAGCGGTAGCGCGTCACCAACATAATTTTAGTGCAATTTTATTGGAAGAGACTATTTTTCCGGGTCAGCGACAACATCTGGCTGCCCGATGTCTCGGAGATGAAGTGTTGGCACCTTATTGATTCATCGCCCTACTTAATTTTACACCGTGAAGACCGACGACTTGAAGCGTATTAACTTCGTAGCTTAATTTGAGATGAAAATAATCTCCTTGTCCATTACCATTGAGGCGCATAATCCAAAAAAATTATCTGTACAAGAGCAGCAGCAGCACCTGGCACGATTCAATATCCGGCGAAGCGGCACAGGACGACATCGACAACTACATTCTGATACAGCATTATATCCCGAGTAGAAACCTCTTGTCATGTGAAGCGATTTCAGATTCAGACCTAGGCCACCAGAAATACAAACTATTTTCCAGGTGTTTTACTACGTCACGCGAGGAGCAATAGCAATTGGGTACGAAGACAAAATTTGCTTGATTGGAATCTGCACAACGGTGGCGAAACCAGCGACGATTTTTACAACGACGGCTAGAGTTGAATATGTTGGAAACAAATCTATTACGAGTGCAAAGGTTTACCAGTACCAGTAGAGAAGTGGAGGAGCTTCCCCGTTTCTATTTCGGCGAACCAACTATCAACAGCTCCGGGACAAAAAGTTTCTATCTTCAAAAATGAACCCTAGTTGAGGACCTGAAGGTAAAAGTTTTCTATTTCCTTCCGGTATGGTCTTACACTTTTGTGAATGCAGGAGCCACACGTAGCAGCATCGAGCGTGGGCATCCTGCTGTGGCCTACTTGCTTCACGGATCTGCGATGAAATTAGTCTTCTAATATCCGAAAATAATGGAAATGCCATTTAAATTAAGATTCAGGTGTTGATTTCAATGCGTGAGAATACAGATGACGTCGACTATAATTTATCTTCCGTGTGATTGGATCGACCACAACTGAATGAGCATGTCACAAAATGAACCTGTAAGGTTGGATGCAACTCCAAAAAGAATGCTGACGAAAAAACCTCACCGGAACGCCGACAAATTGTCAACTACATCTAGTTGCGGTAGAGACATTATTATGTCGGGTTTGTTTACCATGGACGACGACGAGAAAGGGATCTCTATCACAAACAACGCCCGCGAGGGCAGTACTTCGCATGTGAATAAAGGATATAGCTTTTCGATACACCTAGGAATTTTTTAGCCATATCTATACCTTCTTTCATCTCATACTAGCAATGGGATCTCTGCCACCGACGATCTTTTACTCCCATTAATTTCTCGAAAATGGTGTGGCACGTGTAGCATTTATTTCTTGTGCATATTGTCGTTGCGCTGTGCAACTGTATGCTGTTCGGTTTTATTCAGGTGTTAAGAATTATCTCGTCGCGCTCGCATCGCGACTCCTCCTGTGTGATTTTAAGTAGACCACATCATTGTAGCAGTACCAGTGTAGTAAGTCACAGTTCTTGTTCAGTAGAAGTTTTAGAAGGTGCGCAGATGGTTTCCTCCATTGACGTTGGAGAGGAACGCAGTTTTCGCAATAAGAGGCACTATATCTCTTTCATGAAGTACAAGTAGCAGAATCACGTCGTATTTTGAAGCACTGATTTTTCGTATAATATCTTTTTCAAGAGGATAAAAATGCCTCCTCGTTCTCGTCGTTCAGGGCCAGGCTCGGCAAAAATGAATTCCGGAACTGCAGCTGGTGCTCCTACGAGCACTGCCAAGGCCGACAGTGCTGTCGTGGCTCCTGGACCACCAAAAAACGCCAAAAATACCGGACCAACAGACAAGAATACTTCAGCTGCCGCCCTACAAAGCGGACCAGCACAGGCACAGGCCGGGACGACTAGCGCTACAACGACCACCATCAACGCGCCTCGGAAAAAACTTTCCGCGCTGGAGCGTATGCGAGCAGAAATTTTAGGGATCCCAGAAGAGAAAACGCCGAAGAAGTTGTTAGTATCTGAACCTACAACAGGGTCGGATGAAGCTGGTGGAGGAAGTACTAAACCCTCAGTGGCAAAAAACTTCTCGCCGCCATCGGGTACTACTACGTCAGAAGCTGGATCGTACGTACACGTAAATAGCCATGATGCTTCTACAGCGACGGCGGGCGCTGGCGCGTCGGCGCGGGAAGTAGACGATGAATCGTCGTCGTCGTCGTCGCAATACAACAAGAACATTCGGCGCAGCACAAGTGACACGACTAGCGCCTCTAACTCGACTTGCGCTAACGAGCAGCGCCAGGAATGCTCCACAGGGACCTCGTCCGCGGATGATGGAGCAGAGCTTAATATTGAAAATGAAAACGGACAAAAGAAGCAGAATCCCTGCTCTGGTGCAACATCGGATACTAGGGATCGTAGCCGCCCGGAAGGAATAGAAACGAACACGAAGGTCGAGGAATCCAGCCCTGAAAAAAATGACGATCCACATTTGGTGCTCGTCGACGAGATTGACATCGATTTCGCAGCGGAAGAAGCGAATTTTCAGATTCACAACAAAAATCTGAAGAAGTCCAGCTCTTCGACGAGCACGCTGTTTGAACTCGACAACAGCACAAGTGGAGGAGGCTCTTTTATCAACCACGAGGATGACGCCGAGAATTACTACTACCCTGCTGGTGCAAGTGGCTATGGTGAGCATCAGGGAAAGTCAAAGTGTGGGAGCGAAACTACAAGTCCGGGGCAGACACAGAACGCGGCGAACAACATTCGTCATCTTTACTGCGACAACGTAATTGGCCAAGAACACCAAGACAACATCGAATCAGATCGGGACAGGTACACGAGAACGTCGTACGACTTTGATGGCCCGCATGCTGGCTCTTCTTCTTCCGCCAGCTCGGAAGGTTTTGGAGATCATCTCAACTTGGACAGCCGGTTTTCCAACGCTACTAATTTCGATCACGAAAGTAGTGGTTCTCTTTTTCCGGAAGAGATCACGGAAGAGTGGCTCTTCGACGCTATCACAGAGGGGACGTTTCGCAACATCGTCATTCTCACCGGGGCCGGGGTGTCGACCAGTGTGGGGATTCCGGATTTTCGCTCCAAGTCCTTCGGGCTGTTTGACAAGATTAGTCAGAACCGAGACCTGACCGACCGGTTTCCGGAGCTTCAGGAGGCGCCAGATTTGTTTTTCAACCGGCAGTTTGTCAACAAATACGGGCCGAAAGTGTGGGAAAAGGACGTGCTAGCGTTGTTGAAGGAGATGCACCTGTTTTCGAACTCATCGTCAAGCAGTAGCTCATCCAGTTCTTCGTCTTCTAGCTCGTCATCCTCGGCCACCTCTTCCCCCACTACTTCCTCGCCAGACGACGCGACAAATTTAACATCTGTGGTTGCTGTCAATAAACTTGTTGAAGAAGGGCCTAGTGCCACTTCGAAAAGTAAGAAAGGTACTGCGTCAACGAACAAGAAGCGGGAGGGCCCAAAGAACAAAACTAGCCAAAAGATGAAAAATCCACAAGAGATGAACACGAGCTTCAGTTCTGCAACTTCCTGCGCAGGAGACGGTGAGGAGAGCAGGGTAGACAAGGCGAAAGATGATGGGGGCGAAAACCAAAACAGCTGCGTTAATGACCCCGCTGCTCACGTCGTCGAGCAGCTGGACCTAGAAACGCCCCGTTCGAACTGCTCCTCCTCCTCCTCAGCTCCCGATTTAGACACGACGCGACCGTCCTTGACCCACCTTTTCTGCGGCTGGCTGCAGCAGCACGGCTTTCTGCGGCGAGTCTACACCCAGAACATTGACGGGCTGCACACCCAGGCCTTGAAGCACTTGTTCGAGGACGAACGGTTCGACGAAACCATGGACATCCTGCCGTTGCTGGAGACGAGGATTCAAGAAGCCTTCGAAGCGCTGCAGGAGTCGCAGAAGGTAGAGGATCAACATGGGCAATTGAACGACGAGGCGCGGCGGGATGCAACTACAACATCCACCACGCCCAACATTCGGAAATATGCGATGCAGTGCACGCCCAAAAAACTGCAGCCTCCTGCAAACCTGCTCGGAAAGATTTGCAGTCTCTTTTCCGGAAAGCCGAGTACTTGCCAAGCAGAGTCCGCTACGGCTTCTGCAGCTTCCCCTGGCCGGGGGAAAAAAGACTTCCGCCATCCGTATCTTATGGTAAAGAATTTTGTTCCAAGTATTTCTCGGTCGTGATTTCATCTGCCCAATGCATACTAATTCTTGAAACGACAAACAGCATCTGTACCCTCACGACCTTGAGCTCGGCCAAGACCCAAAAATCGATCTAAAACTACATCACGACAGTCCCCAACTCCGAAGAAGCTACTCCTCCAGCAATCCTCCTCCTCCCACCCTCCTGGCGACACGCCCCACGGGTCGGCGCGCAAGAAAAAGAAGAAACACTCAGTGCCGCTACTCCCCCCGAATCGCATTGTCGAGTGTCACGGGAGCCTGCGACACCCCCAGTCTCTGGTTTTGTACGGTGATCCCCTGCCTCGCCGGTTGGACGACTGCTTGATCGAAGACTTCGGCGGCGGTGCTAGCCCGAAAAGCAACCGAAGTAGTTTGCCCTCCGGGGGGAAACACGGACATCACCATGGGCATCACGGAGGGAATGGCAATAAGCACCATCATCACGGTCATCATGGACAACATGGGCACCAGCAGCACCCGAACCACCCGAAACCGAAAAAACTTTTCCAGGACCACAGTCCACCGCCCTCCTTTTCTACCGTCGCAGCGCGCAGTGGTGCTGGGCAAAATTTAAATTCTTCTTCCGCACTACAGCAACGGGGCCGCGTTTTTTCCTCCGCGAGTAGCAATTTTTCGAACTATGGAGCAGCCGGAGGCGCAAGCACAAGTAGTTTCTCGATCTCGCCCGGAGCAAATGCAAATATAAATAGCGACATAACCCCCGACTTTCGACACTACACCCACCTAGAGCCCTCATCCCCGGACTCGTCCTCCACAGCGGCCAGTCCGCGGGTCCCCGGGTCTTCCCAGCACCAAGGGGAACTGGCGGATTTGTTATTTGTATTCGGGACGAGCTTGCAGGTGAGCCCTTTCTGCGCCATCCCGAATATGTGCGCGAAAAATTGCCTTCGCGTGCTCGTGAATTCTCCAATGAAGGACTGTCTTTCGAACGGCTGGAGCAAAAAGAAACACAGCTGTAAAGAAGACGGAGTGGACAAAGAAGAAGTAGATGGGACTGCAGCTGGTGGTGGAACGACCAGCGCAACTGCAGTTGCTGTCAAACCTAGTAGTACGACTTCAGCCGTAGAAGCAACCGCAGCCTCTGACGACGACGATTTTCTCTTCGCAAGCAGCAAAAGAAAGAAGAAACGCAACAAAAAGAAGCAAGCTAGTACGCAGGCTTTTGAGGCCGGCGCAACTTCATCTATTGACAAGAGGAGTACAACTACAACCCAGACTACTAGTAAGGCAAATAAGAGCGACGAAAGCCCCAAGAAAAAGCCGGGAGTTGGGGAAGATGCTACCACGCCTGCTCCTGCCACCGGCTACCTATCGGAAAAGTATACGTCACTGCTTGCTACCTGTTCATTTGTAATACTCATGCATCCGACCTGTTTGTGTTATTTTTCATCCAATCCTGACAGCGCGAATCTTCCATGAGTCACGATTTCCTCAACCCAATTTTGACTTCTTGATTGCCGCCATCACATCAGCATCACTTCGACTTTCCTTGCCGGACGGAGTGTGACTTTGAGGCCACTGTGGACAGATCACAAGCGTTTCCCACACCAACTGGTCGTTGACGACCGATGCGATGCCTTCGTGACCAGATTCTTCCAGCGCATTGACGTTTTGTAGTCAATAATCGCCTGGACTACATCGACAACAAGACCTGGAGGCTTTTCCTTTTCCGCTGAGCCTGTGTCTATCAAAAGAATAGACACTGTCCTCTATCTTCAATTGTTGCTATATGCAAATTCTGCGAGTGGTTTACAAAAAAACGAAAAAAATCCCGTCACGACGGTCACTTACAAAGAGTATAAAACGATTGATGTAAAGTAACGATGTGATACCGGTATGGTCGTAGACCGATGAAGGTTGATCAAGTCGCCCAGTCCGCATGGAGCATGATTTTCCAAGAAAAAAGTAAATTTCGTTTTCGATTTCGTTCCATCTGGTTCTAATGAAAAAAAATGTTTATGCTAGCAATGCCAAGGTCGTCGTGAAGTTTCTTGCGCGTTCGCCGGAAACAATTGCTGCTAAAGTAAAGCACGATCGAGATCACAAGACGCAGCAGTAGGCCGCTGGTAAAGTCAAGAAAATGATCCACCACAGCACAGACGAGAAGAAGGAGCGACGCTCTAAAACTATAGTGATCAACAGTGAGAGCCTCAGCCTGAGCCTCAAACGTATCCGTATGTGGTGACTTTTTTTGAACGATAAAGATGATCTCTTTAGTCATCTTAGTGGTCATGGTTGAGGACGCTCTAGTGCAAAGATGATCCGGAAGATCCTTGTTCAGATTTAAAACTTTTTTGCCTTGTCACGAATCTTGAACGTTTTCTATTGGATCAGCGTTGCGACCTCGATAATATCAACAACAACATCTTTTTTTAGTTTGTTTAATCTGTTTTGTATCTAATCTTTAGTTTTCAACGTCCTACTATTCTGCCAATAAACACGAAACTAGAATAGTTTATATCTTCCTTCAAGAAGGCGGTTTTTCCCGTTTCATTTCAAAATGAAGAGCCAGTTCGCTCTGTTCGCCACGCAAAACCTGTGGCACATGTTCAATTGGGGCAGTGGCGGGCACGGGTACGCGATTCTGATTCCGAACGTGTTCCTGGCCGGGTTGCTCTGTGTCTTGTTTCCCCTGGTTCTGACCGAGCTGTACGTCAATGGCCTCGGGGCCGACACGACGGACGGGGCAACAGAAGGAGGTGAAGCCACGACTCTCTACTCCGTTTTCGACCGTGCCGACGCCGGTACGGGAGGTGGGTACGAATCTTGGAGCGTTTCGAGCGATCCGTCGGGGCCGTTCGCGACCTACATGACGGTCTGTATTTTCGCCTTCACCTCCTACCTTCCGGGCTTGTATTACCTCGCGGCGAATCTGTACTTCCACGTATTTCAGGAGCGGTTTAATGGTATGCTCGACATCGTGCAGATCTACGGCGGGAAGAAGGAAAATTACTGGGGGTCGAAATTTTTCACCCACGGGCTTTTCTTCCTGCCGTTTCCAATAATCGGGTTTGTAACTGTGTCTTTCCTTCCCCATATCTATTCGAACCACAGAGCCTACGCGGAACCGATGATCTTCACGCTGTTCGCCCAGGTGGTGTTCCCGGTGCTGTCGGTGTTATTGTTTTCCGCGGTCTTGGGGTTGACGTACGGGAACAGTGCGGGAAAAGCGGAAGGGGCGAAATCGCTCCTGACGAACACCGCTTTTCTCTCGGGTGTTGCGTTCCTAATGACGGATCTGCTGCTGTCCTCACCGAATTCCTTCAGTGCCTACATAGCCGAATTCACCTTCAACCGCGGGGCGGCGGACACGCGGACGTGTGAGGCAATCGTGAGTCCGGTTGGTGCGTACTTCGGGGCGATTCTCCATTTCTTCTTCGGCATCTTGCTCCCCGGCTACACGGGGGCGAAAATGTGGATCCAGATGCACACCTGGCTGGACGTCTTGCGTGCGGCCTTCGCGAGACCGAAGCCGATCGTCAATTCAGACCTCCCGCCGTTTCTGGACGCACGGAGCAATTTTTGGTGCATGTACACCGGGAATCCGCTCCCGCCGGGGGAACGTGTGTACGGACAAGACTCGACGCCGGATTTGACGGCAGAACTTGTGAGCAACGCCACGGCGAAAAGTCTGAACGATCGAATGGGTTTTGGCGGGTGGACGGTGCTAGGGTTGGACTACGCAGCCGTTGTTCTGAATTTCCTGCTGTGGGCCACGCTGTTCTGGCACTTTGCTCTGCGGAATTCATCTGATAGTGCGGACGAAATTAAAGGTTCTTTAGCAGATGGAGATGTCGAAAAGAACAAGAAGAACGAAAATCAGGTTACTGATGAGGCGATGAAAATCTCGTCGGCACCGGAACAAGCGAGCCGTCCTGCCGCGCTGCGAGTCGTGAACATGAGCAAAAGCTACGACGGGACGAAATTTGTCAACACCGACATTTCCTTTGAAGTTCGCCCAGGGCAAATCTTCGCTCTGCTCGGTCATAATGGTGCGGGCAAGACCACTTTGCTGCGGCAACTGACAGCTTTGATCCCCTCCACAAGCGGCGACGCTGTGGTCAACGGATTTTCGGTGAAGGCCAATCCCTCTGAGGTGCGGAAGCGCCTTGGTTTCTGCCCACAGCAGAATCCGATGTGGAAAGGCTACACGATGAGGGAACATTTGCTCTTCTTTTTGGACCTACAAAACTCGACGGGGAAGAAGGTCACGCTGCAAAATCCAACACATCCTGGCATGACTGGAGGCTCAGAACGTTGCGGTGCCTCGTCTAAGCCTGCTGAACGTCACCAAGTTAAAAATGCGGAGCAAAGTGATTTCCTGACCGCAAAGATGCTCGACTACGCCGAGGCGCTAGGCATCAAGGAAAAGCTGGACACTAACTGCGCCGCGCTCTCGGGCGGGCAAAAACGCCGCATGTGGACACTTTGTGCGCTGCTGCAACAAGACTCTCTCCTCCTACTGGACGAGCCTACCAGCGGGCTGGACCCACAGGCACGGCGAGACTTCTGGATCCTGTTAGATCGCGTTTGCCGTGAGGAGAACCGGGCTTGTGTGTTCAGTACGCACTACTTGGAAGAGGCTGACATGTTGGCGGAAGAGAAAGTCATCCTCGCCCACGGCGAAGTAGTCGCAAGCGGCACCTCTGGTCAAATGAAAGTGGAACACGGGGCCGGGTTCTGGATCACGCTGCAGAGTGAAAACGAGGGGAGTGCACCAAGCGACAAAAGCGATTCTAAACTCTCTCGCTCTGATCTTTTGTTGCGTGCGAGCCGAGAGGTAATCTTCCACAATCCGCGCACGAAGATTCGCTTGCAACAGATCACGAAGACGGACGCGCCCGGGCGGTTTTTGCAGTGTCTGGTCCCGTACGAGCATGCGGCCGCGCTGCCGGTGATTTTGGAAGATTTATCCAAGCCAGAAGTGCAGCAGCAGTTTTCTCTCGACGAGCGCGTGACCGTGCAGAAGACCACCTTGGAAGAGGTTTTTCAAAAGCTCGGGGAAGATGAAGAAGACGAAGATGTTGCACAAGAAGCGCTCTTTAGAGCCAGTCTGGTCGCTGGAGCAGATATTGTCGATGCAGCGAAAGGCGGCGATGCCCAAGCGACTTACATTTCCACGGACCCGAGTACCAATAACAGCTCGCGCACAGTTGAAGCAAAGAAGAAGAACAACAACGACACCGACATTTCTGCAGCAAAAGCCGGCACAACATCCGCCACGATGAAGAATACACTCACTACCCGCACCTTTCATTTCTGGCGACAGGTTCTTGCGGTGTGCCGTTTCCGGTTTCAAAGTGAATTCACTGCTGTGTTCATCCCAGCCGTTGCGGTGATTTTGTTTCTGTGGTTGTTCTGCGCTCGCACGCCCGACAACGGCAACACCGTGTTTGCCTCGGCCCCGGAGCTGACGAGCGTGTACTTCAGTCTGCTCGCCTTTGTGGGCTGCGGCCAGGCGTTATTAACCGGGCGTTTCCGCGAGGAGCGCGAACAGGGCCGGCTGGCGCACTTACTCATCCACGGCGTTTCCCGGTCGGCGTACAAACTCGGCACCGTCCTGTTTTTTCTGCTCCCCGCCCTGCTGGTCATGCTCCTCGGCTTCGCGGCGGCTACGCAGACGCTCTCGACGCCCTGGAAGTACGGAACCCCGACGCTGCAGGCAATGCTGTGGCTCCTCGGGTTGATCTACAGCATCGACGCCTTGGTTCTGGGCAGCCTGCTCGCCGAGGGCCAGCCGTGGCGGTCCAATTTGTTTTTAATTCTCCAATTAGTCCTCCCAGTTATCCTCTACGGCCCCTTCCTGCAGACCCCGCCGCGCGTAGTCCTGGCGGCAGATGAGGAGATCTCCTCAGTCAGCAAGCTGATGACGCAGACGTACTTTCCGAACGATGTCTCCGACCCGTTGCCCCTCATGTCCGCGAGCAAGGCCCTGACGGCGATCCAGCGCATCGCGCTGCCGATTTTTTTCCCGAACATAGCGATATGCAATACAAATTTCCCGTACATCTACATGTACAAGATGCATCACAAATTTCCCCAATTTGGACGAGCGTGAAACTTGTCATGCTAAACTAGGATCGAAGCCAAGTTTTGCCATGGACAGACCGCATTTGTACAACGTGTACGGTAAATTTACTGTGGATACGCGATGGCAGTGGTTTACAAAGACCTTCTGAACAAACGCAACGTCCTATTGAGAGGAAAAATCCCCCCTCCCCATATCGAAAACGAGATTTGTGTTCGCTGTATTTGAGTACACAAATCACATTTGTCTTGCAGTAAGGCACTCCGGCCAGATCCGCAGCCTAGGTGGGAGAGCTCGTCAGGTCTAGTTGTTCAGCATTGCAAACGGATGACCTTTAGGCCAAACAGCATGGCAAATCGCTTCCCTAATGGGGCGGAAGCTTCTGCCCTTGTCTTCTTGCAAGACAAACGTGATTTGTGACCTCAAATCAGCAACGCTAATTTTCGGAGAGATACCTTTTCGATATGGGGAGGGGGGATTTTTCCTCTCAATACGTCCTCGCCTGGCTGCACTTTTACTGGGAGGGACTCAAAGACGCGATGGCGGCCCGAAGCTTTGTCGTCGGCGACACCGATGCCATTGCGGACACGCTGTTGCAAAACGCGACTCTGCAGGACCGAGTGATGGCCGGCACTGCCGCGATGGTGCAACGAGACAAATTTCACTTCGAAAAAGTGCAGGCCCTGACGGCAAAGTACCAAACGCCACAATTCTACTTCGGCGCCTCGTTTCCCGGTTATCTGATGAAGGTTCTGAACTCCGCAACCCCGGCGGATCTCTCTTTTGGAATAGTGAAAAAGGACAACCCAAGAGTGGTCATACGAACGGAATCGCTCCAAAACTCCGTGCGTCACGAGAGCTGGGCGTCGGGACAGGACTTCGTCACGACGGTAAATGTGTGGACGTGGCTGAGTCTTTTTTTCGGATTTTTCCTCCGTTTGGCGATGTGGCTGCTGTCGATCTTCTGCGACGGGCATCAGGGAAGGCGAAGGGGTTTGTTCTCTTGCTGCACGAAGAGGGCGAACGCGAAAGGAAATAAACAAGCCCACCATCATAGTCCTCAAGGAGCCTTGAGAGCAGTAGGCCCATCGGATGAACAAGACGAAGCCAGAGACCCCCTACTTTCCGCTTCCAAAGGACAGAAGATTGCACACGCTTACACTGACCCTTTTCCGGAAGACGATGGCCGCGACCCGGACGTTGTCGAGGAAGAGAGGCGCTTGCGCCATGTCCTCAACAAGGAACGAACCCATGGCTCTGCTCCAGAAGTTGTAGGCGCGGCCACGACTGGTATGTTGAAAATCTATCGCAATAAAGCAAGTACCACGTCGATCATTCATCCTGATGACATTGCAGTCCTCGACCTGGAAAAGAAGTTCGACAATCCGGCGAACCCTTCTTGTCCAAAGTACGCTCTGGGCGGGGTCTCCCTTGGGGTCCAATCCGGGCAGTGCTTCGGTCTTCTTGGGCCCAACGGCGCTGGGAAGTCGACGCTCTTCACGATGCTTTCCGGGAACTATGACGACAGCGGCCCGCCGACGGACGGACAGATTATAGTGTTCGGTGAGGATGTCACGCGGTCCGGGTTCGGAAAGGCTTACCAGAAGATGGGAATCGTGCCGCAGTTTGACTACCACCTGTTTCCGTATGCAACGGCGCGGCAGCATTTGGAGCTGTACGTGAAAATTAGTGGCGTGGAGATTGCAAAGCACTCCTGGTCCATGAATGCTTTGCAGTTGATGGAAAAACAGGTTATCGCGAACAAGAAGGGCCGCGTCCCTTCTCCCACAGACACAACGACGCTGCTAATCGATGCCATTCTGAACAGTGTTGGTCTCGACCCGTATTCGCCAAAGGTCGTCGGAGAATATTCTGGGGGTATGATGCGGCGGCTCTCCTTCGCGGTAGCGCTCATCACTGAACCGAAGATTTTGCTCCTCGATGAGCTTTCCGCCGGGGTAGATATCGTCTCGCAGCGCTTACTTTGGAAGGTTTTGCAAAACCGGGCGAGCAACCAGACCGTGATTACCACGACCCACAGCATGAGCGAAGTGGAGGCGGTGTGCGACCGGGTCTGCATTTTGGTTTCGGGGAAGCTCCAGTGTTTGGGTACAACCAGCCGGATTAAGCAGGTGTACGGCAGTCTGTGCCACGTCGATTTGTATTGCCGCGCATTGAACAACAACAAGAAGAATTTGGAATTGGATGGAGCTGCTCCTGTTGGTATGGACGCTGCGATTGTCGAGATTTTAGCCGATGTGCAACAGCTGCTCTTGCATGGCCGGCACAACTCTGAGGTGGAGAAGACGATCTGTGACGACGCCGCTTCAATCGTTTCACCTTCGGCAAGCGAAGAGCATAACAATGCCGATGAAGCCACCGGAGTTATAGAGCTACCCCTCAGTAGTACAAGCAAAATGGAAGAAACAGCAGCGGCAGGGGCTGCAGCTGCAAGTGCAAAGCTTTTCGTTCTAGAAAAACACGCGTTTTCCGACTCGAGGTTCCGTGTAATGCTGGGCGTAGAAAGGCAGAGCTTGCGAATGGAAAAGCTGTTTCAGTGGTGTCAGGAAAACAGTTCGTCGGCAGCCGGAAGTGGGGCAGGCTGCTCGATGCAGTTGTGCCGAAACAAGAGTTTTGCCGTGGAAGATTTTAGCATTGGCGAGCCAACCATTGAACAGATCTTTCTCAAGTTCGCTGCCAAACAGGAGGCAATTTTGTTAGAGGAGGAGCAAACGAAAATGGACATCTAGTGCTGGTTCTAGATCTACAGCTGCTAAATGTTTTCTACAATAAGAAAGTGAACCTTTTTTATCTATCAATCTGAATTCGGTCCCCTCATTTATCAGGGACGTTGGCACGACCGAGGTGGTTCCATGTCCTAGGGAAAGATTTTTCATAAAAATCAACTTTTTTTTTCATATCGCAAATTTGGAAATAATTCACACTGGGTGTCAAGGAAGTGGTGTACCTGAGGGAAAGCAGTTTTGAAAAAATGGTTTTGAAAAGTATCTGAAGATGATTCAATGCATGCGGCTATACTTCTTTTGTCAAGCCAAACTACTTCCTTTACTTGATCACGTTTGTCTGCAGAGAAGCGTTGAAACCTTCCACGCAGCCAGCAAAGAAAAAAGCCGCACGAGAACCTACTTTTTGCGACATTCATTCAGATGTCGTAATTTACCAAAAAAAATCTAAAATTCATTACCGTTGACAAAGATGTAGACTGTAGGATAATATGTTGCTACATTTTGTACGATACGATAGAAGTCATGAAAGAAGCTAGCCGATGCCATATGTTTCTTTGTTCCCACAGCACATGATAGGATACGATAGGGAAGCTCTCCAGTGGGAGTAGAAAAGGTTTTGAAGCTCTTGGCTCCTACGACTAACGCAAAGGGACTGGCGACGTTTTGAACAGAGAGATGGAATTTTGGGAATGTTTTTAAAGAACTCTCTTTCGCTTCCCGAGGGCGACATGGAGATCGCATTAGTCGTGATCCGTTTTGTTGGAAAGAATGAGATTGCACCAAAAAAATCAAATCACTTCTACGCTATAGCTCTTTTCAATGACAAACACAAGGATCGAGTTGCAGAAGTGTGTGTGAAGTGTGTTCCCGTGTACTACGTGTCCAACTTCTCGTCGAAGTAGATGTAGAAGTAGTGTTCCGTGAGTGCTTCTATATAGTGAAAAGGCAGCCAAGCAAGGAGGTTGCTGCCCAGAGGGTTGCGCTAGCGTTGACCGGGGGCCAGGTCGGCCAGTGGTCTGAGCGCCGTGCCCGCGGCTTCGCCAAAACGTTGCGGGTTCAAATCGGGGGGGCGCCCAACGAGAAGGCGGCCGGCGTGTGGATGTGCCCCGCTGCCACTCGGCGGCGTCTGGGAATGGCCGGCGGACAAGTGTGGCCGCGCAAGAGCCGAAAGGCCCCACGGTGAGCGGGCGCGCCACCCCGGTTGCTGTACACGGTCGCGAACACGTTGCGCGCCTTAATCGTCTGGCCCGACCCAGAACGATTGCGAAAGGCGGCCGCGACTGGAGCATGTATTTGGGGCCGCCGCGACTTATATGGCACGCAGCGAGTTGGTAAAGGGGCCCCAGAGTGCAGACATTGGCGCGCCGGTGCGCGCGGCCGGTTATTTTCCTGGTCCGTCCAGCTCGGGCGTGCGCGCTTGCGGCAAAGCCGCCCCGGCGCGGGGTGGCCCCGAACCGCAGGCGCCGCCCCAGCGCGTCCGCCCTTCTTTCTGAGCCTGCGGGACGCTGCGCTGAAAGTCAGGGCGCAAAGTGGAGGGGTCGGCCCAGAAATGAAAAGCCATCCGCGTGGCCTACATCACGCAGCATGAAGGGGGAGAGGTGGCGGATGCCGTGCTGAGAGGCTGCCCGCAGAAGCCAGGGGAATGTGGCGTCACCTCCCTGCAGCGCTTCGCTCGAGAATGAGGCCTCTCAGTGTTCAGTGTGGGGCCTCTGTCGTTAATCGCTGGCGCGGCCCCATACTCGTCCACGGAGAGCCGCTGTGGGCGTGAGCGCAATTGCCCTTGCGGCACCTACCTACGTAGCAAATGCACAGCCGTGCGGGCTACGCATGTGGATGGGCCTCCTCCGCGGCCAAATTTTGGCGCGGTGGCTCGGCGGACAGGTTGGGCCGCGCATGGGCCGGCACGCAGCGGCAGAATGTATGGAGGCGAAGGCGGCCGGGGCCGTAAAGGCGGCCGGCCCGCCGGGCGCGGGCCGGGGCCGAAGGGCCGGAACTGCGTGCGGACGCGGCCGGGCGGGGGTGGAGGTAGGTCGAAGGCGGCACGCATAGCAGAGCTCTCGCGCCGATGTTTTTTTTCTGTAGTTTGGGGGGCATGGGAAAAGAAGCACCGGCCCAGTTTATGTGGTCAGCAAGACAGCGCGCCGGGGCATCGGGGCGAGAAGGGAGCGCCCCAGCGCCGTAGCGAGCCCGGAAAACAAAGTCGGCCGGAGGGAGCCCGAACCCGGCAACATCGTGGAGCGGGGCAGGCGTAGGCCTAAGCTCGTGAATAAGCAAACTCATTTGCCTGGGGCGGGCGATGGGCTATGGCAATGCATGAGGCCCCGAGACTCGGCCGCGGGTGCCCGTCCGGGTGCGCGGCCGGGCCCGCCGTACGCACGCAGGCAACGCAAGGCCGCCGATATAGCGCGGCCGCAGTACGTTGGTGAACCGAGCGCGCCGGGCGGCCCGCGCCGGGTGGCCTCCTAGGCAACTGCCCCCCGGCCGTGTTCGGTCGTTCCAACCATCCGCTGGAGCGCAACCAAGAAGACCGAAAATCCTGTGGGCGCGTCATTTTTAGAATCGGGCGCCTAGATTGATCTCGGGCGCCGTACGTAGATAGCGGCCGGCCGGCTTCCGTCGGTCCGACCGTGGCGCGCGGATGGCAGCCGGCCAAGCATTTCGTCGACTCTATGTAGACCTTACTCAAGCACTACTCAAACAAAAAACCCGCGTGGAAAGTTCGCAGCCATCCCGCAAGCAAAACGCGTGACCGTTTACGCTACCAAGCAAGGCCGGACGTTGTGTTCATCTTGTCGCTCGTTGCATAATCGGTCCGAGTTGCAGCGCAAGCTGTAGCTGCAGCTCCTGCATGCACATGCTCGTGTTCATTGTCGTATGTAAACAAACTCTGGGTCGTCTTTGTAGTCGTGGAAAAAACATGTGTGGAATAATTCGTGTCGTCAATCGTGTCCGTGTAGGGTCCATACGCTTACGCATGCCCATGCGCATTTGCATGTCTGTCGTAGTCTTCTCTCTCATTCGTTCATTCGCAATCCACCGTATCGTGACTGATGTGTGTAATAAGCTTTCTGATGTCGTTTTTGCCGAGGCCGAAAAAAAACGACGTATTAATTGATAAGTGGCCTCGCCTAAAACTCTTGAGGAGCCAAGAAGTCCATAGAAATATGGTTTTTCTTTGAACGAGCCTACACTAATGGGATCTTGCTTCTTTTGACCTTCTTCTATTGTAGGAACTACTTCGAAGCGACCGTCTGTTTTGCTCCTCTCTGTCGTGTTGTCCACCACATGTTTCCGAAAACCCGTCCTCATTCGCTGGCCGACCGCGGGGTCGCCGCGGGCGAGCGCGCGAGAACGCAGCCGGTGTTGTTCGCGAACCCCAACCACAAAGAGCAGCAAGTGGACCCCATTGCGCTGCAAACCACGCGGAAAAACCCCGAGGCGACGGAGAAGTTTTTGCACTCCGACTACAAGCAGCGGCGCGAGGAGCACAAGGTGCACCATGCGGGAAAAAGGACCGGGAACAACATCGCGTCCCGGCCGATTTTTGACAAAAGCGGGGTTCAAATCGGCATCGTGGACGACATTGACCCGCACCACCACGGGATCTACTATGCCTCCGACCACATGGCCTCCTGTCTCCAGCACGACGCCCCGGTGCCAGAAGAGACCGACCCGCACGCGAAGGGGAGGAAAACCTTCATCGAGAAGCACGGCCTCGCCGCGGGAATCTGCCAGCGCCAGGCGCACGACCAGGCGCACCGGCGGATCCGAAGGGGGGTTGATGGGAATTGGCATACAACCAACAACCCGATTCTGGAAGCGTGGCGCGACGAAGAGGAGGAGCAAGGGGGTATTGACTACATGTCGCACCACGGGAAAAAGCATTACGGCAGCGCGGCGGTTGATCACGTAGAGTTCGGAGCTAGTGGGCCGGTCCCGCACGACCACACCGAAAAGAAGCACTACTCCAACACCAGCCGGCAAATGGCAGACCACATAAATTTCAAGGACACGGTCGGGGGTCCGAATGATCTCGACCACTTGGAGCGGAAGCACTTTCTTGGCGACCGGGCCACTGCCATGGTGGATCACGTGCACTTTGGGGAAGCGGGCAAAAACGACGTGGACCACGCGGAACGAAAGCACAACTTCCAAGCGGCGGGGGAGCGGATTAGTGCCGTGCCGGACTACAGTTCCTTCCACAACCGGTTCTCCAACAGTCATGACGACCCGGCGATCGCAAAAGAATCCGCCCAGATGTTGAAGCAGCGCGGCGGGAAGCGCGGGATGGGCCGGTACCCGCACTTGCAGCACAGCATCGACGTGCACAGCCACCACGACGGGGTGCCGGAAAAGGACTTTCTCGGGCCGCACAAGGGCGCGCAGGTCGGAGGGTCGCGGGAAAACTACGAGAAAATTTTGCAGAAGGACAGCGGTGCGGCCTATAAAAATCTGCAGCAAGAGACCATGTTCGGGCACCGCACAAAGGTTTCCGACTACATTCCGGGCTGTCACGGGGGCGAACGAGGGCGAAGGCATTTTGACGTCTACAGCGAAACGGGAGATACCTTGCAGCACCGGCAGGAGGGGAGGGATGAAGGAGTATTTAATGGTACACAAAACGACGGGGGCCAACCTCTATCCGCGGAGGAGGCGGAGCTGGAACAGGAGGGTTTGGACCACCACCACGCGCATTTGGACGACTTTCTGGCCGCCCAGCGCCACAACAAGAGCGTGTACAACCGGATGTCTGGGTACGATTCGAGGAAGAAACTCCCGGCCGGCGCGCGCCCACAGGACCAGGACGAGGCGGTGCACTACCGCAACTCCGATATGCATTGCAAATATGTCTAGGTCTGGAAGGACGCGAACTTGTCATGCTAAGTCTGGATCGTACAACGAACTACATCAAGAACTTGTTTTGCATAATTACCAAAAGCTGTCCACTTTTGAACAAGTTTTTCAGAGGCAGTTTGTCATGCAGGATAGGCATGGTAGAGACTCCGCAAAACCTGTCATGGTAGGTCCTGCATTCCGGACCTCATGGGGCAAGGGCATGGAAAATATGCATGAGAAATTTAGCATTCTTCCCGACCGAGACATATTTGCATTTGACTGCCGACGGGGGCAAGCAGGCCTTACTGCCCTTTCCACTGGCCGGCGCATTGAACGGCGCCGCGCCGGGGCCGAACGGCGAAGGGGATGGGCGCTTTGCTCCTTCAAGCCGTACGACCACGACGCAAATACCTGCGGCGCTGCAGGAGCGGGCCAAGCACGAGTACCAGGCGACCAACGAGTGTTTTCGGGAAAATCAAGCGCGCGCCAGTCTGGGGAACTTGTTCCGGAAAAACTACCCGGAACAGCTGAAAACCGAGCCCCGGTACCAGGAAGCGTACCACCGGCCGGACGCCGGGCACACCGAGAACCGGCACCTCCCCGGCCACCCACCGGCGCGCGAACCGCTCGGCGTGTTTCCGCATTGGCAGCAGGGCGGGAAGAGACACGGGTGGGCCGTGACGGACTACCCAGAGACTTTCACGACCGACCCACGGCAGCATCATTTGAACACCAAAGTGCGCTACGGCACCAACGCAGGGGCGGATGCTTTGCACAAGCACGTCAGCGGGGGAAGCTTGACACAGACACAACGGATGAATGCTTCAGCTTCCACATCTACCAGAACAAATGGAAATGGGAACTACGAAAATAAACCAGCAGACCCTGTGCAGAGCGAGTACAATTCTCTCGCTCAGAAGCAGCAAGCGGCGGACCAGGCTGCTTCCCAACAAAGGCTTGACCGCGTGATGCGGCTCCCGCTGCACACGCGCAATCAACTCGGGAAGATGCGCAGCTTCCTGTTGCGTCCGTCCAGTCTGCACCAGCGGCACAACCCGGTGATGGAATTTGGCCGGTTGGCACGGTCACTGCGCCAAGACGACCCCGAAGATTCCGGGTTGCTGCCCCAGGCCGTGGCGCAGAGCAATTTACGGCAGTGTTTTCCGCCCAGCGAATTCTCCGCGACGGATTTGAACCGCGTCTCCTCCGCGTTCTCCGTGGGCCAGCGCACAGAAGCAGATGGATTCCAGGAGCAATTCGTCGACTACGAGGCGCTGCTCGTAGCGCTGCGACCGCAGCTGATGCCCGTGGCGAAAAAGATTCTAGAGGAAACCTTCGACCGGTTGCTGCCACAACTTCCGACGGGTAATTCTTCTTCTTCGAAAAGTACCACTTCTCGCCAATACCTGACCTTGCCCGAGGTGAAAAGCTACTTCCATCCGCGGCACGATCCCCGGGTGACGAGCGAGCAACTCTCCGCGTTGGCGGTGCGGGACGAGTTCCTGCAAAGTTTCGATGGGGTCGATGACCGGACGGGGATTCTAACCAAGGATCGCTTCGTGCAATATTACACGGTATCTATAGTTGTCCTTTTGATCTATACTTGTTCTATAGGTTTGTCTTCATGTTTTTTTCTGTTTAGCCCCTGCTTAGCGCGGTGATATGAGCGGTAAAGAGCTAACTACCCTCGTAATATTTCTCTTGGTTCCACAACTAGACACTCTGCTGGCACAGAATAAAACTCACACCAGATCCACGCGGAGCTCTTCGGCGAGAAGGAACTGAAGCGCACCCTGGACGCAGTGTGGATCCGTACGCCGGAAATTCACCCGAACTGTCTGCAACCCCACATCATCGACATCGAATTTCACGACGAAGGCGAGGTGGTTCCGATTGCCCTGGTGAACGATCTAGGGTTGAACCGGGGGTCCGTGACAGAACTCGTCGGGCGACTGCGTAGGCAGGGGGTGGAGCGGGACACGGGCCGAAAAATCTTGAAGGTGTTTCCCGTAGGGAGTTTGAGCTAAGGAGATGTAGAAGTAGTGCACTCGAGTTCTACGAGTGTAATTCTAGATCTACATGTAGTTGATGACTACTATACTTTTTTGAATCAATTAAAAGCGTAGAGAACAAGTTGCAAAAAACTCTTGTTCTTCATGACATGGAGCTGCTTAGCAAGCAGCACTCTTCTGAAAACGATATGAACGACTGATGATCTTTTACCTGTGGCGGTGTCACGCGAGATGTTACAAGTGATTTCCTTCTTCGAATTTCGCTAAGCTCGATTTGAATAAAGCTGTATGTGTTGTATGATCTACTAGTATACGAACACGCCCTGTACATAATTTCGATTGATAGACGCGTCGTAATTTCTGCACCGCTCGAAACGATTTGGCCATGACCAATGCGAATCTTGTTTCTTTTCCACGACTGTGTATATGGAATGTGAAGAAGCATCGAAGTAGAAAAATAAAACTTTACTTTCACCCGGCATTTTTGATATTGATGTTTGTTGTTCCCATAGCAGCCATAGCGAATGTCAGTACGCGAAACATAAACAGCTTTAGCTTGTTCAAGAAGACGGCAGAGAAAGATCGTACATCGAACAAGATCTTCTATATGATGTTTCTTGTGTGATCATGCCCATGCGCATTCACCTCTACCGATCCTTTCTCTCTCCGTTTCCCAATCGGATCCGCCATGATAGCCGAATGTGCTGACGCTTGATCTAGCAAGCTTAAAGTCGAATCAGCGATGAAACAACATTTTACTTTTTGAGATCATGGTAGTTGTAGCAAGAACGAGAACGAATTTAAGTATGTTTCTTTGAATAGCGATATGTAAGTACCCCAAGATCACATCGATCTTTACCTCTCCTAGCGACTGATAGCACAAACTACCAGAAATAAAAAAAATGCCGAGTAGTGGCAACACCGATGACCGGGATCAGCCGCCGGCGAAGAAAAGTAAGCCGAACCCGAACCCAGTGTCAACCGGAAATAGCAAGAATGAGCCGGACCAGCGACGAGCCCAGCAGGTGCAGAAGGGAGGCACCAGCGGCACAACTAGCGGCGGTGCAAATAAACCCGGCAACAGTAGTACCTCCGACAACCAGGCGCTAGCAGCCGCCAACCTTGGCCCGCAGGACGCCTTCTCCACCTTTCTGTCGAACAAGAAACACTTCCGGTACCTGAAGCTGGAGGCAGTGGAGAAGAAAAAGCTGTTGAATGAGAGGGATTGTTGGCCTGAGGTCTTCGAGGAGCAGAAGCAGAAATTTGCGTTTACGGTCACGAACCTGCGAAAGTTCTCCGCTTATGTCGGAGAAATCCTCCGGGCCGTCACGTTTGACCACCTCCCGGTCGTGTGTGGCATTCAGTTACTGCAATTTGTGCTCGAGCACGAGGGCCAGCTCCAGTTTCAATGTGACCCCATCCGGGATGCGCTGGTGGAGCAGCCAGAAGAAGTGGTCAGTGCGGGAGACCAAGCTGGTGTCGCATCTTCGCCAACAGATGAAAAAGGACAGGTGGAGGAGAAGGTATGTCATTCTCTCATTGAAGATCAAGTTTTCGTTTCAGTTCTCGTTTTTGTTTTCCACCAGCAGCAGCACGAGCACCTATGTGCATACCGTTTTTCGATCTACTACTACTTGAGCCCGATCCGCGACAGAGGATCTAGTAGAAGGAACCTGAACCATGTACACCAAGATATTAATCTCTGACGATCAATATCAAACTCGAACTCCAGGTCCGAAATAAACTTCGAGCATTGCAAGCGGAAATCCGGCGCGCGAGAGTGCAGAGCGTCAGCCTGGCAAGCAAGCGCAAAGCGGTGCAAGACCAGATTCAAGCGGCCCCGTCCTTTCTCCCGAAGGTAGATGCGAAAAAGGGTGCGCCGCAACATCCTCATCACGCCAACTTCGACGCTTTTGTCCTTGCTGCGGTAAAGTACAAAGTCGTTGATCGCGTGAGTTGTGTGGCCGCCCTGGACGCGGTGGACATGCTGCCAACCCAACTGGCCGCGAAAACGCTGGTTGGCCGCAAGAAGAACCAGATGCGCACGAAGGAAAGGTACACCCACAGCCGCTGTACGCTGTTCCGAGAAAACACCGCGGGCTACGCTGAATTGTTGATCCTGATTCGCCAGTTGCTGTACGTGGCGACGCCCGATTGGGAAAGACAAAGCCGCGAAGAGCAGCAAGGGAAGACTATCGCACACGAAATCCGCCGAGGCTTGAACCGGAAGTTACTGGACATTGTCCAAAAACGGGCCTGTGCGGTTTCTTTCGACGATCATGGTCCTGGTAACGCGGCACAGACGCAGCACCAGCAGGTGGACAACAATGATAGTACTAAACCGGGGCAACAGATCTACACGAAGTTGCTGTCCCTCCTCGAAAACCGCCCCACACTGCTGAAGCTCCCCGCCCGCCTGACCGAGAAGGACGTAATGGCGCAGATCCACGCTCACTGTGGCGCCCACTGTCTCGATTTGGGCCGCGTCACCTGCGTGCTTTTAGACCACTTGTCCTTCATCCTCTCGTCGTACCGGCTCCCCTTCGACATCCAGGGCCAGGAGTTCGCGCGTCTGCTGAGGAACCGCAAGATCCCGGTGGAGCAACACGGCGCCAACTGCGGCGGCTTCTACGACTACAGCGCCATCGTCCGCATGGCCGGCGTTATCGCGAAACTGCTACAATCCCTCGTGCCCCGGCAGCGGATCGCCGACATCGTGCAGTTTCGACTGGACTACTTCTTCCGCGAACAGCTACCCCTCATGGAGGAAGCCTACCGCCACAAAGTTTCCCAGTACAGCGAGCAGCAGCGCCGGCTGCGGGACGCCGAGAAGAAGTGGGAAGCCGCCCGGCAGGAGCAACAGACGGTGGAGGAAAAGGAGCGCGACCGCAAGCACCAGGCCAGCCGCGCGCACTACCGGGAGGCGGAGCGCATGACCAAGGAGGCGGAGCGGAACACCCAGAAGGCGAAAGAGGACGCCGGGAAGAAGTTGCAGGAGGTGATATCAAAAGGAAAAATCCCCCCTCCCCATATCGAAAACGAAATTTGTGATGCTGTATTTGAGTACACAAATCCACTTGTAATGCTAGAAGGCCAAGAGACGCAGCTGCGGCCTCGTTTCCAGGCAATTTGTCATGCTGTTTCCCACTTCCAGCTGCCCCCTGTCATGCTGAAGATGCAAGGCTTTCCCACGCCAACCAGCACTACAGTCCGCATCTTTTCCCTTCTAGCATGACAAAGCTGATTTGTGGCCACAAATCTGCATCACAAATTTCTAGTTTGAGTATGGCGTGGGGGGATTTTTCACTTTGATAGGTGACTCGGTTCCGCATGGAAATTCTCAAATCCTACGAGACCCTCAGCGACTGTCGGAAGAAGGTGTTGGAGCTGCGCCGCGGGGTCGATTTTACGGCCATCGCGTACCTGATTCAGGTGGGTCTGTTGGACGAGGATCGCGCGTGGAGTATGTTGCCATGCCAACTGTCCCATGCCGAGGAGCTGGAAGGTGTGGTGATTCCCGGAAAAAAACCGAGGCCGGGGGTTCATGCCGTTGGAGGTGCAGCCGCGAAAGGACAAGGAGCTGCACATGGAGGTACTACTAAAAACCAAACACCACCTCTGGTCGACGACGCGTCCTTTCTCGGCACAGCTTTCGTGCAACAGCTGGAAAGCGCCCACGATGAGTCGTTGAAGCAAATGCAGAGCATCAACCGAGACGAGGAGAAGGAACGCGCGTACGAGCTGGTGTTGGAGAAAGCGCAATTATTCGACACGCCGCAGTTGCGCCTGCTGCGCGGCTTCCTGGCCTTGAACGACTGGCGCCGCGCGCAGTGTCTGCTGGAGAAGATGGGCGGCCAGGGTGCCAGTGCGGTGCCCATGGTGCGCAACGAGTTGGCCACACTGCTGCTCTGGGTGCTGGACCCATTAGTCCGACAGTACCAGCTCGACCCCGCCTGGCACGACGAGGCGGCCTGTTTTGACGCATGCTTGGCGCCGTTACACGCCGAGGCAGCTGCGCAACTACAACAACATCCTAGCGGCATGATGGGCGGTGGTGGTACACATCATCTTCATCACGGGGGTGCAGCAGCAGCCGCGGCAACACGTGCGGCAGGAGGTGCTCGCGGAGCTGCTGCCTACAACACTTTTGCACCAGGTACTATGCTGGAAGAGGAGGAGGGCGAGGAATTCCAGGTGGTGTGGGACAAATGGCAACCACTTCCGGAACTAGACGCTTGCTTGACCGGGTACGACCGGCAGTTTCAAAAATTTCTGCGGTTCGGTGTTGGCAACGGGAATTATAGTAGTTCAGCACACAACGTCGTATCCGGAATGAACGGTAGTTCATCTCTACCAACCACTGTGTCGCTCGAGAACGCGCAGGCATTGCGGAGGCGAAGTTTTTTGCTGCTGCAAAAGCGGGTGCGCGCGCAAATCAAGCCTCTGGTACACGTCCTGCGCACGCACGCATCGCAGGACCACCTCCATAACGAGGACCACGCGAACTCGGCGGCGACTCCGCTCGGCGTCTTGCGTGCCGTGATTCGAGCGGTTACTTCGCTGCGAGAGCAAGAAGCCGCTGCCAAAGACACCAGGCCCAACCGGGGATCGAGTTTAGTGCTGGGATGCCTCGCAGCTGTGCTCGACGTGCGGAGCAAGCCATCGCCTAAGACGATCAAAACAACGTCTCGCTCACCAAAACCGAACGACAAGGCCAGTTCTTACACCGCCCGCATTTTGCGCAAGCTCGCGGCAGTCCTTAGGTTGCAGGGAAAGGAGCAACAGCTCCAGAACATCAAGGTCCTCAAAGGATGGAACCCGGATTTTGTCCGTTACGGGATTTTAGTTCGGGAACTCGCAAAAGCGCTCGGTTTCTCGCTGAAAGAAGTGCAACTACAGGAGAACGATTCTGCGGAAATCAAGCGCAAACTCAACAGTTCTTATGGGGCGTCCAAATTTTTCGATCAACGCGAGAACGGTGGGTGGCTGTCCACCAGCGCGCAGCTGTACACGCGAAAAGAACTCGACGTGGTCCGGTCTGGTGGACGGGGTGGAAATATTAAGGGACCAAATGCGGCTTCCACGACATCTGCTAGACCCGGCGGTGCACAATCCTCAACCACCAGCACAGTTGTTGGTTTACAGCAGTGCACGCATATCAAGGACTTCTTATCCGCTATTGGACCAGTGATGAAGTACCTGCAGCCGGCGCTTCACCAGGAGCCGAAACTGTTGGAAATCCTGTGGAAGCTGACCCGCAGTTACCTCCAATACCTAGAGTGGGACTTGTCCTATGGGAGTGGTATGCTGCAGCAGGGCGGAGGTACGGGTACGACGTCTAGTGGTACGACATCGAGCTCTGCAGCCCAATCGTGGAGCACACAGGCCCGGAACGTGCTGGTCTCCGACCCGCGGCTCGTGGCCCTGCTGAATGGCGCACTCCTCCCCGCGTGTTCGATGATTCACAGCATGTCGGAAGAGCTCTTAGCAGCGATGTGGACCTGCTTGTCCAGCTTGCCCGGGGCCTGCCGGTGGCGCGTGTACCAGCTGTGGACCGGCGCATACAAAAAGGTCCTGCCGCTTCCACTGGTGGAAAAACGCATGCAGAGGAAAGTGCAGAATACGCTGAAACGAGCTACAGGAAGTGCCAGCTTAGGTACAGAAATAGATAACTTCCGAAGATCATTTTTCTCGTATTTCGTTTATTTCTTTAGAGGAAGAGGTACTCCTCGAACTGAATCTTGCATATGAATTTTGTCGACCATCAAAAGTGAAACCCACCTCCCAGGCAAAGCCAAGGCCGGCGGTGCAGCAGCCGCCGCGGGGTCCACCGCGACCGAGGGTGGCGATGGCAGCGAGGCCCTGGCGAATTTGCTCGTGTATCACACCGCGCGGTTGGCGGACTCTAACCCCTTAGTCGTATTCCAGGCGATCGTGGACCAGATCGCGCCCTCGTACAACGACAACATGATTGTGCCCATCCTCGCGATGACCCGCAAGGTGGGTCTGTTCGGCGCGGACGTGGCGGCGTTCGTGGTGATTCAGGAGTGCTTCGACCGGATTTTGTTCGCGAAGAACAAAACCAAAAGTGCCGGTAGCAAATCCCTCCTCAGCGAGGGCGTCAACATCCAGGGCTGGCTCCAGAACTTGTCGAAGTGGCTGTCCCTGTTCTTCGCGATGCACCCGGAAACCGACGTGGCCCTGATTCTCCAGGCCGTGGCGGACTTCATCGAAAGCCACGCACTGCAGGGGCTGAACGCCGAATCTTTCGGGAATTCGTTGTTGCAGATTCTCGTAACGGACTTGGTGGCGAATATGGGTGCGTGGTCGTATGTTACGGAATTGTCGGACTTGCAGTTGGAATCCCTCTCCGGCGGGGTTTTGCTCCGGACGGAGAACATCTACACGCAGAATGTCCAATTCGACAGCAGCAACGACACGATCAAGGCCGACCCGAAAGCCCAACAGACGCTGGTCCGCACCCTGCAGCAAACGGGGCTGGTGCAGCGGTTCTGGCGATCCCTCGGGCTGATGCGCCGCGCGACGACCAGCGACCAAAATCTGTCCAAGGTGCTGCAGAGGATGAAGTTATTGCAGCGGGGGGCAAGGTTTGTCAGCAATTTGAAAAAAGTGGGGTACTTGTACGACCAAACGCACCAGTGTTTGATGAGTCTCACGCAGTTTTTGGGCCGAAGTTTGCTGCCGGCGGAGTACGGAGCGCTATTGCCGAACAATTTGGCAGGTACAATTTATTTATACTTGCTTCGAGATCAACACTCTTTGTTTGTGAAATGAACTCTTCAAAACCAGAACCAAAAGAGCCATGATCTACTTCAGGACCGAACGAAGTGACTTCGGTTTCTAATTTTCCGTACTCAATCCACCCACGATCATAGATTGATATTAATACACACAACTCTCTCAGGTATCTTTGCGGATTTCGAAACAGCGTTTGCGTATACCATGATTCGTCCCGCGCTGCCTCCGTACCACGAAGAACAGTCCTCCGAGCGTCTAATGCTCCGCGCCCTGTTCCAACGCGAAATGCGGCAGAAAGAGCTGGACCTCAGTGCCTCCTTTGGCGCGGCGGCCACTAGAAACAGCAGCAGCGTGAACGACCACGACGATGATCCTGATGGTGCCGGTGACTCGGGAGCCGGTACAATTACGGCGGACAAGAACAAACAGTACAACAGCGACGGTAAAAGAAACGAGGAGAAGAACGACAAACTTGGGGTGCTTGTCCCCCGAAAACTTCCGTCGAAACTTGGCAGTTCCCATGCCGTCATTACCGCCGTGTTCCGGTACGCCTTTTGGCGGCTATGCATTGCAAAAGTATAATTGTACTAGTATAACTTGCATCACAAATTTTTCCATAAGGAGAAATGGAAATTGTCATGCTGATTCACCTAAAACGGGATATTTGTCATGCCTGCCAGCAATTGCTACGAGTACGATACTTTTGCAGAGCATAGCGGCTGGAACTCAGCGACATCAGCTGCACACCGCAGTACGACAAGGCGATCAACGCGTACGACCGGGCCGCGAAAGATTTGAAAGAGGATATCAAGAAGGAAAATCCCCCCTCCCCATATCAAAACGGAAATTTGTGATGCAGATTTGTGGTCACAAATCAGCTTTGTCATGCTAGAAGGAAAGACATGCGGAGTGTAGTGCTGGCTGGCGTGGAAAAGCCTTGCGCCTTCAGCATGACAGAGAGCAACTGGAAGCGGGAAGCAGCATGACAAATTGCCTACAAACGAGGCCACAACTGCGGCTCTTGGCTTTCTGGCATTACAAGTCGATTTGTCTTTGTGTACTCAAATACAGCATGTTACGCCTCACGCCTCAAATACAGCATGACAATTTTCGTTTTCGATATGGGGAGGAGGGATTTTTCCTTTTGATAGAGGAACTGGACAAGGTCCGAACCGCTTCCGGCAGTTCGCGGGCCGCCGAGCACGAGGCCAAGAAGCAGAAACGCGACGAGAAACTGGAGATGAAACAAAAGCTCAAGGAAGAACGGGATTCGCAGATGCTCCGGGTGTATGCGACGAGAAACAGGATTCAGAAAGAGAAGCACTTGTGGTTCACGGAATGCTCCGAACGGGTGACAAGGTTGCTCGTAAGTGAATTCATCGCGAAGCGGTTTTTACTTTCCTACGAAGACGCGCTGTTCTGCAGCAACTTCGTGTACCTGTTAGTGCAATCTCGGACTTGGGGAATAATTTTTGCCGATTTGGGGCAGAAGATCGTGGACGCCATTGCGGCGCGGGTGGATGCCTGCACGGAGGACGAGGCGCGGATTCTGGGCGTGTTTGCATCCGCGTTCTTCCGCAACGCGATTTCCCTCACGGAAGACAAGGCGATTTTCGATGGTCAACAACAACATCCGTGCCTGCAGAAGCACTACTACAGCAGTAGCACAACATCAAATGAGGACCAAAAAGAGTACATCAACGCGGAGAATTTAAGGTGGCACGTGGAGAGATGGGAAAAGATTCTCTTCATGTCGTTGAAGTGCTCTTTGAAAGCGAAAAGCTGGCTGACCCGCCGGAACGCGCTGAACATTTTAAGTAAGACGGTTCCGGTCTTCCCTTTCACGAGCGAGGTCGGGGAGAAGTTGCTGAAATTAGTGAAAAAGATCGACGGCACGGACGCACGGCAAGACATGAAATTGCTGGCAAAATCGTTAAGTAACCAACTGAAAAACGGGCAGAAGTCGTGGAAGAATGCGGAGGGCATTTCGGTCGTGGAGCAGGAGGAGGAAGAGGAGAAAGCGAGAATTGAGAAGCTCAAGGAACAGCAGGCGGCGGCAGCTGCGAATAAAGCTCGACAAGTAGATGCAGCTGGTGCCAATGACGGCGAGGGGGCGGCTGCTATTAAATCGGCAGACGCAGACGCGGACGGGAATAACGAAGTAGAAAACGCAAGAGGAAATATTAACGAAGATCCGGCCGGGACAGGAGTAGATGTCGATGGCGACCAAGAACAGATTGATGGCACGGCAGCTGAAGAAAACCAAAACGGCGGCGTGACGAAGGATGTTAACCAGGATGTCGGCGCCCCCGACGACATCCTTAACGAACCGATAGGAATGCCGACAGGTAGTGACAACGCCAGCAGTGCAAACGCCGATGAGGATATGCGGTCTCCGGCGTCCACCCCCAGGGCCGCAGCCGAGACGAATGACACTGGTGTGGCCAAGCGAAGCAAACGTGGCCATGGGGACGACGCAAATGATGACAACGCAAGCTACAAGAAGCAAAAACCCTGAAACTCGTGAAACAAACAGAAAACTTCGAGAAATGAGTCATAGAACCCAGAAAAATAACGGGAGTATTCAGAAATGACCATTTTGTTTCTACCCCATGAGCAGTCGTATCCAAGATGAGATGACCGCTATTTACCAACCGACGAAATCGAACACACCTGATTTGGTGTACCAAGAAGTACACACTTGCGACAGTGTTCTTGCCGTCGCCTGATAACATGTAAGTCGAAACCGGTCGACGTTTCGACCACAACGATCTTAACAACCAGACTACGTTCATAAAAAGCACAGATTCTGAAGACCGCTCTTTATTTTTTTCTTAAGTTGCACTACAACTACGGTCTCCTCTATGTATAAAGACAAATAAACTCACCACAGTCTCCTCTAGTTCGGGTTTCTGTAGTATGTGTATGTCGGTTGGGAAAAACTAACAAAAATGTAGCACCAGGAGCATGCCATTAGAGATACTGCTGTTGCAGCTCCGTACCTGTATCAAAAATTTCTACTGTGTGGCAGGTACAGCTTCTCGGTCTCTTTTTCGTTCTTCTCCTTCTGTCTATTCACAAATTTTCGATTTCGTCCATGCGTCGGTATTATCCCCCGGTCGGCACCTCCAAGGGCAGGCTGGGAAACGAAGCTGTAGAGGTCTACTTACACTCAGCAGAAGCCAGCATTCTTTACTGTCTTTGACAAGGACTTGGACTACACAGTGTCACAAGAGACTCCTTGTCGTCGTCTTGTCACTTCTAGTGCTCCACCTGGTTCTTTTTGCCGAAGAGGAGCCATGGACTGTCCAGGAATGCGGGCGGGACAGCACCCAGTGCGACCGCGGGGGCGGCACTACTACCTTTTGCGTCGTGGCGCAACCCATCCACCACGCGCCACGGGTAAGACAAGTTCTGAACCTCGGGGACGCAGACAGCTTGCCAGCGCGCGTTGCCCTCTCCTACGCACGCCCAGCCTATCCACAGAAAAAACCCAATCCACATCCAATTTGTCATGCAAAACACGCACCAACTCGCGTGTTTGTCATGCAAAGAATGGATTTGGATGGGGTTTTTTCTGAGGATACATCCGAACTACATCCGAGGGAAACTGGAAACACTGCTAGCAAGAATCAGGATGACGATAAAGAGGACGCAAGTACAGGAGCAAAACCTCGTCCTCCGGCGGCCGAAACAGGACGTCCCGAGGGGGCCGAAGATCCTCCACTGCCTGCATGTCCCCAGGAAACTTACCGACTTTCCACTGGGGAAGTGCTGGATAACTTTTTCCGTCGATACAAGGAGCTGCTGTTCGACATTTTTCGGGTGCGTGATTCCAAGTGGTACCTGCAGCACTGGCCCGCGAGGGGAAAGGAGGAAATCTGGTTCCCGGAGTACCTCGGGGGCGAGGGTGAGAGCCAGCGCCTTCGCGAGCGGAATGCCCTGTATGACGCGACAAGGGCGGAGCAAAGGCGAAGTGGACCGGGACGGGGTGACTCCTCTCCGTCGAAGAACTACTACGTTGCGGGAACTGTAGGAGAAACAACCGGAAAGGAGATATCATCGAAGCGGCTGTTTTTCCACGCGTCCCTCGACCAATTCGGTAGCCAGCAGCTAGATTTGTCTCGATGGATGCGCCACTTGCCGCAGATGAGCGGCGCCATGCAGATGATACTGGCGCATGCCCGCAAGGTCTGTCCGCTGTTGACCTTTGTGCACGAAGTGCTGCGACTATCCGACCTGGTAGAGCACGTCGCAAATGGGATCATGTACGAGATGCTGCGGCCCCCTTTTCACAAGCGCAAGGAGCTGCTCCGCGAGATTCTAGAGCTGCGGCGCGCATACGGAGGCGTCCTTTTTCCAAGAAATCACACCGCGATGTTCCCCAGTACGTCGACCGCAACTTCTTCTAACCGAGGCGGTGCAACTATCAGCGCAAAAAAATTATCCGCTTCCAGCGATCTAGACCTGCCGCGACACCAGTGGAAATGGCAACGCCCCCTGCCGTATGCATTGCAAAAGCATCGTACTAGTAGAAATCGCATTACAAATTCGGTTAGCATGACAAATGGAATTTGTCATGCTGTTTTACCTTCGGATGGAAATTTGTAATGCATGATTGCGATTACTACGAGTACGATACTTTTGCACAGGATATGCCGATTTACGTTCGAACCGATGATCCCCATTTTCCCTTGGTGATGCAGGCGTACGGCTATCGTAAGGAAAAATCCCCCCTCCCCATATCGAGACGAAGTTTCTGATGCGGGATTTCCGTACACAAATGCGCGCTGTCTTGCAATAAGGCATCGCAGCCAGATCCCCAGCCTAGGTAGGGGCGTTTGGGTCTAGTTGTTTAGCATTGCAAACGGCTCCCCCCTAGGCCCAGCAGCATGCCAAATCGCTTCCATAATGGCGCGGAAGCCTCTGCGCTTTTCTTCCTGCAAGATAGACGTGATTTGTGGCCAAATGGCGTGTCGGGTGAGGGACCCCCGACGTCTGGCCTACGGATATCATGGGGAACTAAGGCTCAAATCAGCAACACAAATTTGCGGAAGCATACCTTTTCGATATGGGGAGGGGGGATTTTTCCTCTCAATAACGGCTTTCTCACCTTCTGGGCCTCCGCCCTGCAGAAACACGCCCTTCCGGTCGACCAGCCGCGGCGGACGCGCCCGGTACAGGCCTTTGCCACGGCACGCGTGTTGACGCGCGAATTTCCTGGCGTGGTAGAGCACTACGCCGCCGGGGCCGAGTGCGTATGAGAGTGCACAACCCCCCCTGCTCCCCCCCATTTGTAATGCAAAATACCAAATCCTGTGCCTCTGCCTTTTGGCACTTTTTGCATGACACGTTCAGGCAGCCCATATAGCACTACACTCCTGTGCAAATTTGTCATGCAAAACCTGCATTCTTGCTGACACTTGTATTGCCGTTCATGCTATACAAATGAGGGCGAGTGGGAGTTGTGCACTGTTATAGTGCGTCGAGCGCACCCAGGAAATGATCGAGCTGGAAAGCCGCGTCGCCCCCTTTCATTCCAAGGACGTCAATTTCTTTCATCTTTTCATGGAGGGCGCCGCGGATGTAATGAAAATCAAGACGGAATTGGCGCCGTTTGACCGCTTCGGTGCGACCGACCAAACCGTAAACTGCGATCTTTTGGACATTGACCGTGCCTGGTTTTTCTTCCAAAGGAGGCAAACTTTCCCCGATGCGACAGTGGAAAAGGCACACAATGCCACTGCCGCCCTTTTCTCGGCCGAACGAGCGCGCCAACAGCAAGAAGAGGCGGCCTTCCTCGAGGAATTGACGAACAGCAACGGAGTAGAACCTGCACGACCTGAGGCGGGGGTGAGCGACGTGTTGCCATCAAGCAGCTCAACAACTTCCGAGAGGCCGCCGGCGGAGGAGCTGGATGCTGCGGTAGAGCATATTTTACGGGACGGGAAAGCTCAGTGCAAGTCTGAAGAGCCCGCGTATATGGAACACGTACGCACGCATATGCAAGAGATGATCAATTTAGTTGCTTACACGGATGTCACCTGGCTAGCGCAGAAGTGTTTCCCCGTGCTCATCACAAACGCCCTGCACGCCGCACTCTACACGGGGACGGAGCTCCTGACCGCGTTGTCCAGCGGGCGCCCCTGGGGCGAGACCAGCAAGATCCAACTGCTGGAATTTCAGGCCCTGTGGGACACGATGCTGCGGAAGTGGCAAACCACGGTGATTCTGCCCTACCAGGACGGCTGGGCCCACCGCAGCGTGCCGCAAATTGCCTCCGACGTGGGATCCTGGGCGCATCTCATTTCGCAGGGATACGCGAATTTAGTTTCCGTGGCGGACACCATCCTGGGCGGGTTTGACAGTCGCCGCGAGCTGAGCATCAAGCACAAGCGCAGCAAACTCTCCTGCGCCGGCGTCAACGAGGAGCGGAAAAGGGAAAACAAGCCACTGGTTTGCCAACCCATGCAGAGCCCGGACTTCAACGCGACCGCGTATGATTTAGAACTGAAGGAGATCACGCTGCGCGCCATCGAGGTCTTCCGCCGGTGCAACGTCGCGGAGTGGTGGCCCGCGGGTGGAACGTTGATTGGCGCACTGCGGTATCCATTGCAAATGTGTCTGGGTCTGGGACCTTGTGATGCTGGTTGGCGAATGATTAGGGTGCCGCAATTGCCGTTCTAGCATGACGAGTTTCTGAGGTGGTCGGTGACGGTGTAGTCTATTCTGCATAACAAACTGCGTTCTCGCATGACAGAAAGCGAGCGGTTCTTGGGTAACGTGCATGACAGAATTGAGAGTCAGGCTAGCCGAGCATGACAAATCTTGCGTTCTTCCAGACCCAGACATTTTTGCATTTGATATGCGGTATGGGAGTATTGTGGGGGACCTCACCGACGGACGCCAGGATGTGATCGACGACGACGTGGACTTCGTGATTGGCGTCAACAGTCCAGCGGAGTGGATCGCAGTAACCGAGGCGGTGGGCGCGATGTTGATGCACGAATTCGGCTTCTACGACTGCTACGTGGCGAAGTCTGCCGATCAGCTGGACTCGAAATTTTTCGCCAACATCCGCGACGACATGCTCACGTGCGGGTTTTACGATCCCTACTACCTCCAGCTCGATCTCCGCTCCTACATCCGCCTGGGCGTTCTGAACGCCGCCTATCAGCACCGGCTCAGTGGCGAGGGCTACGAGGCGTGCGACGCCGAGGAGGACGCATTGAGTAACCCGAGCCAGCTCGTGTATTCTGGCAACATTTTGTCGCGAGTACGTCCGTGGACAGGGAAAAACAACCTCAGCGACCGCTTTTCCCAGCAGCAGCTCCAAGGCCATCTGAAAATAAGGAAAAAGCAACACCAGACCCTAAACCCGCTGTGTTTTCTGCGCGATGCGCCGGACTTCCAGGTTTGGACCGGGCAGATGCCGTTGGACAACTTCATACATCCGTTGCGAAACTGTTCCCTGTACAACCAGACGGTTCCCTGTCCACACCAGGCCGCACGACTGCTGGAACTGTGGAATGCCAGGGAATACGAGAATCCCGAGCAGTGTTTTGCGCTGCCGCACCTCGCCGGCCGAAAAGTGGACCACCAGGATGCAGACCCGAGGAACCGCAAATTGCAGCGACTCGACGCATCCGACGTGCGTCTTCTCATTCATTACGCCAAGACCTTGGACGCCGCCGGGTTTCAGTCTTTCTACCCACTGTATGGGAATATTGAACCTAGCTCGTCCGACATTGACAGTTCAGATGCAACACAGAAATCACTTTTGCCCCTCGTCCTGGCACCAGACGGCATAAAGAACGGTCAACAAGTGCTGGACGAGGAAGCCGAATCTTTCACGCACTGTGCCGGCATTCCATTGGAAAAAGTGCTGCGCAATTTTCAACAAATCTTATCCTGTGCAAAAGTATCGTATTCGTATAAATGCAAATCTTGCATTACAAAAATTTTTCTTAGAGTAAATCAGCATGACAAATTTTCTTTCTCATGCTGAGAAAATTTGTAATGCATTTATACGAGTACGATACTTTTGCAGTCCATAAGTCTGTCCGCCCGCCAAAACCCGCAAAGGCTACTCGGAGTACCTGGTCATGTAGTCCGTGCTGGACAGCGGTTTGACGAGGTGGCTTGGTTACGCAGGAAGTCGGTGAAGTTTTTCACACTTGAGAGCCAAACAAAGCACTGAGCAAAATGCAAACTCTTCAGATAGAAACTGAACAAACAAGAACACTCAGAAATGAACATAAAAGAAGCAATCGAAAACAAATTGAAAATGCAAGAAATCATAACTCAGAGGTGGAGAAGAATAAGATTGCAACTGGATGAGGTTCTGCTTTTGCAAGTACTTTCTCTGCCGCTTGCGTCGCAACTCTTCAATAATGTCAATCCTGCGGGGAATGCGAATGGATTCAATGGCTTTTTTTCTCATGTCATGATGTATCGATCCCGGACCCGGATGTATCGATCTCGGACCCGGTGATTTGAATGTTTTCTAATATCACAATTTGTGTTTAAGAGATCCATGAGATGGGATAATGGAAAATGAAAATCCTCTGGATTCCCATGGAATAAACGACATCAATCTTCTGATCTCCGTAAATGATTCTGAAAAAGTTTCTTGCAAAATCAATCCTAAAAAAATATTAAGTTCTAATTTCGAATCCACACATTGTAGGATCGAATTTCCTTCATTTCGACACATATATTTGGGATGTTTTTTTTTGTTTTCCTCGAAAATGTGATGAATCAATGAAAATGATATTCGATTTCCGAATCTCGATGGATGTGATGAAATTTCTCATCTGAATCCGATGCAAAATATTTCGTTTCTATTTCTTCGTCATATGGATATTATGGGAGATTTCGATCATATTTCTTTCCATGAAATTATTCTCAAATCTATTTTGAAAAAAAATCAGAATTCATCCGGTGGAAAAATGAAATAGATCTTCGGATTTTTTTCTGAATTCCGATCCATATCTCTTCCATGATTTTTTAATTTATCGATCTGGATGAATATCGGAATTTTTTATATATTTTATCATGAGATTTTATGAAGAAAAATCTCGGAGAAAAATTATATGCCTATGATTCATAGATGATTGAATGAAAAAGTTTGCAATAAATTTAATCAAATGAAATTCTTTAAAAAAGAACAAAAAACTTAATTTTTTTCTATGTTTTGGGATATCCGAGAATCTGTATCTCTTCTCTCCAGAGACAACACAGACATTGAATCTAAACAAATTCATCCATCCATAGACATCCCATCTCATTGGACACAAAAAAAAAACGAAATCCTGCATGAATCTGAATATATTATGAAAAAAAAATTGACAAAGATTTTAGAGAATCCACCCAAACATTTGAGAATATTCCAGAAATTCTCAAATTATTTCATTTTCAACAATTTATCCGACTCCAATTCATATTATGAAATTTTGAAATCATATCCGGATATGAATCAGGAAAAAAATTGAGAAAATTCACAATCTCATAAATCTTTATTTTCCCCCAGATTCTTCCATCCAACCCCATCACACACAAATTTCCATGACAATTTGAAGATGAAAAAAATTATCCATACCATCCACATCCCCATCCGATGGAATCATTATCTTCAATCTCATGATTGTATCGAGATCCAATATGAATGAATCGAATCCATACGACACCTGAACCTCATAGGGAGAGAGACAATAGATATGAATCAAATGGAAAATTGATATGTTGAATTGAAAAAATTAGAATCACACTAAAACTACATTCGGACATCTACAACTTACATGCAATATTTGATGTTGATTATGATTGATTTTCATGAGTGTTAAGATTGTGGTGACATATAATTCGGATTGCGCCAGACCGTCGCGCTGACTCTTTTGCGAGATGATGAAGAACTAGAACATTGTACGCGAAACGCACCAATAACTGCAAATCATTTTCGGCACGAAATCTCGGTCGAGTGAGTAGATCAATAGAGGTTCTTGATCAATAAACGTTGACGCTTCTAAGGTTTCGACAAACCCGGTCGTTTTGTTGACGTGAAGTCGATATTCCGGCCACGACCGAAAAGAACAAGGCACACTTGAAGCACAGCACGCACGACGAATACGTTTTGAAAAAGTGAAAGACCTTGCCCAAAATATTTTTACGAAAGACATAAACAAAGAACTCAGCAGCCAGTAGTTGTAAAAAGTTGTCGTCGAGTGTTTTTGTCGTCAGCAAATATGACAACACAGACATCGTCGGTGTAACATCATGTCCAACATAGCATCGGTGGTACAGATGATTCAGATTCTACGTTTTTGCCCCGAAGTGAAAAAATGTTGTCTTCAATATCAATTGTCGCATGAAAAAAAAACTTCTAAACTTGTGGTTTCAAAGAAATAATCTCCGTCGAGAACAATTTCGTTATTGAGAAGTCTTCAAATCTTATTTTCCTCCGCCCGCCTGCTTGGCCATGATGATGTGGTCCACTCGCAACACGGTCAACACCGCCTCCAGTGCGTGCTTGATGGCCCACTTCTTCGAGTCCAGGTGGTCGAGGACACCCTGTTCCAAACTGTCTTGCAAGCACTGCTCGTCCTCCAGGTCCACGTTGATCCCGATGGTTTTTCGGGTAGATTTTTGAAACTGTGACTTATGAGAGTGCACAACTACCCCTTCCCCTTATTTGTCATGCAAGTTACCAAATCCACACGCTGCCTCTTTGCACGGTTTGCATGACAAGTTCTGGCAGCCCAAACAGGACTACAATCCGATGCAAATTTGTCATGCAAAACATGCTCGTCTCTTGCCGATGCTTGTATTGCTGTTCATGCCATACAAATGAGGGGGAGGCGGGGTTGTGCACTCTCATATGTCTCCTGCTCCTTGTACAAGCCGGTGATGGTCTCCACCCGCCCCTTCTTCCCGCAGTTGTCCGCCAGAATCTTGGGCACGCACTCCAGAGACTCCGCAAATTTCAAGACCGCGTACTGGTCCAAGCCGGGGACCTGTGTAGTTCTTGCAGGGGTCGTGCCGAGATAATTGACTACAGAATTCACTGTTCATTCAATACTAGTTGTATTTGTGCCCAACATTTCAGCATGAGTAACAAAGACAGCTGTTGAAAAGACTGGTTTATTTGTCGCTCGCCTAGTTGTAGTACAGCGAGGGCTTGCAGACCAGCGGCCGGTTTCTTAAATGCGCTTTAACAAATGAAATAGAAAAATTATTACCGTTGCCCCGAACGTCTGCAGCTCCCTTGCCAACATGGTTTCCGTCGCCGCCCCACCCGGGCAGAACCGTCCGTCCTTGGCCGCACAGCGGATCACGTGCACACCGTCGTTCAACGCGCGCTCCCACTCGTCCAAGGTGTTCGCGGTCGCCCCGCGCAGCACAATGGTCGAGATCTTGCTCTCCGCGGTCTTGAAGATGGTCACCTTCTGCGAAGCCAACTCCTCCACGGCCACGGAGTCGCAGAAGCCGACTTCCTCCGGCAGCGGGGGGCCCGCACGGATGATGGAGACCGCCTTCAACGTTTTGCAAATGCGGCGCAGCTCAAACTTGGACCCGATCTTGCACACCAGAATCTTGTACTTGTCCAAAAAGTGCATGGCGATCTCGGACACCGCGCCACCGGTATGCTGTGCAAAAGTATCGTAATCGTACTAATTGCAATCATGCATGACAAATCTTGACTTGTTTCTTAGCCAAATCAGCATTACAAACTCTATTTTTCCTTCTGAGAAAAGTTGTATTGCAATTACTACTAGTGCGATACTTTTGCAATGCATAACCGGAAATCACGACCGAAATCCCCGCGTCCGCGAGCGAACGGACCCAGGCCTCCATGTTGGATTCCTCCCCCTTGTATGAACTGCAAATATGTCTGGGTGTGGAACAAAGCAACTTGTCATGCGCATTTCAGAACGCACAAAAATCTCTCATGCATAGGTAGCAAAAGCTGCTCACTTTCTACCACCAAAGTGCGGGATTTGTCATGCGGGTTCGGCATTGCGGAAGCTTCTCGAAAACTGTGATGCTAGAGCTTCCATGCCAGACCTTCTGTGTCATGCAGAAACAGCATGACTCTTCCAGACCCAGACATTTTTACACTCGATACTTTGGAGTAGTTCAATAATTGCTCCGCGGATTCCAGCAACACCGTCCCCTTGGCCTCGGTCTGCTGGAACTCGAACCCGCTGCCGTAGACAACGACTTTCGCCTGCGTTTTCTTCTTCTCCACGCCGAGCGTGTCGCGGGGGACGACCATGCCGTCGACCACGAAGCTCTTGTATCAAATGCAAAAGTGTCTGGGTCTGGAAGATTGCGAGATTTGTCATGCATATTTTGCATGAGCCCTGATGTCTGTGATGCATGCCGTAGCATCACAGATTTTTGGAGGGCTTTGTGATACCTCTACCGCATGAGAAATAAATGCCCTCTCCACGTAGGACAAACCCGACCCCTCTTGCTGGTCACGCAATACAGATTTGTTTTAGAATCCAGAGATAGCATCACAAGTCACATCCACATCCTTCCAAACCCAGACATTTTTGCATTTGATATCTTGCTCAAGCTGCCGCCCGGAATCTTCGCGGTGCGGATGTTGTCCATCTCGAACTTGCTGACCCGGGTCACCTGCACGACCGCTTTCGCGAGCAATTCGGACAATTCCGTCTCCAACCCGTATTGCTTCGCCGAAATCGCCGTCTTCACGGCGCGACCAACGTCGCCCTCGTTCTTCAGCCCCTCGGAGGTCAGGGTCCAGCACGTGGTTTTCGTATCGTCCAGCACCTCCAAGACCTTCTTCAACGCGAGCTCGTACCCTTTCAGGACGTCCGCGGCATGTAGACCCTCCTTCAACAAGCATTCCGCCTCGTGCAGCAGACTTCCGGCGAGCATGACGCAAAAGTTCGTCGCGTCGCCACACTCGAATTCCTGGGCGGACGAGGCCTGGACCAGGAGTTTTCCGCAGGGGTGCGCGACTTCCATCTCCTTCAACATGGTCGCGGTGTCGGAGGTCACAAAGTGCTTGCCGAGGTGATTCACAACCAACTTGTTGGTGCCGTTCGGTCCAAAAGAGGACTGGACGATTTTGCTCAGCTCCTTGCACGCCTCGATGTTCTTCAGCAGAGCCTCGTCGACGCCCGCAAAGTGCTTGCCTCCATCCTTCAGGAGACTGGTGATACCGCCTGCGTTGCCGAACATGTTGGAAACTTTGTGCTTGTGGTGGTTGGTGAAATCTAAAAAATTGCTTTTCTTCTTTTCACAACTCTCTTATAATTTCTCAGAATGCAGCACTTCTTCTATTATCTAACTGTGAATAGAATTTGAAAAAATTATTCATTTGTTGTGACAGTGGACATGCCTCAAGGACTTTTTGTTTTTCATTTTTGGATGGGCAAACGGGAGACGATCCTTCTGTAATTTTTATTGCTTTATTTCGTCACTTCGCTTTGTTCCACGTAGGTGTGAGAAAGATAATTTTTCATCTGGGTGCTAGAGATCGGAGCGCGGTGGAGCGCCAAGAATTTTTCAGATCTGTGTACTTTTGGTCACGACATACGGTTCTTGAACATCAGCTATTAACTTCGTTGACGTTGAGTTTGAATTTAAATTTTCGCTGCAGCTCGATTTTCGGAGCGACTCTACTTTCTCTACATTTTTTTTTTCAAAATCGCTGTCGCTATTTATCGACGTTTCGCATGTGTTTGCGGTTCTCGATCCGTGAAATAGCATTTCGACGCTGTGGTCGCGGGATAGAAATTTCATTTGATATTTATACACGGGGTAACGATACGTCGGTATACACGACGATTAGCATGATCTAGACCTCCAATCGCAATCACTATCCAGTTTCATCGTCTTCCTCTTCCGGATCTTCGAGCTGAAAGTGTTGCGTGAGCGCACCCTTTTTTGCATTTGTTCCACTCTCCGCAGCTTTGTTCCCTTGGCTTGAACCTGAGGCTGTCGCGTTGTTCACATTCTTTCCCTTCTTCTTTCCTTTTGCCGCTGCTGCTGCTGCTGCAGTATCTCGGGGGCCAAAACTCGCCTGCTGCGGTTTGCTTTCATCTTCGTCGCTGTTCATGGTAACCGGTGACAAATCCAGCACGTCTACCAGCCTCTTGTCGTCGAGCAACGCTACCGAAGCCTTCCTCTTTTCCCGTCGGCTCTGCTGGGCCCGGAACGCAATCTCCTCCTCGGTGGGCGGGGCGCACTCTAACAGCTTCGCCCAGTCCGTTTGCTCAAAAATTTCTTCCAGCGTCTTCTGTTCCTCCGCCTCGATAATGTCAATCTGCTGGATTACGTCTGCGAGCGAGGAGTTAGACCCGGTGGCTTGCAGGGTGCCGGTTAAACCAGTATTTGATCCGCTTCGAGCCCCCTCGCCCTCCCTTGGCGACATGGACACCCGATCCGCCGCGCGCGGATCCGGCGACTCTTGCGTTTCCAGCCGAATGAAGGAATCCACGGTGTTGTTCGTGTCAATGGGTTTATCCGGAGAAACTAACCGCGCAACAGGCAGCTCTTCAGAGGACAAGCTTCTCTGCGACAGATTTCTGGTCGCATGATCCGGCGAAAGCGACGAGCCGCGGTGGTCTAGTTGTACTTCACTAGTACTACCCGCAGTAGAGAAGACCGAGGCACTGGATGTCGCATTGTTATTTCCGTAGATTGTCCGGACGGATTGTGTCGACGCAGCGGTGCCGCGGATGGACGTCGTTGCGCCAGTACCACCAGTTGTAGTAGCGAAAAAAGCTTGTCGTATCCGCTGCTGGTACCTGCGCATCTCCTCTCGTAATGTCCTTTTGCTTTTCTGGACTAAGAGTTCCTTGTCTTCTTTCAACTTGTCACACTGTAATTGTTTTATCTCGAGTAGTTGCTGCACCTCGTTTAGCTGCAGCAGTGCGTCGTTGCAGGTCGAGATCCACCGGTTGCGCTCCTCCTCCAGCATGGCGTAATCGGCAGACCACTGTTGCAACTCGATGAACTCAGACTCGGACATGTTCACCTGCTCTGCGGATGAGGAGGAGCTGGTGCTGGAGTCTTTCGAATCAGCACTTTGTGGCGCAGAAGAAAAAGTAGCTTTGCTTTTCGGTGAACCTTTACTCTTCGCAACACCAGGCACTTGTCCTCCTCTACCGCCATCCCTGGTTCTTCCCGCACCTCCTCCCATCGCGCTGGGCGGCGGGGCGCGTGTTGTCAGTTCCGTCAATCCAAACGCATTCGCCACCGACCGGCTGAAGTCCGACCAGAGCGTGTTGAAAATGGACGGCTGCGCCTGTTTTCGCGTTTCCCCGGTAAGGTTGCTCAGGTTGTGGCTGTATCCTGTGCAAAAGTATCGTACTCGTACTAATCGCAATGACGCATGACAAATCGCCTTCCTAAGCTAAAACAGAATGACAAATTCCGTTTGTCATGCTAAGGATATTTGTAATGCAATTTCTACTAGTGTAATACGATACTTTTGCATTTCATAGGTTGTCCAGTGTGGCCTTGCAGACACACAACTCCTCGCTCGTCTGGGCCAAGCGACGGGCCAGGCCGCGGTTGCAATCCTCGAGCGTGACGATACGGTGGCGAAGACTGTTCAGCTCTTTAGTACCTGCTGTTGCAGGAGCTGCGCCATCAGTTTGATTTTGTTCTCTTGGTGGTGTACTTGTGGATGAAGGGGCTGCTGGCTTCGGAGACGGTGCTGGATCATCTCTACTACTGCTCTCCTCTGAAGTCCTGACAGGTGGCGCGAATAGAACTTCTTTTTGCTCATTTGTTCCACTCTTCCCATCCGCAGCTGCAGCTGCAGTCGGCGACGTCGCTGGGCTCGTTGTTCCCGAAGAAGTAGCCGAGGCGGAATTTAATATTTCGGTTCTCCTCTTATTCGGCGATGATGCGCTGGCAGTCGAGTTCTTCGAAGAGCTCGTCTCTGTAGCCAGTCTGTTGTTCGCTTCAAACATGGATTTCCGGTCCATGACGGAAGTTGGCGTCGCGCTCGCGCCGTCTCCTGAAGCTGTACCGTCATTTGTAGTTCCCTTCGCCTGGTCTTCACTCCCGGCTAGCTGGTCCACGGTTTTCACCGCCGGCTGGTTTTCCCATTCCGTTGGCAGTGACCGCGGATCCACGCCTTCCGATTTCCATCCGGCGTGGTAGTCGGCGTTGGTAGAAACCGGTGCGTTTTCCCATTCCCCAGTCTGCACCGCCGGCCGGGGTACAACCAAACTCTGCTTTCGCGGCTCCACGGTCCACGTCTCACCCTCCTCGGCAAGTCGCCTCTTCTCCTCGATCTTGCGCTCCAAACGGGGGTCTTTTATCATGGTTTTGTAGCAGGAGGAGACGACGCAGCTGTGACCACAGGGACAACGATCAAGAAATTAGATAGTAGATAGGATACGGGCAGGCTTAATAATCATATCCTTCAAATTCAAATGTGTTTCAATGCGTAGCTGTTCAAGATACTCTTGTTACATCTCTTGTTACACGGTCAAACGGGTAGACTTTGAGTCAAAAATTGCGGCGTTTGGAGCAGGAGGTTGTAAAGCAAATCAATGTGCAAGCGAACCTGCTGGATAAAAAGAAAAATGACCAAAGTCAAAAACTCGCGGGGGAAAACAATACTATGTAATTTTCAAAATGGGAAAGCAGACCCAGGGTGGTAGGCACTGTAAAGGTGACTGTAGATGCGAAATTGTCCGCGTTTTGGGTTCTTTGGGTCGCGAAAGAGAGACATCTTCCACACCTTGCAACAATCTCAGAGAAGCCTCAATCGAGTTCGACAGACGTGGACATGCACAGTATTCAGTATGAACATGAAGAAAAGACCGACATGTTGGAAATCATTGCTTGATTTTTTTAACAGCACAAGCTCATCAACATCAAGATCGAGGTAGCTCGCTGTGAGAAGATTCAATTAATAAGCAGCGGCATCGCCAAAATATTAAGTACTTGCTCTGGAACACTGCCCCTTCTGGCCATCTTCCTGGCAACCTTGTCCAGGCAGAGGCACGTTTTTGCAAAGCTAGAGTGCCTCATTGATCTGAGAAATAAATCACTCTGTAGTTGTAGTACACAAACTACTAACACAAAGGCAAAGCTGTACTAGGTTACAGAAACATTTCGGCGTTTGCACTTGCGGTGCGAAAACCCAGAAGAGTACGGCAATGAGTAGAGTTGTATGTCCAAGTGCGGAATTATAAGCGGATTTTTGAATCACAGACCTCATTTTTTCGTCCACTGCACACAAGAGGCAGCTAGTACGCGCCTCAAACCTTGTTTTTTCTGAAAGGAGAAGGACGGTAGTGATTCTATCGTGACACATCATGACCTCTCTGGAATAATTCTGCTCTGCGTCGAAGCAGCAGCCTTGCTACTCTATCTGGTTCACCGATTCATCTTGGCGGGACCACATGTAATCGCGATCGCCAGGAGAAACTTACAACTTCTGCAGCAATTTCTTCCCCCGAATGCCCTCGAGCTGCGATACGTAGGGCGAGTAGGCCCACATGATCATATCAAATGCAAAAGTGTCTGGGTCTGGAAGATTGCAACTTGTCATGCTGTCTTCGGATTCGAAAAAAATCTGTAATGCATGACCGGCAAGAGGAGTCCAGTTTTTGCCACGACGAGAGGGTATTCCTCATGCGGAACAGGCATCAGGAAGCCCTCTCAAAATCTGTAATTCTAGATCATGCATTACAGACCTCATGAGCCATGGAAAACCTGCATGACAAATCTTCCACTCTTCCAGACCCAGACATTTTTACATTTGATAGATCAAGATCGTGTGCATTTTCGTCGGTAGGCCCTCCAACTTCCCGGACTCGTGGAACCAGGGGATCTTCATTTTCACCATCTGGCCGAGCTTGGCTGACACCCGGTTGTCCCGCGTTTGCTTCCAGTTCGCGCCGTTGGGCTTCGACGTCTTTACCGGGATGGTTTCCAACTTTCCCGCATCCCCGTTTTTCGTGTACACCTCCAGAAAGCCCTTGTCCGTCGTCTTTGCCTTCGCGTCGCCCCGCGCGACTTGCGAAATTCCGTAGTGCTCGGCAAGTTTCTCGAAATACTTGATCAGATCGCGATCCAGTAATTTTGTCATCTTGTTCCCCGCCAACGTGTCTTGCTTTTTTGACGGCGGCGCGGGCTTGGCATCCTTCTTGACGACGGGCTTGTTTGCCGCGCTCTTACTGGACGAGGCGGCTGCTTTCATACTCATTTTGCCCATGGCTAGCAGCTTGAAGGCACAAAACCTTCAAAACTAGACAACGAAAAATCCTGAGTGTTTGAAGATAAGGTACGCAGAAATACCACACTGCCCGACGCTACTTTCTACTTTGCACTTTTCTAGTGTTTCTTGAAATTCGGGGTCCACGGGTCTGCAGGAGCATGGAAAAATGCAGATTCAATGTCTTCACTTACTCTAGTTTTAGGTAAGGGTGTGGCTCTTGTGAGGTGTGGCGTTAAGTACATTGAGTCTGTTGTTCTCATTCAATCACTTCTTCTGATAACAACGCACTTGCTCCTCTCCATGCGATTGTGTACCGAAAAATGTAACACGAACTGCCTGTTCCATGTACCGATCCCGATGCTTCTTCACAGCGGCCTGATCTGAGAAGCAAGAAAGTAGAACACACGAACATATCTATCTGATACTCGTAGTGCTGGGGCGCCAGATTCTTTAAGTACTGGCCTGACTTGTCGCTTGTGCGTATCAGATTCGATTCGTTCAGATTCTGCCAAACCTCAACCAGTGCATGTCCGTCCTCGGCAGATGCTCCGAGACGCACCCTTCGGAACCGAAAAGATCGAAGAGAGACAGGTGAGTATGAAGGGAACTTGGGATACTTAGCGTTGTTGTAGTACTTGTGTTCTTTATTCCCGCACGATTCTTGACTGAATCGACAAAATGCAAAAGCCGAGCCCGATCCTCGCAACAGGTCAAGGATGTCCGGAGTGTACCGAGCAGGTGGGTGCAGCTTGCTGCTTTTGGACCTCCTTCTTCAAAAATCGCGTTTATAATTCCTCCCGTCGTTGTTCTTTTCAACCCCACTGCTCCTTGTTGTTCTGCTTTCTCGAATTTTCTTCTTCGTCGCAGCAAACCGCGCCATATCTTCAAAACGCATACCCGTGCGGGCGTGCTGCGGATCTCGTACGGGTATCGGCGGTAGAAACTGACAGCACGCTTTCCCGATGCTGACGCTGTTGCGATACAGATCGGAGGAGAGGAGGTACTGGCGCCGTAGACATCGTGAGGACCAGAGCTTTCTGCAAAGAGCGCTCGAGCCGATGTACATAATTCGCTCTTGCGGGAGCTGCTCTTCGTGGACGAGCGGTCAGTTTCACGACACCGCTGCTGCGCACTTTCAAGCGAAAAGTGATATTGCATTTTTTCCTCCACCCCTGCCTCCGTATTAAGTGATGGGCGGCGGGGGGTGAAATTCTCTTGCTTGCTGGTGACCACGCCGCCCGCCTGTTCACAACCCTTCCAACTCAAAACACGGGTTAAGATTCCGGACAGGTCAGAAAGCGAAAGCCCCAGAGGCAGTTCTAGCAGGAGAAATTTTGCCAGCTTGTTGGGAGAAGGTCGTGGTACTGCGCTTGATGATGGTGATGCCGAGTTTATATTATGCTGTGGCAGACAATCTCCTTGGACCTCTATCGGAATCACTCTCACCATTCGATCTCGACGGTGTGACGTCGGCGCAACTTGTTCTATTGCGGACCTGCAAGAACTGTTCGCTTTCGTCAGCAGTAACTCCAGCCGTCGCAGCAAGCAATTCGTCTCTTTTGCGCAGTAGACCTGGTTACCCAGGTGGCGAAGACTATCGTCCTCCAGGCCTGCTAGCAGGTCTTTCACTGTGTCATTGTCTTCATCATCGGTAGTACACAGCTGCGTGGGTGTGGGGCAGCAGAAGGTCGGAGCACCAGTGTCACGCATCGTTGCAACGGAATCTCGACAAGAGCGAACGTCGAAGAAGGGAGAGTTTGTCATCGTCATATTCTGATGTCTCTGCATCAATACTGCGCGATCGCCGAACTGCTGGTCGCCCCCAGGAGAGCAGCCGGCGCCCTCTCTACTCAGGCGGGCGACCGAGTTTCGGGCAACATGCCGATTCGGCTCTTTGCGGTCTTCGTCCACGTTGTTACCTCTAGGGTCTTCTTGACCCCTCGTGAAAAGCTCCTTTTTTTCAGGAAATGAAAAATCGCAAATTTTTCCTCGCACGTCGAGCCGAGTGAAGACGCCGGGAAGATTCTTCCTGGTAGGAAAAACTACACAAGCTTTGCTGGCGAGTAAAAACGGCTGGGCTTCCAAGAAATCCATCTCTAAATTCCGGACCAGTTCCTGCACAGTCAAAATTTTCCTCGTTTCTGTTGCCATAATTTGTTCCGTGGCTGTTCTACTTCTCCGCACAAAATTCAGATTCTCCTGTACATCAGCCAAAAACCGCACCCGGAACAGGAAGTCTTGCACTTGTCGCAGTGCCTGTTTGTCCTGCTCGATGACGATGCGCTCCACCGCCAGCGTGCGAAGATCCCGGTCGAGGAAAAGGTCCTCCTCGAGATAAGATCGAAGCTTCTGCACCAGCAGATCTTGTTGGTCTTGGTCGTGGTCCTCTTTGCGCTGGCAAAATTTTTCCTGCTTATTGGGATCCCCGAGAAGAAGGTCCAGCTGCTTGCTGGCAACCAGGCGAAGACGGTCGCGGTCTGTGAGAACGTCTGTTTGGCCGCTTTGAAGGTGAGAACGTGGCCTCTTGTGGTGCGGGGGTGCATTAATATGTGGGGATGCCGATTCGCCTGCGCGACCGTAGTGGGAACTTCGCATTAGCTGCAAGTTCCGACAGTGAAGCTCCTCGTTCAGCCGCGAGCGAGCCTCAAGCCACTGACACAGTTTCTCATTCCGGGAAAGCAACGTGGTCAACGCAAGGTCGATTGCGGTGCGGGTAGCAACATGTAGAGTCTCGACAGCTCCTGCACCATCGTCGTGTGCAAATAAATCTTCGCACGCTCCAGGATCATTCGCAGACGGAGCAGTTCTTGTCGTGTGCAAAATCATGTGATACAACAGGTGCAGCGCCACGAACCGCGAGTTGCATTCGGCCTGGAACGCGAGCGCTTGGAGACGGGATCTTTCTGCATACTGCCTGCGAGGGGCCTTGATGCCTTTATTGGTACTACGAGTATTTTTGTCATCTCCAAGGTTCCGAGACGAAGCAAGACGCACCAGCGATTTCATATTTCGATCCCCCACCTGCTGCGCAAGGCCGCTTCTCAGCTTGGCTCTCGTCAAAAAGGTGCCAATGCAAGATATCGTGAAGGGATTTGAGTCGTCTGCTTTTATTCTGTCCCGATAATTCGAATCTTGCCCATCTCCCGTCGTCGAAAATGAATCATCGTTGCTCCTGCCGTAGGATAAAAATTCATCGTGTGTTGAATAAAATGAGGAGCCTTCAACTTTTTCAATCGCAAAGTTCAAGCGAATAAGCGGCATCGCACTCCCCTGCGCTCGGTTGCTGACGGGGCGGGCGCCGAGACGGGTGATGCTGGCTTGCTGTTCGTGAAGAAAGCCCTCTGACACCACCTGATACGAGTTCATCGCCAGAATCCGAAGAAGAAACAGTACGCATTCCGCCGCATTCTGCTGCGCACTGACTGCTCTTGCTTGTTTCTCTTTCCGTTGTAGATCCAAAGCCGCTTGCTGATCTGCAGCTGCCTTCAAGCGTGCGGAGTCGCAAACTCGTTTGGTGCTGACGCTTACTTCGCTGCTGCTGCTTCTCTCTGTACTACTAGTTTCCGCACTACTTGTACTAGTGGTTCTTCTGCGCGAACTTCTTGGTCGTGCGGTGCTGGGCGCAGTCGCAGTGCTGATAGACGACGCCACTTCTTCGTTGAGGTCGCATTCGCTCAGGCGAAAACTACTCCTGCCGCTGCTTTTTAGTCGCCCCTGATTCATCCGCGTTTTGGAGTCAATTCCCGCGTCAGAGCAACTGGAAATCGAAGCTGTTCTGCGGGAAGTACGGCCGGATGCTATTGGTGGACAAAATGACGACGGCTCATCACGGCGAGTCGAGTTGTTGTAAAAGCAAACGTCGCTTTCCAAATCCCTTTCGTCAAGGTTCATCAGCAAATGCGTCCTGGTATCGGTATCTTGGCAGGTAGAGTTCGTGTCTGTCTCGTCGTCCACTACCTCCGTGGAAACATCCACCAATTGGGGCTGTTGAACTTTCACTTTCTCCGCTTTTATTTCCAATGCACCAAACACCGGGCTGGCCGGCTCCTCGGCCTGTGTAGAAGTTTCTGCAGCGCGAGCTTTCGCCGCTGAGCCTGACGAGTTCTGGCACTCCTTTTCATTTTCCCCGTTTTGCACGCCCAGGCGTCGGTGGTTGAGCTTGTTTTTGCCACTTTTGGAAGTAGCATCCTTCTCTGCATACGCACGAAGGGTCAACACCGTCGGTAGCTGCTTTTTGTTTTTGCGCGGCTGTCGCTTCCATTTCTTCCGTCGTCCGTGCTTGCTTTGCGCTGGAGTTTTGTTCTCTACTTCGGCGTTCGGGGCTTCTACCTGTGGCTCTTTTTGAAGCGCCGCCGTGTCCTCTTTTCGCCGACGAGGACGAAAAGGTGCGCCCGTGGCTCCGCCGATTTCTGCTGGGGGAGACGTACTACAACATGTAGTCGTGGGCGCCACCACGAAGTTTTCGTTTTGGTTTTCTTCACTGCCACTGTCTGACGAAGCAAACCTTACGTGTCGATAGAGTTGATCTTCGGACAGCACAATTTGCTCCAAACGATGCAACAGTCTGCTGCACTCGCGATTCGCGCGATCTGAGATCTGAATATCGCATCTGCCTTTATCGTTTTGCTGTTGGACTTGCCTTTGCGTCAAAGTCTTCTGCACCTTTCTCGCCGCGGGTGCGGATGCAACATCGTAAACTATGGCAAGCGCGAGTGCTGTGCCGACTAATTGAGTGGCGCACGCGTGTAAATCTTTTGCAGTTTCTGCATGGAAATTCTGGCCGCCAAGCTTATTCGTCAGACGAACTTGGATGCCGCGAAATTGTTCATCTAATCCCCATTCTCTTGCTCTCCGCCACAGCGCAGGTTCTATTGTCCTCGCAGGTGGTCGTGCGTTCAGCAGTGTACTAGACGGGGGTAACGGCAGCGCCGACCACATAGGATCGATTTTTGTGTTCAGCAGGAGCAGGCTTTGGTTTTGGAGCTGTAAACTTTCAGATTCAGGTTGCACCTTTTGCCCATCTACTTTAGGGCGGGATTCATCTACTCCATATTTGTTCCCATGTTGACCTCCTGGCTCACGAATGTGATCAGCCGCTCTGTAGTGGTAGCCTTCCCTTGCAGTTTGCTTTGCTGGCTCTATTTTGATTCCCTCGCGGAGCCGCGAGAGTAGGAACAACTCGACGCTGTTTTTCTCCTGCAAAAACCCAAACACGGCTGCCACGACCGCATCGGAATGGAACGGCAGCGCGTCGACGATAAAGGGGCGCAGGTGGTTCGTTTTGTAGAAATTGAATTCCGACGCGGCCAGCAGCGAATTATCGGTTGCGCTAGCATGATCATTTGTGAAGGCAACGGTCGTTGGACTAGTTCCCTGAACAAGTGAAAAATCAGAGACGCTCGTGTTCTCCCGGTTCTGTCTTCCCTTCGTACCTTCTTCACTGTGGCACTTCTGGCGCAGACCCGAGGTGCAACATGCGGCGCCCATTTTTTCATTCGGCTCTTTACTTTTTTTGTTCTTGGTGGCTGTGATTCAGATTCATCTTTGGGGTACTCTTGGCTTTGGCCCTTTATCGGCTTTAGCTCGCCAGACAACGCCAACAGGTCACAAAAAACAAAGTTGTAAAAGTTAAAGTTGTGGAAAAAACTAGTATTTTATTATAGTATCGTGCTTGCTCTGTCGACGCCTCAATAAAATATTTCTTTCTAGGAGAATGAACTTCAACTTACACGACACGACGGGCTGAAATGTGGGTTATCAATGTGAGTAATAGTAGCAAGAGTTGGGGAGGAGCTCGACTTACAAATCGACTCATCTGCTGCTCCACTGCGCGTCAAAAACATTGTTTTTTCATATACTGATTTTTCATCAAAAAATCGTAAAATGCTGATCATCACAGCGGTCGCGAGCGGTGTAGTTTCATTCTTCTGAGAGAGTAGTTTACTGACCGGATGATCTGCAGGAGGGCTGTGGCGCGACACACAGAAATAACGACCGCTTCAAAAATCATACGAATACGATTTCTGTGCTGCTTCATGCGACCGGTTTTCGTGTTCCTCGTGCCAGAGAATCATGAACGATCACTTGGTTTTCTTAATATTCGCAGCGAGAGAGAAGATGAGCAGAGCTACGAATAACGACAAGGACTGGACGACGACCACAAGATGAATAGTCGAGAAGACACGACAAAACACGTTTGATAACAACGGTAACAACTTCAACTTACTAGCAAGCCGACCACACGCAAACTTGTTTGAAACAAGTTTAGTATTGCTTAAATGAAAATAAGTAGCGCCACACAATTAGGCAGATCATCCATCGGGTCGTCCAGCATCTGCGAACAGAGCCTGGTACCTTTGCGGCTTTTGTGCTCCTACCGGGATCTACCAGAGCGAGCGTTATACTACTACCCAAACAGTGCAATATAAAATCCCTTTTTACTAACCGGAGTTAGAAAAATAAGTACTTGTATAGTCGTTAGCTGTGGTAGGGCACAATCAATACTAAATATTTGTCGCATCGGTCCGTAGCAGTACATCATACGTCGCTTTATTGATTCCTTCGTTCTACTTGGTAATCGTTCGTAGAAGTCGTTCGAGGAGCATTACTGCATACATTGGTTCATTTTTTGCAGCTCTGCTGCGAGGTGCAGGAACTGTAGCCGTCGCGTGTTCTATTTGTACTCGTTCCGCAGCGCGGCTGCTCGAAGGATGCTTTATTGTGCCACAAAAGCGGCTGTTATTTCCATCGTAGTTCACTAGTAATACTTAGCTTCGCTTCCTATAAACTTCCACTTCACCAATGATTATGTATGAGTTTTATCAAATGCAAAAGTGTCTGGGTGTGGAATGTTGCCGCTGCCGGGTGTGTCATGCATATTTTGCATGACCCAGGATGTCTGTAATGCACGACCTACCATCACAGATTTCATTCTAGGGGGCTTCCTGATGCCTACTCCGCACGACAAATGCCCTCCCCGCGTCGCACAAACTACGCTCCTCGTCTCGCTGGTCATGCAATACAGATTTTTTTAGAGTCCAAAGTTAGCACGACAAGTTCCAACCTTCCAGGCCCAGAGCCAGACACTTTTGCATTTGATAAGTTTTGTTGGGAGATCGATTTCGGAAAACATGAGATGACTAGCATTCGAAGCTGGAGGTCACCCTTGTGTATCGAGTTATTCTGCCTCTCACGCAGCATTTTCGAAGTGATTCCAAATCGAAGAGTGAAGACGCGACCTTGGTTATTTACAGCTACATGCGCTAGTACACGACAACTTTGTACTTCTACTTTGATTGTGTTCATCAAATCAAAGTTCTGCGACGCAACAGACAACCGATTGTCCCGGGTGCCTGAAGCAAGCCGCCACTTTCGCGGTTGAGATTAAGTCGTTGTCTATATTTTTCGCATAGCAAGAAAGTGACAAATCTTTTGTCTAGAACAAGAGCGAATTTTACTAGGTAGAGCATACGTCCTACGCTCGTCCCCTCGGTATACAGTTGCGTCTAGATTGAAGGCCAATACTAAAAAAGTTGTGGGCTGGCGCACTGTGATGTAGTTCACCGCAGGCGAAGGTAACTGAAAACGCAGCACTGCGTTTGCGCTAGCTGTTTGCCTCGGCGATGTGCAGCTACTTAAAAAAATTAGGTGTCGCAAAACTGGCATCGTAATCTTCGTGTGGTGAGGATTTATTTGTGAAAAGCAAGTTTCACGTCGGAATTCTTTTAGGGGTAGTTCGTCTAATACTAATATACGTATACAGCATAATTTTAGATGTACTAGCTCGGAAATGTTGGTACTATGTCCTTAGCCTTCGGCTGAATTGCGAGCAGCGAAAACTCCTGCACCTGCTTGCAAATCCAATAGTAATTTCCTGAATTTTGATTTTCATCATTATTTTTCTGAAACGTCCTATACTCATACGGATAGAAGCGCTTTTCATTCAATCTTGTGTCGCAGTTTCGTTGGGTTTTAATAAAGTCTACGTACTAGGGTTCTACTTCCGTCGTTGGGTTTGTTGCAATCCAAAGAAAACTTTACCGAAAAATATCCTCCCGATAATTTCGAGCGCGAGTCTCCATTTTTGCGCTGACCCACTAGAGAGTCATGGAAAATTTAGCGAAGGGATCTCGCAAGCCTCCTCCGGGCGTAAACTCTTCGTCTTGTGGCAGGGGGAGTGCGATCTGTCCGATGGAGCAGGTGGCTGAATGATCTCCCGCGGCACTAAGTCCTCCACCACCGCCGCCGAACAAATGGTCGCCCCATTTCGGGCCTCCATTAATCGCTTCCTTGGTTGCCTGGTTCACTTTCATTGCTAGGGAGGAAGTGTTAGTGTTTTCAGCTTTCGCATGATTATGCTTTGTTTGCTTTATTTCTGAGGTCGTTTTTGTAGCAGTCGTCGTGGTAGAAGCTCCTGCTCCAGAAGTTGTTGCGTTGGACGAGGACAATGCGGTGGTGGTGTGCGGCTCGGAGGCGACCGGACTGGTATTCTTCGTCGCGTAGGACGGGGTGAGAATGTTCTGCATCTGGGACATTTTCTGCCCCGACGTTGAGGAAAACCAATCCTGCAGGCGCGTCTGCCCCCAGGACACGCAGTCTTCATCGGTGGCGGTAGAAAAAAACAACATATCGTCTTCGAACGACCCCTGATACGTGGTGGTCGTGGGGAATTGCACTCCTTCTACTGGTCCTTCTGTAGTCGACGGGTTAATACCCAACGACCCTACCGCTGAACTTTTCGATGTTGCACCAGTGGTCGCGTTATTTTCTTCTCCCCCCATCTTCAAAGTTCTGACGCGCAACTCAGAATCAATTTCGTGCGGAGAGAAGGAGCCCGTCGTTTCCAGTGGACTGTGGTCGACTTTTTGCTTTTTCGCACCGCTGGAATAAAGTAGATCTGGTTCTTGTGCACCAGTTCTTGCAGCCACTTCCCGTCCCGACTCACCCTCTTCGGGTGCGAAAAAGCTTTTATCGTCCCTTGCAGCAACCATTGTAGCTGCACTTTGAGACGTCCGCTTCCTCTTCCCACCCTCTTTCGGAACCGCTTGCCCTTCTCCAGTAGGATCTTCCTTCCCTGGTTCTCCGTTCAATATTTTATTCAACCTGCTTATTTCAGCATCGGCCATCCGCTCAACATCATCTTCCGAACAATTATTCATCGTTTCGTTCAGTACCTCCTTTTTGTCTCCGTCACGAGAAGGAGAGGAAACCGCAAAACCATCCTGTTTTTGGAACTCGTGGCAACTTCTTGCGTCAGGCTGGTCCACCTCATTGACCGTGTGGTCCTTCTGTTCTGCACTAGCACTATCTGCCCCTCCTGACGACGACGCAGATGCAGGTCTCGCTGCCTGTTCCCTCTGGCCCTTCTGTTCGTTACTTTCGATGACCTCGGAGACCAGTTTGAAAAGGTTCGACTCCGTTCCAGCATCTTCCTTTTGCTCCCCCACAGCGGTACTACCCACCGCGGGCGAAGATCGCAAAACATTCTGCAGATTCGCCTGCCAGTTGTAGCCCCCGCCGCGCTTTGTCGTGTTTTTACCACTGGTACCCTTGTGCTGGTGGTACTCATTCATCTTGCTGTGTTGATTCCCGCCTTTATAATTCGCGTAGGGACCTCCACCAGGGCGATTGCACAAGTGGTAGGGTACCGGGCCGGGTGAACTAGCTTTCGAAGAAGTGGACGAGGTTGTGTTAGTTGTGTTGCTCTGCGATATATCAAATGTAAAAATGTCTGGGTCTGGAAGATGTCATGCAGATTTTCCATGACCCATGAGGTCTGTGATGCATGCCCTAGCATCTGAGATTCTGCGAGGGCTTTCTGATACTCATACCGCATGAGAAATGCCCTCTCCGCGTAGCACAAATTGCACCCTTTATGCTGTTCATGCAATACAGATTTTATCATTATCCAAAGTCCAAAGGTAGCATCACAAATCCCATTCTTTCCTGACCCAGACATTTTTGCAGTTGATACGATACAGAGGGAAACATTTTCGCGTAGTTCATTTTTTTCAACGGACAGGCCGTGAGTTGATTTTTGTCGTCAATGTTGTTATCTTCTTGCTCAGAAGTCGTCGTCGTCGAAGTGCCATTTGTATTTTTGGTTGCATTTTTGCTTGTCATAGATTCGGTATTCGAAGAAATATGATCTCCTCCAACAGCATGAAGATCAACACGAGCGTCGTCGCTACAGCCGTCGTCAGCAGCTACCGTCGTCGTAACGGTAACGCTTGGGCTTGCCGCGGTTACCAAGTTGTTGTTCCCAAAAGAAGTGCTCGCTGTCGCTTCGGCCTCGGTAGTCCCCGAATGAGCCGTGGACGAGGAACAGCCATGGGTTTCCTGGCCTGGAAAGTTCTTCTTTTCTGCTGCTGGTGAGTGGTTGTTCTCGTTCTTCCCACTGCTAGCGGTGCTGTCGCCAGAAGAGTTGTTGCCGTCGGTCTGGGTGACACCACCTCCACCCGGGCTGTAAGTTTGTATTTGACACCTTTACTTAGAACTTTTCATCTGATCATGTAGTTTATTTCCATGCAAATGCATTCGCAATGGCATTCCACATGCGCTAGATAATTGTAATTCTCAAATCAAACACCAACCACTTGCTCAAGAAACACTCCTATTTCCATCATGTTTCTTCGATACCTATTCGTACTGCTGTAATTCGATCCGGCCCGGGTGTTTTTCTCCGCAATAGTTGTAATATCGTCTTCTTTGTTCCCTCCGGTTTGCTTTTCCTTGATATTATCCACTGCCGTCTGCACGTTGCGCATCGCCCGGTCGTTTTCCAAAGTTTCAGCAATGACCGAGGACGGCGGCAGGATCAGATCGCCGCCGCGCAGCGTCCCTGGCGACGCCTCGTCGCCAATCTCCGGCAGGGGCGGATAGGCCCGCATCTTTGCCAACAGCGCGTCGCGCGCAGGGTCCTTGGGCTGCTTGTTGTTCTCTGGCTTGACAAAAAGTCCATCCGGGTTGTTTTTCAACATCTCGCCGTGCTGGGTCGTGTCGCCTAAGATTTTTTTGTTTGAAGTATTATATCAAGCTAAAAAAGGTTAAGGTTCATCTCATCTGATCTCAACAAATTCAACCAAGATATAAACTTTCTTGCCAAATAGAATTCGAGCGGTGTTTAGTTCCTTCACAAGAACCGCTGGCCTTATTAAGTATATCAGGGCGCCATGCGAACGCCAAGACCGTATGATGATCTTCAGCTGTGTCATTTCTTCACCTGCAGGTCCACCTGGATTTTGTTCCAGCACGATCGTGGAACAAGCGACATTGTCTCGCCCCGAACAAGATGAGTCCACCGAGGCGGCGCTCAGTGCTGGCGACGCAGTCACGGATGAAGTTCCAGGCCCGCCGCCGCCCTTGGTCGTCACCACGAGGTCGCAGTGCAGCGTTCCATTGGCCGTGGTAGTTATCACACGGTCCCCGGTCAGCTGGTGCGCGACCGTGGAAATGGAGCTTGCTTTGGTGCTCGTGGTACGGACGGGGGCGCTCACAGCGACGAACGGGGGACTGCTCTTCGCAGCTCCTGCGGATGTAGTACTGGGAAAATGGTCGACGTCTTGTTTCCCCGCGCCTGCGTTAGTACTGGTAGTGCTATCTTCGGAAACAAGGAGGACGGCGGCACCACTAGAGGAAGTTCCCTGCCCTTGCATGTTAATATTACCTCCAGTCCCGGTCCCTTTGAAAGACGTGTTCATCGAGGTGCCTCCAGTTGTCAAGGGAACAAGTGCCCCGCCTTTACCAGCCCCGGCCTTGTTCAAATTTGTAGCGTACTTCGTGGGCTGATAACCCTTGTTCATCGTGTTCCCGGTACTATTGTAGAAGCTCTTGTTACCAGGAGCTCCTGGACCGAGTAGCGGGCTGGTGTGTGGGGTCGTCGTGGCGGACAGCGTCCCACCGCGGTGCGGCATGTGCTGCTGCGGTTGATGACCGAGTTGTTGTGGTCCTTTTGCACCACCATTCGGCATCATTTTTCCACCTCCACCGTGCGTGCCAGGCTGCATTGCTGCACCTAGCATGGACGAACAAGTACCGGTCGTCCCCGGGGACGGATTGAGCGTGCCGCCCGTGGTCGTGGTCCCGAAAGGAGCACCAGCGGGATTGTACGCAGTTGTGGTGCCCTTCTGCTGTTGCTGACCGTTGCTGTAGGGCTGGAACGGAGGTTGGGGGGGCTGCGGTACTCCGCCCGACAGAACTACGGGACCACCGTGTTGATGAGGGGAACAAGCCGCAGAGGGCAGTTGACCGCCTTTGACGATCGTTGGGCCATTGTTGGAGGATCCCGGGGCTCCTCCTGGAGTGCCGTAGCTGTGGAATTGATGCGGCTTACCTCCGGAACAAGGCAGCACCGGGGCCGGAGGTGGGGGTGGAGGCGGCGGGGGGGTGTGGTTCGGTGTACTACCTTTATTACCCTGGTGCGGGGGCCCGGTAAATCTCATGGTTGGGGTAGGATTGTTGTGCTGTTTCCCGTTTGAAGAGGTCGTTGTCCAGGCGCCGTTGAAACTGCTGTTGTAGCCAGAATTTCCTTTATTGCCCATACCCCCGTTATTAACCTGGTGCTGGTGCTGACCCAACATGCCGCTGTTTTTGTTGTACAAGGGTCCACCACCTCCTCCGCCTGGTGGTAGAGCATTGGACGGACCGCCACCCTTACTGAACGGCTGCGGCTGGTGGTGAAGGGGAGTGCCAGCAGAACCTTTATTCGTCCAGGCGTTACTCGCATGTTGTTGGGGGTTGCCCGCGGGTCCGAGGTTGGGAGAACAAGCAGGAGAAGCATAAGCGAGAGCAGATCCATAGCCTAGAAGTATGAATAAACGTAAAAAGTTTCTCCGTTTTTCGAACATATATCGCTCACGCAAGAATAGCAAAAAACATGACAGTCAAATGCGATTGCGAATTTATCATCCATGAGTACGATTCTTGGATTCCATTACGTTCACAAATCATTCAATTGATTCTAACAAATACCGCCCCCCCTTCCTTTCTGCGGTTGCAGGTGGTGCAAGTCGCCCATTCCATTCGGCACGCTGCACCCGGACTTGTCCGCGCTGCCTTTGTGGGCTCCTGCGGCCAGCATGTTCATGTTCTCTGCTCCCTTGCCATATGGGTGTTGACCACCGCGAAAGTTATTTGCGTTGGATTGAAAACACATACCATTGCCGCTTGTCGTAGTCACCGGAGGACTCAAAAGTGGATTTGCCGGCTGCTGCGGCTCATTGATGGACGCGAGCCAGGCCGTGAGATCGCTCCCGGACTTGGCAGAAGCTGACGCAACGTGGTTCTTGCCCCCGCCCTGCTGGTTGGTCGTATTGTTCGACGACGATGTTCCTCCACTCGCTTCCTGCAGAAACGCCTGCAACAAATCATGCCCGTTGTTCTGGGGGCCGGAGGAGGTGGAGGAGGAGCCTTTGTTGTTATTATAGTTGCCGCCCCAACCACCTGCCCCGGCTTTGCCTCCTGCGTTTCCCCTGTTGCCCGGCACCACCTCTTCGACGCCACCGCCGCCCTGGTGCTGATTCTGCCTGCTGTCCATGAAAGACTCCAGGAACTGCAGCGTCTCCGCGCGGGTCATGTTGTTCTCTGTTGTACTCCCGTGGTAGTTCCCGTCATGATGTTCACCGGTAGCAGAACAACCGCCAGGAGTCGTACTAGCACCGGAAAGCAGGTAGGAAAAGAGGTCATCTTGCACTCCACCTCCCGTCTGCGCTCCACCTCCAGCACCGGCCTGGTGGTGTTATGAAAGAGACAACAAAGCGATTCGTATGACTTTTTTGGGCCTCGTCTGAGTCACCAATGCATCAACGAGGTCGACGTGCATCTGGACTTAACCGACCCTGTGAGGATGCAATCTAGTCCCGCAAAAGAAACCGCCGAACAGTGTTAGCGGAGAACTTACAACTTCACCAGAGCAAAGAAAGGAGAACCGAACGAGTGTTGCCTTCTTTGCTGCACTGAGCAGTTATTTGAATAATTTTCACACCCTGGGGACTCAGACTCACAGCTGCCTGCTCGTCTACAAAAAATGCGATTTTTGCCTCCGATAAAGCTCCCGCTCCCAGCTGGCCGTCGGGGTTGTGGTAGTGCGCTGGCGCACTTTCACCATACAGAAGCTGCTCGAGGCTCGCGCCATCGGCATCCTCGGGATGTTGGCCCGTGGAAGAGATGATCATTTCCACGCTTCTATCTTTTTTTGAGGTAGCTGTTGTTTTTGAAAAAATTGAGATCCACGATGCGTTAGCGTTGTAAAACGTGTTTTCTTTTGAGAAGATTATTGAAAAAGATCCTTTAGTTTGTTTATGCGAGCTACGACGCGAGGATTCTAGTACTTGTACGTTGCTGTGAATGTAGTACGTGCGCGAAAGGCAAATACGCTTCAGAAAAATACAAAGAAAAAAGAAACAAAAAGGCAGATCCAGAGACAGAGTCACGGTTGCTTGAGTGAAACGTTGTGGGATTGCTGCTTGAACTTGATGCCGTTGTAGCTTCTTACATACGTCGTGGTAACAAAAGAGATACTTAAGTACACAACTTGTGGATCCACCGATGGTGATGGAGCTAGTCTATCCGGTTAAGCCAACTCGGGTTCGCGATTTTTTTTTCCGTGCGCGGCGCTTCTTTTGTTGTATAGAAACAGAAAGCTAAAAGTAAAAATTTGGGCCTACTTCTTTTTATTTTGCCTACACCTAGAGTTGTGGCCGCTTATAATCAGGAGTTTAGGTTGTATTTGTTGCGTGGAGTCCAAGCGGATATTATATATTTGTGTTCGTGTGTTGCGGTCAAAAATTTTTTTCTGAAGCAATGTACTGAGGAGCTTCTACAGCTATGTATGTTGTGTCGCCTTGACTCGTCAGAGACTCGTCATCAGAAAAAGTTGCTTCCTGTAAAAAGTTGTGATAGTTCATTGGGCGAGGACCTCGTTCGATTTATGTAGTTATGCAAGGGACAACACAACTACGCCGGGGACAGAAATTCATTACTTATTCTCGCACTTCATCTTTTAAGTACGCGAAAATGAAAAGGAATGCTGGACATGGATCCGCTTTTTGCACTGAAAATCTGGGACGCCGCAGAAGTACTGGATTGCTGTTGACTCCGAGTGGTCGTGCTGTCACAGAAAATACAATAGATATGGATACTTACTATCAAAGTGCGCAGTACTGTGCTTGTTGTGATCGGACTGCAAGCGTCTTCTCCTGTTGAAGATCATGCCACGACGTCCAAGACCGGTACTGCGCTACGCCATAAAACAAGGTGGCACAAAAACCTTGCCGTGCTCGGACACAGGTTCGAAAGATTCAATTTCTTGATGCGCAGTGCACGTGCCTTCTCTTGTGCCTGGAGTGAAGGAACGGCTATAGTACGCTGCAAGTAATACTCCGCAATCTTGAACAGCTACTAAGGCTGCAGCTTATGTCGCGTAGTGGGAGGGTGAACGAGTGGACAGGGGGGAAAGAAAAACGCCAGAGGGTGGGCAAGGGAGAAAATTTTTGATGCAGGACGGGGCCAGGCATCTGCGCCGCTTCTTGCTGAACGAACGAAGGCGGAGCGCCATGGGGCGCCCGTGGTTCCCGTCGTTGCGCGAGCGCGAGGACCCCGCCCGCACTGGGCGCGCGTTTGCGTGGCGGCAAGCCTTAGGCCCAAGCAACAACGCAAAGCGCGGCAGCGGGCGGGCGCCAGTGGACGGGGGAAGGAGGCAAGGGAACTAATAGTCCGCGCCATGCGAGGCGCTGGCACGTGACGCCCCGCCCGCGCGTTTGCGGTGTGGCCCGCCCGTGCCGCCTGCCCCCTGTGTGCCCCGCCCCTGCGCGCCTTGGTGCCCCCCCCGCCCTTCTCCCGCGCGCAGCCTTGCAGAGAAGGGGCTCGCTGATGCCCCTGCCGCGCGCGTGGATGGAGGACGGGCGCCGGGGCGGGGCAGCCATTGCCCCCCAGGCGCAGGGGCCCACCACCCTCCCCCAGCACCCCCGGACAACAACGGCACCCCCCGCGTTAGCTCGCGCGAAATCTGCCCCGCCCCCGTCTGCCTCCCTCGCGCGCACCCTCCAAGACAGAGACGGCGGACGGTGGCGCCCTCTGCCGGCCTCCTCGTGAGCAGAGGCAGGCAGGGGGGGCGCCGGGGGAGGGTGGTGGGCAGCTGCTCGCCTGCAAGCCTGGTGCTTGCTGGGGCGCGGTTTCCCCTTCGCGAACAGAGGGAGGGCGCCGGGGGAGGGCGGTGGGCAGCTGCCCGCCTGGTGCTAGGCCGCCGGCGCCGTTTCCAGCGAACCCATGCCCCCCGCCTTCTGTGCGCCCTCCGCCCGCCCGTGCTTCCCGCTTTCCCCGTGCTTCCCGCTTTCCCCGTGTTTCCCGCCTTCCCCGTGCTTCCCGCCTTCCCCGTGTTTCCCGCACGCTTTCCCCGTGCTTCCCGCCTTCCCCGTGCTTCCCGCCTTCCCCGTGTTTCCCGCACGCTTTCCCCGTGCTTCCCGCCTTTCAATCGGAGGGCCCGGGGCGGTGGGTGCTTCTAATTTTCTTCTATTTTTTTTCTGGATTTTGAAAAAGCACGACCGCCCGCGACCCGGTAGCGCCGGCTGGAGGCACAGGAGCCGGCAGAGGGGCAGGCCCCCACCCTTCATCCAAATCCTACACAAACAATCGCCCTGCCGCAGAACCCTCTAAATTTTCAAAAATAGAAGACCGTCCCGGATGACCTTCTAAATTTGTTCTATTTTTGGCATTCTATTTTGACCGTCTATTTTTTTGTCTATTTTTGTGTTCTATTTTTCATGTCTATTTGCGTTGTCTATTTTCCCTGCTAATTTCTTTCTGGAACGACCCGGATGCCACCTGCCGGAATGGGTCCCCGGCAAAGATTTAGAAGCAAAACGCGAAAAACCTTAGGGAAATCCCTATGGTGCCGAATTTAGCCAAGATTTCGAAGATCTCGCCGGCGGTGACAAAGGACGTTCCCATACCCTCGGACATACCCCGTGCCCGTCTGCCGGGTCTTGCGAAATACTATGGGTCGGGTCCTGTTGGCGCGCTGACTCGGCGAACCCACACGGGTCTAGGCGCTTGGGCGCCGCCTCCTGGTACGCTGCTGCCAAGCTAGCCAGGCGCCACAGAACCGAAAAGCGAAAGCCCAAACCGCCCGCCCGCGAAGCTACCAGGGCCCCGAAAAACACCGCGGCGCGCCGGCTGCACCCGGGGAACGCCCCAAGCAGATCCCCACGGCTTTCGCTTTTTCGAAAAGCCGAAGAATTTAGCCATTTTTTAGCCTGCAAAATGGCCCCGGGGCCCTCTACCTGACGCCTTCCCCGTGCTTCCCGCCTTCCCCGTGCTTCCCGCTTTCCCCGTGCTTCCCGCTTTCCCCGTGCTGCCCGCTTTCCCCGTGCTTCCCGCTTTCCCCGTGCCCCCCGCTTTCCCCGTGCGCCCCGCTTTCCCGTGCCTCCCGCTTTGCCCGCGCGCCCCGTTTTCCCCGTGCTTCCCGCTTTCCCCGCGCTTCCCGTTTTCCCCGTGCTTCCCGCTATCCCCGTGCCTTCCGCTCTCCCCGTGCTTTCCCCGTGCTTCCTACCTGCTTTCCCTGTGCTTCCCGCTTTCCCCGTGCTTCCCGCCTTCCCCGTGCTTCCCGCTTTCTCCGTGCTTCCCGCCTTCCCC